AGAGTCTCCAGCGCTACTAGGGCGGAAGTGATGGTCGTTTTGTGAGAAATTGTGGCGCGGTTGAAGGTTGAAGAGCCAATTACTACCAGGCTGCTAGCTGAGCCAGTCTCGGTCGAGATGGCGAACGACGAAGAAGGGGTAGATGCGGGCGCAAGAGTGTGTGTTGCTACGTTGGACGTGATGGTTGAGCCATCGCGGTTCGTGGTTGTTACTGGGATGGTCGTGGAGACTTCGGTGGAGCTTTGTGCCTGTGACGAAACTGCTGAGGATCCAGGGGAGGAGGTTGCGGCTGAGTCTGTACTTACCACAGATGATTGTGAGGAAGACGGTCCGTTGGAAGAGGTAGGAGATGCCGATTGGCTTTGTGAGGATGTGGGAGTGGTGCTCGTGGTAGAATCGCTTATGACGCTGGAAGTCGGGGACGAGGTTGGCGTGGTCTGGCTGGTTTGAGAAGTAGGTGACGTGGTACTACTGTCTGAGATCACAGTCGAGGATGTGGTGCTGATGGCAGTCGTCGATGTACTTGTCGGTCCCGTGGTTGTGGATGTGGTCACGCCAGTTCCCACGACCTGTCTCTTCGGCATAATGCCTTGTGGTATCTCCTCGGCGTTGATGCTCGCGAAGCCTAGCCCGAACGTCAAGAAGGAGAGTAGCATTGTGACGGCCCTCTGCAACAGCCTGCGCGAGTAGTGGAAAGCCAAGGTGGCGAGTCGAAGTGTCGAAGGCGAGAAGTGAAAGTGTCTGTCGCACACGATTGGTTGTGAGGCGTAATTTGCGATCTATCAGTCGTTGGGGGCGAAAAGTGGAAACGGAGGTACTGCGCGAGTCTCACGGATGGTGTGTAGGGACAATGTATAGATACAAGAAGAAACGACAGTATGGCCGAAAGGACTTCGGAAGCAGAAACGCAGCGGTATGCACAGCGAGAAGGTAACTCTCCGGAGCGAAGGATGGATGAGTAAGAAGAAGAACACGATGCCAACGTTGCACCGGGCGGCGAAGGACAAGGCCGCTAGCAGCACTTCTAGTCGCCCAAAATACCTGCCGCTTAACCTCATCAGGCTACTCGCGACGTTTCGTGTTGCGGCGATACGATGGTGGTCTCGTCATCGCTTGGCTGGTATGGTTGACTGTATAGTCGGTCGATTGAATGAATGGAGGAAAAGTACTCATGCTCATTCAAATGCTCAGAATTATCCGATATCCAGCGATGTACCATGGCGACGAGGTCCAGAAAAGCTCCAGATGAGCCTCAACAACTTGTGAGACGCAGGGCCCAACCATAATTGCTTGCTCGAACGTCAGTCAACGCTAGACACTCCTGCGTATAATAAAGCAGCTTCAATATAACAGTCTTCCTTCTTCAACAGTTGCTGTTATAGCTTCTAGCGCTGCATCGAGCCATTGATTTGCGACAATCTGGCGTCCACGCAGTGACCAAACAGATTGTAGCTGTTCAGCCTGATTTGTTTCAAGCCCCGGATGAAGCTACACTACGTTTCTATGCCATTCGGTATGAGCAGTAACGTGCTTTGAAGATTTGCAGCCTTGACTGGAGAAAGTCGTATCGGGCGGTGAGTAGAGTTTAGGTCGAGTTACATTTCTGATAAAATTTAGCTGCTCTTACTACAAGACCAGAGTCATTATTTGCACGGGACACTGCTCGCCCACGCACCTCCCACAGCCATCTCATAGATCTCCTGGGTATTACTAGCCGAATGATGTCTCGAGTGCGGTGGAGAGGGACTTCCACTCGGATGCATAGGCGGCGAAGGCGGATCAAAAGACGCCGACGGCTCTCCCATGATATTCGAGAACCTCCCGTTACCCACCGGCAACATCCCACTACCCTGACTGATATCCGACATATTCCTGATATGGGACGGACGTCGCACACTACCACCGTAGGGTTCATATTTCTGATTCCCACCAGGACTGATAGCCGTCGCTCTCGCGTCGAGTTCAGCCTTGAAGTAATCTTGACCTTCGTTGTGGTCGACTGGTGGGCTGTAGAATGGTTTGCTGTAGAACTCGAAGCGCTCTCGCTCGGCTGGGTCGAGGTCACTAACGATGGTGGTATTATCCATGCTTGCGGTTCGAGTACTGAGTATCCCAGTGCTTCTATTCTGCAACTTCTTTGCTTTCCTGTCCTTCTTTCGCCAAAACCAGAAGCCGAGGCCAGCGAGTAAGGCTAGAATTGCTACTGCGTCGATGGAAATCCCTGCGATCGCTCCGGCACTCAATCCCGTATCTCCACGATGCTTTGGCGCAGGATATACGGTTGTGATGTTCATGGTCGCGGTGTTGGTGGGGAATTGTGCTGGTGCGATTGTGAGATTACGCGCATCATCGCTGTAGTCCGCAGTCACGTATCTATCACTGATCAGCGTAAGCGATGACTTCCCAGTCAAATAATATACGCTTCTTGCAAGAACGTCCTGCCCAAGGAATATTGCGAGGGATCTGTTGCTCGTTTGAGGGGAAAGTATCTCTGCGTGCTTTGGAAATCTGATATGCCGGCCAGAGGGTGTCTCTCAGTCAAGCCGAACGCTCCGTAGGATAGAGTGACACGTATCTCATGCAAGTTGCCCATCGAAGCCGCGAGATTAAATATCACAGATAGATTCATGGCGATCGAGTTGGCATGTGGCGTGTCTTTGATCAAGTAAACCTTGTAAGACAGCCCAACCATCTTCCACCCCAGCTGCTTCGCCGCCGTTATCTACGTCTGCTCAAACCTCTACGTCAAGCTCGGGGGTCGTTCCTGTGGTGGCCGCAACCTCACCTTCAAGTGTAGAGACGAACCCGACGACTTCGTCTGCCCACAGCTCAGCTAGCTCGGCACCTCAACAATCGGTGCCAAGCATGGCTACTGCTTCTACCGTCCATAGGCCGTCTAATATATCAAGATCATCGACTTCTGCCGTCGCTGGTCACGCGCCACCCTCATCGGGCGGGTCCACCAGCATAGGCCTCGCAGCCTCTTCCTTCACCTCGACTTCGCCTCGTCCCAATGTTTTAGGCGCAATCACGATGACGGAGACGATATATCTGAACGTCAGCAGTGCGATCGGGACTTTAGGGAGTGGTAACGTGGGAACCTTCATTTGTGGCGCTCAGGGCTGCACGCCTCTAACCGCCACAGGAAGTGTGACTCCCGCAAACTCTGCGTCCGGGTCTGGAACGGCGGTCGCCTCTTAGTCGACGAGCAGCGCTGCCGGGCATAGGTCGTCGAGTGTAGTGGGATGGTCGGCCAGGTTGTTAGCGGTACTGTGGTTCGTGGTATGAGCACGTTTGTAAGATAAGCGCAACGCGGCGTGGAAAGCCTTCTCGAACTTACCGCAGCGGATCCGCGAACGTCCGGCTCGTGAGACCTTACGATAATGACTTGTTGAAAATGATGTTCACAACTTTTGTTACTTGCACAGTCACAGCCTTATTTGGTGCCAACGGTGATTCGCGCAGCTGACCTTGTCTCAAGGGCATTTGTGTCCAAATCCCAGCCAGCTTCCACGAGTCGAGTCCGGTACTGCTCCATCATATCACTGGTCGAATGTGCGGTAGCTGCCAGACGTGAGAAGATCTCATCATCTTGTACATAGCTCAATTCCTTGCTGCCTCGTGAACCTGATGCATGTGCTTCTGCAAAGGCTAGAGCTTGCCACCAACCCGCTAGGATGTCTGCAGTAGTCGCTTGCTTCTCGAGCACAATGTATACATGCGGCAGAGCTGAGCCTTCTTCCAAGATGAGTACATAGCGCCTGTTCCCAAGCAGAAGCATGGTCTGCTCAAACCAGGAATCTTTCATCAATAATGATCGAGTCACGCCACGCTTGAACGCCATGCGTCGCAGTGGTATCTCGAGCTGCGAGCCGATTTTGCACCAGCCCACAATCGCACCTACTACAGAACGTAGAACACCATCTCGTTCAAATATCAACTCCTGCTCGGATACCTCTCTGGGATTCGGCACGCGCCCACGTTTCAGATGGTGATAGACAAGAGTGGCTCGTTGTCGATTGAGTGTACGCATACTGACAGCTCGTACAGCTCTTCTATTCGTCTCCAAATGTATCGCTAGCAGTAGTATGAGCGTTGTCCAGGTAGCGAATGGACTTGTGACGTAGTACACGACCACGGAGCCTGCCAGACTGCCGAGCAGAGATATGACAGTCTCCTGACTCGAGTCTTTAGCATTGAGCTCTCCCAGGTTCCCCCATCGCGCAAAGTGAGCGCTCAGACTGGCCTTTGCTGATCCTGCAGCCACGCCACACAGTGCTCGGAGAACGCTGCTGAAGCTGAGAATGACGACGCGAACCGCCTTTGGAAATATCGGAGACATGCAGTCCAGGATGAACGCAATGTCGTTGAGCACATCGGCTAGCAGACGATACATCTTGCACTCCGGCTCCAATGCTGTACCATATCGATCGGCGAAAGCGATGGTCGCCAGGCGTCCTACAGAGTCTTGGACGATACTCAGAAGCAGTGCCGCTGTTGGTGAGGATGTGGAGTCGCCAACGCCGACAGACGAAAGTACAGCGCGGGAGCTCAGTAATCCTGCGATACTGCTAGCAAATGCTTGGAGTGAGTCCTGATTGTGTTAGTTATATTTTCTGCTTGGCCCTCAGTGTGACTGACATAGATCTGGTACCTAGATAGAGAATATCAGACTTGAGGCCGCTCTGTCGAAGCTTTGCGGACTCACTCGAGATAGTCATCAGTCACGCTGTGGGGATAGCCGGCCGGGAGAAAGATGTTCAGCAGCTTCTGCCATGGCCTCTGCGTCGTTGGGTGCTGGCGGTCTCGTCAGTAGTCGGTGCACTCTGGAGGCGCAGTAGTCATGGATAGCAGGGTCCGAACGGGATTTTGACAGCTCGATAAGTACCTGGTTGGTAGCGAGGCATGATTGTAGATACTTACTATCACATCAATTCTGCAGACATTTTCGGAGCTGGTCCCAGAGGATAAGTAAGTAGCAATGGTGTTGCCAGCCTCGTCCGTCTCTGTGATCTCCACATGGCGAGGAGCCATTACGTAGCTCGCTGTATTACTTGAGTATGCACGACGAAGTGCACATCACAATTTGTTGGAGAAGTGACTTGATGAAGTGGCCACAGTCGCGCTAGCTGTATAACAAAGTCTTCTTATTGGCTGCTTGTGGCACGCTAGCGCACACAATGAAAATCAAGCGAGATCCGAGCCACTCTCGCGATCATGTCACCTAGTCCCAGATTAACAAATCAGGGAGCGACGAGTCAAAACCCTTTACTGATTCTGCTAGCCAGCGCGAGAGAAGGCACACGAAGATCTGGGTATGAAAAGCAACAGCGGTCATTTGATGGCCTCTGATGGTGCAAACGCGAATGAATTAGACTTGTACTATAAGCATAAGCATTTGCGGGAAGACACCCCGTGGGAAAGCTGCACGCCATCCCGAGCAATTAGACCAGGGTGGTGTAATCTAGTAAAGCTAAAGACTGGTTGGCAACGTCGGCAACACTGTAATAAAAGACGGCGCGTGGTCCAGTACGAGACGTGTCCCCATCGCGTCTCGTCATTCCTTCCCTTACCTTCCTCCAGATATCAGCTTCATCTTCTACTTATCTCCATCGTCACTCGTTAGCACAAAAGCCATCCGGATCATGCAGTTCACACTATCCGTCCTTGCAGTCCTTGGACTTGCCGCAGCGCAGTCTAGCACCACGACTGGCGCGCCCTCTGGAACGTCGAGCTCTCCGACAGCAGAGCAGACCTGCCTGAACGCTTGTGCGACTGGCGATGTAAATTGCCAGGCACAGTGTGTCGGTGTCCCATTCCCAAATGGCGCGCAGGTAAACGCGACCACTTCTTGCGCCTACGCGTGCCCACAGTAAGTCACTTCCCAGGTAGACGAACAGCCATGACTCCAGTGCTGATCAAGTATCCTAGGGGCGACGGCTCCGAAGCTGAGACCCAGGCATACGCCCAATGTCTTGCGAAGTGTAGCAACGAGTACTACTTCACCAGCAGCGGCACTGTCAACGTCGCCAATGCAGAGTCTACCAATGGTGGCTCAGCGGTCCAGTATAACTCAGCCGCTGCGATGACGACAGGGTCTAATAACGGTACCGCAGCTGGAGCTGCTGGTGCAACCATGACTGGAAGCGCGAGTCACTCCGGCGCATCAGGATCTGGCAGCATGACCACAGCTGCGAGCACTGGCTCTGCACGCTCTTCGGCAAGTGGCTCCGGTCAAGCAAGTAAGTGATGTATTCGTAATCATTCCTCACATCGAAGGCACTAACGTCAGATTAGGTGGGACCGCTTCTTCAAGCGCTGCTGCTGCTTCTTCGTCCAGTGCTGCTGCTTCGCCCGCCACTTACTTCACAAGCCTCCAGCTTGGTGGCTTGCTCGGGCTCGTCATGGCCGTCTTTGCCTTGTAGAAAAAGGTCGAAAATGTTTTCTGCGACGGTAGGCGGACTGCGAGAGGAGAATCTTGATACCCAGAAAGTGAAGTCGTTGGAAGTCGTTAGAAGTGATCAGGGTGTCATTGCCTTGAGTATTATTTGTCTGCCAGATAATGTGTAAATAGTGTACTATTGCAGAAATCTACAACACGCACCCACGTATCACTAACTTCTCATACCGATATTGCCCTCACGATGCCGAACATTGTCTAGATGGGCATCGAGCCATTCAGTATTTCATGTCTAGCGAGGCGAGGCCAGCCTGCATATGTTGCAGCTAAGAGGAGTGTGCAGCCACCGATGGCGACTCCTACGAATTACTGCAGTCTTCGAAGCAAGTCTTCGAGGAGAGCGCCAAAAGTCCTCATCGCTTACCGGTGGCAACGACTTTCGCACATTGTTTGGGTCGTGTAGACGTAAGGATTGTCCAGAAAAGCCTGCCGATTCTCGTAAAGATAACGATAATGCAGATAGTATTGTACTATTTGCGCAAACTTGTCGAGCGCGAACATATGACGACCCAGGTAGCCAGTCTGAAGCTTGTCGCTTGCATGTGCAGGTGTAGAGCTGTAATATGCGGGTAGAGTTTGATGATCAGTGCAGCAATCTGTCTTCGAAAAAAGCCTCATGGCGGCAAGCACCGCGCCTGGCCGATATGCTCGGCATGGTTCTTCGAGACACTCGATAGCCAGTACGTACCATAGTAATCCAGCATGATCCACTTCGACCCGAAACGTCCCCAGCAAAGCGTTTCGATAAGAGCATTTCGAACCGCTATGGCGGGATCTGGTCTTGCTTGCTCATGCAAGACAATTGCGGAGCTTGCACAAAGTGCGTCAGTGGGCAGCTGTGGTCCATCATCTCCTCGTCTGTCAGCTGTCGCAAAAGCAGAACACCCTCCTCCCACAACAATGATGAAAGCTGAGCGATCCGACTACAGCTGTGCAGAGGATCCTCGTTCTGATCGCTCCAGAACCGCTGGTGGCTGTCGACCCGAGTGTGGGGCACTGGGGGATAGCGCTCGAGCACAGTCCAGCCTCAACGCCACTGAAATGCGTTTCTGGCTGCCGTTGTCTCGCAGACGAGCTCGGCTCTAGCTGAGAACTGCGTGGCACCAGGCAGACCACATAGTTGCAGTCTGCGCATGGAAGACCAAAGGAAGTGGGGAGTCAATTGCAGAAGCATCAGCTAGTCTGACTGCCGATCGCTTGCAAGCTTGTGGAGGCGACGATGATCCTCTGGCAATATACGTCTTTGCGCTACTGTGGTGCTCGCAGTAGACAGCTCGGCTATTGTCGATAGTAAAATGCTGCTGAGTAGCGTGGGGGTGATTGTATATACGATACTTCACTATAGTGTCTCACCATCTAGGGCAGATTCAGGCGAGGGGCCGAAGAATCCTGGTCATGCATGGCACATCCACAATCGATGTCGCAAGCACAGATCTCGAGCTGAAGCGACTCGGTCTCAGCAAAGTCGAGATAGAGAACGGTACTCGTACAGACTCTTACAGTACTATTATCGATTGAAAGGATGTATGACTGCTGGTTGGTACATTACCTGGATGGAGGCAGGAACAACACACATCCTACTGCATGTTCACATTCAAGTTTACAAGCACAGACTCAATATTCAATGATGAGTGGAGTCAGCTTGACTATAGCGGAGCGCTCCGAGGCGCCCTGACAGCAATAATCGGCTGGAGGCCGAGATGAATTCTGTGCTAGGCCTCTCTCGTACAACTCTGCTTGAGGCAGGCCGTCGTGGAACGACAAAGACCTCTCAGGCATGAAGGCAACGACCATCTACTTGCTGGAGCTACAGCATGCGCTGCGGGAAAGCATCATAAGCCGCTGAAACCAAGATGACCTGCTCCGTGAAACACGAAGTCACGCTGGTCAATTCATTGCAGCGACATCGGCAGCATCACGCAATCCTCCGCGAGGGCGCCTGCCCGTAGGACGAACCCGAGAATCTTTCCAGACAGGCGAATTGAGGCAGATGATGACTGTGCTCCATGTGAAGCCCAGTGGACACACCGGAAGTTATGAAGGGCCGCAAACATCTGCCTCAATAATAGGTAGCTATGTACCGCTGGCCTGAGCCGCCTGACTGTTCTCGGAACTTCTCTTGAGGCTGTCGCGCCTACTGAAAATCCTCCTTTGGTCAAAGTCCCTCCCCGCATGAGTCGGCGGCGATTGAGTTGCGCTAATATGCAGGTCATTCGCCTACTGGGCCTACTCGGGTTGGATTTCTGTGAAAAGGCCCGTGGCCATTCCCAGCAGACTTGCGGACCAGTTGAAGGTAATCTTGCTGGGCACGCCCGTAGCTCCCGTCTCACAGTCTCGCGAAGCTTGGAGCATCCCGCATCTCGCGCCTCTCCCACCCACGCAATGCCTGTCGCTCATCTGAACTGGGCGCATGCGTGACTCCAGTCAGAATGGGTGTGGAGGCTCCACTATTTTGCCCTGCTTGCACGCCAGTGGTCCCGGACAAGGTGTGCTTGCGCAGAGGCCGTTTCAATGCTTCAGCCAACTATATGCAGGCTGCCCTCACACTCACTCAACCCCTCATCCAACCCGGCCCAGCAACATCGCTTCATATTTCTTCCATATTCCACCATCTTCGCACCCTATCATCTCATCGAACGGTCACATTACATTCATCCATCACGACTATAATCGACTTGCACGCCATTATTGCGAATCATAGCGTGACGACCGTGCACCGTTCGCATATCATTCATCGGCATTACGCGAAGATCGTCTAAATCATCCACATTCTCTCAACAGCAACTCAACTTCACACCATTTTCTACGACCATCGACACTCGTCACCTCAATATGGACTGCTTCCAGGATTTCTGTGTGGCTTGTGATAAGCAATCAACTGGAACATATTGCTCACAGGCTTGTCGACTGGCTGATCTGGAGCGAGGTACTGTCTCATCACCAACCTCACCAGTAGTCGCACAGTCAAGCCAAGCGAGGCCTTCTTGGTCCTCAAACCCGACAGTGGGGTCTGCATACGTGCTGTCTCCTGCGGTGGACTTCCACGCTTCCGAGCAACAAACCCAGGCTTGCTATTTCATGAGATATCCAACAGAACAACGACCTGACGACACACATCAGCAACGATCGCTGACACCGTCATCCTCGCGGTCGTCATTATCGTCCACAACGAGTGTCTCGACGTGTACCGGCGGCATCTCACCACAGGCTCGGCACGAACTCGATGGCTTCTTCAGCTCGTTCTCCCGCGCGAAAGCTGCCAAGCGACGATCAAGTCTGCGATGAGTTCGATGATCGGGCAATGTATCACGACAACTTTTCAGCGTTCCGTCACAGCATAAGCACTTTTTCACAAACAACACTCGCTCCACAAGCGGGAGAATCGGCTTCCGGCGTCCAGAAGACAGCATGGATGGTACGCAAGCCGGGCATGATGTACTACTAAAAGCATACGAGTCTTGGCTATTTCGACTTTACTGGCGTTCATTGAACGGGATGAGGCATCTGGATGGCGCACCACTATGGGTGGGAATTACCACTCACTCCCCTGTTGATGTCACTTTGGCACTGGAGATGCCGCACTTGTACGAAATCATGGCATAGGGTAGCATTGAGGTGGAGGGGCACAGGGCTAGTAGTGCTCAGATGACGCGGCCTCTTGTTTTTGGAGAGCTCGATGATGGTTAGTACGCAAGACCAGCGGACTCGCGGAGGTCTATGTGCCTTCCGGTAGATAGCAGATGATCACAACAATAACACGAGTGGTCCTGACCAGCACGATCTTCTCCACCTTCACGCTATATCATCATCGCCTTCAGCTCTTACCCAGATAAAGCTCGCGGGTGATACTGCAGGGTTGATCGGTGCCTTGATCTGACCTGTTCCGTCAAGAGATAGGGCACGATGTTATGTACCTGCAGCATAACGAGGAGAAATCGCCTACCGCTCATCAAGAGAGTTCCCTCGGGTTGGGACGCCTCCGTTAGATCGTCTAGATCAAAACCATGCCCCTTCCATGCAATTCGACGGCACAGTAATGCGCGCAGCTTCCCTTTTCATCATATACCGTGCCTCGGCGCTCATCTTCTCGATCCGTGAAGCCATAGCACCCACTCCATCGAGCCCGAGGGAACGGAGTCTTCATGATCTCGTCCGATGTAGCAGGCCTCATCCCCGCCATCTCACATGACGGACCGTAGCGACGTCGATCACGAATGGCGCATTATCATTGACGATCTTGTCCAGACACGGCACAGATCTGATTCGTCCGAGCCGTCCTGCTGCGTGGCTGAGGCATTTTATCGTTGGGGTCTAAAACAAATGGTGCCAGGAAGAGAGTTGCCGTGTCTCATAAACCTGGCAGCAGACGATGAAAGATGATTTTGCGCCCCGCGAGGTGGTGTCTCGCAAGATTACGGGGTCCGGACTTGTCGCCGAAGTGGAGGCATGGGAAGCTGTGCAGATACGAGTCAACGACGTGGGGGGAACATTTGGAATGGCAGACTCGTAGCACAAAGACATGTGATTGATCATCCTGCTTGCCAGCGCATGCTTCTGCACCAGCTGTGAGTGGTCGCTGCTGCGCTGAGATAAACATTTCATAGCGACCTGATAAGCGCATTGCTGGACGGGGGTGTTATGGTGCCATGATTTGCTCTCTGCTGCGACAGCAAATCTAATTCATTCAAGCAGCCGAAGGAATCGTCATTGTGTTTTCGACATATTCTAAACCATGTTTTCGGCGCTTTTCGACTGTGGTGAAGACGAGTTATCATGCATCGGCGGATCTGTGGGGGCATGACCAACCAACGGCGCGGAATCACTTGCCCAGATATCACCATCAATGGGAGTAGGGTTACTGTCTCCAGAGAGATACTGTTGTCGATGTCAGTGATGCTCTGCCAAAAGCAACGTCTGCCATAGTGGACTTACCAGATACCAATACACCACTCCGACGAACAGACCACCTCCAACAATGTTGCCAAGGAGTGCTGGGATCATGCTCTTCCAGATGTAGTAGCCAACGGTGATCTTTGGTGATCCAAGAAAGATAGCCGCAGGTATGAAGAACATGTTTGCGACAACGTGATCTGTTTCATATCAGTGTCAGCATTGCTCTGTTGCATTCTTGTCCGAGACGTGTATCTGCTTACCAAAGCCAAGTAGCACGAAGGCAAAGGTAGGCCACCAGATTGCGACGACCTTGCTGAAATACTCCCTCGCCATCCCGGCCAGGAAACAGGCTAGGCAGACCAGCCAATTTGCTCCGATACCACGCAGGAATATCATATGCCACTCCGGAGTCACCACCTTTGTGTTTGCGAAGCTCTCGACCCAGGATCGATATGCCGCGACGTCGAGCGTGCCTCCATAGCCTATAATGATGGCCATGACGAATAGTGATCCCGCTAGGTTGCCGAAAAATGTGATCACCCAATGTTGTAGCATCTTCAGAGGAGAAAGTCGACGGTGGAGGACGGAGATGGTTGTGAACTGCGCAATCAGCCTAGAGTCTCCAGCATGACATCCCAAAAACTCACCATGAAGCTGCCGGTGCAAAGGTCAGATCCAGTCACCACAATCGATACAAGGCCGAAGGGAAAGATAAGTGCCCCGATCATTCTGATCAGACCTGGCGCATTCTCCTGATACCATGGCGCAGTGTTCGTGATTAGGACCGCCGCGCAGGCGAAGGACAGAAGACATCCTGCCATGAATGAGGACACAAAAATCTTGTCAATACGCATATTTGCTTTCATGACGCCCGCCCGCGAGCATAGCTCCACAGTCTCCTTGGGAGTGTAGCAGTTGTGAATGACGCGGAACGTCTGCATGCTGGCGGCGCTTTCGTGATACTGCGGGTGAGTGGTGTGGAAGGAGGAGAAGCATGAAAGGTTTAGAGAGGAGGGTGGATCTGGGTATATGCTCCTCTCTGTACAAGCATCGAGACCCTACAGTCTCACCTTGGCATACGAGACTAGCCGTCCTGGCTAGCATTTGGTTGTTGACCTGCTCAACGGACCATCGACCTGCAATGCTACGGCCACTGCTTGAGTGAGAGCCAATGATGTCGACCGCTAGCCGCAATATATCCTTTTCAGGTTGTCGATCGCTCCAACACCGGTCCATTAGGGTTCGAAGGACGCACTATGGACAAAGTAGCTGCCTGATAAGACGCCCGGGAAGAAGATGTCTCTCCAATCGAGACAGCATTTGTATACAGATGACTCGTTTGGCTGCCTACAGTTCTAAATTGCAAATACCAGTATGGCGGTTGCATACTGTTGCGTAGGCCAAGGACCACATGCAGAGATGATCGAAGACCTCTTGCGTGAGTACGGTCGTTCCAGTGGTTGTAGATAAGAGAAAAGAAGGGCGGAGATACATTAGCGGTACCAAGCAACACCGCCAAGCAGCGCCGTTGAATCGCAAGATAAGAACAGGTGCGTTGGAGGATGATGGAGCTCACTAAAAGACCCAAGTTATGTTGCACTGTGACGATCGATGTATGGACATGGGGGATCGTGTTATACTGCATGTAGCGGCCACTTGCATTCGGTAGGTGTAGGTGTAAGCAGAGTCGAAGAAGTGGTGAGCATTCATTAATTTTATCACGTGACTGTCGAGTGCATTGACCAATCATGGCACTTACTCTCAATTCACGCCTTACGCACTCCACATTTCGCGACTTCTCAAAGGGGCAAGGTCTCGTGTTTGGACAGTTTGCGCACCACGAAACATTGTGAGGGGCACGCATAACACTCTTCCCAGTCATTTACCGTACAATGTGGTCGTCATTAAGTCTGCTGAGCCTTGTGGCACTCCTGGTACCATCACAAGCCCTCTACTTCTACATTGACGGCCCCACACAGAAATGCTTCTTCGAGGAGTTGCCCAAGGACACCCTGGTAGTTGGTATGGGATACTGTCAGTACCATGAGCAGTACGGAGATTGACCAAGTCAGGCACCTTCAAGGCGACACAATGGAACGATCAATCGCGAACATATGTCACGAATCCGGACATGGGCATATACATCACAGTGGATGAGGTAAAGCACATCACAAGCCCACATACCAGCAACATATCCTAACCAGAACCAGATCTTCGACAACGACCACCGCGTGGTAAGCCAACGCGGCTCCCACACTGGAAAATTCACGTTCTCCGCTGCCGACTCCGGCGACCACCGCCTCTGCTTCACTCCCACCAACGTCCCTTCCACATCTGGCATCCTCTTCTCGGGTGCACAAGCCGGCGGCATCAAGTTCGAGCTCGACATGATCATCGGCGAGACATCCGCGATCGAGAGTAGCGACAAGGATAAGATGGGTGAGGTCGTGTCTAAGGTTCGGGATATCAACGCCCGGTTGCAGGATATCAGGCGCGAGCAGGTGTTCCAGCGTGAGAGGGAAGCGGAATTCAGGGATCAGAGTGAGGCTGTCAATGCGAGGGTTGTAAGGTGGACTTTGATCCAGCTGGCTGTGCTGGGTGTGACTTGTGCATGGCAATTGAGTTATTTGCGTAGCTTCTTCATCAAGCAGAAGCTCGGATAGACAAGGACTGAAGACTGTTCTCCCAATTCTTGAGAGTTTTCTGTCATGAACATAGAGCTAACATAGCTACGAAAAATTACCGAGCTCCGACCTCATACATCAAGCGTCTAGCCGTTCACTATCACACCGCCATTGCAGTGGATGGTCTGTCCACTGATGGAGCTGCTATCTGTGCTGGCCAAGAACACCACGCACGTAGCAATCTCGCTGGGCTGGCTAGGTCGACCCATAGGTGCTGAAAACCCTTCAATGGCACCTTCGTCCATGGTTGCGGGAGCCAGTGGCGTCCACACTGGGCCGGGTGCAATTGCATTGACACGGATACCTTTGTGCACAAACTGGTTGCTCAAGCCACGGGTGAAGGCTACGATAGCGCCCTTTGTCGATGTGTAGTCAAGAAGATCTGGGCGGCCAACATATGCGTTGACAGAAGCATCGTTGATAATCGTTGACCCGCGCTCCATATGTGCAAGGGCGTACTTCGAAACGTAGAAGAAAGCTGAGACGAGTTAACATCTGGTAGGTAACTTGTCAGGCGGCTCGTGAACTTACGATGGATGTTTGTATCGAAAGTATGCACCCTGCCAAAATCGTTAGATCGAAGCCCTCCATGCGCAGATATGGGCTCACACTATCGCTACTTACCACTGCTCCTCGGGCAAGTCCTTGATATCATGCACCATCATCTGATAAGCATGGTTATTGAACAAGATATCAATACCACCCATCTGCTTGATTGCCTCATCGACAAGCTTCTTGCAGTTGTTCTTGTCTTTGAGGTTAACGGCAAGAGTATGGCACTTTCGGCCGTACTTCTCCACCAATTTCTTGGTGTCTTCAGCATCCTGCTCCTCCAGGTCGGGCAGATATGTGATCAGACTGTCGGCACCCTCCATGGCGAAGAGCGTGGCTGTCGCTCGTCCGATGCCACTGTCGCCACCAGTAATAATGGCTCGTTTGCCCTTGAGCTTGCCGGAGCCTTGGTATGCTCTCCAGCCGCCCTTCTCATCCGGGACATCTTCCGTCGACGGCTGAGGGTCTAGCTTGCGCTGGTCACCTGGAGGAGCCTGTTGTTGGACTGGTGGCTTCCAGCCTGGATGGATCGTTAGCCTACTAATGTTTTGTCACGAGGTGATCGTTCGCCTTACCGGGCTGGAACTGGTTGGGCTTCGATTCAGACATGTTGAAGTGTGTTAATACGAGTATTGTGTCGCGTGGAGCAGAAATGTAGCGAAGATATCTCTCTTTCCCATTATCATCACCTACCTCTCAAAATTCTAGCATCTCGATCGCGTCGACATTTCGTCGACTGCGCGTCATCACCATAACGTCACAGTGACCCACGCTACTGCCTTGCTCACGTGCAACATGCTGATGGACTGCGCTTGCGAGCATACAGGCGGTACGACCGCGAATGCCACAGTCTCATTGCAGGCGACGATGCAACTGTGCAGAAGCATGAAGAAGGTGAAGTCGCAAACCATTGCCGTCTCCATTCGAGCCACAAAACGCCCAAAGCCTCAAACTCAAATTTCGCGAACGACGCGAGTGGCGTTCGTTACTGCATTCTGACAGTGCCGGAGGCAATCTTTCCTGTTTACAAACACGAACTAGTAGCAAAACCCAACATGCTAACAACTGTCCTTCGCGATTACTCCGAGGTCGTCCACATCTCGAAAGCCCAGCGCAAGCGCAAACCTTCTGGTTGACCGATCATCACGACCCACCTCCGCGGGTAGTTGGCATAACTACATCATACGCAAACAATAATGGCCATCCTCGGCGCAGAAAACCCGCACGATGCTTCTGGAGCTACGGTGACGGTCATCGAACAACAGACTCCTGGTGGATTGGCGACGCCTATGGTATGGACTTCCGTCGCGGTCGTGCTAATTGCCGCGACACAATGGGCTCGTCGATGGCTTGTCTCTGGTGCGGCGATTGAGTCGCTGCTGGTGCTCTATGGGTATGGGCTTGGGTGTAGAATATTCTCTGACATACCAATCTGGACTCTACTGGCCACATTCAATCTGGCATACGCTGTTTGCTCGACTTCGTGGCTGTTCTGGACCGTGTTTACGGTGTTGTGCTACCCGATCATAGGCATCACCTGTTTGCTCCAGTTCAAGGTCGTCTCGGAAGCGGCGAGGAAGAATCTACGTCGCGTTCTCAAGGAACTTCACTTCACTAGGGACAAGATTGCGCTCTTCAACTTGCCGGCTCTGGAGATTGACACTGATGTTGATGGTCTGTTTGTGGTCCGGGGAGTCACCATCTCATTGTCAACCTTGACGCTCGTCGCGCACGGCATTGAGTTGGGCATCAAGATCGGCGATGACATCGAGTTCGCTGCTTGCGTAGACAGGGTGCACATTGATTTGTTCAGACGGGTAGAGGTCAGCGATGTGTACGGAAGCGTCAAAGGTGGTAAGCCAGAGCTGTTCTTTGGCGACCTCGACAGCGAAGGTGATCATGCCGACGATTCTATGCCGGTGTTTGGCGAGACTGCGCTTTTACGTGCAGCCACGACAGGTGCCGAAGGTTTCAAGGATAGGCCGAAACTTCGTACCTCTTTGACAGGCGTCAGCTGGATGAAAGACTCGACGGCCACTGCTGGCTTCAAGTCAGTCAAGACTCTGTCGGCAGACGACGAGAAAGCCGAGGCGCAGTATCTAGCCATGCTCAAGGAGATTCGCACGACTAGCACATCTTACCAGGCCAAAGCGCAGGTCAGGGCCAAGGCAGCCGCAGGAGAGGGATTCACCGAACTCGAGAACGACAAGGACGTGCGTGCTGCGATGTGTGCTGAATTGCACACTTTGCCGTCAATCGCCCACCCACCTGCACGATCCGTGCGTGTGACAACACTACAGAATCTTGCGCCACCGAGGGTTCGAAATTTCATCCAGAGGCTGCCCTTCCTGTATCGATTGCTACTTACAACTGTGGCGTACTTCCACCGCATCTCGATCAAATCAATCAACGTGGCGGCCTCGGGTCGCTTTACTGCGGCAATGCTGCAAGCCAAAGTCTTCAAGCACTATTCCACCGACAGCGCGGACATACGGCGGCTCGAGACAAGAGTGAAGTCATGGCTAGCGGACGCAAACTTCTGTCTACAGCTCGGCGACATCAGTTCCCATGCCCAGGTACCACTGAGCAGCTCCTACGAGATCACAGCCTATCTCAAGGCCGACGATGTTGTGGCTTCACGCATGGTACCGGAGCAAGGGATTCTGGAGAGGGTAATAAGGCTGGCTGGCGCTGATGCCACTTGCTTCATCCCTGCTTTCCTGATACCCCACCACGAGCATGTTGTTCCGGACAAACTCTCTACCGAAGACGAGCAGAGCTATGAGATCAAGATTGAAGACGCGGATGGAGAGCCAAAGGCCAAGCAAGGCGAGATACAGCTTGATCGAGCGCGGAAGGATGAGACGGCAATCAGAGTCAGCGCGCACGCGAGTCTGCCGGCATCTTTCGACCAATCTCTCCTCGACTTCACAGCTGCTTTAGTCAAAGCGACTAAGATCATCGAGATCGAGAAGGAATTCGACTATGTCGCTACAGGTCTTGACACCCCTCCCGTCACCACACCCACAAGCCCCACTTTGACTCCAGCAAGTACATTCAGCACCTTCGACGACGATGCCTCAATCAAATCGACAAGCAGCGGCCATTCAAAACTCGGCAACCTGGCCAAGAACATCCGACAGAATCTAAAGGAGGGCGGTGCAGGTCAGAGCATTAAAGACCTTGCTAAGGATCTGGGTCATTCGACGCACAAGGGGATGAGGAAGGCATTGGGGGGAATGGTGAGCGATCGCTGGATCGCGAAGATGGTCGGGAAGGTGGCGAATAATTTGCAGAAGGCGCAAGGGGATTTGGGATATTCGGCTGAGATACCCGTGAGGCTTGCGGGTTATAGGGCGCGGCCTGGGTTGGCTTCGAAGCTTTTGCCTTGATCATGGTGCTGGGACGGTTATGAATTTAGGATGTGAATGGTTTGGGGTGTGGTGTTTGCTGCCTAAGCGAGAGCGTTCACAAGGCGCATGGCTGTACTGTGAGCTCAGCAGTTGCTCCGAGCTCTTCAATCTTTGCGTCTTTTATGGTTGTACCGAGGCTGATCGTTCATATCATTGATCACTGATCCTGCATTTGCGACGTCACGTGAGTTGTTCTTTAGCTGGTTTTTTGCAAGAGCAGATCGGTGCAGTCACATTGCGGAGCCCTCGGCCTACTTGGCGAAGCAGTCATGTCATGTGTAGCACAAGAGTATGGCGTCAATTGTAATCAGTGTGATACTATGAGCTGTACCTGTTTTATGTACGTGAAGGAGTTATTCAACTTATTTCCCAATAGCCAAAGCAACTTGGGACGTCCACCAATCAAGTGAGCAACGGCACCCACGATCAGAAGGAATTGCAGGAGCCGAGATCGCACGGCGTCGCGCCTGCCAAGTCGGGAGGAGGAGATGACAAACCCACATTCGAGTTCGAGCAAGCCCCACTTCGTGCCACTTCGTGCTCAACCGCCGACTTGTGGTCCGCCCCACGGCCCTGACCTTGCGCCATTCACTCACACCTGGACTGAAGACATTGGCAGGTGCGCATGGGCAGACGTTGTGTTCACTGACACATTGGGCGACGACAACAAAGAGCTGGTCGGCTTCTTGAGGGCGCGTGGCGAGGACAGAGGCAGATTAGGACAAGGTTCAGGGTAGATCTACTGCCGTCATACAAAGGTAACCATCCGCCGCACCCGCACACCCGAAATAATCTCACACTGGCGACGTCGAGCATTGTCTAGTACATACCATACAGTACTGTACGCGATGGCGAGCTACAATGGCCGACGCGCACCGAATGTGTCGCAATACCTGGCCAACCTGAACACGATCCCAGGACCGCAGGACGTCGCGGCGCAGAGTGCCTTTCCAACGGGAGACGACCTGGACTTCTTGACCAACACCGAGTTCTTCGACTTTGACAACTTCGAGGGCATCGGCGACGAGTTCGGACAGGGCGCTGCATCGGCGCAGGCAAATGAGAAGGCGGCCCAGAAGGCAGGCAGCAGTGCTGTGGCCACGAATGGTGAGATGACAAACCCATATTATGATTGGAAGACGCAGTGTATTGACCACGACACAGGCCCCGGCTACCAGTTCAGCGAGTTCCAGACCTATCCCACCATGACCGCCTCGCCCGTGAGCGCCATCACATCTCCCTCCAACCTTCAAGGCGCCTTCCCAGCTCTACCCTCTCACTTCTCTCCTGGCGAGAAGCGCAGCGCTTCCCAAGCAGGCCTCGCCTCCGTCGACCTCGAGGACCCTTCCCGCTTCATAGCAGAAGAGGATAAACGTCGCCGCAACACAGCCGCGTCGGCACGTTTCCGCGTGAAGAAGAAGCAGCGCGAGCAGGCGCTTGAGAAGCAGAGCAAGGATATGTCTGAGAAGGTGCAGATGCTTGAGGGAAAAGTGCAGCAGTTGGAGATGGAGAACAAGTGGTTGAAGGAGTTGATCACGGAGAAGACCAAGGATAGTGAGAAGGCGGATGCGGAGGGGAAGAATGCTTCCGAGACCAAGGGCGACCGGAGTCGTGAGGAGAGGACTGACGGCGTGGGCACTGTTGCTGATGTCAAGGTCGCTGCTTGAGCCTTTTGGTAATCTCTGCTGATTTATGAGCGTGTTTCTACAGGTGCTGCGATACGCGCCCTGCATAAAGTCCACATATTGTTCCCAGATCCTAGCACGCTAGGCTTGTTTCTAGCACAATATGAAACTCATTTATGATCTTGTCTAGCATTCAAGCCCTGGTCGCCTGCTGATGTTGCACAAGAATGCTGCTGTGGCACGTGAATGCCTGCACGCAAGGCAGCCGCCCCATACAGCATCGAACATGACCTGTTGATCGTACAGCAAGAAGATAATATATGAAGCCGCCAACATGATCACGATGTCTAGTCGATTCGACCCTCTCTCAACCAAGAATCGACCATGGCTGATCCATTCATCGATCTCTCCCAATTCGCAGCTTCGTCGCCCCCTCCCGCTTCTGCTGCTCCCCTACCGCATCCTCATGGCCGTGGCATAGTAGACCCAACAGTCACGCCCCCACCTCAACTTCACATCAACACTGTAGCTCAAGATGCCCTTGTGGACGGCATCAAGCATGCCTTGTATCGTCAAGGCCGTACGGCAGTCTTCACCTGTGGTGGACGCATACCAATGGTTCTGGACCCGGATCATCGTACCGATGAAGGCGACCTCACACCTCGCACTGATGCTCTCATGCAGGAGCAGCGAATCCTGACCATGCCGGTGACGTTGCGCTGGGGCGATGAGATGGCTGGCAGGCGGGTCGAGCTTCCCATTCTTGGCGACGGTGGCGAAGATGGGGGCACCAGTCAAGCAATAATCGAGCAGCTCGCTCGTGCCTGTACACCTGCTACTTTCGGCGGGGACGGCGAAGATGTCTTTGACGAGGAGTATCGTCGCGCGGGTGCCTTGGCGGTGGGTGAATTCATGACGGACTTCTGTCCTTACAAAGCTGGGATCGTGGATCTGGTCACGCAAATGCTTGTTCCGCCTATCGCTGAACACCATGGACCGTCTCCGCCGCAGATCGAGTATGGTGAGATCGAAGATGGTCTGACCTGGGACCAGCGTCGGGAGAAGAAGAGGATGATGTTCCGGGGGGTGAGAGCGGAGCTGTATAAGCTTAACGTTTACAGTGGTCCCTCTGGACACTTCAAAGCTCATGTCGATACTCCTCGGAACGAAACTCAAGTCGGAAGTCTGGTCGTTTGTCTTCCTATCCAATTCACCGGCGGCGCCCTAGCAGTTCGACACGCGGGTCAAGAGATTATCCATGACTGGGCACTGAATCTGGCGGAGCCTGCTATCCAATGGGCGGCTTTCTACAGCGATTGCCAGCATGAAGTTCTGCAAGTCACCGCCGGTCACCGCATCATTCTTACCTACAACCTCTACCTCTCACCCGGTACTGGGCGTCTCTGTGATCGTGCCCTGAGTCTTCAGCCCCAAGGACTGCCTATCTATGAGCTGCTGAAGAGGATTCTGATATCGCGGGACTTTATGCCTAACGGTGGATATCTGGGTCTCTACCTCGTACATGGCTACCCACATACCGATCCCGTTCAGCACAAATTCGTACCCAACATGCTTAAAGGAGCGGACTTGGGAGTTTTTGAGGCTGTAAAGGTGGCGGGGCTGATCGGCGTGCTGGTGCAGTGTCAGAACGGAAGTTTCCTACCTGCTCTCGAGGAATTAGATACGATGTATGCGCGGCATGTTCGTAAACAGTCTCGTCCGCAGCGTTGTGATGTAGATCCGGTTAGGAGAGACGTGACTACTGTGGCCAACCTCCTCACAGCCGCAGAGATCGAAGCGGGTAGTATGGAAGACGAAGACGGCTTTGGGGGCGGTGACGACGACATGGGTGATGACGACCGGAGGGAGGAATTCGAGCGGATCCTGGGAGAAGAAGGGGGAGGAGGGGAGGAGTATCTTCAGGAGCGCCATAGGGACTTTATCAAGGAGTATTATGCTGAGAAGGAGGTCGTCTGGGTGGGAGGTGGAGGAGAGCGGCAGGTAAGTAAGGTTTGGGTTGCGTATGGCAATCAGGCGATGTTGGCGGTCAAGTATTCGTATGTTTCTCTGATTGTCAAGGTACCTTCGTGGTGGGAAAGGGGTATGTGATAGCTAATGTACGGTGTCGGATGTTGGTGATACTGGAGATTATGTGGGATGTTTTCCAGACAGTGTCAACATTTTTATGGTATTGACTGGCTATTGAATAGCTCATGATCATCTCATATTAGTGAGATACGGTTCGTACAATCATTCGTTTGTCTGAGCTCATCATCCATAAAACATGCAAAATCATCTGGTTTTACTTCGACCCCCTGCGCTTCACCCGTCCATTCATCTCCAGGTGAAGTCGTCTCGCAATCTCCTCGTCACTTGCCGTCTGCTTTGCTGACGGACGAGGCTTCTTCGCCAGTCGTCTGGTTGGCTCGTCGTCGTGGCCCAGCGTGCGCTTCCGCTTCGTGAGCTTGTTGTTTGCTTGTGCTAGCGACGAGGGAGACGAGACCAGCTCGTCTGGCTTCGCCAGGGACGGCAATTGTGTGACCGGTGAGTGCCGATTGATATTAGCAACCGTCTGACGCTACAAGAGGATTGAAAACTTACTACAATGTTATTATTCTCCAACAAAAGCGTATCAGGCCTCACAAACAACGGCTCCTGCAACCGGACGGCCTCCATCTGCTTCCTGTACACCCGGATATGCTTTGCCCACAGGGCAGCATCTCGTCCCGACTTCCGCCGGACTGTGGCGTCCTTGTAGGGGCGGAGAGGTTGGCCGTTGTAATAGGAGCCCCACGAGGTGAGGTATGCCGTGAAGCTTGCTGTGATACTGTATTGACGGTTCATCTTGTTTTGTGATGGATGGGAGTGACAGGCCGGCTGCTATGTGTGTTGTGTGTGTGTGTGTGGTTTGCAAGATGAAGTGGCTTGGAAGTGAGAAGGAGGAAGGAGAGGTCCAAAGGCTTATATTCGCCCTCGTCGACAATAGAATGAGACGACAATAGGGCCATCATGTGGTGTCTGGAGTATGAAGTGAGGTTGAAATCGCGCATGGGATGAAAGCTCACTTACACTTACACAGTATTCCCAGATGCAGAGATGTGGAAAGAGCTCACATATTCGGCCGTCGTTACTACAAGATCATGGCAGATCATGGGGATATGACTACGAGTGCACGTCTGGCCTCATGGCAGATCCCCATGGTATTGCTCAGCGTGAAGCTGCCATATCGTCATTCAGTGTTCTTGAAGATCCTCACAGCAGTGGGATATGTCATTGGCTTCCAGGTAGATCCCTATTGCTTGGTCTCGATCTCATGCCGTCGTAGAGGCCGGCATGACCAGAACATCATATTAGGTCATTGGTATTGTTCCAGGAGAACAGCATCTCAAGTATGGAGCTCAGTGAATCCCAGTGGCCACATAGCTTGAAACAGCCCACGGAGAGGCCGTCACGATGATAGGAAGGTCGCGTACAGATGAAATTAATGCATGCTTCACGGGCCAGTAATTGTGTAAGGGATGATAAGAGTGTCACCTCTGCTGATTCCTAAGCTCTCCTCGCCCTCTGAACGAGAGCATCAAGACCAGGCGCCCAGCCATGGGTGTGGGATTTCATCTATGCGCAGCGCGAAAACACAGCATCTCAGGGAGTATGAGGAAGCATGTCGATCAGTAATGTGTCTTGTAAGCTGGCATCTTATTGTAGATGAAGAAGAGGAGGGGAGAGATTTCTGCTGTGAAGTCGAATATATACTTGACGCTAGCGTGCTTGGAGGGGTGGATTCGGGAAGGTGGACCGAGCGCACTTCGGTGTGGGAGGAGCTACGTTTCTTGATGCTGTGTCTATGTTGTTAGCATGTGCTTTCGGGAGTGAGTGAGAAGGACGACTTGATCTATACGGAGAGGATATTACATACACCTGGCCTGGACTGCGGAGAATATAATCTGATCTGCATGGTCATAACATCAGCTTTCCGCCAACCCACCGCCTCGTCCACCACCACCCTCGAGTAATACACTCTAAGCCATCGCGACCATGGATTACGAAGCACTAAAGGAGCAGTGGTCAGACATCGAGGAGCGCGATGGCATCCGACTGTCATGGAACACCTTCCCTTCTTCCCGCATGGAAGCCAGCCGGCTAGTTGTGCCCATTGGTGCCCTCTACACACCACTCAAGGAAAAGGCGGATACACCTTTGCTACAATACGAGCCAGTCACCTGCAAGCCACCATGTCGAGCAGTCCTCAACCCCTTCTGCCAAGTGGACATGCGAGCGAGAATATGGATCTGCCCGTTCTGCTTACAGCGAAACAACCTGCCACCACACTACAAGGACATCAGCGAGAACCAGATCCCACCTGAGCTTCACCCAGGCAGCACAACAATCGAGTACCGACTCTCCCGGCCAGCGCCCACACCTCCGATCTTTGTATTTGTGGTCGACACATGCCAGGAGGAGGATTCACTTAAGGCGCTCAAGGACAGTATCATCATGTCTCTGGATCTGCTACCACCGCATGCCCTTGTTGGTCTGATTACGTACGGTACCATGGCACAAGTGCACGAGCTGGGGTACACGGAGTGCGCCAAATCCTATGTCTTCCGTGGTAACAAGGACTACAATGGCAAGCAGGTGCAAGAGATGCTTGGTTTGGTGCAAGGCGCGAGGCCAGGCATGCAGCAGATGCAACCTCGACCGGGTCAACCTGCGCCTCCACCAATGGGCGGTGCTGGCCAGCGCTTCTTGCTGCCGGTACAGCAGTGCGAGTACCAGCTCACCAATGCACTAGAGAGCTTACAAAAGGATCCTTGGCCTGTTGCGAACGACAAACGTGCCATTCGCTGCACTGGTGTTGCCCTATCAGTAGCTGTCGGCCTGCTCGAGACGAGCTTCCAGAATTCTGGTGCTCGAGTAATGCTGTTTACTGGTGGAGCTGCGACAGAAGGTCCAGGTATGGTGGTCGGACCCGAGCTCAAGGAGCAGATCCGGTCTCACCACGACATTGATCGTGACAACATCAAGTACTACAAGAAGGCGCTCAAGTTCTACGATACACTGGCCAAGCGAACTGCACATAATGGCCACGTAATTGACATCTTCGCTGGCTGTCTTGACCAGGTCGGTCTACTGGAAATGAAGGGCCTGCCCAATAGTACTGGCGGCCACATGATACTCACCGACTCCTTTACCTCATCCATGTACAAGCAGTCTTTCGCCAAGATCTTCGACACCGACTCGCAAGGCAATTTGGCAATGGGCTTTAATGCTTCCCTCGAAGTGCTATGCAGCAAAGAGCTCAAGGTCACTGGTCTGATCGGCCATGCTATCAGCTTGAACAAGAAGTCCACACACGTTGGCGAGACCGAATGCGGGATTGGCAACACATGCTCGTGGAAGATGTGCGGTATCGACCCTGCAGCATCCTACGGCGTGTACTTCGAAGTCGCCGGCCAAGGCGGTCCCGCAGCAGCAGCAATGCAGCAAGGCCCACAAAAAGGCCTCATCCAGTTCCTCACCTACTACCAACACAGCGCCGGCCAATACCACCTCCGAGTCACCACAGTCGGCCGCAACATCTGCGCGCCATCCGGCGACCCAGCCCTCGCTCAATCCTTCGACCAAGAAGCCGCCGCAGTCCTCATGTCCCGTATCGCAGTCTTCAAAGCCGAAGTGGACGACGGTCCTGACGTCCTCCGATGGGTCGACCGCATGCTTATCCGTCTCTGCTCCCGCTTCGCCGAGTATCGCAAAGACGACCCTACGTCTTTCCGCTTGGAGAAGAACTTCACCCTCTACCCCCAATTCATGTTCCATCTACGCCGATCACAATTCCTTCAAGTCTTCAATTCATCTCCCGACGAGACGGCCTTCGATCGGCATGTGCTGAATCATGAGGATGTGGGCAATAGTCTGGTCATGATCCAACCGACGCTGGATAGTTATACTTTTGATCAAGAAGGTGCGGTGCCGGTGTTGTTGGATTCGACGAGTATCCAGCCTCAGACTGTGCTGTTGCTTGATACGTTCTTCCATATTCTCATCTTCCACGGCGAGACGATGGCTGAGTGGAGGAAAGCTGGATACCAGGATATGGAAGGATATGAGAATTTCAAGGAGTTGCTAGAGGCGCCGAAGGAGGATGCGAGGGTATGTCACGACACCTATCATCTACAGCCTGAAGGAAATATGATCACGCTGACCTTTTGCCACAGGAACTCATCCAAGACCGCTTCCCACTTCCCCGCTTCATCGTCTGCGATGCTGGGGGCTCACAGGCGCGTTTCCTGCTCGCCAAACTCAACCCTTCGACCACACATACCAGCTCGAGCTATGGCGGCGTGACGCAGACTGCGCAGACGATCTTCACGGACGATGTCAGTTTGCAGACTTTCATGGATCACTTGATGAAACTCGCTGTCAGCGGAACGAGCTAGAAAGTTCTGTCTGGGTGAATAGATGACTTGAAGCACTGAAAAGGGATTATGTAGTGCGTCAGGGAGGAGAGGTAGTCATGATGCAAAGCGATGGCGTTCGTGGAAACGGCTGAGCAGGGCATTGAACTTGATGGAACGGAGCCAGGATGTTCTGTAGAGGTTAGAAATTATTCGTCAATGACCAGTGCCATCCATCCTACCTCGACGCTTCGCAACCACACGTGTAGAGACGAGTAATGGGAGCTCGTAGAGCATGATTTTGATGATTCTCTCTCGATACTGTCGAAGATCTACCTCAGCCGTCTAAGCGCTGGTAGCAAAGATATACTCTTCGCGGTCTGCTGTATGCTATGCAATAAAAGGCATGATTTTCCTCCGGCCCCATCATGAAGTCGCAAGAAGAGGTATCTCATGCAACAGCGCCCGACCCACTAGCTCGCCCATGCGCCGCTAGGTGCGACAAGCGGTCCATCGCTGCGTGCCGGGCGCCTCAAACAGTAGGGTAAGGCCACAGGCGGGACAGCCAAAGACTACTATAATCCCATTGCCTCAGCGATATCCTCCGGCCTCACCACTCTTTCATCCCCCAGCCCTCGACTAAGTTCAACCTCTTCGCCCAGTCATAGCTCATCATCGTCAAGCTCACTCGGCTTCAACAACCCACCAATTTTCATCCCCCTCTCACGCTCTCGATCCTTCAACTCCTTAGCCGCCTGCTCGCGATCTTCAGTAAAGAGCTCCGCATTATCGCCCGCGAACTCCTTGAGCTGGATCAAGAAATCCCGGAGAATGAGCTTAAACTTGTTGATGTCCTCCGTATTGTCGAAGAGCGAGCGGATGAAGTTCGTGATCTGTGCTGCCTGTAGATTGGGGAAGGCGTTGGAGAGGAGGCTAGCGACGAAGTTCTGGAGGAAGTCCTTGTTGTTTGTTCCTGCCGTGGCTTGGTCGCCAGAATAAATTGGGCCAGAGATCTTGTTCGCGCCTACCAGCCAGAACATGCGGGCGAGAAGCATAGATTGGTACTTGAAGCCGGCTTTGTGATCCGAGTCTGTGAGCACGAAGAAGACATCCTGTAGAATAGTGGTGTAGAAGGAACGGAAGAAGCCATCGCAAGTGCCTTGGTCTGTCTCGGCCATGTTCGTGATGAGCTCGATGCACATGTTCAGACCTTCGCCCTCGACCATACGGTTGTCGTGTTTCGAGGCCCACATGCAGCTATCGATCACGAGCTTGAAGTGTGTCTCGTCGAGCTTGAGAAGGGCAGGGAAGCACCGCTGATTGATGGCGCGTAGGCACTGAAAGAAGGCGACACGATGTTCGGGGTATTCGGAGAAGTCTTTGTTGATCATGTCGAGTGTGCATTCGAAGATGGCGTCGAGGATGGCGGGGACTTGCTCGGTCATCATGCCCTGGGATGATGAGTTAGTATCTTTTGTGGCCGTAAGAAGAACGCCGCTGCGCACCTGCATGTATTTGCTGGTTAGCGGAGTCCAACGTACCTGTAATTTGTTGACCAAAACAGTGATGACATTCAGCACCTCCGGCTCTCTCGCATCTGGTACATTGCGCTTGTAGTCGAGCAGCACAGCCTCCAGTAATGGCGGCACAAGCGTCGAGTGGATCATCTCGAGATCGTCCGCCTTCTCCACGTACGTAGTGATGAGCTTCAAAATCTCCTTCTTGATCGTCCTCAGACCACGGACCTTCGGCATCTTCGTCGCGATGGAGCCATCCTTCTGCACACCCTCGTCGATCAAAGTCGAGGAGGCACGATACATGGTCAGCATGTCCATATATATACGGCCAATCTGTGGGTAGAAGTAGCTGCCTATACTGCTACACGCTGCAACATTCGTCTTCATGATGTTGCCAATGACCTTGATAGTCTCGGAATTGTGCAGGATCGTCGGATCCTGGTGGCAAGACTGGATGATCTGGTCCCATGCCTGGTTTGGCAAACTCATCAGCTCACCAATCAACCTCTCCTGAGTGTTCTTATGTCCTTGGGCGCTGATCATGTACCCGCAAGCCTCATAGAAGGTGTGAATCTGCTGTGGCGAGAGATCGCAGGTAATCCTACGCATTGTTCGCACGATCTCGTCGATGAAAGCCTCGTTCTCACCAGGTTGCTGGATGACAAAATGCCTCTTACACTTGTTCGCGATCTTGATGAAGGTATCGCAAGCCATATCCTGCACACCCTCGTGGGTCTCATGCATGAACTCAAAGAGCTTGTTCACGACTGTCTTCAAGAACTTCCAGTGCGCCTTCAAAAATCGAGGGTACTGGCCCACGATGTACATGATGTTCGACGCCACCACAGCTTTGTTGTCTTTGCCGCGCTTCATCTCTGTAAGGCCGAGCAAGTCCTTGATGACTGTGACCAGGAAACGCTTCTCGGTCTCCTCATTCATGGCACCGGAGATGGAGCCAATGGCCCAACATAGCGTATTGCAATTCGACCAGCTCCATTCTGTGCCATCAACTTGTCGCGCAAGCTTCTCAGACATTATCTGCTCCGTGTCCATGACATCCAGATGCGTAAGGAAGACCAAGCACTCTCTCGTGGTTTTGTAGAGCTGAATAGTGTCGGACTCCTTGACGAACTCTCGCACGATCTCACCCTCGTCGTTCTCAACAATCAGCACCTCCTCGGGTCTCGGCATCTTCTCGATCATGACCTGTCGCAGGTTTGAGAGAACATCCGAGTACTTGTGCTTCCGCAGTGGGTAGTTCTGCATCATAGATGGGTTTTGTGCACCACCATTTTGCATACCAGTGACGCCAAGATTGACCAGAGGATTCATGTCAGTGATGGGAAGCTGCTGCATCTCGTCGTAAAGCTCGCACACAAGCTTCGTCCAGTACTCCAGGCAGACCTTGAAGATCTCGCGATCGTCAATCTGACTTATCCGAATGAGGTAGAAGTGGCCGTGAAGTAAGAAGTCGCGATTTGGGAGGTTCTCAATAATGCCAAGATGGTTGCTGAAGAAGTTGCACAGGAAGAGCGCCAGATTCTGTACGAACTCCTGATCTCGACCATTGGACGATGCGTAAGTCTGCTTCAGATCGAGTGAAAGAGGGATGATCTTCGAAATGGTTGTGAGAGTCTCGGTGAACATACCAACGAGCTTGTCGTCGAAGTTGTGCTCAGTCTGCAGCCCACCGATCTCTGTCAAGCATTTCAGGGTGATGTTACGAAACTCAGGGGTCTCCAAGAACCGGCTGCGCAACGTCTCGATGAGCGATGTGCCACCAGGCGGTGTCTCGAAGATGTAGCCAAGCGGGATCCAGTTCAGGAAGCGAAGCAGCGTCTCCAGCGTAGCCTTGATAAGACTGGCCTGGTCCGCGGTCCGCAGAATTTCCGAGCACAAGTTGTAGATACCTGTAAACTCGTCGCACATACTCTGTTTGAGCTGCCTCGTCTTCGTGGACGTCATTTGGTCCGCGGAGAAGTCAAACACCTCCTCCGACAGCAATCGCAAGATAGCCATGTTATTCTCGCAAATCGGCAGACTGCTGCGGCAGCTAGAGATGATCTCGTTGATGAATGTTGGCCAGTTGTGCGGCCACTCCTGCTTCAAGATACTGACGAGCACCAGGTTGAGCTTGTTCAGGAGCGCCCTCTCTTTGCGCAAACTCTCCTCCGTGCTGCTCTGCTGGATGATGAAGTTGACCACGAAGTTGCGGATGCCTTGGCACTGATCGCGGGGCAGCACCTTCCACCGTGTCATGATCACATTATCCAGTACTTGTAGGCCGAGGTACTTTGTTTGTGGGTATTGCGCGTCCGAGAGAATCTTGTCGACCATGAGCCACGCATCTGGGTTTTCTTTGAACTGGTTGAGTGACGCCTGCGCCTGTTTCTGCTGCTCACCACGACCCTCGTAGAATCCACGGACCGTGGTGTCCAGCTCTTCTATGGTCATGGACATCTTGGCGGTGTTCTCGCGGTGTGAGTGGCTGCTTGGAGTGGTTGAGCAGGGTGTCTAGATCGTGGTTCGCGTGAGGCGCGCAGCCGCTGTCGTCCTTGACTATGGGTGTAGCATGCACTGAGAAGGACAGTGAGTCGCGTCGTGGGTTGTTACGAGGGTATGTTGCAAACGCTGTACGCTTGTGGGAAGGTGTAGTGTTTGCGTCTATGTTCAAAGCTGGCGGGGAAGAGGTTTAATCGTTAGGCCGTGGCGGGAGCACGTGGCTGTGGAGCCCTCACGTAACACAAAGCCGTGTCTCACAGGCAGCGAGATCAGGCAGTCGTCAGAGGTTGTCACTGCAGAGGTTGTCACTGCAGAACTCTCAACGGGAATGGCCAGAGAAGGCGCATATGATTGTGTTCAGACCAGTGGCAGCTGCAGGTCACGTCTCGAAACGAGCAACGAGGCCGCGAGCTCAAAGAGCCGCGTGACTAATCAACCCCGATAGCCCCGCCATCTCGCCTGCCGGAATAGGTCCGTCGCGAAACATTCTAGAAGCCCTTTGAGAGACCAACGATATAGTGAGCACGCGAGTCGCTGTATATCCAAGACCTACAGCGAATTACATCGACAATACACCAAGATGTCGCAACAGCCACGTACAGCGACTCGTGCAGCCAACACAGCCCTAACATCAGGACCCTCGACAATCTTACAAACCAACTCACAACAACCCTCAGCAACCCTCCGCCTCCGAGGTGACGATCGAGAAAGCGCCACACCCGAACCTCCGCCTCGCGTAAGATGGGCAGAGGATGTAGTCGACAACGAAGGCATGGGCAAGAAAAGCAGCAAAGTCTGCTGTATCTATCACAAACCCAAGGAACCCGGCGATAGCGAGTCCGAGGACGATTCCAGCTCGAGTAGTGATAATGATAGCGAGCTGGACTTGAGTCGGGCGCGGAAAGCTGGAGCGGGCAAGGGTAGGGGTAAGGATGGCAAGGGACATGAGTGTGGGCATGGTGCGGATAGTGGGAAAGGCAAGGGTGTTGAGAGGAAGCCGGGCCCGAATGCGTATGAGAGGCAGCCGAAGCATCAGCATAAGAAGGCTGGATGAGTGTTGGCATTCGTCTGAGCTTGGGAGTATTACGACTATGCTTCAGCTCAACGGTTTCGAGCCTACGTCGGCATTCTGAGGCACAGAAGCCTTCAGCCATCTCTCGCGTTTCCTGATACCAAGATGTCATCAATCATCGCCTGCTAGGAACAGCAAACAACCAGGCTGGGTTGCTGTCTATGCTAGAGGACCAGAGTGATCCAATCGTTGGTTGGTCGAGCAGGGAGATGATCCGCGTTGAATCGGTGGAATCAGACATCAGGAGGTCCTTGTCGTGGCGTGTCTCATGCCTCGCCGGAAGCGATTAGGTCGTGTGTTATGGGAGTCATGAAGATGGCTACTTGCCCGGGCATCCTTCTGTCGAACGCAGCCTGATGATAGGGTGGCGGAGTATGAGGTGGCAGCAATCAACTCATTCACCAGCTTCTAGAGCCGCCTCGGCCTCTTTCTGCATGGCTTCAGCCTGCTGGATAGGAATCCGGACCAGGGTCTGGGGTAGAGGTATCTCTTCTTCGGCAGCAGGAGCCTCTGCATCATCATTCTCCTTGGGCCGTGGTATCTTGGCTGCTTCGATATCAGTCCAGTGTCTCTACATGAACCATGTCTGTCTTGCAAGCACTTACTGCTAGCCATATGTATAGCTCGTAACACATTGTTCCAATTTCCAAGCACCGCCGCTACAGCTTCCGTCCCATTACTGAGCGTCGCGAGCTTCTCCTCTAGCTGCTGCATTTGTCCCGCTAGTCCACCACTCAAGTCGCGTAATTGTTTCAGGTTCTCCAATTCCACTCGCTTTTCGTTGATTCGTGCCTGTAAGGCCGAGGACTGTGTACTTGCGGAGGCATTATTGGCGAAGCCTGAGGATGGCCGAATGTGCGACGGCAGCGTTGTCTGGCGATGTGAGTACGCCATTGTGGCCCAGGATTTGATGCGACAATTCCGAGTCTCGGGAAAGATACTGTATACTACTGTATGTACTTCAGATGATTCAGATGACCCCACCTCGAAACGCGACGCGATCGCGCCTTGCCTGCCAAGAAGTGGTGGGTTGCCCTGTGCAACAGAACGCAACAAAGTGCTTCGTCGGAAGGCTAGCCGAAACGATCCACCTTCACGGATTATCCGACGGCAGCCGCAATACAGCAGCAACAGCAACAGCAACATCAAACGAACATTGTACCTCGTATGCCTACGTGGACATATCTAGCAGGAGCACATGGCCCGGCTGAACGAGCCACCAGCTATCGCGCCTGCCTTGGCCAGTACAGCAGCGCAAATCGGCGGAGAAAGTGTTGATGCTTGTGAGTATTATGATCTTAACGTGTATATTGGAAGACAACATGCGCACAAAGAGCAGAGGCGTTGTACAGAACCAGCCGGCTAATTTTGATGAAGTGAGACGTAGATTTATTCGGCAGAACCGGGAGCTTGCGAAGAATAACTCGAACCAGTCGCTACGGATCCGGAGCTTGGAGCTGGAAGTTAGCAGGTTGTTGGGAGAGAATCTGGACTTGAGAGAGCAAGTGTTGCAGTTGCAGAATGAGGCGGACGTGTCGAGAAGTGGCCAGGTGTCGGGAGCTGCGATGCGGAGCTTGCGGGGAGAATTGCAGACGAAGCTGGCGGAGTTAAGTGGACTTGTGGATGGCATGGATGCTTTGGCGCATGGTGGTAGTGAGACACAGGTTGCGCAACGAGAGAGGAAGCCAATCGAGGGCAATTGGAGAGAGCGACAACCTTTGACAGAAGTCATGCGCGAAAGTCAGATGCCGACCATCGTCGAGGACAAGCTCTTTCCACGACGAACACTCGGCGCGGACGAGATCCAGGCGATAAGGTTGTCTGGGCACAGCAGCAATGAATCTCCCGAGCTGGGACCACCACCCGTCGCCCACTTTGATTACGAGGACCCAGTCAAGCAGGCCTCGCCATCTGCTCGACTCTCCTCGCCCAAAGTAGCAGAGGATGACGAATTGCCTGCCGCTCTATCAATCAACTTGGAAACGAGGCGGAAGCGAAAGGACAGTCAGCCGAAGCTCGAGATCAGAAGACATTCGATTCTAGCGCAATCGCCGAAGAAGACCGATGCTGAGCCATCGACTATGCTACGCACTGGCGCCAAGCGAAAGCTAGCAGATCGAGACCTTGACAAGCCGATTCGACCTCCCACGAAGGATGACTTCGCCTTCAGTCGGAAGACTGTCGTGCCTGCTTTAAAGTCTGCAGCTCAGCAGGATGGCGCGTCGGCGGACAGCGAGCCGGCCCAAAGTATCGAGGTGCAAGCGCGCGATGTTACATCGACACCATCAAAGGCAGTTCGGAAAGTGTTGGGCGACAAGAGTGTCAATATGTCGCCACACAAAGTAGGAGTATCTACCGAGAAGGCTGGCAAGCCGGAGGCAGACAAGGCAGGACAGCAAGCAGCGCCACGGTCGAATACTACAGTCCCAAGGAAGCGAAGAACATCTGCGATCCCACAACCATCATCTCCACCACCAGAGGAGATTATCGACACCCTCGAAGTCGCACATCCAGCCGAACCTCTGCCTGTGGCTGAGCTGCCACCCAAAACGCCAGCATTATCCGACTTCTTCTCGCCCACGCCATCTGAACCATCAGTAGCACGACCATTTGACGAAGGCAGAGCCGGTACCCCTCCACCTGGCGATCTCAGCGCACTTAGCATGACCACAGACGGCGGTACGCGGCCTTCTCGTCGTGCAAGAGCTGCCGTCAACTATACCGAACCGAGTTTGATCTCCAAGATGCGGCGGCCAACCAAGCAGATGGTCGATGCCTTGACCGGCTTGCAGGATTCCCGAAAAGCTATCAGCTCTTCGACCGAGAGGCAATCTGGCGCGACACGGGACATAATCATCAAGTCCGAGCCAATCGACGATGATGACGAGCACGCCGCCTGGAGGAACTTGCCTTCTGTGCCAGGACCTATTGCTACAGCCAGCCCACTGAGTACTAAGAGTGCAGCAGAATCCAGCAGCGACCCTCTCACCGCAGCCGCAGATCTCGAGCACGACCTCGAGCCGACAAAGATCCATGGGCCTTCGGCAGCCTCTGCCACCATCTCAGCACTGATGGCGGGGAGTCGACGTCGTCGGGAAAGCAGTCAGCAGCAAGAACTCGGGACCGACCTCGACATCGCCGTCAGAAAGCTGGAAGAGCTAGACGTCTACGACTTCAAGGACTCGTCTTCGCCGGCAGAAGGCGGAAACATAGTTCCTTCGAGCGATGCTACAGGGCGAGCTACGAGCCATAGGAGGCACTCTTCTGTTCCCAAGAATCTTGCCGCCGGTAGTGGTGCGATTGAGTTCAAGGGTCCTCCTGCTGTCAGGACTTTGGCGGCTGCGCCGACGGTGGTAGGGGCGGGAAGGTCAGAACGGGCTGCTAGTCGGAGGAGGAGTATGCAGATGTAGTTCGCGCTCTTCCGGCATAGTTCTGGGATAGCTGTATTGGACAATCGTTAGCGTGTGACGAAAACGCACCACACTTTTCACTCCCGTTCGAGTCCGCTTGGCTGCTTCCCGAATTCTGCGCAGCAAAGTCACAGACTCGTGCCACAATGATAGCATTACCAATTCATCACCATGGAATGGACCAAATCTATAAGGGAAACGAACGTCGTATTTTTAACCGACCAGCGGCTCACTCTCTACTCTAACTCGTAATCTCTATCGGCTGCCCATGCCCAGCACCAGCCCCAACTTTCCTCCCGCCTTCACTGCGCTTCACACGACACCACAGTCCCACCTCCTTATCCAGGATGAATTGCCAGATCACACCCACCCAACTATGATGACAGGGTAAATCATCGTAGAACTCCTTCGCGATCTCATTCAGCTTCCATAGCCTGGTCCAGGGAATAGCCGGGAAATCATGGTGTTCGTTATGTAGTCCCACGTTGTATGTGAGAAGATTGAGAATACCGTAGTACGAATACGTCTCCTCGGGCGCTGGAGCGAGTTTGGCAGAATGCGATGTCTTGACCTCCCTGCTTCGGCTGCCCTGGGAGAAAACGTAGTGTTCAGCTATGAAGTGTCCGGCACAAGGGTGTAAGGAGCCGGCCAAGAAAGAACTCAGGATCAAGTATCCAAGAGCCTTGCCACCGCAGGTTTTGACGAGCGCATAGTCGAAGGCGACTTGGGCTAGGATGTTCAAGCCATGAATCCAGGTCAGGGGAAGTTTGTAGACGAACATTGGTCGGAGGGCGTAGAATAGAATCTGGAAAGTCGCGAAGAAGGCTTTGCCGGCTACGGAGTCGAGGAAGTATGCTTCCAGCGCTGTAGGGAGATCGGTGTCCAGGCCGTCTACACCGAGAGATTTATGGTGTGTCAAATGGTATGGTCTGAATGACGCCGAGTATGGTATCCCAATCGGTAGGTTCGCTACTATCGCTAGCAATCTGTTGGCCAATGGGGATTTGAAGGCTAGGTTGTGCGTGATTTCGTGTATGGCTAGGAAGAGGTTCTGATTCGCGGTTGCGCCGATGATGTAGGCTGTAAGGAAGACGGGCCAGGAGATGAATGGTTGGTTGCGGAGGCTGTAGGCGGAGAGGACTTGGAGGCTGACCACTGCGAGGACGAGGGGGATGGTGAGTGGTTCGGGACCGCAGAGTTTGAGGACCTGTGAGGTAGGTTTGATTAGTGACTGCTATGGTTGTGTGAGAAGGTGGCATTTTACCTCTGGGTGCCCTTTTATGATCGCCTGTCTTCTCGTCTTGTGTGGCTCTTCTGTGTATGTCCAGAAGAACTTGTCGTAATCATCTCCGCCATTGAGGTCTTCGACCCGCTTGTTTTGGTCTACTGGAGGTGTCTTGTTTGCTGCTCGTAGCTTTGGCGAGGCTGTCATGGTGGATGTAGCGACTGACGACGACATTGTAGCAGGTGTTGTACGTCGACTTCGAATACAATGCGTATTGTAGAGGAGAGATGACACCTTGGCTGGGTATCAACTTCTACCAATTCTGGTCTGGACTGGACCCTGATTCTAAACCCTGCGTCTCCACGATTTGACGCATGTCCTGGCTTGGCAGGGCCGATGCGACCTTCAACAAATGCTTCAAACCTAGTCACCTTCCGAACTGGTCGACATGGTGAGGGCCTGTTGTGGATGCACACGCCTTGAGATCATGTTGTATGCTATACCGCTTGATGTATTCCTCATGCTGTTCAAGCACTACTTCGGTGGTTCGATTGGGATCGACATGACCTCCCACCCTATGCTCTTTGAACATTCTCATATTGTCATGTATCTCTGCCTATCCATCCAATAGCAATGTCCATCTCGAACTACCTACACAGCTGATAGTCCATATCGAAGCCACAACCTATTGTTCCCCTTCCTATCAACGATCTCATCAACCATCGATCTCAGCCCCAAACTCCGATCTATTCCCATTCCACAGCTCCTCGTAAACCACGTAGCAGTCCCCGAACTCTTGCTGGTCCTGTTCGACCAACGCCTGTCTCTCTTCATTTGAAGGCTCCGCTTTGCCCAGACGCCCTTCAGCATTCTGACCATGTTGAAGTCGAAAGCCAATCGTGAGGTCCTGATCTCCAACGACTTCCAGAAAGACTTCTATCGCCACCTTCCAACATCGTGGCCTCTAACCGTCGGTAGTATTGTAGCGCCATTTACACTTGCGGCGCTTCAGCTCGTTAGCGTTAAGGCGTACGTTGACGGAGGCCCATGGCTTGACGCCATTGGCGAAGTCTCCATTAGCTTCTCGGCCACGCGTACCGTCCACGAGTCTGCGATCCAGTAGTACGAATTTGGCGCTGACCACCGTTTCTTGTAATCCACGTCATTGATGAGCATCTCCCAGACGACTGGCGACTCACGAAGTTGGCCAAGGTTGGCTCCCTTGGGGATCAATGTGAAGAGCCTGTCGTATACTTGGTCCATGCCGCCGGGAGTGCTGAAGCCGCTGTCCTCGTCATACTGCAATTCGCCACTCTTATCGTACCAGCACGTATCCTGATGCTTCTCATAATAGTCGAATACCTCATTCCGAATAGCGGCATAGCCGTGCGATGTAGGAAGTGTGCACATCTCTATGTTCGGATGCCGATACAGAGCACCGAGAGCCACGGAATGACATCTGTCAAGAAGTCAGTGTTGTAGGAGCCAAAGTTCTAGCGAGTTCAGTAGGCACTCACTGCTGATGGTCCTGGTTCGGGCTCACGACCTCCATCCCAGGCTCGTATCGCTGCCGAAGTGCATCCATGAAGTACGCATTCGTGGCAAGTCCACCGGTGACCTCCATGAGATTGACCTTCTGCGTCTCGCGCGTGATTTTGTCGATCACGAGCATTATCTGGCCGATGACAAAGTCGAAGGCTCGGGTGAAGTGCCTCTTCTCAAGCTTGATGACCCAGTCATCACAGCCTGGAGCTCCGTCAATGGCAATGCTCTGCTTCGTGCGGGTTGGGAATTCCTTCTTGCATCGTTCGATGCTGTCAAAAACGGTGCGGCGGACTACTCTAGGCTCTTGACCTAGTACCATAGCCATATCTTCAAATGCCATGCCTTTCAGGTTCAGGAGATCATCCAGAACCTCCTCAAAGACTAGCTCGTCTACCTCAGCAGAACCACAACCAACGCCAGCCTCTTCCCTCTCAGCGTCTACCTGGCTGTGCGCCGTAAGTCCCTTGCATTCGTAGAGCACAAGGTCAACGGTACCAGATCCTGCATCAACGATCGAGATTGTGGTCCCGTCGCCGAGCTGGGCACGAATCTCACACAGCTTCTTGACCATGCTGTCGACGAGATGTGCCAGAACATTGTGAGGCTCAGAAGCGAGGAAAACAAATTCGAGCCCAGCTTGCTTCGCTGCTTGCATCATAGTCCGACGTGCTTCGAGATCAAAAACTTGCGGCCTGCTGACGTAGACCTTGCGTGGCAAGCCTGCGATCAGATCCGCGCCGTATGCCGCAGTAAAGTATGACTTCGCGTTCTGAACCATCTCTCTGTCGAAAGTCGCCATCAAAGCACGGAAGGCTGCTTCGTAGAAATCGCTCAGCGTCTTCCTCGGCTCGAACATCTTGAGTTGCTCTTCGAGTCGTTCTCGCCATCCTTTTGTCCCTCCACTCTTGTAGAGACCTAGCTTGAAAAAGCTAGTGATACGGGACTTGATCTGTGGGTTTTCATTCTCCATCGCTAGAAGCTCGTTGCCAAACACGAACCTGCCATCTTCGAGCCATGTTCCAGTTCCCCGGATCTCATGACCCATGCCTTCAATACGAAGCATTTGTGGACTGCCAATGTGTGTGCCATCTTCTTGACACAGCACATAAGCCCACGTACACTTCCAGGTGCCGAGATCAAGGCAGCACTTGATATGATGCGGTGGCACTGCCGCCATTGCAGTGTGGCAGCCAAGTCGCTGCAGAGCAATGAGCGGTGCTTCACGAGATATCTCTGTCAAGATGTGTGCACTCAGCTTCGCGATATGCTTCGGTAAGAATCTTCAGATTGTGAGTGGCTAAGCTGCTGTGTTGACAGTGAGCGCGACCAGCCGTGGGTGCCGGACTAGTGCCAGCATCAGTGATGTTGAAGCGCTTGGCCTTTTGTTTGCATTGGAGCACTTCGAAAGTTTCTGCAACTTCGCCTAGCAAGACTGTTCTTTCAGCTGTCTTCAGCTGACGACAAAGACGTACAGCCATCATGGCTCCGCAGAAAGTGCCAACGTTCGCCAATTCGGCAGCCTTAGCAGAGGTCCTGGAATATGTTGACGCGAATTGCAGATCGCGAGGAAACAAGGAACACCAAGTAGAGCGTTTGCAGGAGTATATCAAGGACCACGAAGTACCTGTCGTGCTCTCCAGCCAGGGTACCAATATTGAAGGGTTGCCCAGGGAGGTGGCAGATGCAGTAACACTAAGAGACACGCTTCGATGGGTCGTACGAGAGCACAAAAGCGACGGCGCTGGCGCCAAAAGGGGTGCAGGCCCTAAAGACATCAATGATCTGTTCATGCGCGGCGTGACGCAAACGCTCAAGCGAGACTATCTGCAGTCCATTGGGTGGACAGCACAGGACTCGTCATCCGACGCTCCTCGACAGGCTACGGAGCCAATGGCGGAGGATGCGCGGAGCCCAAAAGTACTCATAAGACGATCACAAGTTCCAGATCCCGGAGTGCTTCACAGCAGTAAGGGCCTCGACGTTCCACCGAGGCCTGCAGCTCCTCCATTGGCCCCTTCGAAAGTTCCATTATCTCACGGATCGGGTCACGCGAATACGAGGCGATCAGGAGCCGCGGAGCAGCACATGATGCCACAAGACCGACCATCGCCAGAGTTCTCGCCCATAGCGCCAGTACTGCCTCTCTTCAGAGCAACGCAGGTGACAGACCAGCATGGAAGGCCACAGGTGCCAAGGGCAGCATCGTATGTGGAGACATCGTCGGCATCTGTTTTGAACAATCAGTCGGCACTCCACAGACCAGTGGAATTTGTTCATGGCACAAAGCGGGGACACTCCTCAGCGACAACGAGTGAGGGACCTTTGCCACTGCCTGATCACAGGCTGGCCGTTGCACGTGCTACCAAAACACCCAAGATAGGGATGCTCCTCTCACTAGCGTACAGTCTTGCGGATCAGCGCAACGCGATCGAAAGACAACTCGACCCATCGGGCAGCCTTCCTTTACCGGAACTGGCTCCGACTGTGTTGCCGCTTCCGAGACACGAGCGTGTGCTTGACAATGGAGGCCCATGGGTTCATGAGAAGACGGAAGCCATCAAGTCAGATATCGGGGCTGCTGTGAACGCTTGTACCACGCAACATGGCATCGATCCGAATGCAATCACGAATTTCTGCGCTACGCCTACACCAGATCTTCATCAACTGTATTGTGTAACGTTCGGCACCATGCATTGGGAGGAAGCTGTTGTCGCCGCACAATGGCAGCAGCCGGGAGTAAGTCCATCATCCGCCACCGTGTCGAAGGCAGTGGTAGGCGCTGCGATTCACGTCAAGGTCCTGTCGGCAGAATCTCCAGATTGGAATTGTGCCAGGCGCCTCAAGGAAACATTAGGGGAGCATGGCTATCGCCACTTCGAGATTACCACAAAGGCGTTTGGTTACGAGCCTGATGTCTTCCTTGGCTTTATGTCCCGTGCTGAAGTCCGAGACCCCAAATTTGTGCAGACTGTGGTTGCTGAGCATGCAAGGCCCTTGCATGCACGCTTGTGATCGCACTCCGGCCACATCTCCACCAGCTAACGAAGCATGGGCTGGTGCGCTTTCCGCGCCCAATGGAAGAGCCTTGGATCGAATCACTCACCCAAGCTTTTAAGCGCGCCATTATCATGAAGCAATGGACTACTCAGATGCGGCCGTGTATTGGTCCGTGTGGTATGCCGCAGGGTCACTATTTGACGAGAAGCTTCAGCAGACCAGAGCGAAGCCTTCGCACGAATCCGTGGTCGGCTTGACCATGTTGCCGGGCATCGCCAAGCAGATCAGCCCAGAGCGTACGGAGATGGCAGCGAAGGCGGAAGTTGCACTTTTGCCCACAAAAGGAAGCCGAGATCTTGCCATCGAGCTCGCATGACGGTATCCCGGGTTGGTCAGAGTATCAGCGCCGTGAGTTTGACTTGTGCTCGGCACGAGTTTGCGGGTTCGAGCGGTGACAGGCGTTCACCATGTCTTCCGGCCAGGCAGTACCACAGCAATGCTCAGCAGTATGAGATGAGCAGTGGTTAGTCATCAGCAGAATTGTAGCATAGTAATAAGTTTTCAGAAGTTCTACAGACACTACGCGCCGATGTGAGGTTCAAAAGTCTTGGCAAAGCCTGGTCCGTGATTGCCGGACGACATTCGCCGACCTTCCTCTTCGCCGCATTGCAGGCCGACAACGGCATATCATTGTAGAAATGGCTATCACAAGGTAGGTACGGTGCTCGAACTTTCGATATCTCTTTCCCTACTTATACAAAATCATCATGTCTCGGCAGTCACTCGTGACGGTCGAGGAGATCAAGAAGCACAACTCACCAGACGACTGCTGGATCGTGGTAGACGGTAAGGTATGGGACATTACTGACTTTGCGCCTGAGCATCCTGGAGGTGGACAAAGTGAGTTGCGGTGCAGCGCATATGAGAGACATCCGCTGAAGTCATGTAGTCATCTGGAAGCATGCCGGGCGAGATGCAACAACGTCCTACTCAGAGATCCATGCACCATCTCTCCTACCATCTACCCTCGGCCCTTCTAAATTGAAAGGCACAGTAGACACGCAAACGATAACAGACGAATGGCAGAAGCCACCACCAAAGGCGACGTCAGAGCTCCAACTCCACGAGAAGCCACCACTTCACTCATTGATCAATGCACAAGACTTCGAGGACGTAGCCGAGCGTACCATAACGAAGAAGACATGGGCTTTCTACTCGTCAGCGTCGACAGACTGCATAACGCGGGACAAGAACAGAGAGTACTTCAGTAAGCTATGGTTCAGACCACGATTGCTGCGAAGCGTTGGCAAGGTTTCTACCAAGACCACCATGTTGGGCCATGATATTGGTGTCCCGTTCTTCGTCTCGCCTGCCGCCATGGCGAAGATGATACATCCTGAAGGCGAGAAGGACATTGCCCGAGGTTGCGTCGATGTACGCGTCCCGCAGTGCGTGTCCAACAACGCTAGTTTCCCAATCCATGAAATAGTCCCTGCCGTGCCGAAGGAGAAACAACACCCTTTCTTCTTCCAATTATACGTCAATCGTGAACGAGAGAAGTCAGAGGCTCTTCTTCGGCATGTGGCGGCGCAAGATGTGGACACTATCTTCGTGACTGTAGATGGTCCAGTGCAAGGCAAGCGAGAAGAGGACGAGCGTGTGAAGGTGGAGGACGGGTTGACTACTCCAATGTCTGGGCAGAGCACGAAGAACGATAGGCGAGGGGGCGGTATTGGTCGAATTATGGGCAACTACATCGATCCAAACTTCACTTGGGATGACTTTGCCTGGGCACGAAAGCACTGGAGGGGCAAGATCGTAGTCAAGGGAATCCAGTGCTGGCAGGATGCGAAGAAGTGTGCTGATCTCGGTATGGAGGGTGTACTCCTGAGTAACCATGGCGGCCGCAATCTCGATACGTATGTTTGTGCACTTTCCGCCTGCATTTCACGCAGTCTGACAATTTCACAGCTCACCACCAGCCATCATCATACTCCTCGAATGCCAACGCAATTGCCCAGAAATCTTCAGCAAGCTCGAGATCTTCGTAGATGGTGGCATCCGTCGTGGTGGCGATATCTTGAAGTGCCTATGTTTGGGCGCTACCGCCGTGGGCATGGGCCGACCTTTCCTCTACGCGGTGAACTATGGCGAAGAGGGTGTACAGCACTTCATCGACATCGTGAAACAGGAACTTGAGATTGCTATGGCGCTTGTTGGTATTACTGATCTTAGCCAGTGCGATGCGAAGTATGTCAATACAGCTGAGTTGGATCCGATCATTGCTGTGGGAGAAGAGCATCCTTATGCTAGTGGGAAGAGACTTCGTGGACAGGGAAGAGAGAGGGCACGTTTGTAAAAATTTGATGACGCACACAGATATATTAGCGCCGCAGCATGTCCATGCTTGCTCGAAACCCTCACGATCCTATGCACTGCCGATCGGTCAACATTCCTCCTCTCGTCTCCAGCCCACTCTTTCCACAGCTTATGCACGCCGACGATTGCGAATCACGCCACAGCCAATAATACAAATGTCCACAAAAAGGGACCTTCAATAGACAATCCATAGCTCGGCCAGTCTTTGGTTGGCGGATTACGCACAGTGTTGCCCAAGAATGTGTTGCGCCAGATCTCTTCACAATAAGCTTGGTCTCTCGTTCTGGTCATCTATCTATCGCGTCAGTGCTGGGCGTCCAATTCTTACACCACAGATACCGGCTATGACTTACATTGCCTGCGCACATCTGAAGGACCGTCAGCTGGTTGCTCTTAGCTGAGAGTAATACAGAATCGTAAGAAAGAGTGTATGCCCACACGCCGGCCAGAACACCAGCCAAACACGAGAGGACCACTTCGGATACCAGCGCGTTCCGCCATAACCATAGCCAAGCCTTCCCTGTGTTATTGGTCGCGTCTGCGTTAGGAGGTGGATCTGGACCTTGACTGGCATTACCACGATCGCTACCTGTTGGGCTGTGCTCCTCGTCGGAAGGTTCGGTTGGCATGCTGAATACGACTGAAAACTGCTCTATGTCTGCTGGCAGCACATTTCCAGATCTTATAGAATGGCTGAGGCTCATGTTTGTTCGCCCGTGTCTGGCAAACACTGTGCCCTTTCATGGCAGCATAATGATCTGCAATAGTCTCATTGATCATCAAGATCTTCCAGGCTGAAATTCGGGGCGTCAAAGAAGCGCTCTCGAAGTTCGTTGCAATCTAGCCATCCAGGCAACCCCAATTTATCGGCGATGATGGGTGTGATCTACTGGATACCTACGATGGTTACCATACTGTACACGAGACTTGCAGACCGGGCTAGAAGTGTTTCTGCTTGGTATGATGGCTTGGTGCATGAGCGGGCAAGGATCTGTGCAAACGTGCACGCATGGATGGCGGTACGTCAATGTATTGCAGTCGCCTCTGGGAAGTATACGAAGGTGAGACTGAACAGCAAGGAAAGAGTGTTACGATGGCCCGTGCGTGCCGTCCAATGTCAGGTCCAAATGTTTTTTAGATGCATGAATGATGAACACCATCTTCCAGCCATTGTCACATTTGTGCTACTGTTCTACGAAGGAGTGCTCTCTTGTTGGGCGCACAAAAATCTCTGTGTATCACGCCGACGTTCTACAGAAGTATGGCGTCGACATCAGAAGCAGCAGCGAACCCGCTACTAGCAGGTCTCAATGCAATCTCGAATGGCAACTCTCCGGCCAGCGCACGATATGCAGATGTCAGCCAGCAGTGTTGCAGACACCTAAATCTGTTATGAGCTAACAAGTAGCCAGGTAGATCGGCATCAACCTGTCTGATCCAATCTTCCGCGGCACATATCATGGCAAGAAAGCACACGATGATGATCTACAGCAAGTGGTCCAACGAGCACTGGAGGCAGGAGTGCGAAAGATGATGGTTACAGGCTCGGATCTGATGGAGAGCAAGAATGCTATCAAGTTGGCGGAGGAGCTTCCTGGGCTCTGCTATGCGACCGTAGGAGTGCACCCATGCTCGGCCATGTCGTTCTCCAAGCATGAAGCCGGGCCAGATGCACTGCTATCAGATTTGAGTAAGCTTGCACGGGATTCAAGAGACTCGGGAAAGGCCATGGCATTTGGGGAGATAGGCCTGGACTATGACCGTCTACACTACTGCGACAAGGAGACCCAACTCATCTACTTCGCTAAGCAACTCGACCTCGCTATAGACCTTCAGATGCCACTCTTCTTACACTCCCGAGCAGCAGCTACAGACTTTGAACGTCTTCTCAGGGAGAGATTGGACAAGCTACCAAAGCGCGGCTGTGTACACTCCTTCACTGGCACACTAGAAGAAATGCAAGCTTTGGTAGCTATGGGCTTCGACATTGGTGTTAATGGCTGCAGTATGAAGACCGAGGACAATTTGGCCGTAGTCAAGGAAGTGCCGCTCGAGCGGTTACAAATCGAGACAGATGGGCCGTGGTGCGATATGCGACCTAGTCACGCGAGTGCGAAGTTTCTGCAGGACGGGCCTGAGATGCCGAAGGCGGTCAAGAAGGAGAAGTGGAGTAAGGATGAAATGGTGAAAGGGAGGAACGAGCCTTGTGCTATCACGCTCGTGGCACATGCGGTGGCGGGTATTAAAGGTGTGAGTGTGGAGAAGGTTCGTGAGCAGTAAGTTATTGCATTAGCTGTCTGATGTGTCGTTCCCAATGCTAATACCATTATAGAGCTTGGCGCAACTCAATACGGATGTTCGGCCTGGGTGAAGCGCCTCCTTAGCCAAGCATGCCACCCTGCCTGTGTCATTATTGGTGTCCACCGCATTCTCAATACTCCTGGAGTAGTTTGCCGTCAACGAGTATCGAGACCTCGAGGTCAGGGGCTGTGTCGATGATCGCCATGGTACGACAAGCTAGTCTGGTATGATCAATGCGATGCAAGACATGACAGTGTGCCGAACTGAGAATCTGAGCAAAGTGCAAAGCTAGCTAGAAGGTGAAGTGTAGATGGAAGAAGTGGTCATGATCATGAAGCTATATACAGACAAATCAGTAACGTCAAGCATTGACCTTTGCCTCGTGATCTCTGTTCACAAGTACACGCTGAGTGAAGCTTCCTCCTCGTGCTTGCAGTGTTCAGACATGCCAGAACCTTCTCGGAACGGTCTCACTCGCATGTCGCAGCCACTCATTTCAAGCGGCCTCCTCGTCAATTGCCATCCAACTTGATCTGATTCGCGCCATCGAGCGCCAGCACCGCGAAATGTCCTCCAACAACAGGTCTGTTACGGAAGTCGACCCATGTGCCAGCAGGAGAAGTGCTGTTACCCTGCACCAAGAACTTATCACTGAATGGCACCGGGTTCAAGCCATTGGACATGAAAGTATGCACATCGTCAATGAACATGTCTCGCACAGTCTTGTTGTCCACGCCGGGAGCCATAGCGGTCGCCGCACTGAAAAGCATCCAGTCGGTCTTGCTCCACTGAGTCGACTTGGTCAATGGCACACCAGCTTCCATGTGTACGGAATGGTAGTAGTTAGTCTGCATCTCGTATGCTTCCTTCGGAAAGGTCTGAAGATTGAGCAGAACGTCCTGGAAGAGATTATACTGCAAGCCCCAGCTATCCTCTTCGCCAAAGACACAAGTGAAGTGCGTTTGCACCGAATCTGTGCCAAGTTTATCCTCATACAATGTCTTTGCTCGTTGTCGGCCAAGATCTGAGTAATTCGACTGGCCGGACATCAAGCCGTATGCATTAAGGGCAACGGCTGACTTCACAGCAAGACCTGTTTGGTTCGCGGTTACGCCGAGGAAGTCATCGGAAGACAGCTGTGACTCGGTATAGAGGCCGTGGTTGACGAGATCGTCAGCGTACGTCCTGAACAAGGACGCATACTGTGCTGGCCACTGCTTGTCACCCGTAGCCGTCGAATACATGTACGCCAGCGTCAGTAAATCACTGTTGGACTCGATCGGCATGTACTCAGCATGGCCGTCCTCGTGGCCAGTAGCATTCGGGTAGGCGCTACCCAAATCGTGCATGACAAACGGGTATCGCCAGATATTCTTGGCGAGGTAGCGCAGATTCGGCTCCAGCATCATGCGAATGTATTCCGGCGCCATCACATAGAGAATTGGCGACAGTGGATACATGACGTCGATGGTATTGACATTACCATCGCTCGAGATCTCCTTAACGAAGACCAGAACATCGTTGGTATCGAGAGTCGAATTGTCAATTGTGATGTCCATGGTACCAAACGCTTGTCGAGCTGAAAGAGTTACGATATCGCTGTAATTGGCTCCTCCGGCGTCTTCAGCTTTGCTGGATATCTGGGTGTCCAGTTGGCGGGACTCAGCGTCCGCCGCGGCGAAGTCATCAAGCGCTGCAACACAGCCACACTCTGGAGTGCTGCATGTGGCCTCGAAGTAAGTAGCCTGTGCCTTGCCGTCGTAGTATATGGCTGGCGAGCGGAGGTAGCCGACTGCGAACGTGACGTTGGTAGGTCCGGTGACCTTCCCCAAATCCTGACTGTAAGCAACAACACCATGTGCGACCCACTTGGATATCGAACCGGCAAGAGTGCCATTCGCAACGTAGTTAGCTCGCACATCTTCAACTGCTCCGACTGCACGAGAAAGTGGCATATTTGCAGCGTTTCTTCCACAGTACACAGCGGTGCCCCATTGTGCAGTGTCTTGTACTTCCGTGTACTGATCGACGCCTCCAGGGCGCACGCTGAAGGCAGCTGTTGATCCATCGATCAGACTCCAACGCCAGGAGAGCTGGAGAGTTCCTTCGTTGATCTGGCCAATCCAAGAATTGTCGATGTCGGTATATACAGATATGTTCGGAGTCGCTGTGGCAATCGGTGTCGCTGAGACCGTCAGATAGGAGTACGGAGCAATCTGACGCGTTAGATTAGCTGGTGAGATTTGTGAGAAGAAGTCAAGCACAATCGTTGCCTGCCCAGCAGTCAACGTGAAAGTAGAGTGGGTTGCAGTATACTCTGCTTTGTCCACTACAGCTGCTTCAACACCAGATCCAGGAGCAGGAACGCCGAAAAGACTGTAAGCTTGGTCGTCTACCCGAGCAATCACGGACCAAGTCAGATTGAGGCCATTCCAGAATTGAGCGGAGGCCGAAGGCAGAGTTTTGACCCAATTTCCTGGCACCCAAGCTGTCGGATCTGTTCAGCACTGAGAACACGTCAGGGCTTGAAGGCGTCCTTCTACATACCGCTAAGGTAAGGATTCTTGACGGCCAGTGGATATGAGGGAGGCTGGACGGGCGTATAAAGAGGAGAGCACAGCACTGCCTGCTGCAGAAGTGGAAGAAGGAAAGCTAAGAATATTATGAAGAGCTCCATGATCGAGTGTTGAGTTCGAATGCGAGGAACCGTGTGTCGAAAGAAGGATTGGTCGAGGAGGCGCGGAGACACTTATAAGTGTAGGACATTGTCGTGAAAAAACCGCAAGGGCGGCTGCCATATCTCAGTCGTCTGCACCATGCGCCCCAGGCACCCGACCATTGCTGGCACATGACGGTGTAGAAGCATTCATTCACCAAAAGCCACTCCGGCTTAAAGAGGTTCATCCATTATGTATTCGCAGCTTGGGCTCAAGGCGATTCCTGCCGCTTCGACCCTGAAACACTCCAGCATTGGAACCTTACAATGGAGGTTCTGCCAGGCCAGAGCAACAGTAGCGGCACCAGAGTGACTGCTTGACGATTATTAGCACAGCCACATCGTAAATCTGGTAGCGGCAAATATTTGCTCGCTAACGCCTTTGCCTGGTGGCGCACAACCGCAGTCAAGTACAGCTTCTTCTCCTATATAAAAACTCTGCTAGTGACCCGACTTCGTTTAAAGTCGTTTACTATGTAAAGCCCAAGCCCCGCTGTCCGGTAGACGCATCTCGTGGTCAAATGGCGCATCGTGATGTAGGGGCTGCCGTGCTGTCAAGGTCATCATCCAAGTGGACGGGATATAGTTAAGGGAAGCAAATCGACTCGGCTTGCTGGTTATGTGCTACTATGGCTATCCAGAAGCTTGCTATTTCAGCAAGTGAGATGTACTGGGAATTACCTGAAAGCCCGGTCATACGCTGTGTCGCACTTTGTGTTCGCATGATGTCTCCACATCACACATGAGGCGCAAGGGCACTCGCCGAGAGTGGCTTACTTCTGAGGTACGGCGGCGCTAGGAAGTAGAACAGACCGTTCAAAGCAGCGGCACCAATCGTCGCAAGCCTGTACTGTCAGCAATGCCGAGAAACGTAGCACACGCTCGTTCTGCAGAACATCTTACCAGTGAACGTAGTGGTACTGGAAATCGCCTTTCGCGACCATCAGGCCAAGACAACGTGCAGAGTTGAAGGCTAGATAGCCATCAGCATACTCTTCTTGCTGGGAAGTATTCTGGGACTTATGCGCACAGACACCAGTGTAACCAGGTTTTGCTAGCGATGAAGCAAGTGTCCCGAAAGCAAGTGTCAGACCGACCTTGATTTGATTAGTAAACACGATGCCGGCACTTCTGGATCGCTGTCGGCTACCATACCAGTACTGGGCTCAAGGCCGGTCCAAAGACCTTACCCTGCCTAGGGTCAAGACCCACTCCAAATGCCGTGAATATTAGAGCTTGTGCGAACATGTACTCAAGCACGAATAGCTGTCCAGGAGAAACAAGGGTAGGATCGACAGTGCACCCTGGAATCACGCCCTAATATAGTGAGCTCGCTGTAGGCTTCGAAAATGGTCATCTTTCACACACATGCGGAAAGTAGTCATCGCCAAGGCCTAGCCGCAACCAGTAGCTCCCAATTACGGCTCCAGTGCACTGAGCACTGACATATAAGACCATTCTTGGGAACGTACAGAGTCCTGCGAAAAAGGTTGACATGGTGATGGTCGGATTAAGATGACCTCCAGAAGCCGGTCCTGCGGAGTAGATGAACAGAGTCAACCCAACGACATTGAAGAGGGCCGCGTACAACGTGCTTGCAAATTGTGACTGGGTCTGCATGGTGAGTCCAGAAGCGCCTGCGCCGAAGGAGAAGATAAGTAGACAAGTGCCCCAGCCTTCGATGAAAGCCATCCTCCATAGATCGTATTGCAAGAAGCCATTGAGACGCAGTGCATCTTTGACGCTGAGCAAGGGTGCCTGATTACAAACTCAGCTAGCCGGCATGTGGAAGGGCTTGATTACGACCTTACAGCATCTGGCGTCTGTTTGAGCTGCGCTTCATCGCTGGCCACAAAGCCCTGGTTGCCACCGATACGGCCAACGAAAGCAGACTCTAGCACTGGGGGTCTCAACGGACTCATTGTTGTCGCGTGTTGATCTGCGTGTGAAGCTGTGGTTAATGTGGTTGATTCCGCGGCCTTCGCCATTGCTTGAAACTCAACGTCGTTTCGCGAAGTCTCGTGGTGATCATTGTCAGTTTTAGAGTAGCTATCCTGCAATTATATATGTCCTGCAATGGTCCTAAGTAGTTGTACATTATGCATAAGCATCTCGTCACCCTCGCACGTACCAGGGTCCGAGCTCTCACGAAGCCGAGAAGCCGAGATGAGGGTCGAGATGATCGGAGATGTTCACACCACCTTACGACTAACGCATCAAGTCGTGATGGGTGGACGATTATCAAAGCCGCGAGGCCCAGGTGGCATGGAAGAAGTCGTGTCTGTCAATCCTGAACGATCAACCTCCAGGCGACCAATTTCTCGCATCATTAATAGCAGGACTATCGTAGCTCCTGCGGCAGCTATTACCATGGCTTGCATACTATTCGTGTATACGCGGACAAGCATTAGAGCTGCGAAAGCCAATGCCCAACGGCACCGCCAGGCTGACAGAGGCGAAGGTCTGAGTCTGCTGGAGGAGAATCGCCGAAGACATGGTACATCGGCGAGGTTGGATCGAGGTGGAAACACCGTCACGCAGATCGGACAAGCTGTTAAAGACCAGCTGGTTGGCAGGAAAACGGAGGATCAAGCTGCGGCATACGACGCATCGAAGAGTCCACGCAGCGAGGAAGAGGAAAAGCTGCGTGCCATGAAGGCCAGGATCGGACGTCGAAGTGCGGACGACCAAGGATGAGCTTATGATGTGAAGAATGCAAGATGTCCTCTTTGACCACTTCTGGGCCACCACTTTCAACCTACTCCACAATTGTTCAAGGATGCTCAACTTGCAGGCTGCTGCGCGTTCGAGCAGCCGAGCCTGGGATGTCAAACGCAGCGTGTAGACCTGCGAGGCTATCTTCGAAGCGGCTGATACCGGCCAAATCGGTGGGTCAGGTGCAGCTCTGTATATGCGTGCATCAATCACAGCCTGTAGTCGCAGGTTCGATGCTACTAGCACTTGATCACCAGCAAGACTTACCTTTGTTTCTCACAAGGGGTACAGCGAAATTGAGATGAATCATGAGCTTATAGCACATTCTACCAATACTTCAAGCCAATCTCAGCGTTTTGCCTGGATTCGCCTTCTCATCAGGTTGCTCTACTACATTGCATACCCATCCTCGACCTCTGGACTATATCGCCAGCACAACGTCTCAGGCCAGAATTTATCGACCAGACAAGCGAGAGGTCCCTCCTGGGGACCACTACGACGAAAGATTTCCGAGGTTCTGCCGTCTGCGGCGATTCTTCATAATCATACACCTCATCCTCCGCTCATGACTCTGAGTCATTCTGAAGGCCCAATTTGGGGTATACCGTACAGGTCCTGACGATCCATGTAGCTTCTCGAAATTTTCCTCCAGTATAACAGGGGCCCACGTCTGCCACAGCTTCGCAACCTTTTCGACCACACCATACGACAAAGGCCTAAAAATCCTGTTTCTATCCGAAGGTCGAGGTTTGAGAACCGCTCGAAGCTCGTCTTCCATTGTCGTCTGGAGTTCACCAGCTGCCGCTTGGTACCAGTCCAGTGGCTCATCAGAATAAAGCTCACACCACGAGCTTTTCTTCGACGGCGCCTTCGAAGGATCGTTGTTGGGACTTCTGGTAAGTTTAAGGTCACACGTGATTGTGGCGTTGTCTGCGGTCTCGACCCACAACAGACGGAGATGTCGGATACGACGGACTCTTTGCGTTCCGAATGTCTGCAGCGTTCTCCGAAGGCTAGCACTGGTGACTGGTCTTTGACGGGATGATTTGATCTCCCAGGCGACCACGGACTCTGCTTCATAGGCTTCCTTCCTAACAGCTCGACCGGTCTGCGCGATGGCTGGGACCCGAAATGGTCGCGTAAGGAGTCTCGGATGCTCATCATAGGTAAGATGAACAATTCGTTGCCGTAACTCGTATGGCAAGTCTGGAAATAAAGTAAAGGCTGGGGGCATATCATTCCATCCGGACTAAGAAGCAGCATGTACGGAGCTGGGTCGATGCCGTAGGAGAGTAGTGTGGCGAGGTCAGGATACAGGTGGCGCGCGAGAATGGTAGAAGACTTGTGAAACTATACAATCATTTGGAAGACGGCATGACTCTCATATAGCATCTCTTCACGAGATCGAAGACAAGATGAAGGCTCCCATCGGTAGCTGGACATGTGTAGACTACGCTGGGACCGCAGATAATCGTACAAGCATAAACCTAGAACTTATCAAGCAACGTGACCAATTGTAGGCTATGTTGAGCTGAACTCCGCTTGACCGGCTTCTGTGTTATTTGTTAATGTGGCGTTGAGGACAACATGATCGGTCATGTGACTTGGGCAGTTGTCCTCAGCTTAGCTTCGGATAGATCCGCCATGGCCGAATAGCTCGATGCTCCTAGCTATCCTGTGAAGCAATGCAGAACGACTATCACTCTCCCATCAGCACTAGGACTTGACACTCTTCGCCAAGGTTCGTAATGCCGCGCCTCAGCTAGTATGGCTACTCACTGAGATATCCAGATGCTCGCACGAACCGCTATGCGCGTCCCAACCACCATCGGCCGCCGAGGCTTCCACTCCACCCGCGCACAAATGAGCTCGCCTCACCACTACCCAGAGGGTCCACGAAGCAACATTCCATTTAACCCGCTCACACGATTCTTCGCCGTACGATACTGGGGCTTTATGGGTATGTAGAAGGACAATATGGAGATTGGAGAGGGTCTGTGGAAGCTCACAAGGGTATAGCGGTCGGTTTCGGAGCGCCTTTCGGCATTGCTGGTAAGACGAGACCATCGATATGTGTAGTACGGGCGCTGACAGTTGATCCAGTTTGGCAAACATATAAGAACCAGTAGAAACTGCATGAGGTGGGACTGGATCAGATGGGCATAGATGGTGTCAAGCACGTTGCAGCAGCTTTTATCAAGCATGGCATATGAGTGCGGCGAATACCTACGTGGCTGCGATCGGCTGGATGTGAGCCACATATGCTGTATATAGGTATCATAGATTGTTCAGAATGAGCACACTGCGCAGACCCATGTGCCATTGGCTCGGCAGTGCCCGTGCTAGTGCTTTCCGTACCTGCATTCTAGCAAAAACTCATGCTCGTCACATATGCCGGATCATTATTGAGTTATCGATGTAACAGGATATACTGACCAAACCATGCGACCATGCGGAATCTTAAACGGATCCAGGAGAGCACTTTGAAGTTCGAAGGCATATCGGCCATTGCTTATGACCTCGAAGATCTGGTTATTGCCTTCGGACCTTCACATGCATCACCTTCGATCACACTAAAACGACTTGGTCGAAGTGCGACGAGCGTGGAGGATGCTTCCACAATAGCCTCATGGGATGCCACCTCAGATGACTACATACTGGATATTCACTGCTTCCCTGATGCGCAGATAATTTCTGTGATTCTGGCTGGAGGCGACATCATCACTGTGAAGCAGGACGCTGCGGAAGATCAGATTGAGATCCTCGGTTCTGTGGATGCTGGTATTGCTGCCGTGGCATGGAGTCCTGACGAGGAGCTTGTAGCTATTGCCACCAAAGCAGAAACTCTTCTGTTCATGACGAGAGACTTCGATCTCGTCTCGGATGCCACATTTTCGCTAGACGATATCAAAGTCTCCGACCATGTCTCTGTCGGGTGGGGCAAGAAGGAGACGCAGTTTAAAGGCCGTGGAGTCGCAAAGACATTGCGTGATCCTACTATGCCCGAACATGTGGACGAAGGATCGATCGATGTGAAGGACGATCTTTCAGTAACACTTTCATGGCGCGGCGACGGTCAATATTTGGCCACGAATAGCGTTATAGAGAGTGAGCCGAGGCGGCGCATGATCAGAGTGTTCAGTCGTGAAGGTGTGCTTGAAAGCGTGTCAGAGCCAGTGAATGGGCTGGAAAGTGCCTTGAGCTGGAGGCCTAGCGGCCAGACTATAGCTGGAGTGAGAAAGGTTGGCTCAAGCGTCGACGTTGTGCTGTTTGAACGCAATGGTCTCCGACATGGCGAGTTCAGTCTCAGATTGAGTCCAGACCAAGTAGATGTCGTCGGAAAGAACACTCAGCTATCTTGGAACCAGGACTCATCTGTGCTCGCCGTTGTCCTGGCTGATCGAGTACAATTGTGGACCACAGGCAACTATCACTGGTACCTGAAGCAGGAGATTCAAGCAAGTCACAAGGCCTGCCAGCCACAAGTTGCATGGCATCCCGAGCATCCGTTGCAGCTTTCTGTGTTCGATCACGGCGAGCTCGTTAGACAGCGATACACCACCGCAGTTGCGCGCGGGCCCGTCATTGCACCTCATGACCATGGTTTGGTGGCAGTCATTGATGGTACAGATCTGAAGATAACACCACTGCGCACTGCGAATATACCACCACCAATGGCCCAAGATGAGATCAAGTTACCAGACTGCGCAAACGATGTTGCCTTTGATCAGGACGAAGATGAAACCCTGGTCCAGGTCTTGTTTGCCAATGGCTCAACTTCCAGTTGGAAATATGTTCACAGCACCAAACATACAGACCGAGCTACAGCCGTATCAAATGGGACTCGTGATGCTGTGACCAATGGGGACAACATCTCCGCACTTGAACTGCACTATCACGCAGAAGAAACTCTGCCTCATGGACTGGGCGAAGTCTCGCTGTCGGAGAGCGGGCTTCTTCAGGTTGCTGGTCTGGCTAACATACGAGTACCAGGAGTCACCTCTTACATAGCCACGGATCTATATCTGATTTTCACTACCAGTAACCATCTCCTCAAGTTCATACATTTGAGCGAAGAAGGCGAGCTGCAGATACCGCTAGACGAGCCAGAGAAAGACGAAAGATGCAGAAGCATCGAGAGAGGAGCGAAGATTGTTACAGTCATGCCCAGTGCGTACTCGTTGGTCTTACAAATGCCAAGAGGTAATCTTGAGACAATCTACCCTCGAGCATTAATCCTGACCGGTATTCGGCAAGCTATCGGCGGGCGGCAGTACAAGAAGGCCTTCTCGATATGCAGAGCGCACCGGGTTGACATGAATATACTGCATGACTATGCTCCGGATCAATTCATGGAAAACATACCGCTGTTTCTGAAGCAGATCAAGAACCCGGCACACGTCGATCTTTTCTTGAGTTCGTTGTCGGACGAGGATGTCACTCAGACAATCTACAAGGAGACTTTACAGCAGCAAGACAGCCAGCCGACTACGAATGGCCATTTTTCCAAGGATCGGAAGCCAGGCACATCTGCTGTGGCGTCTTTGTCGAAGGTGAACGGGATATGCGAAGCTTTTCACAATGTCCTGCGACAGCAAAAAACGCCATCGCTGCAGAACATAATCACAGCGCACGTCTGCAAGAATCCACCTGACCTCGAAGCTGGCCTTGCACTAATCTCGGACCTCCGCCGAGCAGAGGACCAAGATCATCTGGAGCAAGCTGTCGAACACATCTCATTCTTGTCGGACGTGAACCAATTGTACGATACTGCGCTTGGCTTGTATGATTTGGAGGTCACGCTTCTTGTGGCACAGCAGTCTCAGAAGGATCCAAGAGAGTATCTTCCGTATCTGCAGAAGCTGCAAGATATGCCAGACATGAGACGTCAGTATACAATTGACGATGATCTTCGCAGATATGAGAAGGCACTATCACATCTTCATGCGCTTGGAGACTTTGTGGGCCTCAAAAAGTACATGGTGAAGCACGATCTGTACACGGCCGCCATGGAACTCTTCCGGTATGATGCTGGCAGGCTTGGCGAGATCATTCTATTGCAGGCAGAGTACTTCAGTAGCCGCAACAGGTATGCAGAAGCCGGTGTGGCTTATGAGTATGTGCAAGAGTATACTTCAGCATACGAGGCCTATAGATCAGCAGGTATGTGGCGCGAGTGCTTGTCCAGTGCTGCACTGGTCCCTATTTCGGAAGAAGTGATGTCAAGCCTAGCATATGATGTGGCTTCCAATTTGGAAGAGGCAAAAGACTTCTCTGCGGCTGCTACAGTGCAGCTGGATTACATGAAGGATCTTGCAGCAGCAATGAGGTTGCTCTGTCGAGGTTTCCAGTTCTCTGAGGCGTTGCGCCTGGCGGCTTTGCACCGCAAGCAGGAGCTACTGCCATCCATCCTTGATCCAGGACTTATCGAAGCTTCTGCAACCATGACTGAGATGTTAGCAGAGATGAAGTCACAGCTGAGGGCGCAAGCGCCACGCTTACAAGAGCTGAGACAGAAGAAGGCTGAGGATCCGATGGCTTTCCTTGATGGCGCTGATGGCGGTGACGATGACATACCCGATAATTTGTCGCTCGCACCCACGAATGCTTCGACCACTGGTACGTTCATGACCAGATATACGAACCAAAGCACCGGCACCCTGGCTACAAATGCCACGCGCAAGACGTCGAAGAACAAGAGACGAGAAGAGCGGAAGCGAGCAAGAGGTAAGAAGGGCACAGTGTACGAAGAGGAGTACTTGGTCAACTCAATTACAAGGCTTGTTGAGAGGCTTAATGATACGAGTGCCGACATTTCGCGGCTGATAGATGGCTTGCTTCGCCGAGCGATGCGAGAACGAGCTCTTGCCGTGGACAAGGCCATGGTTGATGTAGTGGAGGCCTGCAGAGGTAGTCTCAATGAGACATTTGCGTCGGGGATGCCATCGTCTGGTAGCGAAGACCAGCATGGTGAGGTAAGGCCGCAAGGTGGGCAAGGAGTACTGTGGGATGCTCTTGTATCGTCTGGTCATGGACGGTCAGCACCAGTGCTCAAGGCATATCAGCAGTCATCTCTACTAGTATAGACAGCGGAATAAGATTCCACCATGGCGACGGCAGCGACATTTCATCTGAATCAGGCAGTAACGTGGTGAGTATGAGTTGTTTATGAGGCGTCTGCACAATCTATGTCTATCTGCCATCCCAAATATCCACCATGACTTCCAAAAGCGCAGGCGGTAGCGACCTCTCTATCCGGCTTCTCCTCCCATCCCAACAACTCGACTCACTACTGGTGCGGGAAACTCTCGTTCCACTCTTGGACCGCCCTCAAGGTCGATTCGTCCCAATACCCATTCTCATTAGCTAAGAGGGCGACAGCCTCTGCCGTCTCAGCGTCCGCTACAGCAAGGTCTGGAGAGGCCTGTGGGGCGACAAGCGTCCCATCAGAACCGGCAGCATCGTTGGGAAGACTGGTGGAGAAGTCTTCGTTCATGAAGTCAGTCTCCCAACAAGGCTCCGGCGCCGTCTCCAACCCGGTAAGCTGTTCACCCGTCCCAAGCGAGGGTGGCAGATGATGGACCTCCTGCGAAGGCAGTTGTGGCATTTCGCCAGCACCCGTGAAGGCGGGATACTGGTCGGCCATATGCATGCCAGGCATCCACTGGGTTTGAGCCATTCCCAGGGGCAGGGTGCTGTCGTTGACCTGCTGTGCAGGCCACTGCGGCATGAAACCAGTACCCATGTGAGTGGGATGCTGGTGAGGATAGGGGTATTGTGCCACACCGTAGGCATGAGGATCCAACATGCGCAAATGAGCGGTCTCCTCAGGGAAGACATCGGCGGTCATCTGCTGTGCAGACAGTTGCGGCATGATACCAGCACCCATGACGTTGGGATACTGGTGAGGATTGGGGTAATGTGCCACCCCATAGGCAGGAGGGCCCGTGACGGTCGGCGGCTGGGCAAGTCCACCATCCTGTGTCGCCTGGTCCTGCCCAACAAGTGCTTGACCGATCCCGTTGGGAGTCGGTTGAGCGTTGGCCTGTTGAGCAGGCCGGCCTGGCACTAGGCCAGAAACAGCAGGATAGGGACGGCGAGCCCCGGTCTTGGCGTTGGGACGAGGGTTAGGAGTTCGATCCTCGTCGTTGCGCTTGTCCTGCTGGTCGAGATTCTTACGTACGTAGCAGTATGCATCGAACCGTCGATTCATTTGATGCTGGCCGACTTTATCTCGATTAAGATGAAGACGCGCACCACGGTTCTCGCTGGGTTTGGAAGGGACCATGATCTTGTCCCCGCGAAGCAGGAGCCATGCGTCAAGCTCACAAATGGGCACCTTGTAGGGGCCCTTGCCAGCGTAGGGCACATTCCCGAGGGTCTCATGCCATGCGGCTCTGACGCGACGGGTCTGTGGATCCCACTTACCCGGATCTGTCATCCATGTAGGGATCTGGACCATCTTCACAATACTGAAGAGCGATACGCTAGCTGAGGCGAGATCGATATCTTCGGGATACTTGACCTCGTCGACCTAATCGGACGAGTTTGTGGGTGGCTCTTGGAGTCCTGGAGGGATGTGAGCTATGGCATGAACCCAACCAGACGTTGGAGATCACTTACTGTTGTCTGTATTGGTTTGCAAGTGTTGTGTTGCTTTGTGAAGCTTTTGTGCAGTAGTTCGATCTGAGAGTGTGTGGTACTATAGTATGAGAAGACGAAAGAACGAAGGTGGGAATCCTTTCATACCCATCGCCGTGAAACGTTCTCTCCTACCTTGTGTGCTTACTAGCTGAAGGTTTACAGATGAAGAATGGTAGTGGTGTGCACCGACGACAGCTCCTGCTACGTTCAGATGTCTCCTGTGACGGCGCGAATGACTCCTATGGGATGATATGGGTATGCAGATGTAGTCCTGATCCTCCTGATCCTCATGGTGAGCTTCTGGATGCTGTAGGCCGTCTGTGAAAAGAGATATCGTCCAGGAAAGAAGGTGGTGAAGAGGTTTACACTGCTGGAGCTCAGACGTGGTAAGCAGAATTCCCAGACGCAGGCTGCCAACGCCGCCCGGTATCATAGACACAAGACGACGACATACTCGTCAGAGAGTTATGGAACTCGTATGAGACGATGGCCGTGAAGCGTAGCATCCTGCTCCATCTTACCCGGTGATGTTTGAAGTCCAGATGCCTCCACTATCGCAAAGTGCATCCAGACGACGCTAAAGACTGACAGTGAGCGCGGAGCTCACCAGCTTTCCAACCGACGACGTCTAGGTAAGCACACAGTAGCTCTGAGATCGGATTCCCGATCAGGGGGCAGTACGGGATCTCCACGGACGGGACTATGCTTTGACCAGACGGCAGCCGCCGTGACCACATGCAGCAACCGAAGCTGGTGGAGATACCGTCGAAGATGAGACGGCTTCACCCTCGACAGCGACGCAGTAGGCGAGACGACGGCAGCGGCGTCGTGAATAGCATACTGCATCCCAGGCAGGAATGTACCATTTCATACTCTTGAGATGTCCGCCAGTATATTGAGACCTGTTCGTTCTCCTCGGGATAGGTAGTGGATACCCCGGAGCGTTTGACCCCTTTCGAGCATGATCGTGTGGTGCGGCGCTTCGTGTGCCGCATGTCCTTGCCCTGAGATGCAATTTCTGCAACGCACCTTACTCCCTACCACACAGTCGTAGCTACCACAGCATCGTGATGTGCAAACAGCCAAAATCCGAGCGCAGCCACGGTGGCTCGACACTCGCCACTTGTCGACTGCAAGGGCGACATGCGGCTGGCTGTGGAGCTTGCAATACTTCTGGCATGTATGCTTGAGAGACCATATCACGTCAAGGCGCATCCCTCCAAAGTGCAAAAACACATGATTCCAGCGGCGTCTGCTAAAGTCTCCTCTCATGGTATACGATGGCTATATACCATGACAGCGACGCTGCTTTTCGTCGAGGCGAATCGCTAGCCAGCGGTCTTGATGAGGTACTGCGGCATATGCAGCTGCCTGCTCTTCAACGTCTTCCTCACGTTACATCGTACGCTGACCGCAAGAGTTAGGTATGAGAACCATGACGGCACGAGTGCGCAATCGAAACCTTGCTGAAAGCCCTCCTCCGGTCGTGATCGCTCAGCACCTTCGCGACGACGGCACAGTCTCCCAGCTATCATGAAGCAAAGACAAGCCACGAACTACTGTGTAGGAGGAAACTGTGCAGCCCTATTTCCTCAATAGACGGCGCGGGGGTACGTGGTGATCAACTCCAAGGTGGCGCCGAGTCATGTCTGATACTCATGTAGCATACACCACAAGCACCTTCATCCACAGCATGAGTCTGAAGACACCTCGGATGCTGACGAGTGGTCTCAAGGCAGTCGTTGACAAGGTAGTGCGGCGTGGATGCATGGTTGTTGAGGCTAGTTCCGGGTCTCGGCCGCCAATATCCAGGCTTCAGCAGTTGGCCACATCGCCTGCTCATTGCCAGCCTGTGCCTACTGAGCGAGTAGGCTGACAGAGAGGTGCCTCAGCGCAAGGCGAGCTCGCAATGACACCGGTCCTGTGGTAGAGCATGATGGCCTGGATCATATTAGTGGTGGGTCGAAGCTCCTCCCCATCACCTTCATCAAGGTCCCCAGGTGAGAAGCGGCCAGTATCATGCTCCAGAGCATGGCGTGGACCCCCAATAGCCTAACAATGTGGCAAATATCCATGGCGGTCGAACCTGCCAGCGGCACCATTACCAGCGAAGGAACCACCCACCCTACACCCACTTCACAACACCTTCGCACCACCGACAGCCTGCAAAAGTGAAGTTCACTTAGACCTGGCAACGTCGATGCGCTAACGCACGGGCCCGGAGCTCTCCCCGTACCTTCCATCCACACAAATTGATGAGTTTCAGCCCCCAACGGCAAGAAGTGGGGCAAGCTGCAGGCGCCGAGGCGAGAGCGAAAGAGCCGTTCTTCTTCCATCAACAAGCTCTTAATTGGGAGAAGGCGATGCAAAGGAAGCTGGTGTGGTGTAGCCTCGCTATCGGAGTGTCGTGGAGGAGTTCAAGTTGAAAAGCGATTTTCTGGCTCCGAGGCGTGCACGCCAACAGCACCACTGCCATCTGGAAGGCGACCATCGTCAACATGTCCGTAATCCTCTGCACAGCTGGCTATGACCATACTATAAGGTAAGCGATCGCAAGACATTCGTGCAAAAGCTTTACTGGACTTCCGAGGACATCAACACGGCCTCGAGAGCACGAACACGAGGTCCCTGCACGCATTCACCATCTGAATAAGGACAATACTGCCAACTCAGTGGTCTCACCTCCACAGGACGAAGGGGATCGGTCATCTTTTGAGGATACCTCAGATTGGCTCACAATCATCGGCACTCCTACTGGTCATCAAAGCGTGGCGACCGGATCAAAGCGATTCGAACAAAGACTTAAATCACCGCTGAAGGCCGCCATCAGTAAACATGGTCAGACCGAGATCAAGTGTGAGAAGGACTGGATGTGCCAAAAGAGTACGAGTTTTGTAGCACCTGCCGAGCTACACTGCAAGCAGCGCCCGAAACACAGGCAAACCAATGATCGGGCACATCAGACCACAGCTACTCTCCGACCATATCCGGATATGGGTTAGTAGACATGTCCTCATGCTCATGCTGACTCAAGTCCGACAGATTCTGGGAAGCTCTCTCTGGCATCTGCTCCCGCACCATCCCACATCCCGACTCCCAAGTCAATCGACTATGTATCTCTCCCGATAAACGATATCTCGCCGCCGCAGGGCACCACACCGTGAAGCTCTACGACATCCGGTCTACCAACCCTGCTGCACTTCTGACTTTCGAGGGTCACTCTGGGAATATCACCGGTGTTGCTTTCCACTGTGAGGGGAAGTGGATGGTCACGAGTTCTGAAGATGGTGTGTCCGCAGAAATTGCTTTCGTGCAACATATTTTCTTGGCAAACACTAAGCACTTATTTCTGAACAGGAACTGTCAAAATCTGGGATACCCGAAGCGGCCATATCCAACGAAATTACTCCCACGGCGTCCCAGTAAACGACGTGGTAATCCACCCCAACCAAGGCGAACTCATCTCCTGCGACCGAGGCGGAAATGTCAGAATCTGGGACCTCGCCGAAAATAAATGCTCCCACCAACTTGTGCCGGAAGAAGACAAAAGTGTCGCTTCCGTCACAGTAGCTACCGATGGCTCTCTTCTCTGCGCAGCAGTCAGCAACAGCGTTCACGGAGCCGTCTACGTATGGCGCCTGATCACGGTTCGCGATGTCACGAGTCTCGTGCCCGTGACCAAATTTCGGGCCCACGGGACATACATCACTCGTGTTCTTCTTTCACCAGACGTCCGCCACCTAGCGACCTGTTCCGCAGACCACACCGCCCGAATCTGGGCCGTAGACCTCGAGAACAGTAATCCGTCTTCCCACTCCCACGACCTCGTCAAAGGCGGCCTCGAAGACGAAGATGACGAAGATCAGGAATCCCAGGGTTTCGAGCTAGAGCAAGAACTCGATGGTCATCAGCGCTGGGTCTGGGATTGTGCTTTCTCGGCCGATTCGGCATATCTTGTGACGGCTTGCAGTGATCATTATGCGAGGTTGTGGGAGCTGCAGAGTAAGAATATTATACGGCAGTATAATGGCCATCATCGGGGTGCGGTTTGTGTGGCATTGAACGATTATTCCGAGTCGAGATAGGAGCTTGATGGGAATGATGGATGAGCGCCAGGAGATCGTGAGAGGTCGCAGGTCTCCAGCCGAGGACTTCAGAAGCATGGTTAAGAGGCGTGTTTAACGATAGAAAGGATCAGTACGGGCGTATCTGGAGTATGGCGTTAGTGGTATACATATTTTCTGGCGCAGCATGGTGAGGAGGTGAGGTGAGGTGAGGTCGGATGGCGAGCCTGACTATCTCGCCACGGATATTCCCTATTGGCTTGTCGCGTGCGATCTCACGACGCCCATAGCGCCGGGTTAGACTTTGATGCTTGAAGCACTTTCAGCTGCGGCACATACTACGTCCACCTGCGACCAGTGCAGCTGATTTGTGTCCCATGCACATGGTCGCTGTCGTATTATCTTGCTTTGACGATGTCTGCCAGGCCTTCAGGGGTGTTCGCTGCGAAGTGTGTTGTGCGATTATCAGCACAGGTAAAGATTACTCCGGTACAAATCTTTGCTCTCGCCGTCACCGTCTCCATCCTTGCAAAGTCATATATAGATGCAAGCAGGCGAGTTCCTCGTACTTCTTATACACAATTCAAATGAAGCAGACTCTGAAGGTGCACTCCACACCCGTCATGCTGACCAAAACAGTGCACATGATAGCCTATGTGATGAAGACAACAGCAGCTTTAGGTTCTCACGGCCCGTGTGAGCACATGACAAAAGCATAGGATCTGTACCTCTACATCAGACCATCGTCCGTTCGTCCTTGCGATCGCAGAAGCCCGTCGCAGCCCATCCCGAGGTCCCACCAACGCCACGCTAAAGATACTTTTTAATGGCAGAGCAATGCAGGCCCAAAAGTTCCATCATTCCATCGCACGCGCCACCTCCTATCCGCCTAGTCCCACCTCATCATAATCCCCACCAGCGAGACCACCACACTTCCCATCTTCCTAATCACTCACTCACTCATACTCCTCCCCGCCCCCATAAACCCCACTCTGCCTCTGCGTAGCACACCACTCCTCACTCGCCAACCCCTCCCTCTTCCTCTTCGCCAGCTCCACAGCCCCTTTATCCCAATCACAAGCCCACGTACACTTTGGCATCGTCTGATCGCCAAAATACTCCGCGATAAGCCGATGTCGACACTTCTCTACATTCTCACAATACGCAATCAACGCCTGCAGACTCCTCGCCCGCTGCATCGTCGCCTCCCTGCCTCTCGATACCATGCCGTTACCAGACCCATGACTCTGATGATGCAAATTATTCGCCTTCTCCTGCTCCCGCCCCATCATCGAAGCCGCTCGGTCCCGATCCTCCCGATTATAATACAACATACAAATCGCGCCCTTGCCATCCCTCCCCGCCCGTCCGGCCTCCTGATAAAACCCCTCAAAACTCTTCGGGATCTGCCAATGCACCACGAACCTCACGTTCTCCTTGTCGATCCCCATACCGAACGCCGTCGTAGCAACAATAACATCATACCCCTCTCGATTCGCCACCCACCCCTCCAAATGATCCTCCTTCTGCTCGACCGACAAGCCCGCATGATAAGCCTTCGCCCCCACCCCATCGCTCCTCAACCTCGCCGCCAAGGCCTCCGTATCCTTCCGAAAAAGCGTATAAACAATCCCACACACATTCGTGACCCTCTCCCCCTTAGCCTCCAACTCCTCCCTCCTCCCCCCCTTCCCCCTCCTCTCATACGTCCCCCTCAACCACCCCAAAAATTCCCCATAATGATCCTCCTCATCCGTCTTAAACCGGACCTCGAAATGCAAATTCGGCCGATGAGTAGTCATGACGAACCCCCTCAACTTCTCCTTCTCCAGCCCCAGCGTCGCGAGCACATCATCCCGTACTCTCTGCGTGGCGGTGGCTGTGCAACACAGCATGGGAACGTCCGGGAACTCGCGCTTGAAGAAGCCGAGTTGGTGGAAGGAGGGCCGGAAATCGTGGCCCCATTCGGAGATACAATGCGCTTCATCTACCGCGATCCGGGCCAGTTCTTTCTGCTCGTAGACGATCTTCAAGCAGGCTCTGAAGTGGTTAAGAGTACAATACTCAGGCGTCACGTACAACAACCTCGTGCGCGGATGCCCGGACTTGAGATCGTCGAGGATGGCATTCTTGACCGTCACCGTAGTCGTGGAGTTGATCGTGGCCACGCGGATCCCGGCTCGTTGCATGGAAGCGAGCTGGTTGTTCATGAGAGCCAGTAAAGGGGAGACGACGATGGTGATGCCGTAGTCTACTACGGCTGGTAATTGGAAACATAAGGATTTGCCGAAGGAGGTGGCGGCTTGGAGGAACACGTCGTAGCCGGAGAGTGAGGCGGTGATGACTTCGCGTTGGACGGGGCTGGGACAGTTTATTAGTCTTGGTGACTTTTGCTCATTTTGGTGAGAAGTGAGTGTGGCGGATATGAAGTGCCTACCGAAAAGCTTCTTTGCCAAAGACTTTACGCAAAGTGAAGTCGATATCGACATTCTGATCGAGCCGCCGAGATGGCCGTGCGGCCATCGTGGTCATGGGAGGGACCCTCACCTATGAATTGACTTTGATGTTCATGTTCACAGCATGCACGAAAGAAGGGTAGAGGTAGAAAGGCAACTTCACGCGTTCCCCAGGCTTCAGCACCGCACAGGCCTCTACTCCAGAAGCGCGTCTCGCTCACGATATCACGTGCTGAACATGACTGTTTGAACATATATGTACACACACTATACAACACTCTACACATGTACACAAAATCGTCCCATCCCGCAAACGTCTCACCCTCCCCCCAGACCTGAGATGACTCAAGCGTAAATACTCCCCTCACTCCCCAACCTCTCCACCAACCCTTCAAGCACCTTCCGATCATCCTCCGGCATATCATCCCATAGCTCCTTGATTTCCTCCCAAACTTCAAGCATCCTCCTGGTCCCCGCACATTTATACCATGCCATCAGCGCAGCCCTAACAGCGGTTTTCGTGAAAAAGGGTTCCCTATCTTCTTCGCTGATGAGGCCGGGAACACTATCATCCTCACCCTCCTGCTCCACATCGTCGCTTCCATCCAAGACAGGATCGTGCCGGCGGGGTTCATGGGGCGGGGAGTCTCCATCACTACTATATCCCGAGTCCGAGCCAACACTCGAGACGGAAGCAGACTCCACAGCTCGCTTTCTCTTCCTCTCCACCTCCATCTCCTCCTCCTCCTCCTCCCTCCCCTCCTCAACCCCCCTTAAAAACTCCTCCCAGACATCCCTCAGCGCCCTAGCATTCCACTTCCCAAACGCCAACCCCCCATGCAACCAAAACCCCCTCAGCAAATGCACAAACGCCCCACCACCAACCCCAAACCCCAGCCCCCTCATCTCCCCCATCAAGACTTCGATCCTCCCAAAATCCCCAGAAACATAAGCATGATACCGGATCAAAATCACATACGTCCTAGCATCAGGAGCAATGGGAGTAATCCTCTGCACCTTCTCCCTCCTCTCCTCAAAAGGAAACGGAGATGCGGAGCCAAAGAAAGATTTCTCATGCTTCTCCCTCTCCCGCCGGAGATTAGCAGCCGTGTCATGCAACAACTGCCCCAGCACCCGACTCTCCCTCCAACCCCTCACACTCCTCCCGCCCAACTTCCGCTCCACCAACATCTTCATCCGCGCGAAAACATTCTCCGCCGCCTCGGGCTCCCCGGCTCGGATCAAGGAGAGGATAACGCAGTTCATGACCACCGTATCCACAATCTCTCCCTGATGAACCAGATCCCTAAAAGCCTGCCTTACACCCCCCCCATCGCCCCGGATACCATGGTAGTAGATCAGACTGGTCCGGAAGTACCTACTCAACACCATCTTCCTCTCCCTCAACTCCCCGAAGATGGTATCCGCCAGTGCGAACCGGCCCGCTTTGACCGCCACATCGAAAAGAATATTGAACGTGACATTATCCGCCTGCCGCCCATCCCGCTCCATCCGCATCCAAGTATCAATCGCATACCTCACCTCCCTCGCCGTAGTCCCCTGTACCCACCTCCCCGCAAACGCAATCGCGGTATTCCACTCCCGCTGCTTCACATACACCTTCTCGGCCAAACACTCCTCCAAGAAGCTGAAATAGCGCTGCATGGCTCCCGGAAGATGTTTATGCTCGACCCAGGTTAGATGGCGGAAGGTCTGGCGGACGTCGTGGTTGGAGAGATAGCGGACGCGGGGTGGGCGCAGGTTCTCGTAGGCTTGCCAGAAGTAGTCGGGAGAGATGCCGCCGGTTGTGCGGGTGAGCAGGCGGCGGAAGTGGGTGAGGGATTGGGTGTGGGTGGGGTCTTCGGGGTCGAGGACGAGGCGGGTGGCGTGCTCTTTTTCGGGGGGAATTACGAGGGGTGGTGCTAGGCGGGGATGTGGTGGTTTGGCGTTTCTTGGTGCAGCGAGTTGGGGCGGGGTTTGCGTAGTGCTTAGGTCAGAGTCGTCCCACATATCGGATGGTAGGTTGTAGGTATTCACGAGATTCGTAACCTCGTCTCGCGTGATCTTGGGGTCGATTAGAGCACCTGAAGTGGCAGTATGTCGGCGTCTGGAGTGTGTAGAAAGCTCCCTCACGAACATCGGGCCCATTGGCCTCCTTACCCTCTCCGGCCCACCAGATCTCCTCACACCTCCCTTTCCCTCACTAACCATACCCCTCTTCCTCTGCACCCTCTGCCCACACCTCCCCGCCGCAACAAGACACTCGACGAAGACATCCTCCACGCTCCTCTCATCCCTGTTCGCCGTGCTAGAAGATCTATAGAGTCGTCTCTTGTTGTCATCGCACACAGCAAGCTTCATGCTCCCGTCTTTGCCGCGCGCTTTGGACATGTAGTACAAATCGTAGGTCATGGCGGAACAGATGGCGATCTTGGAAGCCAAGCGGGCAGCCCATAGTCGGAGGAGGGAGTTGGGTATGGACATGAGAGGAGTACAAGGGTGAGCATGGTCTTGAAGGATCCATTAGGTGATTAATCTCATGGTCTACCGATTGTATGAGCCAGAAGGGATTGTTGCTACTGTCGTGTGCTCTCTACTATAGCTAGCTCTCTTTCATCCACAATTAATCGAAGCTCGACCGAAGCATTGAACTTGCCAAGACCCGGAAGCTTCATTGGCCGCGGGAGTCCATGAACATTTGATGGAGATCAATCAATTTGGACATATGGCAACTACACAGCCTTTGGAACCTCGTTAAACCATATACATAGTGTAAGGATGGGCCGCTACGATCTCGCCCCCCAACGAGTCCACACCTACGCCACCGCCCTCTTAGCCACAAAACGCCTCACCACCCCACCCCCTTGGTACGACACCATCACCTCCATCCCCCCGGCCGAACGCCTGACCCGCCCACCTCTACAACGAAACCAACGATCCGGTGGGAAAAAAGCGTCGCGATTATTCAAGCCTTTACGGTTACAATATGAGGAGGATAGATTAAGATGGGAGTACTTCAATGATCACCCTTGGGAATTAGCGAGACCGAGAGTGGTGTTGGAAAATGATGGCAAGGATGCGGAGAAATGGGATTGGAGTGTCCCTCTCGATCATGCCCTGCGGAGACCGAGATCAGGTGGGGAGAGCGAGGAAGGGGTGAAGACGGATGAGGAGTGGGATAGAATACGACGAAGTCAGAGTCGGCGACCTATAAACGGTGAAGCGTAAGCACCATAAGATAATCCTCCCACGATAAGCACGAACCTGCTAACACGAAGCGCAAACAGCGTCATCCAACGCCAATCCGCCCTCCAACGAACAGGCGTCCCACGCAGTACAGCCTACGACATAGCGCGCCACGAACTCTACCGCCTGCGCCACAGCCAGGAAACCGAAGTCCGCGTCGCCCGGGAAGAGGCTCTCGCCACAGGCGCCTTCTTCGGCCCCGGCCCGAACGAGATCGGGATGAAATTGGAGGATAAGCAGTATGAGAATTGGCGGCGGTGGGCGGAGAAGGAGATTGCGGGGATTAAGCAGTTGCAGGGATCGGCGTATACGGGACAGGAGGCCGAGGCTGGGGCGGCGGGTGGGGATGGGAGTCCCGAGGGGCGGGCGGAGGTGGAGGTTGTGAGTCAGAGTGTGCCGGGTAAGAGGGGGGGACAGGAGGCTAAGGGTGGGGCGGGGGTGCATGTATAGCGCTCCTGGGAAATTGGAAGGCGGAGGGCGAGGTGTACCATATTCTGTACACTACATCTCATCGGGCGAAAGAACATGACACTGTCTGTGGGAGCCTCATATATGTCCATCGTCTGGATCTCGAACGCCCTCTCCGCCTCTCCAGACCGATTCATGCCGCCGCCAGCAAGCAAGCAAGCAATCAGCCTCAAGCTAGTCATCCACATTGGTCCTAGGCATCGGGTTATGCGAACTAGTCACAATCTCGAAAACCTGATGACCCGCCAATTCCATCTCGGCATCCACATCCATGGGATCTTGCTCCGCTACACGAGGAGGAGAAATCACATCAGCACATATATACCACACAAGCTCGCTGACGACAGAAGGAGAAAATCCCACAAAAGCAGGGCAGGAGCGGGGCTGATGGACTTACCCAGGACCTCTACCCCCGGCTTCGCAACCTCCCACGTAAGCCCCACATCCGCCCCACAACACCTCAACACAACCCGATAATGAATCTCATACACCTCCTCCCCCTTCACATTCTCCATCAGTTCGTGCCCCATCTTCTTGAGATCCTCAAGCGGAAGCACGAGCTCCTCGCCCCATCCTTCGAACTCGTCTCGGAGTGCGGCGCCGGGCTGCTTGAAGTGCATACCGTGGAGCATCGGGGCGTGACGGGGGATGTCGTGGTCCGTGTAGTAGACTTGGAGGGAGATGGATTCCTGGGAAGGGGGAATGTGGGTGATTTGCCAGGCGCAGGTTGTGATTGTTTGGGCAGTCACAGTGGTGCTACGGGTCGAGGTTGTGTGATCGCTCTGGTGGGTGTTGGTTAGTAGCCGTTGTGTAGCTTTTGTTGGGTGACTGGGGTCAGATGATATCATACCCTCGACAGCAGTGGCAGCCAGCGCATATACACCATCGGAACTTTTCCCGTGATACGATCATACTCCACCAATTTCTCGTCCCAGGTGGTCTGGCGACAGGACCGGGAAGCGATTTTGGTGGCGTCGACGTGGATCTTGGCGTCCCACGGTTCGTCCTGTCCGATGCCGAAGGAGCCGGTTGAGGGCCAGGTCGACTGCTTGATGCTTCGGTATCGGGACAGGGAGCCTCGAGCGACACAATGGAAGCTACAGTCGGCAGAAGTCTCAGCCACCGCTCGCCAATTCTTCGGGTGTGATTTCTACTTACGAGCCGAGTTCATCAGCATACTGTTCGAGGATTCTGATCCGAGGGTACTTCTTTCGGAGAAGGTCGAGCAGGTACTCGGAACGTCCGAAGCCGCCGGGGATGATCATCTCTCGAGTATGTGGCGTAAGCTGGTCGTCGATGCACTTGAAAATCTCCGCGATCACGGGCTTGAAGAAGCCCACCATCTGCGCACTACAAGTATAATCTGTCAGCCATCAAACTCTGTCCCTGGCTACGAAGCCAACACATACTGTGTGATTCTTTTATCCCAGAGCTCCATCTTGGCGCCAGCCACACCGCGTAGAGTGATGAATACATCTTGGGTATCATGAGGCCCGAAGTTCTGCTTGTGGGTGTCAAAGGCAGAAGTAGCTTGCGCCACAGCTAGAGCGTCTGAGAGTCCGAGCTTGTTGCAGAGACTCTGCCAGCCGCTGGGTGCTTGGTTCTTCAGCCAGGCCAAGAATTTCTCCGTCACCCACACCGAGCCGCAGAGAGCACCTATGATCATGCAGTCAGTGGACTACTGCGGCTCATACCTGTACAAAGTTCGTGCTCACCTTTCGCAGCTTTCACAACAGCAAGACGAACTTTAGCACCGGCGTCGCTATCAGTCTCATATCTATAGGACACGAAGTCGCCCGTGCCGCCACCGATATCTGCCACCAGCAAAACATCACCGATGCGCATCTGCTGGGGATCCGTGTCACGAATGTTGTGCGTATAGTATGCCGCTGCACTCTGTGGCTCGTAGACCAACTCCACACAAGGGATGCCCGCTCGCTTCGCTGCATTCGTCATTCTGATATTGGCCGGCGGCTTCCACATCTGAGGGACGGAGAGCAGAAGCTCGCATGGTATGTCGTCGATTGCCTGCTCATAGAACAGTCAGTAAGGTTGTTGCTCCGTGCGCCGAATCGATATAAAGACAGACCTTCACGTGCTCGTCTTTCAACGCCAAGACCGTGCTGGTGTGAGTCTTGATGGACTGCTTGACCTTGGTCATGATATCACGAAGATGCGCTTCCAAAAGCTCATTCAGTGTCCTCGAGCCCAAGGCTGCATCGGCCCGTTCTGCCATTTTCGATGTCGCATGGTCTTTGTAAAGAAGCAGCTTCCACAACGTGATAGTCTGGTCGAGCTTGATCTCTCCTTTCTTCAGCGCCTCGTGGACACCGTAGCCCCAGTGGAAAGTGCCATCATTGGCCCAGGCTGCGATCTGAGGTGCATAGCAGTCTTTGCCAAAACTAATGTTGTGGATATCCGCTTGGGTGAGTGAACGACCGGGACGAACGAACGCGAAGGCTACGGCGAGAGTCGCTGTGCCGTAGTCCATGCTGATACGGAGCTTGCCATTGTCCACATTGTTCTCGCGTGGCTTCTTTGCTGTCTCTTGAGATGGGGGAGTCTCAGAATATGGAGGCGGTGGAGGACCTCGTTTTTTGGAGTCCTGCTGATTGACACCGGCAATAGGTCTCTTCGCGAGAGCTGATCGGGCTGGTTTTGTTGCGCTGAGAGCCATGTTGTCAAGCCACACCTGTTAGCAAAGCTGTGTAGTGAGTGGTGATGGATTAAAGGTAAAGCAGGCGAAGTGGCGTCGTAGACCACTCTGTATCTCTTCTGATGTGAAGTGAAGTAAGGACAGATGCGTGTGGAAGTGAAATCAGCCAGGTCTGAAAATCCTCATTGTAGGTGCCAGCTCTAATGAGTGAATTCCATATCTTGACGATACGACTTCGTTCACGCGCTCACAAGTTCCAACTAATACCTTCCACTTGCCATGGGCAGCGCCTCCTGCACCATACCAGCTCGCGTCACTTCGAAATCGAGCTCGCGTACGGAAGATATGGAAGACGACAGACCGAGAGGCGACAAGCGGATCCTGAAGCGCGAGGACGGCGTGCAGACCAGCCGAAAAAGGCGCCGCTTAGGAGCCTTAGAGATCTCGACCAGTCCGTTACCGCAGACAGATGAGGTGAATATTCTGTTGGTCCAGAAGATAGTGACAGAGGCGCAGGCATCACCAAAGGACGCGCCTGGAGTAAAAGAGGCTGGAGATGAGACCGTAGCTACTATCCAAGTCGCGCACGAAGCTGTGGAGGAAAAGGTACAAGGTGCCGCACCCGAGCCACCAGCGGTGTCGTTGCTTGCGAGTCGCCTGACGAAGATCAGCTCGACCGAAATTAGCGATGAGATCGACAACATTTGGTCAATGGTGCGGAGCTTCACTCTCTCCAACATCAAAAGCAAAGCCAGTCAGAATGCCAATGCTTGTCTACCGGACAGCCCTCCAGATCCTCTCCCACGCCTGTATACGCTGCTCTTTGGAGAACAGTGGAGGCAGCAGTTCTTCATCATGAACTCAAGCAAGAGCTGGAACCGTCGTAAAGCCCTCGAGGCATGTCTGAGTGTTGCCATTTATTCGCTGGTTTTTGAGGAGGAGCTACCATGGCCTGGGCCTGTAGTAGCTGTGGCTCGAATGCAACATGAGGCAGTGGTTTACAAGCGGGTACTTAGCAACCATGGTAAGCATGACCTCACGTTACAATGTTGGTGTTGGTGAGAGACGATGAGCTGATTACTCGCAGGTATCGAGGCAGAACTAGAGACCATCCATTGGGAAGCTGCAGCCTTGAGTCCCCTCGACGTAGAGTTCCAGCGAGACATCATAAGTCCGGCAGCGAATGCAATTGCTGGTCGCATCCTTCCCATGCTTGAACTGCAGCTCCTGGTGCTCAGAGCCACAGACCAAGACAATGATCTTCCGCAGCTTCGGACACAAATGTTGGTCGATGTCTCAAGAATCGTCAAGAAAGCGCTCATCCTTAAAGGTAGGATGCGTGCGGCTCCAGAATACTATGATTGGTCTTGGGCTAGGACGGGACAGCCTTTCAATCACTTGATGGAAGATTTGAGGCAGGGTAGTGGCTGGCGACAGGTGGAGTGGGCAGTAACGCCTAGAATCAAGGTAAAGGAGACGAAGGGGAGTGAAGAGTGGGAGACAGTGACCCTGGCAAAGGTGTTCACCAAGAAGTCGTGGAGGAGAGTGGGATAGCGGTGCGGTCTCTGCCATATCAGGTGTGACGAGCCGAGTCTGTGATTGAATCAGCGCAGGCAATACACAGCGGTTGTCTTGTGCTCCCAGCCATAGCATGCACTGATGCTCTCCACGTACTACTTTGACAGCTTTGCCATTACCCCTTGCGAGAGCGCAAGGTCACGTGCGGGAGAAGCTTTGCGTGAGACATTGTCGAGGCCACCCCCTCCAGCAACAGCACCACGCAAGATGTATATACATGCGCATAGCCGTAAGATGGAGCTGAAATCACAGATCACCGTCATGGTGTTGAATCTCTCAAAATTGTGTTGTGAAAGGAGATATAAGCCAAAAACCTCAAATTTTCGTGGAAGTTGATTTTTCGAGTGCCAAGCAGGGAACATCCCTTAGCACTGGCGGTGACCGTGACCTGTGCTATAAGCTCCAAGGTAGCATTGCCAGCAGCTCAAAAGAGAGGAGGGGAAGATCACGTGAAGGAGAAGCTTTGGGTGGGAGATTTGTCGAGGCACCCCCTCTTGCCAGAACACGGCAACAAGCATACCTACATGTGAGTATCCGCAAGATGGAGTTGTGCACACAGATCATCGTCTTGGTTTCGAAATTGTGTATTTCGTTGCGTGGCGGGAGATATGAGCCAGAGCGCCTCTTTTTTGTCTAGAACCCAAATATTTCGTGCCAAGATGGAAACATCCTCTGGTGGCGGTAATTACCGAGTCCTATGAGGCCTGCGCAAGGTACTCGATCATGAACTGATCATGTCCTCGGGGCATTAGCACAGATGCACGACATGCCCGAGCACCAACAACAATGACGAGTCGTCGTACTGCTATATCGACAGCAGCATGCATGCGACACATGGACGACTCCATATCGTGCTGCTCTCCCAGGCTTCGTACCCCTCACCGGCTCCCACATATCAGAGCCTGCTAGCCATAAACCGGCACATCATCTTGACGTGAAGGGGAGTAGTAGCCTTCAATGACTGCCATCATCTCTTCTCATTCTTCAGAGATTCTCTTCCCCAATCATAGAATCTGTACACCTCAAGCGAAACGATCTCCCCACCAGCACCCGAAAGCGCTTTCGAAGGCTCGAATTATAAAGGGCGCGAATAACCTCGTTATAGGTCCACGGAGAATATACACTGATCTACGGTTATTGTAAAGATCGTATAAGCTAGAGAGCATAGTTAGAACATGTCGATGTCTTCCTCACATGCGAGGCTGGGTTACTTACGGTATTGGGACACAGTGGTAAGGAAAGAAGAAGAGGATGAGATGGAGATGGAATTTGACCTTTCTTTGCTGGTGCGTGCGCTGGTGTTAGTCAGCCGTGCGGGTGGACATGGACATTGAGATGTGGTCTGTTTGACCTTGATACCGTCTCATATAGACTTGTAGACAGACGAGCATGCTTGGCTGTTGAGTTCTTCTTTGCAACCTCCATCGCTTCTGCAACGTTTTGCGTCGTTTATCGCACGTGTCAGACTCACATGAAACACGAAGCTCGCGGCATTGAAGCCGACGCTAGGGACAACATGGACACAAATCAAGGTCAACAGTAGAGGTACCTCGTGGACATATATAATTTGGTCCTCGCACGTTAGACAGTTCTCTTGCCACCATGTCAGCAGTGCATGGCACGGACAACACATCAAAGTCAGGTAGGTCATCAGACTAAGCTTCCTTCGCCTGCAAAGCATACAGAAGTCGACCAAAGTATTTCTGGAGTGACATGGCTGACGCGGCGTTTCTACAGCATCAAAGAAAAAGAAGAAGAGCAAGAAGAAGGCCAATGGCAGGGCTCCGGATGCAGCTGAGAGTGCACAAGCGAACGGCGTGAAGCACGAGGCTGGCCAGGATGCAGACGAGGACGATGATGACGACGATGTGCCCGAGACGCTACGAGTGGTGAAGCTCAGTGAAGATACGCTGCACATGCCTTCATCTCCGCCGGCACCAGCATCTCCCATAGAAGCTCGAGATCCTCCCACACAGAATGGAGCACAACAGTCACCACAACAAAAGGTCGAGCAGGATGAGAGAGAGACAGTACCACCATCTGAGCCGGACGCCAGCGCTCCTGCGCCAGATAGTCTGCCTTCCGAGACTACAGCCCGTCTGGATGCCCTACAGCAAGAACGAGACTTGTTGCGAGAAGAAGTGACAAGACTACGACAATCTTTGGAGTCAATTCAAACACTCCACAGCGAACAGCGAACCGAGCTAGAGCAGACCCAGCAAGGCAAAGAGAATGCTGAATTGCAATACCGGAACTTACTAGGCAAAGTCAACACCATCCGATCTCAACTAGGCGAACGACTTAAGCAGGATGCCGAAGAACTGGAGCAGGCCCGACGAAGAATAGAAGAACTCGAAGCCAGTAACTCGACAATCGCAGACGAGAACCAGCGGTTGCAAGAAACCATAACCGAGCACCGCAGCAAGCTGGACGCACAGACCGGCGAGATCGAAAGTTTACGTAGCCGGACGAATCTTTCGACAAGCAATTGGGTCAAGGAACGGGACGAAATGGTCTCCCGCGAAGCCTACATCAGAGAAGAATACGAAGTCGCAAAACAGGCTATGCAAGACTGGGAAATTCTAGCCACCGATGAACGTAGCCGCCGCGAAGCACTGGAAGAACGAGTCGGCGACTTGGAAGACCAGCTCGGTGGGTCGAGGGACGCTTACGAGCGCGTGAGGAATGAGACAGAGACGCAAGGCAGTACTGTGGACGGACTACAGCGTGCGCTCCGAGACCTCCAGGATGAAAGGAAGCGAGAGCTGCGAGAAATGGTCGAGCAATCTCAAGCCCAGCTCGATGAGCTAAAGAAGCAAGCAAGCCTAGCCGAGTCCGGCGCAGAAGAACTAAAGCAACACCTCGAAGCCGCGAAGAAAGATCTCGACCGCGCCCTACCATTCGAAAAAGAAGTCCGAGAAAAAAACCTCCTAATCGGCAAACTCCGCCACGAAGCCGTGATCCTAAACGACCACCTCACCAAAGCCCTCCGGTTCCTCAAGCGAGGCAAAGTAGAAGATAACGTCGACCGCCAACTCGTGACCAACCACTTCCTACACTTCCTAGCCCTAGACAGGAGCGATGCGAAGAAATTCCAGATCCTCCAACTCATCGCCGCCTTACTAGGCTGGGACGAAGCACAGAAGGAACAAGCGGGTCTCCTGCGCACAGGCGCCGGGGCATTGGGTTTCGGGAGTGGAACGATGGGGAGTCTTAGACTCCCCGTCTCGCCGTTCAGGCGCACGCCGAGCACACCTACACTTAGTAGTGATTTCGTGCCTGAGACTCCGGGGCTGCAGGGACGGGAGAGCTTGGCGGAATTGTGGAGTGAGTTTTTGGAACGCGAGGCTGAAGCTGGTGGTGGTGGTGGTGGTGGGGTGGGGAGTAGTAGGAGGGGCAGTGTGGCGGCGAAGAGCGTAAGGAGTACTAGTTTTGCTAGCCAAGGTGGTGGTGGTGGTGGTGGTGGTAGTGGTGGTGGGGTCGCGAGTCCGAGTAGTGGTGTGCCGCCCGTGCCTGCTTTACCTGCGGGGGTAGGAAGGCAGAGTCCTGAGGTCAAGAGGACGGAGAGTGGAGGTGGGACGAGGTAGTGATAGGATATCTATCGGATACATCTATCATGGCTCATGATCTCTTCTATTGCCCACTCTTTGCTACCGAGCGACAAACAATCCATACGATCCCAAGGCAGATCGCCCCTGCATTGCCTATACACTTTCCATACTGACGTAAGACATGACACATCTACTTCCCCTCCACCCCCTCCACGCAAAACGCCCGAAACTCCCCCCAAGCCCGCTCCAACTCATCATTAACAATAATCCGATCATGCACCCCCTCGGTCTTCGAAAACTCAATCTCCTTCTCCGCCTGCTCCAACCGCTCCCTAATCGCCTCCTCCTTATCCGTCCCCCTTCCCCTCAACCTCTGCTCCAAAACCTCCACACTCGGCGGCTGCAAAAACACAAACCGCGCATTCAAATCCGTTTTCTTCACCTGCTTCACCCCTTCCATCTCAATATCCAAAATACAAACCCGACCTTGCTCCGCTACATTCTTCACCGCTGCGATGGACGTGCCGTAGAGATTGGAGCCGAATTGGGCGTGCTCGATGAAGCCGTTCTCAGAGACTAGTTTGTTGAAGGTTTCTTTCGTGACGAAGTTGTAGGCGATGCCATCTTCTTCTCCTGGGCGAGGGGAGCGGGTGGTGTGGGAGACGGAGAAGCCGAAGTGGGTGGGGTATTGAGCGAAGAGGCGTTTGAGGAGGGTGGATTTGCCGGCGCCGCTGGGGCCGGAGACGACTATGGGGCGGGGTTGGGCAGCTATGAGAGGGGGGATTGTAAGTGAATGCTCTTTCGATCTTTGCGTGGAGGGTTTGGGTAGATTTACTTGTGGGCGCCATTGTGGCTAGGAAGTTCTTCGATGGAGCTCTATGGGCTGTGCTTGTGATTTGCGAGGTCGTCCAGCAGTGAAGCGGACGGCGAATGGTTTGCATTCAAGGCATTGTGTGGATTGTCAGGTCTGCTTGGGACAAATGTGTGGAGGTGGAGCGTCGTGGTGGAGATGCGGCTCCAATGGCGGGGCCTTGGCGTTTCCGTGCCTTCTCAATACGATGAGTACAGAACCATATACACATTATTATTATTATAGTGGCAGGTATTGACGACACATGCGCATCGTCTGAGTTCCCTAGCACCACACGTGCCCTTCTACCCATGCGAGGCCGCACATGGAAGCTCCCATCGTCAGGAACACTGCCACTGCCACGCTGGTCCCACATGCACAACGAGGCTGTGCAGGGCTGCAGGCACAGGCACGGTTTGCACGTAGAGTTCCGATGGATCACGTTTCAGAGAGGGAGATGGAAGGACGATCTGAGGGGCCGTTGATTCCGCCGATATCTGACGTCGTTCTGATCGTCATTGCGTCAAGAAGACACATGTGACACTCTGCCAAATGGCTCAATGGTGCCGTGTCGCGAGAAGAAGTCGGATCTGCATCTGCGCATCGCGCGGAATCAGGATGCCGTGAACGAGCATGTGATGGAGAGATGCTTCATGGTATGCGATCTAGTCAGCCCATGACCTGGCGTTGTTCATTGGCATAACGAAGTGTGTCCGCATCTGATTGGAGCGCCGCATCACTCCATAATTGCGCTGTATTCTTGGCGTGGAGCCCAAAGATAGACCCGCTAGAGCTTCGATGATGACTGTGACGAGAGTTTGGAGATAACGTGCAAGGCGTATTCCACATCTCCGTAACGCTTGACAGTGTTGAGTGTTGACAGACCTTTGCCGTTTCTAGCAAGAGGGTTATCGATAGCTAGAAAATGCGAGCCATTCACCTCTGTCCATCCCGCCTCAAATATGAGGCTGTGCAAGCCGTTTCATACATTGAGGCAGCACTCAGGCAACTTTGCGTGCTGCGCCCTCTGCTGTCCATACCCTGCACGAGGCAAGGTAGAGCCATTTGGCGCCCGGTATGCGGAGTCATGATTCGCTGGGGCCAAAGAAATAGTCCATTTCCTCTTATTCATCCACGTCTGCTAGCGTTCAATAATAATCACCCGAATCCTTCACGCAACGCACTGCCCGACGATGCACGGACCCCCAGAACAGCCAAACGTTCCGCCCTCACTATTCACCTCAAGCTACCCAGCAGCAGCAGGCCTACACTTCGTCTCGTTTTAGCAACCCAATTCTTACACCCTCCACTCCACACCGTGCGCCTTGATCGCGCACGAGACGTACCTAAGCAGCATGGAGCGAGGCCGGTCGCCTTCTTCGGGCCATGCTCACTCTATAAGACACCCACACTCCGCCTCCACCTCGCCGCACCCGCCGCTCAATGCTTCCTTTGCCGGCAGTCAGAACATATCCGCACACGATAACAGCTTCAAGTCTCTGAACCCTCAGGGCTTCTCCACAGCCGCTTTCTCCGACCCCAGCTTCACGCAGGACTACTCACAGCAGGCGAAGTGGTCGCTGGACCCCACCTTCAATACTGGTTATCAGCAAGAGCAGAGCGGACAGTCGCAGATATCGCCGTCGCAAAGACTGTCAGATACTACGAACCACCAGGCATTTCTTCAGACGTCAAATCTAGCATCGCAAGACTACAGCCAGAACGGTCAAGGCAGCAATCACGTTTCGCCTAGTGCGCTGAACCAGAACAATCTCCCTTTCAGCCAAGACACAAGCGCATTTCCCTCTTTCGACTTCAACCAACCTGACTACGATCTGTCACGGTCAAGCTTCGACGGCGGCGCATCGCTTGATCCACAATTATTATCTGGCTTGGACGCAGGATCACTGGATCCGTTATCCGTAAATCCCCTTAGCAGCAATCTTGCTGTGTCACAAGACCAAATGGCTGCCACTATGCAGTCCCACACCCCCACACCACCTCACAACTTGTACCCAGACATGACGCGGCGACAATCTGGAAGTCCTAGCCCGCATGCGACACCAGGATTTGCGCAAAACGGTTTCCAGCAGCAGATGGGCCGACCGCGCAATGTTTCCGAGTCGCTCGACCCGGCCAGTGCAATGTTTCCGCAAGGTCAGAACGAGTGGCCCTCGCGCGCATATGGTGGCCACAGACGGCAACACTCGGATAACATCTCTGAGCTGTCGTCACATTCGGCGCAAGCATCACCATACCTGGCAACTCTGGACAGCTTCGATCAGAACCCTACCACCCCACCAACGATGCACCCGGCTCAGGATGCAGTGTTCAATGGCGATCTCGGCTTGCAGGGCTTCTCTATCAGCGAGGGCCAGATGCAGCAGCCTTATATCAGCCCCAACCACAGTGGATATCCTTCTCCACAACCACAAATCCAGCAACTACCACCTTTCACGGCCGACAACCATTACGGTCTTGCAGCAACAATGAATGGTCAATTCACTCAGCAGGCGAATGGTCTCGATCTATTCCCAAATGTGGCGCAAGATCCCTTTCCAGCTCTCAACCATACAAGTCCTGGCGAAGGCGCGGCTGACCAAATGAGCCCGCCTGAGATCAATATTGACTATGCGCCACCAACGAGGAATCCCATGGAGAATATGCGAGCTGGTACTCATGCAGACGATACTTTGAGTCCGCCTCTACGAAGTCAAAGTCGCAATAGGATGCGCGCGAAGTCGGACTCACACGCTGGCTCCCGGCCGACGTCACCTTTCATGCCTGGTCGGGTGAGATCACCGTCTCTGCAACCACAAACTTCGGACCCCGGCGAGTTATTGGCACCCATCAACGACAGGAAGAACTCACGGTCACCATCCCCTGGTCGTGGTCGTGCCGGGTCACATGGATCGCGCCAAAGAAGTACTAGTCATGCTTCCGACCAACGCGACTACATTCTTGACCTAGCCGACCCCGACCGCTCGCCCTCCAACGGCGCAGACAAGGGCCGCATACAGAAACACCCAGCTACCTTCCAATGCCATCTCTGCCCCAAACGCTTCACACGAGCCTACAACTTGCGGTCTCACTTGCGCACACACACCGACGAGCGGCCCTTCGTCTGCACAGTCTGCGGCAAAGCCTTCGCCCGACAACACGACCGCAAACGTCACGAGGGTCTGCATTCGGGCGAGAAGAAGTTCGTCTGCAAGGGTAACCTCACGAGCGGCGCACACTGGGGTTGTGGGCGGCGATTCGCTCGCGCAGATGCATTGGGCAGACATTTCCGATCAGAAGCCGGACGCGTATGCATCAAGCCCCTCCTCGACGAAGAAGCGGCAGAGCGCCAACGAGCATGGATGGAAGAACAACAACAGGCGCAAGTCGCCGCCGGTCTCGTCGCTCCACAACCCATGCTCGACCAACCGCACATGGATCTCAATAATTTCCTCCCGGCGGCATTACTGCAGCAGTATCCTGCCTTAGCCGGGATCGACTGGAGTTCCGTGCCTCAGGACCCACCGATCGATGAGGAGTACTCTGGCCGCAGCTCCTTTGACGCTGGGGCTAGTAGCGGTGGCGAGTATTATGACGACGGCAGCGAGAATGAAATGGGCGGGTATCCGGACCCGGGGATGACGGGGTTGAATAATATTAACACGATGACTACGATGAGTATTATGAATGGGTTTGGGGTGAACATGGGACAGGGGCAGAGGCAGGCGCAGGGTGGTGCTCAGCAGCAGCAGCATCAGGGGTTTGGTGGTGGTGGGGGGATGTATCATAACCAGGCCGGGGATTACTTGAGTGATTTTGAGGGGAGATGATGATGATGAGGTTGGTTGGCGCTTGGAGGCTGAGCGTTGAGCTTCTGTTGCTGTTGGGTTGATGATTGCTTGTTATGATACCATATATCCCTTTTACTTTTTGGCTATGGAGTGCAATATTGGCATATATGGGGTTGAATATAGATTTACGATGATGCCACTTCTACCCACTTTTGATGGCTTTACCCCATGGCACTTTCATGACTTCCTCACTTGTCCGTAGGTTCAGTCATGATTGCGAGTGTCTAGCAGGAGTGAAAGCTCCATGGAGGCGTTTTCTAAGCGCGACCGCATCGGGCCAAGCTCGGAACGTCATCGCACTGAGCAGTTCTGGGTCGTGGCAGTCTTTGCTTAGCACATCCATACACGCGACACAACGCAGCCTCTTCTGACTTACTCCCTACCCAATATTGAATTCAGATCCCCTCCGCCTCCATACGACTGATACGACGTGCACACTCACGGTCGAGTAAACGAACTCTCCTGTACAGCAACAGTCACCCAGCCGCCCTCGCCTTCCAGACTCTGCCCCGACCCCACCTTTTCCAACCATCCTCCGTACATTCCACCTGCACACGGAAGAAGGGAGACATTGTTGCTTGCTCGCTCGGCTTTGAGCACTCGGTCACAGTATGGGTCAGACACTGTCGGAGCCCGTGGTGGACAAGGTAAGCACATTACACCCCTCGTCGCCGCCGTGGAAGGAGAAGGAACCATGACGACTTCTGCGAGCCCCACTTTATACCGTACAGATAGATATGGGCATATACACCCGAAGACTGGGAGAAAGCGGCGGGAACAGACACCAGTGGCTTCACTGGCACTCGAAGAAGCTCATGACTGCGGTCACTCGGAAGAAGATATACTGACACAAAACCCTTCGCCGCACAGCACTCCTCCTCCGGCCAAGATGACCGCTGCATCTACGGCGTCAGCGCCATGCAAGGCTGGCGAATTAACATGGAAGACGCGCACAGCACCATCCTCGACCTCAAGAGCCCGGCCGAAGGCGGCAGCAGCGAAGGCAAAGCAGCAGACGCGGACTCCAAACCCACAGAGTCGGACGTGCGGATAACGTATTTCGGCGTGTATGACGGGCACGGCGGCGATAAAGTGGCGCTATATACGGGCGAGCATCTGCATGATATTATTGCCAAGCAGGAGGCGTTTAAGAAGAAGGATTTTGAGCAGGCGTTGAAGGATGGATTTTTGGCGATTGATCGCGCGATTCTGAGTGGTGAGTTTGCTGTGCACTTATCGGGGCGTTGAGGAGGGGGGTGTAGTACTTTGAGTGGCGGATATGCTAACGTGATGTCTGTGTAGATCCCAAGTACGAGGAGGAGGTCTCTGGCTGCACGTCCACGGTCGGCATTATGACCAAGGAGAAGATCTATGTGGTACGTCATTGCAAAGACATGACCTGTTGACATCTATACTAATGTTTACAGGGCAACGCTGGTGATTCACGAACCGTGCTCGGCATCAAAGGCCGCGCCAAGCCACTCTCCTTCGACCACAAACCTCAAAACGAGGGCGAGAAGGCTCGTATCTGCGCTGCTGGCGGTTTCGTCGACTTCGGCCGAGTCAATGGCAATCTTGCACTGAGTCGTGCTATTGGCGATTTTGAGTTCAAGAAGAGCGCCGACCTTCCACCGGAGCAGCAGATTGTCACTGCCTTCCCGGAAGTTACCGTACACGAATTCGGCGAAGACGACGAGTTTGTCGTTTTTGCCTGCGATGGTAAGTTTACATTGAGTGCTCGGTCCTGGCGCACAAGCTGACAAGAATCCAGGTATCTGGGATTGCCAATCTTCACAAGCGGTCGTCGAGTTTGTGCGAAGAGGTATTGCCGCCAAGCAAGACCTTGAAGCTATCTGCGAGAACATGATGGACAACTGCTTAGCTAGTAACAGCGAGACGGGTGGTGTGGGCTGTGACAACATGACCATGGTCATTGTTGGTCTCCTACAAGGCAAGACGAAGGAGCAGTGGTACGACATGGTGGCCGAAAGGGTCTCGAACGGCGATGGGCCTTGTGCACCTCCTGAGTACGGCAAGTCTTGATCCCTCGCTCTGCCTGCTCTGCACTTGCTTGCTCTGCCTTTTGTTACTTGACTTCAATCGACCTCGACCTGCGGCAGCACTTCTAAATCTCATCTACTAACACATCCTCCTAGCCGAGTTTAGAGGACCAGGCCGACACCACAACTTCGATGATTCGCCTTCAGACGACTACGACATGGACATGGATCAACGAACACGCATGCTAGGCAGAGGTAACGGTGGCCGCATCATCTTGCTTGGCGACGGCACTGAGATTCATACAGGTGGTCCCGACGATGACGGCGACGTGGACATGGCTGATCGCGGCGAGGCGGAGGAGTTGGAGGATAGTGATTTATCTGAGCAGGTGAGGAAAGGCCAGCAGCAAGCTAGTAGTGAAGGTGGGAAGGGCGAGGATGGGCAGAAGGTGGAGGGTAGCAGTAGTGGTGGGCCGGCGATGCACTCGGTGGAGGAGGTCAAGAGCCCGATGTCGCCGCCTCAGGGGCAGCAACAGCAGCAGTCGACTTCTACCTCGAGCACCTCGGCATCGTCTGGTACTACAGGCGGCACGTCTTCGGAAGGTCCTGCTGATGAGCCGAAAATGTCTGTGCCGGTTGACGGCGTGGATAACAAGAAGCTGCATGAGGAGGCTGCTGCCTCTTCTGCATCCAAGTGAGCGGCGCTATCCTATACGGCAGAATCTCTTTGTGCATGTAGCAGCGAGCGAGCGAGGTGGGGGCCTGTAGCTGCAGCTATCAGGCACGCAGAACAGGCAGGCAGACAGCAGTAAATGATACCCTTGTGCGTATACTGTAGCGGTAACCAAGGTTTTCCTTTATTCTACAGACATGCTTTTCTGGTCGTCGGGATATCCGGTCTTGGCCATAGTGATAAGTGGTAGCACTCGCATCGTGCTACTGAAATCCTGCATTTGTGCGTACTTCCCATGACGTCGCCCGCAAGCCGAAACAGGAATACTGTCACATGCCAACCGATAAGTTCTTTGCAAAGGATTGGAAAGTTGGTATCTTGCACTTATCTTCCATCGAGATATGTTGCTGACAACGTCACTTTGACGAAACGAGACGAGAGCCCTGTTCCACTTCCAATTGACTTTCTGCGATCTTGCGGCTCGCCGCGGGAAAGAAGGCACGCTTTGACCTTCGCTCGAACTCCCAATCTCCACCGGTCCCCCGGCTCTCTGCGTCCAGGTTTCCAAGGTTGGTGAATGGGCTGACAGCTGATCATCGAGCCTTCTTCAATCGTTGCTCGGAACTTGCAATCCGGTTGTTGTTCTAGACAGTATCACGACCACAAGATATGCCCCCCAAACGCAAAAGAGCCGGCACCGCGTCCAAGGACGCTGCACCGGACAGCACACACGAGGGTACTGTCAATACCACGCCAGATGGAAAGGCCACTGACACGGCACAAGAAGTCACGCCTGTCGTCGACTCACCAGCCAAACGCACCCGCTCTGCTCAAAACGGAGATGCTCCTCCAGCTAAGCGATCGAAGGATGCGACTGGCCGACCGAGAGCCGCGAGCAAAGTGGAAATGCCGGCCAATGGTGCAGCGGAGGGCGCTGGCGAGAATGGCGAGGCAGGACAGATGAGGATGCCTCCTCCGCCTCCAGCTGGTGCGGTGGATCCTGTTGGCTACAAGACTAATCCGCCTCCTAAAGACAGAGCTGTACGCGTCTATGCGGATGGTGTGTTTGATATGTTCCATCTGGGTCACATGCGTGTGCTTCAGCAGGCGAAGACGGCGTTTCCGGATACCTATTTGATCGTGGGTGTGACGGGTGATGCTGAGACGCATAAGAGGAAGGGTCTCACCGTCATGTCTGGCAAGGAGCGTGCGGAGTCACTCAGGCATTGCAGATGGGTGGATGAAGTGGTTGAGGATTGTCCTTGGATCATCAATATGGGGTTTTTGGAAGAACACGAAATCGACTACGTAGCCCACGACGATCTCCCCTACGGCGCGAGCGAAGGCGACGACATCTACAAGCCGATAAAGGAAAAGGGCATGTTCCTCGTCACGCAACGCACCGAAGGCGTGAGCACCACCGGCATCATCACCAAGATCGTCCGCGACTACGAACAATACGTGTCTCGACAACTGAAGCGTGGAACCAGGAGACAAGAGCTCAATATTTCCTGGCTGAAGAAGAATGAGCTGGATATCAAGCGGAATATCTTCGAGCTGAGGGATTCTATTAGGCAGAACTGGACGACTACGGGCCAGGAGTTGAGTCGAGAGTTGAAGCAGTTCTGGCAACCGGGTGGTAGTAGGCCTGCTAGCCCGGCTGCGTCTCTCCGGAATGGCACACCGGGTCGTGCGAGCAGTGCGCGGAGTCCGCTGGGTACGGGCAATGGTGGCTCAGTCACGCCTCAGCGTGGTGAGCCCAAGGCTAATACTATGGACTTCGCGGCTGGGTATGCTATGGGACTTATCGGGGGTGTCAAGGGGTGGATGGAGGGTGGGAGTCGGAGACGGAACTTGTCGGATAGCAGGGCTCCTAGTCAGAGTGGGAGTGAGGGTGAGGAGGAGGATGGGGGAAGGAGTCCTCTGGTTGCTGAGGCTAGTCGGGGGAGGGCGATGGGGAAGAAGGGTGAGGATGGTAGTGGGCACTTGGCTGTTGAGATGGAGATGTAGTTTGGGTTGCAGGGGAAGGAAAGGATGTAGTTGTTATGCATAGATTGCTTGAACAGAATGTTCGTGAATGTTGTCAAGGTGAGTGCTGGGACGGGACTTGTCTAGATCGGTGGGTGGCGAGGAGCAAGGTTTTGTTTGTGTCTCGTTGCCACGACCTGGATGCAACGTCCCATGGACGTTGGCGGTTGTGCTCATAGAAAGTCTGGATCCGCGAGACTGTATCATACTGTAATCCAGAACAGATTGTGCTTCGTACCGATATCTGCTCACGTCTGTGTCACCACTCAACTTTGGCAGCATTATACGTGTTAAATGCCCTGGGCGAAGCGTTGTGAAGATCAGCGAGGGCCTCCAACCTGGCATACGAGTCTTGTGGTATGAAGCAGATGTCAGGATGTGCCTACTATCTACCCCAGCAACATATGCTTGAGTCGGCAGACACCCATACTCGCAATTAATTGTGCAGTCATTATTGTTACATATTACGGCACTGCATCATGTTTATTATATACCGGCATAGAGCCCTTCACTCCTTTTGCCGTTGTAATGTCCGAGTCCCAGTGGCGATCAGCATGCACGGTATTTTCGTCCCACGGAATCCTGCGGCCAGCTGAGTAGACATGCAAAGCGACGCTAAGAAACACAGCGAGAGTCCGAGGTGATTCGATCCAGTGGTCGCCTTTATGCAGTCTCGGGGCACTGCTCGTAAGAAGCATGTCGGTCCATGGACGACGGTTAATGAATTGTGGTACGGCCATCGTTTCGAAGAGTGATGTCCAAGGTTCATGCAACCTCGTTTGATCTTTCTGCGGCCCGTTGTTCTAGCGGCGTTGCCACAGCCAAAGTTTCTGTTCTTTGCGACGAGGATCATAATTTGAGTAAAGCTTGGCCGCATAAAACACGACTCCATGCTTCGTCATCCCACTCACACCGTCTTGACGCTGAGTGTATGGCTCGCCGCTGGCCGAAGAGACTTTGCACCTGCACCACCGAGAATAATTGGCGCTGCACTGCGCCATCCTCGCATCATCACTACTCTCTTCAGTGTTTTCACATCTCCACAGCCGTGATGAAGCTGCATGTCGCCGCTGGCTTTGCTGGAAGCTTTGAGCGCCATCCCCTGGGACGTGCAGGACACCCAGGCTTTTGACTTAATGAGCGGCCATGTGTCGGACGGGGTAGCGACAACGGTCGGTCATGTTGCATGTCGCCTCCCTCCTTTTGTAGTAAAAATAATACCTGTGTGTCTGCAGCGCTGGCAAGAGCCGAGAATGGTGCTGCTACCCTCTCTGACTGTACTCTACCATGCTCGCTGCGCAAGCGTGCATACCCGTCCACGACTACCCTTACATACACTTCTCGACCACCCGAGACTCGACCGGACCTGGGCGGAAGTGAACACACTTGCCTTTCCTGACACTCTCTCTCTCTGACCTCACTTCACAAACGTTCATATTGTAATTAGACAGGTACTCTCAGCTTTGACACACCACGCTTGGTCGCAGGCGCAACGACCATTACTGTGTCAGACATTCTTTCCCAAGCAACGAGAACAGTTTCCTTTGTGGTTGGCGGCGGCCGTCTTTCAACATTCCATCCTTCAGCAACAGCGAGCACTCCTTGCTATACGCTTTCAGCAATTTTCGTCACTCAAAGGCACGCCGGATTTTCTTCTTGCTTACGCATACCATCGGGAGGGAATTGGCAAAACCATAGTGGCTCGACCGCCGCTCGCAGGTGAGTAACAATGGCATGAGCCTTCATTGCCCGCTTTGGGGTTCGACAACATGACGCTGTACACTGTGCCAAACCTGAAAAGCGACCTCGAGCTACAACATCTTCATTATCCTCATCGTCGCGGGTGGGTGCACTGTGTAGGAGTGGCGCTGACATGCGTCGCAGCAGCAGGATCTCGTGACTAGAAGCATCGACAGACCTTGAGCATTAGTGAGGCGTCTGGCGTCGTTCACTACTCAGCAAACCTATCCCGGGCTCAACAACACCAGGCATGAGATACTCCTAGGTATTTCACACGTGCGGAAGGTATCACGTTTTCTGGTTCGGCTATAGCAGCCTAATTGCTCCCTCGACACATGGATCCAAATATGCCTGGACCATCAGGTCACCAGTTGCCAAGGCGCTCATCGACGGCGACGGCATGCTCACCCAATGCACCACACGCCCACTCGACCACGCTCAGCCGCGGCGAGAGCAGTCCCATCATGCACCGCAAGACCCGCTCCCAGCCAGTGTCAGCGGATCGTGAGTCACTAGAGCCAGAGACAACAAGTCATGACAGCGCATCTATGGCATCGACATCGCCAGCGACTACTTCATACGAAAGCGCATCACCGGCCTTATCTTGCAGTTCTCCTGCCATGTCCGACCAGGAACTCATCTACGAGATCTTCGACTATATCCTTGAGAATATGGAACCTAACGGGGCGGATATCTCACACTTCTACGAGGTCGCGACAAAGCAGCCTCCTATCACACCGGAGTCGTTAGCAGAGCTGGATATGCCGCGAATCATCAATAACCCAAAGCTACGCCATGATGTCAATTTCGACCGCGAGCTGCACTTTCGACCCAATCTGGAAGGGTCGAAGGGCAAGCAGAAGTTGAGGTCTGCCGATCAGTACTGGCAAGCTCTAGAAGGCGAGCTCTTCATGTACGGCTTCGCAGCTGTTCGAAAGCAGACTGCTGCGTATCCCGCAGCCCAAGCACACTGGGAGCGCGTACTTCGAGGAACGCAAAGACGACTACGGCAGATCTTTGAAGCAATCCGCGATATTCTCAGCACCCTGGTCCCAGATCATGAGCAAAAGCGAATCCGTGCTCGATTGGACGTAGATCTGATCATGCAGCAGATCACGAACGGCGTTTGCGATCTGATCGATCTGAGTACGTGGCTTGCTACGGTCGTGAAGAAGCACTGTGCACCGATGCGCGATGAGCTTGTGGACGCCATGTCGATGGACATTCAACGCGGTGCGCTGGAGAATCGTCACGACAAGCTCGTGAACGGACTACGTCAATTGCTGAACATTCTCGAGGCGATGAAGCTCGATGTAGCAAACCACCAGATTCGGCATATGCGTCCTTTGCTGGTTGATGATACTGTCAACTTCCAGCGTAGGTACAATGCTCATCGGATCTCTTTGGGCAAGATCGAGGTGCGCAAGTGTCAAAAGTGGTTTGACGAGGAGATGGAAGGTCTCACTGCGCGAGCAATTGAGCTTGGTACGCCGCAGCCGACAACACTAGATGCGCTCTCATCTGCACTACTGCGAGATCTGCTCTTCAACGAAGCAACACCCTGCCCGCCATCATTCTACCTCGACTATGACCGCCTTCGCATCATTCGCAACGACATCCGCAGCACAGTCAGCCACGAGATCTGCCGAGCCACCCTTGCTGAACTCACACCACCATGGGTCTCACCCGCTGAACTCCTAAAAGCGCAAGGTGCACTCCAATGCGCCGTCTCCGCCATCGTAGGCATGTCGAGTCGCTTCACCGAACGCGTCGAGAATATCGCCGTGGAGATTGTGCGATTCTTGCTCGTACTCGAAGGCCGCTACCCACCTTTTGACGGCACGCTGCTAGGCATGGTAGAGCAGAGACTGGCGCAGGCTCTTCAGCCGACTTCTCAGGCCTTCGACAAGCTTGCTAGGGACACTTGTGATAGGCTATTGCCGAAGCTGAAGGTCTGCGTGGATGCGCATATCCGCATGTCGGCCTTGGATCTGCAGGATGCACTCGTATCGACGATCATGCCTGCGCTTTCACCTTCGCCCTTTGGCTTCGGTGCTGTGTTGACACCGCCTGCGGGCATGGTGAAACAGTATGATCCTGATGAGGATATTGTGAGGCGCATGACACATATCATCTGCTTGCATTGGCAAGTCTGGGCCGATCTGGTCTATCTTGCGCCGAAGGTGGGTGAGGCAGATACTAGTGCTTCAGCCTCTCTTACACCCAGCCCAACGATACCGATTGCGCAGGCTGTCTATGCGCCGGGTAAGAAGTGGTTGCCTGTGAGTGTCACTGTCACCGATGTCCCAAGCGGTATGCCCACACCAGCTTCGACACCAAAGCCAGCCGCTGATGCGGACATCCCGAGAGGCACAGAGGGTGCCGATCCAGAGGCTGGCGATGCGACACAACAGGAATCGGAGTCACTGGACGCACATCAGCATCCGACTACTTAAGCGCGACTTCATACTTACAGGAGTCATACTGTCCCTGTTTCGAGACAAGACCTTGTCCAGGCAGGAGTCTTGAACTGTCTACTAGCACTCACATGCCAAGCGGACTCACACACAGGTCTCCACCTTGACCACTCTACAACCAAACGACATCGGTCACCCCGATCTTCTTTGTACAATACTTTTTCCATAACCAGATTGATTGAACTAGCACAGCGTTGGGTGGCTTTCTACCAAGCATTGGCGGCAATGGGCGTCAGCGAGCGTTGTTGGGGCATGGTAATATGGAGTTATGGATATGGGCATTTTGTTGGCGTGGGCATTATCGGTTGGTTTGCGACAGATATACCCACAGTGTTGGCTGGTTGTGCTTTGATGGTGCTGTATGGTACTCTATTATGATGCCTACTGGGAGTGCTCAGCCGTGAGGGCGACGAGTAGGTAGCAAATGACTTTATAATATCCCAACCATGATCTCTGTTACTTTGTACAGTGGTAATTCTTGTTCTTCTTGTGGTGGCATTGTGACGCATCCCACATCATTACGTCAATCTTGATATTTTGTCCTCAACTTCAAGATCAGTATTGGTCACAAGTTCAACATCTTCACCACAGTACAACGTACATCATTGGGCAACCATGCCCACTACTCTCACTTTTCTCGCCACATGCACTCCGCCCTGTAACACTCGGACTTGGCAAAGCACCCCTCATCCCCATCTACCCATTGTCGCGACTGCATGCTCAGACAAGACTGTGCGGATCTACTCATTACAGAACTTCCAACAACTATCTACAATTTCTGGAGGACATAAGCGGTCGATAAGGAGTTGTGCGTGGAAGCCCAATAGTCTCGGCGAGAGTGTTCTCGCGACTGGGAGTTTCGACAGCAGCGCTGGAATATGGAGGCGATGGGAGGGTGAGAATGCTGCTGGGACGGGGAAGGGACAGGAAGTAGACTTCACGGCTGGACTATCGGGTGGGAACGGTGCTCAGGATGACGAGGACGACGACGAGTGGAGGTTTGCTGTTGTTCTCGATGGTCACGATTCAGAGATCAAGAGTCTAGCTTTTGCACCAACAGCACCTCTTCTGGCCACATGCAGCAGAGACAAGAGTGTATGGATATGGGAAGAACTAGAGGACGACAACTTCGAGACTGTCGCTGTGCTGCAGGAGCACGAAGGAGATGTAAAGTGTGTGGCTTGGCATCCTAAGGAGGAATTACTGGCGAGTGCGAGTTACGATGACAATATCAGGTTATGGAGAGAGGATGTGGACGACTGGGCATGCTGTGCTCTGATGACAGGGCATGAGGGCACGGTGTGGTGGGTGGAGTTTGAGGACGCCAACGGCATCTACACTCTTGGGTCGCAAGAAAATCTGAACGAGGAGCAACAAGCTTATGTGGCTACGAGACTGGAGGCGGGACCACGACTGATCTCCTGCTCAGATGATACGACAATCAGGATATGGAGGAAGGCTTCCAAGAATAAGCCTGCAGCTAGTGGAGCGAGGATGCCGAGTATTTGGAAGAATAGAGATTTCGAGGAGGAATGGCTAGAGGAGGCAAGGCTGCCGCAGGTTCATGAAAGGCCCGTGTACAACGTTTCGTGGAGCCGGAAGACGGGAAGGGTGGTTAGCACGGGCAGTGATGGCAAGATTGTTGTTTACGAGGAGAGGTGGCGAAAGGATGGTGCTGAGAAGAATGAGGACGTTGTGATGGCTGAGGGCACGTCTGCATCGGAGTCGTCAAAATCTGTCACGGAAGAAGTCAACGGACAGGATGGTCATCGAAATGCAACAGAATGGATAGTGGTGGCAGAAGCAGAGAATGCGCACGATGTGTTCGAAGTTAATCACGTTGTGTGGGCGCCAAGAGCAGACAAGGGTAAGACTACGGACGACGAAGAAGTCATCATCAGCACGGGGGACGATGGCGAAGTGAAGATCTGGACGTTGTCGGATTGATTTGGGGCTTCAATGAACACGGCCATCCTTTACTTTGACCGTGTAGCAGAATACAACTCCTCCGACGCTCTGAGTACGGCACAACAGACGGTGGCGCTTCGAATTGCTGTCGCATTCGTGTACTGTCATCCTATGAGCGCTCTTTCACCTGCCGTGTTCGAGCACCCGGCCAAGATCATGCCCATCGCTTGTCGATAGCCACCAAGATAGGCCTCTGCGCCTCGACAAGGCTGCGCACGCGTGACCAGTCCAGATCTCGCAGCTCTTTCACTTGCTGAAACAACATGGAAAGCACTAGCTTCAGCTTCTCGCCGTGTCCGTCAGACCAGATCGCGGTCATTTTGAGACGCAACAGTACAGCACCGCTATGGTACCATTGGAGCCACTGCATCAGATTTGACCAATGTGGCTGCGGAGAGCCCACCAATATAACGGTGTACGTCAAGACACACCTCTTTTTTGTCAATCCTCTCAGTGGGGCGAGTAGTTTTTGGATTGGACTGATATCGTAGCTGGATACCGGACATGTGAAGCTTTTGCCGCCATAGTATAGTTTAGACGCCTTTTCCCGAAAGGTGTGACAGGTCGAGAGTAGTGCCGGTCTCGCGTAGCCATGGCCAGTGATGGTGATTTCGTCGGCATGCATGACCGTAAGGTGGTAGATCATGTTGCGGAGCTCTCGTGGAAGGTCCAGAAGCCGAGATGTACTTCTCGCGATGTGGCGCCACGTTGGCGGTGGTAGCGGAAATCGCGACCCGGTACACTGAGGTCGAGTGGAAAGGGGATGCTGCGAAGCAAAGTTGATGTTCGTGGAGGAACGAGCATGACCCGCAAATTGAGATTAAGAGCAGTCGCTGCTTACATTCGAGTCCATTCACCTAGCCCGGCTAAGCTGATGTACGTTCACATAAGCGATGGAACAAGAACCTTGCTGACCCGCAACGTTGACGTAAGAACTGAACGACACCGGGCATGCCAGCTGTGCGCATTTTCACGATGTGAATCAGCCGACACGATCCATCGCAAGCTGTCAGCTCCCTATCCATACCCATAGCTTGTGCTCGGTCCATGATGACAACCATGCCTCGATGTTTCATTTCCACAAACGATCGAGGTTTTCCAGCAATGGTTTCTGCGCCTTAACAACCTCCCTCACAACTTCCCAAGGCACCTCACGTAATTCGCAGACCTGAGAAAATAGCCCAGTCACAGCAAGGATCTTAGGACCCGCCAACGTAGGATCCTCCAAATGAGTCTGCGTCATGATATGTTCGCTCTCGTGGCTTTCCTTGAGCTAGGCTAGTAGATGCGGCCAATTCGGCGTTGCCGCTCCCATTCTGTACTCGATATGTATGTCGCATTGATACTCGATCGTCGTTGGCATTTGCGCGACGAACTTTTGGAGCGGCCCGTTACTGTAGTCTACGACGTCGAATGCGAAGCGTTTGCCCCTGTAGTACGTAGCGAGGGCCTCATCCTGAATGCCTCGACAGGTCGATAGGAGGGCTGGTCTAGTGTAGCCAGCTTTGGTGATGGTGATGCGCTCAGTTTCCATCACCACGAATGAGTAGATCTGATCCCGCAGGCCCGCAGGCAACGAGATGGCATCTTGACTTTGCAACCGGGGGCCCCTGTCTAAGTGATTGCAGTTCATGTTCAATGGCTGCACTTTCGAAGGTCTCCGCTGTCCTCGACATATCTCGACCTTTGTGATGGGTCCGTGTGAAGAGGCGCATGTCGGTGGTCAGTGAGCAATGGAATGCACACTTTCCGAACTGTCAATCCAGGTATACAACAGCAAGCGGATGCGAGATGCTCAAGCTCATGGTCGAGAGCAGGCATTTACACTCCACGAACTTGTCAACTGAAGTCAACAGCTTGTAGCTTGTATCTATAAATGACTGGTCGACGTCTGGAACTACCGTATAGTAAGCACGCACAGCGAACAAGCACTATCTACACGTTCATTACCATCGTCATAAGTGCATTTTGTCTGCTGATTCGAGATTCTCATATGGAAGATGCAAACGCCATGCTCCGTGTACTCGCACGGCGCCAGGCTCGATAAGACGATTTCCTCTTAAGCTTTGTGAGTTCAGCTCTGTGTGCACCGGCCCAATAGTGCACCAGCAATTTGCTGGTTTTTGGCTCTGGAGTCATCTAAAATCAGTGTCTATGTTATCTGACAAGAGCCGTGGCAAAGTCTCTTTGGCGTGTGAAAGCCTCGGAAGATCCGTGCGTCATTTCTCCGGCACATAGGGCTGAACCTCCGAGCTCGACGTAGAGAAGAGGAGTCTGAACCGCAGCATTCCGTCGTGAGGATGCTTGGCTATATGAGGAGAAGTCGTGGCAGTAAAGTCTATATCATGTCGAAGGATTCCTCCTCTACGCTTTGCCAATCTTGGGTGATGCCATAACGGGCCCACAGTCACTTCACCCGCCTTGACCCTCCGCCATTGAGTTATTTCACCGAGCTGCTGCCGACGAAAGATCATCGGGTGGTGGAGCTGCAGTTCGAGGACGATCGACGACTGACCCACAGGGCCGTAAGTCGGTCTTTATTATTGAATAGGTTCGGTCTCGAGCTGCCTCTTGCCCCCGACAACTCATGGCTGGTCGCACTATTGGTAGTCGACTGCTTCGAGCAGCAGGCTATGCCTCTGTCGTTGGTGTAGCCGGTGCTGGAGGAGTCTACTTCATCTATCGCCCGCGAGACATTCCTGGCACAGAAGCTGCGTCTGTGCCTCCTCCTACTTACGGCGAAGGAGGAGTCTACCGGGCACAGCATTTCCCAAGAGAGAAGAGCAGAGCAGAGCAGATCGCCGATCTGAAGGCCAGTGCTGGTACAGCATTCAAGCAAGCTGCAAACAAGGTCTCAAATGCTATAGCTGGTACTGAGCAGCAAGATGAGAACGACGATAATGCCTATGACTTGCTCATCATTGGTGGCGGAGCTACAGGAACTGGTGTCGCTCTCGACGCAGCATCAAGAGGCTTGAAAGTCGCACTAGTCGAACGAGACGACTTCGCGGCAGGAACCAGCAGTAAGAGCACGAAGCTCGTCCATGGTGGTGTACGATACTTGGAAAAGGCTGTGTGGCAACTCGACTACAACCAATACAAGCTGGTCAGAGAAGCCCTCCGCGAACGCAGATACTTCCTTGACACAGCACCGCATCTCTCATCATGGCTCCCAATCATGATTCCTGTCCAGAAATGGTGGCAGGCACCTTACTTCTGGGCTGGAACCAAATTCTACGACTTCCTCGCTGGCTCCGAGAATATCGAATCATCTTACTTCCTCACTCGCAGCAAGGCTCTTGATGCCTTTCCTATGTTGAAGAAGGAGGGGTTGTTTGGTGCTTTGGTATACTATGATGGTGCACACAACGATTCTCGCATGAATACTTCGATTGCCATGACTGCTGCGCTCTACGGCGCCACTATTGTTAACCATGCTGAAGTCACTGCTCTGGAAAAGGATGCCAATGGCAAGCTCTGCGGTGCCACGGTCAGTGACAAGATTGCAGAAGCCAATGGCGGCAAAGATGAATTCAAAATCAGGGCCAAGGGAGTCATCAATGCTACTGGACCATTCACTGATGGCATTCGCAAGCTCGACGACCCCAGCGTGCAAGAGATTGTTGCTCCCAGCTCTGGCGTCCATGTCATCCTACCCGGCTACTACTCTCCCTCGGATATGGGCTTGATTGATCCCAATACCTCCGACGGCCGTGTCATCTTCTTCCTCCCTTGGGAGGGTAACACCATCGCTGGTACGACCGATGCACCTTGCGATATTGCCCAGAATCCCATCGCTGGCGAAGAAGAAATCAACTGGATCCTCAGCGAGGTGAAAAACTATCTCCAACCCGATATTAAAGTCCGCCGCGGCGACGTCCTAGCCGCTTGGTCCGGTATCCGTCCCCTCGTCCGGGACCCCAAGAAATCCAAATCCGAGGGTCTTGTCCGTAATCATCTCGTCACCACTTCACCATCAGGTCTTGTCACGATATCAGGTGGTAAATGGACGACCTACCGCCAAATGGCCGAAGAAGCCGTCGACGAAGCGCTCAAGGTCTTCCCCACTATTAAAACAAAACCTGTCCCTGCTCCACCGCTCGTAAGCGGCGTAGACGGATTCCGCGAAGATATAGTCCTTGATGGAACCTGCAAAACGCACAATGTGCGTCTCATAGGCGCCCATGGCTACAGTAAGACCCTCTTCATCAACTTGGTCCAACATTTCGGCATCGATACAGAAGTAGCGAAACATCTCTGCTCATCCTACGGTGATCGCGCTTGGACTGTGGCTTCCTTGTGCGAACCTACGGAACAACGGTTTCCCGTTCGCGGTAAGCGTATTTCGGAACTCTATCCTTACGTCGATGGTGAAGTGCGGTATGCTTGCCGCCACGAGTACGCCGAGAACGCTGTTGATGTCTTTGCGAGACGGACACGGCTGGCTTTCTTGAATGCGCAAGCTGCGCTCGAAGCCCTTCCCACGATCTTGGACATCATGACCGAGGAGAAGAAGTGGAGTAAAGCAAGGCAGGACAAGGAGTGGAAGGATGCTATCTCTTTCTTGGGTTCCATGGGGTTACCGAAGGGTAAACTTGGTTTGACTAGGCAGCAGGTGGAGAAGGGTGAAGTGGGAAAGTATGTCGATGAGGAGTACGGGATGTATGCGAGACATGGTGAGTCGCTGCCTGCTTCAAGATTCTATGACTTAAGGTGCAGCTGCTGACTACTCTTCTGTACAGATCGCCCTGAAGAGACATTGGCTTCGGACTCGAATTTCACCTCTGGAACTAACCCGATGATCAGCGATGACTCGCCAGCTAACGCTTAAGCTTGACTATCGGTGTTTGTACATTAGACCAAGTAGTAAAGTATCTGATAGCACCAGTCGGACGTGCGTATGTACATCGAACCTCAGCCCACTGGCATGTTTCGTCATCAGCTCGACGTGGACCAACCAGCTGTCGTCGAGCGTGAATGGTTGTCCGATCGAAGCTTGCTTCTTATTGCTGCTAGCGATTCCCTTGACGTCCTGTTCACACATGCGCGGCAAGTCGAATGCCGCTCCCAATGGAAGTAAGAGAGCGTTTTGACCTGCGAATGTTGCGGGTCCCCATAGTTGGTGTAAGATCATGGATGAAGCACACTGCAGGACTATGACAAAGACTGGAAGATACCTCGTGCCTCTCTCCTTCAGTTCATCTATTACCGTGGTCGATCAGTCGTTCTTGAGTACTATGTGTTCAAGCTCTGTGGCTGGTCACGTGATAGAGGACCCCTGAGTGACACCAGCGCTCAACCACCCCCTCCAGCACAACACCGCGCACAGTTGTACACGAACATACATATGTCATTGATGGAGCTAGATCTTACGACCAACGTCACACTTTCAAAATCTTGATATATGTTGTCGAAAAGGAGTTATAAGCAAAAAAGGTCGAACTTGGCTGTTCGACCTCATTTTCGAGTGCCAAGCAGGGAACAGCCCTTAGCGCCGATGTAGCTGCGGCCTGTCGGGAAAATAGAGCAGCGTTGATCGTATGTACTCCATCGTCAGAGTGCCGTAATCGAAATCCAAGCATGGTCACGTGGAGGAGAAGTCCATAGTGGCACCAAGCTGGAACCACCCCCTCTCGCGCAGCGCACCAACGACATCAACATGTTCGTGTACACGCCAGACCAAGAGCTGATCTGTCTCATCATGGACACGATGTCAGAACTTTGGTACCTCGTGTGTGGCAGGAGTTATGAGCGAAGAAGGTCGAGTTTTCCGACCGTCACCAAAGTTTTAGTGCCAAGAAGGGAGCATCCCTTAGCTGCGGAGGCGGCCGTACGTGTCGACGTCTCACATCAGCGGCTATGACGATAGCATGCAACTGTACTGAGTGAAGGAAGCACATCGATGGCCTATCAAGGTCACTGGCTTGGTGGCAAAGAGGATCGTGGTGCACCGCCTTAGGCAACAAAAGCATGAGGTAATGTTCCGTTTGTTGTACACTGCAGTACTTTAGGTACAATGCTCCCTCGCGTCAATCTCCTCCTGCGTGAAAACCTGCGGAGCGCACCACTTCTCCCTCTTACCCTCACACTTCCCATGCCTCTCCTTCGCCACTCTTAAAGCCGTGATCGCATCTTCGAACTTCTTCTTCCTCTTCCTCTCTTCCAACACTCTTTGCACGAACCACGCTTCCTGCCCCTTTATGCGCTTGACCCTCCTGCCTTCCATCGCGACTTCAAGGTGCTGTTCTAGGACCTTCAAGATCTTGGCGCAGCAGGCATCACTGGAGCACCAATTTTGCTGTTATGAGCTCGTCATGTATCACGATCTTGTACCTTTCGCATGGTGCGCGTTTGCCGCGGTAGGGACCGTCTTTGTCTAGCAGTTGGCTCACGGAGCAGAAGCGTATGATCAGATCTGAACGGTCCTGAGTCGTAATGCAGCACGGATAGTGGAGGCGTTGGCCGTGGCACATTATTTCGTGCCCAAGTTATGATGTTCACGATTGCGAGACATGGTTTGCGCTTTGGATTGTTGGTGGTGCTTGTTGCGGTTCGGCGACCAGAGACAAAGAGCAAGCGTTTCCGGAGACTTGGTATGCCACACAGCCGGTATGGCTTTGTACTCGTCGTAGGGCCTGTATTGATCGGACATTGGGGTCTTCACTGTCAGCGGGCTGTCTGGCAAGTTCGACTGTCGCCAAGGTCTCTAGCCAGATTCAAGTCTCTCTGGAGCCCTGTAGCTTCCAGCCCAGCAAGGTGCTCCACGCTTGATAATGCTCGATGAGTTGATATTGTACCGCCACTCGATCACTCTTTCCTGCTTCAGTCATTCCACTGCCTTTTGACCCTCAATCTTAAGGGCCGCAGGCAAGGCTTGATTGATGGTCTTATGGGATATCTTACAGCCAACCACCGGGTCTGTAACCAACCAACCACTAGACTGGAAAACATGTACAGCAATATGCCTGCGGGAAACCTCATACTCGCAAAGCCAAATGCCATGCTAATGCATAAACCTATCCTCTGAAGGTTCGTAACAGGTGGGAAGATGCCGAGGAAGTTCTTGCGGGCATTGGCGCCATGTTTTGGAGTTGAGAGCACAGCTTGAGCTTCGGTCATCTTCTCAGACTTCGACTCGGTCGGAGCGAGTACGTTCGATTCTCTTGGCAGAGGCGCTTTGGATGTATCGCCTACTGTAGGTCGTAGGATGACGTTCAGCGAGAGAGCAAGCCACATTAGGACTGGAAGCGTGAGCGTGGGGTCGGGAGCACTGAGGTCGGTAATCCAGCCTAGACCTTCACTTTGCATGCTGAGGTCCGTGTAAGGAGCATAGACTAAGTCCGGGGGAGCTGGCGGAGGTAAAGAGGAAAAATCGTAGACCGGGTTGCCATTGCCGTCGAGAGTCATTATTTGTTCCAGCCTCTCGGCCATCAATTCGTCACGCGAGCGTTGGAAAGCAGGATTGGGGTTTAGAGCTGCCATTTCGGCCGATGTCAACATCCCTTGCGCTCTTCCGCTGGTAGTAGTAGCGACACTGTCGCGAATCGCTGTCTCTACCCACTGGAAGGGCGTCAACAGTAATGATAGCAGCCCTTCTCGACTCCCACACTTCATTCTGATTGCCTCAGTCATAGCGATCAACATTGCAAAGTTCGCCAGTTCTCTCAACCTCCTCCCTGAAGCACCGAATTGCTTGCTCAACTGACGCGTAAGCTTGAACGCGGTGCCGAGTTTGAACAAGGAATCCTCCAGTCTCTTTAAACTAGGGGACTTCATCTCTTTGTGCGCCCGTCGACGGTCTGGGTCGTTGCTTGTGAGTATAACATTCGCCGCAATGATGGGTTGGAGGTTCGATTGGATTTGGGTGGCTTTCTGGTTGGGGAGGGTGGTGATATAGTAGGTTATGAGGCCGCGAACGATAATTGCCGAGGTGGGTAAGACAGCATACCATGGGAGACCGGTGGAGTGGAGGGCGTTCAGGAGGTATGTGGGAGGAGCTACAACGATGTCGACTAGCGTCGACTGTCTGGGCCGAGTTGTGGAGAATGATCGTTGGACGGTCGCTGTTCGCAGAGGTGGAGGGAGACGAAGCAGAGACGCACGCATAGCGGACGATGTAAGGACTGTAGCCATGTCGCGCTCCTTCCTCTTCCGTCGAGCTTCACGTGCTAGAGATGGCTGTGTCAGTGAAGTTCAGATTTAGACTCTCATGCGGCTCCGCGAGCTCGAAGGTGGACCCTGGCTTCAGACACGTTTGCGGGAGCAGCCATACTGCTAGCGTGCATCATTACATCGGATGATGGACAGTTTTAGGAAAGAGTCAACAGTCGAAGTGATAGGCAACCGAGACAACTAAGCAGGCAGCATGATCTGCTGGACGGTGATATAAAGCCCCTTAGCTCTGGCAGCACGCTCGTTACCATCACACCAGCCATGGCCCTCGTGTTCGATATCCTGGCACTGGTGCTGGGCGCGGGGATCACAATGGCCGGACTGCCGTACCTATGCCGATTTTTGGGGAGACTGCTGGGCGGGAACATTAAGAGCAGAGCTCAACAACGACGGGAATTGCTCCTCCACCGAGCAGACAAGGAAGACGATGAGCAGAAGCAGAGCAAAGCAGCGTCCTCCACGAATCCATCCTCGTCGACCTCATCCGACGATGACTGGGAGAAGGTCAACGAGGAGCAGGCTTCTGGCACGAAAAATACCGTGGACAACACCTTCACCGGCATAGTTGGCTTCTTCCACCCCTTCTGCAATGCCGGAGGCGGCGGCGAACGTGTCCTTTTCGCCGCCATCCTCGCAACTCAACGCCGCTATCCCAAGGCCCTCTGCCTCGTCTATACCGGCGATCACGACGCCAGCAAAGACCAGATCCTCACCAACGTCCGGAACCGCTTCAATATCCACCTCAACCCTGCTCGTGTCTGCTTCCTGTACCTCAGTACTAGGGACTTTGTGCTAGCGAACAAGTATCCTCACTTCACACTCCTCGGACAGTCCTTGGGGTCATTAGTCTTGGGCTGGGATGCGTTCAACCTGCTCGTACCGGACATCTTGGTGGACACAATGGGGTACGCCTTCGTAACCGCCCTCTCCAGATGGCTCTTTCCCTCAGTACCCACAGGCGCCTATGTCCACTACCCAACCATCTCAACCGACATGCTCAAATCCCTGCACTCGTCAACAACCTCCAACCAAGGCCTAAACGCTGGCTCGGGCTCGGGCGCCAAAGGTCGTGCCAAACAGATTTACTGGGAACTCTTCGCCAAACTCTACAGCTGGATGGGCGGGAATATAGACGTGGTCATGACCAATAGCAGCTGGACTCAAAATCACGTCTCGCAACTCTGGACACCTACGCGGACGAAGAGGCGGAAACGGCATCCGATTTCTGTTGTCTATCCTCCTTGTGCGGTCGAAGAGCTGGTGGCGAAGATACCCGTAGATGTGGAGAGCGAGAGGACACGAACGACAGATCTGCTGTGTATTGCGCAGTTTAGGCCCGAGAAGATGCATGGTATTGTCATCGATGCCTTTCATGCTTTCCTCAAGAACCATTCACATCTGTGGGAGAACACGAAGAGGCGGAAACCGAATCTCATCCTTGTTGGTTCTGTGCGCGATGACCAGGATGAGAAGAGGGTTTACAAGCTTCGATTACAGGCACAGGCGATCAAGGATTCGGTGCAGTTCGTGGTCAATGCCAAGTGGCCGCAGATTCTGGACTTCCTCAAGACTTCCAGCGTAGGTGTTAACGGGATGTGGAATGAGCATTTCGGCATTGGAGTAGTGGAATATCAGGCTGCTGGACTCATTTCTGTGGTCAATGATTCAGGAGGGCCGAAGGTGGACATCGTTGTTCCTGTTGATGGAGGACCCACTGGTATGTCCTTTCGCCCGCTCAAAGATTATTCACGATATGACATACTGACAGCTCGCCTTGCAGGATTCCATGCAACAACGGTAGAAGAATTCGCAAGTGGTTTCGCCAAAGCGATGGAGCTAGACGATGACGAGGCTTTTGCCATGCGCTTACGGGCGAGGAAGAGCAGTTGGCGGTTCTCGGAGCAGGTCTTCAGTGAAGCATGGACCAAGCACCTACAGTTTCTAGTTGAGCTAGCTGGTCCGTCTGATGGTACGGAGAAATGCTGAGTAGAGTATCTGCGATCCATGAGTACACAAGCTACCGGCCTCGAACTTCCTGTCTGCCTCTCTCTTGCATTGTGTCCCCACATCTGTTGCAATGGCGTCTCCGTCCTGCAATACATGAACGATGTGCTCTTGGGCAACCTTGTAGGCCACATCTCTCCTAAAAAATGACCTCCCATTGTCGGTTAGGCCGATATTTGTGCACGATGACGTAGTATGTCGTGGTCGAATGCTCCCATCGGAGCCCTCTTGCGGCATGAGCACATTCGGAAGTATCACCGCATCGTCATAGCACGTACTTCACTCCTATAGCTTCACAAATACCAACGCGGACGTTCAACCCGGGTGATAATCGAAGACTCTCAGTGGCGGCGGCTCTACACATAGCATCGGAAACAATCAACATAGAGTCAGAGCAGAGAGACATATAAGACATCACAGGAAATTGCATCAGTAGAGTTTCATCGCAAGACTCGATCGCTACCTGGCCTCGACACATTTGCAAAAACGACTGCTTTCTCCCATCAACGCAACCATGTCACTACCAAAGACATTCGCACTCCGTACTGCCGATGGCAAGACTATCCAGATCCCTACCGTTGGCTACGGGACCTGGGCCTCAGGCGAGAACAGCTGGGCCAAGGATGCCGTTCTCGAAGCAGTGAAAGCTGGGTACAGACATCTGGATTGTGCATGGATGTATGGCGTCGATGAGTCGATTGGTGAAGCGATCAAGGAGTCTGGTGTGCCACGAGAGGAGATATTTGTGACGAGCAAATGTAAGTCACATCTTACGACCGTCATTGTGATTTTCCTGTTCAGATGCTAATGCGTAGCACAGTCTGGCCCCACTTCGGCCACCCTGACAATGTCGAGCTCTGCCTCGATAAGATCCTCAAGAACATGCAATTAGACTACATCGATCTCTTCCTTGCACACTGGCCATGTGTCTGGAAACCCGCCTCGCGAGAAGCTCTGGAGAAAGCCACATCCTCCCACGATGCTACGCCAACGACTCGTGGCCTTTTGGAGACGGACGAGGGCAAACCCGCCATCGATTGGGAGCACTGCACGACCAACATTGCAGCCCAGAAAGGCCAGAAAGGCTCTTTCGTACCCACATGGGAAGCTCTCCAGGCTTGTGTAACAAAGGGTAAGGCGAAGGCAGTAGGTGTGAGTAACTTCAGCATCACCGACCTAGAGGAAATCTTGCCGCATGAGAATGGGATTCCCGTGTCTTGTAATCAGATCGAAGTCCACCCCTGGCTACCGCAGACGCCTCTAGTCGAGTTTGGGAAGAAACACGGCATTATCACGACTTGCTACTCGCCTTTCGCGGGCCAGAAAGCAGACGGTGCCACTCTGCTCAAGGACACCAAGGTTCTAGAGCTGGCAAAGAAGAACAGTATGGACGTTGGCCAGTTGCTGGGAAGCTGGGCTGTACAGCGTGGGACCATACCCTTGGGCAAGTCGGCTACTCCTTCGAGGATCAAGTCGAATCTTGACGTGAAGAAGCTCAGTGAGGAGGACATGCAAACGCTTGACAGTATGACGTTAGCGGGAGAAGAAGGTAGAACTGTGGATTTCAATGAAGCTTGGGACGTGCCATTGTTCAAGGGCTGAGGAACCTGCTATCGCTCGTGAGGTATCTACAAAAACGCTAGACAGAAACACATATATGTCAAACTTACAACAATGCCTCATCGACAAGCTGTACAAGCGTTCTCGAAACCACATTCGCCCACATCTCCCCACCTCCCGTGTCATTTTGGAAGGTGTACATTGCCCCTTGGTTCTTCACAAAAGCTGCTCCGATTCTGGTGTGGTTGGTCGCCATACGCATCTCGTCGAACTGCTCGAAGTCGCTCCCTGATGGATCGACTAGACCACGGTATATCATACCCGAGGCTTCTTGGAAATGGACGTACTCGGATTGCTGTTCGTCGTTGCATGCGGCTATTGCGGTGCCCGAGGGGATGCTCATATTCTTGAACGTTTCAGGCCCGAGTTCCCATCCGTCATTGTCTGTGAAAGACCACTATTGGCCGGGGTGTTAGCAGCATTCTCACCTTCTCGCCCTACTCTTGGGATTGTCCAGACTTACATAGTTCTGTATAATCTGACCGGTCGTCGAGTTGCGCATATGTACATTCACGTACTGCTCGTCTTGATCGGCATTATCGTATACCACACAAGCAACGCCGCTATTCGCATCGCTCTGGTCGAAATTGTTCATCTCGTTCCAGCCATCGCCAGTGTTATTGAACATGTACGCCACTTCTTGGATAGAGCCCGTCTTGTACTCCATAGTATACCCTGATCGCCTGCATGCCCATCTTGTCCACGCAGGCTGCTAGACCGGTGGTACCTGATGTTGATGCTACATCGCTAGAGACAATAATAGGAGCACCCCAGGCCGATGCTATAGCAACCCGGGTGACCGTGGTCGAGTTGATCGATCTTAGTAGGCCTCCGGCGTCAATAAAGAAGACTTGACGGGTCAATGTCCCATTGATATTGTAGGCTATGGCGGATAGCGAGGTACCTGGCGTCGCATCCGCGGTCACCACTGACTCATTGACTCTATTGCTGTCGTGTAGCGACCACGAGCCGTTTGTATAGACGTTCTCCAGTATCCGACCAGTTGAGTCTTGGAAGTATAGCAGTATGGTTCCACTGCCGTCCGCTACAGGGACCATCGCCATGCCAGTGTTGGACATCGTCTGTACAGGTCTTGTGGTAGAGGCAGAGCTACCGGAGGCAGTGCCATTACTCGTTCCTGAAGAGGATCCTTCTGTCTTTGAACTATGCTTGGTCAGCTCCGCGTCGAGTCGTGAAATGTGGACTCTCGACCGTACCTCTGCCCACCATCTCTCTTCAAGACCGCACCACATACCCCACCCACCACAGCAGCGATCAAGCTTAATATCACTGCCGTTAGAATGCCCAGGAAGAGTCTTCTTCGTAGACCACACACTCTTCTATCCTTCTGTGCCCCGACGGCCCCGCCTGGTACGAAGTTGTCCATTGACTTGGCATCGTGATTGTCTATGTATGCTTGGCGTGATTCGTCCGAGTAATCGGGTGTAGTTTTCTCACTCTCACCACCGTAGAAGTTGCCGTGCTCTGTCCTATTGCTCTGGTCGTACTGCCCAAGATGCAGGACTTCGGGCTGGTTAAGTGAGGATCTTCTCTCTAGTGGTGGCTTCGACCCAGGCAGGACTTCGGGACCATGCTCTGACGCAAAATCAGGTGGAGGTGGTACTGGTATCAGACCATCACTTCCAGCGCCTCGTGAATTAGTATGTGATGTGCCAACCTCTTCCTCCTCTCTGACCGCTACTTCTAATCCTCCATGTTCCAGCGCACTATACCGCGCATCACTGTCCATAACCCTGGAAGTAGTGTTGGACATCAATCGTCATGATCCGGAGTAGCCTGGGACAGATACAATGGTGGTACGCCCAAGACTTGTGTAACACAGACAATAGTAATGGAGAGCCTGAGGTCAACGCCTACCTTGCGCACGCGAGCACCAGTTGCATTATTGCTAAGCATTTTTAGGACTGTGCTTGGGTCTGCCGTTTTCCTCACGGGGCCGAACTGTTGTTGATACCTGCCGAAGGATGAGGCGCATATTTCACCCAACATGAAGTGTTTTCGCAAGCATTGGTAGGACACTGGACGTCTCCACGAGGTAGGATACGACGTTGTAAGATTTCATGCGGGTTCATGTTGGCATGAAGCCTGCTCACGATGCGAGTAATCTTGTATCATGGTCCGATATTGCTTGCGATCATGTTGATAATGGCAATTGAGGTGTCAAGCCTTTGTAGGCTGTGCGGAGCTTCAGAAGATCGCCGCCAGGAAGTCCAAATTGGCAGGATCGAAGTCTAAAATTGGACGACGAGATTGGAAGCCATCACGTCGCAGAAGTCCTAGTATACAGCAAGAAGCTGACCACCGTATTGAAGAAGCGAATTGATCAGCTTCCCGTCATGTATAGTGCGGTAAACCCCTTTTGAGGTTTCATACTGTGGTCTCGTCATACAGCGCTGATCTGCAACATGCCGTGAGCTGCGTATTGCTACGATACCCTAGTGAGTCAATAGTGGGCTCGTTTGTAAAAATGCACGCTCAGCCTCTTGCGGCCGGACAATGGCATCGTGGTCGCGATCATTGTGCACTTTCGGCATCGACAACAACCAGAGAGTCGATCCTCAACGACCTCTCAAACACCGCGGGCACATAACCTCCCTCACAGCTCCTTCATGAAAGCAGAAATCTTCCGGTTCATTTCAACAGCAGCAGACTTCTCCTCCGCTTTCGCGCGATCGAACTCCTCTGCCAACAAGTCCTTCGCCGCCTGCGAGGCTTCCTTGAACTTTGCCTGATTGCTCTCCCACTGCCCCTGAGCACGCTTGAGGGTCGGGAGATTCTCATTGCTGACGTCCTTGTATGCCTGCTCAAGCTCCGTATCCAGAGTGGATATCTCCAGCTCCAGACTTTCGATCTCGGCGCGCTTTCTAGCGTGCAGGTCTCTGTAGGCCGTGATGACGCGCTTCATGTTGTAGCGCTCGATGACTTTCGTGCCGTTCGATCGAGTGGATTCCACTTCGAAATCGTCTTGGTCCATAGGCTTCGACATTAGACTGTTCTGTGCTTCGAGCGCATCTATCTCGGCATGTGTTGGGATACCTTGACGCTTGATTCGTCTTCGGTGCGTATCGAAGCCTCTCGAGCGAGCATCAAGCTCGTCTACGACTGGGTCAAGCAGATCTTGCATAGATGACTGTACGCCATCGTTGTACTCTTCCAGAGCACCTATGACATCGTCAGTAGCGCTCTTGCAGTAGATAGCTGTAGCTTACTGTCCAGTCCGTCATAGATGGCGCATTGGTCTTCCTTCCGAACGAGAGGTGAGCTGAATTCCTCGAACGGCCGTTTGGCAGCTTGCCGTTGCTTCGACTCATTCCCAGAGTGGTCGTCTTCAGATTCGGCATCATCCTCGTGCTTCTTCTGGGGTTTCCTGAACTGCGCAAAGAAACCGCCGAGGGAGACCTTGCGCTTATCGCTCCCGGCTTCCTTGTGCTGCTTCGTCATGGTATCATGGACCCTCTTCTTGCGCATCCCAGAGGCAATATCTGCCACGTCAGCTGCTGCTCAGATCGTCGATATTCTACCCCTTTTACGCGCTGGCTTGATGCTGAAATGGCGCGATAAGTCGTGAAGAGCACAAAATTGGAAGGCGCGGCGTGCAGAGCCAGCGGACTGCTCCTTCCCCAACAATCCGCCACCGCTGATCTCGGACTCAACCGCAAAAAGCCTCCATCGCCATCTTAAATACGGCACCTACGAGATATTGCTGAACAAGAGCAAAAAAGGAACCCATACCACCTACTGGTGGCAGGTCAGGAAACGACGCTCGACCCCAGAGTTCCTTTCGAAAATGAGGATTCTATTTATGAACTTTTTACCTTGTACGTCTTCATACTATTGTTTCTGTTCTCCACGTGTTGGGCGATGGTCGTTCGGGTCAATATATAGGTAGAGTGATATTTGGCCGAGGATACGCCGGCGCAATCGTGGCAGGAGAAAGGAGTTACGTTGAGGGACGATTCGAGACTTGGTATGATTGCCATTCGCGTGTCTAACGCCCATCAGCGCAGCCGTACTGTATCAATTGGTCGCACTCAACTCAACGCATTCATGTTACAAAAAAGAAAATGCTCGCTCGCCTGATTGTAATCTCCCTCATTTCATGATGTCCATGCACTGCAAACAACCACTTCAGCTGCGTTCCTTGATAGCGCTTATCCCTGATCTTCCTGTGCCTCTGTCTTGTACCCGCTCGGCACATGATTCGAGCTCGATCTCTCAACATCCGTGGGTCCTGTCAGGTACTTGTCCAACCACTTCTTCAGAACAACAGATAGGCGATCAAGAAGCACAGCAAGCACAATCCAGCCACTATCTGAACCGGCACACCACCAGGCGCAGGCGCATTCTGCATGCTCGTGGCGATACTACTCTTCTCCTGCCCATCCGCCGTGATCTTCCGTTGCCTCAAACCTTCCGATGCCTGCTCCTGCAGTCTCTTGATCTGAGCGTTGGCGGCCTCGAGAGACTTCTGTAGGTCGGCCTGCGAAGTCGGAATCACGGAAGCAATGGATGCAGCGGCGGCCCCGAGAGTGGACTGTCCTGATGCTGGGTTTGTTGCTGGGTTATGGGCATCATTCATCGCGTCGCCACGGTTCTTGGCATCAAGCGGCTTATCGGCAGGTGTGGAGATCGGGCCTTGAGCACTGCGCTGAGGTGTCACAGCCAAGGGCGAAGGAGATGAGTACGCCGGCGGCTCATCCTCGTGGTGCGATAGCCCATTCGTGCTCATGCCCGCGGCTGACATATTGTCGTAACCTGCTGAGCCATCCTCTGGCAGGAAACTGACACGTATCTTCTTCTCCTGTATGCTACTCTTGGCCGTCTGCTCGATGTTCGACCATATCTGGGTGACGTTGCCGGTGTTGTTCTCGGGGGAGATCGCGACGGATTGGACGAGGAACTTGTCACGGCAGCGGGTGTCTGGTGGTGGGTCCTCTTTCATGGCTTGGAGAAGCACTTGGACTTCGACATCGCGACCTGGCTCGATGCGGCCGGAGTTGGGGCGTACACAGTATCTGCAGGTCTGGTGTTAGAAGTAATCTAAAGTACTGGTGACACTGCCAAGGACGTACTGTTTAGGCGCGGTGGTCTTGACCTTGAAGGCTACCGGATCGCTGCTAGGATTATGGAGGCGGAGGACCTGGGAGACTTCGTGTGTGAAGGGACCTGGTTGCCATTAGTCGCTGTTATCAATATTCGCATAGTGGGCACGCATACGGCGGAAGCCCAATTTAGGAGGGCTAAGATCCAGCATGTTGATGGTGATTGGATAGGTTCGAGGTATCTGGTCCAATGTTTGCAGTGTTCCGAAACGGTCTTTTAGTATTTGTCGGACAATCAATCTCGTAGACAACGATTCGCAGGTTTGTTCCAAGGTGATATCAATGTATTCATTCAGCAGCAAGCAAGCAAGCAGATGGCAGGTGCCCGCTTTAGATCAACGCTCGGACCAACCATATACGTCACCCAAATCGATTCCGGAGACGTGACTGAAGCTGTATTGCGATCATGACAAAATTATATAAAGCCACGCTTCACGACAGACTGAAGATACGCTGCTCGACACAAACTCTCGTGACCATATATACATTACACCGGTCAGGCTCACACACTTCCCCAAACTAACATCCACACGAGAGCTACCTGGTACAGTGCAATCTTCACGAAGCACACATAACCCTCGCCATCATGGCTTCCGATCTCGACCAGCTCGTCGATATGGGCTTCGACCGTGAGAAATCCGAATTTGCAATCAAGCAAGGCGGTAACATCACAGGTGCCATCGACTGGCTAGACAAGAATGCGGACAAGTCAATCGAGGATATCAAGGAGGAGCAGGCGGCAGCGGCAGGTGATGCGGCGGATCCTGGAGCGACGGCGATGAGCATGGTGTGCAATGACTGTGGTCGGAAACTACGCAACATGGCAGCAGCACAGTTTCACGCCGAGAAGACAGGCCACGACGACTTCTCGGAATCCACAGAGGAGATTGCACCGCTGACGGAGGACGAGAAGAAGCAGAGGCTGCAAGAGCTGCGAGAGAAGCTTGCGGCTAAGCGAGCGGGTATGGCTGACGTGGACAAGGCGGAGAAGAAGCGGAACGACGAGATTAGGAAGAAGCAGTCCAAGGAGACAGACGATGTCAAGGAGCAGCTGCAAGCGAAAGAGCAAATCAAGGAGGCTCAAAAGAAGAGGCAGGAGAAGCTCGATGATGTCGCAGCCAAGAAGCGTATCAAGGATAAGATCGAGGCAGACAAGGCAGCACGGAGACATAAGCAAGAGGAGGAAAAGGCTATGCGCGCGAATCCTGATGCTTTCAACCCAGGCGCGCCTTCAGCTGGTGGATCGGCACTCGCAGCTGCACAACAACCCGCCAAGGCAGCTAGCGCACATCACAGCGAGGCTCGGCTGCGATTGCAGACTCCTGGCGGCAACGTAATGAAGACATTCCCGGCTGAGACGACCCTTGTGGAGGTGGCACAGGCTTTGGAGCAGGAAAATGGCACGCAGGCCAAGACTTTTACCATGAATATGCCTAGAAAGGTTTTCGACTTCGACGACTTCGGGATGACGTTGAAGGAGGCTGGGTTGGTGCCGAGCGCGGTATTGATTGTTGGATGAGCTACTGAATGGCGGATCGTGATGGAGAATCCCCATCCTTGCTTGCCTTGCACAGCGATGGCGTTGGTGGCGGGCTCAAGCATGTTAGCAGCTGTGAAGATCAGCCTCGAGGCTGCGAGCTAGCAGCTTATAGATGATATGACCTGATATGATGTACGAGCAGACGTTATATGTATCCAAGTGTTCGGTTCTGAGATAAACTCGTGAATGTCATACCCAAGCTGAACTTCATCTCATCTATATGCCAAGCCGAAACTAGACTAAAAGCCGCCTCGAACTCCTGAACTCTCCGTGCTAAATTGCTTGACATTCCGCGCAACTCATTTCTTGCCGTCAGCTTCCTTCTTAGCAAGAGCTGTGGATGATGATCAGCACACGCCTTGTCGTTGTCATCTTCGCTGGATCGATGCTGATGCTTACCAGCCGCTTGCTTGGCCTGCATGATAGCCGCCACCTTGTCCTTCTCGCGCTGCTGTTCGCTACCGGTCATACCATTCTTGTTCTTCTACAAGAGAACTCTGATATCAGCACGTCCGTCTGAGTACACCGTAGGTAGCAATCGTGATAGCCTTACCTGCCCCGCCAACTTCTCTTGGTTCTTTTCGCGCGCCTTGTCACGTTGATTACCACGCGCCATATTGCCCGATGAAATTTGTTATTGGTGCTTGTGGGTGTCTACTGGTTGGGTTGTGGTGTGGTACTCTTCGCTGATCACGGGATGTATTGAGGGAGGAAGAAAGAAAGTGAGATTTCTGGAATAGGCTGAGGGAGGTGTTCGAAACCGCTTAGCGTAGTTTTTCTGTTCGCCACGTTCCTCAGCTGTGAGCTGTGCCTGCCTCGTGATCTACGGTCAGTGAATGCTACAACACTCCATCAAGAATTCTTGACTGTGACCAAACCGATGGCAGAGAATGATATATGAACAAGTCCGCAGTGAAGTCAGCTTTTCCATACAATGGCATCAGCCACAAGACTTCGACGGCCGAGGCATCGATGTGGCGAATGCGCGCGAATCTGAAACGACTTCCTTGCGGCGCGCTTACCACACTTGTCTCCACAACCAATCGCTCGCGCTCGACTTCATAAGATCTCGACAACGAGATCTTGCACCAGGCTGTCGAGCTCGTCTCAGCCTATCCACGACCACAAGGACAAGCTTCTAGATGCACCTCCACAGCCGAGCCAAGGCACTCCCGCACCTGCGAACCTGATACCAGCTGCAGAATCGAGCGTAGCGTTTCAAACCTCAAGCACCTCTGTAACGAAGATGGATCTACAGTGACCGGTTTCACGACGACCAGGCGCGTGAGGTTGCTATTCTGACAGGGCGAAGAGGTCTGTGTGACAGCAGCAGAAGCGCGATTGTGGTGGGGACAATGTGACTATTCTTCACGTCTATCAATCGCTATCCACAAACACTTCTTCCCTATTGTCAAGGCGCGTCTATTGTTTGCTGTCACTTGAAGGGCTGGCTACCTCTACCTCTCTCATCTGTCGTTCCCTCTTGCAAACATCTCTTACCATATCAACTAGTTCTATGTCGATCGCTGCGCCTTTGAGTTGTTGAGCAACTCTTGTCCATATCACTATACTACTTAATCTGGACGACTGCTGGACAGCCATCACTACTACACCAATACTACGAGAGCTCGGCATATGTTCATTCGATTGTGGCCATCAAGCAGGTACGCAGCAAAGCAATCCGAATCTCGGGTGGCCAGTCCTGACATACAGCTCCCAGGCTGCTCTACTTGCCGTTCGAAATCAACCAGCTTCAGAGTTCGAACTCCAACCGCGACTCATCTAGATCCACATCCCAAGAGAAGAGAACATTCAAGATGACGCTCTCGCCGAAGTCTTTGGCTGGTCCTGGCTACATCATACTCAATGGCATTCGCGTCATGAACATCATCGGCCTTCTGGCTGTGGTCACTGCGAGCGTCCTGATGCTGGTCAAGACATCGACAGAATCAAAGTTCTTCTTCTTCGATGCAGTCAGCCATGTGCTCACGGCGATCACTGGCAGTGAGTACACCATTCAGCTCACACGAGGCGAAAGCTGATCATAGTAGTGTTCCTCCTCGTATCAGAGTTCTCGTTCTTCCGCTCCTTCTTCGCACGCAACTGGCCTCTGCTCAGTCCCGCCCACGGCTTCGTTACTCTTGGCCTGGCGATGATCGTGCTTGGCGTCAACATGCTGGGCAACCTCAACAAACCAGCAACAAGTCGGGAGTCACTTGGCCTGGCGTTCTGGCGTATCGTCATCGGCTCCGGCATTGTAATTTTCATCCTCGGACACGTTAATCTGGTGGCAAGCTACGTCTTCCGCGACCGCAGCCAAGGCATCACAGCGCGCCAGGTCCGCGCCAAGGGAGCAGTGGCGATCCATCAAACGCCGATGCCCAACAATGGCACACCTTCGGCGCCTGAGCTTGCTCAATCATATCTGCCAAACCCGATCACACCATCAAAGACCGGCAATCCATTCCAATTCTTCACCTCAGAACGTCGCCAGTCACTTCTACCATCCTACCACAGCAACTCCACCGTGTCCTCGCCCATCAAGGAGGCCATCAGCCCAACAAGCAAGTACTCACGCACCACGAACTGCTCAAAGAAGGTCCTTTCCTTCATGGGCCGCAACAGACAGAGCGTGGGTCCAAAGCTGCCGGTGCACGTGCAGGAGCGCGAAGTCGAGATTTCGGCGCCGATGGGAGTGAACCCACAGTTTGCGCATCTGGTGCAAAGACCTGATAGTGCTATGCACCCCAGCAGGACAGGCGAGAGTCAGGCTTTCCGGTGGAGGCCGGTGGCGTAAGATGCATTGTCGATTCCCCTAGACTTTTGTCACTTTGCGAACCGCGTTCCAATGGCGACTAATTATGGAAGGCCAACATTGACTGCTCTTTTACGCCACGCACAAAGATACCCAGCCGTATACGCTCGTTGATGATAATGATTATTTAAGCATTCTTCGTACCATTAATCATCCTTTCACTCCATTCTCCAAAACTGCTCTATTGCCAAGCTGAAGCCGCTCCTCAATAACACCAACGATAGCTTTCCAGTCGTGCATAGCACCAGACCCAGTATCGCCACAAGCTAGCTCCTTCTCCATGGGCCTCAGAACCTCAAACCATCCACCACTCCTGACCGCCCAGTCACCCTCCAGCCGGCGCAGATGCTCGGCTGTAATGGGATGGTGCCACATAGCCGTGTTCATGGCTGGAGCAACTATGATTCCCTTTTTGCCATTGTATGGCAAAGGAACATTAGGTCGAGCTACGTCAATCAGGCCAGTGGTATCCCAGGCTCGTACAACTGAAGTAATGAGGTTATCTGACATCCCCAAGGCGACTTTGGCCAAACTGTTGGCAGACAAAGGCGCGATAACCATCAGATCTGCCCAACGTCTGAGCTCGATATGTAGGATACTGTCTCCACGGACCCAGGGTTTGTGCCATTCGTCTTCGTCGCTGTAGATGCCATCTACATTCTTCATCGAAGAGATCTGCTTGAGGGCTGGCTGTTCTGCTGACTGGCCTTTGAGAAACTCGGCTGCTGATGTTGTGAGCAGGATTCGAATTGAGAGGTCATCGTGTTTGGACAACGCTTCTACGACGTTGGGGATCTTGATGGTTGCCACTGAGCCTGTTGCTGCAAGGAGGACATGGTGTTTGCCATCGTGGGTGTGGTCGCCGGCCACCAAGGGTATGCTGCTCATCTTTGCTACACTACAGAACTATTTAATGTGTGTAAAGTCCATCTCGACTTACATTCCTTGAATTATAACATCATGTCTATGTAGATGTCTTTGCATTTTGTTTGTGGTAAAGGTCGGTGATCAGTAATATGTTGATTATATGGGTTAGTCAGCCAACATGCCAGGATGCCGTCATGTTCTCACGCGAACAGACTCGAGGACTTTTTGATGCAATCACCAAACAATTAACTATGAATCACCCAATGCTATCGCGATCAACTCTGGGAGCAGTTCGTTGTCATTCAAATATCTTGGCGACAACATTTTAACCCTTCTGTAGTTTGCGGGCCAAGCCCTTCGCCCTCGCCGCAACCCTCTCCTCTCGCCACGCTTCGCCGCCCTTCAGAAGTCCTTCTTATCGACCGAGACACGAAAGGCGATCGATAGCGCTGTAGCGACTGCGCCGGTAGTGCTGTTTATGAAGGGGACGCCCGAGACGCCTCAGTGCGGGTTTTCGAGAGCGAGTATTCAGATTTTGGGGCTGCAGGGTGTGAACCCGCAGAAGTTTACTGCTTTCAATGTGCTTGAGGACGAGGAGCTTAGGGGTGGTATGTATAAGACATGAGATTCATGAAGGGGAGGTGACGATGAGTGGACATTGGCTGACAAGATTGTTACAGGAATCAAGGAGTACTCGGACTGGCCTACGATCCCGCAGCTATATGTCAATAAGGAGTTTGTGGGCGGCACGGATATCATGATGTCGATGCATCAGGATGGGACTTTGGCGAAGCTCTTGGAAGAGAAGGGTGTTCTTGTCGAGGCTGACGAGTCCGATGCTAGCTCTACCAGCTCATGATCAAGGCCATGAGCAAAGCATGTATTAATTGTACACGAGTATACCTACACCTCATTCTCATGGCCTCTGGTATCGCGAGCTGAGGCAATGCACAAGACTGCCGTTGCAGCGCAACGATGGCGCAGTTCTCTCGAGCTCGAGATCATTGGAATCGAAGCTGGACGTATGCAGTCCATCGGGTGTCTTGCAACAGTCGACAGGTCTACGAGTCGAGGTCAGACGACGCCCTGGTCTCTCACTGGTGTGATCGACTCGTTGAAACTCAACGCCATGTATTTGCAAATGACTCTCGTACCTGATCATCTGGTTTCGTGGCTCATAGTAGTCAATGCTTTCGCTATGCAAAGAGATAACTACCCACTTCAAACTATCATCAGGACGATGGACACTTGTGAAACCTCGCCTGGATCAGGAAACTCAGACAAGCACCACAAAAGGAACAAACCGAGAGACGTGAAACCGCTTCGAGCTTGGCAGATCCACCGATCGGCAGGCACAAAGCTGCACAGCACCTCTGCATTCCATCAAAGCGGAAACTTCCTCGTGGGTCAACATGGATGTACTTCTCGTCCAAGACATGTGGACCTTACGTTTTGAGACGGGATGTTTCCAGCTTGACGATCACGCTTGCGAAAATAGTACGCAGAGACGTGGTTGAGGAAAGTATTGTGCCAGTGTTTCTCTGCATCCTTTCGTTCTCAACCACCACTCACCTACCAAGGCAATAATACCAAAGACTCATCACAGAATGCACCTTACGCACTCCCTCTCCCTACTAGCCCTGGGCACGCAGCTAACTGCAGCCCTCCCGCCATCCTCACCTCCAGCAGCACTCACCCGCCGCTCAGGCTGCGGCTGGACTCCCGGCCAAAAGAACGGCAAGGATTGGACAACCACGCCCCTCTTCCTCCTTCGCGTAGAAGAGAGCTCAACAAACAACACCATAGGCTACCTCGATGGCCGCAGTAATGCCTACACGACTCTCACGACCCGAGAAGCCGCCAGCGAGGCGTTCATAGCCCCGTACTATAACAATTATGGCTCGCTTATCTTCTGGGGAGGGAATGGGACGAATGCTACTGATACTGGTTTTACTGCGGATGATAACACGCTGAAAAATTCGGCGGCCACGCTGCCCGTGACGACCGAAGGGTGTGGGACAGCGCCGGTGTATTCGAGTGTCAAGTACTCTGGTACAGGAGGGAGTTGCTTGTTAAGTGGAGATGAGGAAATGGTGAGGTTTAGGTGTCCGGTGCCGGGGACGGCGAATGATACGCCAAGTCCTTGTTTTGCGCAGGTGTATTTTGGTAAGTTCGTGAAGTGTCTGTGAGAGGGTGGTGATACTTGATGCTGATCTGGTGCTTGCAGCGTGTACCAATACCGGCCTGAGTGGCGTAGCGGACGATACGGGTGTGGTATTCTTCGGTAATGCGACGACGGCTCTGCCAGGTACGAACTGCTCTGAAGTGGATCTGGTCAGTGAGTGTCCGTGAATCCTATGGTCGTCACAGAGCCTTAGGAGGTGTACGATAGTGATCGGAAGCTGGGATGGAATGTACAATCTGAAGTGATGGAAGGTCGAGGTCGTGGTATGATGAAGCGCTTAGAAGTAACATGACTATTCACATCTAAGTCTTGACCTTCTTCGCCTTCTTGGTGCTGGTGCTGGCATCCGTCGACATGCGCTTCTTGCTCGAATTGGCCTTGGTAGCTTTCTTCGCAGCAGCAGCAGCAGCTTCAGGTTCCGAGACCGGCTCTGCTGCAGCAGGCACCGGCTCGCTGGCCTCCAGCAACTTTGGCTCGTCTGCCTGCGCCTCCTCAATCGCACCGGCACCCATGTCAACCTCATCCACAGACTTCACCACAGGCATATCAAACTCATACCCCAACTCCCTCAACTTCTCCGCCTTCTCACTCCTCTTCTTGTTCTCCTTCCCAACCTTCTTCTCCCAATCCTCCTTCACCAATCCCCTCTTCAGATGACTACCCTCCAACCGATTCCTCGGCGCCGGCTTCTTCCTCTTCCCTGAGCCATCCCACATGTTCTCCTTCACTTGCTCTCGTGGAACAATGCGGACTTGCAGGATGTGGCCGAACAATAAATATTTATCCATCGTCTTGGCCACGATCTCGCCCACGGCACCACTCTTGAATTCGAGGAAAGCGTAGTGCTGACTCTTCCCGGTCTTGTGGTTGCGCGCGAGTCGCATGTGCAAGATCTCGCCAAACTGGGAGAAGTAGGCCCGCATCTGCTTTTCATAGAAACCGTGTGGGATGCGACCGATGTAGACTACGCCGGGAGTCTGCTCGGGGTCTTTGGAGGCGGCGTCCTTGATCGTCTTTTGGATGTCACCAATGCGTGGGGCTTTGGGGAGTTTTGAGATGGCGATCCCAGCCTCTTCATCCTCGGATGCTTCGTCCTCGCTGCTGGAAAAGCCGGCTATGAGGGCGGCGGTTTGGTCTTCGGTGAGTTCCGCTCCACCTTCTCCAGCATCGTCGACTTCCGTGGGAGCGAGTGCATCTTCGGCGGGTTCTGGTGCAGCTTCTGCTGCGGCTGGCTTAGGCTTCTTGGTCTTCTTTTCTTTCACGACTGCGTCAGCCCTTGGCTTTACCACTTTCGCAGCTGTCTCTGTCTTCTTGGCTTTAGGTGCCTCCTTCGCATTCGTCTTTTTCAAGGCGACTTCATCTTTGGGCTTCTTCAAGGCAGACTTGAGTGGTGCAGGTTTGACCTCGGATTTTGCCGTCTTGATTTTCTTCGTAGCAGGTGCAGAGTCGCCGATGCTCTTGCGCTTCTTCGTGACTGTTGTGGCCGACATGATGGTTGTGCAACGGGAGTATGGAAAATGTTTGGAGCTAGATATTGAATTCTCTACTTTTGCGGAACATTTCTCCAGATTTTGACTGCAGAGTATCGCCGAAAACAAGCCGACGCGGCGCTCTATATACGCTCTCGAGGGTCAACAGCAAAAGAAACTGCATGATTTCGCGAGTCTAATAGCCATCCTCCGCGATCCTGCACCACCTGTCGAATCATCGTAATTGACCAGGTACTGTGCAAACTTCATTCTTACCTCGACCGACCGCCGTGGTCTCGGATGGCACTTCCAGGTCCACAGTTTCCCATGAAGATTCAAGTGAGAGAATCAACCGCACAGCTCGACTCACCACGCTGACCGTCTCGCTATTTGGCGTAGAGCGACCGTTGGTACTCGACCTTTGAGCCAGTGAACTTCTGTGCAACACTGGCGGCGGCCTCAGGTTGTGTCTCAGGGTCGATGCTGCAGCAATGTAGTCTCGTTCGACCTACGCCAGGAAGGCAAGCGCCTCGCGGCTACATGGCAGCAATGGTAACGGCAATCCTCGAGTCACTGTGTTTCCATCCATTCTACAGACCGCCATTCGTGGCCTCTGCATCCTCTGTTTGAATCCCGACGCAATCGGAAGCTCGGAAATGGAATAACTACCAGACTCGAGAGAGTAGCGGCATGACATGAGCCTTGGCTTTGCATCTGGATGAGCGCTTGGAGTCCTCAACCAACTCGCCTCCTGCCGTCGTGTGCACTCCGAACGGCAGGCGAGGTGGGATTTCTCCCGCCTGTATATCGCACGTGACGTAGGGTCAAAGACATCCGGGATGAGCTCCTCCGCCTCGGAAGCGCAGAGTTGGGATATGGGAAAGATTCAAACTTAGCCCTGACGAATATGTTACTTCTGCTCATACGAGCCGTATCTGGCGCCAGACAGTAGGTACGGACGGCAGTTCTCAGTGTGCCTCAAAGTGGATGATAGGCACGGTTAGAAAGACCATATGTCAAAAGATAAGGAGTGTTGCGTACTTCCACAATGCGCTCAGAACTTGCGAATATTCCTCTGATGCTTGATCTATTCAATCTCTCCTGCCACCCTACTTACTATGCTTCACAGGCTCCAAGAGAACACAACAGGTCCGCATTCTAACGCAATCTCGAAACGAGACACTTTCCTTATATCAATCTCGTGCCTTAGATCTGTAGACATTCCAGCAGAGCACTTCTAACATCACTGGCAGAGGTGTTTGCAGCAACAAGCGCTGGGCCGGCTACCGTTTTTGGGGCTGTTTTTCTCAGTGTTGAGATTCCCGTACCCTTGTTGACCTGGACCTGTAGGTTATGCTTGGCAGGGTTATCGCTGGTCATCTGCTTGCGGTTCCATATTATCAGGACCGATAACGAGAAAGAATAGCTTGGGCTTACGCACTCCTTGCATGTCTAGACGGAAGTCGGTATCCTTATACAGTGTGCCAATCAGTGTCGGTAGTCCCGTTAGCTTAGAATCCGGGATTTCATTGATGAAGGCTTCGAGGGCTTTCTTCGCTTTTCCAATTGCTTCACAGAAAGGGTTATCAAATGTAAACAATAGCGGAATCCGTAGAAAGCCTCGATCTTCTCTACGGCGATTGAAGTTGGAGGTGATGAGCACCAGAAGAGTACAGGTGCGCACAGCCTGTCTTGTAGCCACTGCACCCGTCTTTGAAATTGTAGCTGTGCCATTCAGACGTATGCATCCATGTACTACCGGGACGCAGAGGAATGTCACCCTCATGCAGCTATCACAGCCTGACTGCATGGCGAAAGTCTGCAGCCGAGTCACTGACCCAGCCTCGCTGAGTGTTGCATGTACGGACTTGCTGTAGTGGCAAGCCTATACAGAAGTTCACCGTGCTCGCTTGCCAGGCCTCTGTATCAGGATAAGGGGATTCGACACTGCTCTTTGGGACGCAAATAAGTGAGCTGGCTGCATGTAGATGACTTTGGAGGAAGACTAGCGCGTTGCTCGAGATGCTGTTGCAGGGATGCTACCAGATTTGGGCTAGCGCGAGGCTAAGCCTTTATTCAACCAATCCTTTTCCTGGTCCTGCGTGCTGATCCGCATCAAGCCTCTTCGCTCGCGAAACCCGTGTCGAGTCATCTTTTCACCAGCTATACGCTCGCAACGCCCCCTCAAAGTGAACAGGAGATATCGTTCTCATATCAATGCGTGCCTCGGACCAGGATGCCAGATCGGTACGGCCTCGTGTGGGAGGATTCGCTCGGGGGGTTGGAGCCACGATGGTCAGCAGAGCCTAGTCTTTTGCAGATCGAAAAAATCTCACGGCAACATCTACAATTGGACGAAGCTGCAATTTGTACTGTTGGGCTTTACGCACAAGGCGGATTCAACAAGCTCTTCACTATCGATTCGAATACTGGAAGATGGTTGATGCGCGTGGCCCTTCCCGTAGATCCATATCGGAAGACTGCAAGCGAGGTGTCCACCATGTGCTTTGTACGCAGGAACACAAGTATTCCCGTACCTACTGTCCTTGGTCATGATGCGTCAAACGACAATGATCTTAGATTTGAGTGGATCTTGATGGAGTATATGCCTGGCAGTGTCCTGGAGCGAGCCTGGAGGACAATATCACTATCTCGGAAGGAGAATCTAGTGAAGAAGCTTGCACAGTCTCAGGCTGAGCTGTTTCATGATGCAAATCGGTTCCGAACCATCGGCAACATAGTCCAAGCCGGTCCAGGATCGTATGAGGTCGGAAGTATCGTATCAATGACCTTCTTTTGGGGCGACCGTGGAGCACGAGATACCAATCGAGGGCCATTTCGAAACAGTTACCAATGGCTTACGGCTCGTCTGAACCTCGCACTCGAGGATCAAGACAAGATTCTGGCAAATACTGATGCCGAAGAAGAGATTGATGATGCGCAGGCAGCCAAGAAACTAGCCGAGCGCCTGATCGCTTTTCTCCCTAATATCTTTCGTTCTGATGAAGTCGAGTCGACGATGCTGTTTCACGATGATCTCCACGAGAAAAATATTCTCGTCGACCAATCTGGTAACATCACGGCCGTATTGGACTGGGAGTGTGTTTCTTTTTTCCCTCTGTGGATGGCCTGCCAGCCCCCTGCCCTATTGAACGGCGCCGTCCGTCTCGAAGAGCCTCTACGAAAGGACTACGGTCCCTACGACCCAGAAGTCGACGAAGATGACGCAGAGTACAATGAAGGACTAAGCTCCTCCTATTGGACGGATCTGATGACGTATGAACGTTGGCAGCTACGTGGTCTCTTTTTGTCTGAAATGGAGCTTTTGGAACCCGCATGGCTCGTCGAGTATCGACGAGGGGAACGGAAACGAGATTTCGAGCTTGCGACACTTCACTGCGGTTCTGAGCTAACGATGAAAAAGGTGGAGGCGTGGCTAGATGCACACGAGAAAGGAGAAAGGTACAGTCTCCGTAGTAGCCTATATGCCCAAAAGGTCTACAATCTCGAGACTTTCCAAGGGCGTGCTCGGTTTTAAGTAAAGTATTAAAAACTAATTATTAGCTCTTAAATATCAAATAGCAGGGCTTTAAGATAAATTTAAGTATTATTAAACTAAACAGCTATCGCTTTATATTTTATTAATTCAAATCTATTAATTAAACTTGGATATTTCTTAGCAGTATTAAGTACATAGTTAAATAGAAAGCTTATGTAGGATATAATTACTAGTAACATAAAGACTATAACTATAAGTTAATTTTGCTCTCAACCCTCGCACTACTCTTGTACCTAGCCAGGTACACTCCAGTTGTGTGTGTGTCCATCCGACTAATCTGAAGGCTTGCCGACAGTATGCCAAAGAAGAACTTGTCTCACGCCGAATTCTGGGACGACTCCGCGCTCGTCTCATCCTGGAATGAGGCACTGGCAGAGTACAAGGTATCAATCTCTACGAAGCGAGTGACATCGGAACATACTGATCTGAGAACAGAAGTACCACAGCCTCGCCGCCAAAGGTGAGAAGGTTGAATTATTACTCGAACAAGCCAAGCAGGACGACCTTGGAACACAGGACCCAATAGCGACTGAAGACGAAGCCCTTCCTCGATCTGAATCTAAAGTCAACGGCGAGGTGACATCAGGAGCGGCCGCAGTCACTCAAGCAGCTCCTGTGGCTCAGCCACTGGCTCCTCAGATAGGCACGGCTGCTATACCACAGGCCTTGCTCGGTGCTGGTATGTGCTTTCTAAGAGTTCTTGACTGCCGAATGCTAACGACCTCACAGTTCAAGACGAAGGCATGAAGAACCTCATGATGAGCTGGTATTATGCTGGATACTACACTGGACTCTACGAGGGCAAGCAGCAGGCCCTTGCTAGTACGCAGTCTCATGGATGAGAGAATTGCCTCCCTGGAATGACCATCCCCGCCCGATTATGCCGCAGCACCAGCACAGGCCATGGCTCTACTTCATTCCACAAACGCTGGACACCGCCACTGTTATTGCTTTGGTCAAGTGCGCTTGCGAAGTGCTCCCGCTCGCGAAGGTTGACAGGCTGGGTACGGAGACCGTCGACGCTAGTTCGCAGCAGAAAAAGTGCTGTCCCCGGCCCATCGAGCTCTGTCCAGTTCTACAGCTATTCGGGCAAAGGCGCCAGCCCTGTGCTTAAAGAGAGTCTCGCGATCTAGAGCCTTGCATCTAGTGGAGGGTCAAATATCGATATCCGCGCGCAAGGACAGCTTAGCGATGTCAGCAAGCTCACTGTATGTTGAAGAGCGTTGATTACTCCGTGGTGATAAATTACGTCAGAATAGTCGAATCATCAACAAATCATATAGTCGTCGAGTGAGTCATCGATGGCTACGAAGCGAAGTCAATCCGCTGCAGTAGACCTTTCTTTACCTCCTTATATACAACTCACTCGGTCTTGAGCACACTTGATCGTCCGTTCGGCGCATTTGTGCTCGTATATCGTATGCATTCTTAAGGCTCCGAGTCTCTGCAAAATCGGGCCCCGAAAGTCGGAGAGTCTCACAGACGCACGGGCAACCCCCACCAAAGAAAACTGTAATCACTCGCAGAAACAACATTATTGCACCAGCCCTCAACAATTTCTCTCCCTCACATAAATATACACCCCCCACCTCCATTCACACCATTCATTCTCATATATCCCTTCTCACACTTTCCCACACACTGACCTACACATCGAGAACACCACAATGGTTCAATCAAGCATTCTCGGCTTCCCTCGCATGGGTAAGCTGCGTGACTTGAAGAAGGCTACCGAAGCATACTGGGGCGACAAACTCTCCAAAGACGAGCTGTTGGCCGAGGGCAAGAGACTGAGACTCGAGCATTGGAAGATTCAAAAAGATGCCGGCGTGGACATCATCCCCAGCAACGACTTTGCTTACTACGACCATGTCCTCGACCACATCCAGATGTTCAATGCCATCCCAGAGCGATACAGCAAGCATGGCTTGTCCACACTTGACGAGTACTTCGCCATGGGCCGTGGTCACCAGAAGGATGGCATTGATGTGCCTTCTTTGGAGATGGTGAAGTGGTTCGACAGCAACTACCACTACGTCAAGCCTACGTTCCAGAACGACCAGACATTCAAGCTCCACGATGACCCCAAGCCCATCAGGCACTTCCTCGAGGCTAAAGAGGCTGGTATTACCACCCGCCCAGTCCTTCTCGGCCCAGTGTCCTTCCTCCACCTTGGCAAGGCCGACCGCAACCAGAATGTTGACCCAATCACACTCCTTGAGAAGCTTCTTCCAGTCTACGAGCAGTTGCTCAAGGAGCTGAAGAAGGCTGGCGCCGAGACCGTCCAGATCGATGAGCCTGTGCTCGTTTTTGATCTGCCTTCCAAGATCCGCGATGCCTTCAAGCCAGCTTACCAGAAGCTCACCGCTCTTCAGGGCGGTGAAGGCCCTCAGCTCGTGCTCGCCACCTACTTCGGCGATGTCGTGCACAACTTCGACGTCATTGACGCCGCTCTTACCAACACATACGCTTTCCACGTCGACCTAGTCCGCAACCCAGAGCAACTCGAGAAGGTCGCCCAGCACCTCGGCTCCAAGCAAATCCTCTCTGCTGGTGTGGTCGATGGCCGCAACATCTGGAAGAACAATTTCAAGCGCAGCATCGAGCTTATTGAGTCTGCTGTGCAGAAACTCGGCAAGGAGCGTGTCATCGTCGCCTCCTCGTCATCTCTCCTTCACACTCCCCACACGCTCGAGAGCGAGAAGAACCTCGACCCAGAAGTTAGCGACTGGTTCGCTTTCGCCACCCAGAAGGCTACCGAGGTCGCTATCATCGCCAAGGCCGTCACTGAAGGTGCTTCATCCGTCAAGAGCCAGCTTGAGGCCAACGCAAAGAGCTTGGAGGCACGCGCCACCAGCAAGAGGACCAATAACCCAGAGGTCAAGAAGAGGCAAGAGGCTGTCACAAAGGAGCAACACGAGCGTAAGAGTGCCTTCCCCACTCGTTACGACCAGCAGAAGCAGCACCTCAAGCTACCGCTTTTCCCAACCACCACCATTGGCTCCTTCCCTCAGACCAAGGACATCCGTATCCAGCGTAACAAGTTCACGAAGGGCGAGATTACTGCTGAGGAATACGAGAAGTTCATCGAGAAGGAGATCCGCGATGTCATCGCCATCCAGGATGAGCTTGAGCTCGATGTGTACGTCCACGGCGAGCCAGAGCGTAACGACATGGTCCAGTACTTTGGTGAGCGCATGGACGGCTATGTCTTCACGACCCACGCCTGGGTTCAGTCCTACGGCTCTCGTTGCGTGCGCCCACCGATTATCGTGGGTGACATCTCCCGACCTGCTCCCATGACCGTCAAGGAGAGCAAGTACGCCGCCAGCGTCAGCAAGAAGCCGATGAAGGGCATGCTCACAGGTCCCATCACCTGCCTGCGATGGTCTTTCCCGCGTGACGACATCCACCAGTCCGTGCAGGCTCAGCAGCTTGCTCTCGCTCTCCGCGATGAGGTTGTGGACCTTGAGGCCGCTGGTATCTACGTCATCCAGGTCGATGAGCCGGCTCTTCGTGAGGGTCTTCCTCTCCGCTCTGGATCTGAGCGTGAGAAGTACCTTAGCTGGGCCGTCGACAGTTTCAAACTTTCGACTGCTGGTGTCAAGGACAGCACGCAGATCCACTCGCATTTCTGCTACTCTGAATTCCAGGACTTCTTCCACGCTATCGCTGCGCTGGATGCTGACGTTCTGTCTATCGAGAATAGCAAGTCTGATGCTAAGCTCTTGAAGGTGTTCATCGATGAGGCTTACCCAAGACATATCGGGCCAGGTATGTACCCTTCATTTACATGCGTCCACGTCTCCTATCTTTTTACTGATTATCATATTCCAGGTGTCTACGACATCCACAGCCCTCGTGTTCCCTCGGAGCAGGAGATCAAGGATCGCATCACCGAGATGCTGGAGTACTTGAAGCCAGATCAACTCTGGATCAACCCTGACTGCGGTCTTAAGACCCGCCAGTGGAAGGAGACGAAGGCGGCGTTGAGCAACATGGTTGCTGCTGCCCAGTCTTTCCGCTCGCAGCACAGCAAGTAGATGGTCGGCGTTTCGACCGGATGAATGGGGATGAAGAGGACGAATGCATCGACTGGCGTTTCAGGGCTGGGATGGGATGACTCCACGGACGACACGGGTGACGTAAAAAGGACGGATATGGATGATTCAACATGATACCCCCAATTGACAGATTTAGCGCGGAGTTTCAACCAAAAGGGAATCGGATGTTGATATGAGCGATCTCAACGATCGCTTTCTATGCGCTGCCTCAACGGCGGTGCTAGCTGAGCGATATATGCTATATGCATAGCTCAGAAATGAGTTGTGGCGAGTCTTTTGAGAAGGCTGCTGCTGTGTAGAAGTAGGAATACCTTAGTTGTGGTATGCATACATACATGAAAGCATTTATTGCTCAGGCGTGCTGTCAATGGCACTGCTCATACCCTTCTTCCTCCTTCTGGTGCTCGCGCTCGTCGTGCGTCGCCACTGCTACGTGTCACTTCGAAGCAGGTTGGTTCTTGTTCGGACACAACACAGCCGAAATGGACCTTCCGCAGCAACAGTTAAGTGGACGCTGTTGGTTATCTCTTGCCGAAGCAAGGATTGCCACCACTTCTTAGAACACCTGCACAAGTATACTGTCCACAGCGACATCATCTTGGCTTCTCGCGCTCTGATTGAAACTTGTTGGCATCTTGGGACTCGATCGGGAGCACTACTATATATTTCCACCCCCTCTTGGACTTGCTTCAACACAGCAATGGCCCACACCTTCTGCTGCAACCATCCTCAAATCCGCATGGACTCACCCGAGCCTCCTGCTCGAGCACCCACCATTATCATCGATGGCTTACTGACCGCTGCTGCTCTGCCTGAGGACCATCCTCATGCTTTCCAGTTCCCGGACAAGAAACCTGCGATTCCTGGAGGAATTCTACGCAGTCCGAGTATTGCCAATAAGATCAAGTCGCAACTATGGAGGAGGTCTTCGAGGGTAGGGAGTAATAGTGGCGAGGGGTGCGATGAGGATGCTAAGGATGTTAGTGAGGCGGAGGTCGAGGGGTGGGTTGGAGGGATGTTTGATGGTGAGGCCGGAGAGCTAATGGAGAAGGTCGTGGAGAGGGGAACTCCTGATGGGATGCGGACACCTGTTATGAGTGATCTTGAGTGGTTGGAGCCGCTTGTCAGAAGGTTCGTCAGCATTGGTGGGTATCGGAAGGTACTGGAGCTGACCATCGTGTAGACCTTGTGCGAGCTCAGACAGGTCAGAAATCACGCCGAGACAATCGAGCGTTGCTCAGACAGTAGCAGTGGACACTCCATCGACAGACCCTGGCATACCTCGATCCACAAGCTATCCGAATCTGTCGGACAGTCTCGACGTCGACGATACAGCACCACATCGCACGAAGTTATCCGAGAACGACCATCACCCATCACAGACAGAAGCGCACCAGTTGGTCCAGGCAGTCGGCAATGATGAGCCTGTACAGAGCACTTATCCGCCCCTAGATGAGAAGCTTCCAATGAGAATGACAACCCAACTAGAAGCGGCAGAGCTCGATCCATTCTCTCAAGAAGGACGGGACACGCAACGCTCTACTCAGAGCAAAGGCGTGCATCTCCAGGACTTGCGTATATCCCAGCAATTACGGTCCATGTCCGCAGGTTCCTGGTCTACCGACTGTGACTCCATGTCATCAATCTGTGATGTGAAGCCATGGAACTTCCACCATCGGAAGACGTCGACTCTTGGCGGCGGCTCCATCCACCGTCGAAGAGGCTCAGGCTGCGTGATTACTATGCCTTCACAGCTCTCTGTTGGTAGGGTTCGTTCACCTGCTACTTCGTCGACTTATAGCCAGGGTTCTGCTGTAGTGGCACCGAATTTCTCTGCTGTTGTCGACGAGGATGTTGGTAACGAAGCGGGTGCCATAATTACTGCTGACGAGCCTTCCGGCCTCGATGGAGCTTTGCTGGATTGGCCTTTGCCACGCCAAGAGAACCTTGTGGACATTGGGCTTGCAACCGAGATAGAGCGACTGGCCGAAACAACACCATTTGTGGCCAAGACCTCGGTGACGAATTTGTCTATCACTTCGACAGGGGCGGAGACCTCGACCGTAAGATGGTCGACGCCGCCCGCGCGAACAGTATCGGTGCCAAAACCATCTTCCAGCCACTTCTCCACCTCGAGCAAACGTAGCAAATTCTTCGAACGCTTCTCGCCTGCGAAGAGACTCGTTCGGAAGCGTCGCTCGATCTTCAAGTTCCTGCGTCCTGGTAGCCGTAAGCAGCAAGGTCGAAGCATCAGCTCTCCATTGCTTCATGTGCCTGCAAGCTCGACCCTGAGCGCCTATGACGGCCCTCAAGATGATCCATCGTTGATGACAGTGGCTTACGAGACGGTCGATCAGCCACCTGCTTCACGGTCTGCAAGCATGGGAAACCTGGTCCAAGATCATCGCCCAAGTGCTGCTCACCTCGCAGTACCTGACGCACTCCAGCGTCGGCCATCGCTCGCTGACTACGAGCGTGTTCTGACCGCTGCGGGTGATGATCGCCGTCGACCGTCAACGATCGATCTCGTGAAGCTGAAGGAGGTACAAGAAGATGATCGCCGTCAGTCAACATCACTCCGACGTAGATTAAGTCGTGCAAAGCCACTCGATGAGGATCATACTGGTCCGAGAGGGCTCATGACACAGGCTGCCGAAAGGACTCTACAGGAGAAGGCACTGTTCCGATCAGCGAGTAAGCGCAGGGAAGCGATCGCAGTTGCACATGATGACCGTCAGCATCCTCTGTTCCGTACAGATACTTTGACCTCCGTGGCCGCAAGCACGCCTGCAGCGAACACCACTGCCGTGAGTGATCTACTTGATCCGCTTGACATGGCTGTTGGGAAACCGTCCATTGGACGAAGTCACAGTGCTGGGTATCTGATGCCTCCAGGAGTTGCTGGGGTCGAGCAGACATCGAGGCATAATTTTGTTCCGCCAAGTATCAAGCCATCGTTCTCCAGCTCAAGTCCATTAGCGCAGGTCCGCCAGAACCCCATTGCAGAAGGCGCACCTGTGAGGATTGGAACGGCACCGGCTGCTTGGTCTCAGTTCCCATCGCATACCAGACTCGAGCGAAGTGGCCCAGCTGGTGACGAAGACGACGTAATTACTCGTGATTTTGCTGTTCAGGAAGAGACCAGGGAGTCACATGAGCTTCCCGATCTACCCAATACCTCGCCAATCAGTATCAGTAAGCACGCAGTCGGACGAAAGAATGCGTTTGCGAAGAAGCGTTCGACTACCTTTGGTGGGATCAAACGATTCTACTCCAACGTCTTCACTAGTGGCTTCTCGCCATCAAACAGGAGGAGCTCAGTAGCCACAGGCGGATGGCTGGCCAACCCAGACCTGGAGCTCTTGCCGCCAACCACATCTCACGAACCCGCGTTTCCACATCATGATCATCACTTCAAGCAACACCTTCACGACCTTGAGCGGGAGCTTGAAGAAAGGGTCGCGAAAGACATCGAGTTTGTCGAAGACGAAGCAGCCAAGATTGGCGAGCAGATTCGCGAAGATGTCAACGTGGCGGAGGAAGAAGCCGAGAAGTTCATGCACATCAACCCATATCATCACCATGAGCATTACCACGGCAAGCAGGCGGTTGGAGGGCAATTTGGCAATGACAACCCCTTTGCGCCAGGCCTTGAGCATGTTTTGCAGAAACGTCACAGCTCTTTTGTCAGTCCACTTGATGAGGAGGATGGACCAACAAGTCCTGCTGGCGACGGTAGTGTTGCTGCCGCAAGTACGGCCGGACCTCCACCCATCGTCACCCGTGTCGTCAGCCACGATGGTGCGAGTGATACTCAGGCACAACAGCACAAAGCAGAAACGTGGTCAAGCACTTACAAAGACTGCCTTACACACTCTGGCAGTAGTGTAACTCCAACCTCAACATCAACGCCGATGGGAACGCTGCGAGGCATGCCGCCACCACAGCTGAAGCCAGTGAAAGCCCGTTCGTCGGACAAGAACAAAGGTCTCGATCCCAACGCTACAGTCCGACGCTTTCCCTCTGTCACTGTCGTCGACGATCGCAAAGGCCACGGCCATAGTATCTCTCTCCTCTCGGTCAAGCTCGAGGGCGATGGCATTATGCGTTCGAGCACAAATGATCTGCTTCAGCTGATTGAGGATTGTGAACGCCAGGAGAGGGAGCGTCTGCTTCGTGGGCCGAGTCGTGCCAGCGAGCGGAGTGGGAGACAGTATAGGACTGTGGCATGATATCTACTACGGTTCTGGTGTTCCTGGGCCGGAGCGTGGTCGGGAGGCGCAGGCTCGAGCCTCGGGATTCGGCATTACTTTTGGAATAGTGGTAAGGAGTCGGAGAAACGTGGAGTAAATCGATTGCAGCTGTAAGAATAATGATAATGACGGCGAGGAGGAAAGGCGATGTTGGTCTTGCGGTATAGCACGCAGCTAGCCAAATGCATCTGATACTATCGTCTGGATAGACCAAGTATCATGTACTAAACTTGAACCCTCCGTTCGCGCAAATGGTCGATCCAGTACACCAGGCACTATCCGTAGTGCACAGCATAGCGATGACACCGGCGATCTCGGTGTCATAGGCCTGCAATAAGTCAGCTTGTGGCACCACGAAATGTACGATCAGCACTGACTGGTCGGCCTCCAGCCACGTCAGAGTTCTCCACAAGGTCCTTGCGATCCACATCCGATCTGATTGCAGCTAGTGGTGTGTTCTTGGTCCAGTAGCTCATCTTCTGCTGGAATTCCTTCGAGGTTGAGTCGTACATCCCTGTTGCCACGGGCCCGGGATTGACGGCGTTGACCGTACACCTTTCAGAGAGCTCCCGTGCCCAAGTTCTTGTCATGGCTTCGAGAGCAGCCTTGGTGCCACCGTAACATGGCATCTTCCTCAAAGCCAAGAGCAGCACTGACACTGCTGACGTTCACTACCCGTCCGCTTCGGTCATGCGGAAGATGTGGTTCTACGGCCTTCATGAGAAGTAGAGGGCCTCGGACGTTGACATTGTACAGCCGTGCGAATTCCTCACTGGTACAGTCCTGCAACGCGCTTTTGGAGGCTACCCCAGCGTTGTTGACCACAACGTCGACCTGCATTTTGTGGGTCTTTGGGTGAGCGAAATGATTCATAGCCATGTTGATCAGATGTGCAGGGCCGGTCTCGGTACCCATGTCGGCCTGAACAGGCAGGCATTTGACGCCATAGTTGGTAGAGAGCTGTCTGGCAAGCTTTTCGCTCTTGTCGGCCGAAGAGTCAGAAGTAAAATTGATGATCACCGAAGCACCTTTCTAAGGATGAGCTCAGTCAACGATGTTCATCAGGTCTGGGCATTATGACCTACTGAGGCAAGGTTCTCTGCAGTGGCCGCACCAATACCTGTGGAGCAGAGTCAACGGATGCCAAAAATATCATGTCTTCAAGACACAACCTCGCGATGCACCAGTGACGATGGCAAGTTTGCCTTCCAAAATACGCTGTTCGCCTCCGCGACCGATGTTGGTCGAAGCTGTTCGTGTGCTCCCAGGGCGTGACATGATTTGGGGGACTCGTCAATAGATCAGAGGAGAATTTGTTTGTGGGTTTTTACAGATGGTTATGCGTTCGTGCCTGCCCCTCATTACGATGAGTGCAATGACAGCATCATGCATTGTTCCTGCATTGCCGCCGAGCCTCACTTCATGAAATACGTGGGGCACTATCGTAGAACCACATCGTGCATGTGTGTCGCCACGCAATCGCAGGATTCGACTGCTCTCGGTGCATCACGAGCTTTCATATGCTATCGACCAACTGCCAGAGCTTCCACGCAAGAAATTGCATCCCTTCGACAAGCACTCTTAACGCAGCCACAATCCGGTGACTAAGACAATCAGCGTCTGACACTGCGACGACCACCAGCAGAGGAGACCGGTGGTGGCGGTGGGTCGTACAACGGTCCTCTATGGTTCTGGCCAGGCCGGAAGTCTTGCGAGCTAGCTCCTCTTACACCACGTATTTGGGATAAGGCATGCTCCTGATGCAATCTGGACGGCACGTTGTTGTGCTGACTGGGAGGGAGAGAGACTCGTGCAGTCGGTCGAGGTCGAGAGGGTGCGTACACTGGCTGAGGCGAAGGCAACCTATCCGGGCGTCGGAAAAGACCATGTGAGTTGCGTGGCGTTTGTAGAATCGATTCGCCGCGCCATGCTGAGCCACGAGACGCTGCCCGAACCTGCGTCTGGTTGTGGTGGGGCTCGATGTTATTAGAGTAGTGTTCATGTTTGAAGGTAGTGAAGTCGGGAGGCTGTGCTTGGCGATTGAATGGACTGGCAGTATTGTGTCCTGCTGCAGCATGGTTAAGAAAGCCTGCAGTCTGGCGCTCAAAGGTCCTCTGGCTCGATGGCGCATTTATATAATCCACAGGTGCTTGATCAGCGTTGGCCTGGCTTGAGGCCCTTCGCGCAAAGAATGGACTGCTGACAGACTTGAATGGTGCAGGCTTCGTACCGTATCTCTGAGGTGACGGTGTCATCTGCATTGGATCGTGATGGCCACTGTTGTTCATCCAAGTGGGGCCTTGACGCGCGGAAGCAGGTGGCCTCGCGATAGGTCCCTGTTGGAAACGAAGTTGTTGAGAGAGTGTACCATAGTCTGCTTCGTACTCTGTGATTTGTGGTCTGATATGCTGTCGACCAATTTGATCCGCAAATTGTGGTCGAGAGTTATGCTCCTGGGAGAGAGCAGCTGGCCATAGTTGACGTTGACCAGTCCGGCTGCCGGACGGACTCGCAACTGGTATCTTATCACTCACACGCCACTGCTGGCTGCCGTCTCCAGACTGATGGTCAGGTGGTTGGAATGACATCGCAGCAGGCGCGTCTCGAACTTCCTGCGCACCATGACCGGCAGCCGTGTTTTCCTCGTATACTTGGGTTGCCCGGGTTGGCACACTGAATTGCATGCGGTCATACTGATGTACATCTGTACCATGCGGGTTTTGTTCAGACTGTGGGACAGCACGACTCATCGCAGGTGGCGGCATCACATCTCTGCTGTCAGCCCAGCCGCTCTGACCAAAAGGAGCAGGCTTTATCCGACGCTCGAAAGGCCGGTCCATTGGCTTCCGCTTGTGCGATGACGATGAGTGGTCCAATTCAGCTATAGCTAAAGGAGTCAGCATCGAGCAGATAAAGCTGTCTCATCACGTACCCGTCGTCGAAGAGCTGTTGAACTCAATGGCTTGGGGCCTGGTAGCGGTCTCGGCAGCGTGCTGGGCTTCTGATCCATCGTTCTGAGCATTACCGTTGAAGGCATAGCTCTTTCCAGGTGCATTGTAGCCGAGGCGTTTAAGCTGCAGGCGTAAATCGGCCATATCACTATCGACAATTAGATCGGCTAGTAGCAGCGCACGGTGAGTCATGCATACTTCGCCATGTCGTGCACGATATTCAGGTAATGATTGATCGCCGGCTTTCTGGCCTCCCACTTCTGCAACTGAACTTTTACAAGCTCGAGAGCTGCAAGTCGAGATTTCAGTGTACCGAGTTGTTCTTGCAGCTGCTTACGCTCCAGGTGCTCGTGTGAGTAAGCATAACGCATGGATTGCTGCTGGGCTTTAGTTCGCTTCCAATGGTAGGCGACACGCTGAGCATATCTCGCTATGCTCATGTATTGGAACTATGACTGATTAGCAGGGTGCCTCAATATGCAATTTGCGGCACGTACGCGCACGGCTTCCATGCCCGGGATAGTACCATCGAACTCAATTGCAGGGCACTCGATCCAGTTCGTCGGTATCTCCCTGTCAATCTGTCCAGGCTGCAGGCCTCGAACACCATACAACCCTCTTGGAGTGTAGTCACCCCTCTCCGAGCATTGCGGGCAAGGAGCTTGTGGTCGCTGGCCGTCAGCATGAAAGGGTGCAGCTGTGCATATTAGCTTGCGCTGCATTTGAAGAACCTTGCCCCTCCTTACCACCACCCAATAGGTGCTTGCCACAAAATACATGCGAGCAATCTGCAATCCACATTTTTGTGACTATGCCCTCATCGTCGCCGGACCCGCTGTGGAAGCCTTTGTTGCTCTCTGTCGTGGCGTACACTTCAGGTATAGTGGCTTGACAAGTGCCACAGCTGAATATCAGTAGCTCGAGTGGTACATCTACGTTCGCTTCCGTGTCACTCGACGCATGTATCGAAGCCATTGTGCCGGCGGAGGTATCGAGTAGGTCGCGATATCATTGTTTGAGGTTAGATGTTCATGAAGTGAAGTCTAGGTCTCGACCCGCGCAAGACAAGTGTGGCAAGTGCGATGCTGCGTGTCTTGCCCGCACTTCACCTCATCTCGTCTCATCCCCTGCGACTAGAAGGAGAGCGGCAACATAGATCCAAAAGGAGTGGTAAGGAACATAGCGCTCTCTGGCTTTCTCTGAATTGGAGGACTGAAGAACATCTGTACATCAGCTAAAAAGTTACATTTCTGGAGACTACTCGAATGTCCGGCATGGGTAGCTACACGACTGTCAGCAAATCCTCCAGCATCCTCGAACGAAAGATATACGTACTTCGACCCGTATGACTGGTCTTTGAGCATCTCGTATCGTTTGCCTTTGGGGTGTCGGGAGGCAGGTAGTGGTGGGAGGCCATTGGGACCCATCAAAGCCTTGAACGCGCTCTTGTCCTTCTCGAAGTACTGGCTGAGTCCTTTCTCGCCCTCCTCTTTGACCGATACAAGCTGCTTAGCACCGGCGTCCCCTATTTGCAAAACGTCCTCCTTGGGTGCTGCGGCAGAGCCGACTGTCAACAGTCCGACAACATCCGGCTGCCTGACGACAGACATTTGTGGGTACTGTCTTCGTACATCGCGCTTCCAGTATGGGTTCTCGGCAAGATCTGCGGCGGGTACAGTGACTGCATCGCTGTAGAGTGAAGGGTCGTTACCGCCGGGTGTAGGGTTGCGGAATTGTGGGTTCATGGGGACACCGCTCGAGCGACTGGAGTCGACGGCCAGGAAGTCATTGACCCTTTTCCAGAAGCCGGTAGGTTGTACAGTGTATTTCTGGCAAATCATTAGTCTTGGCTGTCGAGCATGCTACTGAGGCATGACCACGTACCAGATATGTCTTAGCCTGCGAGTCACGCCCCAGCCTGGAGACGGCACTCTTCGCAGAATTACCTGCAACTGCCATGTCGACCTTGGTGTTGTGCTTGTTGCTCTACCTTGGGCTGTAAGGTCAATCGCACGCAGCACGACTTGACCGAGTGCACGCTGGAGCTCCGGGTGTTCTTCGGCAGATCGTGAAGCACGAGCCCTCTGAGCAGCTCCGCGTTTCACTTTCACTAAAGTACCTTCATGCCACTTCCACGAACCAGGACCACATCTTGTACAGAGCGCTTGCGACCAGGACATCGCCTCGTCGTGATAGCATGCCTTCACGCGATCCACTTCCGCCGCATGACTTAGGATTAGCTTGCTACGAACGGTACGGATTTGTGACGCGACTGAGCACGCGAGAACATTCATCATCTGCAAGATAGCTAGGACCAGCGTGCCCGTACCTCTACGATCATGCCGGCGACACGTCCTCGAGCTTCCTTCGAACCAATATCGCCTCATTTCGATCTGAAGAAGCTCGTCGAGTCGACACCCAACTTCAGCTTCGTTGATCGCATCAGCTGTCACATGATCGATCAGCAAGGCCTGGCAGCCTTTGAGAAGCTTGTACTGCTGCACGTCATTGCAGGTGGAAAGCCTCTGGTGATTGATGGGTACGAGGACAGGTTGGATCCATGGACATTCTCCCCGAAATGGCTGCGCGACAACTGCGGCGAGAAGGTCGAAGAGGCGAGAGTGCTCACTACCCAAGAGAACCTTCCGCTGACCATGGGCCATTATTTGAAGAACATGGGCAAGCTCACAAATCAGTTTTTTGAGAAGGAAGGCGCATATCGCGAGAAGAATCGCCAGAGGGTGTATCTGAAGGACATCGACGTCCCTGGTGTGTGGGAGGACAAATTGAAGGAGCAGATACCAAGTGCACTATTTTACCTGAATGAGAGCACCGGCGAGATTGGCGGACCGGGTGCTGTTTCCGATCCAGCAGGTGCAGCTTCAGGTCGACGAAATGACAAAGGCGCGGCACGAGCTGGCGATCTGATGAGCTCATTGCCTCCGGACATGCGTGCGGAGAATCTGATGTGCTACATCGGCCATGAGGGTACCTACACGCCGGCGCATCGTGAGATGTGTGCTTCCTTGGGACACAACATCATGGTTGAAGCTTCTGGTATGGTCTCGGACGATGCCGAGGAAGAGAAACCAGGATCTTCGATCTGGTTTATGACTGAGACAAAAGATCGTCACGTCGTCTCGGAATACTGGCTTAGTGTCCTTGGTCATGATATCGAGGTTGAGAAGCATTTCGCACAAGTGGTAGCTTGGAAGAAAGCGCCTTTCAATGTCTACGTCGTTGAACAGAAACCTGGCGACTTCATTCTGATTCCACCGTTGGCACCACATCAAGTCTGGAATCGTGGTACTCGCACAATGAAGGTAGCGTGGAACCGTACGACCGTCGAAACGCTCGAAATGGCACTGAATGAAGCTATTCCGCGGAGTCGCATTGTTTGTCGAGATGAGCAGTACAAGAACAAAGCCATAGTCTACTACACGATGCAGAAGTACAGCGGTCTCCTGTCGATGGTTCAGCAGCAAGCGATGCGCCTGCCGCAAGACGCCGCTCAACAGCTGCTCTACACTGGCAAGATCAAGCAGCTGCAGAAGGATTTTAGAAAGCTGTTTGGCCTGTATAAGCAGGTCCTGCTCTCCGAAATATTCAGTCCGGAAGATCGAGACGCTCCGCGAAACATGGAGTATTTACCCTTTGACAGCAATGTTACGTGTGCTTATTGCCGTGGCAATATGTTTAACAGATTCTTGACCTGTTCGAGCTGCAAGGACCTGCTTGGCCATAACGGAGACAGCGCTGAAGGCGACCCTTATGACGTCTGCCTGGACTGCTACGCCATGGGCCGCTCATGCGGCTGCTTAAGTGGCCATAAGTGGGTTGAGCAGTTCCGCTGGAAGGAGCTCCAGACTAAGTACGAAACATGGCGAAGGCTGATCATTGCGCTTGATGGTGGGCAGATCACAGCAAAGACGCCACTTTCACTGGTCGAAGAGCGCAAACGCCTCGCAAAGAAGACACTCGCTGAGGTCTGCAAAGATCAGCTGAAGCGTCGTCCTTGGAAAGACGTGCATAAGCCGGTCGGTGCGCCAAAGGAGGATGGAGAAGACAAGGAGGAGATCGAGGTTGACGACAATGGCAACGTTAAGAAGATTTCGAAGAAGAAGTCAAAGACTTGGCTCAAGAATAACACAGCCTGTCACGTCTGCTGTCATCGTCATCCAAACTGGAAGATGGCTTTTTGCACGACCTGTGACCGTGCGTGGTGTTATGGTAGTTTGTTCAGAGGTTGGGACAAGATGCCTATGCAAGTTATGGAGGATGCAGATTGGCGTTGCCCCCATTGTATCGGTATCTGTTTCGCTGGCGCTTGCAGACGCGAGGGCAAGATGCAGCCTTATGAGCCGAAAGGCACACTTTTAGGTCACGATACACGCAAGGTCGCGGATGCACGAAGCGTGGAAGCACTTGTCGATTTCAGCGTCAGCAACCTCAATTGGCTGAAGGATGATGCCGTTGTTGACCGTACGGAGTCTAGTCGTGTCAAGCGCGCAAAGGCGGAAGCTCAACGCGCGAAGGACGTCGACCCATCGCTGGATGACGATGATGCCGTCGACCAGATGCAAGTGGACTACGAATACTCACCAGAACACGGTACACCGATTGATCCAGCGTTGGACGATGGCGAGAACAGACGTCAAGACGGCGAGGATGAAGATGCATACCTCATGCGCCGCCTACAAGAAGCGAATTCCACACTCCCACCACCAGATGCTATGGTGGCTGGTGCGCCAGCGAACAGTGGCACAGACGGCTATGCCCCTGTCGCGCCACCCGCCAACATGTATCCCGTCCCCGGTCATGACAATTCTTACGCGTACCCAAATTATGCGAGGGCGAGTAGTGTTGACCCGATCGAGGATGACAGTGTCGGTGGAGTGCGCCCTTTCAAGAAGCGCGGACGAATGGACGATGACGACCTTGACGATATCACAATGTCGAAGTCAAAGGCCAAGAGACCACGAATGTCTGGCGCAGGGTTTAGGTCGTCAGATCTGGCAGACCCCACAGCTGCATCTAAGGCGAAGACCGAAGCGCAGAGGCAATTTGAACAGGAAAAGGAACGTAAAGCCCTCGACAAAGCCAAGACCGACGGTCGCTTCATTATGCTGCAGGCTAAGCTTCGCGGCAAGAAGCGTCTAGTCACACTCGGTGTTCCAGGTGCACGGCTTGCGCAGGTGCTGGCTCAGCAAGCGGCAAAGGCTGCTCTGAACGCAGGCGAGGATGCGGACGCTGAGCATGAGGTCGAAGAGGGAGCTGTATATGTCGATCGGGAACATGACCACCGCGCTGCCATGCTGCTGAAAAGTGACATCGCACCCAAGAAGATCGTGGACCCGAAGGCGTACTACAAGAATCGTGAGGACAAAGGCCTGGTTGTCACTGGCAACACCAAGAAAGCGCTTATTCCTGTCGAGAAGGACGATAGCTATGGCTATGTGCCTCGCGACCGACTACAAGGCGGCAAAAGAGTGGCAGTGCCACAGGGTAAGCGCAAGCCAAGGCAGAGTGATAGGGTGTATGAAGAAGTCGACATTGGCTCAGACGAGGAGGCGGATGGCGGGAGCCCCGTCGTTGTGGCCCAGCCAGCTTCAGTACGTGATAGACGGAATCTGCCAGGATACCTGCGGGACCGTCATGCCGGTGACGAGGCCATGCCGGACGAATTGCCCAGTAGTCCCAAGGATAGCACTGTGCACAACAACAAGAAGTCCAAGGCCACAGCTTTCCTGGAGAATGAGGACGACGAAGCGATTGCAGCGAATCGTGCTCCCATACCAACCTCGGCGCGCCAAAGTGGTCGTACGGCAGGTAAAAGACCAAGCATGAGACCTGTAGTCGCGAGTCATGCCGTCGATGCAGATGATGAGATGAATGAGATGATCGATGCTGCCGCTAGTGGAGACTTCCTCGACGTGGACAAAGCAGTGCGGGCAGCCGGTGCCTCTGGATCATCCACAGAGCATCAGGCGATAGATGACGATACCAGCAACAGAAAGCCACGGGGCAGGCCGCCCAAAACAAAATCGTCCGAGGTCAGCCTGGCGCAACGTGAGACGGAGAAACATAACCGTCTCGCAAAGCTCCAGGCTCTCGAGATGGTTTCAATGGAAGTTGAGGATGCAGCGGTTGTGCGGGGTGGAAGCAGGAACCAGAGCAACGTTCTTGGCAGAGCCGGCGCATCGACCATAAGCATGGCCGAGGTCATTTCTTTCGATGGAGAGGAGAGTGACGACGATGGTGTTGATAGCGTACCTGCACGTCGCGGCACCGCCATGCAGGTCTAGTGCAGCGCGACTCTAGCAAGATCAAGCCGCATGTATGCCGCGCCAAAGCAACCCCATGTGGCGCAGGCGTAAACCTTGAACCTTCGGATCCAGCCCCGACGCGGGACTCGTACCACGACTCCATGATGGGCGTGCTAGACGAGAAAAGTGATCTTTACCATATTGGACTGCCCCAGGTAGAGTTTGGCACAAAGCTGCTGGTCAAGATTGTGTGGAGGCCTACATGAGCACGTGGTTTTGGGGATCGGTGCGGCCGCTACGACAGCATGTATGCTGTCCATGACGGCGAAACTCTAGCAGTGGAAAGATCAGCTTACACGGCGACGAGAGGGGGGTTGCTACAGCAGACTCGTAGGTAGTAAAGCTTGCTAGACCGAACGATCCCCATGCACCGTCGATAGCTGTACAATAGTGCACTTGCTACATCTGTCGGCTCTCATAACTACCATTGGATACGTCTGACCGCTTGCGTAGTGTTTGAAACCTATTCGGAAATCAAGGCCTACGTAATCCCGCAGTTGGTATGTCGAGGGTCAGCGAAGTAAGTGCAGCCGTAATAGGCTCTTGGCTCTACTAATTGCTGTGCCTGCGGCTACCTCTCGTGCCCCTACCAATACACCACCCTACGTTCCTCGCCAGGCCAAGCGCGCTACGCAGCAGGTTAACGCCATCAGGACTGCAAAAGTACATCCGTCAACTTAGCTGACGCAGTAGCCAAAAGCGTGACAGGACAAGTCCATGTCACCCACAGCAAAGGCGGGAGACGAAGTACAGCGGACGTTTGTCCGGATCGGAGCAGCCTACAGGTGCAAGCTCCATAGTATAGGCATAAAGCAAATAGATCAACGCAGACGCCCCAAAACTCTACAATCGTCCTGTGACGCTGATCTCCAGCACAAAAAGAGCACGAACTTTGTAGATCTTGGCGGCGCACCTCTCGGTAGCGACCAACCGTGACAGGGCTGTAGAATTATGGCGTAGCGCAAACTCTCCGAGTCAACTTTGACAACAGAAATTGGTCGCTGCTCTGGCATTTCTGGGCATCGATGATGTCTGATTTGATGTGCAGTATTGCGGTGCTCGGTCGTCGGGGCGGTGGTTCAATACATATCCGATCGAGCACTGGAGTCCACATGAGACGGATTGGACGGGACAGTTGGCGGTGAGGCAGATACTCGGCAGGCAAACGCCACTATGCTCCACTACTTTTGACAAATGAGATGTGTGAAATAGCAGGCTAGATGGAGTGATTACTTTGCTGCAACGGAAGTGTGCGGCGTATATTGACAGTGTTGAAGCGCCCAGCTGTTGTTCTCTCTATGACTCGGCGTTGGAAAGTATTCCAGTTCTACCGATGTTGAAGGGAAGTCGGGACGACACATCTTTGCCAATCTGGTCTGCTAAACCGCTTGACGACGTCTCAGAGTGTGCCAATGACCACCGCCGACTGATTGACTGAGCAACAGACCTTGGCCACTCCCGCCCCATCCATGGGAATGTTCAATTGGACGATCCACCAGTGTCTCCTCGTCGACCGTGACCGACCCGTTGACTGCCGCAACCTGCCTTTGGAATAGTTCTTGGCTGCCAGCGACTGTTGGGAAGCCGTACGGACCCGATTGTCCAGTCACATGGATGCCTGAGAAAGTCATTTCCTGCTCAGTCGAGCCGAATGAGAATGATGCCAAGGAGGTCGTGTTCTCGAAAAAGCTCGCTGTCCCGTTTTGCGTGGTCGAGAGTGATGTCCCCTGGAAGGAAGGATAGTTTGGATGTACCTCCTGAGCAGCGACGAACGACTCCAGACCTGTTGGGAAGACCGGTTGACCAAGTGTCTGTACGTCCTTGGCCCTATTGACCGTGGCAACGTACGATATGTTTGCCCCGTCTGTGGCATATGTCGACAAGGCGGACAGTGGGTAACTGATATGTCGTGCATAGCCACTTGAAGAGACATCATAGCCAGTCGTCTGCTGCGTGTTCAGTTCAACATTGCTCTGGTTCGTGTAGTTGCCGGTGTTTGTGAAAGATCGAGTCTGGCGCCATGTAGCGGTGTCAATACCGTGGGACAGAGCCAAAGTCGACTGGAAGGAGAGACTGCGCTGTACGCCAACGCTATAGTACAGTGTCTCGTTCGTACCATTCGTGCCGGTACCAATGGAAGAAGACACCTGGATGTTTGGGGAAGGTGTGACAGCATATGGGCCTTGTCCCGTAGTGACATGGCCAGGAGCATCGAGCCACAGGAAGGCCTTGCCAGTGACCAGCCAGTAGTTATCAGTGGTCTCTGACAGAGTCGCAGTTCCATTGCCGTTGTCATTGAGACCACTAATACGGATTGTGAAATTGTGCGCTTTGCCATCACATAGAACTGGGAGCCATGGTGTGATATCGATCTCGTCTTCCTTCAGATCAAAGGCATCGATCCCAACAATTGGCCGCCATAGTCCGGGCACGATGCCACCAGTGAAGATGATTGGGAATGGCCAAGCAACACCAGCTATCTTACCATCAATGAAGAGCTGGACCTCTCTGAAAGGAGAATATCCATAGAGTGTTCCGGCAGTCGGGAATGTGTTGACCTCTGATTGTAAGACATTACTCCACCAAAACTCTTCCTCAGACTGTCCTGTCGCAGCGATCGTGAAGACTGCCTTTCGCACGTTGCGCGGCAGTATGAGCAGGCTCGACGCCGTATCAGATGGTACGGTAAAAACACTTGCGCCATTTGAAGAGGATCGGCGGGATGATACAGGGAGTATCAGATCTGCTCGCGCAAGTGAATCTTGGGCGTCGAAGTAGGATGCAGTAATGGTTACGTTGAGTGCTGCGGTATAGATGTCATTGACGATATTTCCCAGGTCGAAGATGATCTTCTGGTCTTGCTTGAACAGCGAGACGTAGCTCGTCATATCCTTTTGAAAGTAATTTAGTAAGGTTGTCCTTTGCATGCCGCGGAGAACGAGCCTACCTTCAGATAAGTCCATTCAATGCCATTTGCCGTAGGCTCCGCCGTGCTTGTGCGGAAGACCTCGATATCGCCAAGGTAGACAATGCCCAGCCTGTCAAATTGCCGTCCAGCTGTTACGACAGTCAAATTCCATGTCACCCTATTGAATGCGCAGGATGGTGGCGCGTAAGCACCAACGAATGGTGCTCCATACGAGTTTGCGAACGAGTATTGGACTAGTTTCTCTTGACAGCTTGGTCGGCGGTTGTCGATGATATCGACAGTCGCGTTCGACGAGCCATCGGTGATCTCGAGAGTGCCGTCAGGGACGACAGTCAAGACTGGAGGGTAGACCTGGAAGACTTCCAGCAGTGTGGACGTGGCCTGGCGAGCGTAACTGCGAAGTGATGCTGATATCAATGGCGATGCAAGAGCAGGCGATACCAGACTACCAGCCAGGCACAACACTGAGAGCAAAGCAATCAATGCTGACAAAGTCTTCCTCGTTCGGCCCACAGAGCCGATCCAGTCCTCAAAGGCAGACGCCCGCGGCTTGGCAAGCGTCCGGACAACGCCGTCAGCGTGGGCGAGCACGGCAACTTCTTCGCTTAGACCGCCAGTAGCAAGACCGCGGTACCCCATGGAGTCAGATGTGATTCGCTCGGTCGTGATCCGAGTTTTGCTCGGTGCAAGTGCCCTGCTGATACATTAGCCCGAAAGGATAACTCTGGTTCGGCAGCCTTGCCATGCGCCGCATAGTCACATCCTCTGATGCTACATTGTCTTGACGCACTAATGTCTCGAGGTACCTCATACGTACCGACAGATGTCAAGGTAGGCTATTAGCCTTGCTGAGCGTGATGCCAGTAGCGAGCGATAGCCTGTTCAGCTTCTTGCAAGCCGTTGAAGCGCTGAATGTAGAAGTTGAAGACGGCGAACTCGTCCTTGCTGAGGAGGTAGGAGTCTGGATGCTGCTGTATGCGACCCCAGATGTCGTTGAGTGCGCTTTCCAGATACTCTCGAACACTCGGATCAAGGTCGCCTTCGGTGTTGCGGGCGATGTCGAGGGCGCGCTGGTAGTTCAGAGCACCTACACCGTCAACGTTTGTCGTCTGATTGCCACCCATGTTGCCGACGCTGTATGATTTGGAGGAGATGGAACCTGTGAAAGAAGGCGGACTCGGATATGCCATGGACGGCTCGGACAGCACCATTTCTATATGCATGATGTGATGTTCTGAATGTGGATACCGGCAGAAGGACAGGATGCCGGGCTGAAAAGGAATACAAATATCGGGCTCCGTGCAGGTGGTCCAACAATTTGTCCCACGCTTCGTATGATGAATTTGCTCGACTTACCCTTGGCGCGTGCAGCTTATATGTTCGCGGTGAACGAATAAGCTTCTGACTTTCGTCTGACTGCCTCACGATCGTCAGGCTCGCCTGTATGCGCAGAGCTTGGTGGAAGCACCGATGCTGTTTTAGTGGTACCCGGCCGAGAGCTTCGTCTGCCGTTTGGTACAAAGCCAATAACCAGTGGATCTTGCGAGGATATGGCGTACGCCGGGCTGCTGGAAACCCACTGCTAGAAGATGATGGGTTCCGAGATGAACCCTAATGTGTGACGAGATGGATGATGAAGGGGGGGATTACACCGGATGGTCGCCATCTTGGATTTTGTCCTCTTCCTGCTCGCCCATCGTGCTGCTGCCGCTGCGTAACAACGACTTTCCTCTTCGGTCTTGGCTATCTCGCATGTACTTCTCCGCTATCTGGAGAACAGTGATTCGCTACGCCGCATGCAGGTTCTCGCGCGGTAGCGGATGAGAGTGGGTGGATTCTGCAAAATGCCAAGTGGGAACTGCAAATACAGGGGTACGTTAGAGTTTCTCCCGTGTGTGGCAGTAGCTTGCTGTGTTCTTCTACCAGACCAGATGCGCACGAATCGGCCTCACAGAACACTAAAACCATCACGCTATGATCGAACAGCCTGAAATCCTTCGCGAAGATTTCGGGGAGTAGTCGTCACGCTTCTGGCGTGGACCGTGAAGACCGAGACGCTATCCGAGGTGAACCAATCACAGGCTGGCGACGGAGAAATACACAAGCAGCAGATGACCATGAGCGTTCATCTCACATGTTCCCATATCGGGCAATCGCGTCGAAGGTCTATTCGTCGTATCTGCGATAATCTCTGGGCACAGATGACGACTCATGAATAGACTTCAACAGCCACGATACGTAGCACACGTGCGCTGGTGGAGCTTTGCAAGCTCTATCCAAGACTATGGTTCATGTCAGCTCTACGGCAGCATGTGCCGTGCACTTCATCCAAGGTAGCGCAGTACCAATAGGATGAATTGCAAAAAGCCGCCAATACGCTTGCCGTGATCCTGATGGTCACGTCACCTTGGAAATACGCGGCAGAGACTCTTGGTAGGAATGAGGGCGTCTACCGCGCTTCTGCACGTCGCCTTTGTGGTAACGAAGGTTGCTCGGTGCAATTAAGGTGGGTTGCGGGAATACTCGGGCTATTAGATCAACAAGCACTCCGTCCACACTATCATGGGATCCTCGCGTGTCCCATATTAGATGCGGGGCTTTCCATCGCCGTCCTGACTCGTGCGTATCAAATCGCTTGGTCAGCGATGGCGCGCGCCAATGTTGTGGCAAGATGAAGGTTAATTTGCGGGCGCTTAGCATGAGCGTCAACATTGCCCTTGTGCTACTGGTCGTCCGAACCATCTCCAGTGACACTCTCTGAGTTGGTAGGCAACTTCGTCGCCTCCGAGCCAATTGTTCGTTATTGTCGTTCGAACAGACGACCTGATGGAATTGTCACGTCGAGATGTAGCTGCCGCCACTTTCGCCATGCCTCGGAAATCTTCGGAATACGCTCTGGTTCCGGATGAAACTTTCGTCTCCGCCGTTCCTGATAGGGAGTGTGAGGATAAATTCGAGGTATGATCGGCACGTGACGTGCATTCGCAAGAGTCTTCAGGAAACCTGGGAGGCGTACACTCGATGAGTCCTCCTCCGAGTGCTACTACCTGCACTTGGACTTGAACATCTGCCATACGTTAACATGCCCGAAGCAAGCCGGATCGACTCACGTCCCGGGCCGCCTGCCGAGACCCGAAGCATCCACGGCAACAGTCAGCATTTCGTCTGGTATACAGGAGTGTAGAAGCAAGTATCTCATCATCAGCGTGAACACACGACACCTATTCTTGTACCTGAAATAATTGCGGACATGCTAGCAGTATCACGGCGGTTACCTCTTCTCACATCAGCAGCAGGAAAGGACGCGCTGTTGAGGCTTCTCACTCAGTCTAGCAATCTGCAAAGCGTGCGCCTACCTATAAGAACCTTTGCATCAGCCCGAACATATCTCCAACCTACAAGACAACAATCCGGTCATCTAGGAAGCTCACATTCATGGCGCTCATCCAGCGTCCGACGCCTTCGTAGCATTCGCAACAACAGCACCAAATCCACAGAGACAACACAGCAAAGCACCACCCAAACATCACCTCCCAAAAAGGAGAGCAAGCTTAAGGAGCTGTTCCGAAGATATGGATGGGCTGCGACAGGCGTCTATCTGTCCCTGTCAGCGCTGGACTTCCCATTCTGTTTCTTGGCCGTGCGATGGCTAGGCACGGAGCGTATAGCGGCGGCGGAGGAATGGGTGGTCGATAGCTTCTGGACGGGTATGGAGAAGGTCGCACCTGGGTCGCGGGAGAGCTATGGGAGGTGGCGAGCCGGTCTGAGTGAGCAGTGGGCACAATTCAGAGGGTTGGATAAGGTGAAGGTGCCTGCGGAAGGACCAGTGGAGAATGCGGCGGAAGTCGCGCAGGATGTGGCGCATCATCATGGAGCCAGTATGTGTGATCATCATTCTTGTGCGGAATCACAGGCACTAATTTATATACAGGTATTTGGACACAACTGGTCCTGGCCTATGCTCTGCACAAATCACTCCTGGTCTTTCGCGTACCGCTCACAATCAGCATCACACCTGGCATCGTCAAGTACCTGAGAAAGCGAGGCTGGGTTATTGGCAAACCAAAGACTCCACCGAGCCCCCCTCCAGCGAACCCGCCAGCTTGAAAGGGACGGAAATTTAGCATACTGTATGAAGCACGACAGATTGTTGGCCATGTCAGCAGGCCACGACGTAAACATAGACTCGGCTCGACCTTTTGTAATTTTACATCCCTTCGGTAGTGTACGATATTTGGGACCTCTGTCCCTATAGCAGGAACCTCGAGCATATTGTGTATACGTATCTACTCTCTGCCGACAATGTATTGCAACGAGCTAGGACTGCTCCAGTGCCATGCTACAACCTTTTTCTCATGTTATTGGCACTGCTCTCTCCGCAGCTTTGATCATCTTCCTGTTCGTGTTCCCGTACAGACCGGAGTAGTCCATAAGGTAGTCAAGAAGTAGACCTGCACTAATCACGCCTCCTGTGAGCCATGCGCCTCGACGGAACCACGAAGCACAATCCTCCACATCGTCGAGTTTCACCTGACGTATCATGTAATCAAGGGTTGCTGCTGCACCACCGCAAGATAGAAAGTAGTATGCTACGCCCGCCTGTGCGAAGTAGCCAGCTCCAACCAGGAGCCCAACTTGTACCGCCGAAACAGCCATGAGGAATTGCTTAGCATTCGCCTCATGCGTGCGAGCGATCGATAAGATCCCCACCTTTGCATCATCCCGGATATCCTGGTACGCATAGATCATATCGTAGATCAAAGTCCAGGCTATACAGCTCCCGTACAAACAGGCTGCAGATGCTAGCGCTCCAGTGTTGGAGAGAATATCTGTGCCTAGAGCCGGGAAGCCCATGAAGGCGCCCCAAGAGAAAGTCAGACCGAGGACGAATTGTGGATATTGGGTGATACGCTTGGCCAGAGGGTACAGAGTTACGAGTATTAGTGATGGTGTGGCGTAGAAGAAGCACTGCCATGGGAACTGTAGCAGTATTGCAAGACCGCTGAAGAGTTGCAGGCCGAGGAACGGGATGGCGCGTTGGACTGATATGGCACCTCGAGCGATGGGTCGGAGACGTGTGCGTGCTACGTGAGGATCTAGGTTGCGGTCCCAGAGGTCGTTGATGGTGCAGCCTGCTCCTCGCATGATCAGGGCGCCAGCGAAGAAGAGAGCGCTGGTCCCAAGGACGGTGAGAGGTGTGGCGGTTGGAGACAGCGGTGCGGCCAGCAGCGTGCTGAAGAGACAGGGTAGGTAGAGGTAGTATGTTCCTGCTGGCTTGTCTAGGCGTATGAGCTCGGCGTACGGTACGACCGATGCTGGCAGACGCGAGAGGAGACCTGTTGTAGGTGGGGTGTAGATAGCAGGAGGTTCATTATGCTGACTTGCTGAAGCCGAGTGGACTTTAGGTTGAGTCTCAGTAGTTGTCCATCTTCTTTGCGTGCCTGCTATGCACTCCTCTCGTTTCGTGACTGGCCTAGCTGACGCGACTGGAATCGTTGATGCCGCCCATCTTCTCCTTGTCGCAGCCTGTAGTTGTATCGACGTGCGGGCGAATGCTGATTGGCGTGGGAGGAGTGCTGTGAGTCGAAAAGGGGAGCAGCTTGCCATTGTGTGGGATGGTGAAGGAGAAGATTGGACCCATACCCTACCTTAATTCATGGTCCAGTGCCGTGGGTATCTCTTTGGCTTACCACAGGTGCTACGGAATTATTGCTGGGTCGAGCAGATGATGTTAAAGAGAGATGTCCAGCATGATGGAGTAGCCTTTCGGGTTGCATGAGCCTCTTTCCAGCCGATCATCAACCAGCACGGATACGGTACAGCTTCGAAAGCGCATGCAACGACACTCTGCATCAACTGCTGGGATTCAAGACAAGTACTCAGAGACAGCGGGCTATCTTCCACAGGCTTATCAAATCGATCGAAAGGACGATGTCTGCAGACACATGGTCTCAGTAATGAGCGAAGAGCAGACCATGGCCTCGACATTGAATTCAAACACTTATCGATCTCTCGTCCCAATGCTCGCATCAGCACTGAAAGACTTCCAATCTTCAGGATCCAGGTTCCGAGTTCTGAAGACAGTGAACACATCAGACCTTCAACCTCGAGATCCGGTCAAGCTCTCGCCCGATGAGTCTCCCAAGACTCTCTTCATACTGGACTCGTCCTTCAATCCACCTTCAATAGCCCATCAGACTCTGGCCTCGTCTGCCCTCCACAAATCCTCAAGCGATGCGCATCCAAAACCACATCGGCTACTGCTACTATTCGCCACCATGAATGCCGAGAAGGCCCCCTCAGCGGCCTCGTTCGAGCAACGACTAACACTCATGACACTCTTCGCCACGGACCTCCTCTCCTCCCTCAAAGAGTCATCAGACCACTCGGCCTCAGCAGTAGACATTGGCGTCACATCCCTTCCATACTACACCGACAAATCCGCCGCGATAGACACCGAAGGGATGCGAGACTTCTACCCCAGCAAACCAGCTCATGTGCATCTGGTGGGCTACGACACAATCACACGCTTCTTCGCACCCAAGTACTATCCCAAATTCAACCCACCACTATCGGCGCTAGATCCGTACTTCAACGCTGGCCATTGCCTTCGGGTAACGCTACGGCCAGATGATGAGTACGGCTCCGTCGATGACCAAAAGGCCTTCATTCAACGGATCGAGACCGGAGAAATGGAGAAAGAAGGCGCCAAGAAAGAATGGTCAAAGCAGATCGAAGTCGTGCCTCCCAATCCCAGAGCAGGCGTAAGCAGTACCAGAGTACGCAAAGCCGCCAAAGCAGGACGCTGGGAAGAAGTGCAAGACCTTTGTACCGCAGGCGTAGCAGCCTATGTAGAATCCGAAAGCCTCTACGAAGGCGATGATCGAGGCGCGAAGATGGCATGAAAGTAGGAGTAGCGAAGGAATGCCAAGATATAAGTACAAAGTCGAAACTATGTACATCTTTCATAAAATTCTGCTCTAGATCGCTCGGAACTGACGATGCAACTTCCTGCCGCCCTAGTGCTACAATGCGAAGATAAGACAAATACATTATGCTCCTCTACTGCCCAAACGCCAGAGCCCCCTACCATGCCGGTTCCCGCTAGAATCCTGGCTGTCGCAAAGAACAAGCGACCCACGAACGTGCGTATGTCCATCTTTTCATGAGGAAAATGCGATGCCCAACGAAGAAGCACTCGCTCGTCATCTCAGCCGTCACGAGAATCAGAAAACCTCAGATTGAAGTTCCGCTCTTCAGGCCTTGGAAACCATATCCAATTTCGGCCTCAACTGCGCAGCCAAATCTTCCTTCGTCGTCACCATTTCCTTTGGGATCCTGGACACACGATATGCACCCGCACGCACAGCATCCATCTGTCTGGCCGATATTCCAGACCTCGCAGAACGAATGCTGCCGGCGTCACTAGCATTGTCGTTGTGCTGACCTAGGCGACCCGGAGGAGCGAAGTCTAGTGCTGTGAAAGTGCCCGATCGGCGAAGCATGTGGGGTGAAGGCATAACGCTCAACTCGTCGTATGAAGCGACGAGAGGAGTGAAAGCTCGAACGCTGGGGCTGTAAGGACGTGAGAGACCGGTGGGGCTGTCAGGTGCGCTGCCGTTCTGCATCGAGCGGAAAGTAGATGGTGGGGCGAAGTCAATCGGCGTACTGATCACAGAGTCGAAGTCCTTGAGCTTATGCGGGGTCGGAAGGCCCTGCAAAGCGATAGGTGGCGGAGCACGTTTCTTTGGCATCGGTGGTGCACCACCTTGTCGTCCGCGCATTTGACCACGGCCGGCAGATTGCGTGCTGTAGTGTCTGTTGTGCGGCAGTCCGGCAGGAGAGGCACCGCGTGACTGGGCGCCTCGGGGAGGTGGTGTCATTGCTCGGCGGCCCATGGGCTGGGCATACGGTTGGCGGGGCATGGCGAAGCCGCCCGTGTCGGGGTCGTATATGGTTGCATCGAAGTAGCCTGGGTCGTAGTCCTCGACGTATTGGCCACGGCTTGGGTTCGGTCGAGAGTCGTCAAAGTATTCCTTGTAAAATGAACGAATCCTATTGGCACGGATTTCAGGGTTGTCCTCAGTTGGCATGTCTGGTGGTAGTGGCCTCAAACCCATGGTGGACAGCCGTTGTGGCTGGACTGGAAATTGCTGAGACGGATTCGGTGTGTCAATGGAGAAGCGGCCGGTAGAGATCATGGATGGGTCGATGTCGTAGACAGAATCTTCCTGGACGTGCACGGCAGGCACAGGGAGCGGAGGCGCCTCTTCGTATGGCATACCAGCGTTCTTAACAGAACCAGCGGACATTGATGATTTCCGTGGAGGACGAGGTGCAGACGTTGATCGGGATCGCGGCTCAACGTTCTCGTCTGCCGATTGAGGAGGTGGCGGAGGCCGTGGTAGAGACTGTTTTCGGGGCGGCGGTGCGCCGTTGTTCGCTGGGAGCATTGGCTGATCTGATCCGATGCTTGTGCGGCGGCTTGCTGGGAGACTTCGACCATTGCTGTGCATTTGTCGTGGAGCCATTTCGTCCAATTGTTTCGAGTTATGCGGAGACATGGAGTCAATACGCTTGGGATCAGAGTGCGAGATCCTTTGGGCATTCGAGACCAGGCCAGCCTTCTCGTTTGCAGACAGTAGTGTAGATGCCGAATATTGCGATGCGCCATCCGGTCGTGGCCGTGACGAGTCAATCGAAGTGCGCATCATTGTGACAGGCCTGTACGGATCGTGCTCGCCGACCATGGACCGCGACATGCTGTGTATCGATTCATGCGAGCCTTGTAGACCTGCTGGCAGAAGGTAGGGGTTGCTCATGTTCATGTCCATGGACAGCCCGCGTGGTCCTCGCCCTGGTCTCACTGGACGCCCGCCCGCATCTGTGACTGTCATCTCCGGCACACTCTTCGACAGCTTGTTCCTATTCGCGCCCATATCCATGCCGAAGTCGAGAGATTTGTGAGCATCATTGGTGTCTTCTATTCGTTGTCGCTTCACCAATCGTCGGTGTAAGAAGAAGCACACGACCAGTGCACACGTGATGGGAATGCTACCAAGATCAGTATGGCTGTTGACAAATATTGAGCATGACGACTTACACGGCACCTAATACTATTGGCAGCGTCTGCGTGCTTCCAGAGTCGGTGGGCTTGGCACATATTGATGAGGTGTTGCCAGGTCCACATGTGCTTGAGGACCCGGAGGCATCGCTCGACTGCGATGCGCGCTGCACCAAAGTCCTTGTCACCAAACGTACTGCACCCTTGCCATTGTCGAAGAGCTGATCCAGGCTCTCATGTTGCTGTCGAGTCAGATCCAGCCCGCTGCCAGGTAAAGATGGAATCCGCATATCCTCTCCTTGTCGATCAAGCACTCCCAGTGATCACGAGACTGTCAACAACACCAGTCCTTCCGTAGTGATGTTGTTGCTACGGTTATCTCTCGAGTCTTCCCAAATGAGTCTCACACATGCGAGTTGGCCGCTGAAAGTGTCTCGGACACAAAGCAGTTCAGGAGTCTGTGGCTGAGTTTCGCGTTCGATCAATGTTTGGCATTCGGCCAGTAGTAATGAGCGTGTATGGTTTTAGATGTTGCCGTAGAGGTGTAGCTAATTGTATTATCGTGTACAATGAATGACTGTGGTCGAATAGCACCAGAAAGGAATGACTGTCGAACGCGAACAAAGAGGATGTTCAGCAGCAAGCGCCGAGAACGAGGTGCGCCTTTGATGCGGGAGAACCACTGAGTTGAGCACCGGCCAGAAAGAGAGTGAGTCCAGGGGGGCAATAATAATGGCGCTAAGACTCCGCACAGCTCGCTAAGCAAAAGACGGGACGGTTGGCGCCGCTTGCAACAGATTCAGCCACTCGATGTCACTGTGAAGATATGAGAGATTGGAGTGAGTCCGCTATCAGTGCCCATCAACAATGCTTGTCTTGCTGAGTACATCTTTATCCTTCGTTACAGTACTTTGTTGCCCTCGCCCACGAGCAGACTTCGTCCCCGTCGAACACAAGCATGCGAGAGCTTCTTATGCAGGAACCCGAGAGAAGATATGCAGGAACGGCGAGCAGCCAATAACATCTGTCACTGACGCCCGTCTCAATTAGTCTTTCGTCCACGGACCACCGGTCCTCTTCTTCTTTCGCATTAGATCCGCAATCGCTTGTACAGCCTTCTACTCGTTCCAGCAAGCAAACAACCACCAACATAGTCTTCCTTAAGTTGCCCCGTCGGAAAATATAGCTGGGATGTTCGGAATCGGGTGGAGCTTTACCCAGTCCAACTTCCTGGTCCTCCTGGCTGCTGTTGAGATTGACTGGCGATCATTGCGGCCACTTGCAATTTCCGCTTTATCTTCCTGCGCCGCACGCGATGGGGCTCCCAATATGTGATGACAGGCAACTGTCCTTACTATTATATCGCGCAACAATACTACACATTACGGCTAATGTTTATAGCATTGTGCCGCTCGAGGATCCATGCAATAGCTGGAGTACGACAAAGCTTCATGTTCCCCCTTGTCCCGGTCACGCTCATTACTTTTGAACGACTACGCGTGCTATCAAGACCCGGACATCCAGATGGCGATGCCATAGGCTGCGCCACATCTCATGCTTTTGACTACGCAGCAAAACTTCGCTGGCCCAGCTGCGGTTTGAACGCAGGATCCCTTGCAAGGTGAGCAGAGTAAAGTCCCTAAGCAAGGATGTTGCCACTACACCACAAGGCCATAGCAGCATGAAGGCCATATCAGCGTTCTTGCTGCACCGTTCTGGTTATTAAATCACCATGGCTGTGACATATATCTTCGATTTCATGGCCGATGAGCTGCCGAAGGACGACGTGTGCGAGGCGAGCGCAGCAAGGGCAAGACATGCTGGCTGCGTTGCCTGCTGGATTGTAGTCGACGAAGATGTAAATGATGCCTGGGTTGTTGGTCAGAGCAGTCCTCCCGTCTCGTTTCACAAAACATTGGGCATGGACACGCGGCAGAAAGGCAGTGCACACGCTATCCTCACACTCATCTATCAAGATACGGGTCTTGTGGGCACGTTCTCTTTCTCTTGATCTCTTATCGTCCCATTACTGCACGGGAACACCTGACAGTCCTGGTCTTGACCATTCACGCCCCTTGTGAGAGGACAACACGAAGACGGGTATTCGTGCCTTCCAATTTTGTAAGGCAGCTTCATTCGGCAAGGTGCTCCGTGCTCAAGCTACACGCACGCAGCTCGAATTCCGAGACCAGTAACTGACCCTGCGGCATACTTTCATAAGCACTCAACGTCAGCGCAAACGCATATTCCAGATCTTCTTCGCCACATCCATATCGAACACCATCAGACTGCTCAAGATGCAAGCCCCCAAGAACGAGCAGTCTCCGTTTCTGGACGACGCCGATAGCCAAGCGCACCTCCTGGAGATCCCACTTGAGCTCCGTATCATGATCTACGATTGCATCTTCGCCGATCTACTCGCAGGAACCAGGAGCGCAGAAACTCCAGCACAAGTCCGTGAAGCCCTTCAACCCACCATCCTCCATATCTGCCGTATCATCCGCTGTGAAGCCATGCCAAAGCACTTGATATCGCTAAGAGCTGCAGCAGCAGCCCTGGCACGACCTATTTCAAAATCCTTGGAGACTTGTGAAGCTGAAATAGAGCGAAGCTCGACACTACCACCAACGGAGGAGCTCATCAAGAAGCTAAGAAACATGGTGGCAGAAGTTAATGCACAGAATGCGGCTGTAACGAAGAAGGTCGAGGTGATCATCAAGATCGTGAAAGTTCTGACGGGAGGCTTATGCGACTTTGTCGGCGAGTGCGAGGAGCTTCAGGCCTCGATGGCGAAGGCCACGGAAATGTTGAGGGGGGTCGATGGGTCGGAAGAAAGCCTGGTGGAAGATGGCTCCGTCTAGGTCCCGAGGCGTGGCATCTTCGGAGCTGGAATATGCAAAAGATTTATTTGCATGGACGGTCGACCCACTGCCAGCAGTATTGTGGGTGGAAATGCGGGAGAAGTCCACTCATGCAGCGCAGTCAGGCCGCTGAAGACTATGAAGATTGCCCGGTGATATGCATGGACGAAGCCTACTTGCGTCAGCGCTCGAATGCACGAATTGTGTGTACGTGTATAAGGAATAAGTGAAGCTAATGGCTGTAAATCACTGACCGTACGTGCCACAACCATGTGCTTCGCTCATTCCTCAAGTTTTCATGGAACACATCTCCCAACAGGCTTGTGAAGCGATCCTCAGCAACCGCCGCCAACCACGCAACCGCCTTACCTCCATTCTAAGCGGTATTACGTTCTCTCATGCAGTTTCTTCTCACCATCTGCTACTCGAATCTCCGATCGCACCTGGCAAGGAGAGCCGCGAAATTCTGATGGCGATTCGGGGAACAGTCCTTGTATATATAGGACCTCTACTCGGTCTGCCCGGTGGATTCGCCCTTCCAAATCATGCCTTCTACTCGTGTGGATACTTCCAAATTGTGACTCAAACGGCAGGCACGTGTCAGACCCACGACTGTCACGGTCATAATTATCCTTCCTGTGAATTTAACCAGCCAGTCAACACTCCAACCTTGCAATTTACAAGGCGCAAACCTGAGCCTTGAGAGACCGTTGAGTCACTGCAATGGCAGGCCCCTCCGAGGTCAACAAGCAAGGCACGGCATTGCTCCTCATGCTTCCGCCAGAGCTCCACCTCCGGGTCTATGAGTTGGTCATGCAAGACTTGCTCGAAGTAGGCTCGAAGGCTCCAAAAGTTGACGCGCCCTACGATCAGGCAGACCAAAGGCGACTACGTAATGGCTTGAATCTCACACTTCTTCATGTCTGCCAACAGATACGCTCGGATGTCTGCCTAGAGTTCGAGAAATGGCTGGAAGCAGGCATTCACCGCTCAAATAGGCTAGAACGCCAGATCAAAAGCGCTCGCAACGATATTGTATCTAGCTACGGGAGAAAACATGCCTTGGTCGAACATCGCGCGCGGAAGGAGGGCGAGTATGTCCGCCAAATTCTCGGCATCAATGCGACATGCGCAAAGCTGGAGAAGATGAAGAAGTCAATTCGAGTAGGAAGACGCTGTGCCGCTTTCCTCAGCGAGTCGAGCAAGGGCGGACGAGAGCGCACAGGCCGCGGCAGTCTTGTGAAGTGGCCAGGATCGTGGTGCTGGTGATCAATGGTTCAGCAGAGGAGGGAAACCATGGCAGTGTAGGCTTGTAGCCACTGCTAATGAGTGGTTGAGTGATGCGGGAGGGTGCTTCTGACATGCCGTGAAGAAATGCCAGGTGGTGCTTTTGACCGAGTCCAGTCATCAGGGCTTTCTCTAGATGGGCGTGATTCGAGAATTGGATGACGGGCAAGGTCTCGCAAAGGAAAGGAAAGGTGGTCGGCAGAAGGAAGATGATGCGTCGGATTTTGCTGGTGACCAATGTCAGAGCAGGCCTCAAAGGCCGCGACCTTATGATCAGACGGTTCAGACCGAGTCGATCGGCTCAAGATCCAGATCCAGCACGAGGGATCTTGATAGACAGGACATGATTCGGTGTGCATCAATCGGCTCATCTCCCACTTGTGTAGGCAGCCACGTCATTCACTGCTTCCTTCACTTCACTCATGCAAGCCGTAGCGTCCCCTACCTGGCTCCATATGTCTTTCACATGACCGCTTCACGAAAACCTCTCGCTGCGCCGCAAGACTTTCCAAGTCCCTCGCGCACAATTATTCGAGAACGCTCGAATCCCAACAACTACCAAGGCCATCAGAATCCACGATGCCGCCAGAACAAATCCTAGCGCTCCTCACCCTCCCACCCGAGCTCCGCCTCCAAATCTACGAGCTCGTAATGAGTGACCTGATCAACACGAGCACCTCACCACCAAACGCCACCAATCCCGCTTCAAACAGCCCTCCAACCAAAATCTCCCTAGCACTCCTCCACACCTCCTGCCTCCTCCGCCACGAAGCCCGACTACTCCTCGAAAAGCGCCTGGCGCTGGCCCTTTCCCATCTAACCGCACAACTCTCGCAACTCCACGAGGAAGCAATGACGATCATATTCGACCACTACGAAGGGACTGTATCGTACCGACAAGACCTCGAGGCGAAAGCCCTTCGTGGCTACGAGGAAGCAGGGGTGAAGGCGAAGCACACGCGTCTGAAACGCTTGAAGGCTGCTGTCACAGTAAGTCGGACGATGGAGCTTGGAGCGGTGCTAGTGAAGAGGACGAGGTTGCTCCGCGAGGAGTTTGAAGTAAAGCAGGGCTGGCTATGAGTGCGCGAGTCTGGATGCGCGATGATGGAGGACAGTGTCAGGTGGCGAGGGTTGGCGAACGAGGCGAGACCACTCCACAGCCAGCAAAGTTCACTATCGTGGCCAGCAAGAAACGCTCCAGACCAGAGAGGGTGAGGATAGAGGAACGCTAGGAAGTGGGTCACGAGAAGAGAATGTGGTTATAGTGTTCTATCGAGAGGCAACTGGAGTGGCTGCTCTGTTCGACTCTGCAGTCCGAGGATGTATTGCAGCAAGTGGTCTCGTAGTTTCCCGAAGAACCTAGGGCTGCAGAGTGAGGAAGGGGTGGCGGTGAGGAGGCCTGGCGACTACTGATGTATCATTTCGTTGACTATCCTATCTCATCGTCCTTCTAAAGCTGCATTGCCACAGCCGTGCCCCATGGTACGGCATAAACACCAGACTCCACGCTAGAAATCACTCTAAGATTTTCTTGACCACCCTCTCAGTACAATATAATCCTCTCCTTCTAATCCTTCACCTTCATCGCCAACCCTTTCCTTTCGTTCCCCTCCCTCCCTCCCACTACCACCCACATCTACCTCTTCCCCGTCTTCGGCCGCGGCTTACACTCATCCCCAATAACCGGATGCAACATGATCTTATTCGGCAACTGTTGATTATTCGCCTGATGCCCCTTGCTCCAATCATAACTGACCGCATAGGCGAAAATATTCCCACTTCTATCAAAGTCCGTCGCGCTGATCGTCCCGCCTACCTCCGGGTAACCCTTCAACCTGTGTTTAGCGTCTTTGTCCCAGAAATGAAAGGTCCCGTCGCTGCCGGCCGTGCTGAAGGTGCCGTGGACGGGGTGGAAGGAGATGGCGTTGACGCTGAAGACGTTGGAGAGGTTGCGGTCGGTGGTGGAGGTTTGGCGGTGGCATTTGAAGGAGAAATTGCCGTTTTGGTCTTTATCTTCGACGTATTGGATGGCGCAGCGGCCTTCGATGGACCCTATCGCGTAGCCGTTGGCTTCGGGGGAGAAGATGGTGCAGACGCGGGTTTGCCATTTCAGCGGGGATTGGATGACTTTATAGGGGGTGCCGGGGTTGGCGAGGCTGACGACTTCGATCCAGCGGTCTGCGGTGCCGACCACGAGCATGTTGTCTTTGACGTCCATGGTGTAGACGCGGTCTTTGCATTCGAGTTGGCCGATGGGTGTTTGCTGGCGTAGATCCCAGTATTTTACCATTTTGTCCCAGCCGCCCGTGATCAGGATTTGGCTGCCGTTTACCATGGCGCTCTCCACACAGCGGATGGGTTGGTCGTGGCCAGCGACTTGGGTGGCTTGACTGGATTGCGTGTGGCCGGCTGCAAGGTCGAGCATGCGTGCCGCCTTGTCTGCTCCGGCGCTGAAGACTTTTTGGCCGTCTTTGCTCCAGCAGGTGCTTAGGGCGGGGCCTTGGTGTTCGAGCATGGCGACGCCACTGCTTTCACCATTGGAGCTGATGGAGTAGATGTAGCATTTGCTGTCCCAGCTCGTGACGGAGAGGTGGTCGGAGGCGGGGCTGAAGACCATGTCGGAGATGCTGTCGCTGGGGCCATTGGTGACTTGGACGTCCTTGCTAAGGTCGCCTTGGGTCGGGTTGGCGGCACCGCCACCGAATAAGCCTGACATAGCGGCTACACTATTCGCGTTGGTGTTGCTGCCAGGGGTGGTGACAACGAATTATTATCTATATCTATTCACATGTGGCCACCCTCGACGCCTGATGTCTGCCTTCACCTTCGCACGCGTGAGAAGCGCGACAGCTTCAAGACAAGCTTTCTTCGCACCGGCCACTCCCGCCCCTCGCATTAAAATTCCTCCTGCTCCACCACCTTAAATCTCTTCCCTTTGTCCCCTTCAACTCGTCGGTCAAAAAATCGCAATCAAAGCTCACACACAGACCTGCCCAGCAAGTCCCTCACACACACACAGCTTTGGGAGAAAGTCCCCGGATATCCTGCACTTCTTCACCGAGGTCGTCAGGGAAGCGGAAACGCGCCGCCACAGAAGCACATACACAGCGGCTTTGCTTCAACCCAATCTACCTCCACCCTCTTCTCCACACACCCTCCCTCTCACCGTCTGCACTCTCACTCAGACACCCTTCTCACTCGGGTCAGCGGAGCTCGGAGGCCGTCTTTCCTTTCACGAGGGGAGATGCTGACAACAGAGACGAGGATATGAGTCTGTCCTCCTTGCTTCCCTGCTGGCTTTTTGCTGTGGGTTGGGTGGAAGAGTGGGAGGAGGTGGGGAGAACTTTGTTGGGGAGACCAGGTGGGATCAAGGTATGGGTTGAGGGCCCTTTTCGTCGTGGTCAATAGATATGCGATTGCTCTTTCTTTCCCTTTCTGCCGTCTGCACATCACTCGTTGAGCACGACGGTGGGAAGAGGAGGAGGGTAACTCGATGGGGCTTATTCTTGAGGCGACGAGTTCAACATACACACTTTTTCCCGGATCTGCTGATGAGCTCATCATACTCTCTGGTGAGCAGCGTCAATGCTGTGTCAAAGCAGCCAGATTCTACTTTTCGCAGATGAGACGACATGAGATGACAGGAGAAGAGGGTTACGGCTAGCGTTCAAGTGATGATGAAAAGCAAAATAGAGTCAAGCACTGATCCAGCCGTCCGGCTTAGCCCCTTCATTGGTGTGCGGTCGGCGGTGTTCTGTGATGCATACATTTGCCTACGACGGTATCTGATGAACGCGAGGAAGTCCGTACTCTGTATATATTCACGTATCTACGCCATCTTCTCAGAAGCACGTTGTACTGCTTGGCCAAGTGGACGGTCTTTTCAAGTGCACCGAACAAGACGCCTTACTTCTGTCTGTACGCGGCAGAGCTGACCTTACTCCACAGTCGAACCATGCTACTCTTGGGCATCGTCACCATTCTCAGGCCGATGCCAACAAGAATGAGTGCTCCCGATACGGATAGGAATGGCCGCCTGGCAGCATCATATCTCAAGCTCCATTGCCGGAAACCTCGAAAGCTCCTTTCCCTTATCTATGAACCCGGTCAAAGGACTGAGGGTGTTGGTCGCCGCACCAGCAACACCCCAATTGTTCACCTTCTCCGCCATCCACATGAAAGCATAAAACACCTTGATCCCCCGAGCAGTCTGCGGGTTCGCAATCCCAGGCACACCCGGAATCAACTTCTGCGCCTTCTCCACAAACGGCCGGACCTACTTCTCGTACTCTCGCAAAGCGGTCGAGATATCGTCGTGGGTGCAAATGCATCCAGCGAGGATATACGCCCCGACGAAAGCGAGAGTGGTGCCTTGCCCACTTACGCCGCTGAGACAATACGCCGCATCGCCCACGAGCGCAACCCTCCCTTTCGTCCAAAAGGGTGCGTAGACCTGCGCAGTCTCCTGCACATACACACTCTCGTTTCCCTCGATCTGCTCCACAATCCCCCTGGCCTCCCACCCCACATCCGCGAACAACTCCTTGAACTTCGCCTTCTGCTCCACAACTCCCATCCGTGCGATCTCCCGACTCTCCTCGCTCATCACGGCCAAATAAGCACCCGTCTGCTGCTTCTTCTTCTGTGGTCGTGTACTCACGCATCGGCCGCCCGGGGCGTTGAACCATCTACTCCATTCGCCGTGGGAGGGTTGCCAGGGGATGGTCATCAGGAGGAGACATTGCTTCGGAGACCTTACCTCGCCGAAGTCCCGGCCAAAGGCTAGGGAGCACGTGCTGCTGTAGATGCCGTCGGCTGCTACGACGAGGTCGAAGTCCCGCTGCCCCGCGAGCTTGGAGAATGTCACGGTGCTGCCAGAGTCCGTTTCGCATAGAGCAGTAATCGTGTTGTCGAAGAGATATTCAACCCCATCCCTCGTAGCCCGATCCAACACGTCCGCCATCTCACCCCGAAGGACCTCAATTTCTTTGTCGAAAGAATTCGCACCGCTGTCCTCATCTGCCGCGAAAGCCGCCCAGACTTGATCTTGGGCGTCGACGAATCCTAATACCCTGATCGCCTACAGTTCGTGCGAGAAGTTCGTCCCAGATCCCCATGGCTTTGACGATGTGGACGCCTTGGCCGGCGACGTTGACTTATCGGCCCGTGAGACGGATTTCCGGTGCTCGTTCTGCGATTGTGATTTTGTGGCCGTTGCGGGCGAGCATGAGGGCCAAGACTGGGCCGGCTATACCTGCGCCTGCTATGAGAATGTGCTTTGGGGTGGACATTTGTGAATATTGGTGGATCGTGATTTTGGAAAAAGGCGGCGCTGATCTGGACTGACCTACATTCTGCTTGCTACGGGGTGTGAGACGGATATTAATGCTTCCTTCATGTTCTTGCCATGCCGTGGGTGGAAGGAAGTTCGAGAAGTGCGGTCGATGAAATGTCCGCCGCCCGCTGATCGTGGCGGCTGGGCAACGATGACGCTGCAAGCTCTTGACTTTTGTGCAGCTCACTGTGTCGAGAAAACGAACAAAAGTGTTCTACGCAACTGTTCAGTCAACCGCATCCTAGCCTTGAGGTTCAGGCACTCTACATACATGAATGGACCTGAAGTGCCCGCTGAGGGTAGGACTCTGCTCGCTGTCAGGGTGAATACAAGGTATAATACATCGAGCTCGAAGCATTATTCAACTCGTCCAACCCCTGTGTTCCGTATTGTGGGTATCATACATATATACACGCCCTCTCTTCCCAATTACCCAACTCCAACCTCAAAGCCATATACCTCATACTCAGGTCCGCATCCTAGCAAACATATTACTAGATTTCGCACTGGCAGCCGGAGCCAGCTCATCGACAGCTCCCGACTCCTTAGTATCCCGTCCTAGGCGCCATGAACTGTGTCCTCGTCACCTCCATCAGCTCGTCCACGAACGTATCCTCCTGCTTCGCGGTTCCAACAGCCACTTTCATACCCAGACCTTGCTGTTTGCTTTCGGTGCTGTAGTCGCTTTTACTATCGCTCTTAACGACTGTTTCGCTATTGACTAGGATGCCGCCCCAGAAGTTGCCTTGTTCCGCTTCCTGTATTTCTTCTTCTCGAATATTTGGACCTAGAGTCCTTTTCGACGGTCGGTTGACGAGCTCGTGGACGGAATCGCTCTCGCTTTGCACGAGACTGCTTCGGCGAGATGTGAAGTCGCGTGGTATGTATGTGGAGCCGATATTGCTAGTCGTCCTCTTTCTATGAAGCGGCACTCGACGCTTCCGGTCACGACTGGGCATTGCCATTCGTCGAGAAAGCAGCGGGCTGAACTCTTGGTGGATTTCCTGCGCCAAGATGCTGTGATCCGGTGAGCCTGAATAGCAGCGCTGCCTCGAGCTGAAGAACGTCAATGGTACACGAGCTATACCATCACAAGACTCCAGTGAGGTGTGCATATCTGCTATCACACAGAAAGCGAAGATCCAGGTTACTACAGCTCGATTCTTACGACCCTGGGAGTAGTGTCCAAAGACCGGTCGGGCGAGGAAACGAGCTTCGCGAAACCAGTCAGTGGGCACTGTCCGGCCTAGTATGACGACGGCCTTCAGTAGAGATGATGCAAACTCCTGTTCTCGAGGCCCTCGCTCTTTGTCCACGTTACTACGATCTTCGAGGAAGGACATGAACGGTCGTGTCCGCAATCCATCCAGACGCTGCAGAAATTCCGTCTGCCATTGCTGTGGTTCCATCGTCAAGATTTGCATGTCTGGTAACTGATCCTGATCGTCCTTCTTGACGCCCACATCGAAGCCTTTGCTGTTGGGTCGTGGTATCAGGCCAAAGAAGCTGAGCCAGGTTCCAGGCTTCTCCAGAGTCTCTAGCTTGTCCGCATATCTCCGCAGGCCACCCAGATGATATTCTAGTGCCGGCAGCGGGATCTGCATCATCTGTGCAATGTTACGCCCAACCTGCTGCACACTGCCGAACCGGAAACCTGCGTTCAGCAACTTGTCCGCGTCTTCCCCATTCAGCTGCCGAGTGATGAACAGCGCTTGGCCTCGGCCAAATATCTTCACGGATTTGCCAGACTCGAGATCCAGCGTGTCTGGTTGTGTCCGACGCCCATGCCGGTCTTCAGCACGGATAGTACCAGTTTCAATGATCTTATCGTATAGAACACCTATGCGCTCCGTGGGGATGTGCATAGCTGCTGCCAGACTTGCAGCTGCACAGCAAAATTGCTCCCGAAAGATGATCGAGTAGTCACTAAATGCCTCGGGATCGTAACGCGCAGACGAAGAGGAGCTGATCGGCTTCGAATCTTCCTCGCTGTCCACACTATGAGCAGCGAGGTGGTTCTTCATCTGCGGTATCAGCTCACTAACAGTCGTCCAGCTCCGAGTCACCCGGTATATCCATTGGAAGACAGGATGTGCAGTGTCGAAATCCTCGTTGAATGTGCGGTGCTGATATTTATCTGTAATCTCCCGTGCTGGCAGGACCCCTTCGGTGGTGACCAGGATCCTGCCATCTTGATCAAACATTGCGCAGGCCAGCATGACTTTCCGAGATCTAGTCTTCAGCACTCCGGTGCGGTGTCTTGAGAACAGCAGGACTCCAATGATGGTCAGAGCGGCTGCGGCAGATAAACCTCCGGCGACCGCAACTTGCACGTTGCGAGACATAATCGCACCGGTCGAGTTCTGGTCGCCTTTGTAGATGTACAGGCAATTCGTTGATGCTGTGAAATGCATGGCTGACACACCCCCAGCTAGTAAGCACGCGCATGACAGCCGCTTCCACCATGAACTGATCCATTGCTCCCGCAAAGTATAGAAGAGAACAAGCACCAGCATGCAGTCGCCAATTGAGATGATGATCGAAGCGGCGAGATAGCGCGGTACGTATTCAGGTGTGTAGTTGGTTATGCCAAAGTTGCCGATGTAGTGCATGCCAACAACGGAAAGACCGGCGAAGACTCCGGTGCAGACTAGGAGGAACCAGTGCAGTACCACGGATTGGGTAGGATACTCGGCTGCAGAGAACGATAGGGTGAGGCCGATGATCGGGAGGAAGACGGAAAGGGTGGTGAAGCCAGAGTTGTATACCAGTTGCATCGACCAGCTGCCATCTCCAAGGACAATCGCTCGATTGCCGATAAAGTGCATGCACCAAATGCCCACCAGACCCATACATGTTGCGCAACCCAACGTCTCAAACCTGTCCACGAAGTCAGCTGTGAGATGCTCTTGGATTTGCGCCTTGACTCAGGCTTACCAACTACGCCAGTTGCCAAGTGCCGTACCTCTGCGATGCAGCATCTCCACCGTAAGAAGACATCCGCAGAGACTGGAGAAGTAGGAGGCAGCCACAAAGCCGACATCGAAGTGGCTTGGGACATAGTCGCCGACGTTGTAGCTATCAAGTGACGCCATGTTCGTGGAGTGTGCGGACTACGAGGTCAAGAGAATAGATTCTGCCTTGTGCGCATCATCTGCTGATTGTCACAGGCGTAACGAGTGAAGGGTAAGATGTGAAGTGAAAGAGACTGCGACCTGTCCAGATAGAAACCTCCTCCAACAGAAAGCGTTTCGTCGAAACCAGTCGACTTCAGCTACGATTGCAGGCCTCGTAAGTCCAAGAGTAGCATAATCTCGCCAACGGAACGGGTTGACAAGTTTGTGAGGATCCGATGCACTGGTTGAGTCTGTGAGAATAAAGTGTTTGCAGTGGCGAAATCCCAAGTGGTCCAGTTCTCCAAAAGTCCCACGCAAGGGATAGTCGCACGAGAAAGGGTCCAATATTCGTACTGTCAGCTAAAGTCCTAGGTCCGGGGTCGCGGCATGTCGCATAAGGTATTGACGCAAGGTACAGCTGATGGGCAAAAGAGTGTAGATAGGTGATGTCGCGAGGCACGGAGGCTACACGCGCAGAGGTCGAGTCGGGTTATTAAGATGTTCCAGATAGCGGATAAGATGTGATGCACGACGCAGACTCAGGCCGTCGACCTCACATTACGCAGCAAGGACCACCCCAGCGTCTTGAGGTTGTGGCCAGATGCTTGGGATTCTGTGGCGTTTACAACCCAGCGCACCTACCAAGAAATTGCTAGGTCCTGGAGTGGAGGCTTGCATACAACGGCAGCCATGTCGCGGCTGCCATTGGACCAGATGGGGCTCGCTTCGCTGCTCGATGCGGCGAGCAGTTGCAAGCCGGCTTCCGAACTAGAGAGTGGGCTACACAACAGCGGCACGGCTGCAGATTTACGTGTTGCGTCCATCCGGAGTGTGCGTTGGCCGCTGGTGCCGAGACTGCATGTCTCGCGCGAAACAGCTCTCGTGCCTGCGTCGTACACCGCTGGACGGGAAGAAGGTTATTGGCGTCTTTCCGCGAGACCTGGAGTTAAACGTGGTTGTTCTCCCCTGTCGTTAACCTGAAGCACGCAAATCGAATCTGGTTGTTGAATCGCCGTGATTGCCAATCGGTGTTGGGCGCAACGGAGAAGCCGTGCGCTAGACAAGACCACCATCCCGGTTGATGCGATTTCTCTGCATGAGAAATTGTGGGGACAGGTGGAAGGTTTCGAGGAATAGGGAAAGGGAACACAAAATTCGCGCAACAGGAACCGTCTCGTCAATGGGAAGACTGACCTCACTTGTTTGTCCAAACGCGGTCGTCTCATGAAAATTCCGCTCGGAGGCGCTTTCATGGACACCGTTGTTCATTCGACTCATTAGTGATGAGACGCAATCAGCAAGACTATCCTCAATAGCCGGCCCTAGAGCATACACTTGAGTAGCTCATCCACCCACTATACTTTTCCTGTATTTAATTGAAGGAGCAACGTCTACTCTAGCGCTCTTCATATACTGGTGACACTGGCCAAAAAGGCTACCAGGTCAATGGCGCGAGCCTTTCTGAACGTTCTCTGGTACTCGCGTGGACGGCGCATGGACACTGACTCGTACGCAAAGCATGTACAGGATGACATTTCTTGAAAAGTATTGTCGGGGCCACCACCGTCCCCACGACTTCAAAGAGGGATAAGTGAAGCGAATGTTGGTGGTTTCATGGGTTGTGCTTTGGGCATCAGCGTTCGAAACTGCTTTAACCAGAGTTCAGGATTTGTTAAGCGAACACTCCGTGCGCTAGATGTCGAGCATTATTTGATCGTCCTCGAACTCGCCAATGCCCCACACGGGAGCAGCTGAATCCGCGAGCACCTCAACGTACTGCCTGCCCTGATATGAGCCATCTGCCAAAAAGCTAGAAGGGTTATAGGACACTGCATCGTTCATCGTGGCCTCGCTTACACATTGCATGTCTCCTTGTACGGCGTAGTCGCCAAGTGTGCCGAGCAGATCTTCTTCTCCTTCTTCATCCTCGTCGAGGTCAACGTCGAGAGTCTCCGTCGCTGTGTTCCAGCTTTCTTGACTTGCAGTCACGAGATCTGTGTTTGCTACGGATGCGAGCCTTGAAGCAACCTTGCCGGACGCAGGACCTTTGGCTTGATCCTTCTTCGCTTCGATCCTAGCCCGTTTCTGAAGTTGCAGCCAGAGCCGTTGCTCTGCTTGAGACTCATTGTGCGTGTCTGACGATGCGGGTGCGACGCAGTCGTCTTTCAGCATCCGACTATTGACACGGCTCAAAGCGTGTCCGATGGTAGGTGTGAATACTGCTCTGCTGGCGACGAATGGCCTGTAAGCCGAGCAGAACACGGCGGGAGCAAGATCAGAGAGGTGTCTGAAGTGTGAGCTGTACTGGATATGTTGGTCGGCTGGACTACGGCGGGACTTACCCAGGATTGCTCGACCGACTCCAGCAAGCACCGTTGGCAATACCTCGTCCACGATTGTGTCATTCTGATTGTTCTCGATGGCGCTTAGAGACGAGTCGAGATGCTCGTGATGGTACGAAGTTGCACTCCCATCCCAGGGATTTCGTGCCAGTCTCGAAGGAAAGTAATCACTTCGACTTGCGACTTGCTCGAGATGGCCATCTAGCAGGAGATCATCGATGTCACTTTGATCAATATCTTCCGGCCAATCGATATCAGGATCGGACTGTGCTTCAATATGCCCTGAGATATAATCTTTGGTTCTTGATTCAGTTGGAGGCACTACACGTATGTCGCCCGACATGACATCTGCTACCTGTTGGTCCGGCGTTACTGTTCCGACATGTAGATCGACATGAAACGCTTCCAGCGTGCATGTCGGCATCGCAGCTGATGTTAGGACGTTTGACAGTATGCCACTACTTCCATGAAGCTTATGCGCTCGCTTCGGTGAAGTTTTCCGTATTGGCAGCGCAGTGTCAAGATACACGGTCATAAACTGAGTCGCTTCGGTCCTGCTATGGGCTGTTGATCTCACGGACGTTGGTTGAAGGTTGAATGGCACCCATTGCTATCAATCGGGATTAGCAGGGCTCACAGCCAGTACTTGGCCAAGACTTGCCTCAGTCTCGCTCAGGGTTGATGCAAGTCGTTCGACTAGTCGTTCCTGTGCTGCCCAATCCTGCCAGCCAGTGCCGAAGTCGAGTGATAGATCGAGATGGAAGCTGATGGAGCAGACAATCCAGGGCCTGCGGACGGGATCTTCGTGATTCAATGCTGTAGTCAGTGATACTTCATCTATCGTCGAACTCGAGAAATGGGCTCGACTGGCGAATGTAAGAAGATGGCCTGTTGTTGAAACGAGGTCAAGTCCGCCAAGGTCGACAGTGGTCATGGCCGTTGAGACCCTGCCAGCATGCTGTGCCAATAACTTAGTCGGCTGTGTATAGATATCAAGGGCGATTTTGATATTCGCCTGTCATACATTGATATGCGGGAAAGAAGATGTATGTTGTCTCAAGTCGGTGCTTCCTCATCCTGGACAGAGCGGGACAAAAAGTTGGGGCAAGCCAGCCGCGAACTTCACTTCGCGAGCTCTTGTGGGACTATATCCCAGCCATACGTACTATCGGCGGGTCTTCGTTGCCACGTATGGCTACACGAGCACCACTTGCGCGCTTTCTGCAAAGGTCGCGACCGGGTGTCCAGCAATCTCGCTGGCTTCATACAACACCATGCCGAAGAACAGATGGTGTGTTTCGCGAATTGACGGACCAACGCGTCCAGATTCCATGGATCGATGCGTTCCGGAAGAAGGAAAAGTACGGACAGGATGCAACGCGTCCATCAGGCAAGCCGGAGACACCGAGCGACCGCGACCTCAGCCCGAAGAAGATGAGCGATAGCTATCACTCTGTGGTATGCTACATCCTACTGGCGCATGATCCTGTCATGTCACTAACTAATACCGTAGCCATAGATCCTACCACTTGGACGTGATCCATGGCTGCTGGACACATATCTCAACTCCTCCGGCCACATCCGACTCGGCACGATCTTTATGGACCTGGATGCGCTGTCCGGCGTGATCGCATACAAGCATACGGGCGACAATGTGACAACAGTAACTGCCGCCTTCGACCGCATCACCATCAACCATCCTCTTACCGAGATCTGCGATTTGGAGTTGAGTGGGCAGGTGACATACGCGTCCGGCAGGAGCAGCATGGAGATTAGTCTGCAGGTTGCAAAAGCGCCAAAGGATGGTCAGCGAGTCAAGAAAGAAGATATCATGATCCAGGCAAAGTGTACGATGGTCTCGCTCGACCCAGGCACGAAGAAGCCGGTCAACAATGCGCCAGTGCGGACGGATACCGAAGAGGAGAAGCAACTATATGCTGAGGGCGAGAAGAATAGTGCCCATCGCAAGGAGCTCGGTCAACGCTCGTTACTCAAGACCACGCCAAACGACGAAGAGAGTGATCTCATCCATGCTATGTGGCAAAAGCAGCTAAAGTACCACGATCCTAACGATCCATTGCGGAAGCCTAGCAATGTTTACTTCATGGATAGCACAATCCTCAGTACCGCAAGCATCATGCAGCCGCAGTATCGTGAGTCAACTCTACCAACGGATGAGTGTCATGATGATAGGCGTGCTGACAACGAGTTCTGTGAAAGGTAACCGACATCAATTCATGATCTTTGGCGGCTTCCTGCTAAAGCAGACTTTTGAGCTAGCCTTCTGCTGTGCAGCAAGTTTCGCTCATGTTCGACCCACATTCGTCTCGCTGGATCCTTCGACGTTTCAAAATCCTGTACCCGTTGGCAGCGTGCTGTACCTTACAGCAACAGTCGTCTACACCGATCCGCCCATCGTGTCTGGCCACTCAGACAGCATGGATAAGTCTCAAGATGATAACACACAGACCAGGGTCCAGGTACGGGTAGACAGTAAAGTCAGGGATGTCGAGCATGGCACCACGAAACCTACTGGCCAGTTCAACTATACTTTTATGGTTGACAAGAACTTGAAAGTCCTACCGAGGACATACACGGAGTTCATGATGTACGTTGATGCGAGGAGGAGAGCAAGACGAATAAGCGAGACTGTACAGCAAGGCGAGGCGGATGGTGGCACCAAAGACAGGATCACGGAATAATTGTATCAACAAAAGCCTTTTCTGACGACGAAACGACGCTCTACCATTGCTGGCAGCGTGTAAGTCTGCATTGGCACATTACACTCGACTTGATGGTGCACTCAAGATGCTACCAAAGTCTTGAAGACAAAGGACCTGCTTCATCGCAGCATCGACACAACCTCAGAGCAGCCTGCTAACAATGAACTTTTTTCACGTAAGTCTTGGCTCGCCCGTTCAACCACAGCGCCTACAGCATTCATTGCCCTACTGGTCATGCTGGGCGTGCGACGGCTGCCGACTTCAACGACCACACATGCTTGGATGCAGCCACGTGATAAACAATATTCTGCTGTACTGCGGTCAAAGCTATCTGGTTGGCGAGGCCTCGTACGTATCAATCGCTTGTATAAGACGGTGCATAGAATTATACCGACCCTCCTCGATCCGGCGATTCCTTTGTTACGCCCACGGCTCTTCTTTCCCATCACGACCCGACCATTGTTCACCATTGTCAAATCTTCACGTGCCCTTTGTTCCGACACAAAGCCACCGACGACCATCCTCGCCAGTCACACAATGCCCACCAGCAGTCTGTAAGCAGCTACTACAGCGCGGCTCACCACGCAATCCAGTCTCTTCCATTTCCGTCTCTTTTGCCACTTTTGGTACCCACAGTCTTCATCTGACTATACTGCATTCACCATCTTCACCAGAGGCAGGTGAGACACACACGACTAAGAACCAACGAACCTAATCTAGAAGATACAATACATCGACAACATGAAGTTCACCCTCTCCACTATCCTGGCTCTCCTAGCCACCACCACCGCCGCCTCCCCCGTCGACCTCAACACCCTAACAACCATGGCCGCCGAAGCCGCCGCCGACACAGGCGAAACCTTCCACCTCGAAGTCACCAACAACTGCCCCTTCGTCAAAGAAGTCGGCCTCTACACCGTAACCTCGGACTTCCAAATGTTGCAAATGTCCCCGCCCACCAACATGCCCCCAGGCCACGAAATCGTCATCGCCGCCCCCTTCAAAGCCATCGGCATGCGACTAACGGGCCACGCGGAATGGGGCTCCGCCGGAGGCTGGAAACCCCAAGCCTTGTTCGAGTTCGGGTATGCGGCTTATCAGGATGTGGAGGGGACGGCGTATGATTTGAGCTTGATGGAGGGGAGCGATCATGATATTGGGATGTCGGCTGCGCCCGTGGAGAATGGACAGGGGAGTGGGACGTGTCGGAGCTTGAAGTGTTATCCGTGGGATTGTCCTGGGAATCAAGGGTGGTTGGATCCGAATCAGAGTGATGTTGGGGATGCGGCGCCGGATACGGTCTGTTATAAGGGGAAGACGGATTTTAAGATTGTGTACTGTCCGTAAGTGTTGGGGGGGATTTGGTTTGGTGCGAGCTTTTTCTATGGTCCTACATGATTGATTATTCTGAATCTTGATTTTTACACATGTTTCCGAGACTGGTGGCTCGGTGCTCGTCGGAGCTCCTGTATATCAGTTCTTGCATACAGCTTTTGTAGATATTGTAGCCACTCACTGTCATGCTGTAGCATAGCTCATCCAGATAAAGAGGGAGCTTCCAACGTTGTGCAAACGAGTCATATACGCCTTTGCGTCCTACGAACATCAGTGGCAACGCTTTCACGCGCACGTGCCTCATGTTGTTATGGTAGCCTTGGTAAAAGAGCATTATTTGATAGCATTACCTGCAGAGCTTCAGCACCTACATACATACACCCACACACCACCTCAACAATAGACATCCCAATAGACACCATCGCTGAACGCTTTTCGCCCACCACAGCTCAGCTCAGCAGCGAGCGCTCCAAGCAAAGCAACGAAGAACATAAGAAAAGGACTGTCCCAAATTAGAAAAACAGTGTGGTATCATCGCGTCCTTTCTCAGCTTCCCTGTCTACCATTACCCACTCACTCACTCCAACCCTCCCCCACCCAGACCAGGCATATATCGCTTGAGAGGACTCTAGCCCGTGCTAGCGAAACCCCGCCCATGATTCGGGGTCCCGTTGACACGCGGCGGCAGCATTTGCTGGGTTGGTCTTTTTGTGCACACACCGGGAGAGTCAGCCATCAAGCACCCATACAACAGATCAGAGGTCAAGGGATGGAGACAATGATACTGAGTAAAATCTGCTTCCTCGTAGTATTGTGATTCGGGATAAGCAGTTTAATACCCGTTCATCGTCATCCTCTGGCTCTGTCTGCTCAGCTCGCGGTCGGCGCTCGGGCTGATTGGTCGGCTGCCTTGGCCCATTTGGGCGGAGCTCTCCTTGAGGGCCAGAAGCTGCTTGGCGCGGAAGCTCTCGTAATGGATCTGGGAGGTGGTTTCGATCAAGTCCTGGAGATGAGTACGGGTGAGGAAGTCCCGGAGATACACGAATTCGCAGTGGCGTTCGTCTTCAACATTGATGGTGCCCCAGCGGTTTTGACGGCCACGGACGGTCTTGCCGTTTACGTTGATGTTGCGCTCGGAGCCGACTACGGCGAAAGGGATGATGGACTGTGGAAGTCAGTGAGGTAGATTCAGATGTAGTAGGTTGATTAGCCGTACCTTGATCTGACTGTTCATGGCCGCCTCCTCGCTATCATACTCTTCATTCTCGTACGGGTACATCCTGATGTTGTGGAAGGCAAACTCCTCCTTGATGCGATCCTTGAACAGCTGCCTCTCCTCCAGAGTCAAGCTGTCGGCCTTGGCGATGACCGGTACGACATTGACGGTCTCGCTCAGCTTCTTCAGCACCACGATATCGATTGGCTTCAAAGCATGGCCCGTGGGTGCAATAAAGTACAAGCAGCAGTGGATGCGGGTATCTTGGATGTAGCGCTCACGCTGAGCAGTCAACTCTTTGCGGAGGTATGCGCTGTGCTGGTCCTTGATGTACTTGACGATTGGGTCCCAGCAGCGGTCGTTGTTCACGAGATCACCGTAGCCAGGGGTGTCAACAATGTTCAGGCGCAGACGCACGCCATTCTCCTCGATGGTGTGGGTGATGGGGTGGATCTCGGTGGTGCTGCGGATGCCTTCGTTGGGTGCGAGGCGACCCTTGCTCTCGACGAGGTGGGAGGCGAAGATTGTGTTGATCAGGGTTGACTTGCCGAGACCGGTCTGGCCTGTGGATGATTGTGGTTAGCTTGCCGTACTCCAGTGCACTATGTCAAGCGCGTGGCATTGGTTGCTGTGACATACCGACACAGATGACGTTGAACTGAAAGCCGCGCTTCAACAGCTTCTTCTCAATCTGCGTGGTGATGCTGTCGAAGCCGACGTGGCTCTTGGGAAACACCGACTGGGCCATCTGCGGGCTATGCATCGCCATCGCCATTGCGCGTGAGTTTCGTGATTATGAGAGCGTGAAAGAGAGATTGCACCGCCGTATTGTCGAGGGTCTGGTCGTCAATTGTGGTATGGTGGTGTAGGTGGTGGTGGTGGTGGATTTGTGATTTAGTTAGTGGTGAAAGCAATGGCGGTCGTGGCTTGCTGCAGGGTTCACCATGAAGGGAAGGGAAAGGGGGAAGCTGCGGAGGAAATGCCGTGGTCTGAGCGCCATCGCGGAACCTTGAACTAATGCTTCACGAAGGCACTGGAGAAGATGATCAGAGGCCCGGAAGGAATCTCTTCTTCATCGACAATGGCCGCAATACGTGCTCCCTCATCAGCCTTCCTCTCAGCATTCTTGCCTGTAGCACGCGCCTCGCTATTCCCACATACTCCCACGCCGATCCTTCGAGGCATACCACTATTACAACAATTACGAACGAGCTTTATTCCCGCTGCTCTAGCACCTATACCAGTACTTCTCGGCGACCTCTGGGATGGCTTACTCAACGCTGTACCGAAGAAGAAGACGTCACATATGAAGAAACGACACAGATTCATGGCAGGCAAGGCATTGAAGGATGTAACGGCATTGAACAAATGCAGTGCTTGTGGACGGGCGAAGAGGGCACATGTGTTGTGCCCGTATTGCGTGCAGAGTATGTGCGATGGTGTAAGAAAGGCGTGAGCCATGACTGACCATGATTGTAGGTATCAAGCGATGGTTTAGCAACGGCTTCAAGGGCAAGGACGAGCTTGATGCTGAGAGGGATCAGAGGAATCAGCAGATCAATGAGGAGAGGAGGATACGAGGGCAGAAGCCAATTGATTGGGCAGTGGACGAGGAAGATTCGGCAAGGGCGCGAAGTAAGAGGGATGGGCAGTCGATGTGATGAGCGTCGTCACAATTCGCGACCGGAGAGCTACCATGAGGGTCTGAGGGTGGCTAAAGTGCTACACGGAGATTGAGTGGAGCTTCGTATGCACCTTCTACTTGATCGCATGTCGTGCCGAGCGAGTTCGAGCCCGTGTTCAGAGCCACCAGGGATGGCGTACAGCAGCATGAGGCTGCGACGGGAGAGGCCAAGGGTGACGATGCTGACGGCAACTTGGAGAACGATCACGAGATCCCGGCATCTCGCTCTCGAGGATGTTGAAGCACATGGACACCAGCAGCGCTAGCTCGTAATGCTGCAACAGATGCCAACGTCAGCCGAGCCACGAGTCTGGACGCCATCTAAGCCTCCCATACTGCGCCGTCAGCGGTGTAGTCACAAGATGTATTGCTAGGGTAGAGATAGAGATAGAGGCAGTATACGGCATTGTCATAAGACAAAATGATACCTAGTCTAGAGTGCTTGCATATGATACCGCGCGCTATTCGTGACTTCCACTTCGGCTTTGACTTTCTGCACCCCATTTCACTTCATATCGTCCCACATAACCACTTTTGTTTTCACCTTACTCTCTGTCGTTCCTGCCAAAGCCAATGCAATGGTAAGCACATGCCTCGCCCTGTTGTAGAGCCCTTCCATGCTGACGAGATGATGTAGTCGAAACAATACCTGCAAACACACACTCTTCCCGACGCTCATCCCACCGACATCTTCTCACTCGCCGTCACCTCCTCACAGCTACTCTCAGCCTCCGGCTCGTCAAGCATACGAATACACAGTACGAAAGGCCAAGTAATACATGCGGACAGTGCAGACGACGAACATCCATACCCGCTTGTACAGACACTAGAAAAAGTCCATCCATTGGGCTGCCATCACGTCTGCACAAGTCTCGATGGCAAGATAGCAGCAAGCTCCGGCTTCGGCGGCGAGCTAAAGATATGGCAATGCAATGAGGAAGGCACATGGAGCGCCAAGTCCGAACTGAAGCCAGACGAGAAGAAAGCAGGCGAGCACTGGGCCGTGTCCCTGAACGAAAGCGGCCAATACCTCGCCTGCACAACCCACGACGGCCGAATAAACGTCTACAACACCGTCGCCACCCCACCGGAGAAATTCGCCCAATACGAAACCAAAGGCAGCTTCGGCATGAGCGTCGACATCAGTCCCAATGGATCCATGACCGCCTGCGGCCACCAGAACGGCGGCATCTACATCTTCAACAACAGCACCCAACGCCTCGCCCACTCCCTCAGCGGCTTGATAAAACCCGTCCGCAGCGTAAAATTCAGCCCGGCGAACAAATATCTCGCTGCCGCTGGCGACGCACGAATAATAGCACTCTACGACACGCAATCTGGGGAGCAAGTCGCCAACTTGACGGGCCATGCGAGCTGGATCATGAGTCTGGATTGGAATTGGAGCGGGGAGTTCTTGCTTAGTGGCGGGTTCGATGGGAAGGCGAAGATCTGGAGTGTGGAGAGGCGGGAATGTGTGGCGACGCAGACGGAGAGTGAGAAGTGTCTTTGGGCGGTCAAGTGGTTGCCGAGGAGTGCGGCGGCGAGGAATGAGACGTTTGTTGCTGCTGGGGCGGGGAGGACGTTGTGTTTTTATCGCGAGGCTAGTGGGACTTGAGAGGGTGGTGAGGAAAGGGTGGGTATGTAAAGGCGCTTTGATGATGGTGCAATGAAGATATGAGGACATGAGGCAAGAGCAATCGCTGAACGTTTCGAAGCAAGGCGGGTCGGTCGACTTCATTGCCTGCATGATGACACCGTGGCGAAGCTCGAATGATGGACGACAGCCGAGTGCTTCTCGACATATCATTGCGTCGATGGTATTTCAGCTTCAGACTTCATGTCTCAAGCAAGACAACACGGACTCTATAAGACCGCAAAACGATGACAGATCCAGCTTCACCGACTTAGCAACTCACCAGTGTCTATTCGGTGAACCAAGTGGAGGCACTCGTGGTGAATGATCGAAGTGCACAGACAACAGGTCATGCGGTATCCTCAGCAGCCTGGTGAATCCGCTTACGGCCAATCGCCTCGTTTGCTTGATCACGTTTCAGCTCGAAGCACTCACTGAAGCCGTCCACGCTAGGCAGGTACGAAGCGCGCTAGTGGACCAGCGCGGCATAAAACAGCCATTCCTAGCCTTTCAAGCAACTTCCCCTCACACGCAGAGAACACTTCTCTCGATCGCATCCTCATCCACACACAGGTCTTCTACCTCTCGCAAACAACATCCACAGTACAGAGTCGAAACCCATCACAATCCCACAAAACTGCAACATGCAGTTCATCGAGGTCTTCGCCGTCGCTGCGGCCATGCTCATGGCTACCGTCAACGCATCCCCGCTTGGTTTCCCCTCCATCTCTGTCGCCGTTCAGGCCACTGAGTCCGGTCCTGCATCCATTTCTACCAACGTAAGTCGATACCTCCTATCAGAAACGTAGTCTCCTGCTAACCACCTCACTACAGTCCGACAAACCCGTCATGGCAGTCATCGCCGGCCTCAAGAAAGACCCCACCGGCCAAGGCATCACCCACATCGGCGACGACGGCATCATCCGCACCTACGACGGCCAGGGTAACGTCCTCGACTACGCCCCTCTCTCCACCGCCCAGCTCAACGCCCACCTCTGTAACCTCCCCACCCTGCTTCAGCCCCACGAGGCTCATCTCCGCGACACCTATCGCAACGTCTCCGGCCATGACGTGACCGATATGTCGCAGATCCTCACCCCACCGGACCATCTTCGTCCCCTCGGCGGCCCTGGCTCCGTCGGCTGGGTTCCTAAGACTGCGGATGAGCATGAGCACGACAAGCGCATCCAAGGTCCTATCCCTGTCATTTCGCCTCTGACGCCGTGCTTCAATCGTCGCTGGTAAGTGCTAGAATGCTGACCTGCACCATACTTTCAAGCCCCACGCTAACAGATCTAACAGCAACGGTGATTCTTTCTGTCACTCCTGGCGTTGTGGAGACTGCGTCGCTATTGATAGGATTATTGTCGAGGAGACATGGGGGATCTGCGCCTCTCCGACTTATACGTAGGAGGGTAGCGTGCGCGTGGAGGATCACAGTGTGGTGGTCAGCGAAGGCTATGACACGGCGTCTGGGTTGGCATAGAGGGATCTTCTTGTGGTACGACTCTTCTACATAGTCGACTGCTTGACGCTATGCTGTAAGTATGGCTGCATAACGTGATCACACATACTTCTCCGTGCACACTGTCTTGGGCCGAACCCCTGCTCACATAATAAAGCTATCATGTCATGCCAGGATTGCCTCCTGTTTCAATGGCAAGGACGACGATATCCCTTGTCCCCAACCCACCGTCAACGAAGAAGCATTGTACACTCCACGCTCTACAGTACAACGGCGCTCTCACTCACCCGCCCTCTGCGGTCCAGACCCAAGCACCCCATTCTCAATATGCCATCTCTGGCAATTCCGCCTCCCAAAATACTCCACCCCCGAGAAAGTCTTATCCTGCGAATTCGCGCACAACACCTTGAACTGCGAGAAACAATATCCCTGGGGAACCCACTGCGGCGGATCGCAATTTGCCGGGATGAAAAATATGGGTATAGGTGTTAGGGTCGTTGTAGAAGCCGTGGGCGCCGTGGATGGCGTAGTCGCTGGGGACGACTATGTCGGTTTTTTGGCAGAATTGGCCGATGGCGTGCATGATGCTTGGGGAGTGGTCGCCGCAGATTTCGTCGTTCTCGGCGCTTGTTTTTGCTGTTGAGAATGTGGCGAGGGTGAGGGTGAGGAGGGCGAGGATGGGGCTGGAGGACTTCATCTTGGTGGTGATGAGTGTGCGTGACGATGGCCCCCAAGGGTGACACCAGCAATCTAGTTTCGGCATCATTAGATATGCGGTGGTCCGACATGTTCTCGCCACATTGTCAGGCTTTTGGGACAAAGCTGGCTGTCCATACTTCTTTGTTCGTCCGCATCCGGAGTTTGGCAGGTCGTGGAGCTTACAACCCGTTTGTCCTTTCAACCCCTTTGTCATTTGGTATGTCCTCGAGGTTGAAGCGAATGTGGAATATCGATTATTGTCATTGTCTGGACTCGAAGCAACACCCTTCTCCAGCCATGTTCGAGTGGAGAGGTCTACTGTGGGAGATATTTGGCAGCGACAATAGATTCCGACCGCGTGAAGCTCCACGCACATTGAAGGGTCACGAGACAGATTCTTCGACGTCTTCTGTCAGCGAAGAAGAAGTGGTAGAAGCGGCAGAGTCGGTCGACGAAAAGCCGAATCCAGAGACTCCGATTCGAAATCGTCCAACAGGCATAGTCATGCTTCCCAAACGCATTGTCATAAATCTCGTCTCGCCACCAGTAACGCCGACTGCACGGAGAACAGCTACACCTTCGGCGCCTCGCCGACGAGGTCGTCCAACGAAGCGGGTCACATCTTCGAAACGGGTTGATACTAGGAAGCAGCCTGCTGCACGCAAGCCTTTGACGCCCACGACGAAGACGGCCCGGACCAAGGAGAGGAGACATCGTGCGTATCTGAGGAAGAGGGATGCTGATGCGCAGAAGGAGAAGATTCTTGGATGTTCGAGTACCTATTGGAGAGTCTTGAGGAGTGGGCCTAGCTATAGGAGTTTTGGTGGCACGAGAGCGCGGTGATGTCTTGTGCATCGCAATTCTGAGAATCCGACGTTGCGTATGGAACTTTTATGCCGCGCAATGCCCACGTTTTGTCCTCGGGTGTTAGATAGTCATTCGTTCTCTTACTGCATTATGCTGTGTAATGACAAGACGTTGGGTCATTAATCAGTATCTTTGCCGTTTAGCTGTGCGGCCTCGACTTGCGCCTTCTTGGATGCAATATGTCCGTGTAAGACCACAGAAGACCAAGGGCTGCTTTCAAGGTAAAGCTCCAAGTATGCATGAGTCTCGTCTACGATCCCGTTCATCGATGTTTCAATGGCATGTAAAGAATCGCTGTGAGGACAGCTGTCGGCCTCGGGACTTCATCTAACTTGGTCTGGCGGGTGCCGAGAGCTTGAACGGTACCTTTTCATCGTTCCTCGTCCAACCAGCCCAGTGCGGCAGATGAGTCTTATTGCACAATCAGCTTGCCGAGTGGAGCTGGACCTTCTAGTGGCGCCTCGAACTCGACGAAGACCGAGTGTCGAAGTCTTGCGATGACCCCCAGCCTCTTCCTCACCGCCACCATATACTTGCAGATGTGGTCTAACGACCTTCCGCGTTCCAGAAGCTCATCCATCGTTGGTGCCGTCGGACCTGGCTACGTCAAACCCTCCTGGTCTCTCCGTGCCGAAGCCAATAGTAGCTTATGAAACGCAGTAATCGTACTGCCCAGCAGAACCGCGTATCTTTCAATAGACTCGCAGCGGACCAGGAGGCATGTTTGAAGGAGGTGAGGGTGTAATTTCTTTGCAATTTCGGCCGCACTGTCACTTTGGGTTACTCCTTGGAGTTGTTCGGCGAACACGTAGTAGTAGATAATGAGGCGAAGCTCTGGCGGAAGTGCAAGGATGTGCGTGTCACCTCCCGCGGCGGCAGCCATAGTGCTGGCGACGTTGTGTGGTTTGTTCATGCTGTGTTGCACCGGTGTGGCGCTGCTGATGGTCGTTCACGAGTGAGATGTTGATGTCGGATGATAGATTGATGCCGTGTCACAAGGTGGAATCGTGCTCCACAAAATTCATGTTAGGAAGGAACGAGTGACCCTGCGCCTGATTGTTACGTCATGTCGAGTGAATATACGCAGAGCGCGTGATCACCCAAGAAATATCCGAACCTGTGGTTATTTTCGTTGTACCATACTACACATCTTCTCCCTCAAGGCGATGTCGAAGGTCGCAGCACACTCCGGTAAAACCACATCGACACAAATGGAAGCTCAACGGCACGGGAGCTTCTTCGCACTGCCGCCCGAGCTGCGCAGTTGGGTGTATCGCGAGGCTCTTGTCAGCGGCACGATACTGGTCCGCTCCGACGATGAGAATATTCCTCCAGAACCGGCACTCCTGCAGATCTGTCGACGGGTCCGCCACGAGACTCTCGGCATATTCTACCAGGAAAACTGGTTTCTCTTTGTGATCGAGCATGATCGAGCCGACAATTACATCAGGTGGTGTAATGGTGTAGAGCATCGTATATCGGCGAACACAGCGTTCGACTTCAGATTTGCTGATCAGGTCAACTTCCTGCGCTGGGTCACAGCGAGATATTCCAGAATCTGCGGTGTTCCAGATATGGACGACGACGAAGAAAAGACGAGGTCTACACGGGGGCTGTCCGTCTCTTTAGAGCAGTCGACAAGTTTCGGGACAGTGGTATGGGCAGATCGGAGGCTCTTGCACACATGACGGCTATGATGCAGGTCGACCCACTTAGGCGAATAGACTTTTGGTCGGCAATTACCGATGGAGTCTTCGAGTCGCTAGAACTGGACGGGAGCGATCTTGAGATCAGCAGCTCGAATGAGGGAAGTCCGACATCAAGCTCAAGCCGGATCTCCATGGACTACGACAAGTCAGACCTCGAAGGTAGCTTTGGTACGGACGATGAAGATGAAGATGAAGACGGCGAAGACCTCAGCAGTGATGAGAGCAGCGAAGAGAGTGGCGAGTCTGATGATGGGTCCGAGTGTAGTCAGGATGGCGAGGAGTCAGACGAGGGAGACGATAGCGGAGAGGATGGCATCGTGTACTGATGTTGAAGATGGATGCAGTGGCCTTGTAGGGGTAGGAATATCGCAGAGCAGTCGATCGTGTAGCTACCACATATCTCAGTGAATGCTTCAAGGATGGACAGTGGCGCTGCTTCGCTTTCTTTCGCAGGCTTTCGGGTACGCCTGAGTGAATACAAGCCCTTGTATCAGTGAAGATATCACAAGCTACATGTGATTGTTGCAGGCCAAAAATGGGTACTTCTGCTGTCGCTGTCGCTTCTGTTCAACTTGATATGAGACAGACATCCTTGCTCAGCCCTATGCGAAAACCCAGCCAAGGCAGCAAGATACGGTCGCTTGCAGAAGTAGCTCCCCACTTTTGAGCCACCATCGAGACTTCCAGTGAGTTTGCGACCTGCTCACATGATTCACCGTGTTCTCTCTAACGACCATGGTGTAGGCAATATCTTTGGACAGACTCCGGGCTAGATGCAGTTGATGGAGATGGGGGTCAAAAAGCGAAGTGAATGCGCCGAGCACACGTCTCCACTTTTCCGCCTTCTGCCGGCCGAACTGCGCAATCAAATCTACCGATATGCATTACTGGAGCCGGAGCATATCAAGATCACCAAGCACAGCAGAGTACTACAACCTGGCATCTTACAAACAAGCAAATTGTGTCGGAAGGAAGCTGGAGATATCTACTACCAGGAGAATGTGTTTGCGTTCGGCATCTCGCACTTCGACGCCGCACTCTATATAGGCTGGTGCAAGTCTTCGCCACAACGACGATGGTGTAAGACGAATGCCTTTGTTTCACGATCACAGAACTGGGCGAATCTTCTCATTTGGCTCAAGGCGTATTGGAACAAGGAGTGTGGCGGGATTGTGGGAAGTGAAGAGGGCAAGTTCAATGCGGATGCCAAGGCTGCAACTCATTTATTCTCGATGACGAAGAAGATGAGGGAGCATGGACAGCTGACGTGGGAGGATGCGCAGGGTTTGTTGGAGGACGCTCACAACGCACTGGCAGAGATCAAACCTAGGTGGGCGTGGAGGTCTGGCAGTGCGGATATGGTGGCGAATCTGGCGTGAGATGGTGATGCTGGGGTGAGACACGTCTTGGATAGTCTATTTCGGATTGGCTACGGAGACCATTATGAAGGAGACGTACGAGGCTACGGGGTATGACTCTGCATCAGCGAACGATATCCATTTATTCTTGGCTGAAAGCCACGGTCTTATCAACTACTCGGCTTCGTCAGATCTTGCCCTGCTAAAGACCAACGGACACGTGCAATACCACCTTGACCAACAAGCCACATATCTGTCAAGTTTGCGCCGGTCCAAGCAATGTTCTGTACGATGAAGTTGGTCTGCACGCGAACGATGAGTACTCCAAACGGGTCCAGCACATCGACTCCTGGTCCTGTCCCGGTGACGATATAGCCATTGGCGGCGACCTTCAGACCATCTGGAACCCAGTCTTGAGCGTACCATATTGGTCGCTTCCCAGTGATGTGGGTTCCATTGTCGACACGATCGTACTTGTAGACAGTGCGGACACCAGTCTGATTAAAAGGTGATCCAGGAGGTCCACCTGCAATGATCGATCCCGTTTCTGCTCCGGTGTCTGAAATGTAGACGTGATTACCATCTGGCGACAAGGCAATGCCATTTGGTTGGATGAGAGTATCGTCGATCATCGTGACACTGCCTGTTGCTGGGTCAAAGCGATAAGAAGCAGACTTGAGCTGTGGTGGCGTGTCTGTCAAGCGACTGGAAGATGGTTTTTAGCGCGGCCAAAGCAATATGAACATACAACTTACTTGAACCAGCTGTACTGCGGATCTGTGAACCAGACAGCGCCAGTAGCATCCACGAATAGGTCGTCCACTGTGTTGAAGTAGAAGCCAAAGTAATTATTAAGCAGAGTGGTAGTCTTGTTCGTATGTGGATCGAGTGTCCGAATCCCAGAGCGCTGTTCGGTGCCACCAATACTGTTGTTGCCACCTGAGGCTCCCCAGTATATGAGTCCATTGTGAAACGTGCCACCATTGGGTGCGTAGACAGGAGGATCACTGATGAACTCGCTCAATGTCGGAGGGTCCTGATTCAGGTCAATGACCAGTTGTGGCAGGTATCCGGTTGGTGGTGCCAGTTGACTGACGAAGAGCTTGTTCAGGCTTGGGACGTATACCGGTGCCTCATGTACCGCATCGCTGACGTTGAAGACCAGATCATAGGTTGGATTTGCTCCCAGCACATCGTAGGCTCGCTGGTCGAAAACGAGGAAATCTGCTGTTGAGACGAGGCCGAAGGACGTGTCGTTTGGCACGGATGTTTGTGCAAAGCTGATGTCTGTCGAGCCCTCACTAGGCGTCCGGAAGAAATGGTATGGCATGACCGAAGCATATCGATCAATGCATACCACCTTTGCGGTGTTTGGTCCACATATCCTCGCCAGAGGAGCCGTCACGCCCGGTGGTTGCGATTGTGCAGAGACGCCGCGCAGCAGCACCACCAAGGCAGAGATCAAGGTCAATCGAGCCATGAAGTCCGGATGATTTTTGGCGTTTGAGAAAGCGACGAGGGAAAGCATTGATATACTGGCTCACGCCCATGTCGCGATGACATCAACTCATCTCCGCAGGCATCATTTCATGACTGACCCCTCACGTCAGGCAAATGCCGCGATATGGTTTTGAGGATTACCTGAGTCGTGGAGTATCGTTTGCGGGGAAGCTCAGTCTCTGGTGGATCTGTACTGATGTTTGATGAAGTGCTAGTCCATCAGCCGGATGTAACACTGGGAGGATTGAGGGCTTTTGCAAATCACACTGCATCGGCCTGTGTTCACACGTGGAGAGCTCGTCGTCCGTTCCTTGCAGACGTCTCTGCTGATGTTTAGAGAATCTTCGGAATATGTATGAGAATGGACTTGCCGTCCTGGCACGAACTGTCCCATGTGATCAAGTGATAGTACTCCTAGCTTGTCAAGCATAGTGGCTATAGATAGACGTGACGGCCACGGCGTCTATGGCAAGGAGAGCACCACTTACAATGCCATTCATGCAATACCGCTGGAGGCATTCATGATGCCACTAACAGGCTGGCCGCGATTTCAGCTTTCCCCATTTGCGATAGCAGAGGCACTATTCTGCCCGACAGCGTTTCTGCCTCGCATTCGTCTATCGCATTGCAGCTTCCATTTCTGGAGACTGCTATGAAGCCTATCGTCGGCCACGCATCGCTGCTTGACACGCTCGCACAGCTCGATGACTTGACTGTACTTGCGATCGTAGTAAAGCTCGCCTACAGTATAGCCAAGTAGTTGGCCGTCTTTCTTGCTCAGCATCACGAAGTCATCGTGGGTATGGCCATTTTCGAGGGCACATCGATGCGTACACAGAACAGGCACAGCTCTCATCAGGTCATCGTAAGTGCTGCTACCGCAGTGTCGACTCTCGGCGGTGTACGCAAGTCTTTGGGCCTGAAAGTCTGCCTCGCTTTGATATGTCCTTGACACGCTGGGAGTGTCTGCAGCAGCAGCGTCTGCATAGTCATCCGTGTCCACTTCGATTGCCAGCAGTCCATCTGTATCGTCTGCCGAGATATGACTGTGGGAATCGAGAGTCATCGTCAAGAAGATGCTATCATCATTGTTGATGGCAAAGGAAAGGCCCAGACCAAACCATGTCTCGTGCTTTTCGCGTCACCTCGAAAATGGTTGGCACATGACGAGGTGTGGCTCTGTGGCTGATCTTCGACCCGCTTCTTGCAAGTTCGACCAATCCGAAGCTTGAGAGCTCGGGCCATCAACAGACTGGCGACCGTGACGTATCAACCAAGTGTTTCTTCATCTCCTAACCCACTCCTCCTTCATCCACAACTGCAAACACAATCCATCACATCACACGACCTCACCCATCAACCAAATAACCAACCGCACAACAACCACAATGGCCACTCTTCGTGCGTAGTATCAACTCCAATATGCCCGCGCAGCGCCATACTGATAGCTCCTCTCCTCACAGACTACCTTCCCCCAGTCAAGCCCTCTGCCATCGCCCTTGGCACGGTTTTTACCCACGTCGCTTCCCTCGCCATCCTTGGCCCAGTCTTCGGCGAGACCTACCGCCAGGCCCAGCAGGCCAACAGCTCTGAGGAGGCCTTCAAGAACAAGCAGACCGCCGCTGCCGCCGCTGCATGGGGTACGTCCCTCGCTGGCGCTGCCCTCCAGTCGTACGGCGTTGGTGCCCTTCTCAATGCCACCGGCACTCTTAGCTACAAGGGCGCTGCCTACATGGGCGCCCTGATCTTCGCCGCCAGCTCTGCTCCTTCGGTATGCTCTATCACGTTACCGTGAAACGCGGGTAACCTCGGCTAATACGAATGTAGTTCGTTGCCCAGATCTTCACCGAGAAGCGCCCTCTTGACACCGTCGCCGTTGGTGCCCTTGCTCGCGTCTTCGAGACCGTCGGTCTCTCCTTGTTCATGACCTACTGGGGTAAGCAAAACTTGGAACGTCGCATCACACTTCCATCAATTAATCAATGACAATAGGCACCCGTACCTCCACCTTCGTCTAGATCATCAGAGATAGCTAAGTTGTAGGAGTCTGTCAAGTCAAGGTCCAGAAGCTCGAAACCCACCTCTTCTCCAGTGTACCTAGCTACGGGTAGTGCTTTGAACGGCTTGCGCAGCACGGTGTTATGTATCGATAGCGAGACCAAGCTCTCTACAGGACTCACGATGCAACGGTGCTTCTTCGCCCCGTGCGTACTCTTTCAAGCGTGATGTGAGCCTTCGAAGGGAACAAGCCGATTTGGCCTCTACGATACGACTTGACCTGGCTAGCTATCATGTTCCTTATCTATGCTCTGCTTCTCTGGACTCCACTCCTGATCATCTCTGCTTACGATCATTTCATGCACGTCCAGCCTGCCCTCCACTATTTGCCTGCCGTTGATAAGATCGTTCTCGTCTGCCCTTCTTGTTGCTGCCTCAGCATCGGCGGCAATGCCACTCTCAACATGTCGAGCTATCAGCCTCTGCCTCGCCACATCTTCCTTTACATCCACGAACCACAGCTCGTCCATGAGCTCGGCAGCTTCCTTCCATTCTGGTGCGCCCGTACCTAGTGAGAGATAATTTCCCTCAAATACGATGACACGAGACATTGCTGCAATGGGTATATCGTCTGCGACTGGATCCTTGGTGTGATGGTCGAAGCTGGGAGCATATATTGTCCCAGTCTCCGGACACAGTGGCTGATGAATCTTCTTCACTAGTTTAAGAAAGGCAGCAGCATTGAAGGTGAACGCAGCTCCTCTCCTGGCATGCGCAGTATTTGGATCCGGCATTGCAGATAGTTGCGCCCGAGTCAAGTGATAGCCGTCCATGGGTAAAAAGGTTGCGATGCCAGGTTTGGTGGGCATGCCAGGATTTTCGCCATGCCAGCGGTCATTGATCCTTTGCGCGACTCTCGCAGCAAGTGTGGTCTTTCCTGCGAGTATTCATGAGCACGCGACAATTTCCCGAGGGATGTGATACATGTGTCGTACCTGAGCCTGGGATACCGCTAACGGCGATCATGAGGCGCTTGCTTCGGGGTGTCGTCTGAAGCTTGTCCCATGTCTTGTTTACCAGGCGATCTACTTGGCCTTCCATCTCGGTCTCACGCGCGTGTTTCTATCAGACGTGCATTCGTTATGTTCCTCTCCATGGGCAGCCATACTGAAGTGATTATTGCCTGGCCAAGGCTACGCCACTGCTTTTGTTGGCTCCACCCAACGGCGGGGTCAAGGCGGTAACGGTCTCCTTTGAACTTGACTTATCTTCCATGATTCTGTTGACAATACACTGATATGTTCCCGGCGGAGCCTGGAGGAGGATGTCTCATCCCTTCCCACATAACATCACAGCATGTCGCTGCCGCAGACTTGGCGTCCTCGCCGCTGGTGCCGAGGCTTCAGTCAGATCCACAGGCAAGCTCCAGATTGCCTAGAGGCCGTCCAAAGATGCACTACACTCCGACTACTGATGCACTCCGCTGGGCTATCTCTACAATGCCCGTATGGAGATCAGACCTACTGCACTCCAGACCTAGCTCATTTGTGTAGCCCAAGGCTTGAGTGGCTTACGGCTTAGCATCCTTGTCCAGAAGCTTAGCAATACACGCTTGCAGCATGCAGGTGCTATCGCCTTCAACCGCGGACGAAGAGGATGATTCTGAGGTCGCACCCACGGACAAGGATCTTTTTTGGCCCGTAATAATGATAGCGAGGGCTGACATGCAGGATAATCTCACCTCAGACACATCAGTGAGCCAGCCAGAGCAATGAATACATATTAAATGATTACAATTCACAGCCCGAGCTCTTTTCCCTGCCCATGGGGAACCCACTCTAAGCAGAACAAGGGCGGAGCAACGCATGTTATCCTGGGGCTGAGATCGGTACCGCGTTCTCGGAATGTGGTCTTGCACGAACCTTTCCAACATGGGTATCTACAGATTGAGGTCCATTACTTCTTAGCGCCTAGCTCATGTGGTTGGTTGGCGCGATCTTACAGCCCGCGGCCTGCAAGCAAACAAAGGCAGATGCGAGTGGAAGCATGTGTGCATGCACATGGGTAGTTCGAACGACCTCGGGCTCTTTAAAAGCTGAAGTATCCTCTCATTTCTCTTGCTCGATCTGATTCTCTTCCGTTCCTTTCCCGACCTTTCGGATATCTCTCTTCACACAATTCCTACACTACCCAAATCACAGCCAGTATGGATGCGTTCACCCCACAGCAGGTAAGACCCACCACCTGCGTGCTTACCAGAATCTACCATGAAATTGACCGAGTCTACAACAGACGATGGAGCTCATCTCCCGCATCGGCCAGAAGAAAGCAAAGATGAGGTGGGACAAACTATGGTGGAACTCTGTGCTCGCAGGGCCACTTCTTGGCTTCGGCTGCGCCATCACTTTATCCACGAACGCCGCACCATGGTACCAAGAGAACGCACCAGGTCTCATCCGCACAATCGCCGCCTGCTTCTTTCCCGTTGGCCTCGTCTTGGTCGTCCTGACGGGCGCGGATCTGTATACCAGTAATGTCATGGTGAGTACAGCACATCAACTACAACGACAACCCCAGCCAAAGCCACGAGCAGGCAAGCCAGCTGATATAAAGATCTCCAGTTCCTCCCAGTAGCCTACCTCCACCGCCGCTGCAGCCTCCTCGACATCGCCAAAAGTTGGTTCGTCTCCTTCTTCGGCAATCTAGCCGGCATGCTCTTCTTCTGCCTCATCATCTGCGGCTACGGCGGGACCTTCGACTCCGCGGTCTGGAAAGCCGAAAGTGTTGCCTTCGCCACCAAAAAAGTCGTCGATCCGCATTGGCATCAGATCTTCCTGCGGGCTATTGGAGCCAATTGGTTGGTCTGTCTGGCTGTGTTTATGGCGGTGAGTTCGAGGGAGATTGTGAGTAAGATTTTGGCGATTTGGTGGCCGATTATGTGTTTTGTTGGGTTGGGAATGGATCACGTTATTGCCAATATGTTTCTGATTCCGATTGGCATTTTCAATGGCACCAAGTTCGGAGTAGGGTATTATATTTGGAAGAGTATGATACCGGCACTCATCGGTAACACTATTGGTGGTGGATTCTTTGTGGGTGTGGTGTACTGGTAAGCTATTTGCCAAGACGGTGCGGCTGGAGATCTCTGCTGATAAATGTCTAGGTACCTATACATGACCGGCGACGAGGCTGTTGATCCGGACTTCGACAAGCTGGAGCTTGTTGGCAGAGGTGCTATGACGGCTGTCGATGAGAATGCCGGGCCAGTACACCACCATCATCACGACCATCGTAACCACGACCATGAGGTGAAGGGTGTCTGAAAGCCTGACCAACAAGCACCTGGTCAATGTGATCTAGGTATTGTGTCCGGCCTGTCACGGGCGTGCTATCTCTGGTCAGCTATAACGATGTAAATGAGATCATGGAGGATACTTACAAGCTCATGCGTGGGGTGACATGATTCAACGTGAAGGGCCTGATCTGGCCTGAACCTCTCCGTGAAGTTTTGTTGCATCAAAGCAAGTCGCCAATGCCCTTATCCATATCTTCGACCAGCAGCTTTACCATACCCTGGAGATACTGGTCAGAAAGTTCGTCAAATCCGTAGCACAGGCAATAGCCTACCTCAGGCATGATCGGCTTTCCATCCTTGCCTTTGACATACTTGAATGGCATGCTAACACTCTCGCTCGGATGTGCGCCATCTACGCCACCATTTTCATCAGCTGGAAGTTCAATGTCAGGTCTGTCGATAAAGTCTATCTCGTCAAGTCGTTCTGCAACACAGGTCAGCACACAGAGAGACAGTATGACACATCTCGGCGAGGCACACTTCTCTCCTGCACAACAATCCTCGTCACTCGCGCTGCGGTATCAGTAGTCATCTGTTCAGGCCCGAGTCGTCGTCCTACGAAGCCTTTGTTGCGGAGCTCGCCGGTGCGATCTGTACACGTGCATCAGTCTACCGTTGCATCACGGACAAGCAAAGCTCAGAGTAAATACCTCGCGGGGGCTCATCGCCCAAAATCCCACCGAACAGAAAAACATCGAACAAATCCCCATCCTCAGGATTAATATCCTTCTCCCCCTTAGGATCCAGTAGACACACCCTCTGCCTCTCCTCCGATGTCGAGTACAGACTTTCCACACTCTGCTCCTGCAGAGCATCAGCAGGCAGACTGAGCTGCTTCTGCACGGCCGTAGAGTCCTTGAGTCCGGATAAGATGAATTTCGCTCCCGAGTCCTCGCATTCTTGATGTATGCATTTGTATTCCAAGGACTGCCACTCTTCCAGTTCTGGGTCTAGATGCTCTACTATGAAGGTGTGCTGTTTGGTTGCCATTGTGTGGGAGCTAGTGGATGTGCAGATACATGTATGTATATTTGTGCAATACCTGACTTCTGCATTTATACCAGAACTTTTTTGTGCCCAATGGGAGGGCTGTTTCAGAGTTTGAGCTAGAGGCATAGAATGCGGGGGAGGGAGGATCTTGTTTCACGATATCGCCTTTATTGTCCAGCGTAGGAGGCAGTGAATGGCATATTGACTTGGTAGAACGCAGTCTGTCTACGCGGAAGCCCTCTCATATCGTCTCGATCTGGTCCGAAGATAGATTTGCCGCAAGTATTGGAGCCTGGTTGTGTGCCGGACCGGAATCGGCAGGCACGATCCACAACGCAACTTAATTTAAACGGCAAGCGTGAGGTAAGGTAGCTCTTCCGTAGCACGAGGATCTCTACTACGTTTATTCACCACCCACCACCCATCGCGTCAGCCGTCACGAGGACACCGCTCGGGCCTCATTGACCACATTTTTGACTGTCAATAATACTCTCGCATCAATCGCTCGCCGCTTCAACACCAGCTCTTCCGAGCACGAGCAAACACTAGGACAGCAGTCGCAACGCGGGTAGTACTTGCTTGAAGCCATCTCGTCCGAAGCAGTAAGATCAGGCCAGCAGCAAGCAGGAGCAAGTCGCAGTCATCCCACCTCAGCAGCCGGACTGCTCGGCACTACAACCACAACATCAACACTCCGCAGGATCCGACCACCAATCAGCCTCCACCATGGCACTCAACCCGCACAAGAACAACAAAGTCGACATCAGCCAGCTGACGGAAGAAGAACAGAAGCTCTTCCGCCTCTACGGCAAGCTCCCCAACCGCAAAGGCCTCCTGCAGAACAAACTCAAGGAGCGCAAGTACTTCGACAGTGGCGACTATGCCATGAGTAAAGCAGGGAAAGATGACGTCGGACTGGTCGGAGGGCTGGGGAGGGAACATCCGTCGTACGTGTCACACAGCCACGGTGAGTACCTACCATTTCTATCATGTACTGACCTCCTCGTGATTCACACACAGCCCCGACACGATCCCACACCTAGCAGCCCAGCAATCGCAGCCCGGCTCCTCCAGCCAGCCTGTCAGCAACTCAACACCCTCGCTGCATCCCACGCCCAGCCAAGGTATGTCCGGGTCGCCGGTCAAGGAGCCTTCGATCCTGCAGCGCGGGACCAGCGTAGATGAGCAAGCCCCAGAACGGGTGGTCTCTGAGATCGAGAAAGCGGTTGAGGCTAAAGGGGTGCCGATAAGGCAGTAAAGGGTATAAGATGGGTGGTTAAGATGTGTGGGTGGGATTGCGCGGCTTGTTTGCTCGCGCTGGCGTGAGATGGATGCGCACACACGTCTGAGAGTTTGGGAGGCAGGTATGGTATTTGCGCTTTTGTGGTTTTCTGTGGGTGCGTCTACGATGGGACGGTGTTATGCGACTGTAGGCCTGAAAACTGGTCATGCGCGCGAGTAGCGACTTATGATGGGAAAACCCACATGCCGAATGCCATTTCAGAAAACTGTCTGGGTATATATGCGCAGGTTTGGAAACCAAAAAAAAAGAGTCCACATCAAGTATGTTGTGAGCATTGCAGGCGTGTGCCAACTGAGACACTACACAGCGTCCGCAGTCTGGTGGATGTGTGATTCTTGATCCACACTCTTACGCTCTGACTTTTGCCGCGCCACCTCAATCTTTGCTCATACCAGCATGGTGAGCACCCGAATCCTCATCATCAATATCCTCATCCTCCTTCTCCTGCATCCCATGCCACTCGCTACTCCTCCGACTCAACGCCCCGCCTCCACTCGTCTGCCTCAGCCCGGGACTCGCGAGCGGACTGCCGATACTACCAGGGACACTATCATTCCTGCTATGCCCGAGCAATCCACTTCTCACACTGCCCTCGTACCCCTTCAGACTCGCCACATCACCCAATTGACTTCTCGCATCGGCATTGATAGACCGCGCATCGTATTGGGACCGTGCATCGAGGTTCGTGATGCTGCGGAGCGATTTGCCGTCTGTCATGTCTTTGCCCGGGGGTTTGGAGTAGTAGCTGTTGCGCTCGCTGGCTAGGGCTGGGGCGGACACGCCTTGGGAGCTGTAGATACTTGCTCTTTCTGCTGAGGCTAGACCGCCTACGGAGGGCCGGGTGCTGTACATGCCGCCGCCTGCTTGTCCGCTTATGCTGGGATCCATGTTGCCGGAGAGGACGCTCAGAGGTAGGGACTCGCGGCTGCCGCCCCAAACGGAGCTGGGTGGGATTGCGCGGACGGAGGCGTCGGTGTCCATGCTTCGGCGCCGGCGTTTTGAGGACGAGGCGAGGGTGAGGATGCTGGCGTTGTCGGTGAGGAGGTTGTTGGCTGTGGCTGAGTTGTAGGTATTTGGGACTGCTTCCGAGACATGACGTGGGATTGCGGAAGCAGTCAGTCCTGGCGTGGGAGCAGGTGAGGTTGGGTACTGGTGGCTGAACATGACTTGGTTGGGGTTGTTCAGGCCGCCGTGCAGATGTGAGCCGTGGTGTCTGGAGGTAGCGTTCAGTGCATGACTGGGCGCCTGCGATTGGATCGTGGTCAGGGTGGTGGTGAGGGAGCGCTCGCTCGGTGCTGGAGAGCTAAACGTGCTGCCCGCTCCCGCACTACTCAATGCACCGCCATTTGTGGTGGCTGCTTTGCTGTACCCGGCATCGCTGTGGACGGTCTCCGGGTTTGTAGCCAGCGTAGGTGCTCCACTCTTGTTATTGCTATTTGAGCCGTCTCGATCTTCCAGGGCATTGTGCGGGATCGAGCCGTAGCTTTCCGCATCCTCCTGAGGTCGGGACGTGGGCGTCGCAAAAGAGAGTTGTCCGTTGGCACTACCCGCCGGCGACTCATTACGCTGCTTAAGCGCTCCTGACTCGGGACACGGGTTATTCTTGAAGTTGTTGTTGATGTTGTTGGTGGCGATATTGCTCTTCTTGTGTTTCGAAGACAACTTCTTTCTCGACGACTCATCATCGTTACTGCCCTTGAGGTTCGTGATGCGCTTCACCCAACTCGCGAACGGCTTCCTCTTCGCTTGTGCAGGCCTTGGCGCGACCTCGGCGGCGGCCATGATAGGTTGTTGAGTAGTTAGAAGCAGAAAGTGCGAAGTTCAGCTCTGTAGGGATCGCAAGAAGGAGCTGTCATTATAGCTGGGGATGATTACATCTAAAACGCTCGGCTGGCAAACGACTCGGATTGCTTCCTAGCGCTTCGGTTTGTGTCGCAGCTAGTCGAAGTAGTCGCGCAATATTGTACAGATCGATGTGGCCTGTCAGATAAGCATCACGTTGGCGCCGAGTCGGTCCCGATTAGCATATGATTGTACTCTCTCCATCTTCAATCGCGAAGCTGAGAGCCCCTGCGAAGCTTCAAGAATGACGATTGGCCTCGGTAGAGCGGGAGTGGCCGGTACTCCCGAGTCAGCCCAGCCTTCCCTCTTTCGTCCAGATGCATATGCAAAGTGAATGCTTCCTAAACTCAAGCTCAAGCATCCTCACATCCTCGAAATCGGACTCTGTACATAAGGAAGCCGCTAGAGCAAGAACTTTGATCAACTTGGACACATCAGCGAGGTGGTGGCATCTACAAGCAGTCGATCAGATGAATGACATCACAGCCTACAGGTCTCGCCGCCACCTCAGCACCAGGATGCCACCCTGAAGATCAAAAGGTTGAACAGATCATCGCTGGCCCGCCATGTCTCGCATCTCACCACTATCCGAGGCGGCTGCGGCTCAGATACACTCGTCCAAGACCATCACCACCTTGCAAGGTGTCGTCCTGGCCTTGCTGGAGAACAGCTTTGACGCTGGTGCAACCAAGGTCGAAATCAGCCTTGATTTCCGTCGTGCCGACTGCACGATCGAAGACAATGGCACAGGAATCTTTTCCGACGAGTTCCTATTGACTGGCGGGCTTGGCAGGATGTATCACACCTCAAAACGTGCCGAAGGGCTTTCGAGTAGAGAGGTCCATGGTACAGCTGGGATCTACCTCGCCTCGCTTGCTGCGCTGTGTCTACTGAGTGTCACTTCCAAACGCCAGGACTGTCCGACTCATGCGACTTTGGTCCTGCATGCTGGTAGAGTCATCTCTCGCCATGTGCCTGGTCCGCTTCAAGACGAGCTCAGCGCGACCTCAGGCACGCGCGTTATAGTCCGAGATCTTTTCGGCAATATGCCTGTGCGAGTCAAGCAGCGTGCACTCGCCAATGAAGCGGGCGTGGAGGACGAGAGGCTGCGGCACGAGCTCAAGAAAGGCATCACGGCGCTTCTGCTTGCATGGCATGGGCCTTGTACTGTGCGGCTCAAAGATCTTCACGACAGAAAATCTGTCGTGCTGTCCAGTGGTCTCTCTGCCAGCGGTGGCATGCTCACCAAAGCTTCACTAAACAGTCGGGACGGGAGAGTAAGGAAGCATGAGCTACGTGATCGGTTACCTCTCCTGTTTCAAGCTGGACTCGTCTCTATGGAATCACGTTATCGCTTCGACCCGGTCACAGCATCAACGCTGACACTATCGATTAAGGGCTTCATCTGTCTCGACCCCGCTCCAACGCGGCAAGGTCAGTTCATCAGTCTTGGTATACATCCTCTAATCCCTACAGACGGCCACAACGAGTTGTACGAGAGCATCAATCATGTCTTCGCGAACAGCAGCTTTGGAGCTGTTGATAAGCCTGAGGTCGATGAGGCAGAGAAGGACAAGCGGGCGCGTGATCGGAGATTCAAGAACGATGGCTATACACAAAAGCAGCTGCATGGACGGAAAGGTGTGGATCGGTGGCCGATCTTTGTCCTGCAGTTCAAGTTTGAAAATCCTACTGCGAGAGCTACTCGGGATAACGTGAGCAATAAGGAATTGAAGGCGATGGCTGATCTACTCCGAGCCACGGCAACACACTGGCTTGATGCCCACCATTTCCGGCCTCGTAAGCTGCGTCGTAACCGGATCGATGATCAGACTGGACCTGCAAGTCATTCGAGTTCTCCTCGACGATCGTCCACCGCCGATGGTCTCTTTCGACGGCTTAATAGCACCTTGGCCACGCCATCAGTCAAGCGCGCGGCTACTATGGAGAGCCTTACTACGTCGAAGCGGGTGTGCACTGGAGGATACCCAGAAGTATCCTCTCTAGTCCCATTTGACGGTAGCATGAAGAAACCAAGCAATTATTTCAGCAGCCTAAGCCGCATCAAAAGCGGCAGACCAGAGTCCAGGAAAGCATGTATTGGTTCGAAGAGCCTCGCGAAGGCGAAGCCTAACATCCTACGGGCTGATAGCGAAAGTCATCCTTTCGTCCTGCCCTCGTTCGGTAAAGGTGTATTGAGCTCAAAGGGTATAGCGACACTTGGTTCCAAAGTCTCGGCGATGCTTACACCAGCTTCTCCATCGATAGATTCAGGCTCGAAGCAGGACTTCCCGACCGTGCGTATAGACAGCGATGACTATGGCAGCGTGGACGACTCGGCGCTCATTGCGGCCTACGATGAGGCAAATTACATGGCGCCGTCAAGATTGACTTCTGCAGACAGCCAGCCCGAAGCACAAGCGAGCGACTCGATTGTAAATTGGCTGGACCCTTCGACGAAACAAGTATACCATATCAATTCACGTACAGGCGTGGTTCTGCCACTGAAAGCTGGCCCGAGGCAGAACACCCAAGACGAGGATATGGCCAGATCGAAGGCAGCCATCAATACATCCAGAACTGCGGCAGGCAACGTTATTAGTCTCGCACGACGGCCCAAAACAGCCGTCGAATCAAGAAGCGAGCAATGGCTGCCTGGCTTCCTACAGCAATGGGATAATCCGGTCTTCGTTCGTCAGGATGCAGAACGTATCCCTGTTGCGTCGTTCGACGGACCTGGCTTAGACCTTGCGGATATCGAGGGCCAGCGATGTACTCATCACACAATGACGCAGTACTTCGTGGAAGCTGGTGTGAAATTGAGTAGTCAACTCTCAAAGAAAGCATTGGCTAGTGTGAGAGTGATCGAGCAAGTCGATGCGAAGTTCATTCTTTGCGCCATGCCGTCCTCTGAAGCTGGTGATGGGCGAAGGACTCTGGTGCTGGTTGATCAGCACGCAGCTTCGGAGAGGGTCGTATTGGAAGGCCTTTTCGCTGCATTGTGTCAAGCAATCGACCCCAGTTCACCTGCTGCTGCGTTTGTCTCCAATCTTGGATGCAAGTCAGCTGTGCCGACCGTATTGCTCGAGAAGCCGCAGCGATTTCAGGTCTCTGGAAAGGAGCATGAGCTTTTTCGACAGCATGCCGGTCGATTTGCAAAATGGGGCGTGTTGTACGATCTCAAGGTCTTGGCTAGCAATATTGACGAGGAAGGACTACGAGCACAGAAATCAGAGCAACATCTTCTGAGCGTCACGACCTTGCCACCAGGGATGGCCGAGCGATGTGTGCTCTTCCCTCATCTCTTGATCGAGCTTCTCCGATCTGAAGTCTGGGAAAGTGGCACTTCAACGAAACGTACACTCCAGGTCAACGACAATGCTGAGAATCACGCATGGCTGCGCCGCGTTGGGAGCTGTCCGAAGGGCATCATCGACATGCTGAACTCGCGAGCATGCCGCTCAGCTATTATGTTCAACGATATGCTGAGCATTGAGGACTGCGAGAAGCTACTGCATGACCTGAGCACCTGTGTTTTCCCGTTCATGTGCGCGCATGGCCGAGTGAGTATGGTGCCCTTGATTGAAATGGTAGGCAGTGCGGCAGATGCGGGCGAAGAAGGCTTTGTGTGCGAGGGTAGTACCTTGCGAAATTTGCAAAGCGAAGGCAGCGACACATTTACCAAGGCATTCGAGCAATGGCGATGTAAATCTGTAGCGCGAAATGAACAGGCATTGCGATGACTAACCGCGCATTCGATGTCCGTTCTTGGCATGCTCTGCGCTGCATTCGGGGCTGAGTGCATCGACAATCATAAGTACATCCACTTAGATGGAGCCATCTAGCTGGTTTCTGCCGAATGCGTGATGCTCTTCTTGTATCTCATTGAGCTAAAATGTAGGCGCAAGTATTAATATGTATGAGCAGCCGTGGCGCAATCCCAATGTCAAGGTATATTTACACGACTCTATTTCAGCACCGATATAGTTCCTGGAGACAGAGAGACATTGGCACTTCTTGGCTGTTCAAGGTGATACAAGTACTCTGCATTCTCCAACCGAACCGATAGAATGGACACAGACAAACAAGTCGTCTCACTGGAGACTCTATCTGGAGTCGAGAATCCGCCCATAGTCCTCGAGCAAGGTAGACGGACTGGCCTCATACAGCCCACTCACGAGGCCGACAAGGAAGTCGTCAGCAGCTGGCAGACTCTGTCTCGAGAGGAGAACGCACCGATACCAGTCGAGATGGAGAAGCAAGATGATATCAAGTCTGGCGTCAATGCCATGGATGCACCTTCGCCTACATCGAGTCTACCGCCGCCATACGAAGCTCGCGACCGTAGTCTCAGCACCAGTAGCTCGAACGATCTCGCCTCGCCACTGGAGCCAGATTCGACTACAGCGAGACCAATGCCTCGACCAGAAGACCGCTCCGCAGTTGGCCATTTGCTCCGATGGGTTCCACGATCATCACGCATACCATTGGAGAAGATGCCACGGCTCGATCGTCCGGTCATCATCCCGCAGCTCGATGTACCACCAGTGGGCGAGAGCGTGCCGTTTCAGCGCTGCTATAGCGATGTTCTTGCCGCTCACGATATACCCATGACCGAATTCCTGAGCTTCTTAGACGGGCTTTCTATCGCTCAAGCGCTGAACGCTGCAGCACAGGGACTGAAGATGCTTGGCGCCGGAATCAGCTTCGTACCCATCCCACTCATACCACTCGCAGGTCGTGGCATCAGTGCCCTATCAGGGACAGGCTCCGGGAAATCTAGTACTCGTGCTCGATTGTACATCTCAGAAGCAGTGTCACAGTACTTTGCACCTCGCGGACTTCGATTGTCAATGGTCAAAGATGACGACCTTGGTACGAGAGTCATTCGGCTTCCACCAGGTAAACCTAGTTTGGCTCCTTTGACCGAGCAGACTTTGACCGACAGCATATGCACACGACGCTTAAATGCTCTAGAACCATATGTGGCGCCTTTGGGGTACGATGTCCCGGCTTCAGGCGATGATGTGAAGTCTGTGGATAAGCTTGCTCGAAAGCATTTGTATTACCGAATAGGTAGAGAGGCTAAGGATCTGGCTAGGTCACGAGAGGAGCAGTTTCGGGGCAGGGGGTTTGAGGGTGCGGTGGAGGAGGAGAAGAAGTGTTCGAGATTAAGATGGCTTGTGATTGAGGAGTTTCGATGACGATGATTGTGGGATGTGATAGCGTGGTCGATTTTCAAGGGCGCACAGGTGCCTCAAGATGCCATAGTATTCGAGGAAGAGGTCAAGACATGTGTCAATATCACACCAGCTTTTACGTTTCCTTCCTGCCTATCCTGTCTCAGCCACGGCCTTCAAGTCTCAACATCTAAATGTTTAGACTAGCTCGACGACCTGACTTTTTACACCGTTGTAGCTGGACATATACAACAGGCACGAATCATCTAACGTCAGCACACCTGGCCAGTACGATGATGGAGGAAACACTTCTAGCTTGTTACTCCACGTCGCACCACCATCCTCACTCGTCAAGAGCTTCGACGCTGCATCGTCAGCCCAGTGCTGTGCTTGAGTGTCTTCATCAGTCATGAAGCTGGCGACAAGTGTGCCTCCAACATTGACAACTTGTGGTGCGCCGGCATTTGTTCGTGTGCCGTTGGGAGTATATACAAGCTGTCGGTTCGACCACGAGAAGCCATCGTCAGTTGAGGTGACACTGTGGACAGTGAATAAGTTGGTGTTGACCGTGTCGTCGCTCTCGAAGATTCCAATCAAGGTGCCGTCGCTTGCTGGAGCCACTCCGATCATGGTGTCGCGAGACTGTATGTCTATGCCCGCGACCGTGATCTGGTTGGCCCACGTCTTACCACCATCGTATGATGACAGCATGAGAAGATCCTGATCGATCTGGCTATTCTCCTGGCTCCAGTACATCTGTACTGTACCGTTGGCAGATAGACGCAGATATGGCTCCCAAGCACCATGATACTGGCTACCAGCGTACGACACCGGCTCGGACAGATAGAGCCAGGACATACCATTGTCGTCCGAGTACGAAAGTGTGATACGGAAGTACGTATAATCCGACAGGCTATCAGTGTTCCTGTCATGGTTGCGATAGGCGAGCAGAATTCTACCAGAGGCCAGCTGGAGAGGATAGGCGTTGTCGAGGTCGCTCGAGATGGTCGGCCGAGAGGCTGCTGTACCTATCTCGTGCCACGATGAGCCGCTATCGGTCGAGCTGACGAGGGTTAGGATGTTGTTCGTGCCATCGGAACCTGTGTAGACTCCTAGAACGCTGCCGTCTTGAAGGATCGTTGCTCGTGGATATGCGCCGTTGCCATTGGCGCTCATGGAAATCTCTGGTCCGGACAGAGATGGTGCCTTGGCGGCATCCTGACGACTATGTAGAATTGCAGATGGAAAGGCTGCAGCCAACCCAAGCAGGAGATTTGTGGTGAACAGAGTAGTAGTAGCGAACATCGTGAGTTTGTTTGGGGTATTAAGGAGAATATGGCCTGCGCGAATTCAGAACTTGTACTTCTGGTCGCATCACGAATGCGAGATGGATCGTCGTTCGCTCGTTCAGCACAGCCATGACCGCCTCGAGGCTGGAGTAGTCATTTGTTTGATGTGCCGGGTGATGAGACGTCGCGGGACGAATCCTACAGCCTCGTATCCCCAAGCTGTCTCCACATCCCGCGTCCATGATGTCCAAGGATCAGGCCTTTTTGGTAAACGACACCCAAGGCACTCTTTCCCTTCTTCTTCTCCAAACCAGCATGCCGTTGATGATCTGTCTCGTACGGTCCGCTCGATGAACTCTCAGGGTTGCACAGTCTCTGATGATAGAAGCATCTCGGTTCGCTGAACACGCATTCCAAGCATCGTCGTTCGATCTGACATTCAGAACGATCAGACCATGGTGAGCAGTGCTGTTCATACCGAACTCCAGGCTCCAGGATGGCCAAGGATGCCTATGCCTGGGATGTGGACTCTATATTCACCGAGCCCGGTAAGGAGTTGTACTCGAGACAACCCTTTGTCCCATGCAGCCAAGACGAACACTTGAACGTAAGCTACTTCGGAATGGTAGAGCCATCCAAGGAGTACACTCAGCAGCTACACGAGTTCATCGCAGCGCAGAAGTCACACTCGGACAGTGCTAGTCATATCGTAGCTGATCATATCAATGCACCATATCGCGCTACAGGACCTGCCGAGATAAGAGTCGTTCGACTATGCCCAGGCGCGTTCGATGAGCCACTGAGTGGACATCTCGAGCACATCAACATCGAATTCAGCTTCGACGATATACCCTCTGGTGCAGGCGGGTCGTGGACGTATGGACACCGGGCTGCGTTCGGCCTATCGTTGGACAGAGGTATGAAAATCCCATACACAGCTGTGAGTTATGCGTGGGGCTCGTCAGACTTCACTCACCCTTTGACCATGGACGGGACTAGCATACAGGTCACCGAGACTGTCGATGTGCTCTTGCGCCACGTCAGGCTGGCCGATCGCCCAGTCACGCTCTGGCTGGACCAAATTTGTATTGATCAGACCGACCGAGCTGACAAAGAAGCACAAGTGAAGCTGATGGGCTCGATCTATCGCCGAGCGCGCAATACGATAGTGTGGCTCGGACAAGAATCTGGGATTGAGGCATTCACCGTCCTCAAAGGCCTGTACGAGGCGACGTACGGCGTGGAGGAACTGCTTGACGACAAGCTAGATGAATTACGATACGATTCGAAATATCAGCACGGATTCAGCAGTCTGCTAAGGTTGCTCGAACATCCCTGGTTCCAAAGGACGTGGGTGATACAAGAGATCATCTTATCTCGAAACATCTACATCATGACCGGACGCGACACAGTCTCGTGGGACCTATTCTCGAGGTACTGTTCTGGCGTGGCGCCCTTTGGGCTGATCCAGATGCCAGCCAAGGCCACACATGCAGAGCGCTTACGAGCCTCAGGTGTTGACATAGTTGTCGACGTCGCCTCCGAGAAGTCTTATTACGACGCTCACGGGGCGTCTAAATACATGCTCAGCTGGCTCGTAGCTACTCGGTATGCTGCAGTAGGTCTTCCGGTCGACAAGATCTATGCCCTCCTTGGGGTTTGCAATTCCGACATTCTGCCACTATACACAAAACGTTGTACAGACCTATACTGCGAGGTCGCGATCTCCTTGATCACCGAGGGCATGACAGAAGTGGCGACGAGTAAGGTCCGGATGGCAAAGATGCAGACATACCATCTGGTCTCCAAAGTCCTGAGCTGTGTCGACCATGACCCGGAAGCTGATTCGCTACCTTCGTGGGCACCAGATTGGTCGTTACCTCGTCAGACTTCATCGTTGGGCTATGCAACCTCCTGCTATGCTAGATTTGATGCCGGCCGAACCACAGACCTTGAAGTCTTCCGCTTTGATCGAGGAAGGATGCACCTGAGTATGCAAGCGTTGCAGATTGGAGTAATCGAAGAGCTGTCATCCGTCTGTACAAATGGGAGTCTGACCATCGAAAAGCCTCTGGAGAACAACGGCGGCCTACGCGACGGTGTTCTTTTTGCTGCGCGCGGAGCAACTGTACTAGATAAGTATGGCGGCTTGTTCTTGACATTCTGCTCCACTCTCGTGGCTGGCACCGAAGGCGACCCAAGAGGTATGGGCGCTGTCTTTCCAAAGGAGTACATCGAGATCCTCAGCCTTCTCTGCGATGAGTCCACCGGCACGAGTCCCTCGATCCCCGGTCAAACATACACGGCACGCCAGCTATTACCCGAAGGCCATCGTGGTCGTTTCTCACTGCATCATCTGTTACAACGCCAGACTGGCCGCTTCTTTAAAAGCCTGCAGATTGCTTTCAAGAACGCATTATACAATCGTCGCCTATGTTGGCTGAAAGGGAATGTTTTCGGTTTGGTTCCAAGCTATGCGAAAGAAGGTGACGTCGCGTATGTTGTCCCTGGATGCCCTGTTCCCTTTGTCGTCAGATGGATCAGTGATAATCGTTGGAGGTTGATCGGCGAATGCTACATTCACGCCGTGATGCATGGTGAGGCTATTAATGGCAGCACATCCCTCGAAGACATCGTCCTGGTCTAAGTCAAGCATTGCGACTCGTTCCAAGGACACTGAAATCTACTTGCCACGCCAGCTCTGTGCCCTCCAGGCGTATCATAGTCATATCACGGGCGGCTTTCTGGTCTTGACATGGATTACCAAAGTTTCCAGAAATACACTCTCATCTTTCTGCCATTGATCTAGCGCTCTGCCGCGTACGTGTCCAGTGTGCTTATCTTACGATAATGGAACTGGACTGCTGACTGATACCCATGAGTGTCTCATCCATGCGACCGCTCTGACATCGATCAAGACCTCGATCAATTAATATCTCCTTTATTATCAGCACAACAATATCCGATTGGTAGCACTGAGTTCAGCGTCATCGATTGATGCTCACTAGGTTTATGGAGTAATCTTGTATAGCATGTGGAATCTCTGACATAGAATATGGTATAGCAAAATCGTTATTAGACTAATTTACAATGGCGCGAAAGAACGAGCTGCTCTACCGTGGTTTCTGTCCAGTGGGCGATACGGCCCATGAATCGCTGTAACATGCCCAAAGATAAGTTGACTTTTCTTCGCAGTCATCGATCGTATCGTCTTATACCGACGCTATGAGAGATCTGGTCGTTTGTGTTGAGCGGCGCACTCCATTAGGTTGCTAGCAATGCCTGTGAATACGTCCGGCGAAGTGAGATGGCAACGTGGGATGGCAAATACTTCATGAATCCGAGAAGCATTCACGTCTCCAGCGCAACTTCCGAAATTGACCCCCGAATTTTGTCAAAATGGCAAGCGCACCCCACACTATCCCGCTCGAAGCTCAGTCAGCCGAAATCGGCAGCTTCTCATAGGAGAAATTATTACTGCTGCTTTCTTCACCACAGCACGCGTCTGCCGTGCCATTGAAAAGGCACAATGCTCGCCGCGAGATGCCCAGCAGCGGCGGACTCTTTTCTAGCACTTCCTGGAAGTCTCCGACGGCTTGTGCTCCAACGACGAACCCTCGCGACCGCCACTGATGCGTCGCCAGCTGTAGCGAGCAATGTCGAAGCTCGCACACCTCCTTATGCGAAGCTGCTGGAACGGCTACAACATGTTCGCCGAATACTGCCGACTCGATCTCTCACCCTTGCGGAGAAGATCTTGTTCTCTCACCTTGACAACCCAGAGGAGTCCCTCCTGGAAGGAACAAGCAATGGCGCAGACATTCGAGGTAGAGCCACACTCAAGCTCAAGCCAGATCGCGTGGCCATGCAGGATGCTAGCGCGCAGATGGCGTTGTTGCAATTCATGAGTTGTGGTTTGGCTTCTACCGCGGTGCCTGCTAGTATACATTGCGATCACATGATTGTTGGCGAGAAGGGTGCCGACACTGATCTGCCGAACAGCATCACTGGCAATAAGGAGGTGTACGATTTCTTGGAGAGTGCAGCGAAGAAGTATGGCATTGAGTTCTGGCCTCCAGGTGCAGGTATTATTCATCAGGCAGTCCTGGAGAACTATGCTGCACCTGGCCTGATGATGCTCGGGACGGACAGTCACACGCCCAATGCTGGTGGACTTGGAGCGGTTGCGATTGGAGTCGGAGGTGCAGACGCTGTAGATGCGCTTGTGGACGCACCATGGGAGCTCAAAGCACCAAAGGTGCGAGGGGTGCGACTGGAAGGCAAGCTGAGTGGATGGGCTTCGCCTAAAGATGTGATATTGAGCCTTGCTGGCAAGCTCACTGTAAGAGGAGGTACGGGCTACATCATCGAGTATACTGGTCCAGGCGTAGAGAGCTTGAGCTGTACAGGCATGGCTACGATTTGTAACATGGGCGCAGAAATTGGTGCCACGACTTCGATCTTCCCATATACACCTTCTTCGCACAACCCTTATCTGTACTCGACGCACCGTGGATCGATAGCCGAGCAAGCGGCTGCCATTGCAGCATCTCAAGGTCCACATAATCTTTTGACTGCTGATAGCAGGGCCGAGTACGATGACGAGGTGGTGATTGACCTCAGCAAGCTCGAGCCACATATAAACGGACCTTTCACGCCCGATCTTAGTACGCCTCTTTCCAGGTTCAAGGATGTGGTGAAGGCCAACTCATGGCCGGAGACCTTTGGCGCTGGACTCATCGGATCTTGTACGAATAGCTCGTACGCTGACATGACTCGATGCGAGTCTCTGGTTAAGCAAGCGTCAGATGCGGGACTGAAGCCGCAAGCTGACTTCTTCATCACTCCCGGAAGCGAGCAGATTCGAGCAACCGTAGATCGTGATGGTACTATGCAGACTTTCGAGGATGCTGGAGGCATGGTGCTCGCAAATGCATGCGGTGTAAGTAAGGATGCTTCTCTTCCTTTAATTAGTACTGACATGTCCTCAGCCCTGCATCGGCCAGTGGAGTAGGACTGACGGCCTCAACAACGGCCAAGCCAACGCCATTTTCACCAGCTACAATCGCAATTTCCCTGGCCGCAATGACGGCAACAGGAAGACCATGAACTTTCTCGCATCTCCAGAACTTGTGACCGCCATGTCGTACTCCGGGAGGACAGACTTCAACCCTCTCACTGACAGCATACCACTTCCTAATGGACAAGACTTCCGATTCCAGCCACCACATGGGATCGACCTGCCAAGCGCCGGCTTTGCTGTCGGTAACCCACTCTTTCAGCCAACGCCACCGACTCCCGATGCCTCAGTCGAGATTGCCATCGACCCCAAGTCCGATCGTCTAGCCGTCCTCGAGCCATTTCAGCCATTCCCGCAAGGCGAGCTCACTGGCATGAAAGTGCTAGTCAAGGTCAAGGGCCAATGCACGACGGACACGATCTCTGCTGCTGGACCGTGGCTGAAGTACAAAGGACATCTACCCAACATCTCGGAGAACACTTTGATCGGTGCTATCAGTGCGGATACTGGTGCTGTAAATAATGTCACTGATATAGATGGCTCGACGCATACTATCCCAGAACTTGCGACCAGATGGAAGGAATCTTCTCAGCCATGGATCGTCGTTGCTGAGCACAATTATGGTGAAGGCTCGGCACGTGAGCATGCAGCTCTACAACCACGTTACCTTGGCGGCCGCGTCGTGTTGGCCAAGTCGTTCGCTCGAATTCATGAGACGAATCTGAAGAAGCAGGGGGTGGTGCCTCTTACCTTCGCGAACGAAGCAGACTACGATAAGATGTCAGGTTGCGATCAGGTCAGCACGGAAGGTCTGCATGACGTCTTGCAGAATGGCGGTAACGGCACCGTCAATTTGATTGTGAAGAAGCACAAGACGAATGATGAATTCAGTGTGCCTGTCAAGTCCAACTTGTCGAATGATCAGTGTGCGTTCATCCTTGCTGGTAGTGCGCTCAACCTACTTGCACAGAAGGGCAGGAGTGCATGAGGAATAGTAAGCACCATTTAGACACATTGTGTAGCATCACATCAAGCCTTTTCGTCAACTTCATGCTCGATGTCCTTCACACGTGGAACTCTTGTGAGCTGTAGGCCGCAGAACGTAGCCACTTTTTCGATCTACAAAACATCAGCATCAACATGGACTCATGCAGTCGTGTATACACCATTGCCGACGGACATACGCATTGCTGGATCAACTCGACATCGTCATAGCTAACGCCAATTCTCCGTGTACCACGCAGATGCCAACCAGTCTCACGGCTGAGGTTCTGTATCATGATGCCGGAGAGGACGACAAGCTCTGTGTCGATGCCGTCGAGGATTGTGTGGTCGGAGAGGTATAGACCGTATGTTATCTCAACCGATAGCCAGCCTGAGCAATCAGTTTTGTAGCCATATGAAGGAGGCGTATGGCATCACTTACGTAAATCTTTGTGCGCCGCCATCATTTCAGCGGTCTTGTTGTCGTTGTGGCGGTAGATTTGTGCTAGCCAGTCTCGACCGCGTTGTCGATTTGCTTCGCCAGATTGCCAGTGCTCTCTGCGGGCATGTGAGCTTACCATTAGTATCAATCCAAGAGTCTACGATCATATACCTTGAAAACGAGTAGTCCTTATCGTCCTCTCGCTCCACATCACCCATACTGAACACAGCTTCAAGTGGCTTTGGTACGCCGACGACTGAGACAAGTTTGACGAGAGCTTCTCGTAGTCGGCGCATGAGTGCTTGTCTTTGGTCGGGAGTCTGGTACTGTGGCTTTGAGATGAGGTAAAGGTAGAGTTCTTTGGCAAAGCCTGGATGGCCACCACCGGCTATTGCTGAGATCTGTAACGGACATGTTAGGCAACGATAATTATGTTGAGGTCGTATGATTTTCATACCGCGAGAATGTACCATCGCTCTTCACCTGATGTGCTCGTTGGGAAGTGTTGTTCGATGTCTTTGAACAATTGCGTAGCCTCTTCAGGCAACGGGTTCGTCAGTGCCATGATGGTCAGATGGCGTGAGCCCGAGAAGATGAATTTGAGCAGAGTTTTTCCAAGGACGAAATGTAGAATCGCTGGGCTGTTCTGTTGGCTGAGATGCTACCGCCTCTTGCCTGTCATAAGTTCATCAAGAGGACGTCGATGCAACCACGATGAAGTCAAGAAATGCGAAGTCTGAACTATGTCATCCAATCGTCCAAGATCGATCATTGAATATCGATTGAGCAGTATTTAAGGGAGCACATGCACTCATTAACATGTGCCATTGTTTCGAGTCGGTAATAACGTTAACGATGGGCGACCACGACGCCCGATTGGAAGTACGTCACCGGTACCTCATGAGAACGCTCGGAAGATATTGAAACAAGGACGATCACGTCAAGAGGGGTGGGGATAATCTTCTATCTGTCCACATAGAAAATCATGACTGCCTGTGTCGCAGGCACGTCCTGGTCAACATTTTGGTCGTCCCAGGGTGATCCGAGTACGACTCGATGTTACGTTAGCGCGCGTGGAAATCCCGGCAAAACATTTCGCCGAGCTGCCGACGCCAAGAAATCGCCCTAACTTCACCGAGCACTTTCCGTGGTGGTTCGAGCAAAATAAACGATAATACTGCACCATTCACCTCCAGCATGCCAGAAAGGACGCTATCGTCCAAAAAGGGAAGTTGCAGCTTCTGTGGATCGAACACAGTACCTCCAGATACCGCACAGATGGCTTGAAACCGAAGTGAACTTCAGTCTGGCGCTCTCCCAAGTGAGCTAAAGCTGCAAGATGTGAAATCCGGATATCTTACTGTTAATATACCTCATGGCTTTCAGCCGAGGATATACCGCTCGAATGCGTTGACCCAATGTCATCGAGTCTGTCTCTACTTCACTATCTACCGTAAACCCTCCTTCATGGTCGTCAATCTCTCGGACGGTTTCTCGGAAAATTCAGCACACAATCCGTTTGCTTGGCTTTACATATCATGTGGTATGGGACTCTACATGTTTACCTCTACCTGGACGCTCGCAGCTTGACCTAGTACCATCTCCTGCCCGTCCAGACCCTTTTCCTTTAGAATATGGTTCGGCACCACTGCTCCCTCTTCACCAGATTTGAAGTAATTGCTATCGTCGATATGATACCATGCCAGATAGTAGAAGGCTACAAGCCCCACGCAGTAGAAGGCAAAAATGCCACCGGCCTCATCGATGTATGGGATCCGGATAGAGTCGAGACCGAAGCAGATCGCTTCACCAGCCCCCAGGACACCCCGGAAAACGCCAGCGTAATGCGCAAGTGTGGTTGGACTGTTGGTGAGTGCACCGATGAAGTATGTGATCACATACTGCCATAGAGACTACACTGATTGTCAGTAAGCGGCAAATTGGCGGTGGCCCGACTTTGCACGAACTGATGAGATCCAGTTGAGCGTGAAGAGCACAAATATCCAGCCGAACTCACGATCACTCCAGTCTGTAGGGTTTGACAAAGGGGCATGCCGATTGTACCCACGCACTCGAACGATCTCCCACACCCATGCTCCAACCAGTGGTACTGCAACAACTGTCAGACCAATCAGTGCTCGAGTCCTTCGTTGCCACCGTTTGTTGTCCAGGATCCATTGCAGACCTAGGCCACATGGTATCTGTAATACCACTGCCATGAACGAAAGCAAAGACCGAGCTCGCAAGCTATTGTGGAATGCTACATCCAATCAGCTGAGTTGCAAGTCACGCATCTGACTGCATCTCACCATTGACGGATCCAGAATAGACCAGGAAACATTCTGCCGGCAAGAATGCAGGGATCATGAGCAGCAGCTTAAAGTCCGTGAACACCAGCAAGTTCGCTTTGAGTTCCTCCCAAGGACCTCGCGCTTTGTCTGCAGCCACGATGCTGCCATCATCGCGACGCAATTTGTGCGCCGGCAATAGCAAAAGAGCCAGCAGTGCAGCGCAGCTCATGATCACAATGAACGAGATGTACACAGCTCGAGGTACACCGGCTGCTGTATCACTATCCCGATTGATGACGACTGGTATAATTCCTCCTATGGCGGAACCAACGGCTTGGAGATTGAGTTGCGTAGTGACGTATCTGGCTTTCTCGCCTTCCTCAGGATAGGCTGTCTGTATGTAGCCAGCCGTGATGAAGACCATTCCAGCTCCGATGCCAATGATCACTCCGACCACAATGGGGAATGCAAACTTGCCGACCTCGTCGAAGTACCATAGGGAGCCCACGTACAGGACACTGCAGTTTGATGTGAGCTGTTCACTATCAGGCAGATAGCGTGGGAAACTTACTATGTGAACACTCCTCCGCACATCGTCGGACCTGGTCCAAGAAGATTGAGGATCGAGCCTCCGAAGCTGGCGCTAAAGAACCATACTGCACACAATGTTGCGTTTACAATCTGGACGAGCTGCGCCGAATCCGGTCTACCACCTCCAGCTCCGAGACTGAACAGGATCAACGGCAATCTGGGATATGCGCTTGGTGTAGAAGTCTTACAGGTTCAATGCAACATAAATTCCGGCTGAGAAGCCAACACATATTCCACTTATGAAATTCTGAACGTACGGACTGTGGTAGCGTAGTTGGGGCATGTTAATGCAAAAGGAGCACGGTCTGCGACCTGATCAATAGTAGTGAGAAGACAGGTCAAGCTTGATGTTGAAGTACTGCGGAACCAGTACTGAGGATGGTACGCCTGGGCTATCATGCTTATCGAACAATACCCACAGCAGAGAGATAAGCTCGCCATACATTCAACCGAGCGGTAGCCTTTCCCTCCCTGGCGTTGTAAACCCAGCGAAGGATTGCTTGGTTCATGATCAACGAATATAGCGCATTGAGATGCCCGCACACAGTGGGTCTATCGGCCGAGAAACTGCCTATCATTATACGCCAATGATCTGCAAAGGATTGCTGCATGATTCGAGCTATTCACGGCAAACCCTCCTGGCGTAAATGACGATACATATCAGACTGAACGGTCGAAACAGCATACAGCCACCATATACCCATGGACACTTCAACACAGGCCGACACTGATCCGTTTTCACAGCAACTTAAAATGACAGTTGCAACACCTCCTCTGGCTCTACTGGTCTGCCCAGCGTAACGGTCGCCTGCCGCTTCTTCAAGTCCATAATGATGTTGAACAGGCTTGCAGAGCCGGATTCGCCAACTTGAGCTCTGCAGATGGCGCCTGGGTAGTTGGTCTCATCCTTGAACAAGCCGAACAGCGACTGCTTCGATGGGCTTTCACCAAGCTCCTTAGCCAATGCCTCAATCCTCCTGACTCGAAAGTCCGAGTCCTTCAACCACTTCGTGTCTTCAACGCCCGGGTGCTTTGTGAGGTAATGGTTCGAATGGAAGATCTGCTTCTGATCGTTCATCTGGATTTTGCCCAGCTCGACAGAACTCCATTCGAGACCGGTACCTCCAGTAGCATCTGCGACTAGAATATGACATGAGGATGCTACCCCGTACTTCTCGAGCTTCGTGATTGCGTCGTCTCGACTTGTGCTTTCAAGCACCATCCGTAGTCCTAAGTGACATGGTATGCGGGTCGGATCCATGCCTTTCACCTTGATAGCGTTCAGACACACGCCGACGCCAGCAGAGTTGAGACCGATCTTGCCAATCAGACCCGCTTCAGTCACCATCTTGATCGTTGGCTTGTCTTGTTGCTCAACTGTAAGTACGACCAAATTCTTCATGTTGTCAGCAAACAAAGCATTAGAAGTACTATTATCACACAATGTACATACCTCCTTCTGTGCCTCCATCCAGTCCCAATTCTGTGCAAGATAGCTCCCATCATCGGTCTTCCACGACAGCGCTGTACAGCCATCGGAGAAAAGTCCAAAAGCGATCTCAGTCCTGACGTTGATAGCGATGATATCTGCTACCTCCCGTCCTGAGCCCTCAGCAATACCTGTGATACGGTCAGTAATTCTACACTACATTGAGATATGTAATCTGTGCTTCTTACCTTTCATCTCCTCCAGATAAGCAGGCCATTTCCGTCGCATGACAGGTTCGAATGACATAGCAAGGTCTTGCACCTTGTGCCAGTCCATCTTCGCAGTGTCCTTGAACATACCTGCGTAAAAGTCGATAGACCGTCCGATTTGTACTTTGGCTTCACTTCCATGCTTGAGGCCAATCTACATGTCGTCAGCAAGACTACATTTGGTGTATGATACACTCGTCGGACTTACCTCAAGTGGCGTACCACTACAAGTAATCTGTAACATCTTCATTCTCGTCAAGACTATTTAAAGTCACTGTCAACTAGGCTTCCACGAAATGATGCAGTAGATTTGTAAAATGTATCAGATCGGAGTGATGTGCCGGAGATTGTGTGAATTGAGATCCTCCTACCTACACAGGAGTCTGTTATCAATCAAGAAGCCGATATCCGGCTGACTCTGGCTGGGTGTATGTCGATCATTGTGCCGAAGATGTCGAAGGAGTGGAGAGCGGGGTGGATGAGCTTATGGGTACGTATCTCCACTCGGCGAAGATACGATATCGTTTGGAAGAGAGCAGGCAATGGTACAGGAGAAACGACAAGCGATAGACCTATGATACCATTGATGATATAGCTCCCTGTTGAGAAGTCCAAGTACATCCGCTTCCCGTTGGAACGACAGGAACACAATCATCATTACTAGAATCCCACAATGCCAAAGAAAAGAGTCCTAGTAGGCTACGGCATCGACGTCGACGCCGTGGCAAACTGGATCAACACCTGTGACGGCAGCCCCCAGAACCCAACAAACGTCTCTCGCGGCGTCTATGGAGCCACAGTCGGCATCGATCGCCTCCTCAAGCTCTACGAAACGTACAAGATCAAGGCCACTTTCTTCACCCCCGCCCACAGCCTCGAGACCTTCCCCAAACAGATGACCAAGGTTCGTGATGCTGGCCATGAGTTAGGTCTACACGGGTATACGCATGAATATATCTCGCAACTTTCCGCCGAACAGCAAAAGGACGTTTTGATTAAATCCATCGAGGTTCTGACGAAGTTCTGCGACGGCAAGAGACCTATAGGGTACACGGCTCCGGCATGGTCGACCTCAAAGGAACTCATTTCGCAGCTGGAAGCGGAAGGGATTCTGTATGACCACAGCTTCATGCACCATGATGTCCAGCCTTACTGGGCACCGGATCCGCTAAAGTCAGAGTGGAGAGAGACGAACCATAAGAATTCTGCTGAGAGCTGGATGGTACCGATGACTGCGTGGCAACCGTCCAAGGTCGTGGAGATACCGTCGAATTGGCATTTGGATGATTGGCCGCCATTGCAACCCATACCTGGCCGACCTGGAACCCATGGTTTCGTGGACGCTCATGTAGTCGAGAGATTATGGATGGAGCAGTTCGACTTTGCGTACAGGGAGTACGATACCTTCATCTTCCCTATGAGCATCCACCCACAAGTTTCAGGCAAGCCGCATGTGATCCTGATGCACGAAAGGTGAGTTTCGAGCCCCCTCGGCCGTGCAGAAAGCGGACAAGCAAGCTGATGATGCACGATAGAATAATCGAACACATCAACAAACACGAAGGAGTCGAGTGGATGACGCTTGGCGACATGGCCAAAGAATTCGCCGAAGGCCGAATGCCCGGCTGGGAGGTCGAAGGCGGCGTGATGTAGTAGTAGCCTCACATATCCATCTTGTGAGGAATCAGGCTCAAGCAGCTTTCACCGCAGCACCCACACCCTCCTTCGAACTCAAATCCACATCCTCCACCCGATAATGATCCGCCACAATCCTATACAAGTAGCTCGGTGCACAGCCTCCCAAATTCGTGATATACAAGTCCACCAGATCCTCTTCCACGTGATCGTAGACAGGGTTGACCACATCCACTTTCTCCGCGAATGCAGCGTCCTCGAATGCGACTACTTTACTCGGGTCTCCGTACTCGATCAGCTCGTCTGTGTCGAATGGGTAGACAGGACTGAGCTTGTATACACCGCTGAGGACCACGACGGGGACGTGATGTGTTTTTGCTGCTCGGGCGATAGTGCTGGCGCCTGCGGCGGCGAGGAGGGAGCCGTTCGCTAGGACGGCGTGGGGGGCGAGGATGACTTTGTTGATGCGGGACATGAGTGCGAACACGGCCGAGTCTGGGATCAGGATCACTGTGATGCCCATGTCTGTCAATGGCTTCCAGCGTTCGTCTGTGTCTTCGTCTCCAGCTGCTCCGTTCAGAATAGTAGCGTGTGTGGCTTCGTGGTTATTTGGATAGGCTTCCGCATGGAAGACTGTGAATTTGCGCTTTCGTGCGGCGGTCATGAGAAATTTCTGAACTGTTTGAGAGGAGGTATGAGTGAGCACGATCTCGTTGCTGTGGATGTGATCGAGTGCATTCTCCGCGATCTGACTGTCCACTACATCGAGTTCATCGAGGAGTTCTTTGATGCCGTCGATGACTTCAGCCTTGATATCCATCTTCTCCTTAGGTCCACTGGCTGTTCCAGGTCGCTGCGGTGTTGCGGGTCGTGATGAGGAAGGTTTCATGGAAGGCGAGAATGCAGTCGGTGTGCTCATGCCTGGCGAGCCTGCTGGTGAGCGGCCGGCGGGATGCTGCAGAATGCTGAAGAGGGAAGTGAGCGATGGACCCTGTGCAGCGTATGATGTCGTTGAGCTCATGAGGGAAGGCCGCTGAGGCTTACTATCTGCTGCGAGACTCTCGAGCTCGCTAGACGAGGCATGCAGACCAGTTTGGAACGACTCTGGCAGCGCAGCAGCACCATGGAGTGGTGTGAACTCGGAGAAAGTCTTGGGCAAATGTGGCCTCCGAGCTTCAGAGGTACCAGGTGTAGTAGGCGTGCCTGGAGACAGCAGTTCACTTCCAACAGAAGAGTCTTCGTTGTCTTCTGCTACCTCCCTTACCACACCTAGGACACGCCGGACGATGTTACCGACAGCAAACTCTCTGGGCTGTGCTGCAACGAGGCGACGACCCACCGATCTGATCCGTTCAATTAGTTTCTGAGCATCTCGGATCCGCTCCTTCGCCACTACGCTGAGCAGGAGATGTGTGGTGGCCAGAGCACATTGTCGGGAGTTCCTGATTTGCCGTCGTTTGAGCAGGGATACTAGTAGCTCGATCGAGGACTCGATATCGTTGGTCTTTAGACTTTTCAGAAATGTTGATAATGAGGGCGTGTGCCCTACTGTTGAGGTCGGCATGGCAGGGTGTGGATATGCTGTCGTCGATATCAAGGTTCCTAGCAATCTAGTCCAGGAATACGATTATGATGTCTATATCCAGTCGGCAAGATCTTGTCGTGTTGTGGTATGCTTGGAGTTCGAGTAACTGTGACTCGGATCCCAGGATAGTCCTTCTGTCTGCAATCAGGGGGTGGTCAAGATCGTAGTGCCAAGATTTTATATGATACTGTCTTGTCGTACAAGCATTTGATATATGAGTCGACAGATATGGCAGATGATTTCCTGCAGGGATAATCGCAACTGACAGAGTTTCCTAGCGTACGAGGCCTGTGCAGCTCGCCCCGCCAGCCATCATCATTGTTCGGCCGTCGACTGGCCAAAACAAATCAATCTCCTGTGCTACAGTTGCTGGCGTCTGGTCTTTTGGATGCTTGTTAGACGGAGTTCCGGGTCTCCCTACCTACCGTGTCTGTCAATCTAGCTGGTCCAAACCAGATAATACGGCACTCGCGCCAGAAGCCGAGCTCAGTGTCAGCTGCAACTCGGCGCATTACCATCAGTTCTCCCGACCTGCGCATTTGAAAGAGCGGACACGTGGTTGTGCTTTCCTGTCCATCTGACACTGTCGCTCGCTATATCTGCTCTCTTATGGCATGTTGGCGGCAATGAACAGCCTCAACATCGTCTCGAGGCTCACTACCACCCCTCCGCCGTCTCCTCCGCGATCGCGAACGAGTTCGTCGGCTCATCTGGCTTCCGATACTAATGATGGAGACAAGGGCGAAGCGGGCAGCAGTGCGCGAGCACTCGATGTTAGAGCACTGTCCGGGAAGCTGGGCGTGTCCAGCAACCCGGGCGAGGCGAGGGAGGAGGAGAACGGCATAGACGAGAAGACTCCTCTCCTGGACGGTGGAAAGCAAGAGTCGCAGTCGCCCAGTGGGAAGAGTCGACTATGGCAGATTCCCAGGCGCGTGGCGCATGCCATCTTGTACGGCGCAACGGTCATCTACAGCACTATCACGGCACCAGGACGTTATGTGATTGCCTGCTTCTACGACGATGCGGGTCACTTCTCAGCTATTCTGCCTCTCAAACGCTTTCGAAGTCTACTCTCCAGGCAGAAACGGAAGTCTTCAGCGCAAGCTGCGAATCCGACCAGCGTAGCCGAGCCACTCGCAACAGAAGAGAAGCAGGAGCGTCCACGGCCACAGCACCGCGCGTCCAAGCAGCGATCACCATCAGTGGATAGCAATGCTTCCAGCGCGTCAGCAATGAGCTCGGATGACAACACGGAGAATGAGAAAGCAGAGGATAGTCCGGCACGACATACGCGATCGAAGACCGCATCAGCCGGGGAGAAAGGGGACGACATAGCACCTCACCGGAAAAGTGGCCGAATAAAGCTACTGCCAAATGAAGAAGCACTTCGAAAGCGCCGCATAGCTCGAGCCCAGCAGAAAAAAGCCGGTGTCAGCTCAGAGGATGTCGCAGCTGTAGCCTCGACCCTCAAATCCCCATCCTCACCAACCGCCAACTCGAAATTGACCCGCTACCCACGACAACCAGCACCACCACGACCGCTAGTCCCGCGGCGGCAACCCTCGTACACATTCTCAGCAGCATCCCCTAACCCAAAGAAAACCCTAATCATCGACCTCGACGAAACACTAATCCACTCCATGGCCAAAGGCGGCCGCATGTCAACCGGCCACATGGTCGAAGTGCGGCTCGGCGGCGGCATCTCCAGCGGCGGCGTCCAACTCGGGCCCGGCGTCCCCATCCTCTACTACGTCCACGAACGACCCGGCTGCCACGAGTTTCTACGGAAAGTCGCAAAGTGGTATAGCCTAATCGTCTTCACCGCGAGTGTACAAGAATATGCGGATCCCGTGATTGATTGGTTAGAGAGGGAGAGGAAGTACTTTTCCGGCAGGTACTATCGACAGCATTGCACATTTCGGAATGGAGCGTATATCAAGGATCTGGCGCAGGTGGAGCCGGATCTGAGCAAGGTGATGATTTTGGATAATTCGCCTATGAGTTATATTTTTCATGAGGGTGAGTCTTGCCATTCATTTCTAGTCCTTTTGCTGGAGAGAAGAACAGCGATGCTGATATATGTGTTGCAGATAATGCTATACCCATCGAAGGCTGGATCAGCGACCCAACGGACAACGATCTGATACACCTTATCCCCCTGCTCGAGGGTCTGCAATACGTGACCGATGTTCGGGCTCTCCTGGCATTACGACAAGGGCAGGCTCAACAGGCGTAAGACATCTAAACTGTAGCCGTCGTCTCAGCACTACGACAGCTTACTGCCCTCTTCACGTGTGAATTTATAGCGCAGGCGTTTCTTGGCTTGTGCCTGCTTTACAGGCACCGGAAGGCATTTTTTACGGACATATACTGTGCATTCTAGATTTGGCGGGATGGAAGATTACTGTACCCCTTTTCTTAGTCTCTGATAATGTGAGATGATAATTTCGAGGCATGCAAGCCACTTCCGCCTGTCAATCTCGAATGTTCATCAGCTTTCTTTGCGGCTACAGGATTGCCACTGTCCGTCTGTCTATTCGAAGGAGTAGAGTCGGGGGTAATAAACTGCCTTTTGATCAATACCGCCTCCCGTGTGGCCAAGTCCTATCAACATTTTTCTAATATAGCATTCACATGTTAGACCACCCCCCGTTATAGTGCTGCAGGAACGAGACTAGCGGCAACTGTAGGCGTCACGTAGCCAATAGCCTTAGAGTTCCAATCCCCTCCGTCCGTGAATCTTCCCGACGACGTGCATGATAGATATTCGCCGATGGTGAGGTCTCGGGCGTTGGGCTGAGAAGTATAGATGGGTGTCATGTTTCACTCTGTGTCACATCATTATATATCCTCACTTCACTTGATCTAGCTGACTGAGCCGGACCGTACCCTCTCTCTTAACCACTCATCATTCGAGAACACCATACCGCTTGACCACAAACATCACCATATCCATCACCGCCAACATGGCCTTCATACTCAAATTCCTCCTGGCCATCCTAGCAGTAGGCCTAACAGCAATCTATCTCCGCTTCACCATCCTCCTGAACGCGAAACGCAACAAACCTCTCCGTCATGGCCGCCGCAACCCCAACGAACCAACCCACCTGATGATAGTTCTCGGCTCAGGCGGCCACACAACAGAAATGCTCTCCATGCTCTCCCGCTCCGTGCAAGATGAAGACCAAAGTCAGCGTTTACATTGGAATGACTATACGCATCGGACGTGGGTGGTCAGCAGCGGGGATAGTCTGAGTGCTGCGCGAGCAGAGGAGTTTGAGAAGATGGCGGCGCCGTTGAGTACGCAGGAGGGACTGATGATGGGGAAGGTGAAGAGAGCAACTGATAATGGGCCCGGGACTTATGAGGTCGTGACTGTGCCCAGGGCGAGGGAGATCCATCAATCGCTGGCTACGGCGCCGATGACGAGTTTGACCTGTATGCAGGCTTGTCGGAATGTGTTGCTGAAGGATACGACGACTACTCGTGAGGGTCATGGTGGGCAGGCTGGGGAGAGGGATGTTCCGGATCTGATTCTTGTTAATGGACCGGCGACTGGGACGATTATGGTGTTTACGAGCCTTTTGTTGAGGTTCTTTGATGTTAAGGGTGTGAGTACGAGGGGGAAGATGAGGACTGTCTATGTGGAGTCTTGGGCACGGGTGAAGAGGTTGAGTTTGAGTGGCAAATTGTTGAGGAGGGTGGTGGATAGGTTTCTGGTGCAGTGGCCGCAGTTGGTCAGGGAGGTTGGTGGAAGTGTGGAGTACCTGGGTGTGTTGGTGCAGTAGTATGAGCGACAGGAGAGCAATGGCGTCAGTCGTGGAGACGGGATACCCTCGCGAGCGTGGGTGACTTTAATGTCGCGGCATGGACTTTGCCAAGCATGTCTGGACACTCCACAGCACCAGCTTTCTCTAGCCACTTGCCGAGCTCTGGATGTATTCCAGAATTCTATCTCTCTTCGACCAGAAAGCAGTATGCACATCTCAAGGTTTCGCCTTCCGTCTGCCAGCCTCTTTGTTGTGCATCACTGGAGCCATCCCGAAGTCACTGCGTTGGCAAGCAATCAGTACGACGGGCCTTGGCTCGTAGCACCGATGTTCGACCTCTTCCCTCCAACCCATCCTCCTTCCATTGCTGGAACATGCTGTTTGAATACCGCGACGAGCTCTGGGCATCCAATACCGACGAATTGCTCAATACTTGGCAAGCTCAGGATAGTATCGAGTCCTGGCAAGTGTCGCTCATCGTCAGTCCTATCATTTCTGCGCCTCCACTTCTTCCAGGTGATTTCATCGAAGTAAAGTGTTATTTTACGGAGACCGTGTAAGTCCACAAGGTCGCTGAACCTCGTCCACTCCTCATTCTTGCCGTAGTGAGCCCAAGTTCCTGCTTCGAGACAGTATTAGATGCTCCGGACAAGACGTTTGTGGGTGGCAGGAAGCTTCTCCATGAAGTCCTTCAAACCAAACTCGTCTTCAAACCAAAAAGTATTGTGGCTCCTTCAAAACAGCCTCCAAACCCGGGCACCCAACAATTCCACCATTTCAAGCCCTCTCAACCTCTCCAAGATCTGCATCGCACTAATCTCCACCTCGATGAGGAATTCTTCGCACTTCTGTCTCGCAACCAAAGTTTACTGCTTCAGCGCCGTCATCTTCGACAGGATGGAGAAGGCGTGCTTACATGCTCCACCAGCGAGGTAAGTGAACTTGATGCTGCGCAGGAAGGGGATATGAGCTTTTGGTAGACGCCGAAGAGTGACATTCATATCTCCTTGGTCCAGGAAGACGAAAGTGTTGACCTGGTAGAAGTAGGGCAGAGCTTCCTGGCGGAACTGCTTGGAAGTAGCCAGTGGTGAGAGGATCTTACGGATAGATTGGGTCCGGAACTGCCCGCTTCTGTCACGCCAGGAGACGTCCGTGTTGTTGAGGGATTTGGAGAGGACTCGGGCGCCGTTCTTTGCGCTTCCCGTGTCCAAGCAAACACCCGATTTGAGGAAGCGGAAGACCACATCGTAGATCCTGTTTCTGATCTCAGGCGGCAGGTCGAGGAACGGGAACGTTGCATTATCATCCCGCTTCTCAAGTACCGAGTACAGCACCATGGCTGTTGGAGCAGACGTCGAGTGGTAATGCGCACTACCGTCCGCCTCGCCCGTCGGACAATTCAGCCATGGAGCATTCCATAAGTTCAAACGCATGGTTCAGTCTGTCGCGTAAGCGAGACGCCTCGGAATCCCACGATAAACGATGAAGACTGGCGAAAGCGATGTACTTGTAGTAACTGAAGGTGTCGCAAATCCAGTCGCTGATCTCCGAAGCCAGCGAGATCTCGACTTCATCCGCTGCAAACATGGTCAAAGCCATGGCGATGAGTTGTTCTTCGGTGTACGGTGGCTTCTTGGTGGTAGAAGCACGCGAGCCCTTGATGTGGGAGAGAATTCGATCCTGCATGCTCAGGTCCTCATCGGCTACCTCTATTGCGTTCTTCTTGCCCCTTTTAGTCATGGCGGAGATGGTAGTGCTCACTGGAATCTCATTTTGAGACTTACGGTCCATGTCATTGCTGAAGCTGGCTGTCGCTATCGTCGATGCAGGTCAGGAGTTGACGGTCGTCTTTCCTTTGATCGACTTGTGGCGTGTTGTCGGTGCTATGACTTTGCAGGAACTGAGCAATTGACAGTTGGCTTCACAAAGTTGTTGTGTAGTGATGTTGAGATAGGTTCCACACGAAGCAGATACCCGCGCGACGACGTGCCCAGGACGAGAATATGTTATGTAAGATCGTGTAGAGTCGATAATTTGAGGTGGGAAAGGCAGATGAGCTTCAGATGAAGTTGACGCGTTTGGAATTCTAGCGTGTCACGACCTACTCGTTGTCACTTGCAGCCCGCTGCCTAGGTACCTAGGTAATCCGATTTACATTTTTGTCACCAGTATATGATGTGTGAATTGAGAAGTGGACAAGTGTGAATGATGCTTTTGTACTATATCACTGCCAGTTACACATTAGAAGACCCTACAAGGGTCATTGATCGCTCCTGGTATCTCTCCATCCCAAACTCCCTCACCGCTGACGCACGGCTTCCTTCACGTCAGCAGACCTCACCACTAAACCACAATGACATACGTCCTCTACATCTTCGCCCGCACCCCGGCAGGCGGATACCCAAATCCGTCAGCCGTGCAATTCGGCACAAAGACACTAAGATCATAGAGCCAAGCAGCGGAATTGAATTCGGAGAAGACAGTCTTGATGAGGAAAGGCTGAGGGCAGTTGAAGCCTTGGAAGCTGGTCTCGATGACGATGAGGCCCGTGACGGCTTGTTGAGGCGAGATGGCGTTGGGGAAGGGGTTGGGGAGAGGGCCGCGCCAGCGGAGAATGACGGTATCGCAGTTGTGCCCTGAGGAAAGGAGTGTTAGCGTCGAGGTCAAGTTAGGTCAACGGAGGAAGGAAGTGGTTGGTGGTTTGACTTACAGACGCTCAGGATGGTGAAGGTGATATTTGGCTGCGAGCTCTGGCCTGCCTCGAATTGGTCACGACTGGCGAAGGTGGGTGCGCCGTACGGAACCGGACCATTGGGGCAACCGGAGTCTATGAGATAGATCAGCTAGTTCTCTTGCACCTATCTCGAGGTGCGACGTACTGATCAGAGCAGTAACGCTATCACTGTAATCAAGGAAGTCAGGGGCCATGACTGCCTCGGCGTCGGCCTTAGTATAGGCAGATACGAGGTGCGCGAAGTTGTCGGCGACTTTCTCGGCTTGGGAATCGTCCATGCAGTTCTGCTTCTTGCATGAGTTGGTGCCGTCATCGCGGGCGTCAATGGCATTGTTGGTCTCGACAGCAGCGCAGGCGCCGAGCGAGACGAGGCCGGCGACGAGGAGAGCTGTGCAATGCATAGTGATGGTATGTAGCGAAGAGTCAAGGAGCAGTGAGTACTTGCAAAAGAGTGGATGGATGAGGAAGGAGAATACTTGACTGTGGGAAGCACATCGCACTTTGTTCTCTTGGCCTCTAGACGGGATACAGGGTACCTCAGTTTTGGTGAGAAGCATGATGTCCACTGAGGTGAGGAGATATCGAAGGGACACAGTCAGTAGCCTCACACCAACATACGTTCGGCATGCCGTTTCTGTCCTTCGCAGGATGGACTTACAACTTCCTCGTGAGGACTGCTTTCACAAGGCACATGAGTGAGCGAGAACGAGTTGCTTTGCCAGTCCACGTCCTTTCTTGCAGCTGCTCTGATCGTCCAGACGTGCGAATGGAGGAGGCGGACATTGTGTGTTCGACAGCCTGTTGAGCTGTGTACAAGCCAAAGCGGTTCGTTGTAGGTGTAGGATGGCTTTATGGCGCCATTGATGTGTCATGATCTTAGTGCGCGATGTGGTAGGTCACATCCTCACATCTGATGTGTTTTGAGTTGAGGAGGCATTGATGTTGAAGTGGAGTAGAAGTGAAGTGAGGAGAGAGAGAGAGGTAGACGGAAACGGAAACATAAGCCGACCAAGCGGAATAATATCGGCCCGTCGCTTATCATTCAGCCCCTTGGCTGTGGCCTGCAAGCCACCAGAGCTTCTCCACACACCCCCCAGGCAAAGATTCTCTGTGGAGCCTCGCCAACGACGAGCGACAACACCATCAACATCTCCCCCATCTCCACTCACAGCAGTTCTACGCGTGCTTCGTTGCGCTCGCGCCACTCTCCACTCCCTCACGTATACAGCGATATGGGTCTCCCGGTTAGTCCTGTCCGACGTGCGCGGTCGTAGCTTCCGGCGCATACAGAACCGGCCAAACCCAGCGCGAGGCTAATCAACAATTCGTGTCTGCAGATATGGCGCAATCCTGAAGAGACGAAGCCGACAGTCAAGGACGCGCTGAAGGTTGATCCGACAGCAGCAGGACGCTCTTCCATCCGCAGACAGGCTTCCATCCATGGTGGCCGCAATGCGCGACCGCGAACTCGTCTGACTCGCGATCGTACAGTCCGCCTTCCACGCCGAGCCCGCTCTCCGCCACCTCCGGCAGGCTATAGCCATGTACGCGATACGCCTCGCAGTAGCATCAGGAATGGCGTGCCTCCCATCTCGACGTTGTTGGAGTCTGCAGACATACATCGCACAGCCCTGCCTCCTCCACCTCCACCTCCCGTACCTGAGTCACGAAATTACTATGAGCAGCTTGAAGAGGCTGCAGATGGCAGGGGCGATGCTACGAGTAGTCTGGTGGCATTGCGGGATACGGCAGCGAGGCTTGAGAGGCAGACAGAATATATGCGACAGCGACTGCAGCAGCGCATGCAAAGGTCTCGTGAGCCGGATGGGCCTCTTGCTGCACGTGATCAGGCATCACGAGAGCCTCCACAGCCAGACCTTGGACCACGGGCTCGCGCGGACCGACCTATTGTTGACGGACCACTGGATCGTGTAACAATAAACACCCCACCACGGACTGGATCTGATGTGGAAGACGATAGTCTCTTCCTTCCGCCGACACGGTCCACTCGTCGATCACATCCACTACGCAACTCCTGGAGTCCCGACTCGCCTCCTGCAGTAGATGGCCTTGGCGACCGCAATCGCAGTCCCACGCCACCAGATGGTTGGGAGATCATGCGCTCGACCATCACCCCTGACGCCACTCTACCAAGTGCCGAAAGCAGCTTCACGAGCGCAGCCGCTAGTCAGTCGTTCGCCTCAGCAGCAGACACTACCATCACCGAACCTGAAGTCGCCTCCTCGTCTACCACTCACAGTCGCCGCAATTCGAGTGGTGTTGACGATGAAAGCGATTCGGTATCATCCGTTGATCCAGAAGATATGTGTGACGACGATGATCAGATGACGGGAGCAGAGGCTATGGCGGAATTCATGTACAATCACGAAATGCACAGTCACGAAGGCAGGGGACGTGTTGTGCACCACTCCGAACAACGATTACGAGAGGGTAATCGATTTGCACTTGCTCACGAGTCTGCAATGATCGATATCGGCTTCCGTCTGATCGAGGAAGCTCTTGAGACAGAAGAAGGCCGTGCTCGTCTTGTGCAGGTCGGCGTGCTAGCTCAATGCGAAGACTCGGACGATGAAAACAGTACAGTACGAACCCAACGTCAGCTACGCTCGCGCACCAATCGCCTCTCACGCCGACAATCGGAAGCGCATCTCACAGTCTTAGATGGCCCTCCCAGTCCCCAACCAGATCGCTATGGCGAAGCAGCCCTAGCTGCCTCACGTGAAGCCCGACGCTCGACCCGCGAATACTTCCTACGTTATACCAACGGCTTCACGGGAGCCCGCCGTCCCACACCACCACCTGACTACGAAGCCCTGACTTCGCATCGGGATGTCGAGATCTTCACTTCACGGGATGAACCAATACCGCAGCCAGTCAGCCCCCCAACGCAGCGAGGTCAGACTGAAGTCGCGGACGCGATGTTAAGTGGCGATGAGACGGACCTGGCCGCTATGCGACGTGTCGTGGAAAGGTTGGCGAGGAGAGATGATGTTCCCGAGGAGTGGTGGAGCAGTATTGGCTTGAACCTCTCGCGCTCGAGGCCGAGAAGTCGTAGTCCTGCGAGAGCTGAGCGGGGGACTGACGCTGCTGGGCAGAGGGTCAGAGGTGGGAGGATCGAGAGGAGGAACTCGAGGTTGTGATGATGGACTGTATCATTACTGAAAAGCATGATGGCGAAGTTTCTCTCGACCTGTTTTGCTTACGCTGAGCAAGGGGATGTATCATACCACGAGCAGGAACAGAGGCCCAAAAGTCGTGTATGTATTATGAATATGAGATCTGCATCGTCGTGGCTGCTGGGCGGCCCATGAATTTATCAACTGCATTTCAAGATTCTATGTGAGAAGCGTGTGTGACCCACTTCCTACGAAGCGGGCGTTAGAACAAAGCTCTCGAAGCGACACTGAGCAACCAAGCAGCATCCTGCCACCCGCCTTCGCCACCAGCATCACCCACGTCGGCAGCCGGCGCTGGCGGGAGTGATGGTGCCCGCACGGTCTGCTCTGCCTCCTGACCCTTCCTCCCCTCTTCCTCTCCCTTTATCTTCCCCCTCTCCTCTTCCTTCGCAACTTCCTCCTCACTACCGCTCTCCTCCCCCTTCTCCTGCACACTAAACAAATTGAAACTCATAATTCGCTCCACAATCCCTCCGATACCATAACCCCTCTGATCAGACAATCGCGCTACTTCCTCCTCCGCTCCGCTCGGCCCTTCCTCGTCTCCCTCATCGCCGTCGAGTACATTGATGAAATCCGGTTCCATGGTCCCTCCCGCTGTAGGAGCTGGTAGAGTGAGAGGATCATCGGCGAAATAGCCGTCTAGCTGCGAAAGGTTGGGATTGGGGTTGGAGTTGCCGAGGGGAGTGCGCAGACTATTCGTGCTGCCTCTCCTGCTTGTTCCGCGACTAGCTGAACGCGAACCGTATCGTGAGCCCCATATTGGAATTTTCGCACTCTGCCTTCTGACCACTTCGGGACTCAGTCGCCCATCTCTTCTTGTACCATGCGTACTTCGGATATCGGCAGCGCTCATGGCAGCCATCTCCTCGTACCCCTCATCCACGTCATCATCATCCGAGGACTCCAGATGATGGAGTGTGGTTGAGGATTCTCTGGAAGCGAGCCAGGACTGCCCTTTAGCTTCTTGTACTATATCGTGTGTCGCTGCTCGGGTTCGTGCGAGCCAGTCTTGATCGTCTGCTTGGCGAGCGAGGTCGCGGGGGCGTGGGGTGGTGGAACCGGTTCTTGTGCCTGGACGACCTTGGTGTCTTCTCTTCAGTGGTACGCCGCGGCCAGTCAGGCGTTGGTCTCGTTGGTGTATGAGGAGTGCGGCTTCACTCTTAGCCTTGGGAATGTGTGCGGTGCCGACAGCTACACGCTCGCTGTTGCCGTATTCTTGGTCCTGTCGCACAGCGCCATATTGGTACTGGACTTCATCGTCGTAGAGACTTCCTCTTCTACTCAAACCACCACTTAAATTCCTTCTACTCGAGCTACGGCTCAAAATACCCGGTGTACTCGGTGCGGATTTTCCTTGTATGTAAGAGGAATGTTGTTGGCTGTATGTGACGTCTTGCGTTCGGTCGTACGGGCTTCGTGGTGTCCCGGTCTCGTCTGCCCTAGCTTCAGAGGCTAGAGGAGCAAGGGTGGTAGTCAGTGGTGCGAGGCGAAGGTCGGAGAGATTGGTTGTTGACCGCTTGGCTCGAGAGCGAGAGGACGAACGGGGTGTGCGACTGCCTGTGGACTTGCAGCCAATCAGTCATCATGCAGCCGAGTCAGCTCATGATAAACTCACCGACATGGCGTTGCTTTCATATATCAGTATTCGTTGACATAGGTAGCATTGCTGTCCCAGAAGTTGGGAGACGAGATGCAATAATGCACCCCAGATTCTACACTCACCTCACCCCACACCTCGGGGACGACATGTGACAGTGCACGGACGGGAGAAACCACTAGCGTCATGTATTATACATAGCTAAGTATCTCTCTTCCTCAACAAGACGTCGAAACCATCCTGCTTGACAGCCCAAGCGTTGTGCACTCTCCACTGCTTGTCCGGCTGTGCAAGCTTGATCTCGTACCTCAACAACAACGCAGGTACGACCTTCAACAGCTCAAGCATTGCAATGTTCCGTCCCAAACACGTCCTCTTGCCCGCTCCGAAGGACAAAACATGCTGATCCATGTACTTCACTTCCTCCTTGTCATCGCCTAGCCATCTGTCAGGTCGCCACTCTTCAGCGTCCTGGCCAAAGACTCGCGGGTCGCGTTGAAGTACCCATGGGTTGATGCCAACGACAGTGCCTGGCGCGAGAAAGACGTCGCCGATTTGCAGTCCAGAAGCTGGGACTATACGCTCCATCGGCAGTGCCAGTGCTGGATTGAGGCGAAGAGCTTCTTTAATTACGGCATTGAGGTAAGGTAGTGCTTGGACTTCTGTCCAGGTAGGAAGAGGCGAGGAGAGTTTGCCTGTTTCCTGCGCTTTCGTGAGCTCACCGACGAGCTTCTGTAACGATTGCGGTGATTTGAGGAGGTAGTAGAATACTGCTCGTAGTGTGCTGCCGATTGTGTCACTCCCAGCATTGATGTTAGCGAAGAGGTAGACCAGTACTTGTCGGTCTGTGACAACATCCGGTTGTTCTTTCTGTAGCTGTAGGAAGCGGGAGAGAAAGTCTGGTTTGGTCGGCATCGTGCCATGCAACACCTTAGCTTTCAAGTCTGGATCGGGAATGTCGATCTCGGATCCCTTCTCCTCGTTATCGTCTTCCATGCGCTCCTGCACTCGCCTCTGTCCAAATGACACAATCGGCGACGAGACTGGTTTGGCAAAGAAGCGCAAATAGATAGGGTTCTTGTAAGTAACAAGGTCCAGCCACGGCATCTGTCCCAGCACGGAACAACGATCAAAATTTGCTGCCACAGACGCCGTGATACCCTCCACGTCTTCGGCCCTCTCGAGAAATCCCAGACGTTTGCTGAAAGTAAGCTCACCGATGACATCAAAGGCGAACCACTGTAGCCATGTCCCAAGATCGAAGACCTTGCCCGTCTCAGCAAAGAGCTCGTCCAGCCTCGTCAAGAAGACAGCAGTAGTGGAGTCAATTAAAGGCTCGAACTCTACCAACGTGCTCAAAGCAAATGCACCAGCAACAGGTCTTCTTAGCATAGCATGTTGCTGCTCATCTGTCGTGAAGACCAGCGAAGGCGATCGCTTGCCGTTGATCATGTTTTGCCACACAGCATAGAAGTCTGACTTGACATAGCCCTTCTGTATCCCATAGATGATGGGTATCATATCCGGCTTGCAGATACTGATGCAATTTGGTCCGATGCGGAGGAGGTCACCATGTTTCTTGTGCAATTTGAGGTAGGTGTCGTGGGAGTCTCGCCGCCATACTACTAGGAGTCGCCAGAGGTCGGTGAACTTGGCTAGGATGGGGCCGGGAACGTCGCGGTGTTTGGCGAAGGTCCAGGTTATTTGGTAGAAGATGGCGAGGAGGATGAAGGCTCGGAGGAATAGCCAGATGAATTCGTGGGAAAACATGGTCGCGGGCGCGGTCCTTGCTCTAGGCTGTGGACAGTGCCTGGCCCTTCGCCACTATATGCCAACTAATCTGATCCGAGGATTTCAAAAGCGGTGGTTGTCCTAAGGTAGATGGAACCTGATGAGGGTATTGTCGTTGCTGCGACGGATCGTGATCTTTCGCCACACATCTAAATCTCGGCGCCGTGACGAGGAACCCACAAACAAGAGGAAGCACGAAAGAGATAAACTTGCCTCGAGGTATATGTCGGACTACAATTATTCATTTCTATAGGTGTGCTCTCGTCTTGCCTCCAGCGCTGGGAGAGATGCGCGCATCTGAACCTCCACTTCCACCACCACCACCACCCACAGCGGCACGATTCCGTCACAAGCAGAGGCCGAGCTTCACACACACGCACGCTTGCGGCTTTGTCTTACATCCTCGATCCCTTCACGACACCACATTCACGATCAACCCAAGGCACGCTCCGAAATTCACTTTGAAGGGCTACGGGGGCCGCGATGAACAGTATCCTCTCCAACAACCCGCTGGCCGCTCCCCACCTTCTCGCCGGCCGATATTCTCCTTCCTCGTACGGTACGCGGCACTATGCCAGACTCGGCGAGGACGACCACAGCTTGGGATTCAGAGCTAACACACCATATCGTCATCTAGACTCCCTATCCACACCCACCATGTCGAATCGAAAACGAAAGGCTTCCGAAGAGCCCGATCAGGACCGCATGTCCACCTCGCCTGTACCCTCTCCGTCCTTCTCTAGCCGACCACTACCAAGCTCGAACACACCACGGAGTCTCAAGCGAACACGGACTGGGGCAGCAGTAGGCAAACCGTTATCGCTGCCTAGACTTCTAGAGACACTTTCGGCAGCAGACATGAGGCAGCTACTGCAAAACGTGGCCGACCAGCACCCTGAACTCCAGCAAGAGATTGTCACGCAAGCACCACGACCATCAATAGAATCCACACTATCCGTCCTACGCACATACGAAGACGACTTCCGGAAAGCCTTCCCACTAGGCAACCGCCCGACATCCGACTACTCCTACAACCGCGTACACCAGCACCTAAAACACCTGATAGAAGCAATGCGAGACTACACCCCACACTTCCTCCCACCGCAAGAAACGCAAACACTGTCCTCCCTCAACTACCTCGACTCCGTCACAACCATCATCCACAACCTCCCAGACTGGGACAGCTACCAACACCAACGGCACAAGAACGAAGCATACGATGAGATCAGCAAGGCCTGGGCGTTGGTGATACGGGAGGCGTCAAAGAGGGCAGGTGGATTTCATTTGCAGTTTGGAGAGTGGGATCAGAAGCTACATGAGCATAATTCGAAGAGTAGTGGGAAGTTGGAGGAGGTGGTGCATGAGCTGCAGGCTGCGCTGGGGTTCATGCAGGCCGGGGGAGGACATACACCACCGGGTGTCTCGGACGAGAGGATGAATATTAGGAATCAACTGTTCAGTGGGAACTTTCAGCAGTTGGGTGTTGGGCACGGACATTGGTGCTAAAGGACAGGAGCGTGCGGATGTCGAAGGGTTTGCCACCGTCAAGCGGTGATGCTATGGCCAATCGAGTGAGGACATGAAAGCACAGACAGTCAAGGTTTACACTGAGTTCATTTGTCCGCATGGGTTGGCATTCGTAGGTTTCATGCAAGGTGCTGGTGGAGTTTTTGATAAAAAGGGCAGACTGCAAAGACTTTCGCATGGATCTTCCGTACGGTGGCGATGGTACAGTATACCAGGCGTAGTCGATTATGGGCTGAACTGATGGAAGTACAACTCACTTCCCAACATCTCGTACCTTCCTCATCTACGTGCTGCATCGTAAGACACGCGAGCGCCTAGGCACGTGCCGTTGGGATCGAGGTAGGTCGCGCCTTCCTCATTCTACTGACCCTCACAGCTCAAGTGGATACCTAATTTCGAAGGTCGTTTTGACAATATCTCTCGACACTTTCACTCCTTCTACGCAACACACCACATCCATCATCGACAAATCGCGAAAGATCGCCGCTATGGCTATCCACCCCGATTACCCGGGGCTGGAGGTCACCGTGGACGTCGGATACAGTCCATTGCTCGAGTACCGTGATGGCGAGACAGAAGACATTGGTGCTGAGTGCACCAACTACGTCGAAGCAGTCTCAGGCGCAGAGTACGGCTTTGCCCTGCGAATTGACCCAAGCATTTTCCCTCACGCCAATCGCCACCTTCTCGTCAAGTTCTTCGCGGACGGTCGCTGGATTAAGACAAAAGACTTTACCTCGGAGATGATCAAGGAGCGCCCGGCGTTGAAGAGAAGCATCTATCATGGCAAGTACGAAAGGAGGCCACGCGGTGCCGTCACACGTCCATTGCTATTTTCCGACCTACAGATGAGTGAGTACCGCTTGTCGTGGTGCGCTTAGCAGATTATTGACAACTATACAGCTGAAGATGATGCCACTGACAAGTGGGGCAATCTGAAGGAACTCGGTACCATCCGAGCGGAGTGCTACACCGCCAGGTACAAATTTAGGCCAGAAGATTATGGCAACCCAGGCATTCGTAGCCACAATATCCCCAGCGACCGGTCCGTGAGGCGACAAGGCTCCAAGCTGCCGCAATATGTCGTGGACGACGTCGGGAACAGGCCGTACTCGACCATCGAAGGTGGCAAAATTCCCGAGAAATGTCTGAAGGGCCAGGCAGTCAGTCACCAGACGACGTAAGACTATGCCACCATCATCCTTTGAGTGACCTAGTGTTTGACTGATGCTTGACAGATACGGGAGAGGCATCCCGCAGCCGCCACCACTTCCCTTCACTCACCGCCTCATCCCCAATGGCATGCCATTTGCACACTTCGTCTTCAGGTATCGCTCGCACGGTAAGTTGGTGCTACGTCGGAGAAGATCAGGATCCAGCTAACGGTCATCAGCTGCTTTGCGTTCTCTGCTTGTGCTGCCGAGGAGTCCATCACCACCCCCACCCGAGGATCCGGTGATGGAGGACTGGGACGTCAAGGAAGTACTTCCCTTCGAGATGCACCGCGCTGTAAGCTTATTGCACATTACATGGGACTACTCGGAGCTAATGAGGAATTGCTAGGTCAACCCGCTCAAGGGTGAGCGCAAGCGCGACCTTGTCGCGGTGGAAGCTGATGACGATGGCAGCGAAGCCAGCGAGGAGCTGAATTGGGAGGACTATCAGCGCAAGAGGGCACGCTTGATTGGAGAAGCGGAGGTGGTACAGCTGGATTGAGTCTGATGATAGCATGGAGCGGTCATGGCGATGCTTACGCCAGCCAGAGGAGGTTTAGCTGACTCTGACGTGCAACAATGGATGGAAGGCAGAGAGAGAACATACAACGCCTGTCTATGCTTAATGTACGACAACCATGTACAATAGCTGCCAAGCCTAGTAGCCGACTGCGATGAAAGTTGCACGCATCTGCAAAGTTTCTCTTGCTCCTGGTTCCGACGCTACAGCATTCTGACACCTATGCCATCATGGTAGCGAGATCTTGCTGAGCTACCTTCCATTCCTTGCTACAGGGCTATCGTCATTCTTTCTGCTTATCCTGCCCGCAAGCACAATGTCAATTCACACCTGTATCCCCTCAACCCCCAACCCCTTCACAAAGTCTCTGAAGTCTCGCCGAAACTTCGTCTTCTCCTCCAGCGCAGCGAAGTGTCCACTCTTCTCATAGACGATCAACTTCGCACCTGGGATGTTCGCCACTATCTCCTCACTACTCGACACGGGATTAATCCAGTCATATCTACCAACATAGACCAAAGTCGGCACCTTGATCTCGTGCAAACGATCCCGCAGATCGTACCGAGACAGACAGTCTCCCATCGCCGCATTAATAGTCTCGTAAAGTGGCGCCAGTATCGTAGGCATGATGGCATCCAGATCAAACTCAGACTGTGCCTTGAGCTCTGCAGGCGCAGCGAACAATGGTGCGACAGCCGCGAAGCCAGTGAGCAGATCCTCTTGACTTGTTGCCCGGCCACTGGACATCCGTAGGAGTTGTTCGGGGTCTGCTTGGCACCCGAGGATCAGTGAGGACTGTCTTCATCGTATTGTAGGCTGCCCAGTGGGCCATTTGGGCTGCGCTGTCGCCGATGATAATGGCGTGGAGATGGTGTTAGTAGGCGAGGGCGTATTCGAGGGTGATGAAGCCGCCGTGGGAACCGCCTGTCATGACCATCTTTTCCGCGCCTGCCCATTGCCTGTAAGTAGAGCAGTCAGCATGACAGTGGGAATCCTGTGTCTATGGAGATAACGAATCGATCATACCTCAACTCATCGACATCCTGAGCCCAACGTGCGTGGGTCTAGGGCCCTTTCTTGTCACTTTGGCCACTTCCTCGTATATCGAAAAGCAGTACTCTGAAGATGTCGGCAAAGCAGGCTAGAGCAGCTTCCGGTTCTTTGTAGGTAGACATCCCAGGAGAGCCGTGGTTCGCTATTAAGAGAGGTTTCGCTGGCTCGTCGCCCAAAAGCATGACTTTTAGCACACAGCCATCGGACAGCGTGACGTCTTGTAAACTGGAAGACATGTTCGGCGATGACTTTGAGATGAGGCCAGTAGAGCGGAGTGAAGTCCGGCGAGGCTCTCGGTGGCCTTGAGCGGTACTTGTACGTCTTGACGTGTAGACAAGTCTGTGATCTTGACGGAGCAAGCAGTCGATGATATCCAGATCAGGAAGTCAGTCGAGCTTAGTCAGCTGACAGGCGAGATGAAGCGAAGACTGAGGCGACTTGGACTAGACGAGTAAAGCTAATGTGATTCCTCATAGGCGTGTGAAGATGTGCATGGCCTGAGATTGATGTATCATGGCGGAGGCTAGGAAGCGTTCTAAGCTGCAGAAGCATATTTGTGACGAGCCATGTCCTCAGATACTCGTTCTCGGTGCCGCGTTCGTCCTGCGTGACGGAGCTGTCTAGCCTCAACGGATGCGTGAGGTCGTGAGCGGCCTCGTGTGTCCTGCTGGCCTGCATGATGCAACGGATCTCCGTGTAGTTGTCCAGGATCGATCTCGACGTAGATGTGTCGAAGCCATCTCTCTTCCAGATGCTCGCAGATAAGAGCATCGTTGCTGCTTCATCGCGCGAGTGTGATCAGACACTCTCTCTCCTGGTCGACCACGACACCGTCCAGAGTCGCGCTTCAGTGCCGGCCGTTGCCGACTCAAGCAGCCATAAAGTTGACATAGCCCAATCTGTGATCGTTACGCTTCTCACTTTGCTCCACCAGTCGACCGAATACAAAGTAGAAGAATGTCAGCAAGCTGATCAAGGCTAAGAAGCTGAGCACGTTTTCGGTGTCCACGGTCAGGTGGTATTGGTATGTCAATGTAAGGCTTTCTGGTTCCATGAGGTCGTAGCCAAGGTGAGTGCTCGAAAGGGACTTGTTATACTTGCGTTTGCGGGCTGATCTTGGTAATATATTTCGAGCAGGAACAGGCATCTTAGTCCTCTAAGAGGAGCTGGAATACTTATCAGGCCTCTCTTCGGAGCTTCGGGCGGTGCTATAGGCACGAGGCTAGACATGCAGTAGCCTAGAAGCGCCGCCAACAAGCTCCTCGCGTGTCAAAAAGTATGGCGCTGCAGTGCTTGACCGCCTTGTTCCATCTATGGCTGTGCTTCAGTCTTGTGATGCTCTACCTGCTCCCACGACCTCAGCAGGAGAAGGTACGGCGTTGATATAGTCGTCAACATGAAGAGTTGTGCAACATCGACTTCTCAATTGACAGCAGTCGACAAGCCATGGGTGCAAGGCTGTACTTTACCTTACCAAAAGTAGACAGTGAAGCTGCGACCATTCTGGAAGCAAAGGCAAAGAGACTTCGAGGTCAGCCTTGGCGGTGCCACCTCACCTTGGCCCAAAAAAAGCTTGAGAAGCTCACGTCCTTTTCTTTCTACTGCTTGCGAGACCACCCATGCTGCGGGATATCGTGTTCACAACCAGCTTGGAAGACACAAAAGTGGTATTTGTCCGGTTCCGCAGCGATCCGAGTGGAGGTTCCCAAAAATAGATTCCAGCCTCACAGCTTGTCGTCTGGTCTTTTCGAGAGACGTTGCGATCGCAGCACAACTCAGCATCGAGATATCCACAAGCCATCATTGCCATCGAATAAGCCAGCGATACCCCGTTATCATCGCCTTGTACAGGATACGCGCCGATCGGTAGGGTGGTTTGAAGGTAGACCTCGAAAGATGCAAAGGATGAAAGATGCGCTGCTTGTAGAACACGAAGGAGATGTACACGCAAGCGGGAGAGCAGGATCGTGTACGCGTTGGTAGAGCATATATCAAGAGTAGTCGAAGACAAGATCCTATCTCAGCCACGAGGTCTCACGACCTCAGCGCATCCGGCATACTTCATTTTCAGTCCTGCACCGTTCTGGTGGGAAGTAGCAGACATTGACGGGCATGATCGCCTAACGCTGACCAGAAGTGTGATGAAGAGTACCGAAGGACAACACAGCTGCCTCATGTTCATGCTGGTTGAGTCTGGGAGCTGGATACATCGATCAAGTTGCGGCTAGCCAACACGGTGCTCACGTCCCAGGGAGTCATCTCGAAACTGGTAGCAGCAGGTCTCCTAGTGCTATCATCCGGTGGGTTCCTTACGATCAGATCTTTCGCCTAGGCCTGTGCCCTCGAAATCATCTGTCTTGTAAAGCATCCGCATTGTCTGGGATATCAGCCACTCGACAAATCTTGCACATTGATCACCGCCCGCTTCCACAGAGTTGCCGTGTTTTTCTTCGCCCCAGGCAATCTACTATGTGCTGCACTCCATAGGGGCAGAAGTGGTCCGAGACTGTAGCCGTGGCCAGAGACACCGCCTGACGGACATGCTCTCGGCCAAGCAGTCGTCTAGGGCGCGATTCCCATGGCCCCGGAGGTGCAGACCTGCTGATGGAAGCCATACTGGTTGCGCGATCTTACAACGGTGGTTCGATCATGTTGAACGGTCCTAGGACCGCAGCATCCGCCTGTCGCCTTTGCCATGCCAGATCGCCTGCTGCAGCGCGACGTGTTTGTGTGTTCGATCTTTTGGAGTTCACAACATGCCTTCAACTCTCAATCCTCTATGGTCGATGAGTGTGTGCTGAGGATATATGGGAGGATCTCGGGTGAAAGCTCTTTCTGCTAGCATCGGGTACTGTTGATGCCACTTTGGTCCGTGGAGCTTTCCGCGAAGGACATCTCGTCGCGTTGCGCATATCGCGTGAAGGTGTGGTATCTGCCATGATAGCTCAGGCTGCTGGTGTCATGGTCGAGCGGCGCAAGGACACGGCGCAAGGACAGTTCGAGGTCGCCGAAGTCACTGTGTATCTTTGGACCGTGATGGCCGTTCAACCTCTTCGGGATCGTCGTGTGGCTATTGCTATGTTGTCAGCGAATATTGCTTCAATGAGCAGGGCGATAAGTCAAGGCCTGTTCTCCTGGGTGTTTTGGACTCGATCTCGTCGCCGGAGTGTCGTTGTTGGGGAAAGATTGTTCGAGGTGGGAAGATGAGAAGTCCTCGAGCGACGGAAAACGGACCACCAGCATCTGCTTGCCACCATGAGCCGCAATATTCATCGGCATTGGAGTTATGATACCGTTGCAAAACAATATCGTTCGATCAACGCCCTCAATGTCCAGGCTACCCTGGCCGTAACAAGCTGTAGAAGGAGAAAAAGACAAAAGATTGAGAAATCTCGTCCTTGTCGGCTCTAACGATCACCCTGTGGGTAGGCTCTGAATTGCACAGCATTGTATTTTCGCTGCCCACCACCAACTGCCAGGAATAAGGAAAGGGGGAGAGGGAAAGGAAAGGGGAGAAGGGAAAGAGGAGAAAGGGAAGAGAGGGGGACCTATGTACCTTAATGGTGTATTTTAACGACATTTCGGTCGATACCCAACCCGAACCGACCGCCGCTGCCACTGCCACTGCCACTGCCACTGCCACTGCAAGATAAAGAAACGAACTTACGTACCTATTGATGGTAGTTTAACGACTTTTCGGTCGATACAACAAGATGGGCCCGGGCTGGAGTCGAACCAGCATCGCCTCGAGAAAGATCGTAATGAATACAATAAGTCGAGACAGTTTACCCAACACTACCGGGCCGATAGTTTGGACGTGTTTGATGCTGGAGAATGTCAATTTGACCAACATATCCCTTGTTCTGGTTCCGCCGAAGATTTCCCTCGCAGGGCGGCGACGGCGGCGATGGAGATGATACATGTCAGAAAATTGGTTGCTGAAGATCAGACCGCCCATCTCAACAAGCTCATATGATTTTCATGGTCATTTATCGTGATCTGATCGATCTATAGCATTGCGAGGCTGGTGTTGTTTGTTTCTGATCCGCGTACCAAGAGCGTGAAACTTCAGCCCAAGGCCGCTCTCAAGAGAGGAGCAAGGACATCGTAAATCATGCAGATCTTTGCGGAGGATCAGATGAACCTTCTCAACAAGCTCGTATGACTTTTACTGTGTCTTGCCATGATATGAACAATTAGCAGTATTGCGAGGTTGGGTTCGAGCGAGCGCGTTATGATAGCGACGGCAAATCGAAATATCGACGGAACAGCCACTCACGTCCATGACATGGCAGATGTGACCGTTCGTGGAGTATCAGATAGGCACTACCATCGATCTCGAATGCTCCTTGCACTGTAGTAGCATGTCGTCGACAATCTGTAAGACTGCAAGGCTGTTGGTACTTGCCCCTGAGCCGCTCCTTCACAAAGTCGAAGCACGGGCTGGCCGTCAGTGATGGCCCTACCACACTTCATGCGATGCTCTTGCTTTTGCAACATGCTTGCCCTGCTTCGGAAGAGAATAAAGTGTGGTTCGATGCGATATACGAGTCGATCACAGCATATATTGCCCGTACAGCCTCCGCCGGGGCCTCGAGATGAAGCAGTAGCGAGTCTGACTTGATTTTCCGCCGCGCTCGAGACCGACTCACCGATCGCCGCGACGATAATAACGATCCGCGACCCACCGACCCCCTCAGCCTTGATTATGCCCCCCTACACGACAGCAGACCGCTCGAGATGCACTGTTGCGACACTTATACCATCCTCGACGACCGCCTCCCTTTCACCAATCCGCCGAGCAGCATTTGCCACACCGCCTTGCACCCGAGCATCTTTTACACAGCAGGGCGGTGGCATCGATATCAGGCTTTGAGAGCAAGAGCTGGGTACCACGAGGAAGACCGGAGAAGGAAGAGGAGGATTAATGAGGTCGAACACAACATCCATCCTCCTGCAAGGGACGCCAATCCCTTGCTTCGGCTTCATCGCGGCGATCTGTAGGACTGGCCTGACGGTGCTATCGAGCAAAGCAATGTCCATGCCTCTAGACTGCGTTGCTTCGACGCGCTACTCGACATCCGAAGCGCTTGGCCTCCACAGTTTTGACATCGCATCCACCTCCGATCAACCTGCTCAGAAGATCTTGTCCACCAGAAAAACGCCTCGCTCGACAGCGACGCGAAACACGAGAGAATCTAGACTGCCGCATCGTGCAGATACCCTCCACGGCCTGTGTAGTGTAAGCACCGCAGAACCCATGTCACACTCGAGTAGCCTCTGAAACAAGCCCATACAAGTCTCGCATGTCGGCAGCTTGTCAGGACGAAGGTCGAATCGATGATATGATGGCATGAGCTTGCGGAAATCACACCAACGACTTGCTCTAATGCTTGAGCCCGAAATTGTTGTTCGCCACAATAGCAAGGTCATGGCATAGGACATCGATTGCAGAGACACAAGCAATAGCCAGGACGATCATGATTTCGGTATGCAGTGTATGAGGGCTCAGCACGCTTGGCTACTCGGCAGGCCCACGACCGCTTGTGCACTATGCGTGCTACCAGTCGAATATAGGGTGATACAGCCTCTGCATTGGACTCCGGTTCTTGTTAGATGTCGAACTTGTGTCTAGAAGGACAGAGCTGGATACCGCGCAATGTGGCCCTCACACCAGTCCCCAGGGCCTCGTACCAGCTTCCCAGGACAGAAGTTCTTCAACAAGATATGGTGCCTGGTGCTGCATCCTGAAGGTCGTCCACTGCCGCAGACTGAGGTGCTAGAACAGAGAGCTGTCGACGACCAGAACATGCCCTGCTCGACAGAGCCAGCTACTTCCAACGACTCTAGATGACCGCGTCTGTGTATGCGTACGCCCATGTTGTTATCCGCATACGTAGCCTGACTCACGTAGGCACACATCTTTGTGACATAGTCGAAGAGCATTGTCCATACAAATTTCGTCGAGATTTGCGGGCTGGAGGCAAGCTGGAAGCACAATCCGGTCGACAATGGTGGACTTGCTCGCCATACGACACAGCACCTGTCTGCTCTGATACGGATAGCCACATAAGATCCTTTGGCAGCGACTGTCATGCACTATCCGGTATACTCATACCGAGAAGAGTTCGAGAGCAGTGCGTGAGGACAGCATGCAGTGAACAGTGGTAGGCGGACGGGTGGTCTTGTCGCCCTCGCAGTTTCGGCATCCTGTTCAACGTATATCCGGTCGATCTTTCACACAGTACGTAACAGCACCTTCCAAGGACCGTACGCTTGTAGACAGCCAATATAGCAACAGTAGCAAGTACATGACAAGATGCTGGACGACAGACGCCGTCTTCTCGAATCTCTGGCCTCTAACCGGCCTGCCCGGATATTGCTTGGCAAAAACAGGAAGTACTTGGTGGGGGAATGGGTTTCAATGTGGGCATCTTGATCCAATGGCCAGGCGCCACTTGGACTGCTCTGAAGAAGGTGAACAGTCAAGTGGAAGGGTTTCTAATTGTGATCCGGCGAGACTGACCGAGACCTGGCATACGGTATACCAGCGGGCTGAACAAGCTCTCCGCCATCAACATCTCAGGGGCTATCATAATTAATGGAGCTGGCACATGGTACCACCGTATCATGGTGGATGCAATTGGGTATGGGATGTGTGGCATTGCTTGATGCTATATCTTACCCTGCTGCCGCCGCCATGTCGCTGGCATATGCCCCGGTGCCATCCAGTATCCTGCCGCCGCCATGGGGATGCGGTCTTGCTCGTCCTGTCTCCACCCTTCGTTGTCGTCGTCGCCACCACCTCGTCTCACAGTCATCCTCCACGTCCCAGCAAACATCACCTTCCTCAGTACTGGCAGCATCAGCCTACTCAATCGTCCCACGTGCTCTATCTTCACCACGAACTCGAACTCGTTGCCGAAGCAAAAGGCTCTTCCTGCCTCCTTGCGGAGTTGCTTGTTGACCTGCAGGAGGTCTGGTATCATGGACGGTCCATATGTTTGGACCTTGATGATCTGGTCGGCGAGGAGGACGTGCTCGTAGATGCGGTTGCGGAGCTCGGCGGGTAGGGAGAAGCGTCCAGTGGTAGTGGCCATGTTGGCGCCGTGTTGCGTTGATTGGCGCTGCGGTGATCTTGTTGTGTGCTTGCGGGGTTTCGCGAGATGGTGCTTGCTGCTGCTGAGGTCATGCGTCAGTGTCACAGAACGGCGACAGGGCTACTGCGATAGCATATGGGGTGGCGGTGAGGTCGACAGCGATACCTAACAGGAGGTCGCTGCGCCGTCGCCACGCTGGTGCATTCAAGAGGAAAAGTGCACGCCCGCCGTCTCGAGATGCGAAAGGAAATGAGGCACAGAGGGCTCACACGTCGAGCTCTCCAGCTCTATCACAAACCTTGGTATGCTTGTGGTGATGTATGTCCCTGTAGTAACTTGATATTGCTGTGCTATAGCAGGGAATGAGACGATGTGGCTCGCTGACAGGTCATAGGTATTTGCTTGCTGGCATACATACAGCCCGCTGAGCCCAAAGCGCCAGGAGTCGACCCGGAGGTGCCTTCCCAGGACCCCTCAACTCCGCCGTTCCAGAATGGAGAGGCTACATCTACTTTACCGCAACTCTCCTTTCTTCCTCATTCTCTCTCTTCTTTCGAGAAACGACAAAATGGCGGATGGTAAGTCATATCCCCTGAGCCCCTTTCCCACAAGCATTGCCCATTATCATACCACTGGAGGCCTACACGCTTGCCTCCCGGACCACAGCCTCAGCGAGACGAAAGCAATGCCAGCGACGACGATCTACCCCTTGCTACAGGTGGCGAGACACGCCTTTATTTCTATCCATTTGAGGGCATCTACGCTTTTCCGTCACTCAACGAACAGACAAAGACACCACACATCGTCGATCCAGTTCACCAAGCACCTCATCTCCTTTCCTTGTTTCGTCCCCAGGGCAACTTGCGGGATCAGACTAGGATTCTGCATCACATCTACAGCCTCTCATCGTACCTTCCTCACTTTCACTTCAAGAGGGAACTGCGGGAGCTAGTAGCACTGACCAGCCACAACAAAACAGAAAATCCTGCCTCGGAGAACCCTGAGAGAGTATTCTTCACATTCGACCTCGACAACCCCGACAACCCCTTCGTTACACATCACATTGAAAATAGACTGCCGTCACCGCCGCCAGATCCACCATCGGCTTCAACAGAGTCACCATCGTCATCAGAGCCTCTCTCATCTCCATCAGAGCCGCCCTCATCTCCGTCAGAGCCTCCCTCATCTCCGTCAGAGCCTCACTCATCACCATCAGAGCCGCCGTCTCCTGCACCAAACATGGATCCAGAAGTCGCTCGCATGATGGCTGATCTTGGCGTTGAGCGCCGTGACTACGTCTCTGCTCCTGAGTTTGACAGGGGCCAGACCATGCACGAGAACCCTACCATCGCACAGGAGTACGAAGCACGCCGTGACCGTATCATTAACAATGCTCCTGAAGAGAATGAGGAAGCGAAATTTCTGCGTAATTGGAACAGTGAGTACTCACTCCCTCACTTCGAGCTGGTACTTCAGCTGATTGCAGACAGACCGTGCATTGTTCGAGCGTGATGAGCTCGCCGAGAATCTCCAAGACCGCTACAGTGGACAGGCCCATCGTGAAGCACTCAAGGCCGCGGTCGCCAACGGCAGATACGAGCACGTGGATGATGAGCGCCGCCCTCGCAGATACGTCACATCCAACGCACCAAACCACAACAGCTTTTCGAGTGACTTCGAGCCTCGCTCGTTCGCTAACAGCAATCACGCTGGCAAGAGTGGTGGACACGATGGCATGCGTGGGCGCTCCGCCATGAAGACCGCACCCAACCCCATTTGTGCCCCATCTCCACGTGCGCAAGGCCGCCTACGCTTCATTCACGGTCAGCGTGTTGACGTTGCCACTATGAACGGCACCGCTGGTGCTCTTCCGCCCGCACCCAAGGCACCTGCCGCTGCACGCACCCTCAGCAATGCCACAAGCACGGCTACACGCAGTCTTCCTGCCGTCCTCACTGCATCTACAGTTCCGCAGCCCGCTCTCACCTTCACCGAGGAGATCGCTCTAACGGCCAAGAAGCATCGCGCCGACTGGTACGCCTTCAATCCTGGAACGGAAAGCGATGACTACTACAAGAAGAATCCTGACGAGAAAGCCCTACTCCGTGCAGCCTACATCCAGTGCATTAAGGACGCTCTCATCGCTGCCAAAATTCCAGACAGCGACGCTGCTGCCGTCGTGCGTGGTAAGAGCGAGAAGCGTGCCTGGATGCTGAAGGAAGCTGTCAAAGCTAAGGCTTGGATCGAGAACAACCAGGTGGCGGAGGCCAATGAGTATTACACTGCTCACCCACAGAAGATCGACTTCTACAAGGCTGCCAAGGTCAATTTCAAGCCGAAGGTCAACGATACCACTGCTGCACAGGTCGAGGCACTCGGCGATGCTTTGAAGTCGACCACGCTCAATACAGCCGCGACTATGTCGTCTTCCGCTGTCCAGGCTCTCGTCTTGGAGGACGTCAACATCAATAGCGTGGCTCAGAAGGATGCTACCACCGTCCCTGCTTCAAAGCCCGCCGTGGCTAATAATGCTGCTTCCTTGGCTGGGCCATGCGTCCCTCCTACTGGCGGTACTGGCACTCTCGTAGCGAAGCCGACCTCTCCAAGTCGCGTCATTCTTTCTGCAGTCTCAAAGAAGGCTGCCAGTGGACACCTCGTCACCACGAAGCCCGCCATCATCGAGCACGGGACAGCTAATGATGGCTTTGTCGAGACCTCCAATGGCGTGAAGGACTCAACTACTGCTCCAACTACCATCGGTGGCGTCATCCTGGGCACCTTCCCAGGTGACCGCCCCGCTCTTACCATCGCCGCCGCTAGTCCTCCAACCCAGCAAAAGGAGAACAATGGGGGCGTGCTCGGCTATCTCAACGCCTGCATCCGCGATGCCCTCGGCAATCTAATGAGCAAGCACACTTGGCCGATCAATAACCAAGACAATATGGACGTCAACGCTGTCGCCTCTCCCCAGGGTCTCAACCCACGTAATATCATCTCGTCCATGGAGAGTCTGGCCGAGAACTTGCGCAAGATCAGTGCCAATGCCAACGCGCAGGCCTCTGCTGACGCTGCCAAGGCGGCCTCTGAGAGTATCGAGGGGTTCAAGGATGGTGGGAAGACTGGGTACCAGGGGTTTGAGGCTGAGATCATGAACAAGGAGAGTGACTATGGTGTCCCTTACGGCTTGCAACGTGTGATGGAGATCATGCCTGATGAGGATGGACTTTTTGACGAGTGAATTGATGACCTGATATGGCTGTGAAGGAGATACAGCGGGAGGGATTCTTGGATCGCCTATGTGACGTGTGTCGCCGCCGAGATGCTATCAAAGTTGCTCCTACGCAATCTGTTGGTACAATTGCTAGTACGCAAGATGTACCTACAATGAAGAATGAAATTGCATGTCATAAGCCCTTGTCTCAGTGCTTCCTTTTGTTTACATTTCCGCTGCCTCATGGCATTGCCGTGCCGTCCTAGAGACCACTCGGAAGGCCGTGCCGTGTCAGTGTCGTGGACCTTGGTTGACGCTCGCTTGTCTCATCTCGTACACCTCACGAAGGTCCGTAAACTTCCAAACATCCACCCGGGCGGCATCATCTACTAAGATCACTTAACCCGAAGATATCGCCTGTTGCTTTCTGCAAGCTGTGCGCTACGGTGGCAGTTGCATCGTTGTCGAACTTCTCGTGTCCGCAGGAATACGGCACGAGAGATTTCCCTGTAGTGTTTGGCCGTCGAGTGCGGTCTTCAGACATACTCTACAAAGTGCGAGATGAGCTGTCTCAAGTCAACGATGACAATTGTGCTCCTATTCTGCCCGAGAGGTAGCATGCAGCACTCTCGCACACACGCGCTCTCTCTATTCGCTACAAATCCCTGTGGAGCCTTCGCTGTCGCCGCACTACTAAACTTACCTCTCATCAAAGTGCGTCGCACCAGCAATCTACTTGTACGACCCAAGTGCCTTCTTGAATGCATCCTGCCCAGCCCAAGACGAGACTCCTGGCTCTCCAGAAACTCACGCTTATGCGTAGTCTCTTCTGCTTCACCAGCCAGATAGCCGACTTCCTGGTCCGACATATCATTGATCATGAGAGGCGAGAGAGTGTCTTCGGGAAGCTCAGCGAGGAGGTGGCGCTCGACGACTTGCTTGGTGGTGTTCGCGATGAAGATCTTGACTTCGTCCTATGAAGTGTGTCAGTAATTTCAATGCTATAGGCGGGAGGTGAGAAAGACGACATACCTTATAGTACGCCAGCTGACTGTCCAGCGCATCCTCCGCCGCACTCTGATTCATGTTCGGATCCATGAGCTCTTTGTGCCGTTCTGCAGCACCTCGGGATTGACGCACGCATTCTGCTCGCCGCCAGCGCCGAAGGGCATCGCCACCTTGGCACGATCCATAAGTGCCTTGAATCTGGATGTCGTCTTGCGTGTTCTAGCCTCCTGGACAGTAGCAGTGTACCTAGTATCATACGTGCTGGGCATAACCTGCTTATCAACGATAATCGTGCCGAGCTCCTGTATCGCACTGTCGAGGCGCTCCTTCAAAGCAGCATCGAGCTTGAGCTGCTTGAGAAGACGAGCGATCTCCTCGATGACGACCTTGTCCATAGCAGCGTAGACGAATGTGCGGCACAGAACATGGATCCGGTTGATATGTGCCATGGCCAACTCCTCCCAATGCTTGGATTGCCCCGAACAGCTGAGACATCAGAAGCGGGTTGAAGTTGCCTGGCAGCTCTCGACCACGAGTACGGACGAGAAGCTCCTTGACCCACTCCACGGTGTCCTTGCGGGACATTGAACGCTGTAGAGACTTTGCTTCGGCATATTCGTCCATGAGGTCTGGCTCCCTCTCATCCATAGTGTTTGGGCCAGAAGTGCCATCGCTTGATTGAACACGGAACTTGTGACCCCCCTGACGCATTTGCCCAGCGAATTGCAGGTTGAGATGTGGTACTGCTGCACGAAGACGACGCATATTGCCGGCGTCTTCGAAGCCTTTGGTCGTGTCAATGGAGCCGAAGAAGGGAAGAGCGTAATGACCCTCAGCTGCGCCATTGACTGTGGCTTGGTACTCCGTGGTGACGGCCATGAGGAAGCGCTTCTGCTCGGTAGCAGTAGAGCGCTTGAGGCCAAGATGCTGCAAGCCAGCCAGAGTCTGCTCGTACTTGCTGCTGAGATCGGTCTGGAGCTGCGGTAGTTCCTTCTTCAGGTGGCGATAGAGGAGTTGGGCGAGGCGCGTGCGCAGAGTAGTGATACCTTTGTTGTGTGCGGCGAGGTCACGGTACTTACCCTTGGCAAAGAATGCTTCTTCCGCCTTGTTACGCTGCTCTAACGAGCTGTCCATCTCATCCTCAGACCTGGTGTTGTCAGCAGACCGCATATAATATCACCATCACGAGACTGACCTCTTCTCCAGCATGTGCCAGCCGAGCTCAAAGTATATGTTCTTGTTCTGCGCGAGATTGACCCACAAGCTCTCGCTTGCAGCTGTCTTCAGGTAATCGGGCTTGGTAATGATGCCTAAAGTACGCTGACCTTCCTTGTCGACTTTCTGGCATTTCGTGATGATACCCTGGTTGGCGAAGTCGCTGTGAGTAGAAGTCAGATCCATCGTGCATATAAGTGGTGTAGCAGTAGCTGTCACTTAATTCTTGGCCGTCACGACTGCAAGAATGATCGTGCGGCTCTCGGAGACGTAATCATTAACCAGATCGTGGATGAGCGTGACGTCTTCAGCAGTCTGCTCATTGTTGGCGGACATGATTGAGCCAGGCAAGTCGACCAGCGTAAGCTGGAGACGGTTTGGTCCCGCGATCTCGATGCTAAGCACATCCCGGATGAAGGCTTTGGTGCCACGTCCTGTACCCGAGCCATCATTCAGACCCATGAGCTCAGTACATTCCTCAATCAGGTCCGGTAGATCATCGAAGTCGCTGATGGTCTTGGTGAAAGCCTCAAGCTTGACAATCTCCTTCTCCGTACGAGTCTTGTCTGGGATGATCTTGGTCTTGATTGAGTCCTTTGAGTCACGTCTCATCGCAATCTCAGTGGCGAACTACAAAGTATGGAATTAGCATAGCGCCAAGACCTAGAGGCAAGGAGACCCACCCTGGTACACAAATTCTCCTTCCTCGGAAACGGCACCTCAGTGATAGCTTCGAGCACTGAGCTCTTGCCAGAAGACTGGTCACCACAAACCACAATCTGTGGGAGCTGCAGAATGGTACCGAGTCCACATGTGCGAGGATTATCAACGACGTCCAAGACCTGGCGGTAGTCGCTGCTTTGGAGCTGGTCGAGCGAGGCTGTCAACAGACCTTCGCCGCCGCCATTGATGTCCTTAGTCTCGGTCCCGTCGTTGCTCATGTCGGCAGCGATCGTGTGGGCTTGCAATAGTGACACGAAAAGGAGTGTGCGCGAATGTGATGAAGCAGGAATCAAAAGAAAGATGTTTCGTTGAAGGTATGTCGAAGAGTGTCACGAAAGTGTCAATGGAACGGTACTCCCAAGAAAGATGTTGAGTGTATTGTACTTCGAGCCCGCGCAACGGAAGTGTAAGTGAAGCTTACAAACAGAGTGAGCGGCATCGTCGCACCTTCCGTTTTCTCTTGCTGCATTGACCTGCAAGATGATCCGAGCTTGTGTTGCATCTTGTAGAGCAAGACCAGGCCCTGGTTGTAGGAAGAAGAGGGATGGTGGCTACTACGAACATGTGTCCTTTCGATAAATCTACATGACTACATTGATGGGGTCGTGCTTTTGTGTATCAGCTTGTAGTCTCTTCATGCACCGCCATTAGCCCCCTTATACCCAACCTCCGTCAACCCGTCCTTCAGCGCCTTCAGCGCCCGATCAATATCATCCCTCTTCGGATCCGTAACACTGACACCCATATGTCCAAACCTCACATACTTGGTCGCAATCTCCTTATGCAGCCCACCAGCAAAAATGACACCCTTCTTCATCAGCGTAGGCAAGATCTCTGGAGGTGTCATGCCCTCTGGAAGGTAGATGGCAGTCATGCCATTAGCCTGGTTCTCGGGCTTGGAAGCCAGTTGTTTCAGTCCGAGATCCGCAATGGCTTTCTTGACTTTCTGGGAGGCTTCGCGGTGGATCTTGAAACGCTCTTCGAGCGGCTTTGACAGAATTTGCGAGAGTGAGGTGTGCAGAGCGTGGATGAGTTGAGGCGAAGGAGTGGCGAAGTATGAAGGCTTCTTGGCCTCATAATTCTGCATGATGGGCATCCAATTTTTCCAGCTCGCAAAGTACGTCGCTGGCGGTGTCTTTCTCGCCTTGAAACGCTCGATTGCACGGCCGGAAGTCATGACGATGGATAGACCGGCGGGACAACCGATGGCTTTCTGAGAGGCGGTGATGACGCAGTCGATACCCCAGTCATCGAAACGGATCTCTTCGCAGCCGACGGAGCAGACGCCATCGACGACTATGTGCGTATCTGGCGATACGCGTTGGACGAGCTTGGTGATGCCCTCGATTTCGCTGAGGACGCCGGTGGAGGTATCGGTGTGGGTAATGGTTATGAGCTTGTAGTTCTTCTCCTTTAGCGCCTTTTCTACTTCGTCTTGTTGCGGTCGGTCACCGATGGGTGCTTTCAGTTGTGTGACTTTTACTCCGTAGGCTTCGAAACAGTCTGCGAAGCTGTCGGCGAAGTAGCCTGTGTGGAGGACTAGCACTTCGTCACCTGGTTCGACCATGTTGGCCGCTACCTGGTCCCAGCCCAACGTGCCCGAGCCAGAAATGACGAAAGGTTGGCTCTTCGGGTCTGTCGTCTGGAAGAGTTTCCGTAGCATACTCAGTGTGTCGCCAAAGAGGTTCACGAAAGGCATGCCAACGTGGCTCTCCGAGTAGTGGCTCATAGCCTGAAGGACCTCATCATCGAACTCGATCGGGCCTGGAATCAGCAACGCTGGGTGAGGAGCCTGGTTCGACATCTTGATAGCAGCAGGCTTGTCTCTCTTTCCCTCTTCTCCTAACGAAACTTCTCGTGTCTCTGAAAACGATCTCGTCTGTTGTTGCTGGAGCGGATTCTGCGTAGCCTTTTGTATGGGAGTCCAGTCGAGGTCGTCGTTGGGACTGCTGTCGCGTTCGATGGAAAAGGGCGTGTTCAAGGGGACGTGGGCATTGGTGTTGAGGTGTCTCGAGATGAGACTCAAGCGATCTCGGGGAGCCAGCTTGACGATGGGAGACAGACCTCGACGTGGGGTCCGCAGTAGCCGTCGTAGTATCTGCGGGGCAGCCAGGTTGATCGATGACGTGGGAGATGTGCTGGTCTAGAAGTGTTATGCTTTGTGTCCGAATGTAATTCTCGAGCGTGTGCTAGCAGAGAATTGATCTTGGTAGGCAGGAGATTGAAATGGAAGAGCGATGGCGGAGATGCCGTCTGGATCAATTGTCATACATAAAGTGGCCCAAGCACCCCTGAAAAATAAAAAGCCAATGGGCTTGTGGAGATGGCGAGTCAACTGCTATGTATACCTACAATTGCAGGCTGACTCGCACGGAATCTGAGTGTCGACGAGTGGTGGTCTCGTCACAGTAATATGGACTCCCTATCCCACAGACTCGCCTCGCGGCATCATGTCTGACTGTACCTTGTTTGATGCGACTTTCAGCCCAGATGAAGCATTTATCCACATGCGCTAGGGACGGTCGTATCCGCAGAGCCTCGATAGAGCTATCTCGTGCCTACCGTTCCCGCATCTATCTCATGACTGACTGATTGCCAGGCCCAGAATTGTGTTTTCACAGCATACACAATGACCTCAAGATTAGTACTGGTCCTCGGCGACCTGTTCATACCCGACCGCGCAATCGTATGCTCACTTCCAGCCCAAAATGACCGCCGACCAGGCTGACGGCTGGGCTAGGACATACCAGCAAAGGTACACTTACCACAAATAACCACTACCACATGAACCGGACACCGCTGATGTGCTGTTGCAATAGTTCAAAAAACTCCTCACACCCGGCAAGATCGGCCAAATCCTGTGCTTGGGCAACCTCACCTCCCCCTCCGCCTACAACTTCCTCAAACAACTCGCACCCGACCTCCAGCTCGTCAAAGGCGACTTCGATATCCCCTTGAGCGCAGCAATACCGCAATCACAACAGAATGTCATGGGCGGTGCGGCACCGGAAAGCACGGGCTTTCCCATTCCAACCGCGTTGAGTAAGGTAGTCACACACGGCAGTCTACGAATAGGCTTCACCCACGGCGACTCAATCATCCCGCCCGGTGACCCAGATGCTTTGCTGATAGCAGCGCGACAAATGGACGTCGATGTGCTCTGTTGGGGCGGCACATGCAAGTTCGAGGCTTATGAGATGGAGGGCAAGTTCTTCATCAACCCTGGCTCTGCTACAGGAGCTGTGAGCTGGAACGATGAGACGATGGGGTCGGAAGAAAATGAGGAGGGTAATACGCCCAGTTTTGTGCTTATGGATGTGCAGGGTGATGTGTTGGTGTTGTATGTCTATCAGTTGAGGAAAGAGGAGAAGGGCCAGGAGACGGTCGGAGTGGAGAAGGTGTCGTTCAGGAAGGGTGCTACTGGTGCTGCTTGAGTATATCTAATACTATCGAAAGCTCAGGTATCCGACATAGGCTCGACTGTGCGTACTGCTTTATGCCCAACGGACAAAGGTGATTCGATGGACGGTAAGTCCATGGACATCTCAGGAATCTCAACATGGAATTCCGTGTGACTGTAACTTCTGCTCCTTCATAAGATCTACTCGTACCCACAGTGTCGAGCACTTTCCTCATTCTGTTAACATGATGTGGATGTAAGAGCTCCGTGTAACCGTTAAATCCGGCTATGACGTCCGCAGCTCCATCAATATCCTATGTCACTTCGAAGGACATCAAAAAGGCACAACGCCTCAGAAGAGTAAAACTTCGATCATATCGACTTGTACCACTAGCTCTACAGATAAGCACACAAAATGCAGAAAGCACAAGAAGTTCTCGGCAAGGTGACGGGAGGGTTCACAGGGCCAAAATTGCCTACTGCTAAGTTGGGAAAGAATGGTAAGTAGACGATACACTACCAACAGCATGAAGTCAAACATGTCTGATCTTTTATTCTGCAGGTCCGGAGATCACGCGTCTAGGCTATGGCACGATGGGTTTGGTAAAGTTGTCCAAAGGAAGCACAGCCTCTGGATCATTGACTGACACAGATCAATAGAGTGCCTTCTATGGCAAGCCAAAGCCTGACGAGGAGCGTTTCAAGGTGCTCGACCGTTGTTATGAGGCTGGAGAACTCAACTGGGACAGCACCGGTATGTTCGATATACCATTTACTCTGTTTCGCCACATCTGACTTTTCTGCTTCAGATATGTACATGGATAGCGAGGATCTACTGGGCAAATGGTTCAAGGCCAACCCCGGCAAACGCGAGCACATCTTCTTAGCGACCAAGTTCGCCAACAAGATGGATGCCGATGGCAATCGCTCAGTCGACACTACACCCGAGTACTGCCGCTCCGCCTGTGAGAAGTCGCTCAAGCGTCTCGGTCTGCCGTACATCGATCTATATTATGCCCATCGTCTAGACCGCGTAACGCCGGTGGAGAAGACGGTCGAGGAGATGAAGAAGTTGAAGCAAGAAGGCAAGATCAAGTACCTGGGTCTGTCCGAATGCAGCTCCGAGTCCTTAAGACGTGCGTGCAAGGTCGAGCATATCGATGCTGTGCAGATCGAGTACTCGCCCTTCTCGCTCGATATTGAGAGTGAGCAGATTGGGTTGATGAAGACTTGTCGCGAGCTTGGAGTGGCTATCGTTGCTTATAGTCCTATTGGTCAGTGTATCCCTCCTGCGGTCTTATTAAAAGCTAACGACACTTGCTAGGTCGTGGTATGCTCGGTGGCCAGATCCGCAGCCCATCCGATTTCGAAGAGGGTGATTTCCGCAAGTTCGCGCCACGCTTCTCGCAGGAGAACTTCCCAAAGAATTTGAAGTTGGTCGATCACATCAATGAGATCGCCAAGAAGAAGGATGCTACGGCCAGCCAGCTGACATTGGCTTGGCTTCTTGCTCAGGTAAGTCTCTGGTCAGCGGTCACTCCGATGAAATCTGAGCTAACGGCATGACTTAGGGCGACGATGTCTTTCCTATTCCCGGCACCACAAATCTGGGGCGTCTGGACGAGAATATTGGCTCGCTGAAGATCCATTTGTCGAAGGAGGAGGAGCAAGAGATTCGCAAGGCCTGCGAGGAAGCTGAGGTCCACGGCGGCCGATATGCTGAGGCTATGGCGGCGACGCTATTCGCGGATACGCCGCCATTGTAGAGAGTTTGATCCGTGGAGATTGATAGCCCATTGCGAATCGCTATCTTTCCGCCTGAAGCTGAGTCTTGTCCACAGCACTGTTGCACTGTACGAATATGCAGGATATTCTAGGAGTTGAATGACGTTCAGCATAGGGCTGGCACTACATGTCTCAGCCCTATGCTGACTAGGCACATGGAATCATCTCCGCGTGCTGCATGCAGACGCTGCTCCAGCGCTCATGGGACGCCTGAAAACTTCTCGCACAAATGCATTTCGCGGAGTGCTCGTTCGGAGTACAGTATTGTGGCTATGTCGCAAGGCATTATGCTGTAGCCTGCAAGGTAGACTCCCTTGGGAAGACGATTGATCGACCGTGGAAGGATTTACGAACGCAAAGCATGCGTGTTCTATACTGCTTCTAGCGTTATGAAGCGAAGTCTGAAACACAGCCTGCTGCGCCTTCGGGAAATAAGCGAGCCAACGAATCACCATCGTACTATTCGCATCCTCGTCAAAGTGCATATAGTTTGGCTGACATAGCGAGCTTGTCTGGATGTCCCGTATACCGGCTTAGGGCGCGCATAGGTTACCGTGGTGGTCGAAGGATCGCGAGCTTATTAACGTGCTCAGAGGGCTCAATTTTGTCGGGACTGCGCTGAGGCCGGTAAGCATGGCTATTTGTTGTTATGATGATTCCATTCACATGCACGCGTGTCGATTGCTGTACAGACGAGCGGTCCACCGAGTGCGAGTCTGCAATTGCTGAGACTGACGTGAACGTCCATGGACAGTCCACACAACACACAGCGTCGATGGCAGTCTTGCAAAGTCAGCTCCGCAAAAACCTTTCACGGACATTGTTTCAACACCGCAAATCCGGGCCTGTCCTGCTTTGCCATGGCCAAGCAAAGGCGGGATGCTAGTTCTGACGCTCTGTGATGTCTCTCGAGTCTCGACCATCGAAGCTGTATTTCGAAGCACTGTGGAATCCGCGATTCAGTGTGCACATGGTGATTCCTCGTGAGTTTTACCTTTGTCCTAATTGAGCACATTACCATCCTTACGATCGCCGGGGTAGCCGAACAGTGGCTCATCATCGACGACCAGGCGCCATGGTCAGATGTGTCCTGCATCATGTCGTTGGTCTCGTAGTAAGTTGCTGGGTGGTCGATCCCGAAGCAATCCGAGAGGAGGTTAGATAGACGAGTCGGCCGAATATATTCATTTTCCCCCGAGCACGGCTTAGCAAATATCCGGTCCTTCTCCGCTCTCTTCGTTTGCGAAAGCGAGCTGTAAACCACACGGGATGGTACCGCCCAGACCACATCGTTCACTAGCTAATATGAACGCACGAGAGAGCCGCATGGGTATCAATCGTAGGCAGACGCTTTTTTTTCTTCCCGTTGGCAGTGCATAGCAAATACACCACTGCCTACATCAGCCTCTGGCGGTGACGCGACGCTTTAACCTTGGAAGTAGCATGTTGCGCTCTGCTGGATGAATCACACCTGCTTCCTACTCGTCCTGCCTACTGCACGTTCGACTCATAGCCCCGTCTCTCTTGTCCACGAGACCCTGGAAGCTGAAATAGGCCAGTCCGAGTCTTGAAGATCTTGAAGATTCGGTCCCGACGATAATTCGTTGCTTCGTAACCATGGCGGTCGGCAGAGCCAGAGAGCCCGGTCCGCAGTCGAGTCCTTCTGCAGGTGGTAGACAGGCAACCAGCAGAGGAGGTTCTATTTCAATATCTAGGTCGGAGTTAAGAACGGACAATACCACAGCCAAGTTCGTATGTCCTCATAAGCTTATGCCCTTCTTGTACATAATCTTCTTGACAGACTATCATGTGGCGTTGATAGCGAAGCCGAATGCGATTGATACATTGCACTTACTAATACAACGTTATGGAAAGCAGAGCACCTCGAGTGGGTCATAAGAAGTCGAGAAAAGGTTTGGAGGCATCCGGCTGCTATCGACGGCAGGCACGATGCTAATCACGATGAACAGGATGTGCACAGTGTAAACGACGACATGTCAAAGTAAGCTGCTAATGTCAACAAGACGTATACTAGCCGCCGCACGACCAATACTGATCGCATTCGCATAGTGTGATGAACAATCACCTTGCTCGAACTGTGTGCGACATGCGGTGCCGTGCTCATTAGCTGGTGGTCCATTCGTCTTACGCGAAGATGCGAAAGCAAGAAGAACATCAGCGACCTCTTCGTCAAGCATCTCAAGGACTGCATCATTAGAGACGAGTCAGAGCCAGAGTATTCCTGCGGTACGAACCAGCATAAGTCCGAATATCGAGGCCATCACGCCATCCCAGCGGAGTCCATTCACAATTCTCACAGGCTTGATAGACAGGCCAATACCAGGCGAAGATGCGAATTGGATGCTGGACCTGCAACTCATGCATCATTACCTGACACATACCAAGTACATCCTCACAGAACACGACGATTTTGCTCAGATCGTGCAAATATGGCAAGAAGAGCTACCCAAGGTGGCATTCACAGCAGACTACTGCATGCATGCAGTGCTGGGCTTCTCTGCCCTCCACAAAGCACACACGGAGCCGGAGCTCGCTCCAGCGCTACGGACAAGCGCTGTAGATCATCTTGACAAAGCCTTGGTACGATACCGAGAGAATGGCGGGATCACCACAGCCGAGAACGCGAGTGCGAAGTTCGCATTTACTTGGTTGGTGGTGCTCTTTGCGTACGCTATACCTCTATCAGTGCCTCCCATTGACGCCATGGTGGAACTTTTTCATCTCGTGAAAGGCGTCGATACCATTTTAGCAGAAAGCTGGTTCTGGGTTTCCCAAGGGCCATTCGCCCCTGTTCTGGCTCGTGGACTCGGCGATGCAATCACACTACAGCCAGGTCGGAATCCCTTACCTGAGGGCATGGACTTTGGTCTTAATCATCTTGACTATATGCTCGGATCAGAAGCCATGCTTACTGCCGATCGGCGGGGTTGCGCCATGATACTGGCGGAACTGAAGCAGTTATACGACAATGTCCTCCGACCTCAGGCCGGGGTCAGCGTTGCATCAATATTGTGCTTTCCGAAGCAGGACTCGGCGCCTTTTGGTCAGCTGATCAAGCGAAGAGTTCCTCAAGCTCTGATCATCCTCGCATATTACTGTGTGCTTCTGGACATCTTGGACAGCAGATGGTGGATTAGTGGATGGTCCACGAGAGTTCTGCGGGACATCATGGGTACACTGGCCGAGTCATGGCAGAACTGGATCGAGTGGCCTATATCAAGCGTTTTACTGAAGCCGGAAGCTACGGCACCAAGTCCTAGTGAGAGGCTGGGTTTACTTGTGTAGTATTGGCGGGTGTTGTAATGATTGTAGATAGACGAAGACTATCACCTCTCTGTAGTATTGCCCCTCCGCAATACTCGGTTGTGCACCATATGAATGAGGCTTCTGTAACCTTCCAATCGCACGTTTTCTGATTGTAGATGGATACCTGATGGTTTTCTGAAGCAGTTCAACTTTTCCCTCCGAGACTGACTTTTGCACTCAGTCAGCAAACGCCCCGCAACGATCCTGGGCTTCGCCGCTTGCGTGGCCCAATGCATGAGGTCACTTCCACCCGCACCTTACGACTCTTTCCAAGCAGTCACATTGTTGTCGTGTGCGCAGCGACCTCTGACATATCACTCGACACCCCGACGTGGAAGGTGTGCGAACTCCGCCGACGTCCTACGGACTTCGAAGCGTGAGCGTGGCTGTGCACATCTCATCCAGCGGGACCACAGCGATCCCAGCACCGTCCATCAGTACCGCGCATTCCACTGGACACGCAGACTCATCCAACAGTCCGATATATCACCATCGCTGGCAGTGAATGGTGACCTAGAAAGCGCCGAGCAAGTCGAGCGGAGTCAGCAGGCGGCAACAACAAGGGCGTAGGATATCATGGAACTCCCAACAGCGGCAAACCTGCGGGTCACGAGTATGTCAAGAGCATGATCTGTATGAAGATAGTGATATGATGAGACTAATGTGTGGTGATAGTCATTGCGGCAGATGGACTATACAAGCGAGATGTCTTCAGTAGGTCACATGATGATAATGGACCAGGAAATAGCAGCTGCTGATAGCAACACCAGGATTTCCCGACCCATTCGCTGTCGCTACTATCAGTGGCGAGCAGACGAGGACGACGGGTGTCATCAAGAAGACACTCAATCCGTACTGGAATGAGAGCTTTGACATGTACGTACTATGTCAAGCGGCACAGTAGTGATCGTTACTGATGGCCATCTACAGGCGAGTGAACGAAGAGAGCATTCTCGCGGTTCAGATCTTTGACCAGAAGAAGTTCAAGAAGAAGGACCAAGGCTTCCTCGGCGTGGTCAATGTGCGCATCGGCAGCGTAATGGATTTGGATGCTGGTGGTGATGGTATGCCTATCTTCTTGTGATCTACCGCCGAACAATACTGACTGTCTACAGAAATGCTTACGAGAGACTTGCGCAAGTCCAATGATAACATGGTGGTCAACGGCAAGCTCATCCTCAACCTGTCCACGAACCTGCGCACACCTATAGCGAACGGCAACAACCAGAACAGACCATCCCTATCTTCGGCTGGGCCCTCGACAAATGGTGCTCTTACACCCTCCACAGCTCAAGGCACGCAGTCTACCGCGTCGTTGAATCCAGAGCGCCCAACGAGCAATACTGGTTCTGCGGCTGTGTCGAGGCAAAACACCAGTACAGCAGTAGCGACCACAAATGGTACTAATGGCACCAATGGTGCATCTGGCGGCAGACGAGATGGATCGGGGTTCAGCGCTTTTGAGGATGCGCAAGGAAGACTACCCCCTGGATGGGAAAGACGTGAAGACAATCTCGGAAGGACATACTACGTCGATCACAACTCTCGGCAGACGACTTGGATCAGGCCTACGGCGAACTTCAATGCAGGGGAGCAAAGAGCGCAGATGCAGCAGCAGCAGAATGCGGAACGCGACAGGCATAATCAGCGCATGTTGCCAGAGGATAGGACCGGTGCAAATTCACCTACGCTCTCGGACGGGCAAAGCTCACCATCGCAACCGCCGCCTCCGATAAGTGCAGCGAGTGCGTCGAGTGCGGCTAGCGCTGCGCAGATGGTGGCCACGGGAGCGACCACAGCAGGCACTGGCGAGCTACCAGCTGGATGGGAGCAGCGACATACTCCGGAAGGCCGGGCATACTTTGTTGACCACAATACACGGACCACTACTTGGGTGGACCCTCGCCGACAGCAGTACATTCGCATGTATGGCCAAAACGCGACTGGCAACAGCACAATTCAGCAGCAGCCGGTGTCGCAGCTTGGACCACTACCTAGCGGGTGGGAGATGCGTCTCACAAACACCGCTCGTGTCTACTTCGTGGACCATAACACCAAGACCACGACCTGGGACGACCCACGATTACCATCATCGCTCGACCAGAACGTCCCGCAGTATAAGCGTGATTTCAGGCGAAAGCTTATCTACTTCCGCTCGCAGCCTGCCCTGCGCATCCTCAGCGGTCAGTGTCATGTTAAGGTCAGGCGTACGCATATCTTCGAGGATTCGTACGCCGAGATCATGCGTCAGTCACCAAACGACCTCAAAAAGAGACTCATGATCAAGTTCGACGGGGAAGACGGTCTGGATTACGGCGGTCTATCGAGAGAGTTCTTCTTCCTGCTGTCGCACGAGATGTTCAATCCCTTCTACTGCTTGTTCGAGTACTCGGCACATGACAATTACACCCTCCAGATCAACCCACATTCTGGCATCAACCCCGAGCATCTGGGGTACTTTAAGTTCATTGGCAGAGTGGTGGGTCTGGCCATCTTCCACAGGCGATTCTTGGACGCATTCTTTATTGGCGCTTTCTACAAGATGATCTTGAGGAAGAAGGTGGCGCTGCAGGATATGGAGGGTGTGGATGCTGAATTCCACCGGACTCTCTCTTGGACGATGGAGAACGATATCACGGATGTCATTTACAGCACTTTTTCCGTTGAGGACGAGAGATTCGGTGAGAAGGTGACCGTCGAGTTGAAGCCTGGTGGTCAGGACATCGAGGTGACGAATGAGAACAAGAAGGAATATGTTGAGTGAGTACACGTGGACTACAGAATGATTCGAGACATTGGCTAACCTTCACACAGGCTCATCACCGAATGGCGCATCCAAAAGCGTGTTGAGGAACAATTCAACGCCTTCATTGCCGGCTTCCACGAGCTCATCCCAGCCGACCTCGTCAACGTCTTCGACGAGCGCGAGCTCGAACTCCTCATTGGTGGCATTGCGGACATCGATGTTGACGACTGGAAGAAACACACCGACTACCGCGGGTACACGGAGTCCGATGCCGTGATCCAGCACTTCTGGAAGTGCATTCGATCCTGGGACGCTGAGCAGAAGTCTCGTCTCCTGCAATTCGCTACCGGTACTAGCAGGATACCTGTCAATGGGTTTAAGGATCTGCAGGGATCGGATGGTCCGCGGCGATTCACTATTGAGAAGTCGGGCGAGGAGGCGCAGTTGCCGAAGAGTCATACGTGCTTCAACAGGCTGGATTTGCCACCTTACAAATCGTTCGACGCTCTGACCCAGAAGTTGTTGTGGGCTGTGGAGGAGACGGTGGGCTTCGGGCAAGAGTAGAGTGTAATGCACCTCGTCGCATACCAGTCTGTCGTTTGTTTTTGCGAGGTGCTGTTACGAACGAGACGGTCAATATGTGCAGATGCTGGTATAGTAGTGTGCGGTAGGTCTGTGGAGGAGTTTTAGGTGTCGTTCTTAGGTATGGAGGTGGAATTGTGAGCAGTGGCGCTCTTGGGGGGCATGTACATATGTAGGTGGTTGCAAAGACCAATGCATATGACTGATCCTTTCACTCCAACTCTTCTCGCTTCGTGCCCTCACCAGCATTCATTCATCGACTGGTCCTGCCAGCATTCACGTGCGAGCACGAGCAGCGGACGATTTAGGCTTAGCGTAGTATCACGTCGAGCTTCGCGTTACAACTAATCTCGGTAGCAAGCAAATAGATCAGCCAGAAACACACATCACCTTCTTCACACAACACGACTAAAATCCATATAGCCCTGTACTCGGAGCACAGCACATACTCGTCAGGCAAGTAGGTATCGACCAGCTTGATCGACATCTCGCACACCCTCCTGGCGCATTCCTGACAATACAAAGCAGATCTCCCTCTCCCACCACCAGCATGGCCGACACCGAAGACCCCAAGCGCGAGGACGAACAGCTTGATCGCGCCCCCGACGATGACGATGCGGGCGACGAAGAAGAAATTGCGGCCATGAAAAAGCGAGTCCAAGAAATGGAAGCCGAAGCCGCCAAGCTCCGTGAAATGCAAGCCGATATCGATGCGCAGAACGATGGTCTCCGCGAGAGTAAAGAGGACATCGACAATAGAAGCGTCTTCGTGGGCAACGTGGATTATGGTGCCAGTCCTGAGGAGATCCAGGCGCACTTTCAGACTGCTGGAGCCATCAATCGCGTGACGATCTTATTGGACAAGTTTACGGGACATCCTAAGGGATATGCGTATGTGGAGTTTACGGACCCGAATTTGGTCACGCCAGCGTTGGTTCTGAATGATAGTCAGTTCCGCGGAAGGGCGATCAAGGTATGATAAGTAACAGGATAAGAAACAGGCGGCGTGTATACTGATCGAGATACTTAGGTCGTACCAAAAAGGACGAACTTGCCTGGCATGACTCGAGGTGGACGTGGTGGCGGAGGAAGAGGTGGGCCAGGTGGCCCTCGGGGCCGTGGTGGCTTTGGTGGTGGCTATGGCCCTCCTCCAATGTACGGTGGGCGCGGAGGCGGTGGCTACGGCGGAGGAGGTGGAGGAGGATATATGCCACGTGGCGGCGGGTATCGTGGCGGCTACAGAGGCCGCGCGCGAGGCTTCAACCCGTACTGAGCAAGGACACGACCACGACAATGAGATGCCAACCTGCTATTCTAGTTTTGGGTTCTGCACACCACGGCCGACGACAAGAAGCGGTACGAAGTGGGAAGACTGCAATCTTTTCTGATCAATGCGAATGTGCTCGTGGTTGCAATATAGAAGGAGATGCTTGTTTTGTCAGAATATGAAAAGCAGGCAGAAAGAAGCCACAAAATTCGCGTTGTGTTGGAGCAAGAGCCAAAACTATCAAGCAATGATCGATCTATCATGACCAGCGTAAGAGAGTCGTCTGCCATGGAGATGTGAGGATCGAGTAGTGGTAGCATATGTGCCACAGCAGGTGAAGAGGTAGTACAGGCGTAACGTCTTGGCAGTGGTTGAAACAAACCTGGAGCACGTGCTGCCAAGCTTCGATGTCCGACATCAGTGGTGTCCGGGCACAGCTGTTGTCTACATTTAACGGCCTCTCGACCTTCCACGAACCTTACCTGAGTAGGAGAAACAACGCACGAGCTTCCATTCCTCCTCGCACATATGCAGAGGGTCGGTCCTGGCTTGAATTGCTGGCGACCTTGTGAAGTGACAGACTTGTGTTGACGGGTGGCGCTTGAATACTGGCATGATCTGTAGCAAAGCCCGAACCTGTCAGATGATGGTATATTAGCTGCGAGGACGATAGACGAGTGGACGCTTCCATCATGGCAGGGAAACACCCAGCTACTCGCGGGAAGGCCGAGAATTATTGCAAGAATGTATTCATCTATGGAGCTCAAGCTGCCTAACCAGTGGCTCAGACGCCATACCAAAGCCATTGCTTCTCAACAACGAAGCGTCCCTGCACACCTGATTCCTCGGACCCGGCCGCGACAGTCAAACAAACGTTTACAAGAGAGCAAGCAAGCCGAAGATGGCTGCCATGCCAGCTGGCGCAGCAATGACACTAGCACCAGACTGACCTGCTGAGGATGCGGTGGCGGCGGCAGCTGTGCTGGAGCCAGCAGCGGCGCCTGAGGAGGTAGCAGTCGCGAAGCCGCTGGCGACAGACTGGCTGGAAGACCCGGTATGCGTTGCTGACGCGGAAGCGAGAGCGGCGGAGAGGGATGAGGAGACGGTACCGGTAGCTGTGACGGAGACGGAGGATGAAGTGCCATACCTAAAGACGACGTCAGCTACCTGGCCATGATTGGAGCTGAACTTAGGGTTCGAGACTTACGCCTTAGCAGCGTTGCAGTACGAAATTTGAGTCTGCTGAGCGCCGAAAGCATTCGGGTCGCTTGGACAATTATTATAGCAGGTTAGAACGTTCGTCTGCTGTGTGCAAAGACAGTCCCAGTCGTTGGCGGCGCAAGAATTGAGCTGAGCAGTCTCGGTCTGAAGGTTGGGTCAGTCTCACTAGTGCAAGACGAGGGCGTTGACTCCAGACAAACTTACGCCGAGGCAGTTCTGGATGATGCTAGGTGAGATTAGCATCCATTGAGTTGTCTCTCGTTCCGAACGCAACTTACAGATCGATGGAGTTGCCGCAGCCGGAAATCGCGGTGGAACTGGCCACGGCTGCAGACTCGGTTGAAGTTGATTGAGCGGCAGCGAGGCCGGCCGCGGCCAGGATCAGACCCGTTGTGTATTGCATCTTTGCTCTTTCGAGATGTACCGAAATGCGGAGATGTGCGAATCAGTTCTCGAGATGACGTCCAAGATCTTGTAGTAGTAGACTTTCCTTTGTGAAGTCAACAATGGTGGAAAGAGATGAGATGTTGAGACAAGGCAAGAGGGAGGCAGGAGCCAGAAGTAATAACACAGAAGTCAGGAAGCCGTTTGATCCTACTGAGCATTTGGACGGCAACGACGATCTCAGCTCATATACACGAACCTCGACCCCTGTGCAGTACCCGTGCGCGAGATATGGGGAACGAGAAGGCTGAAGCTGTGGCTGCAGGTCGAGCTGTACTCAGACAGTCCGTTGGATCGATTGGCTGTGCGTCCGATGGCTTCTGCAACGGTCAACGGATCTTGTTCATTAGTCGGCCACAAGTGTGATGGAAAGGTTCAAGCACGAGTCGAAACACGGATCCGTGCAGCTGGTCAGCTAGGGGTCCAGGGTGAACTTTCCTCGATGCGGCTCTGCTTGAGCTCCCGGGAGTCTGGAGACATGCAATTTGCAACTCCATTGAGCTGGAGAGCTACTGCAAACATCTAGCCGATTGCGTGAACGTGTGCGTACGAGCCTTAGATGTACTCCCAACATTAAGTATGGCTCATCTTTCGTTGCCTGAGAGCGATGCAAGAACTGGTTGTGGCAAGATGAGGTTGACCGTTAGAACCAAGACCCGGTCGTGCTAGAACGGAAATGGACAACGCCATAATTATCCACGAGAAGCAACGTGCGTGTACAACCTCTTGGGCTCAGACTGCACGAGAGTATGATCAGCGCGTACAAGATGAGAACATAGCCGTTAGTGGGATCGAAATACGGTAATGTCGATAGTGGAATATGTACATCTGCAACCTGGCCTTGCCTAACGCCTCGCTAAGAACGAATCACACGACGGAAGATCATGTTATCCATGATCGCGAAGCTCTTCAGTCTTCTGCTCTTTCCATTCAGCTTCAGTGGAAGTGGTCGTCGCCTTCTTCCGTATGCTGAAGAAGCTCAAGGCACGGCTCGTATGACTGTCGGTTGAGCCAGGCCTCCTCTCACTACTTCCAGGCGACGTTGTGAGATCCTTGACAGGATCAACCACAGCTCTAGCTTTCGAGCTGATGTTCAGCCAAATTGCAAAGACGGTCCCGCCGGCGAACGCAGCAATGGCCACAACCAAGCTGTACGTAGGGCGTTTCTGAGTACTGCTGATGTAGTTCGAGATGGGTGAGAACACAGCGCCGCCGCTGCAAGCCGTTGTGAGTAGGACGCTCGCCAGCTTCGTGTGTCGACCCATACCACGCAACGACTGCGCGAAGATGAGTGAGAAGATTGGACCTTCCATGAAGAAGGTCATGGACATCATAGCGATGCCGTTCCCACCAACGTAGTTCATTGCCAGTGCATCGAAGAGAATCGCCAAGAGGAAGAAGCCAAGTAGCAAAACTCTCGGCTTGATGAAGAGACCTAAGCCTGCAGCCAAGAACCTCGAAGCCGCAAACGTGGTGTGTACAACTGCAAGCCAATTCGACTCGTCAAGCTTCGGAGCAATGAAGATAAGATATGCCGCAAAAGTTGTTGCATTGACTTCTTGACCACCAACGTAACAGAATTGACTGACTGTGGCCATGCCGAGAATAAGCCAGATAATCTTCATGTTGCCGACTGTTGCCCTGTTCGCTCCATCCATACGCTCCGATGCATCTTCGAGTTCTGCGTCCGTGGCTTCGGGAAGTGGCACATAGTGATATGCAACGGCAAGGAAGATCGTAGCCAGACTAATCCCTAGATACGCCCATTGAGTGTCGACCAGAGATGGTGCATGGAACGATCGATGCACAAATGCTCGACTTGCGATCAGTGGCGCCACTATGCTTCCGATTGCCTGGATACCCTGACACAGATTGAGTCTCACTTCGGAGTACTGCTGAGGTCCGCAAAGTGCGATAAAAGGATTGGCGGAGACTTCGAGGACCGACAGTCCAAAGGCAACGATAAAGTTGGTGATCACGAAAGCCGGAAAGGACGTAAGTACAGCGGCAGGCCAGTATATCAGGGTACCACATGCGAAGATGCTCAGGCCAACACTGAAGCAGGCCTTGAAACCCCAGTGCTTCAAAACCAGTCGACCTACGGTTGGTGGTCCAAAGAGGTAGCCGGCCCAGTATGCGGAATGTATACTCGTACTCTGACCTGGAGTCATATGTGAAATACGCTGGAATTGCGCATTGAGCACATCAAGCAGTCCGTATTCGAATCCCCAAACGAAGAAAAGCACGGTCACCATGGACACTGGAAAGAGAGATTCTCTGGTTGTCATGTGCACCATGGACTTCCGGCCCTTCATGTTCACGAAGTCAAAGAATGTCGGGGTGTCCGGCCTCGTGTTTCTCGAAGTATTCGTTAATGCTGTCTGCGTTCGCTCCAGGTGGGATGGAAATTCGGGCGTTTCTGGAGTTGTCAGGAAGTCCATCATGCCCATTGGACCATCGTCAGAGGTCTGCGACATGCTGCCAAAATCTCGAGGATGCACCTCTGGCGGTGAGGTTGGATGTGGCATAGACGGAATGCGGTGGAGGTTCGCCATGTTTGCAGTCCCTCCTTGAGCAGAGATGGAACCGGCCACTGATGCTGCGTCGTCCGGGTCTCGAAGCATGAGAGGTAGGAAGCGTGCAATTAGTGGCTTGAGACCTGGCACACAAGCGCACATGATCCCAAGATTGACCTCGACCACTGACCACATGAAGCTGAATGAGACATAATAGCTGAAGTCCGTCCTTGCAGCTTCTGGTGCCCCTGCATCAGGCGAGCCCGAACTGATCTCCGACAGGCGAGTCTGAGCCGCAGATTGCAAGTACGCGATTCGTACTACATCCACCGCTGTCACGAAGATACCCATGCCGAACGTAATGATGAGGATGATCTTCTGTTTCTTCGGTAGGCGCATGCCGGTTAGAATTGGCATCGGCAGGAAGAGGATCGCGAAGTCCGTGATCAGGTTGAGTGGCGCGGATGAGAGATAGATCGTAACGATATCCGTGCAGTGTGCATTGGCTGGTACCATTATGTCGAAGGCGGCACGAATGGGCATGCACTGGAAGACCGTGAGCAAGGTCAGTGCAAGACCACCAGCATTCACAGCGAAGAGTGTTGCAATGCACGCCCATTTGAAGATCCGATGTGTCGTGGAGAAGCTCAGGTAGAAGGTCAAGATCGACGTTTTGATCGCCATCAATGCGGGCTGGTATAGGACCGTGAAAGCATATGTTGCTTTGCGCTGTGTCGTCTGCCATATCTCAGGCACATTCCACTCGTGTCGTCCAAGCCCCCATGCGCATCCAAAGCATATGGCTATCGTCAATCCACAGGCGATCAGCCAAGCCAGGATCATGAAATAGTCATCGGCAGCGACTTTCTTGACAATCGCAAATCTTGACAGCAAGCGGAAAAAGACGAATGTGGTTGATAGCGCCACCATGCTGATGCTGACGGCCAGCACCGCGTTGCTTCGGCCTTGAAAGTCGCCATGGTTGTAATTCATCCTATAACTATTCCACCCAAGCTTTGTATCTTCACTCAGGGTCTATTACAGCCATGCTCCACGATATGCTGATTGGTATCTTCGAATTGGCGTCGAAACCTTGTACGATCGTCCAGTTTGCCGCGCCTGGCAGGCGATACCGCACAGTCACAGGTAATGGTCCAGATCAGATGCTCGAAGAATACAAGGAAAATATTGGAGATAGTAAGCAGAACGAAAAGAAACCAGGGCCACGGTGCGGGAGAGTTCAGCATGTGCGGAGTGTGCCACCCCGCCCACGCGACGTACCAGTACTTACCTGAACGCTGACCCATGTGTTTTCGTCTACAAGGTCGAATAGCAGCAAAGAGTTTTCGTCGAAGCGTGAACCTTCGAGGCAGATGACGCGTGCCAACCCCGCAAAAGTACGAACGACACATTCCCGGCATACTAGCCGAGAGAGCTACCACTCGTGCAGTTCCGTGGTGTTGGTACTGATATCGAGAGAATCATTATTGCCGATGGAGCTTACGTGATATACTGGTATCGCTGCTCATGGCGTGCCTGATGGTCCTTGAGCATCGACCACAGCTGTCGCGAAAGACCTGTTGTGCCCTTTCAAACGAATATCCTCCGAGGCTCGACGAATAGCTCGGGATCTTAGTGAAGGTCCGTGATGGTGTCCACGGCCTTGGCGGCTGCCAGATCAGGTGAGCCGAAAAGAGCAAAATAGTTCCGTAGTCACGCCGAAGATCAAAGCTGAAACTCTAGAAGTCGAGGCTCTGCACTTCATCAACAGCTGTATCGTATGTGTGGCAGTGGTTGCATAGGCCTCGAGTTAAGCGGACTCAAGCTCTGTACTGGTCGCAAGTCGGAAGCGGACATGCACAGCACTCAAGTGCAATTTCATGCTCGCAGGACCAAGTACAATTGGATCCGTCAATGATAAATTGCGGCTGAACGGTAATTGACGGTCTGCAGTCCTCGACTCGTGTCTATGTAGATCATCCAAGATCGTCGAAGTGTATAGGTGGCCTGAGCCGACGTGTAATGTCGTTCTGTAGCAGGCTGTTGGTAAAGAAATATGTCTGACTCAGATGGCTACCTTCGGAATGGCATGGTGACTTGTGTATCAAGCGAAGACCACCAGCACGTTTGATGATGAGAATTTCAACTCAAAATGTCTTGCCCGAAACACCTATGTGGACATCTGGCCAACCTGTCCGCGGCTGTGACAATGTCGTGAGTATCGTGGCCGAAGTAGAAGTATGGCAGCACTGCCGTCGCTTTGTTGATAGAGCCTGATAGCATATGTGGCGGGCGAGATGGTTCAGTTACGAGGAGGCCGGCCGACGCGAGATCGGACTCAGGGAGGAATCATTCTTCGTCGCCTTCAGCATCATCTTCCTCACCCATGTCTTCGTCCATGCCTTCTTCCTGTCCTCCATCTTCGTCATACTCCTCGCCTTCATCACTATCATCACCTTCACCTTCGCTCTCTCCACCAGAAGCCACATAGTCCTCTTCCTCCTCGTCTTCCTCATCTTGCATTTGCTGCTCAGCCTTCTGCAGCTCGCTCTGCTCCTCGCCGCCAGCAACAGCTGGGGCGTCTGGGTCTACGTCTGTGCGCTTCTTCTCCTTGTTCACGTTGTACGCCTTTGCTCTTCGTTCATCAGCCATGGAAGCATCGTTCAGACCATGCCTCTTGATGTATTCGTCTATGCCTGCGAAATCCGCTTGGTCGAGCATACTGAATTCTATGTCTTTCGCTTCTGCTGAAGTTTCCTCCTGTATTGATATGACAAGATTGAATGTGCGCTGGAGCACGGATTGGTAGCTAATGGCATTTACGGCGGAGAATGGGAAGTATGCGAGTGGCTTCTTAAAGCCGAAGACTATGCCGTTGGAGAGGAAGAACAGATAGCCTAGTAGCATGTCAGCACTCTCCGTCACCCACAGTGAAAGACTTCAACCTACCATCCTTGCTTCCTCGGAAAGCCTTGACGTGGTATGCCTTTTCACCTTTGCGGTGTGCCTGCTCAATGCTACTGGCAAACTCTGCCGGGTTCGGTATCACCACGTGCTTGCCTTGTGGCTGCAGGACTCGGTTCAGCTCCCGCTCTGTGACAGTCACAAAGGTGTCATGCTCAGTGGGGGCTTGAGCAGCAGACGTTGCTCCTACAGGCTTGGTCTCGTTCATGGCAAAGACCATCTGCTCGGAAGGCAGACCTTCGGCTGTGATTGCTCCAGGTTTCGGGAAAAGCACGAAGTTCCATTGTCGTTGTTGCTTGTCGGGCACAGGCAGACAAAAGGCTTGCTCGATCGAATGGCTGGGGAGAACATATTCGATACCATTACTCTGCTGGTTCTGCATTCGAATCTCCTGCCGGCTTGCCTCCTGTGCATCGGCGACGACTTGCAGCTTCAGCTTCTTTCGTGCTGGGACCTGGAAGCTAACGTCCTTGCACTCATACGCTATTGTTGGCTCAGTGAGACCGTTCTGCGTTGTTCCATTCGTATGAGTCGTTACCGTGGCGTCATATTCCAGCTTGCGCTTTTTGTCGTTGGGCAGGCCATCTTGTGTCTGCCGTGTCTTCACAAACACTGCAATATCCAGGAACAACTGCTGTAATTTCACATTCTGCGCGACAGTTTGATGGATCCGCTTGACCAACTCGTCTGGAAACACCGATGCCACTTCTGGTATGTAGCTAGACATCGTTATATTCGCCGATGCGAGCGATTGTATAATTGTCGGCGCTTTGCACAACCAGAGTAGTGCTCTCGCAGCGTGTCATAACTAGGTCGCGAGTCAAGTCGCGCGTAGCCTAACTTTGATCTAGGCTGCGGCGGAAGAGTGCCGAGCCGACCATAGATCCTCCAATCATGGCTCGCCTCAGGGGAACACAATCACTGCACTATGATGATCGACGACGATCAGAGACGCATGAGGTAACTTCAAGACTCTTATATTATGCATAAGACAGATGTGTTCATTCTGCTTTCCCGAAGCATCGTCACCGTCCAAGAGAATCCTCAGTCTCCACAGGACTAGCCCAAACTAGGCTTCTTCAACCTCACCTGAATGGCAAGCGCCAAGCGAGAAAGCCTCCCGGCGCCAACACCCGTAAGATTGATCACTATCAGTACTGCAACGGTCGCCTCCTCCATTGGACAGGTATGCCATAACTGGCTCACGATGGCTTCGTCGCTAAGGGCACGATCCAATTCGGCTGCTAATCAGGCGGTTGTACCGTATCATGTAAGTTCGCCTCTGGGGGACTACGAGATGATCAGGCGACGATCAGGATCGTTTGTGTCTCCCTTATACACTTTGTTAAGATTCTAGGTCGCTAGCCATACTGCCTCTTTGTTCACACTGAACCTCACGTCGCTTGCTCAACAACAGTACCGAAGACTTTCTTTTTTACACGGCACATAGATTCCACTAATCGACCTACTGCTGAGCGCTTATCTTACAATGCACGCCACACCATTTTTCGCCGCAGCAGCCGCTCTTGCAGGTCAAGCGATCGCTCAGACGAACCCTGGGACGAATGCTGGACCGACAGTATCGCTGTTCCTCCCGGTGCACGCATCAAACCTAGGAGCGTCAATAATCACAGCTGTACGTGGTCTCTCGCTCTGTGAAAACGTGAAGTGGAGACTGACATGCAACGCTCATTCAGGCACCATCATCAACCGTCTACGCCATAAGCTGTTTAACAGCACAAAACGCATGCGCAACAGGATGTGCACTCAACTCCACGATCACAGTAACAGAAGGGCCAAGTACTCTGGCATACACATGGACAGATGGTGATCGTGCATCGTAAGTTCACCATCTCTCAAGCTCCGCCAAGCTTCATGCTGCAAGCCGCGTCTCCATACCAAGACTAATACATGGACAGAGTAATGTCGTCAGGAGGCAAATTACAACATCCCGTGACCACTGTCAACTGCGCACTACACGGCAACTCTTCTGCTGTCTGCACTGGTGTATCGGCCAACGGTACAGCATTTGCATCGCAGACGACCACACTCACTGGCAACCAAGTCACATACGTACCAGTAGCGATTATCTCTGGTGGCTCGAACCAGACATACACCTCATCATCACCTTCTGGCACGGCCAAGCCCACTGACCCTGCCGGATCAACAACCAACAGCGCTTCCAGTAAATCGATCCTTGGCTATGGTATAGGTCTTGCAGCAGTCCTGGGTGCCCTCGCAGTGTTATGATGATACGTAAATCAAGCACTTGTCTTTCTGGGAGGCCATTTGCGTTGCAAGCATTGCATCGTTCTAGCGTTGTATATACCCTATGCTGCATCGCCCGCGGAGTTCTTCACCGGGAGTGGCAGAACGGCCAGGATATTCAACAGATAGTAACATAATGTAATGACCTAGCTTAGCCAGCCTATTGGCTGCCAATATAGAGATATAGCCTTGTATCAGGAGCACTTTGTGTTCTGTTCCGCAGTATTGGAACAATCTAGTTGTTCTACGAATGCATCTCAATACTATTGTCAATACATGTACTCAGAGTCTGGCAAGCCCTGTTCCGTAGCTCAAGTGGCAGTGCAAGGAAGCCGCTTCACTGTTACACTCACACAGCGAATGGTGTGGTAGATCTACAAGGACACTCATTATTGATGATAGACAGCCTCGAAGCAGGAGTGTCCTTACTCCTGCTTGCGGGATCGACACAGCAGGCCAAAGTGTCCAGTACATTCACGAGATTTGATGTGCGCTAGACTACAGATCTATCCACTAACATTCCGTGTTGGAGACACTCGTGACATCGTGCCTCATTGCTTCTTTGAATGGTATGTGGGATCGACTCTTCTCCTACAGAAGTGGGCTACGGCTTCAGCTATCTCGGCCACACAGTCTGCCCTCAATCATCAATCTCAGCTTACTCCATGACCTCCGCCAGCGACCTTGCCGCTATGCAGGAGACTCAAGTGCAGCCAGCTGACAACACCGCCATCAACATCGATGCTGCCAGCAATACTAGGGAGCCGCATATTCTTGCTATGCCCCCTGAACTCCGCCTCATGATCTACGATTACATCTTCGCAAATCAACTCGAGGCAGTAAGCAAGGAAGAAACTGCAGCCACGGCCCGGAAGGCTCTACAACCCGACCTCCTGCATATATGTCAGATAATCCGTCGCGAGGCCACGGCAAAGTACTCGCGCCTGCTGGATGATACGTATGTGGTGCACGCGCAGCGGCTGGAAGCAGAGATACAGAGTTTCAAGGACGAGGCGGCGCGTTCGAACTTGCTGGGACCTAGGCGTGGGCGGCTCATGTGGTTGTGGTGGAGGAGTATGCGCAGTCAGGAACTCGGGGAGGGGGTGCGAGCGTTGGCCAAAGCCATTACCAAACTTCGTGCTTTGATGTCCTTGGGAGACGTCAGCCATCACTCTCGACGGACTCGAATGCACTCGAAGGTAGCATCGAGGGCATCGAGGCCGTCGAGAGTCGTCTATGAGCCTCGAGTACTTGAGGCCAAGTCGGCGTCGACGAGCCGTCGGTATCGCGAGCGGTGACAGAGCGCTGTATGCTGTGGATACAAATGGGTAGGATACTGGTTCTATTGGCTGCTTGAAGTACTCATAGACATGACACTTCTTACGCAGCTAGGAGCCAAGGGTACCCGTCCTCATCTCAATCCAATCATCACATCACCACCAACTTCGTTCTTCTCTGACACTACTGACTCGTGTCCATCGCCTCCCCTCCGCCAGCATCAGCGGCAGCAGCGGCGGCCTCCTTCTCCGCCCTCCTTGCCGCAAGCCTTTCCTGCCTCCACTCATTGATCCGCCTTTTCATCTCCGCATCCTCAATAACATCCTCCAACTTCAACGGTGCCCTATTGAAAGGATCGGTAGCATCAGAGAGAAGATGGGACTTGATAGTACCACGATCAATCGTCGTCTTGCTCGAAGGCAAGATAACAGGATCCGTCATCAAGTCCGCCATCAACGGGTCCAAGAACTCATCTGGTGGCTCGCCGAGGTCCTCCTCTTCCTGAGCTAGGTTTGCGGCGTGCTCGGCTACCTTCTGACCGAGATTGTTCCAGGCATTGATCTCCTCGGGTGCCATGTATACCTTTTCCGTCATGAGCTTAGCTGCGCTGTGGAAGTTTTCGGGTTTGTAGGAACGACCGTCTGTAGCGATGGCGTTGACGAACAGATCCCTGCCGGACAAGTTGATGAAGACCTTGACGATATCCTGGAGTAGAGCCTTCGGGTCGAACTTGTACTCCTGTGGATTCACAATGATAAGATTGGCGCGTTTGTCGCCAACGAGGATGTTGAGGTTGGAATCCAACATAGCTGCGAGCCTGTTCACGACCTCCACCATCGTAAAGGCTTCCGGTAGTGCTTCCGTGAACAGGATCAAAGTCTCCATGCTCTCGCGTGTGAGAGACATGTAGCTCTTGGCCTTGCCCTTTTGATCCTCTAGAAGCTCCGTCTTCTCCTTCTTCTGGTCCTCGTCCAGAGCTGCAAAGGAAGGCGAATTAACCTCGGTAGTTAGTTCGTTGATTTTGGTGAAGGCGGTCAAGCTCTCGTCGAGCACGAAAGTCACATCGTTGACAATCATATTGACGAAGCGTACGAAGAAGTCTGTGTTGATTCTGGCCTCCTTGGCGAGATTCTCACGGTACATCGTGTTTACCCATATGCACTTGATGACCTGGAAGATCTCGTAGCGAATATTGAACTTGTCGTAGAATTGTGTGTGCGTACCAGTCGATTCGGCTTCGATGTAGAACTTCATGAGCGCATGAAGCAAGTGCTTGTGGGCGAAAGGAGAGCTGATCAGCAGATCGCCAAGTAAGCCTCGGGAGCTGTTGCGGGAGTACGGCTGTACACCATAGTAGAGAATTGTGACGAGTCCTGACTTCACACCAGGGTTCTTGACGTACTCCGTATTCCTCAGGAAGGTCACACAGACCTGAACAATCTCCTCGGACTGTTGTGGCGTGATGATGTGTGGGATATTGCCGACAATGAACTTAAAATTGTCCACAATATCCTCGAGGAAGTACTCGGGCAGGCACTTGAAGACGTCTGGTTGCTCTTCGGGCAGCGGAAGTTGTAGTGCCTGCTGAGGCACGTTCTGACCGGAAGCTAGTCGCAAGATCCAGACGATGACATAACGCATAAACTGCATGCTTCGTGCTTGACTCACGTCGTCGCAAAGTACGCCATAGGTGGAGTGTATAAGTGACCATGTGTCGTCGACTTGTTCCTTGTACTTTGCAAGCGCTTGCTCGTACCTAGCAAGATATCTGCAGCAAGAGTTAGCCGGATTTTATGAACTCGATGCATGCTAGACCTACCTAGGATCGCTTGCGAATTTCTCTCGGTCGCCTTCCATTGACGCCAGATCCTGCTCTAAGCGCTTTACTGACTTGCGCATGATTTGTAAACGCTCCTGTGCAGCCTCAGTGCCGTAGTGGTGTGAAGCGACAGTCAGAAAGAAGACCTCGGAGATGAAGTTATTGGTACCCTCTACTTCCTGCCCATAAAAGGCATCCGCAGTCTTCTGATCTGCGTTGATCTTGGTCTCTTCGCTGATGTCCACGCGCGGCTGTCTTCGCAGATAGTTCGCATCGATACGGTCGATCTTGCCGAATTGCGCATCCATAAATGGGTCGCAAAGTCTATCGAGCACGTTCGTGACATTGAGCATGAAGCCATCCGAGGAGACTGTCTTGTAGTCCACTCTCATAGCACGCTTCTTCTGATTCTTGTTCACGCAAAGGGCAAACCAGTCAAGCATCCTCTCTCGAGCAGCCGGGCTAGACTTCACAATGACCTCGGCGAGCATGGCTAGCTGATCTTGGTGCTCGCGTAGCGTCATACGGAGAGCATTCTGTGCCGATGCGATGAAATTCCGATCGCGGGTCTTTGGCGATGAGAAGTAGTTCTTCGCCACCTCAAGCTGCATTGGGGACAGACGAAAGAAAGGTCCCAAGAGAGTTTGCGTCTCAATGTCCTGTGCAGCAACATGTTTGGGTGCGAACATTGGTGATTCTGTGATGACTGCAGCAATCTCCTTGAAGCGCACAAGATTCCGCAAAGCCACGACATGGTTCCTGTAGTTACCGTTAAGATCTAGGGATGCGAGTTGCCGGCTGAGCTCCTCCGCCGCACCTATCAGAGCCTCTTTCATGCCATCTTCTTCCTCCATGCGGTTCTTAGCCTCTGTCAGGAAATCCGTGCAGATACCGAAATCACTTTCCGGCTCCTGCAGCAGATGGTCGACAAGTGGATTGACGGGCGACACGTTCTCCCCGAACATCTCTGGCATAGTCACAGCGAAGATACAGTAAGACATGCATAATCGCTGGGCCTCCTTAAGGATGGTGCGCTTTGCATCCACATCACCACTGAATCTGCCCTCTCGCAGACCTCTGCTCACCCGCTTGAAGCACGACAGGAGATACTCGAAGGGCTTGCCACGAGGTGCTTTGCTTGCTGCCTCCGTGATCGCGCCCTCGAGGATTTCCGTGTTCAACAGAAGTGGCTGACTGCTTTCCTCCAGATCATCTCTCGTACTGGTAAGGAAAGCAAGTTGATGGCCGTGACTGTCCTTGACATCCTCGGGCTGTAGTGTGACACGGAACACGGCTCGCATGTTTCTGTCCTGCCATACTTCCAAGCTTTCAGTCTCGCGTGTCCTTGATCGTGGTCGTGGCGCATCTGGTCGTGGCCGGATCTTGATCTGTGGTGCGGCCTTTTTCTCCGCCTCTTGCTCCTGCTTCATACCAAGCTGTGTGAAAGGGTTTGCAGTGCCATTAGCGGGTGGTGACTGCTTCGATGCCTCTTGTGATGCTTGTGGTATGGGTGTGGAGCTGGTCGCAGGGGTTAAGTTGCTTTCGGCTGATGGGTCCCCAGCTTGTGTTGGAGCTGCTGATGGCGCCCCTCCTAGCTTTGCAAGACGCTTCTGCCGGATCTTGTCGGCGTCCGACATTGTCGAGTCTACCATGGTGGCTGTGGTCGTGTACGGCTGCTGTAGTGTTGAGCAAGCGATAGTGTGATTACTAAAGGCTCATGCTCATGCTCCTCGAATCTCTAGGCCTGTGGATGAAGAGCGGGGTTTCGTGTGCAGGATATATCTGGCAGCAAGCAGTGTGTGTGCTTGTAGTCCTCACCTCGTCGTGTGCGGATGTATTATTCAGGCAGCGATGAGCTCATCCATAGGCGCGATTGTAGAGGCAATCTAGAGTTATCGATAAGACAACTAGCGCGCAAGTTCGTTCTTTCCTTTTCCATTCACTTACTATTCCGGATGAGGTGTCCATACATCTCAACCATTCACCTCACTTGTCTCGAATACACCGGACACGGACTGTGGACTACTGTGACTGGACTCCGTAGACATGCGGCCAGTGGCTGAGACTTTCATGGGAAGTTGATCTTCACGTCTTGTAGCATCCCCCGAGTCGCTGGCACAGACTATGATCTGCAGTAAATACCGCCTAGAAACGACATGATTGAACTCGGCCTACAACGCATCTCACGCTTATTGCAGGATACCCCGCTACCATGGCGCGCAGTACACGTCGCTGGCACGAACGGCAAAGGCTCCGTCTGTACACAAATCTCAAGCATGCTCGACCTCTATAACGACTCGAATTATCGTAAGGAGATGAACCAACCGAGACTCTCCCACGCTCGCTTCATGAGCCCACATTTGATCGATCGCTGGGACTGCATTACCATCAACCAGAAAACAGTACCTTTCAAGCTGTTCGATCATATTGAGCGTCAAGTGCTCAAGCGCAATGACCGGGAAGGTATCGACGCCAGCGAGTTTGAGCTGCTAACTGCCACTGCATTCGAGATCTTCAATCATGAGAACGTAGATATTGGCGTAGTTGAGGTGGGCATGGGTGGACGACTTGACGCTACCAACATTATTGCTCAAATGAGTGCCGAATCTCGGCAAGCTGAGGCCGGTGGCATGGCAGTCCGGGCGCCACCGCTGGTCACCGCAATAACGGCAGTTGGACTTGATCATCAGGGCTTCCTTGGCAATACACTCACGGAGATAGCTCGCCAGAAAGCAGGGATCATCAAGCCTGGAGTACCTGTCGTCTATGATGCAAGCAACAATATCGAAGTCCAGGACGTTATCGAGGCGCAAGCCCAAGACAACCGAGTGGTTGAGTGGAAGTCGCGAAGTCTGCCCGTGGCACATCTCGCCTACGACAGCAGTACGCCCGTCGATCGTCGGAATCACTTCTGGTCTCACCATGAAAGCCAGGATCTCCCAATCTACTATCGTGACAACTTCAGCGTTGCGTTTCGCGCTACTCTTACAGCGTTGCAAGAACTCAGACTGTACCCTCGAGAGTTCAAGCAGAAGGATAAGCCGGATGTTGCTTGCTACCCTCGCGAGTCGATGTCCGCCATGGTCGAAGGCCTCGAAGATCATCTTCCTGCTCGCGAGCTGGCCACCGCCATGCTCAACATGCCTTTATCTACTGTACCCGGCCGTCTACAAAAGATCGACCTGCGTACGCTTGGTATTCCGCGAGAAGAGGGCGTGCTCTTAGACGGTGCCCACAATCCGCAGGCCGCAAAGATGCTTGAGATGTCCTTGGATCGCGAAATGCAGAATGCAGATCCTATCGTCTGGGTGCTGGCTTTCACTTCGACAAAGGAGGTAGACGATATTCTCGGAATTATTCTGCGACGGGGGGATACTGTCATCGCTGTTGAATTCGGTCCGGTAGATGGCATGCCGTGGGTTGAGCCCATGAAATCTGCTGATATAGTCAAGACTGTGAAGAGCGTCGACGGATGCAATCCTGGGCAAGCTTTCGGGTCAGACTTGCTAGGTGCTCTTCGTGCAGCCCATGAAGTCTCCATTCAGAATGGCGGCCTTGACCATCAACTTCCGATTGTGATTGCAGGTAGTCTGTATCTTGTAGCTGACGTCCTGAGACTTCTGCGGGCATCCGAGTCAAAAGCCAAAGGATGACGGGTCGGAGACCGTTCGCTACAGGATGTCGATGAGAAGCTGGGTTGATAGACGAAAGATAAACAGTAAAATTTCTTGGGCCAAGACTCGAGCATTGCATCGTCTATTCCCACACGATGGCTAGCTTCACATTCCTCGACCTGTGATCGGAGTAGTGCTCCGGCTGCGTGCAGTCAAGTCGAGGACGTTCATCAATGGGAGCGGACCTGCAGCGCCGGGCATTTCGAATCTGATAGTTAGAGAATGTGCTCACTTGAGGAACGATATGGCTGCTGGCAGCATAGGTGGAGTAGATGGAACACGATCAGCAGCGAGCATGCATGCAGTAGCATGATCGAAGTGCCGAAGGCATCAAGGCTCGCCGCCACAACAAGGCTAGCCACAACCCAAGCGCCCGTCTCATCTCTTCCGATAACTTCATCATGAGCACCACTCCTCCAAGAGTTATATTGATCTACACGCTGGATGTTTGCATCCATGCCTTCGGAACTGACTCTCCTCAGAAGCACAATCTCCCCATGTCTTTTGGACCATCTGCCGACCATACCCGAATGTCTGACCATCCGCTTCCTTGACCTGCCAGCGGAACTTCATGATCGAATCTATACTCAAATGACCGTCGAATCGATCCCGTTGCCATTCCGCAGCCACTTGCAGCCAACGATCGCGCTTACCAGACGATATCTTAGAAGAGAGAGCCTGGATGTTTACTATGGTCAGAATGTCTGGGCTTTCGAAAGCAGTTGTGAGAACGATTTTCCGCGCCTTGTTGCTCTACGCAAGGCTTTGGTGGAATCCAGTACACCTATCCTGTCGCTCATGAGGCACTTGTGCATGATCTACTCGTTGCCATCCATTGTATGCAGGCTCGATGTTGGTCGGGATGGAGCACAGGCGAATGTTTCTGTTGCACCTCCATTTATGCAAACGGAACTATTCATGGCAGTCTTGGAGAATATGAGACCGGTCGTCGAGCACGAGACTGTCTCTATCGTGCCCACTTGGCCCGTTCAATCTGATGGAACAGATCCTCGAGCAGATGTCAGCTCCATTCCACTCCTGATAGCCACGTGGGATAGGTTAGCTTTGAAATTTCTGGAAGAGCACGGCAAGCAATTGTCTACTGTCCGTTCGCAACAGCGTTATCCCGTTTCGCTTACGTTGCAGGATCTCCGAATGCAGGTGGATCTTCTGGAGGTGCAGAATGCGCGCCGCCGGAGGCTTTGCGAGAGCAGGATGGGACCAGAGTGGAACGAGCCGAGGGCTCGTCGGTCAAAGCGACTACAACAGAGGATTGCCCATAGCACTCATATACATGCGCCTGAAGCGTCTGTAGCATATATTTGGTAACGAGGGCTGTTCCGGGCATTTGTGGAAGAGGGTGGCGGTCGAGGGTAGTTCATGATGACGGGTGTGGTCAGAGGACACTGCGAACTTGTCTTTCAGGGGAAGGATCCATGGCTAGATCGCGAAGGTGCTCGAGAAGAACCAAGTATGGATTCGCTCGGCGGCTTTGCATAAGGAGTCACAGAAGAGCTCCGTCATGCGCTGATCTCGCGCATTCTGCAGGTAGACGACTTCTTCCAATTAGCAAGAGACGTGTTAGCAGATACGACGAGACTGCGAGGCTGGTTGGTGCCCAAGAGTGCCTTCGACTCGTTCATTTGTGATCAGTTGTGAGCAAAATCACCTGTCGATCGCAGAAAGTGCAAGGCTTGCTACTGAACTCTGACTTGGAGAAATACGGTATGAGCTCTATTCATCTCGAGTGAAAGAAATAAGAGTCTGAGAAGAATAGCTTGCTATCAGTCTTGCCCTTTCTGCTCTGATTCTTCTGCCTTCGAAGACCTTTTGTCTCGTGACTCACAACTTCCCCAGCCGATTCGGTGTCCTCGACAGGTCCGCTGGCCCCGTTCCTCAGCCTCCCACACACCAGGAACGAGTTTGTTGTGCAAAAGTCTGATACAACCGGTCTCATACAGTGCTAGATGCCACATGAGAAGGAGGCAATACCTCCTTAAGCCAAGCAGCCAGTCTATCACGCTCAGCGTTAGTGACCTCGGGAAACATCGCCTGGAGACCGCTCGGCCAGGACTCGATCTCATGTAGTTTCGGACGAGCAACGCTTTCCCGCGAATCAATAGTCTCTGAGGCACCTCGACGGGCCAGGGTACCAGCGCTAACGATACCGTTGCGTACTGTCAGGTCCAGATCCACAGTAGCGGGTATGTCGGAAGCATTCGAAACGGTAAATTGTGGCGTCTGCAGGTATGTCCAGTCGAGCGACTATGGAAGGATCAGCCGACATATCGATAGTGGAGACAGAATCATTGGCAATACCTTGAGCTCATCATATCCTTTGCGCGCTGTGTCATTCTCGAGCCATTCATCGCCCACTTCAAGTGCCTCTATGCTTTCGCCAGCAGTATACATCAGCGCAAAGTGCTTCTGCACAGCAGCAATGAACTCTTCGTTTTCGAGTAGTATATTACCGACAGGCGAACTCACACTCTCCACGCCACGTGCAGTTATGTACGGTTTGGCAGGGGAGTGCAGGTAGTGCGGTATAACGTTCAGATTTGGCGAAGAGAGCAGGCAGGTACCATGATGCAGAGCTCGCTGCCTTGTCAGCTTGTATGCAGACCCGGACACCTTCAGCGGTCTACTGGGGTGGCTTGAGTGCGTATAAGGCGTGACATGCATATTTGCGCGGTCAACGTCTGCCACCGTCTGACCTTGATCAAGGACGATGTCGTGTCGTTCATTAACCTTGGCACGCGCCACGCCGCAGCTGCGTAATGCTCGGGTAACCATTTCCGCATGCTTGTCGCGCGTGAAGGTCCTGGGCGGGCAGATCACAGTCCAGTTGACGTTGCCTTCGTCGTGGAAGACGGTACCGCCACCACTTCGTCTCCGCACAAGATCGACTACTCCTAGGCCAGACGGCTCGGTTTCTGGCCTTGCATTCCGAGCAGAGTCGAGTAGAGCGAGATTCACTTCCGACCATGGGTTCTGGTTTCGTCCTATGATAATGCTGGGTCGATTGATATACAGGAGTAATATGGTCGAGTCAGGTGCCGATTTCTGCAGTAGGTAATGCTCGATAGAGAGATTCAGATATGGGTCACGAGATGTCGAGATGTATGACTGAATCGGTCTTGCAGCCAGCCACTCCAGTGAATTTTGAGAAAGCCATCTTCGATTTGTCGCTGGTTGGAGTGTGAAGTGTTGCGCGCCTCTGCATGCGCGGTTCCAGGTGATCATGGGGAAGCCATGTTCAGGACCTCATTGGCTTGTTGAAAGAAGTTTGTGTGCTTGGCAAGGAAGCAGTGTAGCAATGGTATCAAACGAATAGTCTTCGACTCAAGAGCCTCCTGCTGATTTGCCGTCTGTCCCTGGCTGCAACTATACTGTCGACTTAATGATGTGTGAAAATGAGCAGCAGAGTAGATTAATATGTCTTCAGCAGCACCCGCTAACACACTATTGGCTTTAAGGGGTGACAAATGTAGCGTGGCGTATCTACTGCAAGGCAAAACGCTCGCGTGTGCCGCTAGTGAGTACACATGCAGGTACCGCGGTCAGGGACTCGTGTGTGACTTTCCTTCTGCTCCCGTCAAAGGTAGAAGGAGGCAAAAATACCGTGGATATCCTGGGCGACGATGCACACATGGCGACGGAGAGCGAACAACCTCCGATGACGGTGGCGGAGTTGGTAGCATTCACCCAGCGACAATTGGAAAGCGATGCGGAGCAACAGGCCCACATCAAGGCCGCTGGGCTGGTGGGAGGGCATTTGCAGTCGCAGACCGGGTCGACGCTGAATCTGAGTCACTTGGAAATACCCGCGCTGCCTGTAGAAGTGGTGGCATTGATCAGAGATCGGGTGGAGCGGTATGCGAAGGACAATGGCAGCAGGGAGGTGAAGAGACACGTGTGGCTGACGAAGGGATAGACTTGCGCTTTCGCATAACCCAGAACTACGATTGCCGCCTCAGATCGCGCAATGCCATCGACTAAAGTATCTCAATCTCCGGGCGAATAGGCTTACACACTTTCCAGATGTGGTAGGGACATTGGACTAATAGGCAAATGCATGGGAGGTTCGCTAACAAGAGTTGTCAGGTGCTTCGGATGCGCTCGCTCGAGATTCTTGATGTCAGCAAGAATCATATCACGTTCATACCGGAGAGCATAAAGGGTATGACCTCGTTGAAGTTCTTAGCCGTCATTAAGAATGAGATTACTCGACTACCATACGCATTGGGAGACATGCCGAGCTTGACGAAGCTGAAGTTCTCCGAAAACCCCCTTGAGTTCCCACCAGCTCATGTCTACGAGGAGGAGGCAATGTCTGCGGAGTCATCTCCGAAAGAAAAGGAAAGGGATGTCTGTCAGCTGGTCAAGCGATATCTTAAGGCTGCATCGCTGCGAGAACGACTGAGGACAAACTCGGAAGAAGATTTGAATGAGAGTAATGTCGAGACGCCGCGACCGCCAAAGAGGATGGTGACTATTGGTCGCTTTCCAGTCAGGCCCAGCATTGGCGGCATAGACGACTTGCAGACGAGGTCGCCACGAGAAGCGCCTCCTATACCACAACGCTCTAACGCACGAGATCCATCTAGCAATGGGCTCACAGTCAAGGGGCCCGGTGTCGCTCCATTATACACTGGTGATAACGACATCAGTCGCAGTAGAAGTGAGACTGTATCGTCGGCATCTAGCATTAAATCGAGAAGGCAAGGTCTAGTGGCGCCGAAGAAGACGAACTTGACCCATGAAAGCCTTGCTGGTCTGGGTGGTCCGGAATCTGCACGCACTAGCCAGGCTTCCACGCTTAGAGCGTCTGCGTCACACTCGAGAGCTACGAGCTCAATCTCAACCCTTAATGGCTTTCTCACGGCAAGTAGTGGTACAGAGACATCATCCGGCGCGGTCAGTCCGATAGATGGACCAGCTGGTCGATATGGCGCTTCGAGAAGGCTTTCCAGCTTACCTGAAAGCCGACACTCGCGAGTCCAGACAAGCGATCTCGTGCGAGCTTCAAAGCGCCTGCTTTTCTCACTGTTCCAGCTGCAAGGACCTGTCAGCGAAGTCGCCAGAGCCGTTAAGGACGGCTCGCCGAAACGCTCTGTGCTTGAACGGCATATGTTCAGCGCCAACACGCGGGTTGAGGAATTGGATCGACTCCTGGATAAGCTTGCTAGCGGCCACGAAGAAGATGACAGAGAAAACGATCTTGCATTGCAGAACATTGCCAAAGCTTCCATGGGCGCCCTTCGGGTGTACGCTATGGTGGTGAAAGAGCTCAAGCAACACTCGCACAGGGTTGTCTCACTTACTGAAGGCCTTTACCTCCGCTGCTTGATGTCGCAGATCTACATGACAACTGTAGAGGTACGCAACATTTGCAGCAGTCTCGGCTTCAAGCTGAAGCCACCTGGTCCGAATAAGACACCACGAGCTTCGAGAGCATGGAGCAGCCGGACGGTGACCCCTACACAGCCAAAGCCGATCAACAGCAAACGCGCGCGTGGCGCCACCATCCTACGGAGCATGAGCAGTAATGCCAGTATACGCACGATGGCCCCTCCGGTGCCAATAAGCAGCACGAACACTAGTCGCAGCAACACCATGACATCCACCACATCCTCCTTCGGTGGCATCCCGACACCACGATCAAGCGACCTCTCCACCCTAGTACCCTCCAACACATCATCTAGGACGAACACTCTACGCAGTGAGATCTCGAATATCTCCGGTAGCACCCTCCGCATGCCCGATTATGGCGACGACGAACACTTCGACACCATATATCTCCAGCTACAACGCGCCTCGGACTTGGCACGAAAGTCCTTACCACACTGCAGGACCGAATTCGCATCACGACAGAGCAACGCAGAAACGCATGGCGGCGGCCACACGCGTTCAGCACACCACTGGGCCTCCGCGGTCTCGAAATGCGAAGCCGTGATCACGGCGAATAATCTCCTGCACTCCCGTCTCAAAGTCGTCAAGCTCAAAGACCCAGGCGTCAGAAATCAACGGGACTTTTGGCAACTCTGTGACGCTTTCGTGCAATCCTGGACCGATCTAGCGACGCAGATCAAGGACCTCTCACAGCAGCAACGACTTGCTGGTAGTGTGATCAGTGGGATGGAAGATCTGTCTAGTGTGCGAGGGGTCATGAGACCGGTGCAGAAGGCTGTAAAGGAAGTGAGTAAAGTCATTTCCGAATCACCGCTTTATCAACAAGCGCTTCGACAACCCTTTGGTCCTATGACAGGAGGAGGCGCGGGGCCAAATGGGCTCGCTCCGCCCTTCCCAGCGAGCGTCAATGCAGCGCTCGCGCAGGTCGTTGGTAGCCAGGGTCATCTCCATAATGTTGGATCCTACAGCAATGGAAGTCAGGGCTCGCATTCGGGGTACGTGACTCCGGTGCCTGCGACACCGCTTTCCGCCGCACTGGGTCCGGCGGCGCAGGCGACGGTGGCGAGTACACCTACGGAGTATTTCCCACACGGGCTGCCGACTGGGAGATCCGTGCATGAGTCTTCGAATGGCATGGGGAGACGGATATGAGTTGGAAGTTTGGGTAAGTCACCTTCTCCTTGCGCATTCTTTCCACAGACAATAGGCAGGACGATGAGCAAAGGAGAGAGGTGGGCGGGAAAGGAGAGGGTGATCGAAGTGCAGTGTCGTTGTATGCCATCTCGAGAGTATCGAAGCAGGATCTATTCGATCAAGAAGGAGTCAAGGCTAGAGGCGAAGAGGTGCGACGAGCAGGATCTAGGCGGCATAGTATGATACCCATGTACTCGTAACGGTCATCGCATGTACTCCTAGCATGTGACACAAACACTTCCGAGCAGAACAACATGAGAAGCAGGATCTTGAAAGTGTCGTCCATGTGTAGTCCGACGAATTTGGCAGTCAAGAGCGATTTCAATTGATGAAGCTATCTCAGCCGTGGCCGATGATGTAAACAATATCCCATCACTACGTTTCCCGCCTACAACGCGCGTGTGAACGATGCGATTGTTGTGATGCTCTCGCCATGGTGCACATGAGTCTTGAAATGATGCGCTTAGTCGAAGAGACCGAAGCCCATGTCCTCGTCGGACTCCTCCTTGGCTGTGAAGACGTTAGTGAAGACCATCCTGTCAAGCTTGTGTAGTATAGAAGATCAAACTCACCCTCCTCCTTCTTCTCCTCAGCAGCCGGGGCAGCATCACCACCAGCCGCGGCACCACCAGCAGCAGGCGCGGCGGCGGCGGCAGCAGCGGGAGCCGCAGCGCCAGAGCCGGTGTTCAGGAGCATTTCCTTGACGTCCTTGCCCTCGAGGGCCTTGGCGAAGAGGGTGGTCCAGATTGGCTCGACCTCGGGGACCTTGGCGGCGGTGATGAGGGACATCAACTTGTCGGCCTGGGATATTATGAGGAGTATTAGTACATGCGTGCTATTGAGTAGTCTTGAGCAAATGCGCTCTGCTGGTGGGTGGTAGAGGAGAGTGTACGTACAGTGATCTCAACACCGTCATCCGCGAGGATGAGAGCGGCGTAGGAGACGGCAAGCTCGGAGGTGGACATCTTGATTGTGGTGATGTGGGGGAGGTGTGGTGTGTGGTGTTGTAATGAGATGCCTAGAACGATCGAGGTGTCGTCGAAGGGCTTCTTCTCAATATGTCGATTTTGTCGTGGGGATAGTGAGATGCTGGTTGCGCTTCGCCTGCAAATTCCAATAATGCGGCTTGCATGCCAAGAGTTTTGATTTTGGTGCGGAATTAGTGTTGCTGCCTTGATGCCTGATGAGACTATCAAGCCCCCACTTGGCTTGGGTTCGTCATGCGGAGAAGGTGGGACCTGCGACCTCTTTGCGATACAGTAGTGGAAGTGCAGGACAGTCTCGTGCGCATCACGGATTATCACGGATTATCCTACCCAAACACAACAACAACTAACTCATACTGCCATAATAAACCATGACCGACTCACCAGCTTACCGCTTCCCTCTCGATGCCCAAGAACAACCGATCCTCGACCGCATCCTGAACATCCGCGACAACCTCAGCCTGCTAAAACAAGATCGAAGCACCCACATCAAATCCCAAGATGTCGTGCAATACTACAACGAAGTAATGGAGCAAGTCGACAAACTAAATGCGATCCGCGAGACCAAACGCGACGAACAAAACCGTGTCGACACCGTGCTAGACGACTGCTTCCAGCTCATCTCCCTCTTCTTCCTCACCATCGGCCGCAACTCGGAAGCTCCCGCCGTCTACAGCGCTATTAGTACTGTGAAACGGCTACTGGATCATCTGAAGGAGGCGGGCTTCTACAGCCAGAAGGATCTGGAGAGTATTAACCAGCACATTCAGCAATGGCGGGCGAGTGTGCGGCGGGGCAAGGATACCTTTAGCGATTCCTTACTGACGCTGTTGGATGCGAGGATCGATGTCTGTGTGCACATTCTGCATGAGTTGCAAAATCATTTGAGTCGGTTGGATCCGGAGATGATGGGGACGTATGAGAAGTTGGTTAGCATACTCAGGTCGCTGTCGGCTTGTAATACGCGGTCGAAGGTAAGAATCCGCATCTGATCTGGAATTCAAACCGCCACTGATCATCTGCTAGTTCCCATCGAGAGAGGTCAAGGAGTTCGAACAGCAATTGTTGGAAATTCAGGAACAGCTCCATGAGTCCAAGATCACATACGAAGGCAAGACCGCCGAGCAGGTGTACGCGGAACGCTTAGGACAAATGAGCTTGACCGAAGGCGAAGTATCAGATGGTCCGACTGTTGTCCGCGCACTCCTCGCAAGATGTCTCCTCTGGGTCGAGATCATCCAGGAGAAGTATGTCCTCCACCTCTCCTGCCCACCATCCACTGAATTAACGATGCTCTCACAGAAACGGCAAGATCGACGACCGCTTCCAAGAAACCTACGACAAGCTCCTCAAGATCCGCAACACCCTCGAACAAATGAACCTCACCCACGCCTGGTCCCTCCGCGAAACAGACCTCTACTCCTACCAACGCCAACTCGACCGCATAGACGCCGCTCGCATATCCGGAAACTTCCTCGATGCCGAAGGCCGTCCCGCTGATCTCCATGCGCAACGCACACTCCTCTACCTCATGCGCAAGAGCTACGCCTACGTCTACCAATACATCGTCTCCTCGGAACCCGTGTCGGAAGCCTTACTCCCGATCTACAACCAGCTCCTCACGTTGAAAAGATGTCTAGTCGAGGTCAAGAGGTCCGGGGGCGTGGATTCCCCACGCGAATTGTATCCGTATTCGATGAAGTTGAATAGTATTGATAATATGAAGAAAGATGGGAAGTTCATGGTTGGGAATGATATCCCCGAGGGCCAGGCGAGCGTGACGGCGTTGTTGGCCGAGTGTTTTGAGTTGGCTTATGAGTTGAGGGAGGAGAGTCAGAGCCATGAGGAGGAAGAGGCGGGTGGGAAGGTGGAGGGGGTCAATGGAGTGCAGGTGGCTGGGTAGTAGCCATGGGTGTGTTCCTGAAAGTGGTCATTGTGTGATGTTTATGAAGAAGATGTGTGCTTTGTCGCAAGGCGCTTGGGGAGTCTTTGTGCCTTTTCTTGTTCAGGACCATGACGAGGGTGGAAGGAGGGCTATGCGATGATGTTGTACGAGGTCGAAGGCACGATACGAGAACAGAACACTAGGCGACGAGTCCGAAGCTAGAGGGAATGTGGCAGAGAGAGCTTTACAACAGCCGAAGCACATCTTACTCGTAACGCAATCATCCCAGCCCAATCCTCCCCAACATATCCTCCTCGCTCTCCTGCTCCTCCTCCTTTGCCCCTTCTGCCTTCTCAGCATCTACAAAAGTCAAGTGATCCCCATAAGAAATACATAGTTCCTCGTCCGGAGCTACATCCCGTAGAGCGCGGTAGATCACGAGTTCATTCTCCAAATCCCGGGTCCAGACGACATTTTGGTCGTGGGTCGAGTGGTTGAACATGGAGCCTAGGCCGAGGACGACTGCTTGGGTCCTGCTTGATGGCTTCCGGACCCCGTTTGCTGGCTGAGGTTGCTTGGAAGGAGGAGCGGGATGGGGAGGACTACGAAGGGGCCAGTTGTAGGTATAGTGGTATAGGGCTGTTTTCTCGACGTGTGTGGCGTTTTCTTGTGGGTCGAGGATGAGGACGGGGCAGGTGTCGATGATTGTTCCTTTTGGTATTGAGTGGGAGGCGAAGACGCCGCGACCTGAATTGGGCGCTCAGTGATACATGTCTGAAGGCTTTTGTATGGAAGGAACGTAGAATACTTACCCTTTGGGGTATTTGAAAGAAGATAGAGTGAGGTTGATCTCTCTAAAGCTATCTTGTTGCTTGGCTGTTGCTCTGTATGACCATTCATGTCCTTTCCAAAACTCGAGAGTCGCCTTCCACCCGATGCAACAGTTGGCTAGGCGGTTACTTCTAGATGAATGGTAGACATAGGGTCGATAAGAAAAAGCTGAGCGTGCCTTCACATGCAACTGTCCCCTCCTGGTCCGTGCCCATGCTGTGTCCTCTTCCACCAGCCATCGTCTGTCTCTTCCACCACCATGATAGAGTCATGGCATGGCAAACCCTCCACCCACCTCCGTACCAGGAGGCGGTCTACCACATGCCCTCATCATGAAAGTCCTCCGTTTAGCTCGCCCATCACTCGCAACACAAACCCCACTACCTCATACAAACTTTGGCAATGGCTTGGATCTTCCGCCTGTGGCCTCGCTAGCCTATCCTTCTCCGGATGCAGATTCTACGAGCTTCCCACTGACGACACTCCTGACGTTACCTTCGGCTTTCGGCGCGGCGTACGTGGGCGAGACGTTCACGTGCACATTATGCGCCAACGATGTTCGGGAGGAGGATGAGGCGGCAGGGAGAGGGAAGAGGAGTATAAGTGCTGTCAAGTTCGCGGCAGAGCTACAGACGCCTAGCGAACCGTCTGGGAAAGCACTGCAGCTCTCCAGCGCCGAGAGGACAGACGAAACGAACAGCGACGATCTACCACCAGGCTCGACCGTCCAACGTACACTCCGCCACGAACTCAAGGAGGAGGGCCCGCACGTCTTGGCTGTCACGGTCACGTATACGGAGACCTCTCATGATCGCGAAGGAGGAGCTAGTGGAGGTCGAGTGAGAAGTTTTAGAAAAGTGTATCAGTTTGTTGCGCAGCAATTGATTGCTGTGAGGAGTAAGATCACTGAGCGCAGTAGCAAACGTACTGAGAAGGATAGTGGGAGCAGACAATGGGTCCTGGAAGCACAGCTTGAGAATGTTGGGGAGGCGGCAGCTGTGGTATTGGAGAAAGTGTGGTTGGATGGGAGGAAGGGTCTGAGGTCCAAGGATCTGGGTGGGAGCGAGGGTGAGGTTGTTGTGCTCAAGCCTGGGGATGTGGAGCAAGTCATGTTCCTGCTTGACCAGAAGTTGGAAGAGGGAGAAGCTGAGGCGGAAGTCTTTGTTTCTGGGAATCAGGAGCTGGCGAGGTTGAATGTGGATTGGAGAGGTCCTGTGGGCGAGAGGGGGAGTCTGACTACAGGGTGGCTGGCGAGTAGGGGTAGATGAGGTCGCTCCCGCGGGAGACTGACACCACCGCCCTGAGTGACGACGGGGCATCAACATGTCACGACGGCGAACTGCCGGGAGGTTATTCGGCATTGCCCTGTTCGATATATCTGGAGGTGGCATCTGACTTTCCACACGCGACAAAGGCGCGACGTCGAAAGCATCGCATCTGCGACTCAAAGTTCCAGATCTACGCCTATAGACAAGGAGGCTCCTTGAGATGGTGGACATTATTATCCGTGCTATCATTGCAACGTCCGCGTATCAGTAAGGCGGCTCTGCGACAACACCTCGATGTAACTTTCCACATCGATCGACTTGAAACAGGAGGACCGTTATGCTTGAAAGCTTGGGCCAGTGTACATTTGTACCTGGTCGTTTCCAGTCGACGAACCACGATGTTCGAGAGAGAGGCGTTCGCTGTGCACCAAACGCGATCGTGAGGGTTCTGTTCAGATCGCTTACAGCCGTAGAGCATATCGAGATTGCAACGCATTATTCTGCCTAGACTAGTGTCCCGCTGCGTATTTGCGCGGTATACGCGGCTACACGGTAGTCTGTGCCGTGCTCGAGGGAGTTTTCCTGTCGAGGCATAATGAAATGCTGTGAAGATTCCCTTGTATATTGTTGTGTATGCAGTCTCATGTATATGAAACAGGGCACTAAATATTGTCGGTTATACGAATAGTCTTGGCTTGCAGCAGCTATCTTGAATTCAGAACCACGAAAAGGCACGGTCCAGGTCAGGGATCATGGTCTCAGGTCGCGTCGATCGTTGAACAAGGATGAGATGACGCTTGTCTGCACGACCTACTACGCGATGCGGTAGGGTCTATCAATTGTTTCCTCCCTTCTCGTAAGATGTAACGCAGTACCAGGCAGCTTCCAACAGGCTGAATTCTAAGCATCGATCCAGCAAAGGGGCGCCACACGCTACAATGATTTAGTGCAGCTTGTACCTCCTCATTGGCCGTTGAATCCAATATGTTGGCGTTCGGTCGTGTCATATGTAAATCTACATTGGAGCCGTGGTGTGCCGGTCTGCCCCTCCCACGTTTCTTGCGTCTAACAGACGAAGGCTCACCATAGGCTCACAAGGGAATCCTTTGCACATCAATTGGCGGGCCTGGGGGTAGGATGGTCCAGTCCTGTTGCTTGAAAGGTCCGGCGATACATACATTAGCAGCCACTTGGCTTTCGCTAGTCTGCATCGGTGGTGGATGGTCTGAAGCGTAGGCGCGCCATACAGGACCTGCATGTACGACATCCCCCACTAGTAGGCCTGCACGTCCACACAGACCCTTCGCCGTCTTGACTCTGCACGCACACACAGACAACCATATGCGGCAATCATGAGCCAGGGTCTTGAGGTCCACGGCGCGCTATTGACGAAGCTGCGATGCGGTTGAGCCACCACTTAAGCTTGAGGTGCTTGCTCGTCCACCCCTACTACGCGCGAGCACAAAGGAGAAGTCGATCAGCCGCGTGTATTTTGTCTCGGTACAGTCGCACTGTCACCTTTCGGGAGCATTCGTGCAGACTCCACCATAAACCCTATCCAGCCCGTTCGTCTTGACTTTACGGAAGCATAAGTCGCCGGGCTCAGGTACGACGGCGATTTAGTGGAGCTGCCGCGATACAGTAACGGCAGCACCTTTCATATCGACGCAGCACCACTCTCCGTGCATGCCACTGACCGTCGACACTACCCGCCCTTCACCGCTACCGTCACCACCCCATCCATCGACACCTCCGCCGATCAGCTCGGGAGCTACAGCGCTCTATTCACCCTTTGCCGCGTAAACCTGCTCGAGCACGTCCTGACTTCGGGTAGAGGCTACCAACCCCCACCAGTACTCCGTCCATTGGTCACGGTTCCACGAAAAACACAGAGACCGGGAGCCTGCAGCACCGACAGCTGTCTGTCACGGCGAACTGCATATGCCAACCACGCAGTGAAAAGCCACTCCCGATGCATTCCTGAGCCTCACCCTTCGCGGTAGGCTCTCTCACATGCAGTGCTGTTGCACGTCCGCTCCCTTGCCAGTCGTCTCTTATGGCGCCAGCCAAGAAGGGCAATAATGCTTCGCAGCCCGTGTCTTCGTCGGGAGACACTGCTGCGCCATTGGCCGACTACTTCTTCATTTCTGGCATCGAGTCGAGCCAAGTGTACGAAGAGCGGACGGTCACAGCGTCTACGTTACCGGCCGCTCCGGTAGAGGATACTATCGATGAAGAGAAGCCTCTCGAGACGCACAACGAATCCCGACCTATCACACCAGGATCGCCAACAGAGGCTGCGAAGAGGAGGTCGCGGTATAGCTTCGAAGCAAGGAAAAGCATAGGCAGCATCATCACAGCAGTCGACACCACGACACCGGCCAGTAACAGGAGTAGCACGACTATCAAGGGCGTCACGAACAATGGCGTTGCCGGACTTAGCGACGATGCCTTTGAAGAAGCGCTTAAGAAGTTTGCTTCGGAAAGGGATAGCTTTTTGGAGGACATACATGTCTCTGCTGGAGTCGTGCCCACACCGCCCCAGAAACGACAACGTCCACGGACAGTCAGGATCACACAGGACGAGAGCACGCTGGCAAGTGCTGCGGGTGTGAAGAGTGGTGTTGGTAGTTTGCGCCGGAGACTATCGACCATGAACAGCATGAAAAGACATTCAGGAGCTGCAACTCGACAGGCCTCTGTGCGTACGACAAAGCGTATGAGCGGATACAACTCGGTCATTCCTGCCCCGCAACCATTCCAGACGAGTCCTCAGATGCATCCACTAAAGCGCCGCTACGAGCCTGTGCTTCTCGATCGCTACCCTACTAAGACTATGGCAGACGAGACGAAGCGGCGCAATCCCTTCCCTGATTACGTACCGATGTTCGCATTTCCGAATGATGTCTCGGTCGTATCATCAGACGAGCGACCTCGGTCGACATGGCATGGCTTTGCGATGACGAACTCGGACAACAGCAAATTGTATGGCATTTGTGTGACGATCTGGGTACCATTGAGTCAATCGGCATCCGAAGCTCTCGAGCAGCATTGTGAAGAGTGGCGGCGAGCGAACATGAGCAATGAGGAACGGGAGCTTGCGAGCAGTCTTGGGGAGAGGTTGTCTGCAGAAAGGGCCAAGCTGAGTAGACTTCTCGCTGAGCTGCCCAGTGTAGAGTCGGGTTCGGCGGCAAGAGAGAACTTGGAGGAGCAGATCAGTGCCGTGGAGGAGAAGATAGGACTCATGACTGATCTGCTGCGACCCGTCAGACATGCTGCAGCTTCGAAAATCGATGGCCTGACAGAAGGCGATACTGGCTTCTGGATTCCACGCGCGTATGGTATTCTTGGTCGCGACCACAGTCTCCTGAGCTTTTGGAAGGAGTGGCTGAGGGCGGTTGTGGTGCCCATGACGAATGGTGCCGTTCTGCGTGTGCCGGCCAGCTCGCCCAAAGTGGGCATCTGGCAGCCTCTGGAGCGATACGTCGTCAATCTTTGCGTGGAGGCGCTATCTCCCATCACTTCACTAACACAAGTCGAAGTCGCCATCCGAGATCTGCGACTTTATGCGCGAAAGGAGGCCATCAACGAGCTGCCAGGATCACGCAACACCGATCTCTATGCATTGTTCAGGTGTCTCTCGATACCAAATATCATCACTTTGTTCGAGTATACGCTTGCCGAATCACGCATTATCTTCCTCTCGTCACATACATCAATGCTCCAGCTAGCAACTTCGGCGCTCATCAATCTGCTATATCCACTAAAGTGGGCCGGTGTATTGATTCCCGTATTGCCTGCTCGTCTGATCCAGGCATTGGAGGCGCCGTGTCCCTACATTATTGGTGTGGAAAGGAGGTACGAGAAGCTGGAATTCCCAGATGACGACTTCTGCATGGTGGATTTAGACGAAGATGTTATCGAGAGTACAGCACCGCCAACACAACTGCCTCGACCGCAAAGGAGAAAGTTGCAGTCACTACTGCAAGTAGCTGCACCACATCACAATCGTTTCGGTGTGCCTACTGGTCCCCCTCCTTATGCGATAGAGACTTTTCCGCGGGATTCTTTCTCCTCTGAGAGCCCTCAGGTGTTCACGCCCAACGCTACACCACCAACATTAGCTGCATATGTCAGTGAAAGCTCGACCACTTTTGGTGACGCGACGCGAACGTCTGGCGCACCCGGTAGGACCCCGATCTTCAACGCCTTCTTGCAGGCACGAGAGAATTCACAGGGTACCGACCGACCCTCGACGAGCTCTACAGGCAGTCAATCCAGCCGACGATCACCACCGTCGCCGACTGCTCCCTCACCCATCTCCTCGAACTTTCCGCCTACACCAACATCACGAAACGACTCCGGCTTCTCACTGCAGGCCACACTTCGTGAGAAGCGGTCAGGCCACCTAGCAGATGGCCTCGCGCGGCGCAATTCAGCAGTACAGTCACTCTTCAACGCACGAAATGCACTACATGATAGGACTAACACACAGCAACAGTTTGATCGCATGAGCATGATCCGACGACCGAGCCAACCGGTTGCCATAGGTCACCATGCCACTCCGTCAACCTCGACTCTCAGTAACAGCAGCGGCAATGGCACTTCCCAATACGCGCCCAGTGTGTATGCTCAGAGCACGTTAGCTGCTAGCACGGTCATGCCGCAGATGATGGTCCAGCCTGTCCGCGACAACGAGAGTACGAAATGGATCGAGGGCCACTGTCTGCTTCGCCGGAATAAGGACGGCAGAAATATCTGCACGATCTGCGACGATAGGTGCGAGGACGAGTCGTTCAGATGTAGTGGTAAGCATAGCATTCTTTCTCTTATAATCTTGATCTGCATACTGACCCTCCCAGGCTGCGGCATAGTAGTGCACTTCCGCTGCCTCGCCAGCGTCTGCGTCGTCTGCCCGACCGCCTTCCACGCCGACCAAGTCCGCGCCGCTTTCGTCCGCTGCTTCGCCTCCCTCTTCTACACCTACCGCAAGTTCCTCCACCCTGCGTCCGGCGACCGTCGCAAGGCAGGCATGGTCTACCACTTCAACATGGAGCAGTTCCTCCGCAGCGTCCCGCACGGCGATAGCGAATACATGAACCTGCTCCGCCAAACCCAATCCTTCAACGAATTCATCCACGAGCGCGAAGCCACTCGGGCGGAAGACCCGAGTATCAAGCTCTTCGACGAGATCATCCTGTCCAAGCGAAACCGCGGCAAGCAATCCTTCTTCTCCAAGTCCACCACCTCTTTCCTCTCGGATACCTCCGATCACTTGTGGCGATCTGCTCTCGCTACTCCACCTACCAGTCGTCTGCCGGGTGACAGATCAGCAGTCACCGGGCGCACGCCAGCGAAACTCGACCCGACCTTGATGAAGGAGCCGAGGTCTATCCAAGGCGCTCCTAGGATCCAGCAGGCGAGGGCGAAGAGGAAGCCCGTGGCTAGTATGCTTGGCTTGAGCTCGCAGACTGCCGAAGGGTCATAGAGCCGATTGCGATGGGATGTAATGATAATGGTTGGCTTTGCCTTCTTGGTTGATTGGTTTGGCTGAGTAGGGAGTCACGTGGCGCTGGCGCCGAGTCGTTCTTGCATGTTGTATCTTATTGAGCGTAGGCGCAATTGGGCATCTGGTCATCTGTTAGGATGGGAGGAGGTCCAATGGAGTGATACTTTGAGATTATTAGGCAGGGGTGCTTCTTGAGGCGAGGCGAGTCGCTTGGGATAGAGATGGTGGTCTCTTGGATATACTTCAAGCAAAGGAATGGAGAGCAATTGTCGGTAGATCTAGCATGGTAGCAGCAGCAGCTTTGTAATGTACGATATGAGCCTCATCCATGATGTACCCGTCTATCCCTTGTATCATTCATGCTTCGTTCGTTGCATCGATGGTCACTCCAATAGCAGATCTACATCATCATCATCATCACCATCCTCCTATCAATCGCATTCCTCAACTCCTCCTGATTACCCACCAAACTCATCAAAATCTCCTTCGCCTTACTACCCCCACACTCCCCATGCCCATGCCCATGGCCCTCACCAGTCTGAACCCCATCTCTCTTCGCCTTCTTAAAATCAATCTCAGGCGTAACAGCAACACAATTATACTGTGCCTGCGCCGCCCTCAACTGACAAATCGTCCCCGTCTTACAGCTTCCCGTACACGCACTCACGCCATAACCACGGCTCTTCCGCGCGTTGAATTGTTGGAACAAGGTATCGTTGGCTTGGAAGACGGTGGTTAGATTATGCCAGAACGCTGGTGTTAGTTCGGCGCTTGCGGCTGTGATGCCCACGGAGGGGCCGTAGGCGGCTTTGGCGCTGTAGTAGGGTGACCAGATGGGGCCGCCCGTGGTTTGGTAGGTGGAGGCCTCGAGAGATGTGCTGTATTCGGTGTAGTCTAGGATGCCGTAGGTGACTGCCATGCATATCGTTAGCTTTGAGCCGATTCGTGTCTCACATGTGGCTTCAGCCGATCGCTACTCACCTGGATCAACGCTGTAGACGCGGAAGGCCGGGCTTCCAGAAGTCGGGGTGAGAGCAGGACAGATATACGAAGTCATGACGGCGTTGGCCGCGGTCTGAGCGGCGTAGTTGCTGTATGAGAGTTGGAATTCGCCTTTGTGTGTATGGCCGAAGAACTGCTCGATAGAGAGAGAGAGATCAGCCACCAAGCAGGTCCATATCGATACTTGTAGTTAGGGCGGAAATGGCGCTGTCAAGGGCTTACCATAGCAGCGATCGTCGCACTATACCGATTCACAACCTGATCCAAGTAAAAACTCCCATCATGCAACGCATCCCCACTCCCCAACGGCATGTGGCCCAGCACCCAGACCCTCTCCCCAGCATCCTCCGCCACCTGCAACTGAGTCACAAACCACGCCAACTGCCCATCCGGATCCCTCTCAATCGTCTGCTCATACAACCAGAAATTCTCCTTGTAGTATAAATTCGTATTGATGGAAATAATCCTCAGATTCTGCGAGGGAAGCTTGTAGCTGTAAGCACCGTAGTTATCTGCTTGCGTGGCGGCGGAGGCGCCGATCCATTGTTTCCAGCTGGAGGAGAGGGTGTCGTAGACGTATTGGCTGGAGATGGTCGTGTTGATCGCTTGAGGCGGGAAAGAATTCACGGGCGCGGCGTCATGGTTGCCGACGGCGGCGTAGACGGGCATTTTGAGGGTGTCGGACATGGTGGTGTAGGCGTTTTGGAGGTCGGTGGTTACTTCGGCTTGGTTTACTAGCCAGACGGCTCCTTCGACTACGTCGCCGGTGAAGATGCTGAAGGCGGCGTTCGGGGCGAATTGCTCGATGGCGGTGTAGAGGGATTGCTCGAGGGTCTTGGGGGAGTCGCAGTGGTGGTTTCCGTTCGGTCCGCAGGGGTATGCCGTTTTGCCTGGAGCATCCGAGGCAGTGTACGGCCTACAGCAGATGTTCTTCGTGCAGTTGTAGTTCGCCCCGGTGGTGTAAGACAAGTCCACATGGATATCCGAGAACTGGGCGACCTGAATTGGCGTCTTTCCGCTCGCCGCCGGCCTAGAAGTCGCGGGCTTGGGCTTGGGAAAGGGGACGGTATACGGTGTGATGGCCGGGTAATCGCAGAGGCCAAAGAACGTGGTACAGAAGAGCTGAGACGTCTTGGATGGAATCGTCATCTCACGAAGATCGTGCGCGATAATGGGTCCCTCTAATTCAATAGCTCCGGTGCATACATCAGCGTCTTCCGCGCCGGAGAGAATGCACACCGAGGCGATGATAGCGACAAAAGCATCGTTACCCAGATGAGCCAGAGCCTGGAGGGTGACGAGGAGGGTTTCGCAGCCGGCACAGGTGACAGTGTTTTCTATATCCTGCCAGATGCTATTGGCGCTGAGGGAGGATTGAGCAAGGACGGTGCTCGAAAGTAGGGCCAAGGAAGCTGTAGTAAGAAAAGAAATGAAAGTCTTCATCTTGCCTCTGACGATTCTTATCTTGCAGAAACGGAAGTCCTCACCTGGAATAATCCATCTCACCTACCCTTTATACCATTCCCTCGCTTCCCCCTCCAACAACAACAACAACAACAACCTACCCTCGTAACTCGTAAACACGCCCCCATCGGACCCATCCACCTCAGCAACTACTACAAACCTAGCGCACTTCCAAACCTGCCAGCAGCACTCTATCACTGCAGCCGCGCAGTCAAAACTTCCGTCCGTCAATGGCGAGGTGAAGTCGTCCCAAGTCAAGTTTAATAAAATCGCAGACTATCGAACAAGGATGCCGGCAGGACCCGTCCAGCACGCAGAACCCACGTTGCTTGTTTCCGACGCCGACAATGGCCAGAATAAACCCCCCGACCCTCCTATCTATCCAAGCTATCCTCTTGAGTCTCGGCTGGAGAGAAGCGTGACCATGTTTCGCGCAGAGCTAAGGAGTCTCATCTTCCTCGGTTAGATGCATCATGCACGAAGCTCGAGAAATTTCCAATATCGATTCCTGTTAGCAAATCTTTCACCAAGCAAGATCTCAGGCCATACCGTTGTCGCCTTAGAGCGTTAGAATGGCCTGCCTTGGCGCTATTGATCAAGGTGTGATATGATTGCGTAGTGAGTGGTGGGTCCATGAGGGCGATCAAAGGGAAGGGATTAAAGAGAGCACGAAGATACGAAAACACAAGGCCCTGCCATGCCAAAGTCCATGGCCATACCCGCTAGCATATCTAGCAGACCAGGCTACCGACGAGGCAAGGACAAAGGGCGGGAAAGGTTTGTCGGAACCGAGTGAAGAAAACATATCCCACGCCGCTCTATCTTGTCAAGACTTTGCCATCCATGCTTGTGCTTGTGCTGCCGCGAATCAAGTCCCATCCTCTACCCACGACCTCTTCTCCTGCACCTCACACCTCACACCTCACACCTTCCACCCCCACACCGTCCTCGGAATAATCCTACAAACAGACACCCGAGCGCGCGCTTAACCCTCGAAAGTAAGCGAAGTCCCGATCTTATGCCCAGCCTCATTAAGCTTCTGCGTGTCGAGCGAGAGACCGAGCCCCAGCGTCGTGCCAGCATTGAGCTTGGTGCTGTAGGCGAGGGCGGCGATGCCGCGGTCGTTGACCTTGACCTGTTCGTACGAGAAGAGACAACACATTAGCAAAAAGGTCCCAGTCTTCCACCCGCCGCTTGGATCAGAATATAGATGTGTCGACTCACCTTGGCAAAGCTAAGCGGGTCGAGCTTGTACTTGGACGCCAACTCCAACCCACTGGCCTTCTGAGCCTGGACGTCATAGCCGACCTTCGTGCCGACCTCGACGGAACTATTGACCTTCTGGTAGTAGGAAGCAGCGATGATGCTCAGATTCTGCATGCCGTGGATGGAAGCGGTATAACTCGGGGTCTGGTACGCGAGGGCGAGACCATAACGCGTGATAGCGGCCTTCTGGACATCGTAGGCGGCCTCACCGCCGACGAGAAAGCCTTCGTGGCCGGCGACGACGTCGACGACGGCGTCGATGTTGCCGTTGGATTGGGCGTAGTTGATGAAGGCGCGGGAGTGGACGTTGGGGTTCTTGAAGGCGAGGTTGATCTTTTGCGCGGCGCTGTTGGCTTTGCTCGGGTTCCAGAGGTTCTGGAGGTCGATCTTGGCGCCGGGGGCGACGAGGTCGTTCAGTTCGACTTTGGTGTCGAGGAGGGAGTTGGTGCTGTAGGCTTGGGTGATGGTGACGCCTGTTTGGTGGGCTAGGGTTAATGAGATTCTCTGGTGGGCGGAGGAGGGGGCGGCGGTGGTTGCGCTGGTGATGAAGAGCCAGAGGTGCGTTCGTAGGGGCGCAGGAAGTGGTGTGAGGAGTTGGGCAAAGCGGATGAAGCGGGTTGGCTGCTGCGTGGAGGAGGAGGAGGAGGAGGGAGGTGAGTGCCTACCATGGGGTTTGAGGGTGTGCTTGCCCTCGACCTAACAATCATATTAGCTGTGCGCTTTCGCATATGATACAATAAGGCAGAACTCACGGAACCGCTGGTCACGCCGTCAAAGTTCTGCTTGCCCTTGACGGTGACATTGGTGCCATTGGGAGCGCGGAGCTTGACATCGAGGGTAGCTATACCACATGGTCAGTTTCAGTCCATCACCTCACATCACATCACATCATCCATTGGAGCTCTTCCTCGTCTCCTCTCTCTTTCACGAACCCTGGCTGGTATGGTAGAAGTCCTTGTTGATGAGCTAGTCAAAACACCTTTGTCAGCATGCGCTTCTCTCATCATCCCTTCTGACTTGCAGATACTCACATCATTAGCAGCCTTGCCCAGATCCCCAAACGCCGGCACAGGCCCAGCGAAAGCGCGGTTGACCTGCGAAGCCAACTTCTCCGTGCTGCCAAACGGCTTGGGGATGTCGGAGCTCAGAGGGGAAGCCATTGTGTGTCGTATGAATAGGCTCCTGATATAGGTAGATATTCGTGAGGTAGTAGTAGTAGTAGTAGTAGTGGTTGTAGCAGCAGTAGTAGTAGATGTGGTACGCTCGTCAAGGAACTATTTTGTTTGGGTCACAAATGTCAGTTTCGCGGGAAGCTGTTGCTCGCTAGCCCTGGGAAGCTTTTTGCCCGGCTTCTCTTTGCCGCGGAAGAAGTCGGGCATGAGTCGCATGACATGAGGGCCGCACTGACGTTTGAGTAGTGGGCACGCGATGAGGGACGCGTCGCGATTGGTTGTTTCGAAGAAGAGTCCTCGTGCTCCGTGTATGTAGAGCATCAATCACCTTGGCCATTACCGTGTTTGTGGCAGTAGGAGTTGACATCGTTCCACTTGTTGTTTCACCATCATGTTGGAGAAAGTTCTGATACAACCCAACGTTCTGTGCAACAACAGAGGCAGGAGCGCCAAAACAAGCTCGCGTGCGACCAAGCGGTTCTGTAGAATGCCTGACATGCACCAGAAGCAAACCACCGTGTCAGCTTCGATGATACCAAGCATTCAATGTCTATCTCTACACAATGGCCGCGCAGTTCGTGTGATGTGATGTGATTCACGTAAAGCTAGGCATAACTTCGGCTCAGCATGCACCACCCTCTCCAGCAAATACCAGCAAAGGCCGAAACCAGCAAGAAATCCCATGTTTCATCTCGCGCATCATGCCTTTTCAAGGCCCCCCCCAAAACAACCACCCACCTCACTTCCCCTCCCCACCCTTATAAGCAGCATCATGCGTCGCCACCGCCCGCCCACTCGGATCCGTCTGCTTCGACCAAGTAGGCGTCCACCGCATCACCGTACTGGCACAATACGCCGGGAAGTGCTCATCAAACATACACCGATACCAATACGCCTCCTTACTATCCGGGAAATCCCCCTCCTCCCACTGCGGATGATCCTTCTTCATGGCTTCCACCTTCATTTGCTCATCCGAAACCATCTTCTTCGCCTCATCCTTCAACGCGTCGATCCAGCCGTAGCCCACGCCGTCGGAGAATTGCTCCTTCTGCCGCCAGAGGATGTGATGCGGTAAATAGGCCTTCGCGCCCGGAGCCAAGGAAGCAGGATCAAAGGCTTGCCGGAGAATGTATTTCTCAATCTTCCCCTTGGTGATCATTTTCTCCGCCGGATCGATATTCATCGCCGTGTCCAGGAACTCTTTATCCAGGAACGGCACCCGGGCTTCCACCCCCCATGCACTCGTCGACTTGTTCGCGCGCAGACAATCCGCCAGATGCAAATTCTTGACCCTCCGCACCGTCTCCTCGTGGAAAGCCTTCTTGTCCGGCGCATTATGGAAGTAAAGATAGCCCCCGAAAATCTCATCCGACCCTTCACCCGACAACACCATTTTCACGCCCATGGCCTTGATCTTGCGCGCGAGCAGGAACATGGGCGTGCTGGCGCGGATGGTGGTGACGTCGAAGGATTCGAGGTGGAAAATCACATCAAACAGGGCGTCGAGGCCTTCTTGGATGGTGAAGGTGAGGGAGTGGTGTTTTGTCCCCAAGAACTTGGCGACTTCGAGCGCGGCTTTGGAGTCCGGGGCCCCCGGGAGGCCGATGGAGAAGCTGTTGAGTTGGGAGAGGACGGGGACGTCGGTGAGTTTGTAGTTTTCGTCAATGCCGGTTAGACTGTCTTCTTCGCCGTTGGTGGGGACGGCGGGCGTGCCGTTGACGAAGCCGTTGGTGCTGGGGGTTGTGGTCCCGGACTGCATGGCTGCTAGCTTCTTCGAGTATTCTCTTTGCAGTCTCAGTGTCTCCCTCTGTGCGATTGCGGCCACGAGCGAACTGTCCAGACCTCCAGATAAAAGCACCCCATACGGCACCTCAGCCATCAACCGCTTCCTCACCGACCTCTCAAACATCTCCCTCAAGTGCGTCAGATCCAAGGGTGTCGAAGGGATGTTCGATGGCTCCATCAGCCACTTCGGGGTATAGTACGGCGTGAGCTTATCCGTCTTGCTATCATACACATGTCCCGGCGGGAAGAAGTCAATTTGGTCGCAGACGGGATGCAGGCATTTCAACTCCGAGGCAAAGTACACCGCACCCGGCGTCTGCGTCGACCGTCCCATATAGAACGTGGTGATTCCAATCGGATCCCTCGCCGCGATCAAACGATCTTGCTTCTTATCATGCAAGACCCACGAGAACATCCCATCCAGGTGCTTCGGCGCATCAATGCCATGTTCCTGATACAGCGGGATGATGACCTCGCAATCGCTGTGGGTCTTGAACGGGTACTGGTGATGTAGTCGCTTCCTTAAAATCTTATGGTTGTAGATCTCGCCATTGACAGCTAGGGCGATGGATTCGTCTTCATTCAAGATCGGTTGGGCGCCCGTGTCGACGCCGACGATGGAGAGGCGTTCGTGCACGAGGATGGTGTTGTTGGCGGTGTGGTTGCCGCTCCAGTCCGGGCCGCGGTGTTTGACTTGCTTGCCCATGCGGATCGCGGTGCTGCGAAATTGTTTGACATCGGGGTGGCTGGGGTGGGTCTTTAGTGTTAGCTGATAGTGTGGTCTCGTGAGATAGCCATTATGGGAGTGAGATGGAGAAGACGTACCAATGGCAGGCGAAGATACCGCACATCTTGGCGAAGTGGGTGAGGAGGGTAGTGAATGTGGTGTGGGATGAAGCAGGAGAGTATATTATGGTGTGTGTACAACCCACGTTACCATTCACCCGGCCTGACTCCCGCGCACAGTCACCGCGATAAGATGTCTCTCTCCACCACCACCATCAAGCCGCCCAGCTAATTTTGCCAGTTTGTGATTAGAGCCGCGATCGGCGCCTCGGCAGAAGCGACGGACCGTCCCGCCGCATGATCCCTGCATGTGTCGAATGTTGACGCTAAGCCTTGCTTCCCATTGCTTGCGTGTAAAGCATGTGCGCTGTCATCCCTCGAGCCTGTTTCTTGGATGAGTATTTTGAGAGCATTACGTAGGTTGTCACGGATTGCAACATTTCACAACCAGAGAATACTCCAAAAACAACAACATCACCCTTCGAGCCCAATTTCCAAGCATAGCTTCCCAATTACCGTACCTTGCATAAGTGCCACAGCATACCGTAAACGTTAATCCGCTCTAACCACATCCCTCCATCCATCCATACATACAATACTCTGCAGCCAGCATGAGACACAGCAGCAGACGGATAGCGACGTCAAGTCGATAGTTCCGACCACGCCCCAACTACCTCGTCATGCGTTCCGCCCTCGCAGCAGCAGCCACCCGCCGCGCCGGTCGATCTCGAAGTACTTCCCTCTCCGCCGTCCCACCCTCGGAGTCCTCACATGACTATGTGCCTGAATTGGCGGCCATAGCGGCGTCGATATTATATCGGTCACCCTTACCATCACGAGAAGGACGGCCGATATTCGTGCTGAATGCTGCCGCGTTTCCCGATGCCTGGGAGGTGGATTATGATAGTTTGCTTTCCTATGTTCTGGCACGATTACCGGGTGAGGAGGAACTGATCTCCGGGACGGAATATGAGATCGTCTTCTTTGCTGGGGGCCAGCCGGAGGGTGCGACGAGCGAGAAGAAGCAGGGGCCGGGCATGGGATGGTATCTCCAAGCTTATCACGTGCTGAGTCGAGCAACGAGGAAGAAGCTACAAAAGCTATATATTGTGCATCCGCGGACATGGGTGAGGGTGTTGGTTGGTGTATTCGGAACGATTGTGTCGCCGAAGTTCAGGAGGAAGATTATGCATGTCAATACGCTGTCACAATTGGCTTTGCAGGTCCCGATCGAGAGGTTGCTGATCCCGCCTTCGACATACTTACAAGATCGCAAGATGGAGGCCGAGATCGATGTGCCGTATATGGCAGGCAGAAGGGCTTTTGGCGCCAGACATCCGCTTCCTAAGAACCTGAATACGGGGAAGACAAGGCTACCGAGAGTGCTGAGGGAGACGACGAGTTTCTTGATGCTGTCGCAGAATGTTGTCATGGAGGGTTTGTTTCGGATCCCTCCCCACAGTGTTCTGGCTGGGGTGTTGAAGGAGGCGTATGATCGTGGCCAGCATTTTATTGTGTGGAAGGAGAAGGGCGCTACTGTTGTCCAGCCGGGTATCGATCAAGGGCTTCTTGATGAAGTGCGGTTGGAGGATGCATATGGTGTGCACCTGGCCGCGTCGATGATCAAGATGTGGTATCGCGAGCTGCGGGACCCGATCTTTCCAGAGTCGAGTTATGCTGGGCTGCGGGAGAAATGTAGCAGTCCAGATGCTCAACCTACGTTAGAGGAACTGGTCGAGCTGATATTGCCTGCCTCGCCACTTTCGCCATTGACGTCGACCAGCCGGGAAATCTTGACCCGGCATCTGCTACCCCTATTATCAGCGATCGCAGAACGTGAAGCGCAGAACAAGATGAATGCTGAGAACCTGTCGATATTATTCTCGATGTGTTTGGTCTGTGGAACAAATCAATTGGAGGACGCGAAGATGGCGAATGTTATCAAGAAGGTCCTACAGAAAGCTATAGCTGAGTGGCCACTACTCCGCGAGGGCCTAGGCATAAACAGAGATGCCTTTGCAGCAGCCCTACTGCCACCGAGCGATAGGAGGGATTACGAAGATCCGGTCGACGATGAAAGTCACACCACGGATCCAGACGACAACGAAGAAGGCCATCGAATACTCATGGCCGACATCGACGGCACGGAAGAGATCCCCGAACCAAAGCCAGTACCCATCCTTCCACCAAGGTCCTCAGGTATGGCACCGCCGCGCAAACCATCACCATCATCACTCACATCAGCTGACAATTCCTCCACCACGGAGACCAAGCGAGCACCAACCCTCCCACCACGCCCTCTCGCTCGATCAAGAGCTGCGTCGGCAGCTAGACAGCAGCCGTTACTACCTAGCCTCGACGTCGTCGGCGTTGGCGGAGTCAAAAGAAAACCAGCACCTATGACTGCGCAAGCTCCTGATTCGGCACCTGCTTTGTTGGATCCACCCGGACATTCCACCGTGTTTGATAGTGAGGGGAGGAGTCTGCACGTTGCTGATTCTCCGGCGAGTTATGCGCCTCCTGCAGATGGGTTTGGGCCGGCGAGGAGGGGGAAGAGTGTGAGGGTTGTTGCGGCGGATGAGGAGAAGAAAGGTCTTTTGCCTACTTATGCGGAGCCGGAGGGTATGCATCCTGCGCTGAATGTGCCGAAGCGGAAGGCTGTTTCGGGTGATGTTCCTGATACTTCGATGGCGACTGGGGTGCAGGGGCAAGGTTCGACTAGGAGTGCGTCTGAGGGCTCGATGGTGGCGAATATGGCGGCTTTGGCTGCGCGGAGGGGGGCGAGTATGTCTAGTCAACGGGACGGAGCGGAAGGTGTGGGTGAGGATCCCATCATCAGCGAGCCGTCGTCGGAAGGTGCATTAGGATCAACAACGGATGAAAGGGCCTTCCGGAAACCTTCCTGGCCGGCTTCCGCTATGCGCCGGCAACAACCTCGAGGTCAGAATTCCACACCAATGATCTCGGCGCAGGAGAGAGCTCTGCTGCCATCAAGGCAGTCCCGCACACTCCCCCAATCCAGCACGAGCTCCACTATCACCAATGGCCTGCAGCCCCCTCCTAGTGCGCCACGCCACCGAGCACCCTCTCCAGGCCTACTAAAGCGCATGGAAACGATGGAAGCCACTTCCTCTCAACGCTCTTCTACGGCGGAACATGAAAATGGATATCAGCCCAGGAGATTGAATCTGAAGAAGACGAGTGTGGATGATTTGAGGCGGTTGTATGAGGAACGGGTCGGGTTCGCGGAGGGGTTGCGGAGGATGGATGTTGTGAGGAGGAGGAGGGGGTCGTCGGGGGTTGGGGAGGCGACGTAAATATATGGGAAGTTTTGGGTCTAGATGGATGGGGGCTTGAATTTGGTTTTCAGGGAGGGAGGTCTGGTTTGCTTTGCTTTGCTTTGCATAAATACCCTAGTGTTATAGTGCTTCTATTCTATTGGATAGGATTGACAGCTTGGCGAGTGTGCTGGGTTGGGATGAATTGTGGTCCTGCGCACCTTTCGCGTCGTTGCCGTTCTTTCATGGTCGCGTTCCACCAGTCTACCATAACGTTGCTCCCGATTCACCTTTTATGCAAAGATTATACATTCATCGACAACCATCTGTTCTATCATGTGTATCCACGGCAGGCACGCTGTGAGCGATATCGGCCTTGGCACCTTCGAGCTTCGAGCTCTCAGGCTAAAAAGTTCTAGAATGTCGAGTTCGAGTCATTTCATGAGCCATTGGTCTGCCTCTTAAGAGATCATACCACCCTCTACACCCTACACTCGCTTTCCCCAAAACACACTACACCATACACGAGAAATGTCGACCTTCGGCCAATACTTCCGCGTGTCAACCTATGGCGAGTCCCACGGCCGCAGCGTCGGCTGCATCGTCGACGGTTGCCCGTCCGGTCTTCAACTCACGGAATCCGATATCCAGCCCCAAATGACACGGCGACGACCGGGTCAATCTGCTCTCACTACCCCGCGCGATGAGAAAGATCGAGTGGCTATTGAGGCCGGGACGGAATTTGGCGTGACGTTGGGTTCACCCATTGCGTTGAGAGTAATGAATGAGGACCAACGACCCAAGGATTATGGAGGCGGAGGCAAGAATATCGATGCTTTCCCCCGGCCTTCGCACGCCGATTGGACGTATCTGGAAAAGTACGGCGTCAAGGCTTCGTCGGGCGGGGGGCGGAGTAGTGCGCGCGAGACGATTGGACGAGTAGCGGCGGGGGCTATCGCCGAGAAGTACTTGAGGGTTGCGCATGGGGTGGAGATTGTGGCGTTCACGTCGAGTGTGGGGTCGGAGTTTCTGTTCCCGCCTACGAGGGAGCATCCGACTGCGGCGAATAATCCGGCCTTTTTGGAGTTGATCGACGGGGTCACGAGGGAGAGGGTGGATGAGTTTTTGCCGGTGCGGTGTCCGGACAGTACGGTGTGTAAGAGGATGGAGGAGGTAATTGCCGAGTTTCGGGATAAACAGGATAGTATTGGGGGGGTCGTGACATGTGTCATACGGAATTGTCCTTCTGGGTTAGGGGAGCCGTGTTTCGATAAGTTGGAGGCGATGTTGGGTCACGCTATGCTTTCCATCCCCGCGACGAAAGGTTTCGAGATCGGCAGTGGCTTCGGTGGGTGCGAGGTCCCTGGCTCCACCCACAACGATGCCTTTGTCAAGGCGCCCGCCGTCACGCCTGCGGAGGCAAACGGCATCGCACAACTCACCCCCGAACAGCGCTCGCGCCGACCGCGCCTCACGACCAAAACGAACAATTCCGGTGGTATACAGGGTGGGATCACGAACGGTGCACATATCTACTTCAACGTCGGGTTCAAACCCCCGGCTACTATCGGCCAGGCGCAGCAGACGACGGGGTATGATGAGACGGAGGGCACGCTGCAGGCGAAGGGGAGACATGATCCGTGTGTGATTCCGCGCGCGGTGCCGATTGTGGAGGCCATGGCGGCGTTGGTGGTAATGGATGCTGTGATGGCGCAGTCGGCGAGGCAGAGCGCGAGGAGTTTGTTGCCGGTCTTGCCGCAGACGGTGCCGGTGGGGGAGTCGGCTAGCACGCTTATGAATGGGCGGCAATGATTTTATCGTGGCGGTGAGACTCCGTTGTCTGGGTGTGGGCTGCATGGATGGGTCCGGGGTGGCAAAAGCAGGGCATGGATGGAGTTGTTTGGGACTATGTACAGCGTTGGCGTCTGGGTATGGCTGACGCAGGTATGTATAGAGGTAATGCGAGACAGCATCCCGAATCAGGAGCTGTTGAGAAGAAAGATGGGGGTGTTCACAGTCTCACATCTTCCGTTCCTTCTTTGTGCTCATATCTTGTCAGAAGGCTTCTGTCAGGTGAAAAGCAAGATACAAGTATGTCTCCATCTCTCCTCCTATTCCCTTCTCTTTCCCTTGCAGGCAGGCCTCAGATCAACTTACGAAAGGCGACAATACAGCTACATTTCATTACATACCGATTCAAACCACATCTCTACAAGCATCTCCGTCCCACGCACCCGCGACCAACAAGACAATCACAAGCGCAGCACATCATGCACAACAACACCTGTTGCCCGTTCAGCAGTTGCGGATACTGCAAGCGGCCAGAGCCTTACAAGCCGAATCTCCTCATTGGCGATCGCATCAAAGCTATCGGTACCCATACCAGCAAACTGCACGATAGGGACCCTCATCGGCCGCGGGATGCTCCAGCTCCTCACGGTCCTGCAGCCAACCCGCACGTTGGTGCACTTGCTGCCGCTCCAGCAGCACAGATGCCACGTCCTGCTGTTGCTAATGCTCATGGTAGCCATGGCCCAGACAAAACAGATGACAAGGAACTTCCTGACGACAACCACGGCCCAGGCACGAAGCCAAAGACGCTGACTAAGGACGACAACGCATCAAGCCAGAAACCGACTCCTGTGCAGAACCCCCAAGAGAGCGCCAAAGATGCAGCCGTAGCTGCTGCGGGTACTGAGCGTTCAGAGGGTGCCGCTGTGCACCGGGATGACTACAAAGAGACTTTCGTGGACGCAGGTCCGCCAATCAGTCCGGGTCCAAGGAGATCGCCTCGATTGTCCCGGAAGCGCAGTTCAGAGGAGGCAGAATTGAAGGGCAGCGAGATAGAGAATGGTGGGTCGAAGATTGCTGGGAAGCGGGGGAAGAAGTGAGGTCGTGGTGCTGTGGTGTGATGAAAGGGAGCGGGGAGTGGATGTGGATGGCTTGTTCGGGCTTTACATTGTACATATGAGCTACTGATAAGGTAATAACGTAATGTCTAATAGGAGCTGGGCTTTGCCAAACCTCGACCCAGTTCCGCATTTCAACCTAGCCTTTGACAGATCAAGCATGATCGATCAGGCTAGGACCAACGCCGATATCGATCGTAAACACATGCAAAGGCGGCACAACATAGCTTGTCCCATTATTGAACGGCTGACCTCTATTCAGCTGCGCCGCCGGCATCCACAGCCTCTTCTGCGTATCAATCCACATCGCATCAACCCACAGCAACCTCGGATCCTGACAGAGCAGTGTTTTAGTGCCGTTAGGGTAAATCTTGAGAATACTCTGATTATCAGTATCGCTACTGTAAATATTGCCTTCGGCATCGATCGCTGTGCCGCCCGTGCTCGGCGTCAAGGCGAACGGCTCCCGGTAATCGGACAGGACTTGTGCCATGGAGGAATTGTAGAATGCTGCGTCCAACGCAGCAGTTGGAATCAGAGACATTCCGCCGTTCGAGGGCTGGTAGTAGTAGTACTTCCCATCTGGCGAGACTTCGTGCTGATCGGCGTAGATGTGCTCGAACATTCCTCCGGAGGCATGGAGGAGGTTTCCTTCGGCTGACACGGGCATGTAGGCGCTTGTGCTTGCGTCGTCCACTAGGACTCGGACTGTGGCGCCGGTGCAGAGGTCGAGGATGATGATTGCCGGTGCGCCGGCGTCGGTGAGGTAGGCTTTGTTTGAGGCGGGGTTGAAGCGGACGTCGTCGAGGAGACTGGAGGAGAGTGTGGCGTTGCCCATGCTGTAGACTCTTTGGACTTGGTTTGTGGTGAGGTTTACTGAGACGAGTTTAGGTCCATTGGGGAAGATGACTGGGGCGCCGAAGGCAGGCGAGCCGGTGTCGACAAGCCAGAGAAGATCTTCAGGACCGATACGTTGAGAGTTCGTGCGGACTAGATGTGTCGCCGGGTCTTTTCCAGTGGTGTAGTTGTTCCATTCTGCGTTGGGATATGGCACGCTCGTGTTGATTATAGTGTTGTATTCGACTACTTGTGGGCCCTTCGAGCCGTCGACACGGGCGAAGAGGACGAACAGACGTCCTTCTGGTGTTGTGCTTACGCCATTGCTAGGATTTTGGAGCGTAAGTGCCGTCTGTATTCGTAGATCCTCCGGACCTTGGTAAATATAAGAAGACGATAGGCTTGCTGTCAGCACCAAAGCACACAGGTTGGGTAGTGATCGTGTCCACTTCATCTTGCTTGATGGTGAACAGAGACGGTACAGAGACAGGATTCGAAAGCATAGAAGTACTCTACCTTTGATCCATTCTATTGCAGTGACGTTGTGCAATGGGTTCGCGGCGGGGCTCGTCTTCACCTTCCTGGCTGGTCGATCTGCCGTTCATCCTGAACTACAAAGCTGAGGATGTCGTGGATATAAGCTACTGATGCAGGACGAATGCAGCGGCCGACATCATTGTTGACATCATGGTGCGGCGCTGTTGAACTTTCGTGCGGAGAGCTGGGTTGATCCTGCGGGGCAGGGGCAGGGACGAAAGCAAGCTGTTGGACTATCATAACGCATCTTCCTGCTGCTACCTACGGCATCAATATGCCTCTCTCTAGAACGGCTCGGTCCTTCATTGTAATATCTCCGTCTATCGAGGTATATGTGCCAGCGCCTGCGCGAGAGACTTGCCATATGTTGGCCACTAAAGTAAGACTTTTACTTATAAATCATCGGGCTCTGGCATCGGACTCAGATGAGATCGCCAACGCACTGCACGATATGCGCTGGATCTCACGGGCACGGCAGTCCTTCCTACCAGTAGTTGTATACCCACTACGCAGTCGAGCGCTGCATGGTCTGGCCTTCCTCCTTGTGTCAGGAGTCTGCGTCAATTCTGCTTCAAAGTCGTGAGGGCCTTTTGGCATTGGACAGATTGGTGTTGTTCACGAGGCTAAGTGGTTAGATGGCTGAGAGGCCATCGAGAGACTTTCCGCGAGAACATGCAGTGAAAGTCTCATTCTGTCTTGCAGTAGACTTGATGGCGTGTAAGCAAAGCCGAACAGACGCAGCGAGGGTCGATGATTGCGCCCCTCTACGGTGCTACCAGCAGCTCGACATGTTGACTGTGGCGTTGCATCTGATTTTCATCATGGCCAATTAACGGCAGGATCTTCGACCTCAGCATGTTTGAGGAGTCCAGGATGGAATGAGCAAACACCTGGTGCTCAGGAGCTCAACGGACGCGTGTTGGCCCTTCTAGAACAGTCCGCGTTCTCCGCCGTGTCACGCACTAACAGTACAGAGCACTCTGCCACTCCGCCAGCAAATACGATACTCAACCCCATGGTATACGCCATCCGTGCCTCGTGCCATGTCGCTCGTACATGCATCATCCTGTCGAACCTCGCATGCCAGTCTCGCGACCTCGTCATCTCACTACACGCCAACTGTTGGTTGTCAGGATCATTACCCCTTGAACGAGTCCTGAGTTCGTCCGACTCCTTGCCGCGGTCCGGATGAATCTGCTCGTGGTAACTTCCGAGGGCGAGAACGAACTAATACTCGGACGCGACAGGTACCTTGTATATGTGAGAGTCAGTTTGGAGCGTGAGCTGGCCAGCCCTGTGTGGGACGAGAAGCGCATGGCAAACATTTGTTTGCTGCCCAGCGCGAGAAGATGAGTTGTGTATCCAGTAATATTCTCCTTGACCAGACTTCGCCTCGTCTTGGCCACCGAGCGAAGCGTAGAATGTAGTGCGACCAAACACGAAGGAGGCAAAGGGCAGACCAGGGTATAGCGCATCCGTTTTCGCGCTCAATCGTGCACGCCTCGATTGTGTCTACATGAATTGATGCCAGAACAAAGTAGTAGTGATGTGCACAGGAATGACTGGATGTATGACATATCAGCATTTCATCTATGAGCAAAATAATATACACCCCTTTTGTCCATGATTATTCTATCAGACAAAAATCTCTACTCCAACAAACGCCACGCCAAGGTCCGAGAGAGAATGGGATGCGAGAGGTGAGCATTCTCGTCCTGGCGGGCTGAAATCCGGCCGGTGATGCGCGCTGCACCTCCAAGCCAACCAGGACGATGACGAAAGTTCCTCCATCGTAAAGGCTATAGAAGTAGGAGTCGAAGGTCATCTACGCATTTCCGGGCTTCTCGTCTGTGTCAATATGCCAGACCACATAGTTCGGCAGACCGTACACGCCGTAGCCAGCACGTTTCGCCATCTTGGCAAAGCCTTCTGTCTCGGCCTGGTTCTCGAAAGCGTAGGCCGGGAAATTGATCCCTGCGCGTTACTGTCAGTATAGCAGAGCACAATAAATGGAGGTCGTGAGCTTGAGCACGCACCTGACCGATGAACATCCGCCTTGACCAGGATGTTGACGCCACCTATCCCGTCAAGTGGGATCTCCACATCCTTGTTATCTCGCCAGTTGCCCATGCGAGCCATATACGTCCGCTCTGTTTTGTACTCCTTGTAGCCTGCTCGAAGTGTTAGCACATAGTCGGGTAGCTCCACTGGAGTCCATGTCAGACGTACCTTCTGCAAGCACAATATCCTTATCAAGGCCAGCTGCGAGTTTGCGACCAGCATCCGACTCCTGCCAAGAATTGTAATCGAATCGGCCTTCGATGTCTTCTCCGTCCTTGTAACGATGGAACCAGATATCTGTCACATGTCAATCTTTGTGCCCATCTGCATTTTTGACTTGACCTACTCGGCACCAGAACATCTCTATCATGCGCCACGAAGTCCTCGATGATCTTGGTCGGGCTGTCCTTGATATCCACATCCCGCCAATACACCCAGCTGTGCTCTGGCTTGAGAGCGGCCGAAAGCAAGTAATTCCTGGCCTTGCCCATCATCTTACGCCGTGGTCCTTGCATTGCAAAACCATGTCTGTTCTCCACATCCATACCAACGATAGCACCAAAGTCCTTCTCCACAATCATGGCACTGTTGAAGGGAATCTTGTCTGTCCGTGACTGCACTCGTTCCAGCTCCATGGCAAGCACGGCCAGCGTGTCATCTGTGCTGTCACCGACCAGAAAAGCCAGATCGATCAGGTTGTGTGGGTATGTGAGTGCGGAGAGCAGGTCAAAGTGCTGCTCAATATATGGCGCAGCATTTCGCAGAGGCGTGAGGATCAGTACGCGCTCCTCGTTTATGACCGCTTTTGGCGTGGAGGCTATCCCATTCAAATCCACCCGTTGTATGCTTGTGTGGTTGACCTCGACCGGTGTGTGATGATTGAAAATGACAGGTGTCTGTAGATGCCCCGCCCATTCTGCTTGTTCGTTCGGGCTCATGTGCATGGGCGATTTCGCCGGGCCGAAGCAGTAGAACCTGCCATTGCTCCACCGTCAGTACATACTCACACCTACAGCCACTTCACCAGGGCTGTATGGGTCTCTATCACTCACCTTTGTATATCACCAGCGGTCCCACTCACGCCATCCCATATTAATATTACTATCCCAATCAAAGCAACCACCAGCAAAAACCGCGTGCGCGCAACGTAATTCCATATCGCCCGGCTCGGCGGTAGTCGAGACGTCGCCGACTTCCACGTGACTCCGCCCTTGGGCAGCAGCATGTTGTTCGTCGAGGAAAATATACGCCCGTCGGCGTTCAACGGATTGTGGTCCGCCTCTGCGTCCAGCTTGTGCGCCACCTTGTCTGCTGCGGCCAGAGGCTCGATGGACGGCGATGTCGGAGAGTGCGCGGAGTCAGGCAGGGATAAATCAGTGGCGGCAGAAGGCGATGTGAGCGAGCGTGGTGGTGTGCTAGGCGAGTTGTGTATGGTTTGCTTTGCGTGAGCACGTAAGTGATACGGGGTTCAAAGTACGAGTCGAAGCTACTGCACCTGCCACCAGCCCTTGCCCTGTCAGCCTGAACGGGAACGGGAAGAAGAGCTTGGCGCGGGATGTGGGCGCGCTAGCGACTTCAACCTCACTCACAGCTCTTCAGTCTAGCACACATGCTGCATCAACCATGGTCAATGACTACATACAGTATGCAACCACAGTATGCTACCTATGGGAGCAGCTGGCGAATAGCGGAGGCTGGCCGGATGATACTGGACTGCCCTCCATGCAGTCCCTATTGACGGAGCACAAGCCACGAGACCTGTCACATTTCCGCTTTCGACGATTTGGTGGCGCCCATCAGTAGCGATCCGATGTACCACGCGCCCAAACGACACATCAGATCGGTAGCGAGTAAGCGCCTGATGGGGTTGCGGAAATCTTACTCTAACCTGGACGTTTGTGACTGACTTCACTCGTGATTGCGGAACCATAGTAGCGATCTTGTTGGCTTAGGCCGCAGTACGCCCCAAGCAGATACTCCAAACCTCCATATATACGTCTTGTGCCATAGGTCTCTGATGGACTCTCTGCCTAACGTGGCTTAAAAGCACTGGATGAGGCAGACATCGGCACACATGCATTAGTGGCCTCCACGACTCATTTCATCTTGCTCGCTGAAGCTCGGCCTTCAAGACATCTGGTTGATATTCAAGCACGAACCCGCTTTCTTCTGCATTGGGCGGCTACATGAAGCCGGCTCCAGTCCTGAGTTCGCAGGAACCATACTCTGCAGCAGCGGCTCGGCAATCTTCTCCAGTTCTCAGCCGTTTGCGTGGGTGAACGAGATCACCTCATGCCTGTTCCCTGTATGGGGATACATGACAAGGCATGAGCCCAGTCGGAACCCATGCACGCGGCTGCCATAGCCGTTATATGGTTTGCATTAGTCGACCTTCGCGGCAGCGGACCTACGTACTAGAGTAGCGTGTACCAAAGGCTACCTGCGCCGTCAAGCCTGTCAGCGGGCTTATCCGAAGCCGGCCGCAACGTCGCCTTTCAATATGCCCCGGATGGGCACAGCAATCTCACATTGACGCATTGATCGATATCGCTGCCACTGCATGTGGAGAAGATCGATCAATGTCGAGGTCAACATACCCAGCTTTAGCTTTGGCTCGAGGCGTCAGCTTGACGTGAAATTTCCAGGCTTACAGATTGCCTGAAGATTTTGTGAAAATAACCTGGTTGGAATTGCATGGGCTCGGCGGCTAATAATGAGTAGCGACGGTAGCGCACCCAGCTGATCAACCACATAACACACTCATCTGTAACGAATGAAGTGGCCCGGTCATCCGAATCGTCCTCGCTGGATGTTACAAGTCTTCGTACAGCATGGGTAGACTCAGGCGCCGCAAGATGATCGTCCTTATCGAACAGTCCTGACAGATGTCAAACACAATGCTACATGATGCAGCTACCTGCAGCTCACGTTGAGTACGTGTACAGACACCGTTTTCTTGAGGGATCTCCACATACCCGGCACGTGGCTCTAATTGTTCCTCCCAATGGACTGCACGCGTGTGCCGCTGACATGTCGATACGACGTCCTGGTCGACGAAACAAGGAACAACATTAGGGCTTGCGCACCGACCCCGGTATCACTCCATTACAGAATGAACCGGTGATTCGAAACCTTTGCTGCCCAATCGTGGACATTTGACCGTATCTGGGAAATCTCGAGCTCGGCTCATGCAAGGAGTCACTGATCTTACTCTCCAGCAGTGCAGACAGAACCTCTCTCCGATGCTACCTGCTGCAGTCCTTCGCTCGCTTCGCCGAGAGTGCGTGTAGTGACATTCTGTACGAGGCACGAGGGACGTCGCTTTTTGCGCGAGCACGATCGTGTCATCGGCACATACATCCTGGTTCGATCGTTACGTTTCCATGAGTACGCTGCTCTGTCGGCTAAAGATCGACTCCACCTGATATTCGCTTGCTCGATACGTGTAGAAAGCAAAAAGTGGTTACCAATGCAATTTTTCCGTGTTGTACTCATCACACATTATCTACGTGAGCCCTCAGGCGCCGCCTTCTCAGTCTCATGATCTTGCCATAACCATATCCTCGTAAACCGTCCAAAAGCGGCGCCACCTCTCGAAGTACAATGTTCGCTCAGAAAATCAATGCCATGCTGTCTCCACCCAAACCCTGAAGCCCAAAGCCGGCTGACCAAAGAAACAACCGAAAGTGCTCGTTATGTTCGTCAAAATGCAAAACCGTCATCCTGACCATGTAGTATGCCGCCATATAACGCGCATGCCATGAACTCGCTCAGACAGCCTCTGCCAAATTCCAGAAGCTCGCTCGCTAAAGTCGCTGCACACACCACCAGCCGCCCAGAAAGTCGTGATTCGGGTTGATCTTTGTCGTCCCAGCTTCGCGTCGAACCCATCAACTACCAACCCTTTGGCTCAGTCCCATACGAGCACGCATCTTGGCTACGCCAGCCTCATGTCTCGCAGTCACTCGGGAGACCACACGCTTATACCGGCAATCTCGCCAGTCTCTGGCATCTGGAGAACCCGGATGGGTCGCGCAAGATCTCTTCTTAGGACCGCGACTGCAACGATCGCTTGGGTCGTCAATGGCGAAGACGGTATTGGTGTACACATCATCATCATGAGCCAGAGCCTGGAAAGTGGCGCGCTTGCTGTCCTTGCAAGCGTCTACATGTGCTGTCGTGGGTCGACCAGTACGTAGCTCGTCGATTGCATCAAGCTCTTCGGCAGCTTCGAGCTCGGCAACGCGGTCACTGATCCAATCCGCCAAGACGAAATGCGTGATCGTCTTCTTGTCATACGGTAAGCCAGAATTGCATCCGTTGCTAGCTGTCTGCGCCTTGGCGTGTTCCGCGGGTATCATATCCAGTTCGAAGAGCCAGCGAGAAGCGTCCTCGACGCAGTACAACATCTCCGCCGTGCGGTCCCTGTTTTCGCGCTCCTTGATGACCTTGGGAGCAGGTCTTTGAGGGGCTGAATTGTGGTGAGATCTTGTGTCGGTCGAATCCTCATTGTCATCCGTGGTGGAAGTGGACACTGAGCAGGATCGTTTTGATGGATGGTCGACTCCTGACACGACTGCTTGAGACCTTCGCTTGACAGTTCTGGGTCGTTGGCGTACAGTAGACTCTGTCGACATCGTCGGCGAGTCAGACTCATCACTCTGCGCTGGAGAATGAGGGAAGACGTTTCGGTCTCTGTAGGCCAACACCTTTGTCTCGAGCGGCCTGAAGCAATGTTCCGGAAGTCCTAGTTGTCTGATAGGTGGCAACCTAGCCATTTATCAGCTAATTGCGGAGTAGGCAGAGATGGCAGACTGACGTGTTCTCATTCGGATGCCTGAGCCTCATAGCGCCTGACCCTGTCATGTTGAGGGTAAAGTGTCCAATGGTGCTTTTGTAGGTCAAGAAGTGATCGGATACAGTATGCAATTTGGCAAAAGGCAATGACCAAGCAGAAGCCAAACAAAATAGTGCCGACACGTGCAGTAAGCCAAGAAAGCACAACAATGAAGAAGAAGAGTGGTGGATTGTGGGTGGAGAAGAAGGTTCGAGGTGACAGGAACGGCCATACTTATGCTTCGAGACAGATAATGCTCCAATCGACATTGTCAACAACATGCACTCCACCTTTGTGCAAGATGAGGTTGTTCGAGATCGAGTCTGGTTCGGCGGAGATGGCCCGGTGCAGGTGCGTCAACGATGGGATGATCGAGAGCCAGGAGAAGGCCTGTAGGTGGCAAGTGGATACTCTCTCAGAGCGCCAGAAGAAGTAATGATGCTGAAGCAAGCCCGCGCCGTGATGGCAAACCGAAACGTCGCAGAATGACAGCCTTCCTATCACGTCTATGTTGGGCTTCGATTGCTAGAACCCCTTGCTTATGTGTGGGGAGTTGGCGCTGTCATTGCGCTTCCCCGCCCCGCTATTGCAGCGGCGCCATCATGACTTGATCGGCCACAGCACCAAACATGCATGTCCACAAGATGGAAGCCACTGACCGCCAGTTGTAGCAAGGGTGGCCGTAGTGGCACAGAGTGCTCAACAGTACAGCCAGTGCTATGAAGATATTCTAGATGGGAGTACAAGGTGTTGTGCTCATCTCCCATTTAGCCGGACAGCTGCGTTCGTGGAGAAAGTGACAGCTGCGGTAGTTCCGCATGTCATATGCGTAGTCTTCTAAGGTTCAGATGTCAGCAGCCGTGAGCCCTGTAAACCATAAAAGTAGTGACAGATGGTAAACAAGCGCGGAAGGCTTCTTCACGCCATCTAGAGCGAAAAGATAGGCGCCACCTCATTTGCGGCAGAGTGGCATCTTAGTCCCAAACGGCGTTGTCGATGCTGTGTAACAGGTCCTCCGAGCAGTATGTGAACTGACGCTCTAGCCGCCGTTGAGGAGTTCTGCAAGCTGCAGGGACGACGACGTGGTTGATACTGATGCACGTCTGCAGAGATGCTCGTGGTTCAGACTCCACTTCCAACCACGCCGAGAAAGTGTCCAGTGATGCAGTGTCGAAGTTTCGCGAATAGAGAATTTGAGCCGCATGAGGTGTGGTCGGCAGTGTACACTGGGCCGGCAACGCAGCCAACCTTCTCATGCAAGATTCGGGCAGCCGCACTACACGCTGCTGAAGAGTGTGACAAGATCCGGGTACCGCCAAAAGCAGCTTCTGGCATTCTACCCCCACATCGATGCCATTCAGAACCTGGTTACGGAAAAGTCCTCGTTCGAATAATGTGAAGTGATGCATTGCACGTCGTCGAAGATCTGGTAAGCCAATGCAGAAATCCAGTTGCCGGCGGCGCCGCGCCATGCGGACCTTCGGCTGCCGCGCTACTATGGCCTGTTCATGCATGATTGTCACCTTTGCACAAGAATTTCTCCACGAATGGACGACCACGAGACATACGACCACGATGATTTCGGAGTCCAGCCGAAGGTACCACGGCATTCAAACCAGGACGATGTACCGACCGGGGCGATGCGACCAGGACGAAGAGACTAGGCCGCCGTGCAAAATCCAGACGACGTCCCGCCAAAGGTAGCACTACTTTCCACCTGCAAGAAGCAATGTGATCAACCCATCTCATTACAATCGCTATGAACAACACTGACCAAGCAGCCACATTACTCACCGCTCTGAACATCTTGACAGGCTCCAACCACAATGCACGCCCTGCTATCCATAAAACCAGACCACAGCAATCCACCATGCGCACGTCGTTGTGTATGCAGAGGCCGTCGAAAGAACGAATGAATAGAGGTGATATGATATCTGATCGTGTGATGTGTGTAAAAGCTACAATTAGTCTATGCATATGCAATGCGTGAATATCGCTTCCATTGACACTCCACACCAAAATACCGTGCACACAGTCTAAAACGCCTTGCGGGTTTGCCGAGAGAGGGCAAAAAGGATAGTCATGTACCTCCGCCTTTGCTATGCTTTTCCAAATACTACAGTCCTCCAAATCCAGGCCACGCTTACACTTAAAGCATACCAAAGATCGCAGCCACGACACCGATTAGGCCGGTCGTGCCAGAGATGTACAAGCTGTTGGCTGAGCTCTTGGCGGAAGAGGAGGAAGAGGAGCTGCTGCCGGTGTTCGTGCCGGGGCTCAAGGTGCCAGTACCGCCCGGGTGCGATTCGCCGCCGGAGCAGGTGTAGGTACCCTTGATGACGTTGTTGGAGCCGGACAGAGGCTTGAAGTGGTTGCAAGCATTGCTGATGTCGCCAGCGGACTGGAGGTTGAACGCACCACGGATATCGGAGATGGCTGGGAGATCAACCCTATAAGATAATTAGGACGTGGTACTTCACAAAACGAGTTGGTAAGTTACTCACTCAGTGAAGTTTCCGTTGAAATCCAAAGCGCCACCGACAGTCTTCAAGGCAGAGAAGCCGTTGATGGTCTGGAGATCGGTGTTGTTGGCAACCTGCAGACCACCACCAACAGTGGTGAGCTCAGGGAAGCTCAAGTTGGTCAAGGCCTCGTTGCTGACGAACGAGAGGGTCTGACCAATGGAGGTAAGGTTGGGTGCAGCCAAGCTCGAGAAGAAGTTGGCGTAGAAGCCCATCGAGCCGTTGATAGAGGCGAGCGATGGAATGCTCACTTGCGACACGTTGCGGAAGGTCATGTTAAAGGCCCACTCCAAGTTCGGGAAGGTAGCGCTGACATTGCGACCGTTGGCCTCGAGGATGAGGGACTGGGAGATGTTACCGAGCTGCATGTTGATCTCGTTGAGGTATGGGTTGTTGGCGATGGTCATCTGCTGCACGATCTGGAGGTTGATACCGCTGAGGCTCTGGAGTTGGGTGTTCTGGATAGATACTTGACTGGCCTGTTGCACGCCAGTGGTGAATGACAGACCTTGCAGCGCTGGGAGTGCCTCCCAATCGATCGTGTCCACTGCCTCCAGTCTTGGGAAGTTGAGTGATGTAAGGATGGTCAAGCCATTGAGCATGAAGGAATCGTCGATCTGGGTCAAGCTAGAGCCGGAGAGGGCGGTCACCTGGGTCACGTTGTTCGCAATCAAGCTGCCCGATATTCTCTGGATGCCATCAAGGGCGATCTGGTTGACGGCGGTACTTGCAATGGCAATGGAGCCGGTGAAGGTTTGGCAAGCTGCGAGCGCGGTCGCGTCACCTTGACTTTGGATTGTGGTGGTCCCGGAGACACTGCATGATGATTGCGCTGCATAACGCATCAGTATACTGTGCTGATAACCATCAAGACAGTGCTCTTGACTCACCCGCTGCTGAGCCGACGATGGCCAATGCTGGCACGATATATCTGGCTGCCATTGTGTGTGTGTGGTTCCAATAACTGTAGGTGTCTCTGTCAGCTAGATGGTTTGATGAAGCTTGATGGTATTGAAGGACGGAGAACGTGCTTGGTGCCGCGGGTGATGTCTGTTGTGGTGGTTGGACGTACCTTGGAATATTAAAAGCTACTGCACAAGAAGTCCGATGTGTGTGGACTAATCAATGGACGGCCGCGTGTCGCTGGGAAATCGATGTTTACCAGAGAAGCTCGGTCGTTTGTTATGTGCCTGAAGTGCAAGCAAGCCCCCAAGTGTCACGACCTAGCGAAAGAAGGTGCGTGAGTGAAGGAAGTAATAAGTTATTCACCGTGTGGCTGTTGCAGACACGGGAGCAGAAGGCAATGGCTTTGAGGAAGTGGCCGGCCAGCAGGGAAAAGGGAGGAGGGTTGAGAAATGCGTGAGCTATGGCCGCGTCGCCGCTAGGCTGCTTGGGGGAGCACTAGCTGCACATTCGAGGCCACTTGAAACTAGGATCAGAGGCCGCGAACTTGATTTATTGGCTGCAGCGAACATCTATCGTGCAGCCAAGAAGGCTCCTCGCCCGAGCAACCAGTGGCGCATGCATGAAGCTCTGCTATACTGTACAGTGCATAAAATCGATGGAGAAAGTCTGATGGTCCACGCAATCCAGCATCTCTCCCTTCCCTCCCGAAACCCCAACGCCGAAGCAACACCCACAAGTCATCAAGTCACACCCGTGACTCCTTCCGCTTCGTCTAGACTCGCTCGAGACATTACACCGTTGGCGGCTAGTTGACTGCACAGACGACGCTTGTATCTTTGATCATCGGCCTTGGTTGCTATCGGCAGGCTTGAAGCCTTCGTCTGTCGTTTCGGCAGAATTGTGAGCGGCGCTACCCTGGCAGCCACTCATCTCTCCAGACATTTTAGATTGGCAATTGACAGGACGGGACGCTATAAACTTGTGATCGCCGTTTGTCCGATGAAATGTTGTCGTCGAAAGCTATGCTCTCGTTAACAGCACTGTGTGCATACACACTGGTGTAGCAGTCGCTCGCGTGCTCATGCTTTTGGCAGCTACGGTGGCGGTGGCGACTTGCTTGGTGGGGAAGCGTCGCATGCTCCGGACCGAGGAGACCACTTCGCTCCAACTCTGAACAGTGGCAAGCAGTCCATCAAGCTCACGCCAGGATATCCGTCCGCGGGCTTGCTCCTGACGACTGGAATATATAGTTTGCTTGCGACTCTGGACTTTTGAGGTCTGACCCGCCTTGCCGTGCTGCATAATCGCGTGCATATGCAGGTGGCGAACGCTAGGCTGAATGTGAAGATTGACCTCCCGCGCGCAGCCGTGGTCGATATACGAGACGAACGACATAACATACAGGCCTGGCCTCTGCTATTGTCCAGGCAGGTCAAAGCCGCTCGTGCTCATGGTACAACAATGCTTCTGCGGTACACTTATGAGATGGATATGCATCTGTCCCATTCTGGATGAATGTCGAGCTAAGACTATTACGCAGATAGATATGATACAAGGGAATTGCACCTGTTTTACAACAATCAAAGCCTATGCTTTGCACGCCTCGAGAATGAAAGCATGCACAAGAGATGTGTTCACCCCTCGTCACTCCCAAAAGCCCGCCTATCTCGGCTCGAGAACCTCACCCAGCCAAGCACGATGACTCGACTTACCCATTATATGATTGAGGCAGTATAGAGCAAGCACTTTTTACCACCATGTCCTTGAAGAGATCAGGTCACCCCGAAGTACCCGCAGTGCTGTTCACCAGTGCCAGATGATTCTCCAGCCTGGCCTCATTGTAATTAAAAATGCGCTCCGCAGTCTTACTGACATCGTGTATATCGGAGACCTGGAGTCTCCTGCCACCCAGCTTCTTGAGTACGTGACGAAGAGCGTTCGTAAAGGCCAGCTTCCTCAACGGAGCATCATGGATATAATGCAATGATAGCCGAATGTCCTGTAGCACGTACGTCGTGCTTGGTACATCTCCTGGTGGCTTGCGCTCGATAGTGATGGCACAGGCAAATGGGTGAGCTGTGAGGTCGTGTTTGGTGATTGATCGTGGGCGGATCTCAACAACGAAGGATCGCAGTTGGCTGGCATTGTTTTTCAGACAGCTATGAAAGAACTTATCTGTAAGCAGCCCGACTGTGTGCCTTCGCCTGTGCCTGTCCCCGGCATAGTAGTATGGTAGCCGGATGACCTTTTCGGACAGGAACAGTGGAGTTAGCTCCTTGTCCACTTGCTTGCATGTCTTCGCGAGCGGTGGTCTGGAAGGGACGCTGATCTCGCTTGGCATACTGTCCAGGTAGCAGCCATATATTATGTTCCGTAGCTCAGGCGGTAGATCCAGGAAACAATGGAAAGACCGCACATCGTCAGCGGCCATGAGCAGAGCCACAATATCCTTCATTGACTCTGCATCATCCCAATCGATACCGCGGTCGTCAGCAAAGTGGATGAGCTCCTTCATCGTGCACCTGGAATAATCCATACGGCCGCAGGTGGCCTTTTGTGCCATGGCTACCAGTTTATGTTTCGCATCAGATGGCCTGGACTTCCAGCCGTTGTCTGTGAGCTCACGTCTCAGTGCACCGCTTAAAAGCTCTCCGTAGCCGCTGAAACGCCAGTAGCGGTCTAGACAAGCACGCTGGCCAGTGAACTTCCGGAGTTCTTGATCCATGTTGGCGGGCCGAAGTATGTGTGAAGACATACTAGAGTGGTGGGGCCGAAACTTATATATATTTTGGATGTCAACCTGCTGATTCACTTCCTTGCGTGCCATGGTGTGAAAGAGAGCCGATATAGAGTGAGGGTTGACCTCACGCAAGTGATGGTGCTGGACCTGGTTTCAGGTTTCTTGCTCAGCTCTCGATAGCTTCAGTGTCAACGTCCTCAATGCGCCTATGGCAAGCGAAAGTTAGCACACTTCAACCTCTTCGGAGTCGAACTCTGCGGGCGATGAACATACCACATATACCACATAAACAAACTCCTCCAGGGCCGAAACTTCTCCGCAATCTCCACCATCTCCTTCTCACTCATATACTTCCACTTCCCACCCTTATTCCTCAACTTACCCACATCCCTTCCCATATAAGCCGCCATACCCCTCTGCACACCCAAATCGCCCGTACTGAAAACATCCATCCGTTTCAACCCGAAACACATAAACATCTCCACGCTCCAGACTCCTAATCCACGGACAGCGACGAGCGATTTCATGACTTCTTCGTCTGACCCGTTCATAATCATGTCGATCGTGAGATCGCCGTTCACGAATTTCTCGGCTAGGCCTTGGATGTATTCCGCTTTCCTTTGACTTAAGCCTGCTTCTCGCAGACGAGGTAGTGGTGTCTTCGCAACAAGTGCGGGAGGAGGAAAGCCGGTGGGACATTCGTAAGCAGGAAAGAGTCCAATGAATTTGTTCTTGATGCTTTTGGCTGCTGCGCCAGAGACTTGCTGAGCCATGATTCCGGAAGCGAGGGAGCGGAAGGGATCGATCGTTTCGGCCAGACCTTCGGGGCTGAAGACGCGGCAGTGGTGTTTTTCAGTTACTGATTTCAGAGCGGGATCGACAGAGATCATGTGAGCGATGGCTTCGTCTAGGAGACATTCCGTTGTTGTTGCAGGATTATTTGAGGCTTTTGACGGTGATGCCTCTTCGAAGTTGCTGTAGCTTGGCACGGCTTGTGTACCGCCCGGTGTAATAAGCGTGGCGTTGGTATGGTGAGGTTCAGCTGGTCGATCAGCTGGTGGTGGTGTAGCATCATCAATGTCTCCAGAACTGTAGTTGGGTCTGAGGACGCTATTACTCGTCATCAAGCCGATTGCAGATGGTGTTGGTGTGAGTGGCGGTGGTTTCGTCGGCGTGCTTGCCACCTTTCGACGCTTGGCTGGTGTTGTGGGTGGAGGTGGCATAGCTGAAGTCGCATCTTGCGCAGACCCGCCATCAGCGCCATCCTGAGCTACAGTCGTGGTGGCGATGTCCTCGGTCGACTTAATCTTGCGGCCTCGCTTCTTCGTTGGTGCAGCCTTTTCTGGGATGCGGCCATTGGGAACTTCAGTAGTAGACGCCGTGGCCTGGACGCGAGCAGATCGACGTAACGACATGTTGACTGCAAAATCTTTGGAAACGAAAGGTCCTTGTGCCAGTGATATGCTTGGTAATGCCCGGATCCTGGAGGACCAGTTAAGGAGATGCAGAATGCGAGCAGCAAGATGTGCCAGCTTGGTTCTCTGTTTCCCAACTTTCGATAATTCGTTACTATAGTCTTCACGTAGATTATATCTGTTCATATACGTCGTCTTCGAGAGTATGGCAAGGAGACGAGAGTTTGTCAGCCTACTTTGACTCCGCGCAATGATGCCTGCTTGGCAAGCCACGTTCACGCGTGAAGGGAGCCAACTCACGTGCTCGCTGGCTGGGGTTTTGGGACATAGTGCAATGATTGACATTAGGTTTCTACTGCACTCCTCGGCATGGCAGTGTATATGTTGCCTCATACATGGCACAGACGTTCACACACTGTAGTAGTACACGCCTCTACCTCCTCACATATCTCTATCACAGCGCCGCTTCATCTCGAGTTCCATTCGACGCCACTCCAGCACTATATACAATCCTGCATTCTCGTCACAAAGCCACGAGACTCAGTGCTTGCCCGCGATCTGGTCGCCTGACTGCCGTGTCGCGGCTGTCTTCTTCTTGATGATCATGGACTCCAAATCCTCGCGCTCGGAGGCCTCCGCCTCGATCTCCTCGATGATTGGGGTTAGATATTGGTAGTCCTGTCATATGTTAGGTTCCTCATGTCGTCTCCTGGCGTTCCGCTGAGTTCCCTCTACGACTTCTATGACATACCTGCTCTGCCTTTGTCCATTCGGCTTGTGGTAGAAGTTGGTGGGCAAGCGAGCACTGTCCTCCATGTTAGTCCATGCACCTCTTTTCACATCCAGTCTGTAGCATCAGGTACCTGGAAAGCTCTTCTCATGCGGAATACACGGTCGTAGGCCTCCTTTGGTGGCAGACGTTTGAGTGCAAGCTGGACAGTCTCGCTCTCCTCGGGGATCAGGTCATCGGCCCTGTAAGACCACCACGATTAGCAGCTGGTCTTGTTCCTCCATATGCAGTGTCTTTCCCGTTCCATCATTCCCTCAAGCATGGGGTGCCGCAATACCTCAATCCCAGCTTGCGGTATCCCGCATTATCAAAGTACCACTTGCTCAACGGGCGCATCCAATTCATCAACCATGGTCGCTTCTGAATGAAGGGCGCAAGACTCGGGGTCGTCATCGTAGCGGTATGTGAGTAGGGAGTGTGTACGGATTAGTGTCGTCGTTGCTATCCCAGCTCTTCCGACTGACAAGCTCCTGCTCAAGAAGTTCGCGGCCAATGCCGATATGCATTATGTCAGCATCTTGATTTTGGCAGGGGTATGGACTAGCGGCACCGACGTAAAGCGTGGTTCCCCACTTGAGTCGAGCTTGCCGGTGGAGCTTTCTTTGCTTCGGCATCAGACGTAATTGTAGTGTTTCTTGCGATAGTGAAACAAAGGACATACCGCTACGAATCACCGCAAAATCCATACCAACGGCGTGCCTACCGAACTCGGACAGCCATACTGCACACACTTATCCAAGGTAAGCACGTGCTCAGTGCATGGCAAGCGTGGATTGAGGATTTGTGAGCAAGTCGGTGGGGCGGAGGAAAGGACAAAGACCAGACGCAGAAGGCAAGGACGTCTGACCAGTGAAGGGGCCACCGGACGGCGTGTACGAAGGTTAGATACCTGTGCACTACAACGACTACGCCAAACCATCAACCACACCAGTTCCTACGGTCCCGATCACCTAACTCTTCGAGCATGCACCTGCTAGCAAATGCCCGATAGCCCTGGTGGGCCAATGCAGAAGATGACAGGAGGAGAAGGCGATACACACGACCATGGACCCCCAAGAAATACTACACCAACCAGGACTACCCAAATCATCAATCAGAGTACACCTTATCCACAGCTAGCAATATGGAGCACGAGGTTATCCTCCGCTGGTGTGAACAGCTTCTCGGGTGCAGTGGCAGGAGTGGCCAGTGGTATAGTAACCTGTCCGCTTGATGTCATCAAGACGAAGCTACAGGCCGGTAGGAACGCCTACAGTCACCCGGGACAAGCGGATCCGAAGACTGGCCAAACGTACCGTGGTATGCGAGGTACGGCGGCAACGATCATAAAACAAGACGGCGTGCTTGGTTTGTACCGAGGGCTAGGTCCAATGCTCTTAGGCTATCTGCCAACGTGGGCTGTGTACATGGCGGTCTACGACAGCAGTCGCGAGTATTTCTACAAAAACGGCTATGGCGAGCACAATACCGACAAATGGCTAGCCCGAGTCTATGCCTCAGTCACAGCTGGCGCCTGCAGCACTCTCGCCACCAATCCCATCTGGGTCATCAAGACCCGCCTGATGTCTCAAGTCTCTACCATAGGCACCGACGGCGCCCGCTCGAACTCCTGGAACTACAACAGCACTCTTGACGCCGCCCGCAAAATGTACCGAGCTGAAGGTCTGCGGGCATTCTATTCCGGCTTGACACCAGCCATGCTCGGCCTCACACACGTCGCGATCCAATTTCCATTGTACGAGTACTTCAAGCAACAATTCACCGGTCTCGAAATGGGCGAGAGCCCCGCTGCAGCGGGAAGCGAAGGCCGCAATACCGTGGGCATCCTAGCTGCGACCTTCCTCTCCAAAGTCTGCGCCACAACAGCAACATACCCGCACGAAGTCATACGCACTCGTCTGCAAACCCAGCGCCGTAATCTGCACCCTGAGAGTACTGGCTCCCACTCGTTATCCAATGCGCACCATCACGCCCAATCGCTCCCCAAGACTGGAAAGCTAGTCGGTAGTACGGACGGCATGGCATATCAACCACAGTATAAAGGCGTTATCACAACCTGTAAGACTATTTTGAAGGAGGAGGGCGGCAAGGCATTCTACTCGGGCTTGGGCACGAATTTGATCAGGGCGGTTCCGGCGGCTATGACTACTATGCTTACTTTTGAGAGCATCAAGGGGGCTATCGGGAGGCTTCAGGAGACTGGGCAAGAGATGGAGAGGGATGGGCTGCGATGAGCTGTTCTTCGCTTGGAAGAATGGTGCTCGGCAAGGACGGATATGGGGGAGAGGACCTGCGTTATTGCTGTTGATCCTATGGTCCGAGATCTGGGCCGGGCTGGTGCGGGCTGGCTTAGCGTGGTGTTATGGAGTATGGGCGATTGTATGGCAGGTGAGGGCACTGACCTGGGATATCATGGGTGACGGTGTACGTTGAACCATTCAGTAGCATTTGCATAACAGCCTTCATGCACGTCCTACCTGTTAGGCCGTTCGCTATAGTGTGTCACGAGCAATCAACGGAAACCGAGCACGATTTCACTGGGCCGTCCGTTTGAGCGATCATCACATCACCGCGCTGGCAAACCAGCCTCGGTGAAGTCGAGGCGTGATACCACACGTGCAGGGCTATCAGATCCATCATGTGACTTTCCAGCCTGTTGAATAAGAGATTGGCCTACACCTAGTGTCTGTCACGAAAGAACCACTCCATTGGCAGCCTGAACATGCCACGCTCAGAAGACCCTTCCGACCGCTATCGGGAGATTGGGTATAGCAGATGCTATCGAGCATATCTGGAGAACGTTGCCGAGAATTTTGGGGTTGCCATCACAAAAAGCACACCTCAAGACAAGATAGTGGCGATGCTTGAGCGAGTCGAACGACATCTGCTAAGGTACGACCTTTGCTGCACTCCAGACCTCGAAAAGTTCGTCAAGGCCCGCGAGCTCGATGTGGTCCTCACAAAGAATCAGAAGAAGACTGGATTCAGGCGTACACTCCTAATCAACGCCCTCCTCCTAGCCGACGAAGACCTGAAGTTCGAGCGCCTCCTAGCACTTCCGCCTGAGCTTCGCATCGAGATATATGAGTACAGCATGGCAGACTACCCAGAAGATCTTGACCATCCGACCATGCCACCATTAGCTCGCACGTGCAGACAGATCCGCACGGAGGTGCTTCCTGTTTTCTACAGCACGCAGTGCTTCACACTGAAGTACACGTACAACGACTCGACGAAAGGATACAGAATGACCTCGTCGTCTGCTATTTTTCTCATGGTCAGCGACGCAAATGACACCATGAGATATTTTCGCCGCTTTCAGCTTCGCCTACGATATCTATCTGTGGGCATCTCTCTTGGTGGCACCGGTCGTGGTTCTGATCGAGCAGACATTGAATTATATAACCATTTCAATAAGGCCAGCAGATGTAAACTACGGGTCGGCCTCAAAGCTCTGCTCGACGAGGTTGGGAAGCGGCAAGATGGTGGCGTGTTTCGTATGGCTGATATTCAGGCGTTCAAGACCATGATCGAAGACACCGTGAGGACGTGGCAAGACTAGAGTGATTAGTACGTGGCGCCAAATCGGTGGGCTGTGCAGAGATGAGGCAATGTGGCACACTGCAGAGGATGACTATAGCTCACGGCCAACTCCAACACTTGAATACAATTGACCTTCCATTATTGGAGAGACTTGGCAGTACGGGCGTAAATCCCTTGGTCGCTGTGGCACTTCGACATTATATTACAGTGCGCTGGACATCGTTATATGCTCACTGTCTATGTCTGGAAGCTCACTCCGGTGTAGAAGTGAGCTAGCATTCATTTGCTACGGGTGTAGACCATATATAACACCACTTGTTCTTCGAGCATTACATTCCTCTACCTGGCGCTCCGTGCCACTCACAACTCAGCCGAACACTGAATGGATTTCACGAACAGGTTGGTCCTCACCGGACCGAATCGACATTATGGACAGCTTCGGAAGTACCAATACTAATGACAACTACTGGAAAGCTAGAGGAGGTCGGGAGGACAAGACACGTATGGTAGCCCGACTTCGTGGGGCAGGCTATGGGGTCAGCAAGCATGCCAGTAGCGACGCTCTTTACAATATGACATTGCGGATCGATACGCATCAGATTTGCTATGAGCAGTGCAGCTCTGCTGAGCTCCTCAAGTTCAAGAAAGACCATAACGTCTCAATGACATATTCCGACATGCAGCTGAAGGATCCCAGAGCTATGCGGATGGCTCTCGAAACTGTTCTGTATGCAGTCGACCGGGAGATCAAGTTCGAGCGCTTCCGAGGACTGCCAGCAGAGCAGAGAAACAGTATCTATGAGTCTGCTATGGCGCACTTTGCTGACCAACTCATCACGCCATCAGTGCCACCGCTAGCTCGAGTATGCAAGCAGTTGCGCTCAGAAGTGCTCCCTCTGTTCTACGCTGGTCACTCCTTCTTGATGGAGTACCAATTCAGTCGTACGACTGGGGAATACAGAGGCTCCGGCAACCTCTCCAGCTTTCTGATGGCCCTGGCTAACAATGATGGTCTCCGCCATATCCGACGCCTGACTGTGAAGGTCATTGCTTGGCAAGGAGTTCTTCATGGCCCACGTCGCCATTTCTCGTCCCAGTTTGATGTTGCGCTTTGCGGTGCAGAAGGGGAGAGATCTTCGTGCGAACTCGATCACGGCCAACGAAGGGGTCTTGCACTGTCGGCTGCAATGGCGAGGAAGCTGCAGTATCTGCTGGATCAGATCGATCATCGGGATGATGGGAGTGCGCTCACGATGCTCGATCTCCGGGCATTCCGACAGGTGGGCGAGGAGGAAATTCTGATTCAGTCGACCCACGACATGTATTTTGTTTTGACTTGATTCGATAATGCTTCCGTAACACGATGCGAAGGTTTGTCATCGGCGTGGCATACGTATCCGAGCGTTGCGGGTCAAGATGCAGAGATCGAGCCTCCACTGGGTACGCGTCACAGTCTTGACCTGGGGCTGCTGCGTCGTGTGCTATGCCGTGGTCTGTACTGCATGCGACCTCTGTACAGGAGACTGAGCAAGCAGACAGTCATCCTACGATATGAATATCCAAGTTGATTGCTTCTATGCTTGACATACTGAAGCAAGCTGGCTTACTTTAGACTGTGAAATGCAGAAATGGCAGGATTGCAGATAAACTGGCCGTGACAGAACTTGGAAGTTGCTATGAAGGAGCGTCCGAGTGGAGCATGAACTTCGTTTTCACATTATGGCGAATAGTGTCTAAGTATCCAGCCACTCCAGAAAGTCAGGTGTGAAATAGCTCACCACAATACTTGCTCCTGCCCTGAGTATCCCTTCTGTCGCCTCAAAAGCCATGGTTTTCAGATCAAAGACTCCTGCTTTCGCCGCCGCGTGAATCATAGCATATTCGCCACTAACATGATATGCGGCAATAGGCATATTCTTGCCGATCTCCTTCGCATCTGAGATGATGTCGAGGTACTGAGTAGCAGGCTTCACCATGATGATGTCCGCGCCTTCTGCAATGTCCCGCTCAATGGCTCGTCGTGCTAGGCCGCGACCTCCAGGTGGTAGTTGGTAGCACTTCCTATCGCCAAATGATGGGACGGACCCTGCAGCGTCACGGAATGGACCGTATAGACATCCAGAGAATTTCGCCGCGTAGGACATAAGGACGACTCTATGCGCGATCCCAGACTCGATCAACTTGAGCTTGATCGCACGGATCCTTCCATCATTCATGTCGGAAGGAGCCACGCAATGGGCTCCAGCTTCTGCATACGCCATAGCGACATCTGAGACTCGGTCGACGGATAGGGTATTGTTGAGACTGCCATCTTCGTGTAAGATACCGCAATGGCCGTGAGAAGTGTATTCGCACAGGCAGACATCTGCTACGACGAACAATTGGGGAAAGTTCTTTCGCACGAGACGGATCCCAGCCATGACGGGGCCTTGCGGATCGTCCGCTGCTGTGCCTAGAGTATCTTTTGCGGAAGGTGCGAGTGGGACACCAAAGAGGATGACGCTTTTGAGGCCTTTCCTCACAAGTGGCTGCAAGAAAGCTACGACTTTGTTCAACCCCATTCTCCTCTGTCCAGGTAGGCTCGGTATCAGCTCGCTTTCATCCGGGTTGTCGGTGATGAAGATGGGGTATATGAGCATGCTTTTCGTGAGTTGGCGCTCAGCTTGCCAGGCGCGGGCGAGGGGGTGTGAGTACCCGCCATGGAGTTGTGAGGCGATGTCGCCGCTTACGGAGACGCTGGTTGCCGCTGTGCTGGCGTAAGAGCGGGCGCGGGAGACGGTGGAGGCGGTGGTTGATATTGGAGGACGGTGTTGTTCTCGTTGTTGTTGAGTGTCCCGGTAAGTCAGGTCGCTGACGAGGGTGGAGAAGGACATGGCTGCGGTGGGTGGTAGGTAGGAGGAGTGTCGAGCGAGTTTGTGCTGGAGCGTCGAGTCGTGCGATATATTGTGCTGCAGGAAGCTTTCTCCGGTCCAATGCGTTCCTCGGTGCTCGTTGATCGGTGTTCGGTGCTCGTTGTCGTTCAAATGACCACTTCACCGACTCGATCTCGTGTTTGTGAACAAAACCTCACTTGCTGCAGCAGAGGACGAGATGGTATCTTCGCTGCTGCGCTTACGCCATCGTCATTGGAAGATCAATGAATGGTCGATAAAATGTCTTCGGTACCGAGGCTTGATCGGATGTGGCGCGCCGCACAAGGCTGAACTCAATTTCACCACCACGCATGAGCACGAGACTGCACACTATTCGAAGGTGCAAGATCTTCGATCAGAGATACAAGATTAGCAGCCACCTCGCCAGAATCACCCACAGTAGTGTTGGCATGCATTACAGCAGTGCAAAGCCGGGTTCTTCGGCCCCCAAGTGTTGTATGCCGCTACACAGCCCAGCCTTGCCACCTGCGACGAGGCTCGTTGATGGACGAGTATCTCTCTTACGTCCTCTTCTGTGGTAGGCATTCAGTATGATACTCAGAAGCAAGCGCAAGTACTCTTAGGTAAAGCGGTTGACCATGTCCACTGATCTGAACATGCCTACTCGCCCGGCACCACACCCTCCTTTGGCAACAACCAACAAGCCTCATCGCAACAGGAAGCCACCAGCACGGCCTCTTCGATGGCTCAACACTACGACCATCCAACTCGAAGATGCCCGAGCAAAGTCTGTTCCAAACGAGCAGACGTATGCCATTCTCAGCCATACTTGGGAAGATAATGAGATCGACTATCAAGCCTTCCACGAAGGCAGATTCTCCTCAGAATCTGATAGCTACCGGAAGATTCGTGGCACTTGCGACCAAGCACGGAACGACGCCATCGACTACGTCTGGGCCGACACGTGCTGTATTAATAAGGACAGCAGTGCTGAGCTCTCGGAGTCCATCAACTCGATGTATGCATGGTATACCCATGCTGCCGTGTGTTATGTTTATCTCTCCGATGTGCCCAGCCAGGCATCGTTCTCTGGAAGTAAATGGTTTACGGTACGTACAACAGGCTGATTTCATGTGTTAACTCTCGTTGTAACAGCTGACAGTTGTCAAAGCGTGGCTGGACGCTTCAAGAACTCCTCGCTCCAAGCAATGTCGTTTTCTATGATCAGCATTGGGGCTTTCTAGGTACTAAAGAAACTCTCTGCAATGATCTTGGAGCAGTGACTCGCATTGACAGACATATGCTGCTCGGCGAGAGAACATTTGAAACATATTCGATAGCACAAAGGATGTCATGGGCTGCAGATCGGGAGACCACGAGACTTGAAGACAGAGCTTACTCGTTACTTGGACTGTTCGACATAAACATGGCTATGCTGTACGGCGAAGGCGAGAAGGCATTTCTACGTCTCCAGGAGGAGATCATCAAGCATTCAGATGACCACACAATCTTCGCGTGGCCAATGCAGGACGATGACGAGCCCGGCTTGCTTGCAATGGATCCTGATGCTTTCAAGACATGCTCCGAAATCGTAATGACAAGCAGTCGTCGAAGAGGCTCATCTTACACCATCACGAATCGTGGCTTGTCAATAGAGCTGGCCGCGACACCATACGAGACTGACACATATCTTGTGCGACTTGAATGCATCGACCATCAGCGAAATGTGGATCAAGCCGTACACTTTGCCTTTCTTCTCCGCAGACTGCAGGAGGACGATCAGTATGCCCGAGTCCGTTGTGGCGTCAACACATTTCTTCAGCGTGACGCCTCACTATGGAGTAACGAGCAGTGGAGCACAACCCGCCAAGGACGACCGATGCAATACCTTCGGATCAATGTCCGTCAAAGCTTCCGGCCAGACAGACCACTAGACCGCATGAGCCGCGTCCATGGCTTTCGCATCGCCACCGAAGACCTCATTCCCGAAGACCACCTGGAGCAGAAAGCCACCATATCACCCATCAAGAGCTGGGACAACGCGAATCGCATACTGAGAATGAACCCCGGCGACTTCGGCTTCGCCGGAACCCTCGACATCCACATCCAAGGCAAAAAGATCCGCCTCATAAAACTGGGCTTCGACTTCGATTACAACCCCGTCGTCTTCCTTGCCGCTTCCAACGGTACCTCAGATGCCACAGCCGATCCCGTGGTTGATTCCACTAGTGAGAAGCAGGCGCAGCTGCGTAGTATACACTCGCGAACGCCATTCGATGCCTGGGCATGGACCCCAGTTGTGTCGCGCAGGGTGTGGCAATTTGAGCGGCATTCGGGACTGTGGGCGCTCAAGGGAGATAGATTGAGTGGGTTGGATGTTGAGCTGCCTGAGTATGCTCGGGTGAAGATCGAGAGAGTGGTTCTGGATGGGATGCTCGTGTGGGACGTTCATGTTGAGGATTTGAAGAGCGCGTTTGGTGGAAAACTGTTGAGACGTGTGTTGGTCAACTAGTAGCGCCCATAGTTTCAGCCAACGGTGTCGTGATGATGACAGCAAGTTGGCAAAGATTCCTACGGACCAAACTATCTGATCGAGAAAGTGCCTGAGCGTCATGCCGGTCTGACATGCAGAAAACCATCAACGCCAATCCCAACGCCTTCGCTCATCACCGCGCAAGAAAAGACAAGGACATAAGGGATACCTTAAGCAACAACCTCAGCACCTGCCGCAGCCTGAATATCTCCACCAGCACTCTTACTTCCACCTGATTTCTTCATCTTTTGCTTCTCAGCCCACTCCCTGCTCGCCTGCCTTCCACGCTCTGAAGCCGCCGTTCTAGCCTTCTTAGCAGCTTCTTCTTTCTCACGCTTCTCCTTTACCGCTGTGTCCTTGGCTAGTGCAGCGCGATTGAAGACTTCTTTGCCTTTGGACGTGCCCTTACCTGATGGCACACGCTGGCCTAGGATGGGCGCCGTGCCGATGGTGGAGGTGCGAAGAGAAGAGCGGGGTTGAGTGAGGTTGGCCATGGCTGTTGAGGCTCGCGGCTTGGTCACGTTGAGGGCCGGTAGCGCAGGCTTGGTCGTCGGAGCTTGAAGAGGTCTAATGGTGCTAGACGTCATGACACTGTTGGCACGTTTGTGTGTTCCGCCGGTGCTCGCACCACCCACGGCAGACTCCCGCACCCTGCTGGCTGTCGTCTGACGCACACTAGACGCTTTCTTCAATCCAGCAGGCACCGGTCTCGCTTTGAAAGCAGGCTTCTTCTCCTCTTCAGGCTGAGCCTCCTTCATACGCTCTTCCCGAGCAGCTTTCAGCTTCGCTGCGATTGCTTCTCCAGGAAGCTGGAACGAAGAGGTAGTGGGAGCTTTGCGAGACTTTGGTGGCGGCGGCGGTGTTGGGAAGGAGACGGACATTGGCCTCGGCTTGCTATGCGGAATGACCACCTCCTTCTTCTCCCTGGGCTCGTTCGTGCTCTTGTTGAGACTTGAGCTGCCTGAGATGACTCTCTTCACTGCTGGCTGCGTTGTTGCGGTGCTCTGGCGCATGCTGGTGGACTTATTGAGTGTATCAGGCATCAATCTACGTCCTGTCGGCTGCGAGGAGAACACACTTTGGCGAACGCTGTTCGATCTGCCGATCATGCTCGATGGACGGGGGTTGCCTGACTTCTCGGCTTGAGCCATAGACAGCCTTGCTTGGCTTGCTTTAGTGGTCCTCACGATTGGAGTGGCCTTTTGAGCCTTCGCTTTCTTCGGTGTGGCCTGCACGACAGGTACTTCGGCGGATATCCTTTCCACAGCATCATCTAAAGCGTCCATGGCTGTGATCGGGTCTGATACCTGCTTCTGCTCAGTCGGGAGACTCTGTGTAAGCTCGTTCTTGGATGTCGTGATGATGTCGTGCTCTAAAGTGTCTAGTGTCGCGGCGGTCGCTGGAGCTTCGACTGCCGAAGCGTTGATATCAAAAGCTGAAGCACGGCGTGAGGGGCCAGGGGGTGTGGCACCATGCACTACAGCCTCCTCGAGCGCATCATATGACATTGACGGGCGCGGTGTAATCGAGCTCGGCGCCAGTGACGACATGGGCTCGACGTTCTCCTTGTTGCTGGTCGATCGCATACCAGGTGTGTTCTTGCGGAGAGAAGCGATGACGTTGGGCACCGCACTAGGAAGTGGTGATGGCGGCGCGTAAAGAACAGAGACGGTCTCATCACGCGCCTCTGTTGTGTCTTGCATGTGAGACTCAGCTAAGTCGGTTTCACGGACGTCTTTTGCTGGCGATTCGGCGTTGAGAGCTTCGATCATGGGTGTCGTCACTGCTGAGAGCTCTGCGACGTCCGCCATTATGGCAGCTGGCTGGGCAAGAACAAGGTCCTTGTTGGTCTGATCGAGTGTTGATGTAGCACCGGCTTCTCTAACTGCATCAACTTGCTCCTGGGCCTCCACGAGACTTATTGTGCTGCCATTGAGGTCCACCTTCCTGCTCTGCCCACCCTTCTTGGCCCCCTTGCTGCCCCGAACAGACTTCTTAAAGCCATTCAAGTCTGCATCCTCGTCTTTGCTCTCGCCGCTGTTCTGCATGATCTCCTCCAACGGGCTACGCTCAGGTGTTTGTGTTTTCAACGATGTAGGGATATCTTCTCCCAATGGCGTCTCGAGGACCGCATCCTCATCAACATGAAGCTGCTCGGCGACCTCGGCCGCCTTCGCGCGCGTCATGCGAGGCATTGTCGCTGTACTGCTTCTTGCGTGAGTATTGTTGATCCGTTCGCCGAAAGTGGGTGTGTGGCTACGTAGAGAAGCTCCGTGATGATTATTGAGTGCCGCGGATGTACTTTCGCGCCCGCTTCCTTTGTTGTTTCTGCGTGTTGCAAGTTGAGTGCGCAGTCGCGGTCCAGATGTTTACATCATCAAAACAAACGCGGGCGAAGCCGACCCTGCATGACAACCGAGGCGGCTGACTGGGTTGGCTGCTCGTTCTCAAAACCTATATATTACAGCTACCACTTCGGGGCCGCGATCTACATTGCACCCGAGATGTGGCATGAGCTCTAGTCCTGTTGCGCCAAGAGCAGGACCTCACGACAAGAAGTCCCCGATATCCGTTACGAGACGGCTCTGGACAGCGATAATCCGTTTGCATTCACTCAAGCTCGTCACGTGCCGATACAGCTCCAACCATGCAATTAGAACACGATAGTGAGCAATCATAACAGCCTTCAATGCATGCTTTCCGGCCGACCCAAAGAAGCACGGCGTCTCGTGCTACGCTGCCGTCGCGTCGAAGACTAGTACAGCACGGCTCGACTAGGACAAAGTGACATTCTGAGACACCGTAGCACCAGATTTTCACAACTGCACCATCAGCTCTAGATGGCAAGAGATCGTGCAGGCAAGCTTTCGTTATTCTCCTGTTGCATATTGAGAGATCACAAATGCTTGCCGAAAGCAGAAGGCCACTGATTCCTGCTTGGAGAGGCCATTGCATCGGTTTTGTGGTGTAGAGACTGATAAGATCCAGGGACGATGCCATGCAGATACATCCAGACTGCTTCGAAGAATGGCCATTCCTATATCGGCAGCATATGTGCATCACGTGGCCCTCATTGTGCGCAGCTTGCCAGCTTTTCGTGTCTAAGCCAAGGTGCGGAAAGGCTTCTTGTGTGCTGGTGGTGAAAGCAGGAGCTCCACGGCGGCCACACGGCACACGAGTCAGCCCGATGGGTTTCGTTTGTCACAATGTTTGGTTCGCCTCGACTCATGGGTCCATACTATTGGTCTAGCCAGGTCTACCTTTACTTGACGTGCAATGTGCATCCAGTGGGTAGTCTGACACGCTAGAGCTTCGACTACAGTAAGTACTTATGTCAGATAGCTGAATGTCTTGCGCAGGATCTGGCCTCTAGAGATGGAGACGTTCGTGTGCTCCGAGACTGCCAAAGTCCTTCAAACGGAACTGCATATCGTAGCTATGAATAGCTGGCCATTCCTGAGGCGATGGGGTTGAGCTCCGTAATGAGGACGTCAGGGCCTCGTCGTCCAGAACACACTCTGCCATGTTTATGCGTGTCTGTCCAGGCTCCGGAAGTCGACCAGATCATAAGTAGGGCAAATAATGCCGAGCACCAGGTTGATGTAACCTACACATTGCACGATTCCCGCAGACAGATAACGTCTATCCTGCATACTGCGTCGTGTCTGCGTCGTGAGAGTCTGGGAAAATCATTGCGCAACACTGTCTCAGACATTGCTGCAGGACTTGGGTTCGTCCGGGGAAGGAGAGGATATGTATTTTGGTTGACCCACTCTTGAATCGCGGATTACTTTCACAATTTGTCAAGGGAGTTTCATAATTTCTCATCATGGCTACAAGGGATTTTGACGGATGTGCAGCTGCTTGAAAATGAAAGCAAGTTGTCCAATTGAGACAAGGAGCTATTATCGTTGACAGGCAACGAGATATGCAGCAGGTCCTCGGAAACTGCTCCAAGGCCAGTGGGAACGGCAGTCAACCTACGCATCAGGCGTTGAAGCAGCTCTATGCTGTTGTTATCGGTGCTCTGCAAGCCTAGGTAGACAGATGTCATATCTCTGCGCAGGTGAGTAGCCACAACGACGTAGTCATGTGAGCACTAGAAGCTCAATGCCTTCCGCCAACATCCCGTGTCGCCGTCTCTGGGTCAAGGCCTCGGGTGGCGCATCGCAGCCCTGGTCAAGCGTTCGAGCTCGCCCCGCGAAGGGGCAAGTGAGACATGTTGGAGCGCAATCATCCGGCGCAGATCGATGGACCGGGTCGCTGGGCTCTGCGCATCCCTGCTGACGATCGCCACACTCGACTTCAGCTCTATTCTGCTCGACCCGACATGTTGCTGTTGGTGGAAGCGAGGCATTCATATTGAAATCTACGCAGCCGATGTCATGCAGTTTGCAGAGTCAAAGTGCTTTTGGCACCAGAGCAATGGGTGTGGCGTGCGGATCACCAATTAAACCCACGTGCTTCCAAGAATACATGCCGGTTGAAAGCCGAGGTCCCGCTAAAGATCGCCACCAGGGTAAATCATCAGGAGAATCGAGGCGCATTGTAATCCGCAAAAGAAGATTTTGTTTCTTCCACTGGCTCGATCAGCTTCAGGCCTTGTCTCAGATTGTTGCACCTCGGCCAGCGGGGCTCTGCTGTGGTCGCGGCTGAGGCTGCGTACGGCATGCGAGCTCCAACTCGAGATGGGGAGCGAAACGAATTGCAAAGCAAAAGCAGTACAATTGGCTATCACAATCTTGCGATTGGTAACGCCGCCACATCAGCATCGGCCAGTGATACGAACGTCAAAGGCGGTAGAGTTGTCTGGCGCGCGAGTCGCTCTTTCGCGGAGCATCGTAGCGCAGTCCGTAGCACGGTGATAGGGCGCACTGGTAACGATTGGACTCCACTCGGTGCATCTGCGAACTCTGAAGTGTGATCTCCAGACGGGATGCTTCAACCTAAAAGCCATCGTTATTTGAGGGCTTACCTGCTACCCGTTTCCCGGAAAAGGCTGATGGTCGCGGCTTTCTTTGGTTCAAAACATGGCGACCTCAAACCTCTCCTACCTGAATCAAAGTATCAGCTCACGGCAGTGTTTGCTGGTTCTTCGGTCGTCATCTTCAGCTGGAAAGCAAGGTGCGGTCGTCGACGAGTGTGCTTGCCTAAGCAATATCACAAAGCGGAGGAAGGAGCGACCTGACCTCATCTGCCCTTGCGCGCGCAACGAAAGGTCAACATCAATACACCTTACCTAGTGCCAATACTCTTTCGCGAGTAATACCGGAACATCGCAAACCACAAACCCCCAAACACGATCATTATTTGCAGCGCCGGCCGACAGACTTCATACACCTCGACCTGGAAATCGCCAACAGTTGTCGACTCTGCTGGGAGGATTCATTTGGTTGGCACGTCTGCTTTTCGGTCGTGAAGTTCGAGATCACGCGATTTACCCTTGACGAGGTATGTTTGCTATGGCACTTCGACATGACCGTCCCCGGTGTTTGCTCAGGTTCGATGGTCTTGAACACCATACGCCGCCGGCAGCTCCCGCTCCTTACATTCCTTCGGTGGGACAACATGCCACTGCATGCACTGTACTGACATCCAGCCTTCGCAGCAGAATATCAGCAACGAGGTTGCCAGGAAGCACTTTCGCGTAGGCCCCAGGGATCCCATGGAGGCCGCTCGAAGACGACAGACAATCTGGAGTCCTTAAACGCGATGCTGCACGGCAGCGTTGCTGGCTCTTCGTCTGTAGAAGCAGGCTCAGTGACTGCAACCCTGCGGGGAGCACAATTCGCGTCCAGCCAAGGAAGCACCAAGCTGCTGTCGCCTTCTTATCCTGCGATGGACTCTGGTATCACCACCGGACTCGCGATCACGCTGCCAATGACACCTCCAGAGAGTCCTGTGTACTCACACGATCCCTCCGATACGCTTCCTGCACCTGCTCTATTCCACAACTACCTTCGAGCCTTCTATCCGTTCGAGGCTCCGGCTGACTCAGACTCCGGCGATGATGCTCTAATGATGACAGTCACCATCAAGCCAGGCGATCTAATCTTGGTTCATTCGGTCCATGCAAATGGCTGGGCAGATGGTACGGTCGTTACCACCGGAGAGCGAGGGTGGCTCCCCACAAACTACTGCGAAGCTTACGATCATCCGTATTTACGAAATTTACTGAATGCGATGACCCAGTTCTGGGATCTTATCGGAGCCAACGAAGACGCCAACTTGTCAACGTTTGTGCGCCAGGACTATATACGCGGCCTCATCGCAGGTGTACGATATCTCCTTGAGCACGCCGACTGCTTACACAGAGATGCATCTCTTGTGCAAGGACATACTGGCATCCGTCGAATGCGAAAAGGCCTGCTCGCAGATCTATCAAATCTGGTGCAGATTGCCAAAGGGTTACAAGAGACGATAAGTGAGCCTTTCGCCGGCGAGGTGGTGCACTATCTACTCGATGATGTAATCACAAAAGCATTCAAAGTGGTTACACGAGCTGTGGGTTTTGCGGACATGTGGGCCAAGGAAATCGCAGAGTCGAGATCCGAAACGGACAGCCAAGATACACGCGACTATAGGAAAGCCGGCGCATCGAGCTTTGAGTCCCTACAACTGGCGATAGACACAAGTGCGCCCTATACAGCCCAGACCGACCGCCGTGTGGACTCTGCGAAGGTCGTACCGATTGATCAAGGAAAGCTCTCCGACTCGGAGGAGACCTCTAGCCACCAGACTGCCCAAGAAGCCAACGGCCATGCCGCGGACCTGAGCGAGAGGCCTACAATCACACGCTCGGGCACCACCTCCTACAGGCTTTCCACTATCGATAATGAATCTTCAACACCGACTTCACTTGCATCTGGTCAGCTATCTCAAGCGCACGACGAGTGTATCAGCCATATTGGTGCTTTCATAGGGCATCATCTCCAAGCTCGACCCACAGCAGAGCTGGCTGACACGACGGAGCGAGTGGTCCTGGCATGCAGAGCTCTTTTAGCCGCCGTCGATGTGGTGCTTGCGCGTGACAGCCAGTATTCAGCGTCAGTCCACCAAGCACGAATTGAGTTTCAATTGAAGCTCGAAGAAGTGGTGAAGGCGACCCGTAACGTCTTCACCTTCTCGGATACGGAAGAAAGTAATGCTGTGATGCTACCGGAACAAACGAATAGACTGGTAGCTGTCGGGACGAGCCTTATTCGCACTGCGGGTGAATGTGTTGCGCGGACCAAGAATCTGATCGAGCAGATTGGAGATGTGGAGTTGAACAAGCAATCAAATCAAACAGACGAGCGACCAACAACAGCGATTACGACTTCGCCCTCTACAGCCTCGGAAGCGTTAGCTCAGCCACGTATCCTCACATCCTTCCAGAAGCGACTCTCCCGCAAAGTACTTCCTTCACTCCCAGCATCCGGCCTGGCTTCGAGCACGAGCGTGGACAACGTTGAGCAAGCGCCTGAAGGAGGCAACGCCGGGCCTGGAGCTACCGATGAGCGCCCATCGACAGCAGATTCTCACGGAGCCAAGGCAACACCTTCCATGCGCCGGCGATCAAGAATCAGATTGTCCCATAATGGTATTAGTGGCGCCAGTCTGAAAAGTCCTACCATGCCTGCAATATTTCAAGTAGATGAGGGTCCTACACGGAAAGACAGTGCAGGTTTGTCAATTGATGGGTCCGCCGAGACGTTCCGGAGTAGCATGAGGCATTCTGGCATCAGCGCAGTCTCTGAGGTTTCGACACGGGCTACCACACCCGACCACGACAAGGCTCCCCTCAGCCCGGACCCAGGCCTCCTGGACAGCTTCCACAGTATATCGAGCTTGCATACAACCGAGTCGGACCCACTCAACGACGCTGAGACACAATTATGGCAGAAGACATTCGCGAGCGAACTGACATTAAACAAGGACGGCCAAATCACCGGAGGTACCCTGCCAGCGCTGATCGAACAACTTACCATCCATGATGTGGCACCTGATCCACAATTTATGATTGCATTCTACCTCACCTTCCGAATGTTCGCCACACCCCGGGATTTCGCGCAGACATTGATCGCACGGTTCGACTATATTGGGGACAGCGCAGCAATCGCAAAACCCGTCCGACTACGGGTGTACAATGTCTTCAAGGGCTGGATGGAGACTTACTGGAGCGCTGACGCCGATAAGGACGCTCTTGGTGAGATCCGGTATTTTGCTCTCCACAAGTTGAAGGCTCATCTACCATCTGCGGCGGATCGTCTACTTGAGACCATTCGCAAGATCACAGAGAGCTACCACAGTGGAGAACATACCGGCCAACTCGTTTCTGGGATTGGTAAAACGAGCATAGCAGCACAGCAAGCCACGAATGACGAAGCACCAGAGCCGATGGTCTCGAAGGCACAAATGAACCTGCTTCGAGCGGCAGAGAAAGGTGGCTTGGTCTGCAGCGTCTTGGAGTTCGAACCTCTTGAATTGGCAAGGCAATTGACTCTGATGACCTCGAAGATTTATTGCGCAATCCAGCCTGAAGAGCTGCTCAGCCTGGACTGGGGCACAAGAGGCACCAACAAGGCTCAAAATGTTCGGGCTATGTGTTCCATGAACACGGATCTTGCGCACATCGTCGGAGACAGCATTCTTGCGCCTGACGACGCAAAGAAACGTGCTGTTGTGGTCAAGCACTGGAGCAAGGTGGCAACGCATTGCCTCGAGTTGAACAACTACGATTCTCTGATGGCGATCATGTGCTCATTGAACACATCTGTCGTTCAGCGCCTCAAGCGGACATGGGATCTAGTTAGCAAGAAGACTCGGGCCAGACTGGCTGAGCTCAATGCAATCATTGACGTATCGCGGAACTCAGTGGCCCTGCGAAGACGCTTGGAGACACCAGTGGCACCTTGTATACCATTTCTGGGCATATACCTAACAGACCTTACATTCCTGGATGTTGGCAACCCGAAGACCCGAGAGCTTCCAGGTGCTGCATCCGACGATGGTCAGACAGTCTCTGTGATCAACTTCGATAAGTATATGCGAATGGCCAAGGTCATCAGCCACCTGCAAAAGTTCCAGGTACCGTACAGTCTCCGACCGGTGCAGGAGATGCAAGCGTGGATCGATTCACATATGTCCCAAATGCGTGAGAGCAACGATCAGATGGTTGGCAAGTTTCACCGGCGCAGCTTGGTCGTTGAGCCCAAGCTGGAGGATGCGAAGCTTCTCAAGGCGGTCGATGCTAGGCGTGGTACCGACACCGCGAGCGAACGTCCGAAGACGGGCAACAAGGAGCGGTTTGACATGTTCTTGAGAAACAACCATTTCAATCTCAAGGCACTGACATCACAGGACAGTCCAGCGATAGAGTCGCAATCTGGTGGCGAGAAGCAGGCTTCCTCATGATATAGAACGACATACCACTGAGCCAGGGAGAATGCGTGGAGCAGTTGACTGATGATGGCTTGTATTTGTTAGCGAGATACCCCTTGGCGATTTTCATTCGTAGCTATGTCGCTGAATGTGAATCGTGATATCCATCAATTGGTTGTCGCAACTCACTTGGCTATTTTGTGATCAGTCCTGGTCTAGACCGCATCGCCCGCATGTGTTGACCCGTGCGGGCATCATATGGTATTGTGCTGCCCACTACGAACGACTGTCTAGACACGGCACCGCCTCTGTAGCCTTGAGGCTCGCATGCTCACCGCAGAGTGCGCTTAGCCGCTGCGTGTCCATTCGAAATCTTGATTCTTCAATTGTATATGCGATGACGAAGGGGAGCACGTGCACGGCCACTGCACGCCACACCTTCTCGCATGCCTGCCACTACATAGACTAGTACTTGTGGTCTCGCATACCCTTCTGATCCTCAGAGAAATCTCCGTGGCCACTTCATGCATCCTCATGAATCTCCCTGACCCTGACCCTCTAAACCAGGAAATCACGAATCTGGCCTCTGTAACATCGTCAAACACAGCTCCACCCTCTAGCCACACCGGGTCAGTGCGCCTTTCACATGCTCCTCGGTCTTCTGCCTCCGACGATGACGAACAAGCTTCTGCTACACCGCAGCACCACCGCTATGAAGGAGAAGCCTCGGGCGAAGAAGCTTCTTTTGCTGCTCACACCACACTGACATCAACACTGATTACGGATGTCGCGGGTGAGGTAGAGAGCCCTACTGGTGAACCTGACGAAGTCGATGTGCTGAATGAGCTTATTGGCGGGAGTTATGCTACCGGTGGTGTGAGCTTGCATTCGTTCACTCAGAGAAGACGGCAGGGTTCGGGTTCGTACTCGTCGTATAGGTCTTGGAGACACGGGAGTGGTGACCGGAGTCGGAATCCTGCTCACGAGGCTGCCGAGAGCCTGAGAAGTGCTAGCGAGCCTAGTTTGGTCAGCCTCGCTCGCCAAAATCAGGTAGCAGAATCGTTGTTAAGAGAGAGTATGGAAATGGACATGGGGGCCGAGGTAGCGGAGCAGCAGGCTGATGTGGGGAGGATGGACTCGTCTCTGCCTGAGAACGATGGTATGAAGTCAATCAGAGAGAAACTGCAGGAGATTCGGTTGCTCGCTGTGTCTACCGAGGAGAAAGCACGATTGATGCACTATCTTATGATGCAAGACTACCTATCTCATAAAGCGCGAAACCCGCAAGCGTCCGGAACCGCGTCCGATGACCTTCAGGTAGGCTCGATGTATCTGCCTGTCGACCCAAATAATCCTTACAGCCTCGAGCCATCCGACCTGGAACCGTCCTTCAGTCCACTGCCCGTCATCCCACCAGAGACCATGGAAGATAATGACGAAAGTATAGTCGATGACTTGCCGCCTCTCCTCGGGTGCAGACACTATAAGCGCAATGTCAAAGTCCAATGCTTCGACTGCAAGCGCTGGTATCCATGTCGCCACTGCCATGATCACTCTTCGGCACTTCCGTTTCCACATCAGCTGAACCGTACGAAGACCGAGAATATGCTCTGCATGCTCTGTCGTACGCCACAACCTGCTGGTGAACTTTGTATCAACTGTGGCGAGTACTCGGCCTGGTACTACTGCCCCAAATGCAAGCTCTGGGACAATGATAACAATAAACGCATCTATCACTGCGATGACTGCGGTATCTGTCGAGTCGGCGAAGGGCTGGGAAAGGACTTCGTGCATTGTCGGCGCTGCAATGTCTGCATTTCGATTTCGACATCCGCATCGCACCCGTGCATTGAGCGGGCAACCGAAGGCGATTGTCCGTTGTGCTTGATCCGGCTATTCGAGTCATCCACGCCGGTTGTGAGCCTTCCCTGTGGCCATTATATGCATGGAGAATGCTATCGAGATCTTATGGCCGTGACGTACAAGTGCCCAGTGTGCAGCAAAAGTGCTATCAATATGGAGCTGCAGTGGCGCAAGCTGGACGATGAAATCCGCGTTCAGCCTATGCCAGAGGACGACGAGGATCTGGAAGGTCTTCTGCCACATGTTGATGATGAATTAGCTCAACCTCCTACCGAGGCTTCCGCGGATGCAGAGAGTACTGAGCAGCCTAGAAGACCGCGCACAGTGTACATTGGCTGCAATGATTGTGGTCGCCGGAGCTGGTCCCCTTTTCATTGGCTCGGTCTAAAGTGTCAAGTCTGCGACAGCTACAATACGAATCAGATGGCGCCCACGGCTGTACAGGAGACTGATGCCGAACGCCTGATCCGCCAGCAGAACCAACGCCATCGCCAGCACGACTTCACTGGTAATGCTGTGCTCCGTGACGCCGGTATAGGAGCTGACGAGGCCCTGGAAGTCGAGCAAGCAACTCTACAAGTGCCAACGTCGCCTTCCCAACTACCGCTCAACAACGACAGCAGACGTACCAGCGGCGCCCAATCACCAGGCCGACGCTACTTTGTCCAAGAGGAACAAGAGCGTCGGCCAAGCTTCACGAGTCGAGGCTTCTCCACACCGACTCTCCCTACTCTGCCTCATCTCCCAAATTTGCCGAACTTGCCAAACTTCCCGAACCTGCCACAGCTGCCAGATATGCCACGCCTCCCTCGCATGCCTAATATCCGCGACATGCCAAATATGCCCAACATGCCCAACCTCGAACTCCCTCGCTTCTCCCCATTCGAAATGTTCGATGCCGTCAGCCGCAGTCTATCGCCCATGCGGTACTACCTCCAAGGCTTCGATATGGGCAACGAACCCTTTCGCAGACGAAGATCTGCAGCGGCAGCCGTTGATCGGAACAGGAGTCCGGACAGTGTGAGGAGTGATCCTGCTGGCCTTGCTACCACTTTACCGAAGAGACCGAAACTTGGTTCTTCTCCTATGATGGACGATGAGGACGATGTTGTTGGCTTGTGGAGCTCAGACGGACACGGACAGGATGATGGGACGGACGATAGTCTGCAAGATGTTGGTGGCGAGGAGGACTCGAGTGATAGCTCCAGCGGAGAGGAAGAGGACGAAGATTTTGAGATGGCTGACGAAGAGGGGGAGGATGAAGTTCATGGAATCGAGCTCTTTGGGCATCGGTAGAGCAGTGGCGTTCTACAGTGTGCTTGTTGGCATTCCTAGGTTACGATCGTATTTCAACCTGCGGCATGCTTGGCTAAAAGTTCGACGAAAGCACGTCTGTTTTCCTCCCATCTTGCCCAGGCCGCTGCTTGTAGTAGACAGTCTGCAAGGTCGTCGAGTTTGCCAATATCAGTGCTTTTAGCAGAGCCCCGGCCCGTGTTGGAGCGGAAGTGGTCAGCCATGGCAGCCGCTTCGCCTTCGAATGTCAGCTTGACGTCGCCACTGCACCCCAGCCAAGAGCGCACAACGTTGATCTTGTCCTTCTTCTGCACCTTCTTGCGAGACGATCCATCGTTCTCTGCCGTGACTTTGGATGGCGTTGCGTCGAATAATGTACGCGACGGCCTAAGTAGTACGGGTGCACTCGGTACCCAGAAGTTGGCCACTCGTGCGGGATTGACCTCATGAATAGTGGGAAAGCCGGAAGATGACTTCTGCATCTGTAGGGTCTGTAGACATGCCCAGAGCATGCTCTCGAGCATGTTCACTCGCACAGTCCATTCCTGGATGGCGGATCCGCCGCCAGAGCGGAAGCGCTGACGCTCGATCAGGATACTGTCTGGCTTGTGGGCTATCAGCTTCTGTGTGATCTGATAGGCCGTCTTGGACATCTGAGATGGAGTGAACGCCTCGTTGGATGTCTTCTTGCCAACTTCCTGGCTGGGCTCAGCATCATTCTTTGACTTCGCCGAAGCCTTCGATCCTGGTGACGCTTTTAGTAGATCTGTCTTGGACCATGCAGATATATGCAAATATGTGCTTGGCTCAGCATTTCGATGCTTGGACCAGGCTGGAACAGTATCGACGACGCAATAGGCGAGGTTACGGATCCCCATGTCGACGCTGAGGATACGTTGACTGTTCTCTGACCGGGCTTGGGACGAGTCTGCTTGTCTAGCCAGGACTGTAACAAGCTCTGACTTTGTGCCTATACTCGGGAGACCAAGCAGAAAGGTGGCATGCTTGAGCTGTGCTGCTTTTAGTGCAGTCAGGGTCGCTGCGGCCATGATTTAGGTGAATTGTAGTCTCTTCTCCATCTCATTTGTGCAAGTGGCCATGTGTCGCGGTGTATCTTCCAGCTAGGTCACGCTTGCCCATACATGACGGCGAGCACCAGATACCTCGCCTACTTTTTGTACCTAACCTGTTGCATCCATGTCATAGAGAAACACGTTATACGTCTTCCCGAAAATAGTGCCTTCACGTGCCGGACTTGCCCCATGCGGCAAAAGTCCTCAATAAGCGAGGCCCGCTAACAGAGCTTACGCGGTTTCGGACATGCACATGCGTCGTCGTGGACAGAGCCTACACTTTTCAATATGATACTCGCCCTCGACCTACGATAAGGCTAGCAGCAACGATGTTATGGCCAGAGACAATGACAATCCGCGTACAGAGGAGCGAAAAGGTAGCGATGACAAGGAGGACGCACAAGGTCTCCTACTCCAGGACTCAAGAGAAGGGTCACCTGAGGCGGATATCGTAGTCCATTCTGCTATTGGGTTTGGCGAGGCAAATGGACATGCTAGAGGACCTATGAAAGGGCCGCCTAGAAGGCAATCTTCGTTTGCGCAATCGAGGCCCAATGGCGAGCCGAGAACACCACATCGTGTGCGATTCGAGGTAGCCGAGCCGGATGCGCTCCAGGAGGCCGACGTGCATGCTCAAGGCCAGCAGTGGATGGACGACGAGGACTTTCTGACCACAGACACCTACGATGGCGATCCGACAGGACATCGAGGACAGCGAGCTCCACTTTTGACAGACATACAGGCGCCGAGTGTGACCGTGGCCAACGATCTGGACTTTGAGGCAGAAGACTACCTCGAGTCTGCGAGACCGAAGAGTGGGCTCAAGAGTGCGTTCATGAACATGGCCAACAGTATAATTGGTGCTGGCATTATTGGACAACCTTATGCTTTCAAGCAAGCTGGCCTATTATCTGGCATCATCCTCCTGATAGTGCTCACGATCACCGTGGACTGGACCATTCGCCTGATCGTCACAAATTCGAAGTTGAGTGGAGCGGATTCCTTCCAGGCGACAATGGAGAAGTGCTTTGGCAAGTCTGGGCTTGTCGCCATTTCGGTGGCGCAATGGGCATTCGCCTTTGGTGGGATGGTGGCATTCTGCATCATTATCGGGGACACTATACCGCACGTCCTGCAGGCTGTGATTCCATCTCTGGAGCATATGCCTGTACTTTGGCTACTTACGGATCGAAGAGCCATCATTGTGTTGTTCGTCTTGGGTCTATCATTCCCGCTTTCTCTCTATCGAGATATTGCTATGGTATGTTTGCCATTATGCCAGCCTGCTACAATGCTGACTTCTGCAGCTCTCCAAAGCAAGCACCCTTGCGCTTATCTCCATGATCATTATTATTATTACAGTGGTAACACAGGGACCACTACAGAAATCTGAGCTACGAGGTCAGCTCAGGGGCAGTCTCCTGATTAACGATGGCATTTTCCAGGCTATCGGCGTCATCTCATTTGCCTTCGTATGCCACCACAATAGCTTACTGATCTATGGCTCCCTTCGGACGCCAACAATGGACCGCTTCGCACGAGTCACCCACTACTCGACAGGCATCAGCATGATGGCGTGCATGATGATGGCGCTTGGCGGCTACTTGTCGTTTGGCGACCGCACACAAGGCAACGTGCTCAACAACTTTCCTACCGACAGTGTCATGATCAATATTGCGCGACTGTAAGTTGCACTTCGACATCGTTTCATCGCTATCACTAACACAACCGCGTAGCTGCTTCGGCCTGAACATGATCACCACCCTCCCACTCGAATGCTTCGTCTGCCGCGAAGTGATGACAACCTACTACTTCCCTTCCGAACCCCACAACCCGAACCGCCACCTCATCTTCACCACATCCCTCGTCATCACCGCCATGGGCATGGCGCTCATCACATCCGACCTGGGTATCGTGTTCGAGCTCGTGGGCGCTACGTCCGCATGTGCGTTGGCGTATATCTTGCCGCCGTTGTGTTTTGTCAAATTGACGAAACGGAGGACGTGGGAGACGTATGCGAGTTATGTCTGTATTACCTTTGGGTGCGTGGTTATGATGATTAGTATTACGCAGAGTGTTGCTAAGATGGTAAGAGGGGAGGTTTTGGGGAGCAGTGGGAAGTAGCTGAATGCGGCATAAACTACGATAGATGGTGAAGCCTCGATCATACTTGCTAATGAGCACATAAGTCCCCAAGCACCGTCAGATGTTGTACTTCAGATCTCACAAGAATTTTGGTGGTCTCTCAACTGGACGAATGGTAAGATGGTACATACAATGCACCTGTGCCTTGTAGCGCAGGGCTGAGCAGTGCGGCCTCACTGCATACCTCAGAAGTCTTAAAATAGCGACCTCATGCCTTTGCGACTATTACATATGCTAATCACAACTTCCTGAAATGGATGTTTTGATCTTCTCACAATCACAACAGCGGTCATCAGCATGGACGCCGCAGCATCAATGGCAGGCTAGTCTCACTGGCAGGTCAGCTCTACACCATCATCAACACCTTCGTCGAGAATACGAAAGATGCTCCATCATTGGCACACACCGTGCATCCCGAGCTCAAGTCATGTCACTCCATACTGACAGCACTGCAAACCTTGTACTTCAGTTCCAGGCTACCGGCTGAACGCGCGCCTCTGATCTCTCTGGTTGATCTGTATGCGACACTTACTGATGCCGTTATATTATATTCGGAAATCGAGGCTGTCCATGACCCACTTGCACAGGATCTTACGTACAGCCTCGCCCGCAGAGCTCGATGGGCCAGGCAGGCTACCAAGATCGAAAAGCTAGTCGACAGGCTACAGAGGCATAAGTTGACATTCAATCTGCAATTGACTATTCTACAATGGTGAGCTCCGCTCCACACATAGGCTGGTGAACTTCTGACAAGATGCGAGGTAGTCCGTCCCAAGCCGATGCCCTTGACCACAGCACGTCTTTGCGTGTTGCCGTGGAGAGGCTGCTTCAGCAAGACCAAGATCTTCGTCATAGGCTACTACATCTCGAAGACGAAGTGTCCAGGCTACAAGACGACACTACCTCCACCACTGATTCTGTGCAGACCACAGTGCCGCTACAGAATATGGCGGACACGGATTTGAGCCCTTCCAAGACATATGCGTTGCTGGGCTCGAGAGCGAGCTTCGAACACAGTCTCTCTTCTTCTTGGGTATATCGGCGTACGCATCACTTGCCTGAGGGCATGTCTATGCTGAGTGCGCAAGACCGGGAGAGTGCCCGGTCAGCTTTATCACACTGGTCATTGGCCAATATTTCTGTTCTCTCTGTTATTGCTTTGCCACTTCTGCCATTGGACACGATTAGTCGCAGTTTGCTTGTTGGTGATGTGACATCCCGAGCGAGCGACGAGATAATCGATGCCAATTCACCGCACCTCAGACCCATGTCTGTGGCTTTACCGGGGCCGCGCTCTGCTACACTTCGATTGCCGGTTCAGCCAGACGAGCCAATCACCTTCATCGACTTAACGCGTTACTACATGGACAGGGGGGTGCGACGAATGCCAGGCCCAACGTTCGGCAGACGCAGCCTACTCAATGATCTCAGCTATGGCTACGACCTGCTGCCTGCGCGGCGGGGGGCGGAGTTTGGCTCAGAGGACTAGATAAATGTAAAAGGCGACATTTTGGGACTGGGCATACCTATCGAGTGCGGCGATAGAATTGTCTCATGGCGTGCTAGCAAACCATTTCTTTCCCTGATTATCTCACAACTGGACCCCCACGACAAATCCCGTCGGCGCTGGAAGGCACTTCAACTATGATTCTTGAAGCCCAACAATTTTCCCGAACCTCAGCTTCATGCGGATGGTCGAACGATGGGTCGGATAAGCTGGATGAGAGCATAGAGCTCGAACATGTACCTTTACGATGCCAGCTCTGATCTATCACAACTTATATCTCCCTGCCCCACCCGTCTCCCCACTCCCACTCCTCGCCTCCTTCCCCTCCAAGTCCTCCACCCGCCCGTTTTTCCCAATAACCCTCACCCCACCCTTCTTCAAACTCCCGACCACCTCCACCTTCTCCCTCGCCTTTTTACTCTTCGGCACTTCCCCAGCATCAGGCCCTTTCTTCCTGATCCTCTCCTTCTCCCTCCGTCTGCGCCTCAACTTCTCCTCCCGTGACATCTCCTCCCTAGCAGCGGGTAGGCCGCTCTTCCCAGCGACTTCTTCCTTGCCGCTGACAGCTTCGCCGGCACGGTAAACCTCTTGTGGTGCAAGCTGGCTCGCCCCCGCCACTTCGGAGCCGGCGCTGGGCCGAGCATCTTCTAGACTTATTGTAGGCGCGTCAACACGGATGTCCAACTGTGGCGCCGGCGCCTTGGGACGGAAGTGCCAGGAACTAAGGGTGTCGAGATCCCTGCGAACTTGGTTCCACAGCGCCTCGATCTCCTTTTCTTCCCTCCGCATCTTCTCGTCTTTGACATCGACGAAATTCGGATCCGTGCGGCGAAGATGCTCTTCTTCGTATTCCTCTGCAAGACCTTTCTTGCTTTTGCTGTCGTCGAGGTCATAGTTTAGCTTGCCCCGTCGAGCATCTTTGCCAGTAGCCAGGTCATCAGGTCGGCGACGAATAATGTCTTGGAAGTCATAGGCGAGGATTCGCCGCTTGATAAGTTCCTCTATACTTTCACTTACTTCCGCGGTGATCACGGGCACGGGTTTGCCGGCTCGTTCGAAGTCGAGGTCTTCTTCAAGCAGGCTATTGACAGGTCGATCCGCACCGCGTGCTTCTCCGGACAACGTCCACTCTCGCTTGGCTACATTGGCAGCCTCGAGCTTGCGGATCTCTTCTGCTAAGGCGGCTTTGCGGCGTTCGTGGGCTGATCTTCTCGATCGTGGGTTGCCCGCATCGAGCTTCTCCTGTGGCTCTTCATCATCTGGCTCGGACTCGTCTTCAAAGAGGTCGCGATGGACAGCTGCTACCGTGCGCTCAACATCGTCATCGCCTTCTGCCTCAGGTCCATTGCCGGTGGTCGTTCTAGCCGGGAAATTATGTGGATTGGGTCGTCCTTTTTTGTTCTTCCGCTTCTTCTGGGCAGGAGGTGCGAAGAAGTCTTTGTACATCACATCGTTGGTATTGCCCATACCACCCATCGCATCCATTTCGCCTGCATCGAGACCCTCGTCATCGTCTTCGTCTTCGCTCGGTGCATCTGGATCACCAAGTGTTGGACCATCCTCTTCGTCATCGTCATCTGCATCATCCATGGTAGTGTCAACTGCACCAGACCTGCCTGCGCCAGCCGCAGCAAGCGCAGACGGATCTGCATCCCAATCAACGTCCTCCTCATCGCTGGCAGCGCCATTATCGTCGCCACGGATATCCTGCTGTTCCAGAAAGTCTGATTGCTTGTTGAAGTCGTCAATAGAGAAGAAGCCATCGTTCAAGCCGAACTTGTCAGTCACGAGTTCCTCGGCCGGGTCGTCGCGATCAGCCTCTTCGTCTTCGTCAAAGTCGTCCATACCATCCATTTCCAAATCCTCGCCTGCATAGTCGTCTTCAGCGCCTGCCTCGGCCTGGTCAAGAGCATCGTCCATTTCGTCAGAGTCGCTCTCATATATCTCTTCTCCATCGTCCACACCCTCAACTTCATAGTCCACACCTTCTTCACCTAGATCCTCGTCGTCCACATCTGATCCTTCCAGATCTGCCTCATCGCCGAATTTACCGTTCGCCCTATTCCGTGCCTGCCTGTCCTGCGCCACAACGAGACCCAGCTCGGCCTCATGTCGTGCCGCATCAATGACTCTCCGCGCCTGCTCCCACACTTGCTCAGGTCCAAAGCCGTCGACGTGAATCTGCTTCAAGCGCAAGACATCCGTCTCATCTACTAGTGCCTCGCCTCGCTTCCGCTTCTTACGCACTTCCTGCAGACGCTGCTGCTGAACCGTACTGACATCCGCTGCGATCGGATCGAGAATGTGCTTCAGGTAGGCAGCGGTGTCTGTGTATAGCGGTAGCGTTGGTTGTAAGAACGTATGCGGTGCGTCTGTCAGCCTATTGGCCAATGTCGCTGCTGCTGCCATATTGCTGGGCCCCATATCCACTTGAGCTTGCTCAGTATGTAGAGCCCAAAAATTGTATGTCGAAGTCGAATCTTAGCGCAAAGATTTGGACCGGATCTAGCCGAGATAAGATACGCCTCTATAACCGCGACCACGGGGACCACTTCGCATCCTACAACGACCGCCAGGCATTGCTCATTTCGACATTGCTACGAACGACGCTGGCAAGGACATGTCAGTGGATGGTAGAGAAACATGGCGAGGTGTTCTTTGAGCTTGCGTCGCTGAGATCTGCGTAATTTCCAGGGCCACTGCAGGACTGTGGCCCCCTTTCCAAGCATCGGTTAGTGCGAAGATGGCCACAAGTCACAAGCACGACCAAGCTGAACCCTTCCTGGCCACTGGTAGGAATAGTGACGATGTAGAGCTTTCCCACCTTGGATTCGACGGCCAGCAAGTCAGCAGCGTCCACGATCATGACCGAACGCCAGACTCTCACCATCTGCAGCCCAAGGTCCCGCCACAGCAGAAAGGTAGAGGCTTCGCACTTTTAGTAGGCGCCGCCCTCTTCACAACCGTAATCGGCTTCGTCATCAACACAGAAGCAACGGAGTACTTCGAGTCCGAACTTGGCTGGAAGAAACCCTTGGCAAGCATGTACGTGACGCACAGTTCACTCATCTTACCATGGATCGTCAATATCGTTGCAAAAAGGATCAGACACCGAAAGCTCGGGTTCGGCGCATGGGTCAAGCAGAATATCGACCAGCTGAGCGACTCGATCACGACAATCGATGCCTACCAAACTGGAGTGTCTGACTCTGCGAAAGCACGACCGAGCAGTCCACTGAAGTTCCTCTTCACAACCATGGGCTTCCTTACGATCGCTTTGACAGCCAGTGGTATGTCCTGGTTCATTGCTCTCGCTTGGACAACACCGGCAGACCTGACGGCGATCTACAATTGTGCGACATTCTTCGCGGCAGCCTTCAGCGTTCCACTACTCAATGAGCGACTTGGACTCTGGAGCATCGTTGCAGTCGGCCTCTCGATTGTAGGCACATTTGTTATCGCATACGGCGACACGACCGCGAAACATGATCCGACGGAGAAGATCGGCACGTCTCGTCTCTTTGGCAATATTATTGCTTGTATCGGTGCTCTGGCATTCGGTTTATATGAGGTGCTATTCAAGAAATGGGCATGTTCTTCTCAGCCATTAAGTCCGCAGCAGAGCCTGCCTCTCACGCTTTTCGCCAGCGCCCTAACAGGCTTTTACACCATCATAGCTCTGTGGCCAGGTCTGCTAGCCGCACACCTCAGCTCTGTCGAACCCTTTGTCTGGCCTTCCGCTCGGGTCTGGCTTTGGATCATCATTGCTGTTCTTTCGGGCTCTATCTCTATTACCTTGCTTGCTGTTCTCGTCGTCTGGACGGATCCAGTCTTTGGCTCGTTTGCGAACGTGCTAAGTGTCTTCTTTGTCGCATTATCGGACTGGTTGATCTTCGGTCTCAGTCCTTCTTTGGCAACATATGCGGGTGGTGGATTGGTGATTGTGGCGTTTAGTTTGCTGACTTGGGACACCTTTGTTGCGAAGAAGGACCGGTGAGCATGTATGCGTGTTTGCTGGGTGGTGTATTGTATCGCTGGGCCTCAGCACACCTTTATAAGGATGAAGCGTTCGAGCTCGTCGCTCACTCTGGACCTACACACGCACAGAAGAGCACAACAGCATGCCAGGCGTACCTCCAGCTGTCCAGCAGGGCAGCAATACAACCGCACTCCTCTACCTCAGAGGCAGGATCGACCGGCCTGACCCTACCGTCTCATCACCCTCACTCGTTCGTACACTAAGTGACCCTCGCTACGCCACCAGCGCTTTCAACACGACTTCCAAGGCCGCAGCCGTCACGTACGCATACGTTCAGCTTGTCAGAGCTCAGCGTGAACTCATGGAGGTCCTCGAGTACGACCTGTGGACCCTGCAAAATAAGATGATATGGTGGGCCCGACAGGTTCAGTGGCTGAAGGTAGTCTGGACTCTTCTATTCGAAAGGGACAGGATCACAGGACACGGTTTTCGGGATCTGCTGCTGGGTTTGGTGGAGGAGAGGGAACATGCTAGAGAGAGTATCAGGGACGTGGTGGAGAGTCAGGGGCGGGGACAAAGCCGGGGAAGGACCTGACTATTCTGTACGTTTGCCCCGACACACAGTTTATCTAGTATGGCGAGATAAATTATGGCCTGTGAGAAGCGACAGTAAAGGCACAAGAGCACAAATTTTGAACGCAACAAAAGGGGCCTTCCCGCCTTGATCGACTATCTGCTATCCTATGCTACCCTATCCTACACAAACCGAAATTCGAGTTGGTCCTATACATATGGCGCGTTCACGTCTCTCGTGCTTCTGTTCTCCCGGCCTTTACCCTCGCATATACTCTATCCTGTGCTATACTGATCGGCTGTCTGAGTAAGTTCAGCTGCGGAAGTATGCTCGCAATATGTACAAGAACTCATGTCAGCGGCTCGAGCGATGAGCCTAACGATCAATACGCTGAGCATCATCCCGCATGTCTTTTAGCATCCTGGCGTTCTGCTCCTGGATATCTGAGTTGTGGTGGTCGTCTACGTCCGGTTGGCCTGCCGCGATACGGCGGATGAACTTGGCCGGGTTGCCGGCTACTACTGTGCCTTCTTTGACGTCCTGTAACAACGATGTTAGAACATTCACTTTCCAGATTTCGTAAAAGCGTGCAATGCTTACCTTAGTAACGACACTTCCGGCACCAATGACGGCACCATTTCCGATCCTGCGGAAAGGCATGATTATCACATCCCCACCAATGAAGCAATCTTCGCCAATCTTGATGGCTCCAGCTACAAATGTGCCTTGGCTACCCTTGCGCTGCATCGCATCCACGCTCGTTGTGGTACCATAGAACTTCACATTCGGCCCTATGATCGTTCTCGCACCGATGCTGATCTCACAAGCATCTTGCATATAACACCCAGGCTGAATCAAGACTTCCTCGCCAACATGGATGTTATAGCCGTAGTCGCATGTGAACGGCGTTTCAACATACGTATTTGGGCCTACGGAGCCCTTCGGACCCTGATAGCTATCTGGTGAATAACGTTGACGGAAGGCTTCACGGAACGGTGGCTCAACGACTGCTCTGAAAAAGCGAGCTCGTTCTTCGGAACTGTGGCCTCGCGAGGCGAGGGCGGAGTCGTTGTAGCGTTCTAAAGCGGCTTTGCACTGCTCGCGGTCGTTGAGGAGCTCGGTATCGCGGTACGCCATGAACGGCAGTCCCAGGAGCATTTTCTGCTTTTCTGGCAGATGCTGCACTCCGCCGTAGGTAAGGGCGAGTGCTGCGGTGCGTTGAGAACTTGTGGTCGTTGCGCTTTCGCGCGAGCTTGTTGCCGCACCGTGGCTGGTGGGTGGCCTATAAAGTGCCATGCTTGATGACTCCTGTGCCCAGGACGGCATGTGCGGCATGTGCGGCATGGGGGGTGGTGGGTGGCCCGGAGCATAAGTATGTATAGGTGGCATGGCAGTGAAATCGTTCGGTGGCAAGCGCTCTGGAATGTAGCTTGGCCCAGGTTTAGCTGACTGCCACGCAGCAGGCTGTGGCCATCCATCCCGATCGTACGGCGGCGGATGCTCTACCACCGGAATGGGGCGTTGTGGCTCCGACTCCGGTATGCGACCCCAGTGGTTATATCGCGGACCCTCCAATGGACTCTGGAAGTAAGTAGACGGCCCATGGGATGGCTCATAACTGCTCTTCGACTGAAGCGCTAGAGGTGTCTTGCTTGCCTGGTTGGTCTTGTTGCCTGGCGGTCGGGGCCCATATCCTCCGCACGCGTAGTTGCCTTTCAGACAATTAAAGCATTTAGGTTTCTGATACTGTTCAGCATAATCCGTACTTGGCTCGGTCCGGCAATAGCTACCTTCTCATCACACTTCTTCTTGCGCGTGCGGCATGTGTGGCATCCGGTCTTCGTGCGATTGCTAAATGTACGCTTGCGTTTTTTCGCATCGTACTCGGCAGTGCCTTGTTCCGGGCTATAGCTTTGAGAACGCATCTGCGTGTCGTCTTCCATAGGCGGAGTAGACGGCTGCTCGCCATTCTTGGGAAGATGCTGTGCATCCGCTGGCTCAGCTACCTCGGGTGATTTGTGCAGTACACGCTGTAGAGACTCGGCCAATCCAGCTTCGATCTCTGGTCGAGGTGGCGGGACAGCCTCTGTTGCACCACTTCGACGAACCGGCGATGGTTCGCTGTGGTTTGTTAGAACTATTCTAGCATAAAAGTGACATTGACAGCATACCGTGAAGATATTGGCATGTACTGGGCGTCTGCCATACGCCGCTCGGGCGGGAAAGGGTGGGAGCCACTCATCGTCTGCTCAGGCGAGGTGAGGTCGACAGCAGAGTCAAGAGTCAACACTCCACGCTTTGGAGAATGATCGCCGTTGGTCTGCTCCTGGCTGATCACGAGCATACCAGGACTGGCGTCACCCGCAGAATCTGATCGCTTTCGCTTCCGAGGATCACCTCCGTCCAGCTGAGGCGGATATGTGCTACCGCCACTGGGTCTCCAACCGTGTGCTGAAGAGTCTGATGCGGTCGGTTGATCACAGTGTATGCGGAAACTATGATCGGAATCCGTTATCGCCTTCGATCCGCTGGTCGAGCTATACGGCGTCGTCTTTTGGCCGTCGCCATTCACTGCTGTGAAGCCAGATGTCACAGTATTCAGTCGGCTCATCGGCAGTCCATTGGGCGAGCGCACATTCATGGGTGCTGTCAGGGTGCTCATGGTCGCCATGATCACTGACGGCTACCAGAAAGGTCTCGGGCCGAGTGAGGTCGGAGATGAGCAACGAAGCATCGACGGCGAGGTCAAGCGGAAAGAGCGCCGGCGCAAGTTGTCGTCGTAGCCGTGCCGCCTCGTGCCCGAGGAATGCAATTAGATCGCGGCTCTGCCTTGCGCGATCGTTGGACCGCGATATTGTGTTGCTTATTGTTGTTATCAATGTCGTCTCGCACAAAGTGCGATGATCCAAGGTTTAAGGTCCAAGGAGATATCAGCTCGCTAGACAGTCCCCGTGGCCAAAGGCCGGCCTGTCGCTTGTGTTCTCGGGAGGCGCGGCAGACGCGGTATTATACTCGCCTAGCTGCATATAATCTGCCAGCTGAGAGAGGGCTGGGATGTCAATGCCGATCTTTTTGCGGATGTCTGGACAGCGATTGTGTACAGGATATGTACAGTGCATGGACATGCGATTGCAGGAAGTGTCAGCAAGAGTAGAGGGGAAGTTGGGTCGCGAGGACACGGCATAGACCTGTTAATGCAGCCGCTCATACATGCGAATGGCGCTTCTAGGATCGTTAGCGCCGGGTGGACACTGGAGTGGGCAGTTTTTGAACGGTTGCCGAAGAGCTTCGTTTTCTGCGGCGCTTAGGATGATCAGTGAACCGCCTGGTGACGAGCTCATGCAGCCACGGGCATGCCAGCCTGTTCTTGAATTGCCCGACATCCAATGGACCCGTCGCTTCCTACTTTCCTGCTTTGGTCGCGGGAGGAGGCATCGTGGAGAACTGCTGAGACAAGGCGGACCACACTTCTCGTTTAGCCGCCCCTCTGGGTATCGGTAGGCCCGTGCTCAATCCCATTTGCTTCGTTGATCCTGCAAGCATGGCGGCCACTCTGCGCGCTTATGGTGATATCGCCGTGGCGTCTGACCGCTGTGCTGACGAATCGAGTACAACTTGACCTTCTACAGCTGCGTGATCACCAGCATTTGTGCAAAATGTTGATCTCTCAACATCCCAAAGCATGATTCAGTGCTCTTTAATAAGCTTCCAGCCCATTCTCTGCTTGTGACGGCCCAGCGTCGCGAGCCAGCGGGGCAGAGAAGCCGCGGTAGTAGCCGTGTGGAGATGCTCAAGTCGCGCCACTACCGCAATCCATCTTTTACACAGCATCGCCAAGTGCATTTGGCTCATGCAGGAGCTGCAAGATGTCTGGGACTGCCAAAGCAGGACTATTACGTCGGTAAGGACTCCGTACCCACGGCTCAGCATTGGTCGCAACGGATGAGCATGAAAGGCAGAAGACACAGTGCGTGTGAGTTGAGTGCAGGGAAAATGTCTCCTGACACCTCTTAGACTGCATTCCCTTACACCAAAGAACAAGTGGTCTTCATATGACAAGGCTGACCCAGTCCCCTGGGACGCTATACGCTTTTAGTATATGCATATGGCTACCAGTACAGCAGAACGCTACCGTAGCAGACTCGCAATAATCCCATGGTTCCGGGAGCGCCGTATTGCGTGTCACGAAATGCATCTCTGAAATCGCTAGATCGTGCCTATGGAGAGCATGAGCTGTCCTCGATGGGTGTCTAGGGCTCTACGAGCACGAAATGTCACCATACAGAAACGTCAGGATCTCAATGCGAGACCCCCGAATCTTGGGAGCGCCGTAACAAGATCAGCATCTTTACGTCGACTTGTTCTCGGGGTCAGTGTTGTCGTAGCGAGAGCCCGCAGCCTTCAACAAGCATCGTGACAGGGCGGCCATACCATGAAAATTGTAGAGTGATCACTGCTTTTGGCAACATTGAGCAACGCCACGAATCCTAGGGAACGTACCGTAAGACGACCAGAAGGACCGTGGTGTTTGAAAGTACGGCTATGTTTTTGCACGAAATCATGCGGATCAGACACGTTGTTACCGCTGGTCTGAATCCGTCTGTGTGGTGGTGGAAGACATGCATCAATTCTGCGTGCTTTTGATGCCACATGTGCTTGAAGGCCTTTATTGGCTCATCGCCAGGCCTACCTGAACGAAATGCCGCGGCAATATGTATGCCAGATTCCACCCCGCTAGAGGGACAGTACACGTGATTCCGGCAGTCCTGGAGCGGAGTGTGATCGATGAAAGGCCGCCAACATCAAGATGATATCCGACGGAGTGTTGGTCTTTGCTTTCAATGTCAAACCTTGCATGGAAGAGCTCAGTCAGGAAAGCCTCTCAAGGCAACGAGATTTTGACCATTCAGTCGCATACATAAGCGTCTTTCTCGTCCATCACACGTTGCCATGGATGAGAAGCCAAACAGCATGGTCGACTCCGCCTCAAGTGTCGACTCACAGCAGCCATTGGCACTAGTGGAAGACGTTGCCATGGGCATGGAGCGAGCAGAAGCCGTCAGTTGTACGAAGGTGGCTTTGTGATGTATCGCACGAATTCGATGTGCGAGACCCGAGCAAGGATATATAGATTTACTAGACAGAGCGGCCGAACGCGGGAAAACGGCCGAAGCCGGAAGTCTATTTACCGCATACACCTCCGTTCTACGAATGTCAAAGGAGCATACCATCTTCATGCAGTTGGACCATCCCTAGCAATAATCATCATGCCGCCCACATCAACCAACAGGCTCTTCCGTCCCCCACCGCGCTTCCTCTGTCCGTCAATACCTCGCACCCAAACCCGCAGAATCTGGTCCATACAGCCACGCCAAAGAACCAATACTTCGCGCTTCAATCATGGGTCTGATCTCCCAGTCCTAGGCTCCTCGAAAAGGGCAGCATTCTTGCGAAAGGAACCTATGCTGCCATTACGGACAGGTGCCTTGGCAATAAAGAAAGGGATGACGGCGATCTACGACCCCACAACCGCCAAACGAACAGCATGCACAGTACTTCAACTAGACAGATGCCAAGTCACTGGCCACAAGCGAAGAGATTCTCATGGTTATTGGGCCGTGCAAGTTGGAAGTGGGACGAAGGAAGCACGCAATGTGTCTAGAGCGGAGAGGGGCAACTACGCTGCACAGGGCGTGCCTATCAAACGACATGTTGCGGAGTTCCGTGTGAAGGACGCCGAAGGCCTACCTGAGCTTGGAAGTATTATCACAGCAGATCTGTTTCAGGAGGGGCAGTTCGTAGATACCAGGGCAGTGTCGAGAGGTATGGGTTTCACAGGTGGTATGAAGCGATGGGGCTGGGCCGGCCAACCGGCTTCGCACGGTAATTCGCTCGCACATCGTGTGATGGGTTCAAGTGGTGGTGGACAGGGCAGTGGTTCCAGAGTGCATCCTGGCAAGCATATGGCTGGACGTATGGGAGGCGAGATGCATACAGTGCAGAGCCTGAAAGTTCTGCGAGTTGATCGAGAGAATGGCATAGTTGTGGTGCACGGCGCAGTCCCAGGGCCCAAGAAGGGCATTGTGAAGATACAGGATGCGGTGAAGAAGAGCTGGCCGGAAGTTGAGTTGGCGGTTGGTGTCTCGACGATTGGAAGCACGGCTCAGAAGCTCGAGGCGGCACCTGCTTGAGTATATATAATTACGTATCAACATGACATGCGTTTTGATGCACAGGAGAGTGTTATCGAGCATGAGCTCAGCCGATGCCGAGCAAAGTGGCAAGCCGCGGAAAGAGGAGGCCCAGCCAAGTTTGATTTGCTGGTCATCGAGAGCTTGTAAGATTGAACGAAGACTACGAGACTTCGGTCTTTGGAAGCCGATCAGTGACAGAAAAATGTCTTGATCAGTGGACTGTAGGGATACATAGATTCAATATCCGCAGCTCATATCCTGTATAACTAGCAACCAACGAAACCAAAAGACGATCCAAGCCTTTCACCAATTCGCCACCGATTCTGCCAACTCGCCATCGATCCTGCCAGCGTGCCATTGTCAATGATGACTTTGGGTATGTCTCGTTATGACGACCAAGTGCCGTACCGTTCGACTCCTGTCGCGGTGAACCAGTCACTCGTGTCCCGTGGAAATCCAAGTCCTGACTCTGCGTATCCCAGAGCGAGGGGTCAGTAACGGCAACAAACTGCGAAGAGATCAGTCAGGTTCCTCCATCTTGTACAACAATAACTGCATACCGTCGCCACATGCTCTCACACCTTCGCTCAATCCCTAAACCACCGAGTGCTGCCCATAAATCCATCGCCTTTTGTCAGCCCTAATCTCAGCCAACCTCTCCTGCTCCTGGGCCCTCTTAGCCCTCGCCTCCTTGCGCTTCTTACGTGCCGCTTCATGCGCTTCCGCCTCCTCACGCTTCTGCCTTGCCAGTCGTGCCCTGGTGCGAGCACGTCGGCGCTCGGTCTCGTGTTTTTCGTCGTCCCAGGTTTTGCCGAAGCGGTGGTTCAGTGCCACGATGGAAGAGATGAAGATGAAGAAGGCCCAGGCTTGGAAGGCCATCGTGGTTTGATTATATTCTCCTGACAGATTGATGGGTCAATCGCAATGAGGTTGGTATTTCTGGCTTGGTCGGGTTCGGCGGATGTGTTGTGTTATACAAGTGACAGTAGTGATTGTCGAGAGTGCCGATGGGAAAGGAGTTCGTGCTTCAATTCTTTCGATTTTATGTAGTGATTCGAGTGGCGATATGTCACTCGAGTCCGTAACGAATTTGTACAGTCAGCGAAGGTGTCACGAGGCACTGACAGATGGTATACATTCGACGTCATGGCATTCACAGCATATCTTCATCTTCTTCGTCAGCGTAACTACTGCTCCCGAGACCATTCTCACGTTCTTCGATCTCCCGTTCCTTTCGCGACTCTTCGCGAGAGCGGTTGATTTTGCTAGGAAGCTGTTAGTACGCGGACGCATGTGGAATGATTGCAAACCACAGGGAATGAAATACCGTAATCCATCAACCATACCCACCACAAACCCTCTCACTTCCGCCACTTCCATTCCACCAACACCATTCATCTTGATACCAGCCCCAGGCCCAAGCACCTTGAAGCCTTTTCTCAGCTTACTCATTCTCACTTCTCGCAAATCTCTCAGGAGCTTGCGCACGGTATCAGGCTCATCGAAGTCATCCGCTGCGTGCGTAAGCAGGAGATGCCCAAGCTCAAGCCAATGATACGGCAAAGCGTCTTCTTGCGCCCGTGCAGTCGCCGCGTCGCTCATGAAAGGCGGTGATAGCTCAAGCGAGTCACGGGATAGGTATGGATCACCTTCTAACGGCGTCATGCCAATCGCACGAGGCATCGTAGGCGCGGGCGAGAAGACCTCTGCTGTCCGCTCATCCGTCTCAAAGTCAAGTATATGCGTCAACGCCTCCACGCTCAACCATGGCGGCGGACTAATATTCGCTCGACGCTGCTTCTTGAGCAGGAGAGCCAGCCACAGCGGTAAAGGTGTTGAAAAGGGAGGATTGAGCGGTTTTGTCGGGCCCTGCAGTCATCACATCGCCATGTCAGCGAACGTGATGTATTGTAGCGCCTCGAAAAAGTAGCGGCAGTCGCTTACGCAGAGGCCATGACTACTATGGTGCTCTACTCACACCTAGCAGTTCTAATCCATCCAGTCTCTGTCGCGGGATTACTGTCACGTGCTCCATCTCGCAAAGGAATCCGACTTCGCTGGGCGTGAGCCCGGGAGGTAGAGGCAGCGCCATCGCGTATCGCTGTGCATTTCTAAAAACACAATATTGTGCAATTGGAACGACAAAGACCTAATTGCTAGGTTGTTGATAGAGGCGGATTCGCGAAGCGCGTTTGTCCCAGCCAATCAGAGCTGCGCGCGCATAAATTCATCCTCTGCGCTTCCTCCAAACTACACCTCATCCTTTCATGCATTGTAACCTTGGAATCACCTCGCCACAGCGGTAACAGTCATGGCTGCAATCGCGGCTAGCAGTCTTCTCGTCCCGCTGTCCACATGGTTCTACGCCGTCACGCAGACCGTTCAGGAACCGTATCTCGTATGTCAACCCATTTCAGGCCAGGTAAGCGCTTCTCTCATATGTCATACAGGATGAAGTCTTCCACGTACGTCAAGCACAGCACTACTGCAATGGTCGCTTCGACATCTGGGATCCGAAGATCACGACTCCGCCTGGATTGTATTTGCTGTCTTACCTAGGCTCTCTGGTTCCAGGCATTGGCTGCAGTATCACTGCATTACGGGCCCTAAATGTCCTCGGCATCGTCCTTCTATCTCTCGTAGTGCGGCGATCGTACCTGCAGCGGGCTACAGACAGAGGCCAACGACATTCAGGAGTGTTCGATCACAGCTCGCTCGATGTAGCACTATTCCCGACCCTTTTCTTCTTCTCGGCACTGTACTATACCGACATCTGGTCGACGCTGCTAGTAGTCCTCTTCTACACGCAGATCTCGTCTACAAATCACAACAATTCAGGCCGTCTCGTCCACCACGTCACCCTCGTGACGCTAGGACTAGCTAGCCTAGCTTTCCGCCAAACTAACATCTTCTGGGTGGCCATTTTCCCAGCAGCCATCACCACAATACGACAACTTGATCGCGGTCATGACGCTGTTCGGAATTCGATGTACCGAGGCGTCGCGGGCTTTGGCGACTCGTGGTATAGCATCATGAAAACGAGCTATAAGATGCAGGTGGTCTATGATCCAGCTATCAGATATGCCTCGTTCGACGGTAAGTCTCGGGCGACCTAAGTGGTCATACTGGAGTCTCAGCTGATGTGATACAGTCTACCTAGTCACGATAGGATCCACTGTAGCATGTGCGCTGGGCATGCTCTCTCAACCCAAGAAACTCTTCAACTTGCTGCTCGTACTCGCGCCATACCTTACTCTACTTGGTGTGTTCACCGGATTCGTACTATGGAATGGCAGCGTTGTACTGGGCGATAAAAGCAACCATACTGCAACACTACATCTCCCACAGATGCTCTACATCTGGCCTTTCATCACCTTCTTCTCTTGGCCATTGGTATACCCATACCTACTGCTCACGCCTGTCTCCATCATCTCCTGGCTGCCAATTTCCGTGGGCACCCTCGAGTCCATGCAGATCTTCAAACGTGGGAACTTACTCCCGCGACCCTGGCTTGTGCTTGCAGCAATAGGTATAGCTTGCGTGGTCATCTACGCCAACACGATCGTGCACCCTTTCACACTGGCGGACAATAGACACTACGTCTTCTACGCCTTCCGACTCCTGCTTTGGCCCTGGTGGATGCGCTACGCCGCTTCACCCCTCTACATTCTCTGCGCATGGGCTTGCATCCAGACTCTGGGAGGCGGACCGGCAAAAGCATTAGTACGTGCAGGGAGCGGCGAAGGAGAGGGTCTGTTTTTGCCAGACAGCCAACACTCCGCCCCTGTATCGTTTGCACTAATCTGGATGGCAACCTCAGCACTCCAGCTCGTGACAGCACCGCTAGTCGAACCACGTTACTTCATCCTACCGTGGATCTTCTGGCGTATTCATTTGCCACTACGTCTGAGGCCGCAAGGTACTACACCTATCAAGCCGGACGAGTCATTACCATCGCCAAAGGTGCTATGGAACGAGTACGACCATAGGCTATGGCTCGAAACGGCATGGCTTTTGATAGTCAATGCAGCCACGGGTTACATATTCTTGTACTGGGGCTTTACATGGCCACAGGAACCGGGCAAGGTGCAAAGGTTCATGTGGTAAAGGGCGGATGTTGTGGAGACACGGAACAGCGGTATCGACTTCCCAGGAATGGCAGTGGGCGTGACATTCATTGCAGAGGGACGACAGGCGTACACAATTGGCCTATAGGGCTGAAAGTAGTGCACCGTACTCTGGCCCCCAGAGGATCGTATCTGGCTGCCGTCGGTTGCATCCCGGTCTGCATGCTTACAGTAGCGTGCAAAGTGTCGGAACGAACAAGGTCCAATTCGCCATCGAGGCCTGATTCCCTGAAGTTCAGGACGTGTCGGCAGCAGCAATCGCTGTGAGCTCATCGTGCCAGGGGTACTCGCGCGCTCTCCTGACTCCGACTCGCTTCACCGGCATGGTAATCCTGATGCCTGTAGACAAGTTCCCACTCGACACAACTTCAAGTCCGCATAAATCCGGTACCATGATTGCCCTACCTGCTGACGCTCTCCTTGAACTTCCAGCCCCGTCAGCATATTGAATTTGGGGTGTTACAGACCCTGTTGGACCAGTGCGACGGGTGTCATCTAATTCGTCCGGAACATACCTATCCTGCTTATCATCTTTGCTACGATATAGTGATCCTGATAATATGATTGACCGCGCAATCTGCTTTCGGGACTTGATGGTGGGCACTTACGCAGTCAAGCGAGAGGTCGATCGCAGGTACGTAGTCAGATTGATTGCGCAAACAGCCGGACACGGAGCGATGCGCCTTCTCTGATGGATGCTTTATCTTGGTATGGTGTGGAAGCGTTCCTTGATATGATGATGACTCGACTTGGTGCACGAGAGCGAATGTCTCACCGGGACAACCGCCACCAATACTTTTGTCGCACTGTCGCGTGCGCGCGCGCGCGTGAGAAAGGCATGATTTCTTGTCTTTATGCAAGACATCCGCTAGCATAGTAATAGCCCTAATGCCGAGAGCCGACTGGATGCTGTCCGCAACCGACGGGCCGTCGAGTGAACTCAAGAGGGGTATGGACGTATGGTTGACCCCTACAAGTTTTTCGAGTTGACGCATGAAGTGGTGAGCAAGTGCAAGCGAGCCTGATATGAAGGCCGCCCAACGTAAGTAAGAATGCGCAATTGGGTGAGCGCGATCACGGGCCTGATCGCAGAGTGTTGCTGATTACCCTGCTTTCGCCATGATGGGAATAAATGGCCCGTCGTCAAGGTGCCTCTTGCGCTAGCAGGAGTTGTGTCGTACGAATTCTGTAGGTGGCGCTGTCAATTTAGGTAACGCAATACCCCACTGCCCGCATGAAGATGTCTCTGATCTTCTGTGTGTGTGTCCGTGCCCGTCTTGTTGGGCGAGACATGTGAATGCCTCGTGAAGGATGAGGGGAGCGCTCGTTCACAGGCGATAGCGGAGGGAGGTGGAAATGGTAGCGGAGTGGTGGGTACATATGTCGATACTCATCTCCGTAAACTGTACATGTTGTGCCTCCGCGGCGGTTTCTGTCGAACCAAAAAACTCTCGAGTCTTCGAGGGACGATCGCTCGACGTGGCGCCATCTCACTAACGCCACTGATTGGCTAGATAGCGTAGGAGCAGACTTGGCTCAACAATGGTATCAACGAGACTCTTGCAGTTCTGCAGGCGCAAATATTGTAGCTGCAGGTGCGGCATTATTCTGTATGCGTGAGCCGTTCAACACTTCATTGTAGACACTCGCATCGCACCGTCAGCCCGACACACGTTTGCGGCAGAGTTCGATCTTCGCTTGCGTTGAACCCTTCAGCGACCCAGCGGGGTGGGTCCTCGTCCCTCGACTCCAAAGCTTCTGTTGGCGATTCAGCATCGGTCTTTGCTGGCTTCGCTTCGACCAGTCCATCCGCCTCTCTCTTGACACATAGGACTCCACACCCAGACGCCGCTTGCAACGACTATCGCTCTGCTTCTCTTAGACGTCTTGCGCTGGTAGATTCCTTCCTGTGCGCAAGATGCGACTGCCACCTTGACTTTCTCAACCAATTCTTGTGCTACACTCAATGTCCAGCCGGAGCCAGTGTGGCTAGTTCGTGGTCAGCGGAGATCGGTTGGCGTGCAGCTCAACGAGTGACGTCGCAACCTGGAGCAGACGAGCGTGGTGTGGAGAGTAACAGGGTGTAATCAGATTACTGACTGCCAGTGGTGGGGCAGGTATGTCAGCGGGTGAGGACGGCAGTGGAGGGAATGGAGAGCAACAGCGACCATCGAGTCGCAGCGCAGGTCATGCAGGAGGAAACAGCAGCAGCAGCAGCATTGGCAGTACAGCGTGGACAGAGGTACCTATCACCGTCAAGGTGCTGTCGCCGAGCAATACTTCAGACGCATCGACCATCCAACAAGACTATTTCATGACGCATACCTTCGCTCCTTCCGCCGACCATGGCCAGACGACGACGAATACAACGCCTACCTCAAGCGCGAAGACGGGTGCCAGCGAGGCAACTGCTGCTGGCAAGATGCAGGTGCCGGATGTGGGATCCTTCCTGCATGCGACTGAGCAACGGCCAGTAGCGCACAGCCAACTGTCAAGCATGAGCACCGAGAGCAATGCCACCATTCGTGCAAGCCACACCAACGGGACTGTAAGCGTACCGCTGACCAGCGCAATACTATCACCAACGACACCAGGCCGACCCGCCTTCCCCAATCAGTCTTACGCTGCCTTGCAAAGTCAGAAGTATCCTGTACGGAGACATCCTGCTCCAGTACTTCGACAAAGAAGCTCTCATCCTGGCCAGATATACACGTTTACATCCGCGCTGGCTTCGTCACATCAGGGCGGCTCGCGCACTGCTGGCAACTCGCCAGCTGTGACACCGGGTGTTGGCCTCTTCCAGCCCAATACGGCGCCGCCGACCGAGGACTACGATTCTCCGGACACGCCTGGCACTTATGCCAGTCCCTTTCTGCATTTCACACAGCGGCAGGCGCCGAAAGAGACCCATGTCGCGGATATCGATGTTGATCCGGTGTCAGGTCGTAAGCTGATCAACCACTACGAGGTCGTTGATGAGATAGGTCGTGGCGCGCATGGTAAGGTCAAGCTGGGCCGCGACCTCCACTCTGCCGAAGGGACATATGTTGCCATCAAGATTGTGGAGCGCTACTCGCGCCGGCGGAAGTTGGGCAAGCTGGTGTCGGCTGCCGAAGACAAAGTGAAGAAGGAGGTTGCTATTCTCAAGAAAGTACGACATCCTAATATTGTCGCATTGCTAGAGGTCATCGACGATCCGAGCAGGAAGAAGGTTTACATTGTGCTGGAGTACGTGGAACGTGGCGAAATCAAGTGGCGGACCACCGCTCCGCGTGAGATCGCGGTCGTGGAAGCACGGCGATATGAACGTGAGCGTACGGAGAAGCAGAGTGCGCAAGCTGTTGCTGAAGGAGAGGCGATCACTGCTGAAGCGCAACGACGCCTCGCCAAGGAGAAGAGGCGACAGAGACGCGAACAGCGTGGCTGGCTACGGCGCATGCATGAGGAGCAACCTGACAACCAGAACTACTTCAGTAACGAGATGGGTGATGACATGAGCGACCAATCCGAGGAAGATCGTCTATCGCGGGTGTCTACAAGTACGACAATCGATTCCAGGAATGCCAGCAGGTTGTTCTCTGATGCACGACGCGGCTCGCGAGCTGTATCGCCTCTACCGCCGCACAGTGAAGTGCCATCACCGACGGACGCGTCAGGCACGCATCTGAGCCCGATCACTGCGGAGTCACGCACCACATCGCCGACGGCGATGCAGCTCCCTGAGGGTGTCAGCCTGTTCCATACAAGGCTCGAAGGCACCATGTACGGACCGTATGATATGAGCTCGGCTGGATCCTCACGTGTGAACAGTGTTGCTAACAGTGAGATCGACCTCACACAGCTCGCCCACGAAATTCTCGACAGCGAACTACACCCCGAGCTGATGTACGTCCCTGTCATGACTATGCAGGAGTGTCGTGTCGCATTCAGAGACACGCTGCTTGGTCTGCGATACCTCCACTTCCAAGGAATAGTCCACCGCGACATCAAGCCACCGAATCTGCTGGAGACCATCGATCACCGAGTGAAGATATCCGACTTTGGCGTCTCTTATCTCGGCCGACCACGAGTCGAGGACGAGCCCAGCGAAGATGTTAGTGAGCACGAAGCGCAAGACTTTGACGAGGCCAAGGAACTAGCCAAGACCGTTGGCACTCCGGCTTTCTACGCTCCAGAATTGTGCACGGTCGATCCGGGTGATGAACCGATGCCGGTGACCAAGGCGATCGATGTTTGGGCGCTCGGTATCACACTTTTCTGCATGCTCTTCGCCCGCACACCGTTCGTTGATGCCGAGTATGTGGTCATGCGGCAGATAGCTGACGAGGAGATCTACGTGCCACGCGAGCGACTACGACCTGTCAACGAAAAGCCAACGAGCCGGCCGTCATCGCATGGCCGGACATTTACTCCACAATTCACGAGCAAGCGCCATGAGTTAGATCTTTTATACGAAGAGATCGATGATGATCTTCACGACCTGCTACACAGACTGCTGACCAAAGACCCGAGAGATCGCATCACATTGGAGGAAGTACGACATCACCCATGGGTGCTCGCTGACCTTCCGAACAAAGGGAGGTGGCTCGAGGAAACCGATCAGGGCCGACAGAGCCATGGCAAGAAGATCGAGGTTTCCAACGAGGACGTCAAAACTGCCGTCATACCGTTGCAGTTTCTGGATCGTGTCAGGTCTGGCATCAAGAAAGTGACTGATAGGCTTGGACTCAGTAGCGCCAGCAGCAGTAAGCCTTCTAGCAGAGGTCGTGCGCAATCCAGTGCTGGCAACAATAGCGACGGTAGCCACGCCGCTTCGCCGGTTGCGTCGGCTTCATCATCGAGTAGTACTCTTAACTACGATGGTCGACGCTCGAGTTTAAGAGGAGACGAAAGCATCCTTCCGGCGCTGAAAGCATCACGGCATGGCGAGCACCCATTATCTAGGAGTGTGGCTGCCAGTCCCGAGGAGGATCGCAATTCGTACTTCCTGGATACGACATTGGCGGATGCTGAGCTTGCCAATCATGTGCCGGAATTGACGAAGCAGCCCTCGCCGCCTCGTCCTAATATGCCGGAGCGGTCGAGGACGATCATGTCTACTACCACATCGATCAAGACCATCAAACAGTCGGACATTGGCCGAGGACGCGAGTCGCCTCCACCATCTCCCGGTCTGCCTGGTACGCCGATAGCACTCGAATCTCCAGGAGGTTCAGGATTGCAGGCGATCCTCGGCAGTGGCGCAGCTCGTCGTGCTTTCAAGGCGCTCAGAGAGCGAAGTATGCCAAGGACTACAGAAGGCAGAGCGCCATCACTCGACAGACAGTCAGTAGAATCATATGATGCGCATGGCGAGCCCACCATCGCGCTCAGCCCGACTAGCGCTGAAGGTCACGTCAACCTACCAGCATCACTGCAAGATCGTAGTAGGCCGAGCAGTATACAGAACAGTCCAGTGCCTTCGAGGGCACACTCGGTAGTGGCTTCGCCTACAGATGTGCACGGTCGCGCTGGCGCTTTCAGTCGGACAGCCTCTTCACGCTCAATACAATCAGTCTGTGTCGCCGAAGTCGTCAGACAAAACTCATCAGGACAACCACGAGCTATCTCAGGATCCAGCGCTGAGGACTGGCAGCGCGCTGATGATGAACGCATCAGGAAACTGATCCGCGAAGGTCAAGATGCCGAGGAGCGGCCTACTGCTATCTTTGATGATCGCACTTGCCCACCCAGCCCGGATGATAACGCTATGCGACGCCGGCCATCACGACAGATCGACACTGTCATGGAGACTTCTGAGCCCACCCTGTACCATGGCACGAGTCCACGAGATCGAATCGCTCAGCTACCGCCCGCGATGGTGTCAAGCTCCTCGGACTTTGGATCCGCTGTATCCATGTCGATCTCGAATCCATCAATACCGTCTGTCATCTCCGAAGCATCATCCTTCGACCATGGCGATAGTATGCCCCTGCATTACCATGACGACAAACGCAACGACTCTTCGGATGGCACAATCAATCCTCCGAATGCACTGCGACAGGACCACGTAGACGATGGCTATACACCAGAGGAAGAAGAGACAGCTTTGAGCAGCGACAATGAGGACGACTACGCCTCATCTTCCGACAGCGACGGCGGTCTCGTGATGCGCAGACGAAGAAGCAAAACTGCCACTAACGGCGGCAGCACGACCGCCAACAGTAACTCGCTGGGTCCGAAAGCAAGGCGCAGCACAGGACTATCAGCCCATTCGAAAAAGTCGAGTCGAAGCGGTAGTAACACTACCATGAAGAAAGTCCGAACGAGGGACAGCGAGGACGAAAGAAAACGAGCTTCTTTCGAGTTGCGGGAGGAGTGAGAGGGACGAGGAAGAGGATGAAGATCTCAACTCAACCATTTTTGTTTTCATGATTTCTACGAGGAGATGTGTCACGACCACCACGACCGCGTGCCAGCATCAGGACACGACCGGCATACCACTACACTCCGCCATATCGACCAATACATACATACTCCGATCTCGACACAAAATCGCTTGTTACGCTGTCCGCTATATGGAGTGTGCCGGACATCACCCGCATATTACCTTCCGCGAGCGAGCACGTCGACCGGGCATTATAGATCTTCCTTTTGCGTACACGTATGTATACTTACTCCAGGGCGGATATGTATATCACTTTTACCCGCTTGTTTGTTCATTTTGTTTGTTTTTTTCTTGGATCGCAGCAGCAGTAGAAAAGAGCGGAAAGTGGCCTTGTGGATGTTACACGCACGCATGATCATAGCAGAAGTCTTTCGGCGCTTTTGGATTCAAGGAGGAGGCAGGAAAAAGTCGGATGGATTTTGAGTTGCGGTTTGTGTCGTATAACACTGCTTGTTTTCTGTTGTTGCATATCGGGTTCGTGGGAAGGCGGCGAGTGAACGCTTGGTGAGAGGTGTGGGAGATAGACGACAGGTTAGTGGGTAGTAGGGGTTGCATGCATGGTTGTCTGTTTTGAGTTGAGGGAGGCTTGGGGTTGTGTGTTGTTTGCTTTGTCAATAGTGATACCCATATCATCACCTTCTTTGGTCTATGCACTTCAACACAGTACATTCCCTTCTCATGTGCAATTGGGCCATCGTCGCCTTCGTCTATCCAACGAGTTGGTATTGCAAGCAAGGATCGGAACGTTTGTGAATGTAGCATTCTGCCTTGACATTGCTGCTCGACGTGTGATCTTACAATATCTCATCCACTTATGCTCATGTCTACAACATCAGCAGGCAAATCGCTAACCCTACCATCTGCACCAACTAGATTAAAAGCATCAGGAACCCGCTCTGCCATCCCATCCTTCCCACCCTCACCCTCACCTCCCCGAATCCCACCCAACCTTCTCACCAAACCCCCCGTCAAATCCCCACTAAAATCCAACTCCCTTTCCAACCTCTGCCGCCTCAACGCCTCCCTCAACCTCTCCTGATTGCGAAACCTCCCAACCCCCTTCCGCGTCCAATCATTCCACACCAGCCCGCTCTGCTCCGAGCGTCTGAGAACATCCACCAGTCCCTCCTCATTCTGGTTTCGGGCGTAAGCCGTGATTAGGGAGGTCCAGGTCACGACGTTAGGTTCCATTTTTTTTTCCCGCATGTATGTGAGGACTTGCTCGGCGAGTCTGAGTTCGCCACGGGCGGAGAAGCCGTGGAGGAAGATGGACCAGGTGTGGATGTTTGGGGGGGATTGGGTGAGGTTTAGCGTGGTGGAGGAGATGGAGAGAGGGGTTTGGAGATCTTTGACTACGCGGGTAGCTTGGAGGAGGCTGTGTTTGCTGCGCATGAAGTGTTGGAGGAAGATGTTGGAGAAGTGGGGAGTTTCTACGCAGGAGATCAAAGCTCGATCGGTTTCGGCACCGGATTGGATGATTTCTCGCCAGCGATTATACATGGCTATGGCTTCCTGCGCTTTGGAGTTATGGGCCAGGTAGGTCCAGAGCATGATGCCTAGGATATGCCTTGTGGGTTGCATACGCTTCGGAGAATCAGACGACAAGTTTGTGGCCGACGGTGCAGGCGCTGAAAGTGGTAGACCGAGTTGTTCTAGAGGCGCCCGGTCGTAAAATTGGTCGTAGGCGGCTGATAGTGTGGCGAAAGCTGTGTCGGGATTGTGCTTGCTGTGATGAAGAGCCAGACAATGCATGATCTCGAAACAAACAATGCTGTTTGTGCGGAGGTCGCCGAATTGAATCGCCTCCTCGATCACGTCTCGCAACATATCCGCATTGTCGATGTCGAGCTTGCAAGCCTTGAGACGAACGGCGTAGGTGAATTTGGTCGGGAGTATGTGCTGTTCCTGCATCGCACGGTACACATTCTGCATCGTCTCCAGGTCGCCAGCGTCGACAGCATTGAGCATGATGATGGTGTATAGATCGGAGTTGAGCTTCAGTCCCAGCCCAGCCAGATGCTCTACTAAACACAATGTCACCCGTAGCCCATCTGGCTCATTGGCTGACCTTCGAAGCAATGCAGAGCACCCATACCGGAACGCCACCGTCTCGACGAAGCGCGGACCACCGAGTCTAGCAGCCTCGAGCAACGCCTCAAGCGCCCGCTCAATCTGGCCTGATTTGGCGAAATGCTCAGAGAAGTGTAGGTAGGTGTATTGATGCAGCTTGACCTTGTCGAGCTTTATGTTGGCCCACAGCTCCAGGACCTGCTCGTTTGAGATCCATGGAAGCAGAAGTTTCACCCAGCCACCAATGAAGATGAATTGTTCGTTCGTCTCTCGGTCCATGAGCAGGAGCATAATCTTGGCCAGCTCTCGAAAATTTCTACGCGTTGCCTCCTTTTCCCCCAATTCGGCGTTAGCGATTTCGTGTGACCAGGACGCCTTGCGTATTGCCCCAAACCTGGCTGGTCGAAGGTGATATGCCTGGTCGAAATACTTCGCAAGGATACTGTAGCAATCCTCAACCCAGTTGATCGGAGGGTAGAGCATCTTGTGCGTCAGGCGCAGGAAGGTCATCAACTTCACCTTGTCGTAGCATAACAACCAGAGTGCTGTCTCGCTCCATAACTCACGCTCCAGCTTGTTGTACTCCTGCGCGAACGGCTTGAACCGTATGGTTTCATCCGGATTCTCATCCATCTGCCCAATGATTCGCTCAATGCGCCTACTGGCCTCGGGCTTGAAATGGAGCTCTGGGCTATTCGCAACATCCTGGCCAGGTGTCGAAAGAAGTCGGTCGTACGATGCTGAAATCTTGCAGTATCGCGTATTCCAGTCAGAGGAGAAGACGGCCGAAGTGCGTAGCTCGGAGCGAATGGAGATGGTAGTTGAAGAACCACGTGCCAGACGTGCCGTCTTGCGTGCTTTCAGACGTGCTCGGGCTGCCTGTTCGGGCGAATGTTTCGAGTGTGCTGGAGAAGAACGAACAGCAGTACGGCTCTTCCTGCTGCCAGCTGTCTTCTTTGGTGGTGTCTCAGCCTTTCGCGTCTCGACCGTCGCTTCATCCTCAGGCTGTCCATAGCCACCTAGCAGAAAGTCGAGGTATGCCGAGTCTTTGGATTCCGACGAGGGCGATTTGGCATGCTTGGACACCGAAATGGTCTCTTTGTCATCTTGCTGGCGCTCGGCGAGGGCGGAGATGTATCGCTGGCGTGGGACGTGGGTGTGTGGGTGCCATCGTTGCGCTAATCTCGTGACGGACGAGCTAGATCTAGCTGAGCGCGAGAGAGAAGACCATAAGTGCATAGGCGAGCATTGAGGGCAGAAGTAGTCGCTTGATGGTTGGCAGCATTTATGGAAAGGAGCTCTCATCAATGTATAGCGGAACTTTTTCGGGCAAGCCCATCAATCGAGTTGGGTGACCGCCATGACTCGTGGGAAAGCTCTCGCCTAGATTAATCAATCAGACTGTTTTTCTTCGAGCAACAGTAGCGTTGATATCAATCAATCGATTCCACAACTTGACCTAGACAGAGCGTCTGCTCGAGCCTGAAAACCAACATGGCATCCACCCAGGCGCTCAGCGCAGCAGCACAAGACCGCAAAGCCCGCCTGGCCCAGCTCAAATCACTCAAGCGCAAACAACCCGACACCTGCCAAGAAGCCTACGAAGAAGAAGCACCAGTAAGACAAACCGACGAGACCACACCAGCCGAACCAGACGCCTCCTCCACATTCCTCTCCGGCCGCAACTACGACTCGGAAACCAAGGGACCAAAACTGGGCTTCGAAGCGGCACCCTCAGAGGGTAAAGAGACACTCGAGAAGAAGGCAGCAGCGCTCGCACTCGAGACAAGACGACAAGCACAGGAGGACGAGAAAGCGGATAAGCCGCTCGACTTGTTCAAGCTGCAACCCAAGAAACCGAATTGGGATCTCAAGCGCGATTTGGACAGGAAGTTGGAAGTGCTGAATGTGAGGACGGATAACGCGATTGCGAAGTTAGTTCGGGAGAGGATCGCGGGGCAGCAGAAGGCGGCGAAGGAGAAGATGGGAGGTGCGAATGGGCGTGCGAATGGGTCTGATGGTGTCGGTGCGGAGGGAGAGGGAGAGGCGGTGGGTTTGGAGGGGGCGGTGTTGGTCGAGGCTACGCATGTGCGGGAGCGAGAGGATGAGGAGGATGCTAGGCGGGAGAGGGAGGAAGAGGATGCGTTGTTGGATGCGAGCTGAGTGCTGTTCTGAGACGACCACGCTCGAACAAGCGCATGGCATTGCTGTGATGAGACAGCAGCAGGAAGTCAACTGGTCGAGCGCATGGCAAGTAGGAGCATGATTGTGTTCGGTCTTTGCGCCCGGAGGCTTGGTACCGGCCTCGCCATCTCGGCCAATAGTCGCGGCTGAGCGCTGCACGGTTAGTATCGACCAGGAGTGTGAGGAGCTCAGTCCGGAGGACTAAATCACATCGCACGTAAGCGACGAACGGAGGATGTTAGGTCTTTCTAACCTGGTCAGAAGTGCAGCCCACCCACCTACACGAAGCGCGTTACACCAGCTACACTCGGCGACCGCGTGGCTGTTCGCGACGCATCTGCAGCGCCGTTACAAGTGCACAAGCAAGCGACTCGGATATCGAATTGAAAATCCTTATCAGCAGAAGCAACACATGCCACCACGCAGAGGTCTGAAAGCATTCCCGGCCCTAGGCCGTAGAGCTGTCGGATCGTCCAAACTCTGTGGCTTCGGATGACGCAGGAGCTTCGGCGGGCACAAGAATATATGTGTTGGATAGCTTATCGCAGCTATGAGTATATCTCTCGACAACTTTCATAAGTTTCATCCTGCAGCACTCTTCGCCGTACACCATATAGACCGCAAAATCACAAATCGCGACCCGAACCACCCACCATGGTCTTCAAACTCGTCAGCGCCACTCCCTCACCCTTTGCGCGCATCAACCGCATAGCTATGCTCGAGAAGGGCATCCCATTCGAGCTGCAAACCGAAATCCCATGGTATGTGAACAGTCACACCACGAACCATAATCCTGCCACATCCTCCTAACCCTCCCATCCACGCAGGCATAAATCTGAAACCGTCACCCCAAAATACAACCCTCTAGAAAAACTCCCCATCCTCTTCGACACCGACGACAGCACCTTCGAGCCCGTCTACGACAGTGCACATATCCAGGAATACATCGTCCAGAAATTCGCCTCCCAGGGCCCTAAATTGCTAACCGGTGATCTGGACCTCGACCTCAAAGCTCGTCAAATCCAAGTTTTGGCGGAAGGGGTCATGGACGCCGGCGTCCTCGAGTTCTTCGAGCTTGCTCGGCCGGAGGGGAGCAGGAGTAAAGAGTGGGCGGAGCGGCAGGCGCGGAAGGTGGATGGCGGGTTTCGGGCCTTTGATCAGATGGTGAAGGATAGGAAGGGGGAGTGGCTGGTGGGTGATGGGAAGGTTATGACGATAGCGGATATCGCTGTTGTTTGCGCGGTTGGGTTCTTGGATTTCCAGGGCGCGAGGAAGGAGTGGAAGGGGAAGTATCCGGAGTTGGTGAAGTGGTTTGAGGGGGTTGATGAGAGGGAGAGTTTTAGGGGGACGAGGCCGGTCATGTTTGATATTCAGGTGAAGAGTGTTATTTAGGTTGTGAAAGATCAGATCTTCCTTGTATATACTATCCTACGATGCGTAACATAGCATAGGACTTTGAGCCAGTCACGTGTACGCAATCATTCTGGTCTTGGCACTCGTCAGCTTATGAACGCGTGCCTCGCGCGTCAACTTTCTCGTCTCAGACACTCTCGAACTACGATCGCAACATCACGTCCCGCAAAGCCTTCGACCATCGACAGTAGCAATTGATCACGCCATGATCGCTACCACGCGCTACACCACCTCTCCGCACCCTCACAACTTCCTCCCGACCATCCCATCGCCACTCTCGCGCCGCAGCGCGAATGTTCATGGCCGACAGCCGTTTCAATTCATGTCGAATCCCTCTGATGACGAAGCCGCATATCGTGTCTCTAACCCCACCGGACAGGAGAACGAAGATAGTGGTCGTAGTAGTAAGTGGGAGAAATACAGCAAGCGAGCCGTGAAAAAGGTTCCCACCCCGCCGAAGCCCGACGAGGTGAGGGAGAAGAGGCGGAGGATGTTTTTGAGAGGGGTGAGGGAGGGGAGGGAGGAGAGGCGGTGGGAGCAGAGGGGGGAGGATGTAAGTGCTGTGACTTGGATGTGATCTGGTGTTTCCTTGTGTGGGAGGGGATGGCAAGCTGACGTGTGTGGTATACATAGATTATGCGGTTGGATTTCATGCGGGAAAGGAAGAAGTGGGAGGCGGAACTGGCGCGGGATGCTTCGTATCTGGATTCGGACATTATTGAAGAGGAGGATGAGGAGGACTACGCGCTTCCGACATCGTCTGCGGGTAACGCGATGCAGACTTCGGATCCCAACACGAGTCAGCAGATGCCAGAGGAGGAATTGGATGAAGTTCTGATGCGCGAGGAGGAAGATATGAATGTGCTGCTTAGCTTCATGCCTGATGATGAGGGTCAGTCAACGGAGCAGCGGGCTAGCCACCAGGAGGAAGCACCCGATCACTTCTGGAGCGACGACGACGATTACGATGCGCTCTTCCCGCAGATCGTGGCAAATGAGCCGCAGAGTAGTGCTCAGGATGTAGAGATGGATCTGAGCTAGTCCTCCGCACATATATGATACTCATTGGTCTTAGTATTGGCGTTGGAGGATCAACACAAATCAGCACACGGAACGTATCAGATATTGAACGGAAACCAGAATTGGGGTATCATTGGCACTCTATGAAGAATACAAAAGAAGCGAAGTCTCAAACCTCATTGTGTCGGGCATCCAGCATCGATATCACCGAGCGCTTCTTGAGCCGAGCTCATATCGCCCACGAGGTCCGGTGGTGGCGAGCCCGCAGCTTGCATCTAAAAAAGACAAATGTTAGCACATTACTCGCCTTCGCAAATAAAGATTCTGCAAAACAAGATCCAGCAAACACCAAAATACATACCTTCTGCATCCTCTCAACAATAAATTCCCTGTCCGCCTCATTCTCATCTTTATACCCACTCCGTTCAAACCTGCCCACAATCTCCCCGACCAATTTCTGCTGCTCCTGATATCGCTTCAGATCCTCCGCCTTCACACCCCCACCCCCCTCCTCATTCGCATGCTTCTCCATCCACCCCGGGAACTTCTCATGCAATTCCTTCATCGGCTCATACAAGATCTCCTTGTTCGTGAGCTGCGTCATCATGTTCATGAGCATGGAGTTGAAATCCGCTTCGTTGCCATCCATGCCGCTGCCTTCGCCGCTTTGGAGCTCGCGCATCATTTGCGCGAGGAGGTCTTCGTCTTCTGGTGTGCCGTTCTTATCTGCGGCGGCGGAGGCGGAGGCGGAAGTATCGGATTGCTGCATCCGTTCCATTGTTCGTCGGATCGTGGAATTGAAGTCTTCGGCACCTTTGTTCTTTGTTGATGAGGCTGTGGTGGACTTTGTACCACCTGCTGATGTCGAGGCTTCGGATCCGACGGTCTTCGCTGCTTCCTTCAGGTGCGCGCCGGCTTCTGCATCGCTCGGTGCCGCGCCGGCGGCGATGAGCTCCTTCATCATCTTCTCGAATTGCTGTTGCATTTCTGGGTTGGAGTCGAGCTCGGACATTAGATCTGTCATTCCTGCCTGTAGGGACTTTTCCAATTCTTCTTCACCGGGTTCGGTGACTGAGGGTGCATCGTCGCCGAATGGTCTGCTGGGTGCTGCTGAAGTGGTTGCCGGTTTCGTCGACGGTGTAGAGGCTGGCTTTGTGGTGGTGGTAGGCTTGGGTTGGAATTGGTCTAGGACATCGTCCAGATCGTCCAGATCATCTTCTTCTGGATCCGGAGCCATATCGACCTTCTCAATCGGTTTCTCTGCCATGATGTCGGGTTGTGATAGTGAAGGTGGGGGTCGTCCTCGGGCTCTGATTATATGGTGCCCTCGCTCATTGTTTGCCTCTTCGCAGCCGTATATTCTTTGTTCACCATATGACTGGAACGACCGGATTCGCTCTCCAGCATGTGCTCACAAGCTGTCGTCCGTAAAAGTGGGTTGTCTCTTCATCTGAGCAATGCAAGATTAAGCCTCGGCTTTGCATTAATCGATAGGCAACACCAGATCATGCAAGGGTGCCTGACAGCCTCACTTTCAACATGTCACAAAGTTCGAGATGCTGTGTAAAGCCGAAACAGCCTGCGATATCGTGCGTCCTTTCCCTTCATTTGCACAAAGCTATACCACTTCACTGTGCACGTGAGTAATCGCACTAGTCACGCGACTCGCACGGGCTATATACATTCTGTATTCAACCTTCGCAGCGACCTGCGATTTTGCAAGCTTCACAAACCTCCACTTCTCTTTGAAACAGAGACCTCGAGATGGGCTCGTTGTGCATGACACGGTTGACGGAGGAGCGGTATGGGTACAACAGAGTGTTCTCGAAGTTCCAACTCTAACTTACTCGCAGTAAGAACTGGCGAAAAGATCACCCCTTCGGGTTTGTCGCAAGGCCGATGAAGACACAACAAGCTGCTCTCGACCTGAAGCGATGGGACTGTGCGATACCTGGCAAAGACAAGACGATATGGGAGGGCGGGCTATTCAAGCTAGAGATGCAGTTCCCCGATGGTAGGTTCTTGAGCAGCTGCCTGGGGAAGATTGAGTAGACAATCAGGCTGACATGAGGATGCAGAGTACCCAACGAAGCCACCGAAGTGTGGGTGCTACCTAGACAACCTACTCACCTTTGCAGAACACTAACATATCATAGGCAAGTTCGTTCCACCACTCTTCCATCCAAACGTCTACCCGTCCGGCACCGTCTGTCTCAGCATCCTCAATGAAGAAGAAGGCTGGAGACCCGCAATCACAATCAAGGAGATTCTCATCGGGATTCAGATGTTGCTCGACGAAGTCAACCCGGATTCACCAGCACAAGCGGACGCGTACAATCTGTATAAGAAGGATAGGCAGGCGTATGAGAAGAAGGTGAAGCAAGTCGTCAAGGACAATCCGGCGCCCTAGACGAGCGTTGGTGCAAGGAAGGAGGAAAGATCATAATGATGCGACGAATAGCCATGAGGGTCATGTCCATGGAGGTCGTGGCGAGATATGGGAGATGTGATATTAGCGAAGGCGTTGGTGGGCAATGACGTATCTCACCAGGGATGCTTGCCATTTAGTCGCGCTGGGTTACGTAGTATACAGTATTTCGAAGGTTCTTGCCATCAGCCATGCTCATGTGATGTCAATATCATGGTGGCGATCGTGGACATTCGATCTTTTTGACACGTGCTTCAACTTCACCCGCATCCGGCCATCGGCGCCAGCAGGAATGATGTGCATGCTGATGATGCGCGCATGCGACCACACTTTTTTTTTGGCTCCCGTATCTCTACTGTCCTGTACTCTGTAGCATTCTCCACCTATAGCCTCCTACTCCACTCCTGCCCTCCCCACGAGCATGCGATGACATCCATAGCGTCCTGGCGGACATTCTCCGCCCTCGGTCGAAAACCTACGCCCTGGATTTGTCGGGAATGCATTAGATCGACCCGGCCTACGCGAATACCACAGCAGCAGCAGCAAATCAAGTCCTTCTCGACCTCTCAAAGTCCCGCAGCACAAGCAGGCAAACGAGCATGGCGGCGAGTCAACAAGACGATCCGGGAACATCGCAGAGTCGCGATCGGAGCCACGGTCATCTTTGTCACAGGCGCAGCGGCATTGGCCTTTAGTGAAAAAGCACGACATGCATACATGGCCGTACAGCGAAGTGGTCGTGTGGGAGCAACACTCGCCTTGTGTGTGAACGATTACTACTGGGTATTGAAGAAAGACAAAGACCCGGATTATCGAGCCCTGCTCTCCGCATGCCATCAACGATGCGCCAATAGGACCCTCGAGGCCATGGAGAAGAATGGCAGTATCTTCATCAAACTGGGCCAACATCTGAGTAGTCTCAACTATCTCCTCCCGAACGAATGGTGCGATACTTTCATCCCTCTCCAGGATAAATGTCCCGTGAGCAGTTACGCGTCGATTGAGAAGATGGTACGGCACGATACTGGCAAGACTTTGGAAGACTTCTTCGCGACTTTCGAGCCCGTGCCTATCGGGGCCGCGAGTCTGGCTCAGGTGCACATTGCTACGCTCAAGGATACGGGCGAAAAGGTGGCGGTCAAAGTGCAACATCCTTCCTTGGATGAGTGGAGTAAGCTGGATTTATGGTTGACGAGTTTCACGTTCAAGACGCTGCGGTATTGGTTCCCTGAGTACGACCTTACTTGGCTGAGTGATGAGATGGAGTATTCGCTGCCCAAGGAACTGGACTTTCGGGAGGAAGGTAGGAATGCGCAGCGGGCTAAAGAGTACTTTGCGCGATTCCCTCGGACGCCACTAGTGATTCCTGAAGTCGTCTGGGCGCAGAGGAGGGTCTTGGTCATGGAGTACATTACTGGCCACCGGCCGGATGACCTCGAGTTCCTGGATAGCAATGGCATTGACAGGGATGAGGTTTCTGCTGCTCTAGCTCGCATCTTCAACGAGATGATCTTCGGCAAGGATGCGCCGTTGCATTGTGATCCTCATGGTGGTAACCTTGCGATCCGAGTCAATCCGAACAAACGGAAGCCGGGGAACTTCGATGTGATATTATACGACCATGGCCTGTACCGTGACATCCCACTCTGGCTTCGGAGAGCGTATGCACATCTCTGGCTAGCGGTATTGGATGTGGATGAGGATCGCATGCGACAGTATGCACATCAAGTGGCCGATATCAACGACGAAGAATTCGGGATCTTCGCGTCAGCCATCACAGGGCGCGACTTTCGAGTCGTGAAGTCGGACGCTGGCGTTGTACAGAAGCGTAATGCGGAAGAGAAACGTGCCTTTTCCGAAGCGCTTGGGGAAGGTGGCTTGCTCTCGCAAGTCGTCGGCCTGTTGAGCAAAGTCCCTCGCGTCATCCTGCTGATCTTAAAGACCAACGATCTCACCCGCAGTCTGGATGAGAACCTTCAGACTCGACAAGGTCCGGTGAGGACGTTTATGATCCTGGCTCGGTATGCCGCCCGGACTGTCTTTGAGGAGCAGGTGGAGAATATCAAGGGCAGTATGCTTTGGCCATCGAATCTGTTGAGCTATAGTGTGGCTCTTTTCTCTTATGCCAAGGTAGCGGTGAAGTTGAGGGCGTATGAGCTGTATCTTAGTGGGAGGAGGAGGTTGGGGATGCAGGGGACGATTGGACCCGGTCAGATGGAGATAGATATGTAGATGTGTCGATGATTTACCTGCCGCAAAGCATATGCTTTTCATGGGTGAGGAAAGAGCCACTATCTTAGATGTGAGATGTACCTGCTGTTTGATGCTCTGCTCACAGCAGCAGAAGGAGCGCACAGCGTTCCGCGAGTCACGTTTGCAATCACTCGACTGTGTCGCCATTCGCAGCACCGACAGCGATGGATCTCAGCACATGCAGTTGAGGAAGGGCCAAGCATATCACTCCCACGGCTGCCGTCGCTTGCTCGCGGCTTACACGTCCACATTCGATTGACGGTATGCACATCCGTAGTCGTAGTGGAGATTGTATGGCCAAGTGCAGGGAGCCTCACATCCGGAACACAGGCAACCTGGGCTCAAGCCACGTTCGACGCCCGGTATCCGTAGTACAGCGGGCCTCCGAAAAAGACGCCGCTGCTCGGCGAATGTTGCTCCAGTCTGATAATGAACGACGCGGTCGGCGGTCAAAGGCACGCAACGACTTTGGAACCGTGCTCGAGTTCGCCGTTGTGGTCTTGTGGATACAGAAGAAGAGTCCGGTGCGACCATATCGGACCTTTTCAATGTCTTCGCACCTCCCCAGCCACGGCATGTGGACGTGTTCGGACAAAGCATGCTGAAGTTGCAAGTTGCCATTCGTGGATGACGCTCCAAGCAGAGTTTTTAGAGCCGTTTTTCCTTGTAGTGCTGTTACGTGATTCGGACCATTCTTAAGCCGAAGAGCGGGTATTGGAAGTGTTCAACCGAGGGTCGACCGTCGTGAACACGTAAGGTCCATGTCGTGTGTCTGTCAGAAAATTGTGAGGGATCACACACACGAAGGAACGTTTTCGTCAAGACCTCGTGCAGAAGTGCTGTCTGGAGAGCCAGTGATGGTGTGGTGGCGTCAGCACGGATGACGAAGATCGCTATTCCCGAAGGAGTATTGTTCTGGAAAGACGCGAACGGTGTTCTGTGCATAGATAGGCGGCGGCTTATCTGTGTTTCAATCGTCGCGAACTCACTCCAAAGATCGATTCGTATACCACATCTGATCTGGCCTAACAGCGTGCTGATGGTCGCGTGAGCCTCGCCAGGGCGTCAGACTCTTGACTCACCAGTTTCACGGATACTAGGATGTGTTCTTGCGGTGTTCAGGCCGGTGCGGCGATTCATAAGCATGTAGGACAATCACGCTGGCGATTCGCATGCCTCGTGCATTGTGGAATTGTGGCTGCGGCAGCAGGCAAGTGGGTCTCTGCGCTCGCTCTCCGTCTCACTACCAGCAAAGGCATCGAACTCCTTCTCATCGGCGATGGCGGCCTACACCGTCTTCGGCCTGCCGACCGAATAAAGACTCGTAGCGGCTCGTCCGAACAACGACAACAAAGCGCTGATCACGCACACCTGGGAGACCATTGTTGGTCACTGAAATTGCTTCCCAGAGCAGCGGTCGACAGGAATGGAAGCCTTGCCAGGCGAACAGTGAAAGCTGCGAAGCGAACCAATGACCATCTCGTGGCGTAGAGGTTTGGCGGCACGCAAAACCTAACAGAATGCTCTGCTGCACGAGCTCGACTCTCTTTCGCTAGCGCGTCGGCAGCCTTCGTTGATTGGCATACGGGCGTGCTTCTCGAAGGTCGTTAGCGTTACACAGCGCTGGGATCCCCCGTCTGCTCGTCACAACTGGTTCTCTGAGGGCCGTCTCCACCAGCTCACTGTCTCAAAGGCAGGCCGTCGACCTCTTCACGAAGACTTACGTGATATTCCTACGACTTTCCTCGTCAGTCCCGTGATCCCATCGGGTCTGCCATCAGCGTTGTTAAACCCACACGACCACTGAGCATCTCGCTCTCGTCCACTCACTCGCCGCAGCTTTTTCCCAGTCATCCACGCCCGACCGAGAAGGCACCGCCTTGACACATTCCTCTTGGCTCAACAGCAACAACGTCCGCCCTGTGCAGTACCTGTTTCGATCTTTAATTATTAATACCCGGGCTCTGCTTCGTCATATTTCGGACCTTCTTCCTGGACACCGGTCGGGTCGCACTTACATCGGCTCCTTGCTGTAGCCATTTCACCAATCTTGGTTCCACAACGGCTGTGCAACATACCTCACATTTTCGGGCACCTGCCTTATAAACGGCATTGACCAGTACATTGCCATCACGAGCAAACAGCACTTGATACGGCAGAAGGAGTTGCTGTCATATGGGCGCGTGAGCAGAGGATAGATCACATCACAAAAGGAACACGTTCCAGCGAGCGGGCACACGCGAGCGTGGTTCGACACACTTGTGAGACTGGAGCAGGTCTCACCACCGCATAGCAAGCTGGCGTCGCTTCAACTGCCCTTGCGGCAACAGTTGTTCTCCGCCAGCAAAGTCGCTACCATTGGCCCCGGCCGTGGTACCACGGGCAAGAAGTTCCTACCGCGCGTGATGATCTCGCGGAAATCCTCGTCGCAACTATCAACAACCTCTTCGTCTTCTTCGACAAAGTCATCTTCACCCGCGACAAGCATAGCGGATTGCGATTGCGACGCAAAGGGGAAGATGTCGTCGGCGGAGAACTCTCCGCCAACCAGGCCGCTGAGCGTTGCGATACCAGCCGATGTGCAAGGACCGTACTGCCCACGAAGACCTGGCCTACGTGAGATATTAGCAAATACGTCGCCGGCGCCATGGACCCTTGCCGCCTTCATGGCGTATCTGTCGAACAATCACTGCTTGGAGATTCTGGAATTTACTATGGATGCTGGACGGTACCGAAAACATTTTCAAAAGATGATGTCGAGAGCTACGAATGGCGCACCTCCAGCCAAGGACAGAGAGTATGTCCAGGCACTATGGCAGCGGCTGGTCGATGCCTACATCCGACCCAATGGCTCACGAGAAGTCAACCTCCCGTCGGATGTCAGAGATCCCATTCTGCTACTTACTGGCGGCGCTTTGCCACCGGTGCCAGAATCGCTGGACGAGGCCGTGCAAAAGACGTACGAGTTGATGGAGGAGTCAGTCTTAGTACCCTTCCTGAACAGCGCGTATCCTCAAACCGCCCTGCCAGTCGTGTCATCATACCCCGAAGGACGATCAACATATGAAGACCGATCATCTTTCCAGCGGAGAAAACGACACACGCGCAGTTCGCCACCTCCACAATCGGCTGTGGAGCCACACGCGCATTCTTACACCGCTCCAGCTTTCGTGAACAGGAAATCTGCACCTTCGACCCTGACCACCTCGCTTAACAAGTCACGTTTCAGCGTGAAGCTCTCGCCGACCACTTCCTCGCCAGCAGGATCCGCGGCACAGTCAAATATTGATGCGGTCTCAGATCTCAATCTGACTGCTTCCGGGTCAAATAGTGCAGGGCAAGGCCTGACAGACGACACGGGCAGCACCGATAGTCCAGCCAACGAGTCGCCGATGACGCCACCCACCAGTCCACCCATGAGTGATGTGAGCCCCAAGCGGGACTCGGGCATGTGGGGATTGAAGAAGCTGGGTCGGTTGAGTGGCATGAAAGTCGGCAAGAAGAAGAGTTCGGGCGGGATCAGGTCGGAGGAGCAATAACGTGGGGCTAATCGGTTTGGCTACTAAGGCGTTTGAGGGAAAAGGGGATAGATGGGTGGGGATGATCATGATCACGACTCTCGTATTCTGACTGCATTATGCGCGCGAGGCGTGATGGGACGCGATGGGATGAGATGGGCTGAGCGTTCTCGCAACTTCCACGAAGCTGATCGGTGATCTTCTCCTGCTGGACTTCTTCACTCGAGTGAGCAATACTATAGCTTCAACTACTGTATATATCACTCTATGAGCTCTACCAGAGTTTCCAAACTCTCGACTATCACACCAGCTTGGACCTCGAGTTCCTGCATGGATTCGAGGAGTAGGGTTTGACTCGTCCGGTTCTTCCCCAGACCTGACGGGTGGTGATCGTCTGGTACACTTCCATCAAGCCCTAACCATGATCTGCAAACATAAAAACTGCTCTCCAAAGAACGACACCCTAAACCGTTATTATTGCGTGTAGCTAAGTAAGCTCAAGATACGCCCACCACCCACAAGAGCGTGACAGACCTTGGCAATTGCCCATTCGGCTCTCCAACGCCTGAGTGGCTTATCTCTCTGGCCTGTTCCTCGCCGATCTCCAGACCCATGCGTTCCTGTCTGCCATCCGACCAATCACCACCGTTTCAAGCAGAGAAATGGATGCTCATCGGCGCAGGTCCCCGTTTCCCGGAACCGGAATTTGGTCATGACGACACATTTTGGGGCTACGATGCTCTTTCACTCTCCACTCCACCACTGTGCGGCTCGAGGGTTTTGCCGCATGCTTGCGAGATGTGCAAGGGTGTTGGTGGTCAATGATCCTGTCACCAACATGGAGCCGAGCCGTGTCGTCTTCTGCTGCGTACTCTGTAGCCTGGTAAGCAGCCTCTAGTCCCTTTCTTATCCACGAATGCCGCACACGAGCTTGTCTATCGTCATTGTCTTTGATGCGAAAAGTCATGTGCCAGTGTGCGATCGACTGGTCTTGAGTGCACTACATACTTTGGAAGAGGTGAGACGGAAGAAGCTGTTGATCATACTGGAGGAAAGGTACTGGATGCGCAATGACCATGAGAGAACCGGAGACGCCCTCGAGCGAAGGAACGGACTCACTATCAGATCTACGACCACGACCCTTGAACTTCTCGCGACCACGACCGGTGACGGCCAATTCGAAAGAGAGACTTCTGCATGATCGCACAGGGAGCTCGCAGACTGTCCGAGGGATCAATGCCTTCCATGATCCGATAAAGGATAATCTGCCCGAAGAACCACGCTTTTCTATAGACTCAGATCGAGCCGACTCGACCAGGTCATCAGAGAACTCGGTGGCATCAGAATTCGCATGGGACGATGAGCTAGGCGGGCTTCGCTCGAAGCGGAGACCGAAAGAATACGAGCAGAACCAGCGGTATGCGCAAAGTTCCTCGCGGAGTCGCTCAAATGCGAGCGGGAGTCAAACAAGCACCGACGACACAACGCCCGGTTCAGATAAGCCTCTCTTACCATCAGAGCTCCCAGGCTCACTACCTCCACCACGAGCCCCAGCACCTTTACGCACCAACAAACCACCGCCTGCGCCCCGAATACAAACCCGACTACCCTTGCAACCCCAACAAAAACAACAACCACCATCCCAAACCCGGCTCCCGGCGATCCTGAAACGCACCTCCGTCGAACAAGCCAGCGAACGCGCCTCTCTCTCCTCCCGCGACAGCGTCGCGGGCCCACCCGGCGCAAACGGCGCACAAGGATGGGAGGACACGGCGAGCCACCACACCATGTCCATCCTCAACGGCTCCGAGGGATCCGGTGGAGGAGGTAGTATGACCAGCAGCGATGGTATCAGCGGACTCAAAGAAGAAGGTAAATGGTCCAGTTCCTCCTACGATGTCAGTGGACTGAGCCCCGCAGAAATCCGAAAGTTGCAGAAGAAGGGGATTAATCCCGCGTTGTATGCGGAGATGAAGGCGGCGAGGAAGGGGAAGGGGAAGTGGGTTGGTCCGTTGGTGGGGAATACTTTTATTGGGTGAGGTTTGGGTGGGATGTTGGTGAGTCAAGATGGTGATGTGACTTGAGAGGAGATGGGCGAAATGATGAGAGGAGATGAGGCGAAATTGTGAGAAGATGAGGCGAAGAACATATTCCGCCCATGTACTATAGTTACGATGGTATGATAGATATGCTGGAATGCCAGACGAGCGAAGACGACATGCTTTGTTGACCAAATCAGGGATACCGCTGTAGGACGATTGGTGGTGTTAATGCTTTTGTGCGGCTCACGGAAAATGTGGGCATGAGTAAGGTACGAGAGCACGCTGGAGCACTCTAGAGTGGAATCACTGCAAATATATGACGGGTTTGTACATTGCTGTGGCGTCTTGGCCTTATATACTCATGATTCTCCAGCTATCATCCCATCACACAAACGCCTCGAATTCCGAACTCCAGCATCATACATCTTCCCTTCCGCTGACCAGGCTACAGTTCACTCGCCCCTCATCAAGCAATCCCAGAACGCCATCTCCGAAATCACATCTCTGAGACTCTTAAGAAGTCGACGCCTTCTTCTGCGACGCCCCGAGCATATCATCCACCATCTCGTTCCACAACTGCTTCATCATCCCCGCCTGCTCTTCCACGGGCACCTTCATCCGTCGGATGTTATTCGCGACTTTGTCGGCCATGGCGTGGAAGTCGATGTTGACGGTGTCGTTGTCGTTGTCGCGGAGGTCGGCGGCCATGGGGAGGTAGACGGCGTCGGCTGACATGGTGTTGATTTGGGGTTTGAAGACGACGATCTGGGATCGTTAGTATGGGTATGATTGAGAGCGGGTTTTGGTATCGGATGACCTACGGTTTCTTGTTCTGGAGCATGTGCTCCTGTCCTGTTGGGAGTGTAGTTGGTTGGGATTATTGGGACGCGCATTTGGCTGTAGTCGTCGAGTGGGGTGTCTGGGTCGACGTGTGGGAAGTAGGCGAAGTCAATTGTTGAGGTGTCCTTGACGGCTTTCAAGGTACGGCTGGTGTTGAAATGGCGGGTTGGGGTTGGAGCATCCTTCGATTCTGCGGAGGGTCGCTTGGCTTGCTCGACGGCTGTGCTGAAGGCTCGCGAGTTGGCGAGTTCGTGGGCGTTGAGCCGGGACATGAGCTGGTGGGAGGTGTTAGTAGGAACGACGTAGGTGGAATCTCACGGTACTGCATACGTCTTGCTGAGAACCTGTCGCTTCGATCTTGCGTCGCTTGCATTCGGCTCGGAGACCAGCAATATCGCGAGGGAGATTCAGGGTTGGCCGCTCCCTGGTCAAAACGGGGGAGGCATAGGTCGCGGGTCCGGTCATGTGGAGGGAGCGAGTCTGGTGGCTACCACGAGCTAGGTTGCGGAGAGCAATGAACTGGGTTGCTCTTGGTGCAGCCATTGGTACTACTCGAGACTGCTGGTATGGATGTGGTTATGGGTGTTGTCAAAGTGCCTTGAGACGTGGTATGAAGGAGCTGCAAATGCCGGTAGTCAAGCTTCCAGATAGGATGGCAGGTGCAATGGTCAGCTACGAGATAGTGAACAAGACGACCTTCGAGGGTCAGGTGAGACAATCGGGCGGCGGTGTCGTATACATGTACTTATATCGCCTATCTCTCACCAACAACCTTAGGGTTCGAACACCTGCAGCTTACATGTAGCCACCCGTGCTGCTCATGCTCATCCTCCTGCTACCCGCTGTCCGTGTGCTGGCTATACAGTGCTCACACGCCGGCTGGTTGAAGCTCTCAACAAAGCAGTCTGACAAGAGACAACCGAAAGCTCCTGAACAGCGGTGAGCCGTGCAGCATGCGCCTCTCCCACCCGTCCACCGGCCAATCACTCATATCCCGCATGCATACCAATATGCACGCCCCCGCATTTTCGTCGCTGGTGGATGGAGGAAGTTGCTTGTGTGCTATCTCAAGCTCCAAGTACCTTTGTATCTCGATCACGCGAGATACCTCCAATCAATCTGACTTTTTCTTACGTGGACTTGGTGCTGGGAGTGAGATGCGGAAAACGGACATCTGCTTATCTGACCACAGTGCATTTGCTGGCTTCATCTGGTTCCAACGGGTGGCGTGCGCGGAAGTACAGCTGCCCGTACCCGTGAACCCGGACCTGGCTTAAATTTAGAAACTGTCGTCCCCAGTGCCGACTACTAAACGTACGACCTTGAGCAGCTCTTCGGGCAAGCACACGACATCGTCATTCCAGCAGACGACAGTGCAAGATAGTAACCTGCACTCTTCATACCATGGAATGGTGCTGTAATAGCAATGCCCGCGATGATCGACGGTCTGATGCAATGCGACCTTGCAAAGCTATCCCCATGATGATTCCGGCAAATGCTCGAAACGATGGATCAAGTGCATATTTGATTGCTCTGCAGCGCTTCGGATTTCGCAAGGACGCACCGTGTAGACTGCAGAAGCACACAAGGTTGTGTAACATCAAGTGGAAGCAGCAATATAAGCCGTCCAGCGCTTCGATTTAGAACTACATCACTCGTATAGCTGGTAGGTACGCAAGTCCTCTGGTATGGCAGAGCTCATATACCAAGTCAGATCCAATGCATAGTCGAGTCGTTTGTGCAGCCGATCATATACAGCATCTATCATATCGTCGTATCTCTAGCCTTTCCCACATCGACTCGCTCGCTCACCACCAATCGCCCTGGTCCTTCATGGCCGCAGCGACTTTGCTGAACCCAGCAATGTTTCCACCTGCAACCAGCGATGGGAACTCCCCATCGGACGTCGGCACGTACTCTTTGGCAGTCGACAAGCAGTTCTCAAAGCACTGCTTCATGATGCCCTTCAGCTTGTCGTCAACCTCCTCAGAAGTCCACTTCAGCCTCTGACTATTCTGTGCCATCTCGAGACCCGACACGGCAACACCACCAGCGTTCGCAGCCTTGCCGGGAGCATACCAGATCGCCTCGCCCTTCTTCTCCTTCCTCACCTTCTCAAACTCATCGATAGCCTCCTGTGTGCAACCCATATTCGAGCCCTCGGCAATGAACTTGCAGCCCAGCTCGATCAACTTCTTGCCCTCGTCACCACTAACCTCATTCTGCGTCGCGGATGGAAGAGCAACATCAACCTTCTCGACGTGCACCCACGGCCTCTCGCCCTCGATGTACTTGAATTTCTGTTTGTACTCTGAGCTCTCTGCCAGCTCGGAAAGCTGCTTGCGCTTGACTTTGAGATCGGCGACGAAGTTGACAAGGTCGGGTGTGATGCCCTTCTCGTCTGTGGCGATCAAAGCACCCTTGCTGTCGGAGAGGGAGATGACGGTGCCGCCTAGCTCGATGACTTTGAGGGCGGCGTATTGTGCTACGTTTCCGGATCCGGAGATCGCGACTCGCTTACCTTGGAACGACTCCTTGCCACCGCTAGCGTATTGGATCATGTGTTGGACGTCTGTGGTTAACGTTAGCATACTTTGTCCACCTTCGTACGATGCGAGCTCACTCACAGTATACAAGACCGTAGCCGGTAGCCTCGGGCCTGATCAAGCTACCACCCCAGTTGCCGCCCTTGCCTGTAAGGACACCCTCCCACTTATTCTTCTCGGCTCGGTAAGCACCGAACATCCAACCAATTTCTCGTGGCGAGACACCAATGTCACCAGCCGGCACATCAGTGTCAGCTCCAATGTGCTTATTTAGCTCACGCATGAAGGATACGCAGAACTTCCTGATCTCGTTGTCGGACTTGCCCTTGGGGTCAAAGTCGGCGCCACCTTTGCCACCACCCATTGACACTGCATAACTCGTAAGCTCCAGAACATCTTCTCAACCTCAAGCTGAGGACTTACAGCCAGTAAGAGCATTCTTGAACACCTGCTCAAAGCCCAAGAACTTCAGAATGCTAAGGTTGACTGTTGGGTGGAATCGAAGACCGCCCTTGTATGGACCGAGAGCAGAGTTGTACTGCACACGGAAACCGCGGTTGGCTTGTACCTCGCCCTTGTCGTTCTCCCATGTGACTCGGAACTGGATTATGCGCTCTGGGATGGCTGCGACTTGGAGTGCTTTCTTGTATTCTGGGTGCTTCTCGAAGAGTGTGCTGTTCTCGAGGGTCGAGGCAAGCTCTGTGCGTTTTGTTAGAGGCTTTCCCTCGCGGTCCCTTGCCTCCATGTCACTGGCTTACCTTTGTAGGCCTGCTCGAACTCGGGCTCGGAGGGAAGGTTAGACATCGTTGCTGTATTATTCTAGTGTTGTGAGTCCGTTCTCTGGGCTCAATGGCTGTTGGAGCTCGATGATGCGTTTTGTGAAGGAGGTGAGAAGTGTGAGGGAAGAAGAGGAAGCTCCGTGTAAACAAAAGACACTAGCTACCTCATTCACTGTCAACGCCAACGCGCCTATTCAACGAGAATACAGCGCCTCCGGGCCAAAAAGCACCAGAGCTCGACGTCACAACGGGCCTATCCATACCAACCAGACCACAGAGAGCCCTGAAACCTTCCTAGCTGCATCCTGATAGTGGTCGAGGGCGCGTCGCCTCATCTGGCCGGGGTGAAATCTGGTAGTTGTCAAGGTGAACATATTAGTTTGGGTCTGATAGAGGCGGCCGAGCAGCTTATCATGGAGGTGTGATTGGTGTGCTGGTGCTTTTTGGCCGGAGAAGCTGAGGTCCACTTTTGGGGAGGCCGATATCGGAGAAAGCAGAGCTTCCCAACGCGGCAGTTGTGCACGTGAACTGATATGGAACTTTCTTAAGAGCTTGGATCACGAGGCTGTGGGCTGTCTATACCAGCTTTGATGGGGAAATGTATAGTCCATTCGAAGCAAGGAAGGGCCGTACGCGGTACTATATGAAGAGAAGTCTTGTGACGAGACAGCCATTCACGACGAGAACCTCCTGCCGTCCGCTCTTGCTCTACGATGCATTTCATCGGCTACTCGCGCCCTCAACTATTGTGCGCGATACGGGATGCTTCTGGCCTTTGAAACCAGTCGGTGAAGCACGACGTGCAAGTACTTTGATCCCGCACTTGTCTTCTTGGTTGGTCTCCAGCGGCAATTTTCCATTCGCTACTAGACTAGGTAGATGTCAATCTTGGAATGCCGTTGGAATAACGTCGTCGTGAGGGCTGTGGTCCCGTTTCTCCAAGTTGTGCAACTTCATCAATCCCCCAGCAGGCCATCCACTGCCTTTACATTAGCATTCCGCCATCCCTACGTCCAGCCACTCATCAAGAAGTGTACAAAACGAGGACGCTAGCGGGTCTTTCTGATTCTACTCCATCTCCTCCTCAATAATCCTCTCAACCTGCATCAGCAGCGCCACATCCGCCTGCTTCGTGTACGCCCTACGACACTTTTTCAACACTGCCTTCGCCTTGGTGTAGAAGTGACGGTTGACTGCCATACTTACTCTGCTCTCGTTCAATGTACCTAGCGCAAAAAAGGCTTTCATCTTGTAGTATGGTGCTAGTCCTGGCCCCATGAGGAACGCTTCAAGCGGGCTGACCGAATCGTTCGCACAGGCATGCAGTTTCAGCGAGCTGATGTTGTGGAAGCAGTAGTATTGCCTACGTTCTGAGAGTCGACTTCATGCAGAAAGAATGCTTCTCCGATGGTGATGGCTGGAGGGCCTGGATTTGCTTCGACGTAGAGAAGGTCGCCATTGTCTCTGGTGGCTTGTGGTGTGGTTATAGGTACTGTAGGTTTGATGCTGGTTTTCAGCACAGCAGCTGGACACATGCCATCTCGTTGGAAGGCATTGCAGAACTTGGTGTCCACAATAAGGTGCCAAGATTGTGTCGTATTTAACATCATTCCTCGGCATGCTCAGTCATCTCAAGGTCGCGCAGCACGGCTTCCACTTCACGTGGATCACTGATACCCCATACACCACCACCCTTCACCGCGCCCTTCATGCCGACCTCCTTACCGACCAGGTTTCGTCCAACCTTGCCAGGCCCAATGCCAACCCACCGCTTCACTTTCTCCTCTTTGTGAAGGTAGATGATACTATCGTGCCAGAGTACGGTCTCCACGCATTGCCGAGCAAGGTAGTCCTTAAGCTGCTGCTGGCTCTCAAATGGTCTTGCTGAGACATTGGACACGCAAGGCATGATGCCCGGCCAGACGACCGTGTCTTCACCTTTAGCAGCTTGGGATGGCTGGTCCAGGAGCTTCTTCATCAATTCCGACGCAGGCTTCATTAGGGGACTGTGGAACGGTGAGTCGCTCTTCAGCCGTACTGCGCGTGGGTCATGGCCAGCGAATTGACGAAGATGGGTCAAGAGCTCGCTGATACGCCTGATACTGCCGGAGAGCACAATCTGATTCTTGGCGTTGACATTGGCGATCAGAACTTGCTGCACGGCAGGCAACTCGTAGTCCGGACCACTATCTGCTTTCGAGCCTTCATTATGATGGCCGAGGAATTCGTGGATGGCATCCACCATGGAGCTGAGGTGGTCTGACTCGCATACTAAGGCCACCATTCCAACCTCCTCGCCAACTTCTTTTGAGCATCGCGCCATGACTTCAGCTCTCCTTCTCACCAGGCGTAGTGCATCTGGTTGTCGGAGGTATCCAGCAGCTACCAGAGCTGCGAACTCGCCCAGAGAGTGACCCAGAGTGATATCCACCCTTTCCGACGTCTTGAAGCCGAATTCGCGCTCCAGCACGCGCAGGATAATGATCGAGGTCATCATGATCGCAGGCTGTGCATTCTCCGTCGCCGTAAGCTTGCTATTCGGCCCATCCGCGATAATCTTACTCAATGGCACTTTGAGTGTCTCGTCCAGCTCCTCGAGCATAGGCTTCACAGTTCGTGGAAAGGCTTCTGCCCAGTCTGTTGTCATGCCCACTCTCTGGACGCCTTGACCTGGAAAGAAGATGGCAGTCTTCGGGTGCTTCGGAGCTGTTGTAGACTGCCATCGTGCTTGGGACGTTTTCCACGCAGCTGTACGAAGAGCTGCTGGCAGTCTCAGTAGGGATCGGAAGGTCATCTGACCTGTGGAGGTATGGTGTATGGCTAGAGGAGCTTGAAATGCCATGGTGGCTTCGGCGACGGTATGTACGTCGTTGTAGAAACTCTAGTCAAGGGCGGCTGGTATATAGCGTGCTCTACGGTGTGTATCGCATGACAGCTTCCGGGTCTCCTCACGTTGTACTCAGGAGGACTACTGCCGTTGTCAACAATAGTAGTTGTGTATACGGGCAGAGCCCTCACACCACTCTACATCCGAGGAGGTCGGGTGGACCCGGCTGTGCTCCTCTCCCTCCTTTGCTGGACTACTTGACATTCCTCACGACAGGACGAGACCGTACAACCAGATCACCAATATGTGGTAATCTCGCCAGGGTACAAGACTTCTCTTCTACTACTGCAGTTGGTGCTGGTCGGTCATGGCGATAGATGTCTCTGGCGAAGTTGTCCGCCGGCAACCCTACAGCAAGTCAATGTAGCGAACATGAAAACATCTGTCCTCGATAGCTCAATGGCAGGTGATCGTAGATTTCAATGGTCACACTGAAGCCCAATAGAGGATTATCACTGCCCACTGAAATGGAACCAGGTTCTATTTGACCGACACAGCCACCTCAAGAGCTCAATCACACAGCCCTCAAGTGTGCGGCTGATGGCACTGTCCGAATCGTGAAATACTCTCAGTATTCCTGCCGACATCCACTATTACAGGATCCCTGCATTGAGTCATCAATGCTCCTCACCGGTCCAAAGTGTTTGAGTTGATGACGTGCCAATGAATTCTGTGCAGTCATGAATCGAGTCATGCCAAGCAGCAGAGCAGCGCAACATATATTACTTCTCCTTGGGAACGACATTTGATTGTGACACGCAGACAAGGCATAACAAAAACCATGGCTTCGCGCACAGATGAGGACGTCATATCCTACTCCCAGCAAACGGTCGACTATTGGACTGGACTTGTTCGTACCAACCTGGCCAAGGTGATCATAAGCGCCGACAGCGACAACCAAGCTGAAAACGATGATGTCGCCATTGATGAGGAGTTTCTCAATGCGCCTCGCCGTCGATCAGCGCGACACGAGCTTGCACATATCGTCGCCTCCGATTTACATCCGTCGGCCACCCCACAAGATGTTGGGTCCATCATCCAGTACGAGAAAGACATAGTCATGCTCAGAGCAATGGTGTTGAAGCAACGTCGTAAAGCCATCGAAGATGCCACAGCTCATAATGCGAAAACGCACTGGGTGAAGAGGATATCGAAGCAGGGCGCGTGGGACGAGGTCAATGATCCGCTATCCTTGGACGGTCCAGCATCGCTGCCTATGCCTGTGGAGGTGTCCGACAAAGTATGTGCACTAACTTTGTTTTGATCATGACTGAGATACTAATGCAGAATTGTAGGAGTCATTGGCGCCCTTCTTTGCTCATTTGGGTAACGGCGGCACTCATGAGCCTGCTTCTAACCCGTCCACAGCAACTTCCAGCACCACAGGCACTGAGCCGTACTACAAGATCGAGCTCATCGAGTTTGAGAAAGGTGCACTATACTCAGATGGGCGTGTCGATCTCTGCAAAATGGCCACCGGTCCACGCAATATCCAAGATTTGATGGACTCACTAAAAAGCAACACATTCTCGAAACATTTCTTGCTCGGCAATAACATCATTGGCCCAGTAGGTGCTCAAGCCATCGCCGACTCTATTGTTGACCAGCCGGACCAATTTGAGACCTGGTACCTTGCTGGTAATTGTATAGATGGTGCCAGCTTCTCCATACTAGTCGACAGCATGGTCCAGTCTACTGCCATTACCAACATCTGGCTCAAACGCAATCCGCTTAGTCCTCAGGTGGCCGAGGACGTCTTCCGCTTGATTACAAGAACTGTCAAGCTGCGAACTCTCGATCTTGACCAGACAGAGCTGGGTGATGTCGGCGTGGCCAAGCTGTTTACTTTGCTCGCTGCCCACAGCGAGCCTACCGCACTCCTTCACATCTATCTCAATGCTAACGGCATCGGTGCTCGAGCGTGCAAGGCAATAGCCGACTACCTCGCTACTCCGTTTTGCTCATTGCAGTCGCTCTACTTGTCGAATAATCCTATCGGGGACGAAGGTGCTGCTCACCTGGCAACAGGCGTACAGAACAACACTTCTCTGACGCGCTTGTCCTTACAGTCCTGTGGTCTGAGAACGGTGATCATTCTCGCCACTGCACTATCCACGCACCCTAGTATCAGCACGATCGATCTTGGCCAGAGCTATGCGACTGAGGATCTTGGTATGCGCTTCAATTGGCTCGCAGCTGGGAACGTTCCCGCAATCATCAATTTGATTACGACCGCAACCCAGCTACGCTATGTCAACTTGGCATACTCACCCATTCCGCAATCACAACTTGACAGCATATACGCCGCGGCCTTGAAGTCGAAACTGATCTGGTTCAATGCCAAAGCCTTGGTCACGGGCGGTACAGACGTGGCCTCGGTCAAAGCAGGCCAGGAGCACGCTCGTCTGAACAGACGTGTTCGAGAGCACCTGCATGCAAATGTTCAGGAGCAGTATGGCATGGATTATGCCCGGTTCGAGGCCGAGCACAAACGCTTCCTAGTCTCGCCACTTGACGTGCGCTTCATCGATTCGGTGTATCGCAATCGTGATGCTGGTCTGGCTCGCCGTGGCCTGAAACACCTGCGAAAAGCGTGGGACGAGACCGACGATACCTTGAAGCTGGTGCAGAAGGGTACATTCTAGTAGCGAGAATTGAGGGACAGAGCAGGATCGGCGTCCGCACGCCCATTCTCTGTAGAGATAGCACGCTACGGTATTGCCATGAAGTACTGGGATCAAAGTCGGGTAGAGGGAGCTTGTTATGCTCATCATGGGACTGCGCGGGGTTGCTGGATGGAGCGGCTTGCTGCTTAGTTAATAGTGAGCGAGTAGGCCCCCATTTCTTCCTGCCTCTTGCCTCTACAATCTGATTTTCGTGAGTTTCTACACACCTCGAGAAGTGGGAGACGATGGTGGCGATCGGCAATTAGGAGTGGCTTTAGAGTTGCTGCCGTAATAAGGCTGAACCCACTTTTTTACTTCTGCCCCTGATCCAGACTTCCTTCTTCAGAACGGTGTCACACCCTGTTATGTTCGGCTCAGGCATATCAAGCAGATATCCGCATCTGATGATGGCGATGCACTTCTGGGGGCCTTGCTGAATGTATCACGTTTGTGTTTTCGATGGCTTTATTGACTTTCTCACCTGCAGACAATCCACTCTTCGACATAGAAAGCAACTCCATAGAGTTCATATTCGGCGAGCACCTCAAGCGGGACGGGCCACTATCGAAGTCAAAATTACCTTGCGCCATGGCTGAACACTGCCCTGAAGTCTGCTTACAATAATAATGTTCCTAGGGAGGCACAAGCAACGTTTACACCCCAGTCTTTCAAACGGTTATGTCGGTGTTTCTGTATCGCTCAAAAGCCGCCGGATGAGGCGCGGATGGTATTGACAGGACGCGACTTCTGAGAACCCGAGTTCCCATGCTATCACTGGGATCTGGATGACCTGGTCTTCCCATCAGAGCGCTCTCGTTAAATAACACCCACTCCTCAAGACGCCATGCCTAACGCAGCGCGCATGAACCTTGTAGTCGCACGAGGCTGACGCTTGACCTTCTTCGTTGGAATGCCTGCAGATCGTCCCGAGTCTGGGTGGGAAAACGGGTAATCTCAATCAGGCGTCACTGGCTTTCTCGAGGATCGATAGGCTTGAGGTTAGGGAAATGCGTTGCAATCTCACCGTTCTGGGTCGATAGGTTGTACTCCCGACATGTAAGTAAGCAGATGTGGGTCAGCACACTTCTCCTGCTTTCCTCTTCTTCTTCCATTTGACAGTCAAATCGAGGGTCGTGAACAGCCACAGGAGTGTCATCAAGGAAGCAGCTTCGTTTCTGGGGACGACAGGTTAGTCGCGAAAGTGCGGATACACGAGAGCACGAATTCCAAATGGCCGACCACCACAAATCACAAGACAATATGTCGAATCGAGCAAGCTATCGCACAATCAATCGTATGCGCAGAATCAATGGCGACACCCAAATGTCGACTTCTCTTAGCCCGGAAGCTGTCACAACGAACGAGGAGCTTGCGAGAAGGACTACTGCCTCACGACGGCGGTCTTCCTATCGACGCTCTGTCCAACCTACCGCCTACGACCGCCTGAGCACAATCAGCGCAACAACAGGACTGTCTGGCAGTGCATATCTGTTTGACTATGAGGCGAACCCAGAGGTCACCTCAAATGAAGATGCTTCGTACCACACGGCTATGGCTGCTAGAGCGCTGACATCCAACGAACGTCCTACGAATGACGGTTATGAACTGGAGATGTCCAGAACGCGGGGTGACCAGCAAGAACAGTGGGCTAAAGCTGATGCGTACGAAGCTGAAGAAGCTGGCGTGCAAGGGCTTGTAAGACGTACACCGTCAGCTCGACACAAACAAATGATGGGTCGTTCTGCCTCGTCCATCCGCAGCAGACTATCCCGAGTGCCGTCACACCCAAAAGCTCGCATACCATTGAGACGACAGAATACGACAGACGGACGAGTCATCTGCGCACTGCCATCCCTCCCAGATGCGCTGAAGTCAGGCACAGTCTCACCAGAACCAGATGCCAGCTCTCCAGACCTCGAGAAAGGCGCTCCGTTATCGCCGCAACCACCCTTTGTCTTTCCAGCGCCTCCTGGGCCTCCAGGAGCTGGAGCGGACCCGAATCTTGTACTTTGGGATGGTCCGAACGATCCTGGCAATCCTATGAACTGGAGTCGAGGAAAGAAATGGATGACGACTTTTGTGCTCGGTTTCGTGACGTTCACTGTAACGTTTGCGTCTAGCGTCTTCAGTCCCGGTACACATCAAGCTGCGCAGGACTTCAATGTTTCGGACGAAGTCATGATATTGTCTACTTCTTTGTTTGTGCTTGGATTTGCATTTGGACCGGTAAGTTAATAAGTGACCTCTTATCCGATTGTCCAGTGACTGATATAACCAGTAGATAATATGGGGTCCAGCCAGGTATGCACACAATGATTCTTGGACTTGCTCTACAAACCAGAAATGCTGACTTCATACCTTACAGCGAGCTCTACGGCCGCAAATGGCCCATGTTCATCGGTGTAGCCATCTTCGGCATCTTTCAAATTCCAGTCGCTGTAGCTCAAAATGTCTACACGATCTTCATCTGTCGTTTCATGGCAGGCTTCTTCGGCTGTGCGCCTTTAACCATTATCGGAGGTACTTTCGCGGATTTCTGGGCACCTGTTGATCGAGGAGTAGCTGTGAGCATCTTCAGCATCGCAACATTCTTGGGACCAACAGGCGGACCAATCGTTGGAGGCTATCTGACAGAGACTACTGGTTTCGGCTGGAGATGGACTGCCTGGGTCACACTGATCGCTGTATTCTCCTTTGGCACAATCGGCTGGGCTGTCGTGGACGAGTCATTCGGTCCGGTGTTGCTGCAGCGGAGAGCGAGAGCCTTACGATTCGCTACGAAGAACTGGTATGCTTTGATAGTATGTTCGACCACGACTGCACAAGCTGACTGCGACCAGGGCGATACATGCGCCTGCCGACGAGATCGAGATCAATATGAACGCCATCGCCAACAAATACCTCACCAAACCTGTGATGATGCTCGTGTACGAGCCAATATTGCTGCTTATTACGCTCTACACTTCATTCATCTACGGTATATTGTGTGAGTGTCAAGGAATGGACACCGAGAGTACGAAGGATGCTAATGCGAAGTTCAGATCTCTTCTTCGTCTCGTTCCCAATATCCTATGTTCAGGAACGGCACTGGAGCCTTGGCCTCAGCGGTTTGCCCTTCCTCGGCGTCATGGTAGGCGTATGTATGGGTGGCTTGGTCAACTTTGCTTTCGTCAAGACGCGCTATGTTCGGATCCTCAAGCAGAAGGGCTCGGTACCGCCGGAAGAAAGACTGGTGCCAATGATGGTTGGCGCAGTTGCCTTACCGATAGGCTTGTTCGTCTTTGGCTGGACCTCGTCACCAGATCTCACACCGATACCTCAGATTATTTCTGGAGCACCTGTGGGACTCGGTGAGTATTCCAACTCCGACCTTTGTGATGGAAAGTACTGATGACGTTTTGGCAGGCATTGTGCTCATCTTCTTGCAAGGCATCAATTATATTGTGGACGTCTATATGATGTTTGCCAATAGTGCCATTGCGGGCAACACCATCATTCGCTCTCTGTTCGGCGCAGCCTTTCCTTTGTTCGGTGAGTACATCCGGGGAGGCGTAGAGCTGAGACATAGCTGACACCTACATCACAGCATCATATATGTATCAGGGCTTGGGCGTGGCGTGGGCAACTTCCGTTCTAGGCTTTGTTGCTGTGGCCCTGATACCAGTACCCATGCTTTTCTTCGTCTATGGTGCACGGATCAGGAAGTTGAGCAGGTTCACGCCAAAGTTTGGTCCAGGTATGGGCCCGCCTGGTGGTGGGCCTCCTGGCATGGGTAGGCCGCCTGGGGTTGGAGGACCACCTGGGATGGGGCCGCCACCAGGATTGGGAATGCCAATGGGAGCAGGACCTCCCGGTCGATGACACGACGCTGCTCCGAATCGTGCGACTTCGTACAGGTCTTCCCGCAGATGGTCTGCGGAGCTCGCAAGAGACAATTGATGTACCGGACATCATCGTCAGATCTTACCAAGTCGACGACCCTGCTTCCAAGGAGCGCCTTGCTGTTAGACCGGTAGCAGTGCAAGACCTTGGTCTTGCAAGTTCGCCGGATTAACCGCATGATCTTCACAAGCGAGCTTCTTTGGCGAAGGCTCTGCGAACGACAACGCCATGGACACACTTCAAATGATGATCTGTATGCAAGACAATTGAGCAGGCCACGTTCGTCGGGCAATTGGCGACGAGAGGACATTCTGCACAACACAGGAGGTGTGGGGCCATGTGTTTGTCCGTGGATGTTCGTGAGCAGCTTGAGCACAGGGCGAGACATGCTCTCAGAAGTACCACAAAACTTAGCGACAAGGCTTTGAAGCACAGGAGGCAGTTCAATGATTTGCATGGATCAGTCGCTTGGGTTGTTGGGCCCACGCATGATCTCATCATCCGACGCTTTGTCGTAAACGATGCCCGTGGAGGTCTTGGCGCGAGCAATGCCACATTCTGTCACGCCGCCATGGGTGAGTATTGTTTGTGGACGATCAAAGGACACACCACATGACTACACGTCGTGCAGCCGTAAGATGATCGATGTTGTCAGCAGAAGATCACTTGGGGGGAAAAATAGAAGAGAGCTGAGACGGATCACGTTTTGTACTGGGAAACATGCCCAGCTGCTAGGATAGCTGAGCAGGGTGGGATGGATGATCAGCAGAGTCATGTTCCATTTTGTATTTATACCATGTTGTCGTGTGCTCACACCATATATTTACGCAATCTAATCACCGGCCATTTATCCGGGGGAGTGTCACCCATCCATACCACGTCGGTGACCCAAGCTGCACGTGTGTGTCCGGAACGCTCAGTCTTAGACTTCTGCTTGATCAGCACCTTCCTCGCAGAACAAGCATCCGACTAGCTCCCACATCTACAAGTCCACCCTGGATGCCGTAGATCAGGCCAAAAACACCAGACGCGCCTCCCCTCTAAGGCGACTCCATGATCTCCTCCAAGGGCGCAAATAGGTGCATTGCATCACGAGCCGAGATAGCAAAGCCTTCGTCATCATCTGGAAGCGCATCCGAAATCTTCATCAACACTTCCATCTTCTTTCCCACCTCGAGAACTAATGCTTGTACATGCTCCACCTTCACCATGAGACTGTCGATATTGGCGACTGTTGGCAGGCCTGAGTTGTATTGCGTCAGGTCAACATCGAGAGCTGCCGGCACCTTGTCTAGTGGCTCCTTGATGACGCCTGATATCGTTACCAGTAGGCTACCGAACTTGGTATCGATCTCGCGGCGGATTGTTCTGCAGATGTGAATGATCGTGGGCTGGAGAATCCCCGTGATTTCTGCTTGGGACGTGGCGTCTTTTGCTCTTGCAATTAGGTCTGCGAAGACGTAATCATAGATGATCAGCATGAGTTCTGGTGTGATGCTGAGGAGATGTGCTTGGTCCTGGCGGTTGATCGGGACTGCAGACTGCTCATCCTCAACTGTCGACATGTTGAGGCAAATGCAAGGACAGTGGATCACTTGGGTCGGGATGGTGAGAAGGTCAAGCAGTCTCGTTCGCCATTTGTGCTGAGGAAGGCTCGAAGTTCTTATGGATCACAGGTGATGACTTTTTGTTTGTGCTGCAAGTAGCCGTCCACGGCTGGTTGGTGCAGAGATGTGTCTGGAACCAGGGGAGATGGCGTTAAGGGACGTAGACTGGTTTCCGTTCAAGTATCCGGCCTTGTCTTACTCCACGGAACTTATGTGACAGGCTTAGCATGTCTGCATGGTAAGCCAACCATTCTAGTGGGTATCATTCGCGCTGTGCTAATGTTACGCTTCGCCACACTGCCGTCCAATACCATTCTCACCATCCATCACGAACAGGACATGCCGCCACGCTGATCTACGAATGTTTCTGTTACGATAGGTACATGTAGTGATGAGATTAGACGGAAGGGATGTGGTGGACGTTACGTTACAGCCGCTCCAACCTCCACGCTAGCGGTGGTCGATCAGGCGATTCCATCTCAAGCAATGACCTGCCTAGTGCTTTGGCACTTCTCTCGTATGAGCGGACACGTCGTTCCATCAAAGTCACAGTAGTGCCTATGAATACGACATCACGGCATCGCGCTTCTCAGAAAGCGCGACGATTCATGACCTGGCCAAGAGATGGCGGTGGCGTGAGGCCGCCCAAGGCTGTGCAGACAAGGCTGATGAACTGCGTCAGGAGACACGATCCACAGGCGAGATCATGGCACAATGCCTTTACGGAATGACTCTGCTCGCTTCTTGGAACGCCCATCGACCTTCCACAGAATCGACAGTTCATACCTGGGCGTCCATCACACGACATAATTTATATAGCCATTCGGGTACTCAGAGCCACCAACGACGGCACTGTTCGACAACGTGATGCGGGCTAGAATCATCACGAATCTTACCCTTCTATGGCTAGTTTCTGTTCCGGGCCTGGTCCTTTCAAGCTGGGCGGTTGCTCGACATGCTACAGGAATCCACACTCTTGACCAATGTACTGACCGTATCGCCAATAGCTCCAAAGGCTTCGTGGGGAACGCCGACGTCTATGGACTTGGCATTCGTCTCGGCATATATTGCCAATGGACCGCTCAGCAACTGGCTAACGTTGGCCTCCCCAATAGAATCAGCGTGGACATGGCGGCTGGGGTGTGGGTGTTCGATATCGCGCTACTTATTGCTGCACTACTTCTTGCTTTCAGGCGTGTCTGCGCTTTCACCATCGAATTCTATATCATCCTGTTCATCTTCTGGGGCAGTCTATTGGTGCTTTTCCGCTTGCCGGACGAGGAAACTTGGATCATGCGTGAAGCTGCTTTGTTGCCTACGGGCAGCCTTCTGGGGTGATGAACATTACTGCAATCACAACCACGTCTCTGACCGGGGCACTCATCTTTGGCCTTTGGTTCTTCTTGGGTCAGTCCCTCCATCCGAACACCACGTTCATCGACACCCCGGATGGCGGCTTCTTCTTCCTGTTCGGAAGGCTTTCCACCAACAATCACAAGGCCAGTGGCTTTCTAGTGGCGTGCAATGCTTACTTACTGCTGGCATCCGTGGTGAGCTTGGGAATGATCCACGAGCGTGCGCTGAAGTATCTTTCTCCGAGCCTTTATGCTGTCAGCGCCCGGCATGTCAGAGCGATCTACGTGAGATTGCAGCGAATGGTCGAACAGCCACCTCGAAATCCTAGCCCTTGGAATATACGAGACCGTGATGACGGCCCACGTGATAACGGCTCATCAATTCATCCGGCACTCGCGTTGTACATGTATTCATTCGTGAGCTCACACTCTCCCACACATCTCGCTTCTACCGCTCTCCCGCTGCCGATTATCAGGTTCTCACCATTGGCCATGATCTACTCTGTCGTTGCAGTCGAGACGACTCTAGTCTGGAACCACATCGGTGGTGTATACGAAGTGACTTCGACGGGCCAGGTCGTTGCACTAGTTGTGGGAGTCGGCAATCTCCTTAACGTGGTCATGAAACTGTTTGGTCTCCACGCCAAGAAGGACCCAGTTGTTGAGGTGTCCCAACACTCGCAAAAGACTATGCATGGGCATTTGCTGACTGACAGTAGGAGACCGAGTTATGAACTAAGCAAGAGTGAGCTGGCGATGATATAGCTACCTGAAGACATGGATCTCGCATGGACCAACCACAGATCAAAGATGCTTTGCAACTCTTCGATGACGGGTCCAGCAGATCTTGATTTTGGCAGATTTGAGTCTGCATCCCGCCATCTGTCTCCGCATCCAGGCGCCACATGCCTTTCCGACAGCGAGCCGCAGCTGCTCAAGGCGCGACAAATACTATGCCTACTAGATCGTCTTCTTCCCCCGCCGTGGACACACCCGAGCATACCGGAGCGGTTCTGTTCAACAGTCTCACCTTTCCGCTCGGTCACTCCCCAGTCATGATCCGTGAAACGATCGAGTCCACATTCACACCAATGTATTATTGTGCCGGTGACCATTCACAAATGCATTTTGGAAAGCTCCAACAGCATTATCGAAGAAAGCATCGAAGGAATCATCTACTGTACTTCCTTCCGAAAGTAGCTACCACGCATTCCCGCCAACGTCCCCAAAAGCAGAAGAAACAAGGGGGGAAGAGGAGCGAGTCCAGGCATATCCTCGGCACCCCATCCAAGGTCAACCAATGCGAACAAGTAGAGATGACGGTGCTCGCGAGCGGCCGATAATGTGCCAAGCACAGCTTTCACATTCGCTTTCATAAGGCTCGACTTCCTCCTATCTGTCTGCTCTACTAGCGCACGAGGCCTACAGGCAGGACTTGGATCTCCTCCTTGGGACAATCTGCATCATCTCATCCGGCGAAGAGAAAAGTGGGAGGAGTCTTGCTCAAAAGATCTTGAGGATGTTTCGCCCGGGGGGTTCGTGTGACCCTAGCATCTGCTGTGCCAAGACCAAGAGGACAGCACGAGGGCGCTCGGCCTGTGCATATATAGACGGATACGGCCTACGACATACGTCCAGCGGAGAGTATGGTAATATGCGGATGGAGTGGTGGCGCTTTATATAACTCTAGCCGTGCTGAATGGAGGCTAGTGACCCTGACTCCCTGTATTCCTAAGTAAGGAGCAGACACCTTTTTGCTCTATCGTGCCCTTTTCTTATTTTCCTATCCTGTTCTGTCTTGTTCTTTCCTGTCCTTTCCTGTCCTATCCTTTCCTATCCTATCCCATCCCTTCCCATCCCATCCCATCCCATCCTATCCCATCCCATCCCGTCCTCCCCTCTCCAACAACGGTGCACCAGAAGCGCTCACCAGTAGCCACGCCCACAGCATACACAGCCCCCCCACAACTAAAGCACCCTTCTATATTGCTATAAACCATGATCCCTTCAAATTCGCAGAGATGGTCCGTCCAAGCAGGGCAACCCCTCGATATCATATTTCCCCCTTTCCCCCAATTCCACGACAAGGTCCCGAAGTAGTGCTAGATCTTCGCCGCCCTTGTGGTGAAAACGTGGAACGTCCGTAAGGCGGAACGGGTATTTTGAGATGGAAGGATGTCAGGGACTTGTAAGAGAGGGCTTTGGTGATTCGGGATCGTGCTACGGTCTCCCGACATAGATATCGGTGGTTTTTTTCCCGCTGGCAAAGGACAGCGGACTCATGATAGCGCCGAACGGCCCCCTTTTTGGTTGGAAAAGTTTTCCCCATTTCCAGCGGGGATGTGGTACCGAAGTGATACTGCTATTCTGAGCAGGATTTTACCCCGGTCAATGTCACAGACTGGGAACCTATTTCGACGTCCGCCGTGCCTCTTCCCCGGAAACGCCTCGCTAATTCCAAGCAGCTGCCCCGCTCCCACTCTAGATCAAGCACATTAACTCCCCGCTCCCCTCCTCTCCTCTCAACTCGTGGCCGCGAGCTTCACCCCCTTCACCCCCTCCGTCACCTCCCGAACTCCCTCATCCACCTTCCCCTCCCCTTCCTTCTCAACCCCCTCCACACTCGTCCCCACCTTCCCATCTCCATCTCCACCCCCCTCCTTCTCCGCCGCCCTCCTCGCCTTCTTCCTCTCCTTCTCCGCCTTCCTCGCCACCTTCTTGACCGCCTCAGCCTCCTTGACCTTCTTTAGCTCATCCCCACCAAATAACTCTTTCCATTCTTGTTCTTTTCCCTTTTGGATATTAGTAAACAAGTGCTCGGCAGCGCCTATCTCATGCCCACCGCTTATGGAGTCCGGTGTCCATGTCCCGGCTGGGATGGTGAGGAGGGATGTGCGGAGTTGGCGGAGGATGGAGCGGGTGGTGGAGGGGAGGTAGGGTGCTAGGAGGGAGGCGAGGAGGTGGATGTGGTTCATGCCCAGGTTCACCACGGCGTCGCAGCGGAGGGGTTCGGTGGTGTGGAGGGAGTTGTCCAGGCGGTTGTCTTGCAGGAGTTTGTTGCCGAGGCTGGATAAATCTCGTGCGAGGACTAGACCTTGTTTGAGATGGGTCGCGTCTAGTTCGGTCCTATATCGGGCTAGGATGTCGTTTGCTTCGGTGATGTGTTGTTGTAATCTCTGGGCTACTGCTTCCGGGAGTTGTGAGTGGTGTGGTGCGGCGGGGATGATGTTGTTGTAGTTTGCGCTGTTGACGTATTTTAGTATGCGGTTGACGAAATTGCCGAAGTTGGCGACGAGTTCGTTGTTGTTTGCTGAGATGAAGCCGTCCCATTGGAATTCTGTGTCGCTAGTCTCTGGCCGCCGGAGCAGGAGGAAGTACCGCCACACATCCGCCGCTACACCGGTATCCTGCGCGTTGGTGCCGAAGACGCCGATGTTGCGGGATTTGCTGAACTTGCCGCCTTCGTAGTTGAGGTATTCGGTTGTGGAGAGGGTGTTCAGCATCGTCCATTTGTCCCCGGTCCCTAGCTGAGAGCAGGGAAATACGACCGTGTGGAACGGTACATTATCCTTGCCCATGAATTGGTAGAGCGAGACGTTCTCCGGATCCCGCCACCACTTCTCCCATTGCTTGGTATACGTTGCTGTGATCGAGACATAGCCGATACAGGCGTCGAACCAGACGTACAACACTTTATTTTCATATCCAGGTAATGGTACTGGCGTGCCCCATTTCAGGTCTCGTGTGATACCTCTCGGCTCAAGTCCAGTGACCCGAATCCACGAATTCGTAATGTTCTTTCCGTTTTCGCTCCATTTCCCTTCGGACATCGCCTTCTCACTCCACGGCGCCACCTGATCCGCTAATTTATCCAACAGCAAGAAGATATGATTCGTGTCTCTCGGCACCGGCGTGGTATCCTGATGTAACTTACACCGCGGGTTCTTCAACTCCAGCGCCTCGTACGTCTGCCCGCACTTGTCGCATTGGTCTCCTCGGGCATCATTATACCCGCATTTGGGACACTCCCCTTCTACAAATCTATCCGCGAGGTAGTTCTGATGCTCTGCGTGCTCGCAATATGGTTGTGTGGTCGTCCGTTCCTCCAAATACCCATTCTTGTGCAGCTTCAAGAAAATATCCTGTGCAATCTCCGTCTGCTCTGGCGTTGGTGTGCGGCCCCAGTGATCGAAGCTGATTTCAAACCAGTCATAAATCTCTTTATGAATCTTGTTGTATTTGTTACATAGCTCTTGGGGAGTCACTTTCTCCTCTATCGCTTTCGTTTCCGTCGCTGTCCCATACTCGTCTGTCCCGCAGATGAAGAGGGTCGGGTGGCCGCGCGCTTTGCAGTAGCGGGCGAAGACGTCGGCACTCAAGACGGAGCCGATGATGTTTCCTAAGTGGGGGACATTATTCACGTAGGGCAGGGCGGAGGTGATGAGGATGTTCTTCTTGCCGGCCTCGGGGAGGATCTCGTGGAGCCTCGTTGTTCCGTTCATGGTTGACATGTGTTCTACTGTGTTGAGGGAGGCCGGCGTAGCCTGTGGATAGGATTGTAGAGCAAAAAGAGCAACGAGTCGCATGCTCTCGCCGTGAGTCAAAGGCCGAAACACATCCCACTTCGACGCGCTTGGTGGGGCAGGAAACCTGAGGCATAAATTTCACGACGGTTAGTAAGTTGATATGAGCATTTCATTTCCCCGTACTAAGCACACATAGATGTACAGAGCGGAGGGATTGCAATCAAGACAGTTACCTGACCAATTCAGCAGTGTCACCAACACAGATCATCTCATGAAGCATCTGCTTCCCGCATGACATCCGAGCCCAATTATTCCTCCTACCGTCCCGCCATCACGAACATGGCCACAGCAATGGACACAGACGTGGACACCAAGATTTCTTTCCCCTCACAGACCAAGATCAATCCAGGAACTGAAGACGACGACCCCTTCGCCCCCCTCCTCTCCCTAGAACAAGACTACTACACCGAAGGCTACTCCCTCGGCCTCAACGACGGAATCCGTTCCGGCCGAATCGAGGGTCGGATTTTTGGTCTAGAGAAGGGCTTTGACAAATTCGTTCAGATGGGTCGACTTGCCGGTCGAGCCGCCGTTTGGGACGCAAGATTATCCGCCCTATCTCCTCCTGCTGCGACTACGGCTGTTACGGCCAAGACTGGAGCTGGTGGCGTTGTGAAGGTTGGTGGTGGGAAGGAGGACGTGGGGCTTGTGGCTCCTGCTCAGAACGACTCTTACGACTCTCCCGCTCCACGCAGCACCGACATCGATGAAGTCGATGTTATGCTCCCTCCGCTCTCCGGCTCAGAGAGGTTGAGACGGCACGTAGATCGCCTCCTCGAACTCACGGACCCGGAGAGTCTCGAAACGAAGAACACGGAGGATACGGTGAATGAATGCGATGAGCGATTAGCGGGTGCCAAGGCCAGATTCACCCTCATCTCACGTATCGTTGGCGAAGGCGATGTCGAGGGGGTTGGGGTGGAGATTGCCGGGGTGGAGAGTACGGGTGGTGGCAATGGTGCTCGAACGGGAGCTGCAAGGGAGCAGAGTCTTGAGGACGAGAGTAAGGAGGGGGCGGAAGTCGAGATCACGGCACCACGGAAAGGGAAAAGTAGGGGTAATGGGAAGGGCGGTGTGGCGCGTGTTGGAGAGGGGAAGGGAAAGGGTGAGATGGAGGATTTCGGCGGCCTGCCCATGACCAAGCAAGCTGGAAGGGGAACGTGACTTGGTTTCATGACTCGGGTTTTGCTTTTCATCCATGCAGAAGCAAGAGGGATTTTCGCTCGCTTGCTCGCTAAAGAAAAAAAGACCACCATCCTCACGCAGAGCCAAACCAACAATGTCGACCACGGCTCTGCTGGCTCAGCTAGGGCTGGAGACACCCACCATTCACGCAGCAGCACCAGACTCACCCACGGCATTCTGCTGCCCCTCGGGAACGACGGTCTCGGTACCAGCACCCGGGCCCACCTCCCCTCCCAACTTCACTTTCTTCGCATCCCCCGGCCCATCCATCTGAGCAGGCAAATTACTCACATCAGCCAACGGCGGCCTCTTAACCGGCACCACAGCCGACGGAGGCCGATAAGCTCCTCGATTCGAAAGCCCGCCTGCTTGCTGTGGGGCGCCGATGCGTCTACTTATGTCTAAGGAAGGGTTGACAAAGTCGGTTCCGCTGCGGTTTGCTGATGTCGTAGCGCCGGCATGCGCTTGTATAGGCGCTCGTTGGGCGCCGGGTGGTAGTCCTCCTCCTCCTCCTCCTCCTGTCGCCCCGGTAGTGGACAAGGCCGTCCTCGTCACCGGCGCACTCTTCCCCGGATTCACACCGTGCGTGCGTCGGATACTCGGGCTCTCGGCGTGGGGGTCAAAGGCGCGGATGGCGTCGGTGGGACGGGTGTCTGGAGGTCTGTTGAGGAGGTCCACACTACGGCCTGTTACAAATCCTGCAGGGATGTCCGGGGGTGGTTGTCGGGGGATGGGGAGGCCGCGGTCGTCGAGGTCTTGGCCGGTTATGGATGGGACTGTTTCGTTTGGTGGGATGTTGGAGGGTGAGTCGGCTACTGTTGTTGCTGAGGACGGGTTGGAGTTTGTACGAGGCGCTTCGGAGTGCGAGTGTTGCTGTTGCTGTGGTTTCTGCATCATATTTGCTTGATGCTGCTGCTGCTGCTGCATAGCTCGTTGTTGAGCTGCCTGTAATGGTGGCGGCATGCGATTGGGGACTTGCTGCTGCTGCTGTGGAACATTCTGCACTCCTGGTGGCCTCTGCGGTGCTGGTGGTCCCTGCGCACGCTGGGGTGATTGCACATTTGGTGGCCGTAATTGTGGCATCGAATGCATTCTCGGTACACCCTGCCGCTGTGCCTGTTGCGGACCATTGATAGCTCTCTGTGCAGGTGTCTCGGGAGCTTGCATGGTCGTATCATCCAGCCGTACCTCATCGGGATGAGTGAAGTCCACATCATCCAAACCGCTACCACCGAAGTCATCCTCGAATTCAGCGGATCCATACGACACGCCTGACTGCACGCTCGATTGTCTCGCGACCGCCGTCGCCTTCTCCTGCTGCACCGCCTCATTACCCGCTATACTCTCCTTCTTGATGGGCGCATAGTCCGGATGTCTGTGTAGATTATCTGCATCCCATCTACTGGGTGCAACCTTTACTTTTGTGATCTTCTGCAGATAGTCCTTGTCATACAGACAATTGCCCAGCACGTTGCCGAAATTCCGCAATGCTCTTTTGAGTGCATCGGTCGCCGCTTCCTTTTTCGCTTTCTCGAACGCTGCTGCCTTGCCTTTGCAGTTCTCAATGTGGCCGTACCCTATGTCTTCATGAAACGTCCCATCCCTTAACGTCACTCGCACGATTGTGCTGAGTCCTAGGGTTATCTTGCCACTCTGCGGATGTTCGTCGACGAAATCGATCTGCACATTCTGGATGGAAGAGCTCCAGCCGTTGAAGCCGAATACCTCGTTGGCAAGATTGATGACTTTCTCGGCAGCCAAGTAGTGGACTTTTCCCCCTCCGTTGCCTGGTCGAGTCGATATATATTCGGGACCTAGTTGTTTCTCGAGTCGGGACTGAAGGGTGGCGATTTCTTGGGCGGTGTATTCGGAGATGTGGTGTTTGGGGTCGTGGAATGGGTTGGTCGTGGCGGGCGTGTCGCGGTGTTGGTCACCTGGTCTGTACAGCATTAGTTGTGAAGATGTACGAGCAGGAATACATACCTACAGAGGCATTGTTTGGCATCGTCTGCCGTGTTGGTAGAAGAAGTAAGGCAGGGAAGTAAAGTTGGATGTTCGATCTGATGCCTGTTGCGACGAAGCTGGAGGAACGCGTCGACGCGCCGACGTTCCCTTGCCAAACTCCGGAAACCTTATCTGCTGAGCGTATGCACGTGATCTTCAACTCCTTTGTCAGATGCAAGGTGAGGTACAATAATAAGCCACGAGGCATCCCATCTATAACGCTATTTCGACCATGTCAAATGCTGCAATTCGAGTGACGCTGACTCCAGTCTCTCTCTTCCCTTGATTTGACTGTATCATCGACCTGTGGCTGCTCTTCAGAACGGAACTCTACAGCGCCGATCGAGGACAGGCACGAGCTGGAACGCGGATGGTTGCACTTGGCCTGAACGTGGATGGTTGCAATCGGCCTGAAGGTCACGGAGGATAGCTGCATGTGTGCACTGCACGAGCTTGGGACGGTGACAGTGACTGAGAAGAGTGCTTCCGGTCATTAGTGGCACTCAGATCCGCACCTGCCTTACAGCACTTATACACAACCATGGCTCCTTCCCGATCCAGATCACAATGGCGTCACCTCTTCACCCTGCCCAACCTCCTCGCCCTCGCCTTCGCCTGGCTACCACTTGCAGTCGCGGAGAAGACGGCGGCAGACTACTTCATCTCATCCTTACCGGGAGCACCCGAACCTCTCCTGAAACAATACGCGGGACACATTGAGATCACGCCGGAACACCACGGCAACCTCTTCTTCTGGTTCTACAAGAACAGACACATCGCCAATCGCTCGCGCTTAGTCATCTGGCTCAATGGCGGGCCGGGGTGCAGTTCTTTGGACGGGGCATTGATGGAAATTGGACCCTACCGAGTCAAGGAGGACGGGACATTGACGTATAATGAAGGAAGTTGGGATGAATTCGCCAATGTGTTGTTCGTGGATAACCCCGTGGGTACCGGCTTTAGCTATGTGGACGGGGACAGCTATACGCATGAATTGACGGAGATGTCGGCACAATTCGTCGCTTTCTTGGAGAAGTGGTTTGTCGTGTTTCCTGAGTATACGATGGATGATGTGAGTCTGCAGTGTGAGTGGATCGTTGAAATGGGCTGGGCTAATTGATGTGGTGATAGATCTACATCGCAGGCGAATCGTACGCCGGCCAACATATCCCCTACATTGCCCGCGCCATGCTCGACCGCAACGCCGCCAATCCTTCCGCTCCAGCCTGGAACGTCTCCGGCTTACTCATTGGCAATGGATGGATTTCTGGCCCTGATCAATACCCTGCTTACCTCCAATTCGGCTACGAAGCCGGCTTGATCACGAGTGGAAGTGATGAGGAACGACAAATTCAAGACCAGCAGAAGAAATGTTATCAGGCTCTGGACAAGGGCGGGAAAGACCATGTCGATACTGGATCTTGCGAGGGGATTCTGCAGGAGATTCTGAGGTTGACGGCTAAGAATGGAGATTGTATCAACATGTACGACACGCGCTTACACGACTCCTATCCCTCATGCGGAATGTCCTGGCCTCCGGATCTGAAACAAGTCACACCTTATCTTCGACGGAGCGACGTCATTAGCGCTCTGCACATCAATCCGGACAAGAAGACCGGCTGGCAGGAATGTAATGGGCAAGTCAGCTCGAACTTCAAAGCCTACAATTCCCCGCCTGCTGTAACTCTCTTACCTGGCCTACTGGAACAACTGCCCATCATCCTCTTCTCCGGCGACAAGGACCTGATATGCAACCACATTGGCACGGAAACCCTCATCTCAAACCTCATCTTCAATAACGGCACAGGTATGGAAACCTCCCCGGGCGTCTACGCCCCGCGTCGGGATTGGTCTTTCGAAAACGAACCAGCCGGTATCTACCAATCCGCCCGTAACCTGACCTACATCAAATTCTACAACTCCTCCCATATGGTTCCCTTTGATTTCCCCCGTCGAACGAGGGATATGTTGGATCGATTCATGGGCGTCGATATCGCGTCCATTGGTGGGCAGCCGGCGGATTCTAGGATCGATGGGGAGAAGGCGCATCCCGAGACGAGTGTGGGTGGGCATCCGAATAGTACCTCTGCGGAGGAGGCGGCGCAGGCGAAGGCGGATAAGGCGGCTTATAAGGCTTATCAGCGGAGCTCGGAGGCGGCGCTCGCACTGCTCATCATCGTCCTCGTGGTCGTGGGGTTGTTTTGGTGGAGGGGCAGGAGAAGGCGGGCGGGGTATAAGTCTTTGTTTGGTGGCGGCGGCAGTGATCCGTATGATGGTAGGGGTGGTGGGGCCGGTATGGCGAGTGGGTTGGGCTTGGATGGGGAGAGGTTTCGGGAGAGGGAGGATGTGGAGGCCGCGAGGGAGTATGATGAGAGTGAGCTGGATGATTTGGGGGCGAAGGGTAGAGGTGGTGGGAGGGGGGTGTTGGACGAGGATGCATTCGATTTGGGCGATGATGAGAGTGGAGATGAGGGAAGTGGGTATGGGAAACTGAATGGGAATGGGCATGCGCGGTAATGATCGTGACTCTTTTGACGCTGGGGTCCGGCGTTTCTTGGGCGCTAGGAGGAGGGCTGGCTTGGTTTCGGGGGTTGCTTGTGTTACTAGATAGAAGAATAGTGTGTACGATGCTTCTGCTGCTCTGCTAGATCTATCCCGTCCAGACTCCTTGTGCTCGCCTTTGCCACAGGCGAACAAAGAAATAATGTCGAGGGAAGAGGGAAAATAGTCCTGAGCGCCAAAGAGCTGAGAATACCAGCTGTTCTATTGGAAACCCGGTCCAAGATTCAAATGCTCTCAACACAGGTTCCAATCAGGCTCGCGCATACTCGACACGCTCTCGTGTGTATCCACACAAAAGGGCCAACGACGTGGCGTTTCTTTCGACGCAGGACATGGTGTTTACAGCCAGGTGCGTACAAATGCACGTTTTTCATCACTCAGTTGCGCAAAAGCTCGCATGTTCAGCATAGACCATAATCCGTTGACAGCCCCCTGCCTCCGCAGCGCATGTATCACCTCGTCGCAGACCCTCGCGGGACAGCACTCGCAACGCGGGTTCCAATGCAGAGTCGATATAGACATGGGGGAAAGCTTTCAGACGACGGTCGTCCGTATCGTGCTAGTCTTGGGATTGTGTATCGCGTCCGGCGTGCGATTCTGAATTATGCGTAGCCCCCAGTCCCGGGGTCAAGGAGAAGGAGCGCTCTGTGGCGTGTGTGTTGCTATTTGTGCAAAAACCTTCCACCGATGATATTTGCTTGTGTTTGCACGGGACGAATATTGTTGGTGGCGTTGAAGTCGAGGACCTTTGCCGATTTGACCTTTGCTTGGTTCGCATAGACCGCTGGAGGACTAGCTTGTCATCAGCTTGCTCAGTCGATCCGAGGCCATCTGACAGGCACATTCGCCTCCGAGGCCGGGCGTGATCAAGCTGGGAGGACTCGTTTGGACGGGAGGGTGGCTGTTTTTTGTGCTTGAAGGAGGGGTTCACAGCGGATGGTCCACCGGTCATCTGAGCTGACGGCTTCAACAGCAAGTGGTGCACGGCTTCCTCAGTACTCAAGTCAGCCCGAGCATGTTGTCACTTGTTGGTGTCCTCGCATAAGTGGACCGCCGAATCTGACTTCTGGCGTGCAAATTTGGGCCCAGAGGACTGCGGCAACAGTCCAGAAGTAGATCCCCAATGAATAAAGGTCTCTACTGGTATGGGTCTCACAGCTTATCGAGTTTCGCGTCGCATTGTTGGTACTTTCCAGTGACGTCCCAGATCGTGCGCTCGACAGACTGTGCATTCTCGAAAACACGCTTCGACCACGGCGTCTCCTTGACGATATGACCATGCTGGATCGCATAGTCCAGTAATACTTGCGCACTCACGCATTCGTGAAGCGCGAGCATCGTTGGCCCTCCATCGTTGGCTCCATGGACCAGTCCGGTACGGAGCCTGTAGCGAGTCGTGCGTATGTGCACTGGCGTGGCGGCAATCTTTGCTAGATGCTCACGTCGATACCAGGAATCTACATCGCTCTCCTGGCCGGGTGCAGGCTCTAGGAGAACTGCTACCACGCAGGTACCTCGTGCTTTGGGTCCTCGCTGTCCCTCATACCGCTGAACGAGCTCGTAGGTCCTGACTTCAGTGCCGAAGACTCGGGGCTGATCTCCGTCTCGCCGTCCCAGAGCAAGTCTTTGCAGTGCCCGTGAAGTCCAAGTCATCTCAACGTCTCGAAGACGTACTGCCAGCGCACAAGGTCCGCCATGCTGAGGTGTATGGCCGTTGACTTGGTTGCCACCTCGAGCGGCGGGACTAGCGTTTCGCAGCTTCCACAACAGACTGGCACCTTCGTCTTTCAGGATTCGAGGTACAACTAGTCGTTGCAAGACGTCGTTAAAGCTCTCATTTTCCAGTGAGCCGTCCACGGACCAGATGGCAAGCCAGTATAGACCTTCCACCGCCTCGGGTCTGTTCGATATGACTCTTTGTAGACTGTTTAGTAACGCGGTAAGGCCCTGTATGCTTTTGTTACGCTTCAAGCCCATTACCGTGGACATCGTGGAATTGGTTAGACAGTGTTCAGGGGATCGGACCATCCGGCGATGTAGTTAGCCGGCCGCGCGTGGTTGCCGAGCCTTTCCGTACAGGGAAGGTACGGCGACTGGCCTTTTCGTCACCACCAATTCTCCTTGCCATTCGTTGCGTCCTTGTCGAGTTTCGCCAACCCTCACAGAATCGTGGACAAGGCGATTGGCCATGCTGTCGCGATTTCGACTGCGCTGCCTGCTACGCGATTCGCGAGGGTGAGACGGTTCACAAGGCTTTGGTCCATACACGTTGTTGAAACATTTACTCGTGACGAGGTCTTTACGGCGACAGCTCACCCGAGACCCCACAACCACAGAAGTACAGAAGTGGGTGCATCTTCGGCCGCGGGATCAGTGAAGTGGAGCGAACGGCCATAGCAGGCGTAAGTACGGCGAATACATAATATCTGTACAGGACCGTCTCGCTCTGATTCCTTGCCTTGCTAGCTACGGCAGAACACTCGCACACTGATATGGCGACGAACACTAATGGCGAGTCTTGCAATGGCTGCTCAAGTACTGACCTGAACGCAAATGGGTGTACACATCACGGCAACGGCAACATTACTGATATCGAAGACTACAAGACTGAGTTGACCACACTTCGAGCACGCACGAAGGAGCTTGAGGAGAAGTTGTCAAGCATGGAGACAAGCCCAAAGAAGTCCTTGCGATCCTCACAATGGCTTAACAAGCCAGACGACTTGGCAATGTCTGCCCTTTATGCTGATCGCTACATGAATTATGGTCTGACTAGCGAGGAACTACTATCTGGGAAGCCAATCATTGGTATAGCACAGTCCGGCTCAGATCTTGCTCCCTGCAATCAGTACCACACCACTTTAGCTAAGCGCGTCCGCGAAGGCATTCGAACTGCGGGAGGTATCGCCATCGAGTTCCCGACTCATCCCATCCAGGAAAGCTCACGTCGCCCTACTGCGACGCTTGATCGCAATCTGAGTTACTTGTCCCTGGTAGAACTACTATATGCTTACCCATTCGACGGCGTGGTGCTGCTCACAGGGTGCGACAAGACGACCCCTGCCATGCTCATGGCAGCGTCGACCATGAATATTCCAGCTATATGCCTTAATGTCGGCCCGATGCTGAACGGGTACGATCGAAAAGCGCTCATTGGATCGGGCACCGTGGTCTGGAAAGCGCGCGAGCTACATGCTGCTGGTGAAATCGATGATACCGGCGTATTTGACCTTGTGAGTGTCATCGAGCTATAGAATAGTGACTGAAGAAATGCTGACGATACTGGTAGGTAACAAAGGGCACGCCCAGCGTCGGGCACTGCAATACAATGGGAACAGCTTCCACTATGAACGCCCTCGCGGAAGCACTTGGTATGGCACTGCCAGGTAGTGCAGCTATTCCTGCACCTTATCGAGAACGGGCACAATGTGCATACAAGACGGGTGTCCAGATCGTGGAGATGGTGCATGCTGATCGTAAGCCAAGCGACATCATGACCAGAGAGGCCTTCGAGAATGCAATCATGGTCAACACAGCCATTGGTGGCAGCACTAACGCACCGATCCATCTCAATGCCATAGCGAAACATATTGGTGTGAAGCTGGATCTGGATGATTGGGACAACATCGGTCATAGTCTGCCACTGCTAGTCAACTTACAGCCTGCTGGAGAGTACCTAGGCGAGGAGTATCATCGTGCGGGTGGTCTCCAAGCTGTTATCGCAGAGCTTTTGGACCAGGGGCGGCTTCACGAGAGTGCGCTCACCGCAAATGGCAAGACGATTAGAGAGAACAACGCTGGCAAGCACTCCTGGGACCGGCGAACGATAAAGGAATACGGACAGCCGATGCTCAAGGACGCTGGGTTCTTGCACATTACTGGCAACTTGTTTGACTCTGCTATCATGAAGACGTCTGTGATCTCGGAGGAATTCCGCAAAGTCTTTCTGGAAGATCCCAATGACCCCAATGCGTTCGAGTCCAAAGCTGTGGTGTTCGACGGCCCGGAAGACTACCACAAGCGTATCGAGACTGCCGAGGTTGACGAACGTACGATTCTTGTTATGCGTGGCACCGGTCCTCTCGGCTATCCAGGCGCCGCCGAGGTTGTCAACATGACAGCACCAGGTCGACTGCTGAAGAAGGGTCTCAAGTACTCACTTCCTTGTATTGGTGATGGCAGGCAGAGTGGCACTTCTGGTTCACCAAGTATTCTCAACGCAAGCCCTGAAGCTGCCGCAAATGGCAACTTAGCTATTTTGAAAGACGGCGACAAGCTACGTGTCGATCTTACCAAGCGCAAGGTGAACATTCTGATCTCCGCGGATGAAATCAAGCAAAGGCGCGAAGAGCTGATGGCCCGAGGTGGCTACAAAGCCATCGAAAGTCACACCCCATACCAGGACTTGTTCCGCCGCGAAGTGGGTCCACTGAGTGAAGGTATGGTCTTCCCACGGGCTACTAAGTTCCAGAGAGTCGCTCAGGACCATCCCATACCACGAGACAACCACTAGCTGCCCACACAACATCAGACCGACAACGGGTATGACATTGGAGCGAGTTTGTGACTTGTTATACGAAAAGAATGCATCTACGAGCACGGCCCGGCGCCCGCTACTTAAGTTCATACAGTACCGGCAGAGTATCGATTGCATCGATTACGAAAGTCGGCAATGGCTCTACGTGCTCCAGCCTGCGCACTGCAGCCGCACCATGAAAGCTGCGCAGCGAGTTGAGTACGTTAAACACACTCACCCAGGAATCAACAGACCGAGAGAGGTTTCGAAAGTGCGCACTCCAATAGTCCAGTTCTTGGGTGCTCCGCCCTGATATGGCTCTTGCGGCTTGGGTCATCTCATTGACGCTGTAGTTGCCGAAGAAACACAGATCGAGCGCTTGCTGCTTTACGAACTTTTGGACAGACGTCTCAGATCGCTGTGTGTAGATCTCTGCCGAGCCGAAATCTGCATCACGATCTGCGGGAGATTTGCTGGCCCCCGGCCTGGAGCCGATGTCAACAGAAGGTTTGGGAGACAGAGGTCACCATGAAAAGCGTACCAACCTGGCAATGGCTCTGAGCTTGTTGGGAAAATTCCGTAAAACAGCCAATGCAGAGCGTCCGTAACACAATAGATGGTGTGCCAGACGAAGGAGTCGCTCAGCGCATTCGAGAAATTCTTGACGAAATGATCCAGATTTCCGCCGCTGTGGAACGGTGTTGTCATCTATTGAATGTGGCCGTCCACATGATAGTCCACGATTCTGATGACACCCGCATGTCCGCCTGAGCCTGTCAGTCTTTTCAGTACATCGACCTCATTGCGTAGACTGTCCTCTGGATCAGCCCGTCCCCCGAGCTTATTGAACTTCACAACGACCAACGTAAGGCAATTCCCAGTGGCGCTTCTGAGGGCCGGTTTCCTGCTAGCGATGAAGGTGTTGCTGTGGGACCCCCTGCCGATGGCTTGATATTGGGTAAGGTTCCTGCGAAAATGCTGCTGAGGCAATTGGCCTGCTTCTGGTCGACTGCGCGTGGTCATGTTGTTTTTCTGAGCCCACGACTTCCCTACGCCGGCGCGGGGAGACTCTGAGCCAGCCTGAGTGCTGCTAGGCTGGAAGTAAAAGACCGCATGGTGTCGGCTCTTCATATGCCTGTGTTCAATCACTGTACAATGGCGTTGTGCCAAAGAACAAAGTGGAGCTTGACATGTCATGATCAAGGGAGACAAAGCCACGGTGCAGAGTGCGACACACATGTCTGACCTTGCAAGTGACCGTCTGGTGCTCTGTGTCATCACCGTAGTATGTCGATGCCATGCGGTTAGGTCCAAGGAGGAAACAAACCCCGAAAGAATGGTGCATGAATGTACATTGATGGGGTAGACTTCACCTCGAAAGTAAGAACAACGGCATTCATCTCAGGAGCCGACTTAGGATATGCTTTGAAGATGGCTATCTACCGATGCCCAATATCTGCTTCGGATCAGTGTTTCCTGCCCCGGCAAAGTCATCGAAGTCAGAAGCTGCTACAGGAAGGATAAAGTCTCGTATCCGTGGTGCTCCCTCTTCAGCGCAAATTATGGCTTCTTTCACAGCACACTCGGACTCAAGTGTTGCCCAGCCAGAATAGTCGTAGAGAGCTAGCTTAGTGAATAAGGCCTTGAAGTCCACTTGGCCATCGCCAAGGGCACGGAAGCGGCCAGCTCGATCACGCCAACCTGCAAAGCCTCCATATACACCTTGCTTGCCGTTTGGCCTCAACTCGGCGTCCTTGACGTGAAAGATTTTGATGCGTTCATGGTAGTGATCGACGAACAAGAGATAGTCTAGCTGCTGGAGGACGAAGTGGGAGGGGTCGAAGCAGATGCAAGCTCGTGGGTGGTGGTGAGTAGCATCCAGGAAGCGATCGAAGGAAGTGCCATCATGGAGATCTTCGCCAGTATGAATCTCATAGCAGACATCTACAGCAGCTTCGTCGAATGCATCAAGGATCGGCTTCCAACGCTTCGCGAGCTCTCCAAAGGCTTCATCGATCAGACTATCGGGCCGTTGCGGCCACTGACACATATATGGCCAAGCCAGTGAGCCAGAAAAGGTTGCATGTCATGTGAGACCTAGATTCTTCGACGCTTTCGCAGCATCCATCAGAACCGACACCGCCCATGTTTGTCGCTCCTTTGGCTTTGCGTGGACTTCTGCAGGAGCGAAGCCATCGAACAAAGTGTCGTAAGCAGGGTGAACAGCAACAAACTGCCCTTGCAGATGGGTAGAGAGCTCGGTCAAGGTGATCTCGTGCCTAGCGCAGACATCCAGTAATTCGTTGCAGTATGCCTGGTTGGTTGCTGCTAGCTTGATGTCGATCAGTCGTCCATCGACAGGAATCTAGGTGCCTTTGTAACCAAGCGACGCTGCCCAGCCTGCTATGCCGTCCAGAGTATTGAATGGTGCATTGTCGGACACATATTGAACCAGAAATATACCAGGACCTTTGATCGTAGTCATGGTCAGACATCTACTTTCCGTACGAAGCTCGAGTGTCACTGAGTTGAAGTACCTTGATGCCACCTCGCCTCCATGACGACAGTGTCGGAATTTAGCCGATGGAAAGAGTAGTCGATCACAGTCGATCACCGTTGTATATCTCTCTCTCTATCTACCAACAGTCAATCTTGACATCATCGTGTCAAAGTAACGCAGCGGCTGCACTGCTGGAGATTCTGCTATACGTACTGATCATGATCAGACAAATCAGACATTTGTCCTGACATATTCCGGAAATTCTGTCGTACTTTTCTCCTGGCGTATCTCGTCTTCTACCAGGACATCGCTTGGCATGTTGTGAGCGACCTTCACAGGATCGAATATAGTCTTGCTGTCGCGGAAAATCTGGTCTACTTCCTCCAAATGTTTCCCATTCGTCTCTGGGAAGAACAAGTAGACCGCTGTTTTGCATCAGTAAAAGTCTACACATGATCGAGATCATTTCCTTACCGGGTACAATCAGGAAAAGATTTATACAGGCCCAGACGATGTAGTAGCGCCACCCCAGTGTCTCGAAGCCCACGGGTGTGATCTCCGCGACCAGGAAGTTGAACAGCCAAGCAGTGCCCGTGGAAATACTGGTGATGGGCACTCTTACGCTCAGCGGGCTGACCTCTGCCGCATAGAGGAACGTCAGTCCAAGAAAGCCGACCGGAAAGAACAGGGAGAACAAGAAGATGAAAGCCCCGGCGGTCCCGACACAGGCGATGTTATGGATCTGGCTAGACGTCCCGGCTACTATAGCCATGCAGCTTCCCATACCGATGGCAGCAACCAACATGAGCTTCCGTCTGCCGAAGCGGTCAACGGTCAGTACGCCAATAGGCGAGCAGATTGTCTGAAACGTGAATACGCATGCCCCGAGGATTCGTGCAAGTACACCAGAGAGCCCGAGGTACTTTTCGAAGATGGTCGTAACATAAAAGGCCAGAGCGTTGATGCCAGATCTAGAAGCACAGCATTAGCACAACAGCTTGTCTCTTTCACGAGCAGGTAAAGGACTCACAATTGTTGGAACATCTGTCCAGCACATGCCAGACAGACTCGGTTGAACAGTCTTAGCTCACCATTCTTGAAAACATCGCTGAAACGTCCTTTCCCAGTAACCTCTAGTGACTCGGCGATCTCAGCCACATCTGCACGAACCACGGGATCATCTTCTGGAACTCCTTCGAGCGCTGAGAGTACCTGGCATGCTTCTTCGCTGCGTCCTTGTTTCAAGAGCCATCGTGGCGATTCCGGTAGCATAGGAATCATGGCGACCACTATCAGGCCCCAAAAACCGCTCATGGCCAGTGGAAAACGCCATGAGACTGAACCAGTTGTGAAGCTCATTCCCAGGTTGAGCCAAGCTGACAAAGCCAGACCCGCACTGATGAAAAGACTCTCCAGTACGACGGCTGCGCCTCGATGAGCCGCAGATGCGCATTCGCTCTGCCAGTTAGGCGCTGTTGCGGATAGCATTCCCAGGCCAAACCCTGTCACCTGTGATCCTCACGTGTTAGTAAATCAAGGAAGCACAGATGCGGCCTCGCACTTGATAGCCTTACCAATCGTCCCACAATCAGCTGCCCAAGTGAGAACGATGAGGCTTGTAGTAGAGCTCCAATCACATCAACAGCAGCACCGAGTTGAATCGTCCGCTTTCGTCCAAGCTTGTCGCCAATCCAGATACAGCTCAGTGAACCGAAGAATGCACCTAGTGTATACATCGCTACGACCGTGCCTTGCACACGAGCATTATCTGTTGCTTGTGCGCCGATGGCATGGACTGTATCGATTCGTGGAAATGTTTCCACCCATGATGGCAGGTTCAGAAGTGGTCCAGCAACTGCGTTGTTCCACCCAAACAGGATATATGCGGGCAGAATGACAGCCCAAATCTGTGCTGAGCGCAGTTGCGAGCCGCGGAGGCCTAGGATGTAGCGCCTACCCATGCTTGGTAGTGATGACGAAGTATTATAGTGCCAGTACACGAGTCGAAGAGAGTGAGGAAGGAGATCTATAGTCGAGGACGTATGTGAAGAATGTAGGGCAGTTGGTCTTGAAGTGTCACCTCAACTCCCATCTGCATCCGATCCGGCTACCGGCACTCATACCTCCTACATTGATCAACGTTACCAGGTTGGCACTGTTAGGCTTTGTCATCGTTGTCGTTCTATCGCCGGAGACTCGGTAGGTAGGAGTGAGTAACATTGGAAACCATAAGCATCCGGCATCTTGCAGATGATTCTGTCTCTCTTGTCCCTCCAACAGCGTGACTTCACAGGATTCATGGTGTGGTAATGTGTGACGAGCTTCTGGCACGTCTTCGAACGCTTGTTGACGCGCGGGGAAGGTGTCGAAGTGACGCGTTCAAGATCGACATTGTCGACTCCAGCATCGATTAAAACCTCCGAGGTCGGCATTGATGTTCTGGGATAACTGCTAAACCTCGCATATATTCGGTGACGCAGGCGTTCAGCACTGTGGCGACAAGTACGACCATTCGAAGTCTGAGGAGACATCGCATCCTCATACAAGAGCTCCTACCCGAAAAGAATAAGTCAGCCCAAGCAATGGCGACTAAGGCCTTGGCCGCATGGACCGTAAACCTTACTCCGTCTTCCATACCAGCCAGCGTCCAACAAGCCGCAAAACGCTCTCTATACAACTACGTCAGCTGCGCAATAGGTGGGTCGAACCACCCTACCGTGACCAAAGCTCACGATGCTCTTGAGCCGTTCTTCGGCCGTCCAACGTCCACACTATACGGCAGTGGAGGCAAGAGAACGGACGCTCAGCATGCGGCGTTGCTGAATGGTACCGCGAGTCATGTCCATGATTATGATGATACGCATCTGGCGACTATTATCCATCCTACAGGCCCCGTGGCAAGTGCCTTGCTAGCATATGCTGAGTACAATGGCTCCGTATCTGGTCCCGAGATCCTTTGTGCACTCACCGCTGGCATTGAGGCGTCTTGCAAGCTTGGCTTGGCGGTTTGGCCGGAACATTATGATATTGGCTGGCATATTACTTCCACGACTGGGTCGATTGGTGCTGCGGTCGCTGTTGGGAAGCTCATGAAGCTCAGCGAGGACCAAATGGCTCATGCTATCGGTATCGCTTCCGTGCAAGTCGTCGGACTAAGGGAGATGTTTGGCTCCGATACCAAGTCGTTCCATCCTGGACGTGCAGCACAGGGTGGGCTCTTAGCAGCAGTGTTGGCGGAAAAGGGCTACACTAGCTCTGAGTCAGCGATCGAGGCGAAACGAGGATGGGCGAATGTGGTTGCTGGTGGTGGGACACCTCAATTGCAGAAGTATGTTGGCGAGCTTGGTCAGAAGTGGGAGATTGAAGCGAATGCTTTCAAGCCTTTCCCATGCGGAATCGTATGTCATCCAGCTATCGATGCCGCTATACAGCTACACCACGAAATGGAAAGGAAGCAGTTTAGCCTCAAGCAGATTGAAAAGATTGAGCTTGTGGTGCATCCGCTTGTGATCGAGCTCACTTCCAAGCGGAAGCCCAAGGACGGGCTTGAAGGCAAGTTCTCGGTCTTCCATGGTGTTGCAGTCGGACTGTTGTACGGCAAGGCTGGTCCGGCACAGTATGCCGACGAGGTCGTTCAGGATTCAGCCGTCGTCTCTTTACGTGATCAGGTCGATGCAGAGTCGAAGAAGTCGCTGGCAGCGGACGAGACGTATTTGACTGTCTACCTAAAGGGTGGCGACAAGCTGGAGAAGCACATCCAACATGCTGTCGGATCGCTAGAAGTTCCCATGACCCACGAGCAGCTTGAGGAGAAGTTCATCGACCAGGCTGCACTTGTGTTGGGTGCTGAAGGGGCGAAGAGGGCGAGTGGGCTTGCATGGAAAATTGGCGAGGAGGAAGATGTGGCTGCGGTGCTGACCAAGATTTGAGAGGTTGTTTGTTGCATGCCGAGTCGACGTAGCCTCAAATTCGGGGTTGTGAGTAGCTGGGCATCATAGGAAGGCGATTCAGTGGTTGATTTCGCGTCGGCGATATCACCAGAATCTGAGTGACTCTATAATCCTGTTTAGTTGGTCCGGATCGACAATGATCAGGTACAGCAAGATGACCACCACAAGACAGAAGGCGAAAGCAAACAAGACGCTGGTCAAGCCTGACTTGATCTTCACCACCCTAGCGTCAGCCTCCTTCGCAATAGTGCTGTACTCCTTGCCGCTTCGCCCTTCTTCCAGAAGACATTGCATGGATCCTGCAGCGGTGGACTCGGTTTGTGCTTCGATTGCGTTCGGCGGCATTGTAGCTGGCTAGTCTGGCGAGAGTGGACATGTTCGGAAGCGGACCTGTACCCGCTTGCATTCTAGGGACTTTTAGTGGTATCTTTGGGGGGTGGAATTCGTAGCGATTCAGCTGGTGGTGTTACGCTTGATGCTCGTCTTTAAAATGTACGTTGTGCAGTGGTCGCCGACAACGCTTGGCTCATATAGCAGTGGCGAAATGTGGTATGAGAATGTGTAGCACCTTTCGTGCTTAGCAGCTCCGTCGCTTAGCTCAAGTCAGTGGCGTATGTATAAGCAGCGAAGCTCGACATTAAAAATTTGCAAACTTCTCCCATCCAGCACATCTGCGTGACCACTGCATGTGAAAGCAAAACTTGACTTCGGCTCATAAAGCTCTAGGCAAGTACAGCATTTGCTGGTGGCTTTGACATTGGTTGTGTTCCTGGCTGTGTTTACTTCACATTCCGCTTCCTCAATTTGCGGCTTCTTGAAGATAACTTGTCAGGCTCATTCGTAGCGTCGTCTACTTGGACATCAGACGCAGTCCTCTTGGTGGGTTTGGCGACTGTGGTAGGTTCAACTGCAGTCTTGCCCAGCACATACGCCACCTTCTCGACACTCAAGGCAGGAACATCCAGACGCTTTCGAAACTCCTGTACGCGAGTATATAGCTCGATATATTCTTTCGCAGTATACTTGATCTTCTGCTCCCACCCAGACTTGTTCCAGAAGGCCCAGCGGAATAGCTCGTCGGAGAAGAAGGGTATGTCAGTCTCATTCTGTACGCTCAAGATCAGGGAGGCGGTTGCGGGTCCAACCCCACGGAGCTGGCAGAGTTGAGACATGACATTCTTAATATCATCTGGCTCTTGTTCGTAAAGCTCGAAAGCATGACTGGTTGTCTTTAGTACTTGTTCTTCATCGTTCTCGTTGATGAGCTTCTTGAGAGAAGGTCGAAATTTGCCATGAGAGAGCTTCCAGTCCATCAACGTCACAAGCTCGTGTTTCTTGAGCCCGCGGTCTACGCGTGCATGTAGCGTATCAGGGACGGTATGGAGCCGCTCCTGATCGAGGTCTGCCAAGCCAGAGGGCACAACGCCTGGGTACCGAGTAAGGAGTCCATTGAAGGTGTCGAGCTCGATCTCATTGAAAGCATGCTTTGGGTCCATGTCTGAGATGGAAGTGCAATTATGTCAGTGTACATAGAGAGGTTAACTGTCACACCACAGCCACTTTACGCGTGGCTCGTGTCGAGGTCGCGTTTCAATCGCCGAGCTGTCACGTTTGAGGTGACAGCGGAGAACAGGCTCGCAAGCTCACAGCTACCTGCACCGTCCACGAGCTATTGCCCTTCCCAAGGCTGCATGAGTAGTATGGCCTAGCTTCGCCCTCAACCTTCAGTCAGCAGCCTCGACATCGCTGGCGAATAAATGAGGTGAATCGTGCTGGTTAAAGATGTCCTGCTCCACACACTCACAGACACGACCCCGCGACCAGGCTCCGTCACCAGAAACTCCTCGCCGTGCCTCAGCCAAGCGAACGTACAATGATATGGACGACAATCGTAGTGAGACATCGGAGTATCTGCCTGTCAAGAAGGGCAAGAAGCGTGCAGCCTCGGTGATCACGAGATCGGACCCGGTCGAGAGCTCATCTACGGCAGAGAGGCGGAAGAGGAAGCGACAGAGGCGGGATTCTGCTGCCGCTGATAGTCCACCCACGGGCGCGAAGGAGGACCTCGAGCTGTTACTTACGCAAGGTGCTCCGACAGATGGTTTGGATGCCACAGTCAAGCACGCGAGACGTGCCAGACACGCCAAACGACGAGAGACTGCGCTTCAACAGCTCGAACGTCTGCAGTCGGAAAATGCGAGGCTTGCAGAGCGACTCGCCAAGTCTGCTGACGATGTCAAGAAAGCACACCTTGATAGCCTACTGCGTACCGATGGCGAGGAGAAGAAATATGAGGAGCTGAACCGGAAGCATAGAAGACTCCAGGGCTTGTACAGCGAAAAGAGCCAACTTCTCGAGGAGAAGTCGGCTCTGGTGCCTCAATTGGAGACGGCGCTGAAAAGCACCAAGGATAGCGTAGTCAGTCTGCGAGTCAGCGTCACGAACCTTATGTCGCAGGTATCGAAGCATGACCGGGAGGTGATGGGATATGAGGATGCGATGAAAACTGCTCAGGAGGATATCGAGGCGCTGAGAAGGATCGAGATTGATGTGCGGGCTGAGCAGGACCGAGCGGAGGAGAAGTATGATACTTTGCCACCTGCTTATGGCAGCCTGCCCGAGCCCGAACCCAGGTATCATGGAGTCGTGCCTCACGAGGCTGTGGATAGTGGCGCCCTCAACATCGCGAACCTTAAGCACACGGTACGGACAGAGTTTGTGGCAAACGTGAAGATGTTCCGGAAGATGCAGGATAGTCTTCGGAGCAAGGCCATCGGCTGCATCGAACATAACAACGCCGACGGAGCATACATTCGAGGTGTGCATGAGGCCTTTGGAGACGCTTGCAGGAATGTAGGAGCAGTTATGGATCGCGCTGTTGTGGCTATAGGCGATTTTACGTCACTCAGGGCCATCGTTCATGGTGAGGAGCCAACGGGTGGGCTCACTATCGCAGCCGCTTTTCGTGAAGAGCTACAGAAGTCGGAAGCTTGCCACGGCTTCGTCGCAGACAGGACCGCTAAGCTCCTTCTAGACCTCGCACTCCGTCTCGTCTCCGCCCTGGAACTTCGACCTTTGCATGTTGGTGCTGCGTTTGGCTACGAGGAGAAGAATGAAATTGCCTTGGTCTGGTCCTCTTTCGATGCCACACTTTCCAAGTCTCTTCGCTGCCTCTCCAAGGTGACCGGCGGCACTACTTCTTCTCGGATCATCGAGACCTGCATTCAACTTCAAACGTACCTGGCTCAGGTCAAGGCGCTGCAGGAGGTCATGGGAAGTGTGAGCTTAAGGACAGGGGTGGGGTACTATGGATCCTTTGCAAGATATGGGGAGGGCAAGTATCTTGGTGAGACTTCCGAGTGGCTTGTGGACCAGCTTGAAGTGTGGAGGACCATCGCGGCGAAGACGGCAGATGAAGAGGCGCTGGCGAGGAGGGAAAGCGAGCACGCAAGCTTGATACCTGCAACACTGACGGAACTTATGATTTCGAGTCCGCCACCAGAACAGGATCCTGAGGCCAATCGCAACGTGCCGGCTACCATGCACACCCGTACACTAAGTTCATTGGCGCTGCATGAGGAAATCACTGCCGCCACGGATGACGTCGTTGCTCAGCATGCCACCACACGACAAGATGCTCAGGCCGTCCACGATGCACCAGCCACTACCCAGTCTCCTACAAGGAGCCCGTCCGTAGTCCGTGGTATGATTACGGCTGCGCAGCAACGACTCCACAACACACGAGATGGACAGGATGAAGAAGCGGAAATCTCTAGCGTTGGCACGCCTCACAACAGCGACGACGATGGTGACGAGCTGGCACATGACGGCTCCATAGTTGATCCTGTTGGCGAGCGTGGGTCACGTAGAGCATTGACGAGGCGTTGTTCGCGCTTACGGTCTTTTGCTCAGCGTGGGAATAACAGTCGTCCACGTCGTCTGACGCCTATGGAGAGGCACGATGAGGAGTTCATGTCTGATACACTATCCAACAGTGATATTGGCGACATGGCTGACGAGGCTTTTGGGTCTAGTGACGGGGAGCGTGTATAATGATATCTAGGAGAATATTCTAATGATGATAGATGGTAACGAAGCATATGATTGGTGAGGATGTAGATAATGCGTTGGTAGTGCACCGGCAAATTTTACGACTCTGCATATTACGATACAATTCCACATAATGGACGAGTCAATACGAGTGTGAAGATGACAATGCATTTTCTTAAAGCTCTGGTGAGGAGTAAGGTGGTCAGGTAGTAAGCACGACATCGTCGTTACAATGCTCTTGTTCTTTTCTTTGTTCATTGTGCCTGGCGATATACGTGCTGCGCGATATATAATCTCAGCGATACTACCATCATTCGCCATTTAGTCCCCAGGACACAGAAACCACCGACAAAGCCCTCGCGGGCTCACCGAGTCATCACTGCGCCGGCCGCAGCACCATCTCTCGTTGCAACGATGGCTGCCCAAACCCTCTCCTACCAGCTCCTCACCAAGACCTTCATACCAGTGAAGCTTCTGGGCACAGGAACATTTGGAGAAGCATACCTAGCTATCCAGAGAGATGCGGCTGATGAGTTGCGGGCCCAGAGCTCTGAACTATTCGCCGATCAGACACTCGCTGCAAAGCAATGGCTATATGGCCAGCTACGGAAGCACCTGGTCGTCGTCAAGATCTCTAATGCATTGTATGAGCATACTGACCGTGATCTGAGCAATGAGATTGCTATGCTGACTTTGCTTAGTGATTCCCCTCCTGGCCTCATTCATGCCATCGACTATGAGGACCAGGCTCCGGCTCAGTGGCTCTCGATGCCGTATATCACTGGCCGCGATCTGTCCATTTTCGCCGATAATTGGTACGATGAGTTGTCCGTCCCTTTCATCTGGCATGTCGCCCATGGGCTTGGCTCGATACTGTTGTATCTACACTACGGTGTCAAGGATACTTCGAATGCGTTCGGGTTTGATCCGGAATGGAACGGACTGGCGCACGACGATATTCACTGCGGGAATCTTTTCCTTCAGCCAGCGGCACATGGAAAGGTCAAGAAATTTGGCAACTTTCCCAATATCATTCTAGCTGATTTCGGCCGAATGAAGTTCGCTTGTCGAAAAGGGATGACGGTGGGTACTGCCAACCCTTCCCACTGCCATTACCGAGACCTGATGAACACTGGAACAGTCCTCTACAAACTTCTCGAAGTCCTTGGGCCCACATCAGCTCCTTTAAGGGGTTGTTACAACCAGCATCGAGATCGTTTGATCTTAACCTGGGTCCATCGATTACGGCAGCCGGATCTGTTTGACCGCAAAGCCTCTCACCAGGAACTCTTTGGTCTGTTGAGCGAATTTGTCGCAATGGCTGATCATGAAAGGAGGGTAGGTTACAAGCCGCTTTCAAGTTGTGCAGAAGGGTGTTTGGAGAGCGATTATACTGATGATGAGGAGCTGGCTCTTCTTTTCGACTCTGGTCGCATGTTTGCTGGCTAGATGCCTGATGGAACTCAAGAGGCTAGCGATAGGCCATCTCTGGTAGATATGCCATATATCGGTGGTTTGTCAGAGGCACGATGCTTGACTGTAATAGTATTGTACGATATATCCAGGATCACACATTCCACACCGTTCCCCTTCGAAACTTCTCCTCAGACCGGACGCACCGACTCTCTACTTGCTTTCACAACTGCGTAAGAAAAGATCCCTCAGATCATGATATTTGGCATGTGTATATTATAATGTGAATGAACTCTATACTCTCTAATAAGTATCTCCCCACAGTACCGAGTGCGTATATGCCTCAGAGCTACTCTTCCCTCGGTTGACCGGCATGCCGACGATCACCTCTGAAGGGAATTCTATCGTCTGGGTGCTCCTTTAACCACTTGTCACACATCTCGTGAACATCCGATGCAAGCTTTGACACTCTCTCGAACAGCCCTCTCATGGGAGCAAGAAGATCGGCCTCAGCAGGATGATCATCCAGAAAATCCAGCATGACGGACTCGTACTCCATGCGGAAAGATCGATCTTTGTAAAGCATGTCTAGGACATCTCTCCTGTGGAGCTCAGCTAGCTTGAGCGGCGAGGTCAGGGAGTCAAGATGGGCATGGAGCTCGAGGCCCTTCAAGGCAGCTGTCACTGCCCCTAACGCCGCTTCGTACCAGCGCTGATTCCAGATAACACCTTCCATATGAGCTTCTTGGGCGCGGGCCGAGCGTGCCCAGATCTCTCCTTGGAGCTCGATGCAGATGGCTTGGTCCAACTTGGCTTGTCGCAGGACCTCAGATTCGGCGATCTCAGCTTCTGCCCTCGCTACTGCTGCTGCTGCAAGGACGTCCGGGTCGATTACCAGTGGGTCCTCGGCGGCGTCGTGGTGAGCCCTCCTAGTGCCCGGTTGATTCCAGCGTGGGCGAAAACCTGCGCGCCAGTGGTCACTGTCGTGGTGGGCTCTCTTACCGCAGATGAAGCAGAAGTGCGTACGGCAGGTGCAGACCATGGCATTGCAGCCACTCTCCAGACCCCAGCGTTTGTTGCATTTGTCGTTTGGGCGCTCTTGATAATGTACTCCCTTAATCAGTGTTCGGTCGACGTCGGTCTCCTTCTTAAGATTCTCCGGGCGGCAGGGATGTTCGCCGGTTCGGAACTGTGGATAGGGCGAGACCACAGCGCATGCATACGATACCCTGGCAATGTTTGCATTTCTCCTGCGAGAATCCCGCTTTAGTGTCCGCAGCACCGATCAGCCGACCGCAGTCGCCCGCCGTGGTGCCTTCTCGACAAGCCTTATCGTACGCTATTTGGCCTACAGCTCGCCACGTCTCGTATCTGGAATCGAAGATTGTAAGGTGTCGGCAATAGACGCGCTCATTTTTGGGTAGCTTATGCAGCTCCACTCAAGCCTTCCATTGCTTTCTGAAGGCCTTAGTGAAACCGGAAAGCTGGTCTGGCGACAGCTCGGCAGCGGCCCAGGTCACTGGCCAGAGTGATTCATTATTGATTGCGGCATGGAACTTGGGCTTGATGGTCTCCAAATAGCACTCTTTGCATACGAAATCCCCATCCAACTCGACCCGTGTACTCCTGGCGGGCTTGTCGTCAGCACACACACCGCACTCGAACGCAATGTCCTTTCGGTAGTCTGTTTGGATGGAGGCCTTGGCTGGGTATGAGAACTGCTGTAGATGTTTGCAAGGTCACAGACTCGGCCGCCTGAGCGAGCCTTATTGATGATAGCATGGTGACTGGCTTTGTCCTTACCTCTTTGTATGATGCCGACGATGCAGATATTGTTGGACTTGCGCTCGTTAACATATCAAGGCCGGATGGAGAACAAAGACATGCCGTAGACCAGAAGCGGCAGACTGAGTAACAAGGCTATGAGTGCAATGATCCAGCCCGCATTCTTAACAGGATAGTCATGCTTACACTAGGAAATGCACCTCGGGTCCAGCGATCCGGCATCGGTTTTTAAAGTAGTCCATCAGGGCATGGTATGTAAGAATTTCTCACCCGTGTCATCTGGAAATGCTATCTCGTCTTGACGGTGGATGTAGGGAGCCCAATAGATCATACAGAAGACACTGGTCCTGGCATGGCTAGCCTATCGGTACTGTGCGTGCCGATATGCTGATGAAAAGTGCCTGCCATCGTTCCAGCCAGGTGTTCGTTGTTACCGGTTATGCAACGGATAGATCGTTGTTTGAACATCGTCATGGTCCGACCACCACACCGCAGAAGTAACAGGCGTTCAATGCTGTAAGCCAAGCACGGTCTTGGCGATGCATGCTATGCTTGGCGCAGTTGAAGCCATCGTCATGCAAAATCGCGAATGCGTTATGATACGAATCAGGCAGCTAGCATGTTCGGAGAAAGACCAAGTCTCTCAAGATCGATTTCCGGACGAATGGCTTGTGCTCAGCATTCGTTCTGTGAGCATCTTGCTAGACGTCGGATCCTGACTTCCGTCAATGTACTTTTCAACACCCATGCTCCCAGCACTTCTGCCTCCTCCCTGCAGCTCGCTTAGGCATGACGTCAAAGAGGCACAGTTGATAGATAAGTCGAATGTCTGGCCTCGCGGTCCCAAGATTCTCGCGTTCGTGAGGGCCGGGAATATCATTGCAATGAACAGTGCCACTCTTCCAGAAGGTGGCATCTCGTTCCTGACGAGTGTCCTACAGTCATATGGCCTGAAAGTAAGTCCTCGAATCCGATGCAAACACGACCAAGATAGTACTTTTGCTGCTTGCTAAGTCTTGAGCCAGGTGAGCAACATAGACCTCAGCCAATACGATCCTGACTGTCCGTTTCCGTACAACAACTTCTTGTACGATATCATCGTCGGACCACTGCATGCCACTGACGGTCTCTTAACCGAGAAGCCGCCTTCAATCCAGCAGCATGGTTGTAGTGCACTGCCTCCAAACATCAACCGCCGTATAGCCAATTCAGAAGCTCAAGGACTGAATCATCCTATCGTAGTTCAAAACGGTATCGCAGCTATGGCGCTCGCGCGACAAGCGCTAAATGATACAGCGTATCGGTCCATCGTCCCGGAGGTGTACGCCTGGTCTCCCGGCTCCGAGGGTCGGAATGCTCAACCAGGCTGGTCTTTGATGGATCATAAATCCGGCGTCCAAGTGGCCGAAACACCTGACGAGCTCTCTGCGCCGGAACGGGAGGGAGTGATACGGCAGATAGCGGAGGTCTTTGCCCTGATACAGGGATTTGAGGTGCCGTCGACGATTGCCGAAGTTGGCGGGCTGGGGTTCGATGACCAGGGAAATATCGTTTCTGGACCTATGGCTACGTGCGCTGCAGGACCTGCGCGGAATTGTGGTACATTAATTCTGGAGAGGATCCGTATGGCCATGGAGGAAGCAGAGACTCATTCTGCCATTCGAGGTTGGCCGGAGGTGGGCTTGGTAAGGATGTGCGGGTAGTTGCGCAAGAAGCTGCTATGAAGACCGCAGCGATCAGTCCCGAATCGGACCGGAAGACGTTGGTTCATTGTGACTTCAGTGAGTGCCATAACCTTGTCTTTGTGTACTCTCAAGGCTACGTTCGGCTGACTGATCCGGGACCAGATGCAACGAATATGCTGGTTGATCCAATATCCTGCGAATTGACAGCGCTGCTGGATTTTGACTTCGCATACATCGGAGGCCCCGCTAGACGATTTCGCGACCTCGTTCATGGAATTCGAGGGAAATCTTCCAGGACCGGCGGCGGCTTCGAAGGATAAGTCATCTGCTGTTCGATGGTCTGCTATTCTGAGTGCCAAGTGGAAGGATTTGCCGCTGGAGTCTAAGCCCAAGGTTGATGCGGTTGGTGATACCTCAGCGCTGCACAAGATGTTTCGACAAGCAGGCGTGGTTATACCACAGGATATTCGGGCCGCGGCTATAGTGTCCTCATTGCTAGGACTGCCTGAGATGATCATGCCGGCTTTGCTGTGCAACCCGGTTATGGCGGCTGGGAGGAAGGAAGAGCAGCGTTTGCGGGATCGGGAAGAAGCTGAAGGAGATCTGCGATCTGTTGTGGAAGAATTAAGGAAAGAGTTGTCGTTGTATGAACGGATGTCGAGTGATGCAAGCTCTGCATGATGTGAGTCCATGATGCTGGCAATAGATCGTTGCATAAGATCTCGTGGTCCCTTGAAGGCACGGAATCTATTGTCGTTCGTCAATATATGCTGTGGTGCAACTCCAGAGCGCCGCGCTCCAACAGCAGACTTCCTGCACTTCCCAAGAGAACACTAATTCATCAGCCCATCAATACCCAACCCGATATCCATACCCTTCAAGCTTCCGACAACTCGGCATCTCCATCCTACGCGCCCTCTCTAATTTCGTCTGATCGGTGAAGAAGAAACCTTGGGCTTCTTGTGCTAATCGTTGTCGTTGTGCTTGCTCCCATTCACACTCAGCTGAAAGCTGATTAACGTATTTGTTCTCTGCGACCTTGTCGAGATCTTTCCATTTCCGGGCTGTGAAGTCTGATACTTCTGAAGGATTTACCCAGTAAGGCACACTCAACCGATTCGAGGTATGTGAGAGGGTATGTGGTGGTACCGCGGCATCGAAACGCATACTTGGGCCCGAGGGTGTACTTCCGGAGAAGAGGCTTGATAGCAGTGGAATCAGGAAGAGCAGAATGATGGGCAATAATGATGTCAATGCCGAGCCAAGCGATTGCGGTTGAGCATTCTCATGATTATGCGGTCGTCGTCGCGGCTGGTTGCCACCAAACTGATGTATCCGGACGCCTGGCCCTCCTCCGCCGACGTTGAAAGCAAAGCCAGGGGCGCCGAACATACCACCACCGCCGCCGCCTACGAAAATCATAATTAGTATACCGATTCCACGCTGCTGTACTCGTGTGTCTTCTGAACTCACCAAACGGCCCTCCCCCACCAAACCCGCCTCCCATCCCACCACCAAAGAACTGCCTGAACAGTTCCTCCGGACTTATCTCCTCCTCGAACATCGGACCTCCTCTCCCTCCGCCACCAGCCCTTTGAGATGCGAACCCACTAAATGGACTGGCTCCGCTGGCCTGCCCACCTCCTCCGAATCTACTCTCCGGATCTCCCCCAAACCGATCGAACTTTGATTTCTTATCGCTATCGCTTAGCACCTGAAATGCTCTGCTCACCATCTTGAACGCCTCATCCGCACCCGTGTAACCATTCTTATCCGGATGTGTGAGTAATGACAATTTCCTGTATGCCTTCTTGATTTCGCTGTCGCTGCATTCTTTTCGGACGCTCTCAAGACCAAGGATATCGTAGTAGGCTGTTGGACCGCATTTCCTCACCCGAATCACCGCGGCTTTTTGGTCGGGAGTGAAGGCTCGGGCGCTGCTGCCGTCATTGTGGTCGCTTTTGCCGTTCGCTTTGGCGGACATGATGTGATTCTCAGGTGTTGATATGCGCTCGTGGCGCTGGTGGTAGGTGATGGGGTCAGGATGATTTGATCTGTCGAGTCGTGTATTTAGAGTTGTGTCAAGTATTACACTGTATCGTTTGGTGGATGTCCTGAGGCGAGGCTCGAGTACGTGTTGCGGTCGCAGGGTGTCCCGGATAGAGGCAGAAGATGACAGCTTGCATGGGAATAATGCAGAATAATAGTCCTTCGATGTCCAGTAGTTGCCAGATCGCACTCACCTCAATTGGGAAGTTCTGAATAGACCCTGCGATCCAAACTCCCGACCCTCCGAGCGTGATCGATCGTCATGGTTCGCGTGGACGTCGCGTGACTTTTGCGTTGGATTGCACTTACCTACAGTACATCTCTGCCCTTACCAGACACACCCTAAGCAGATCCGAAAAAGGCAGGAGCATGGCACCATAGCACTGGATAAGTGAAGCTCAACACCCACTACTACCCTCTCATTCTCGTCCTCGTCGTCACCACCATCACGATCACGACCACGATCCTACCGCGGAAATGCCAATGCCATCCAAAGACATCGGCGCTGCTGCCGAGAAAGCAGAGCAAGGTGTCATGCAATATGCTTATGCTTATGGGCGTGAGTCGTGGACCATATTCCGGCATACACACTACATAATAAGACGTCCACTGACAGGACGACAGTGAATCCCGTCCCTCCAGCCCTAACAGCATGTCTCATCGCGGCCCAACACATGCGACCTTTCCAGACCCTACCAGTACTCTTTGCTCCTGTCCTCCTCTTCAGCTCATATCTCAACGTCAACGGCTACAAAAAGGATGCGGCGGGTGTCACTTCAGCGTGGTCGGCGGCCTATATGCTGCTGGCGATGAGGAGACGACAGCAGTTCTCAAGCAGATTTGGCGCACGAGGGCTGACCAGAGGGGCTACGTTGGCACTTTGTGGAGTGAATGTCGTCAGTGGCGGGTTAGCCTATGCTTTTAGTAAGAGGGAGGAGGCGTGAGTAGCTGGAGATGAATCGATCATAATACCATTCCTTATGCTTCTAATTGACGGAGGCTTCAGAAAAACCTCCAAGCCTAACCTAAGCGATGCAGTCCCGAAGTAAAGACACCTGCAGAATCCACTGCACGATCCACGATCCACATGCGAGAGAGTCGTGGAAGGGAATTAAATGCCATCTTACGCTCCTTCAGAAGGCGATTACAAGACCTTGACAACTCTTCCACCTGCTATCAATCCATTGAGCCCGCCGAGAATCGCGGATGGACCTTCATCTCAATCGTTAGTGCCGCTGTGGCCGTCGCCTAGACAACCTTGAAGGTCTGCAAGCGCTTCTCCAAATGACCTTGGTTCATCAAATGCTGTATATATTGTCCCTTTCATGCGGTCAGTCACATGGCGAGAAGCGCTCTCCACGATCCGTTACTGCTCATCCACTTACCTCCGTCACGCCAAATAGATACGCTGTACCAACAAAAGTCCAAACTGATTGTTTTACTCGCAAGATGGCAAGTGCGCGACTTCCAAGTAGTATGCACACCTTGTCGCCCCCCCGCATGGTCAACGGACCCAGGCCAAGAATACCGTCGATAGTTGTGAAGAGGCTTCGGTTACGGCTGTACCGGCATGCGGCGTCGACCACGTCGCTCACATCGGCGTGCAGTGGGAAAGACGGGTCAGAGGAAGCACCATTATATTGGTGGAGAGCGGCTGAGATGTCGGACACGAACTTGATGTTACTGTCAAGTGCCGCCCCTCCTGAATCGCGACCCATCATGATGCAACTCGCAAACGTACTTTCGACATCGTCTCGTCGCCTTGATGTCATGTGAGAGAGGGTTGCCCGCAAAAGTGACAACAAGGTCGTAGCTTCTGGAAAAAAACGTCCATCGTCGTGGCGCCAGTTTGTGGAAGTGATCCAGTTGCTTCTTACCTAGGATCACTTCTTGCACGACCCATAAACGCTGGAACCAGCGAATCGAGAATGATTGCCGTACGGCGTGCCAATCACAAGCAGGCAAACCTTGCCCTGATCGTAGACTTGTGTATCCCACTTCGGACTTCCTGAACAGATGGCTGTCGAGCTCGACAAGATCAGCTGTTGCTTGTCTACAATGCCGCTTGATCTGCTGCACGGCCTCAATTGCTCGAGTCGCCACTTTGTTCTCGTCCTCACCGAGCCAGACAAGAACCTGCGTCGCCCGGCTGTAGATCTCACGCATTAGAGACACTTGCTCGCCACGCTCGATCGTATCTTGCTGGTTGATGCTAATAGCATCAATCCAGATACGCACTTCTGAGCAGGCGCCGCTGGTAGCTTCTGGATTGAAGAGGCTAGGGTTTGAAAAGAGATGCTGTAGGACGCTACGAACAGCGTTGAGCGCACTTGCTGGAGCAAAAGCACGATGGCCGCCAAGGCTAAAGGTTTCGGGGGTACGGTGAACACCCCAAGTATACGAGATTGCAGAGAAGGATGGCGTAGAAGCATTGCTCAAAGCAATCACCTGTGTCGAGCATTGTAGGACTTCGGGTAAGTCGTTCGGTCGATAATCGAAGCATAGCACTCGGGTCTCCTTGCGTGAATTCACAAGCGCTTCATATTGATATTGGTCTTCCAGAAGGGCCATTCCAGGACCTGGTGGACACTCTCCCATATCAAAATTGAAGAATGGATCTGCTAACCCAACGAGCAAGTTTTGGCATTACTCTGCCGATGACGAACCTTCTAGCTGATCATGTGCTTGGAGACTAGAGACATGCCCAAGTGATATCACCCATCTTCTGCCTTTCGCATCGAGCCCAGAGATCGACGGGCGCAGTGAGCCTCCTGTATAGAGGCATAAGAACGGATGAGAAACAGAACGATGGTCGATTTGCAAGGTGGAGATACTGTAGTGCTTCGGAGCGGATCAACGTCAAGACCGGGTCAACGAAAGCAAGCATTACTACTACTACAGATATATTGAACCAGCGCCATCTTTCATTTCGCTACACGCTGCTCACAACCACTGCTTGTTCCCGAGATGACTCACAAACGCACCACCGTACGTGTCCACGGTAGCAGCTCCAATGACCTTCAAACACATCTGCACTGACTGCTCAGGCGTAATTGGGCCCTTGAAATCCGGCGCGTATTCCTGGAACATGGAGCCCATTGCCTGACCTCCAGCGATCTCCTGTTCAGTCGGCTGCTTACTTTCGCTCGTGTCAACAAGCCCCGGACTGAGCGCCATGAAGAGGAGGCCTTCGGATTGGCCAAGGGTAGCATTGTATTTGGCTACGAGGGCGTTGGTGGCGGCCTTGGAGATACTGTAGGGAGCGGCGATGGGGATGCTGAAGCGGTTCACAAAGTCTAGATCCGCCATCCCGGTCGAAATGGTAACGACTTTCTTTTCGTGTCCTGCGCGGAGGAGTGGTAGAAAGGTATTGACGGTGTTCGCAACACCTACGACATTCGCGCGGAAAGAGGACATGAGGTCTTCTTCCAGCGTGGCAGGCTCGTCGTCGACCAATGTGATGAAGGCGCTGCGATCGCTGACCAGTGCGGCATTATTGATGAGTACATCTAGGGAGCCTTTGGTGATGGTCTTGACTTGTTCGAAGGCAGCGGTAAGAGCTTTTTGATCTGTAATGTCGGCCTGAACGATGACGACGTTGGTGATACCGTCTCTGGCTAAGCGAGCCTGAGTGGAGTCCTTGTTACGTGCCATGCCGATGACCGTATTGTCTGGAATAGCGGCAAGTTGGCGAGCGAACTCATAGCCGAGACCACGAGAGGCGCCTGTGATGAGGTATGAAGGCATACTGTTGTTGTTCTCAGGATGGATTGATCGAGACCAAGGTTGCGCGATCGCTGTGCGAGTGTGAGTAGATGAGACCCAAAGAGGTACAGGTCGCTGAGGCTATATATCAAGGCTGATGGTATCTCTCCATTCCATCGCATTCTGGAGAACAGCAGATACGTTGGTCATGATCGAGGCTGACAAAGCCCACATAGCTTACCAGAGCATGAAGCCGCTTTTGACTTTGCGACTGCTTAGGCCACCGCCAACGCGTATGAGCTCATGAATGCAGTGTGGAAGAAGTTCTTGACCATGCCTTTGGATATCGAAGGGCGGAATCGAAGGCGCTCCCGGCCCGTTCGATAGAACTAATGCTCCGAGACAACTTTAGCCGGCTCGATTCTTAATCAGGAGGAGTGGTTCCGGTTCTCTGTCATCGCCTCAGCTTTACGCTTTCTCGTCGCCATTATTCACGACTTGATCACATCATCACAAATTACTACCATTCCTCTTCTTCTCTTGACGCCACGCCCTAGACCTACGATGTGGAGCCCAATTTAGTCGCTTAGATGATCGGCGTGACTGGCCAGCCTCGCTGTCGCACCATCAAACTCTCAAAAGCCATCTTGGCGCGGCTTCACGAAGTCTCCACTTCGAACGAGGTGTTCAACACCAACCTGCCCGGACTCTTTATACAGCTGCACAGTATCAGCCTATCAACATGCTCGTGCTGCCGCGACTCTTAGGAGACTTGCGCTACTTGAATCCTTCTGCTACGCCGCAGCGCTTGATCGTAGAATAATGTCATTGCGATGACCTCGGAGGCTTCGAGATGTTGAGGGCAGGGCTGAAAGGTATGCTGGAGGAACGTGTATCTTTCATGCTCCTCGAGCGATTTTCGTTGGACATTTCTTCGTTTCTTCTATGCAATCCGTATGGTTGCACATCCTTTGGACGCTTTGCAGTGTCGTTTCCTTCGCACCTTTGTCGCTGGCAACCTCCAGTGTTGGACTTCCAAATGCGCCGGGCAATGAAACGTATCATCTGCCGCCATTGACCGCGACGAGCACTTTCATTCCTTTTGGCTGCTGTCTGCTATTGCTGGGTCAATGCGCACTTCGAAAGCGCTGTTCATCGCCTTCAATATTACTTATGGCCTCTTTGCAAGCGCTTATGTCTCCTTATCCCCTACTAGCCTAGTCGAGCTTTTTGGCGTGCAGCACTTTGCTTCCGTCAACGGCTTTCTGTATATGGTGCGAGGAGCTTCGGCATTCGCGGGCACACCTTCTGCGGGCGCTTTGGTGCGGACTGCAGGCCGGAGTGCTTCTTGCCAATGGCTTACGAGCGTATGGCAATGCTTGTTGGTGTTCTACTTGTCGCTGCAACACTGGCAGCTGGGTGGGTGCGCGTTGAAGCTTCCATTAGAGAACCAGGGAAGCGTAGATGGAAGCTATAAAGGTGTCAAACGGGGGATTTAAGTGTTTGTACGAGTGTGATTTGTGCGGCGCTGATTAGAGATATCTCTGAAGCTTTCAATGCCAGTATTTGAAGCTGCACTTCTGATTTTACACCCGAGATACTAATCTCTTGTAGGCCGCTTTAGGATTGTAGAATGCTAGCTTATTTCCTCGAAGCCTACTTGGCTGTCCCATGTGAACTGAGACCAGCCTTAGCTAGCGAGGATCATGACTATAAGTCAATAGACAGAGTCCGAATCTGCCTACCGACCTAATCCCGCTGACCTAGTAGTGATGCTCGGCAAAGCTGATCGTCTTGCTTCCCCAATCGAACACACTCACGACGCTCTGCTGGAAAACATCTCCAAGGACGAAAGGAAATGGTGCCTGACCACCAAGCACCGCGATCCAGCAGTAATCGAGACCGGTCGTCGCATTCACATATCCACCGTCGAGGTGATTTAGGGATGATCGCCTTTCGGTTGCGCTTGATGGTTGCGCCGATATTCTTTTTCTTGATTGCGTTGATCGTCTGTCTCCTCGCGTCCTAAGTCACCTTCCCTCGCCTCCGTCTTCATCCAGTCCCCTTCGCACAGAAGTGAGCATAGGTTCTAATGCTACCAACATCATGCTCAACCGAAATGAAATATCAGACTACCTACTCTGAAGATACTGATCAAATGCTCGACCCTCCGTTGTGGTCGTCCTGAACGGTGGTGCGTATGAAAATATCAATCCGAGACCCAAGAAGATGGACAGCGCGACTGCAAGACGGCGAAAGTTCCGGTCAAACTTCTGGGTTCTTGCATCGCGATATGGGCGCGATGGATCATGAAGTCTGAATGCTGACGTCGAGAAACCACGTTTGAGAATAGTGGCGAGAGGCATCAAGGCTGCGCGCACAAATGCTGTGTCTCTAAAGGTATTTGCTGAGCTTCTGTTCACGTAGACTACAGTAATATACAAACTGAAGTCAAAAGAGTTAGGGAAGCAGGATGATGGAAAGCAAGAACAGGTAGCTATTGAGCCTCGAGCCTTCTCGGTTGGAGCTTGACCATCTCGTGGGCGGCCCTAATCGGAGCTGACATCTGCTCGAGCTTCTAGCGCTTCCGATAGCCCCGCGACCTCTTTTCCCCTCTTTTCAATCAAAGTGCTCGATGTGTGTACTTATTTGGATCGACAAGGCGCTTGCCACCCTAGTAGAATGCGAGCGAGACCAGTCTTTGAAGCAACCACCTCTCCTTTCTTCATTTGCAAACTCACCTGCTATGAATGCAAGACGTCTTGTCCCGCGATCAGGCGCATCGCATCACGATACTGTTCCGCACCATTAAGGCAAGAAGACTGCTCGTCGGGTTCGACACGTTTGCTCGAACGCAAAAGACGAGTCTACCGCTGGATTAGTCTCTGGACAGCGTGATACGCAATCCACCCACATATGTTGCATCTGTTCTATACATTGATAGTAAGCGTGACCTAAGACGAGTGGTGAGGCGATTGACGGATACTCGGTCGCAACCCAGCTGCGAGCTCGATCGTTAGCGCTCCATGCGCAGTCCATGAATTACTTCTACACACTGACCTCGATTCCAGCTTGCTGAGCTTACGCTTTGACTATTTGAGCAGCAGAGTATCTTAGACCAAAGGTTGCACGTGGATTTGTTGAGATCGAGGTCCTTCTCTGGACACTCCGTTACTGAGGTCACCGAATCAAACCAGAGGGGAGTACTTAGACTCAACATATCCCAGTCAATCAGCGTGAGCGTAACGATAACTGGGAACTATACTTGGGGCAGTGATGGCTGGCTAGTTTCAAAGATGGACATATCTTCGTAATAGAGATCTTCGTCGTTACTTTTGCGAGTCTATTCCCGTTTGGTTGTGTATGCCACACCTCGCACGGTTACTACCGTCTGATCCTCTGTGGTCGACTGACAACATTCCAGTTCAGCTAGGATTCGAAAGTCCATGGGCATCCGTCCGCCTCGACTAGGAGTAGCCCATCTCACAGCTTGCTGTTCTTCAGGCGCAGGTACATGTTTCGCAAGCTGCTTATAAGGGAATATATAGCGCTTATACGCTACTTACTTCGATTTGTTGTAGTCTGCTTAAGCCTATATCGTCCACTTCGCTCGGAACACACCTTGCTACCTATTCGCACCGGTTACCGTTCCGCTGCGACTTACAGGTCTAGGCTACCGCTACGCTCCCTCTGCTTCTCCTGTACATCTTTCACGCCTGACTCCGGGCTTGAGATGCTGGCTTGTCTGGCAGCGTGCACTAGACCAGGGTTCTGTTCTTTTAACAGCGCAAAATTTTCCTCAGCATCCCAGTTCCAGATACTATCCGCAGCGAAGACAAGATTCATCTCCTCCAAAGTACGTTGATTGGTTTCGGGATACAGTGCCCAGACGACCAGGATCGAAAGAACGTTGACGCCTCCAAAGATATACAGTGTCTTCTCATGAAGTTGCGCGAAGATGGTAGGAAGGAGGAGAACCTAATGCACAGTCAGCGTTCGTCGCAGTAGCGACACATATCTTGACCCGATCATGACTTACACACCAACCATTTCCGATGGACCACCCTACAACGCCCCATGCATTGCCTCTGGCACGGATCTGGAGAGGAAAAATCTGGTGACGTCAGTGTTTGTCACCATTCCAATGCTCTATTCATATCGTACCTCTGCAGGATAAAGCCAAGGAACTGTAAGCCACGTTGCTCCGAAGATGGCAGTGTAGAGATATACGAAGAAGACTGCAGCTCCTCCGACATGGGCTTTGTATGAGCCACTTGCATGTTGAGTGGCGTATGCTAAACCGCCAGCGCAGAAGCAACAAATGCCCTGCCCTATTGCACCCCAGTAAAGCGTTACTCGTCTACCGAAACGATCAATGGTAAAGACGCAGATCAGCGTTGCCAGCTTTGCATAGTCAGCTTCTTTTGCTGAAGATTGATGGCAACAGCACTCACCATGTAAGTTATGTCATTCAGTCCACTGACCCACTGGCGGTCAGCAGGCGCTATACCAGCAATGGTGAAGATCTCAGGTCCATAGATCGTGATGCCGGCAATACCGATCCACTCCTGTAGGATCTGCAGCCAGATGACGAGCTGGACCCGACGAGCGGTGTGCAACTTGCCCTGCCCTATACCGAAGAACATCATCCAGTAGCTTGTCTGCTTCGAGTTCTCACGTTCCAATTTCACGATGTTCTGGATGTCGGCGAACTCGGCTTCTGCGATACCATCCTTCTCGCCCCGCAGACGACCTAGGATGAACCGAGCTTCTTCCTCACGACCGACTTTGACCAGCCATCGCGGTGATTCTGGCATGAACCAGATGATGAGGAGCAAGCCTGCATTAGTGTCAGCAGATAATCCCGCAGAGAAGCTGTCGGCCATCACAGACCGATGAGAGGCACGATCTGGAATGCAACCGGGAACCTGGATTGTGTCAGCATACCTATTACCAGCGCCGAAAGTTGTGGCTTACCTCCAAATGAAGCTCGATGTCCCGTCACCATAGAAGGAAGTCCCGCTATCGAAGTTAGAATAGCCGAAACCATTTACCAGGTTGGGATTGCTTACTACTCAAGCCAGTACGCGACCACGACGCCAAAGATGTTGAGTGTAAACTCGATTGATACTGCGAGAATCTGCATTAGAGATGGTTCAGATAAGCTGGGACATGAACGCACCGAAAGCTCCCCTCGAAGTATGGGAGGCAGTCTCTGTGGCCCAGACCGGAGTTATCGCATTCAGTATGCCAGTGCCGACACCATTGAAGACTCGAGCTGGACCTCGTCAGCTCTGTTACGAGAACCTGGAGGCGACATACCACAGAACATCCAGCTGGCGTTTTGCGAAGAGCATTGCAGGCAGGCGCCGATGATGGCCCAGAGTGCGGCGAAACCGATGGTGCCGATCCTGCCAAAGCGGTCCCCAAGCCAGCCTCCCCACAGCGCGCCCACCAAAGTGCCAGGAAGGTAATACACTGCGACCTGTGGTGGTGATCAGCACACAACTTTGCAGACTCGAGAGCAGTGCACCTACGATACCTCCCTGCAAAAGAGGCTTGGTGACTTGTACAAGCTGCGAAGCCTCGTCGTAATGTCCGAAGCCCATGAGACCGGCATAATTGCGGTTACTGTTGACGCCAGCCATGACACCTGGATGATCGTTCAGTCTTGAAATGCTAGAGATTTATCATTGAGCCCACCTTGATCATAGCCTGTGGACGTTCCGCCCTGTCAGTCTTGCTTGACAAACTGCAATTGCTCATCACTACTGCTCATCACTACTGACCAAAGAAGAAGATAGAAAGACCGGCGACGAGATTAACGGCGATGAGTAGCGACCGGCCTTCAAATCTGTGAGCAATGCCGTGTTTGGCGAAGTACTTGGGTACTTGTAGTTGCATTTTGTCACGACAGCAACAGATTGATAGTGAAGAGAGGTGTTAGGTTGTTGCTCAAGAGCCGTGGGTCTCATATATACGGTGAATTGCCTGCGATCCTTGATCGGGATATGGTAGCCGTGGCAGGGTACTCGGGGACTTCGACGAGACTCCCCGAGTAAGTGACAAGCACAATTGGTGCATGTATATCTGGGGCCACACATGAAATCTGGGGCCCCACTCCAGAGCGACCGCAGCATTGATGAGATCACGGCTTTGGACGGCAAGTCGCGGGTCAGGCTGAGCCCAACTGACTGGGATCGACGTTTCCATTGTCAGTCCTGGCCTGTGGCGTTGTATCGAGTCACACAAGCACCATTGTATTGGTTTGACCTGTTCGCGACCCCGCATTTTCGACCAAATATCTTACCGAGTTCCCCGAGTACAACCGCGATTAGCTTGCAACTCCTTGCCAATCTGTTGGAGGTACGACATGTCTCGAAAGAAGGGCAACGATCACGACGATATAGTCGCTGACAGTCTTGCATCAGCCCAGTACTCGCCAGACGCTGATCGGCCTCTCAAACGAGCGAGATCGAGTCAGACCTCAGATGAAAGTTCACCTGCTCTTCGACGCAAGAACGCTTGTCAACCATGCCGTCTACGCAAGATAAGGTGCGATGGTGCACGCCCTACTTGCGGCCTTTGTGCCACGACCAAAGTCGCTTGTGATTACCTTGATCGTCCATCCCCAAAGCATAAGTAAGTGCTTCACCTTTTACAGTTTTCAATTCACATATACCATACTGACTCTGCATCTGCGTAGTCTAGACTCAGCCACGAGCTTGCTGTGTGCCAGACTTGTACAGCTCCAGGAGAGTGTCGATAAGCTTGGGAATGCTGCCGCAGACCACAATCGGAACATATCATGTGGTGGTCCTCGTTCAAGATCATGCCACGAGACAACGTGTGATTGTTTGCCAACCATCAACATGAATGGCCAAGTCGAGGGCGATAGACCAGCGGCGGACTTTTACCTCATCCCACCGCACCGGGCCACAGCAGACACAGTCTTGACCTGGCCAGTATTCGCAGATGCATACAGCCAATCGACACTCGTTGGAGCTCACTTCGTGCGCACAGAGCCCGATAATTCGGAATGGGACCCACACACAGACGAGGTTTTTGAAGTGACTGGATGGTTACGTCAGGTTAATGAAGAACGTCTATCTGCATTAGTCGAGCGGTTTCTACAGAACGTGCATACTAAGAATCCGGTGCTGGACGTCGAGCTCCTTCTCCGGGACGCGAATCGAGTGGCTAGCTACGGCCTTGACTGGCGTCCGGCGTCATGTCTGGTTCTCCTAGCAGCCGCTTTGGGAGTTATTTCCAAGCCTTTTAATCCAAACACCACAAACGAGGATGAGGACTCTACTGACGTCAATCGGCTGCGAGAAGCAGAGACGTACTTCGTCCTGGCTTGCCGCAGACTTGGTGGACTGAAGCATTCTATACAGTGTGCCCAATGCTTTTTCTTCGCTGGAGGTATGTGACTCTGTTTCCTCGATACGCCAAGATCCCGCTAATGGTTGTCAGTCTTCATGATGTACACACTTCGTCCTCTCCTAGCGTGGCAGTACTTTATCCAGGCCTCGAACACCTTCCGACTCTACATGAAGACCAAGTACAGCCTCAGCTTTGCCGGCGCACAGCCAAGTATTGAGCAGATCGCGAGACAGAGCAAATGTGTTAGACGGCAGGAGGAGGCCATGTACTGGTCTTGCTTCAAAAGTGAGAGTGAATTTCGTGTCGAACTTCCGTTGCCGCAGTCCGAGCTCGCCTACGATCATCACCTGCAAATGTTCCCGACGCCACCTTCTCCAGCTGCTGGTCACAATGCCAGGGATAAGATTGATATCGGAGAAGTGAGTAGTGGTGGTGTGAGCGACGTGCCTTCCACAGATAACAGCCACGACTCAGTCTGTTCTGTGGCATTGAGCCGACTGTACACTGAGGAAGAAAGCTGGTACTACTACCTCACAGAAATAGCACTCCGACGCATCGGAAACCGCATTATCAACAGCTTCTTCCACTGTGAGCCACGTAAATGGCTGAACATACAGCATTATCTCGGTCTTGCTCGGGAATACGACACACAACTGGCTGCGTGGTCCGCTCATCTGCCCGAAGCTATGAAACATTGGGAGACGGCTTCTGCAATCAGACAACCAGACTCATTATCCGCCCAGGGCAAGGGCAACGCAGTCTCTCAAGAGCTGGGGTGGGCGCTAGCCAACAGGCTGCTCGAGGCTAGGAGCTGGCTCTATCAGCCTTTCCTGTACTGGCTCGTCCATAGTCCTCTGGTCCCCAGAAACTCTAAAACCATGCATCGTCCGACTTGTCAGAGATTCGTCTCTGATCTGACGAACAGCATGACTGCTGAAGACGCCATGGCGCTCTATCAGTTCATCATCTCGGGTATTGAGTGCAGCTACCAGATACTTGAGACTCGATCCCTTCGACATCGCCATCATGGTCTGTGGTACGATCTCCGAAGCAGCATGTGCGTCAGTTTAGTGCTTATGGCGATTGTCAAGAGTGGCCATACGTCATGGCTGCCTGATGGTGGGCAAAAGCTCTGGCAGGCGCAGAACCTTGATCGAGTGCGAGGGTCTCCATATCTCCAGGGTGATGGTTCAAGAGGCAGGCTAGGGCGTGTGATGGCAGAGTATGGTTACTGGGCGAAGGAGTGCCCGAGCTTGGAAAGGCAAATTACCGTACTGAAAGAGGTTATAGACACTTCGATAGCAGCCGCGCAAAACCTCGAGTCCTAGCGATCGTGTGTGCTTGCGCAAAGGAAGAGTCAAACGCATGAATTGGACCGCTGTCGGCACACAAGTGATCACTTATCAATTGCTGCTTGTCGTCGACATATGTACATGGCCTTATAAAGATGTCTGTTTTGCCCACCACAATCGTTTGAGCATTTCTTCCCCGATGTGGGGCCGGATGAGGTCGTAAGGCTATGCCGACTTTCGATCCGTGTTCGTAATATTTCCTAACTTATTTGGACGGATACTATTCTAAGGATCTATTACCCTTAGAAGACCTCCTTAGGATCGTATTAAACTACGGCATCTTTCGTAGCGACGTCGATCTAAACGAAAGCCTCTTTAGTCGAGGTCTTAACTCTCTTAGTATACTTAGCTTTCTCTATACTATCTAGCTACTTAATATAAAGTATAATCTTACTAAAGAGATTACTACAAAGGACGTATACTAAGTAAAGTAGTTATATAGTCTTATAGAGATATTATCGGTATATAGGTTAGCTCTAGTAGAGGAGAAGTAGAAGGAGAGTAGATATATAGATATAACCTACCTACTAAATATTTAATATATATAGCTATTTATAGACTTATACTTTACTAATCTACTTACTAGTAGTTAGTATATATAGAAATAATTCTTACTAACCTAACTAATATAAGGCCTAGGAGGTAACTAAATATTAGTAGGATCCTCCCTAAATCTAGTAAGGCGCAAAGCTATATAGTCTAGATTTTAGTAGGATCCTATTTAGTAGGATCCGTACTTCTAGAACTACCTATAGGCGCAATTCTATACGCTAAAATAGGATATATCTTACTTATAGGCTCCTCTATTAGGTTAGGGCCCTAGCAAAGTTTAGGTTCGGTTTAGGTTAGGGTTTAATATTTAGGGAACCGTTTTAGAATTTAGGGCCCTAAGTATTTAAACCGAATATAATTTAGGGCCCTAAATCGGATTTAGGTTATTAAGTTAGTATATAAGAGAGAGAAGTACGCGAGGGTATATTATAGCGGTATAGTACTATATATATATAGATATAATATATAGTAGATATTTAAATATATAAAATCGATTTTAGATAGTAAGGTAGTTTAGTATAGAGGCCGTTAACTATTCGTAGGGCGCGGACTATATACCGACTATTAAGACCCTCGCGGGGGACTAGTAGCACGTAACTACCGGAACGCTTATAGCGGGCGCTCCCGTAAGCGTATACTTATAAGGTGCGATCTAGACGCTCTACGCAAAGGGTCGCACCGGGCGCGCGAGGCGCGACCTAGTAGATATATATAAGTACAGAGGTGTTAGTAGTTAGGAGCTTCGTACTTAACCTTAAGTATAGGAGTTAGCGATAGGTTTTACCTACTACTAATTAGTTACGCTTCTGTCTACGTATTAACCGTCT